GCTACTATTGCTACTATTGCTACTATTGCTACTATTGCTACTATTGCTACTATTGCTACTATTGCTACTATTGCTACTATTGCTACTATTGCTACTACTGTTATTTCCTGTTGATATTACTACTCCATGCAGCGTATCAGTTCTTGATAATCGAGTGCGGTCTTTGCGGCCGCTCGCATCCAAAATCTCTCGGGCCTGATCGGCGCATTCCACCTCCCTCCTCCACTTCATCCGTCATGCGTCCCTCGTGCAGCGCCAGTAACTTGATGATGAGCAGGGTGCGCAGGTATAAAATTGATGATGTGCGCTGAATGATGTTCTCTTCAACGACCTCTATCTGGCTTCTTCTTCTTCTTCTTCTTCTTCTTCTTCTTCTTCTTCTTCATCATCATCATCACGAAGACGTCACCACGCATTTCATTTTCTTCCTCGAGTTCTCTCGCTGACCGAACATTTGAGCGAGTCGTGAGGACAAATAGTGATCCTTTTGTCAGTGCAGCATCAGAAGAGGTGACTTGACTACAGTCTGCAGGAGGTCAGTCGTCCTACCAAGGAGCGTCTGGTACGGGGAATCGGCCTCCTTTCTTGAGCGGTGGTTGTACCGGATCTTACTTTGAGAACGAACGGAAGAAAATATATAAACCATCATACCCACGGTCCCCAGTCAACAATGGCATCCGAGTTACCGGCTCAGACACTCCAGGGGAAAGTTGCGATCGTGACAGGGTCGACGAGGGGCTTGGGAGGTGAGTTATTAGTTGTCGGTCTGTTTCTATTCCCCTTTTTCCTTGAGAGGACCAAAACCCGGTGCCCCAGCAGGACCTCGACCAGGACACTCGGTCTGGGTACGGTCTATGCCGCTTCTCATTCCCACGACACTCGAGGGCCTTGTATGGGCGACAGAGAAAGGGGGAGAGAAAGAGAGAGAGAGACATCCCTCCCTACCAACCTAACCAGGGACTCTCGCCACAGTCCAGCCCTGGTCCAAGAGACAGACAGAGAGACGTTCTCTTCTCCGTTGCCAAAAGCTCTCTGTCGGATATACACTCCTTTCTCTTGTGACTCAGGATATGCTGATTGACTTACCTCGACTCGGTTATAGCTGATATGGCGCTTGACCTTGCAAAGCGCGGCGCAAAGGTATTTTATAACAGCGTAGCGTTCCTGCACTTTTACTGCACTTTTCCAGCCTCACACCGCATCCATCCACTCCCTCACACCCTCCCTGCTCACCCACTCGCCCAATTCGTATACCACGATCCTAGCGCCTCCTAAATCCTACGCTTCTCCTTTTCGATTACTGTGTTTGACAACGTCCCTGATGTGAAAAACTGACACTCCTCAGGTCGTGATAACATACACGTCGGCGTCCTCCGAACACCAGGCGACGGAGCTCACGTCCCGAATCAACGACCACCTCCCCAACTCGTCTCGAGCGACGAGCGTCCGCGCCGACATGGGCGACACGGCGTCCCCTCGCCGCATCGTCGAGACGTGCGTGTCGACGTTCGGCCCCCGGATCCACATACTGGTCAACAACGCCGGGGTGTCCGTGACCAGGCCCCTCTCCGAGCTCACCCTCCAGGACTACGAGCGCGTGTACGGCGTCAACGTGCGCGGCGCGGTGCTGCTCACGCAGGCGGTGCTCCCCTACCTCGCGCCGCGCGGGCGCGTGGTGAACGTCTCGAGCGTCGGGGCGCGCGCCGGGTTCGCGGGCCTGAGCCTGTACGCGAGCTCCAAGGCCGCGGTCGAAGGGCTGACCAGGTCGTGGGCGGCCGAGCTGGGCGCGAACGGCACCACGGTGAACGCCGTGGCCCCGGGCCCCGTGAGGAGCGAGCTGCTGGACACCATCCCCCGCGAGATCGTGCAGATGCAGATGGACAGCACCCCCGTGGAGAGGAGGGTCGGCGTGCCGCCCGAGGTGAGCAGCGTCGTCGCTTGGCTGTGTGGCGACGAGGCCGCCTGGGTGAGCGGCCAGGTCATCAACGTCAGCGGGGGATGGAGTATGTATTGATACGATCATGATCGATGATACCGTGTGTCCTTGGCGGAGCCCGCGTACCAAGCGATATTTATTTACCAGGCAGGTCGAGGGAATTGAACCGGACACCTTGGTTTTGGCATGAATACCTTGGCTGAGATGAAAGTCGCATCACCGAGATTTACCCTACCAAGGGTAGGTATCTAGTAATGCAATCTATGGTCTGGGTCTTCTCAGTCTTGTCTACTCACTCCCATCACGGTGCCAGTGCCACCCCAGCAGCGATCCGTACACTTCGTACTTGGTAGGGCTCTCCTCTCCTTTCTCTCTCTCTCTCTCTCTCTCTCTCTCTCTCTCTCTCTCTCTCTCTCTCTCTCTCTCTCTCTCTCTCCGTGTCTATGTGTGTCTTGTGTATTGCCATCATTATGTACCGTGTTTTTATCTCCCCTTTTCGTCACTGATACCCAGTGCTCGACACTCATAGCAAGGCCGGTGAGTTTGAGTTTGTTGTATTTTTAAAAAGCGATACCTCCCTCGGTGTTTCGTAGTCACCGGTAGTCGTAACTCGTGTTCGTATCGTCACTCCCAACTCAGTAGGTCTCGTTGGCACTCACGCCGTACTTTCCTCCACCGGCGTACCACGCGGCCATGATCAGATCGCAGAGGTCTTTGGCCTCGACGTTCGTGAGCGGCAGGTGGTGGCCGCCCTCGTAGTCCATGACGAAACACGCGTCGCTCTCGCACGTCTTCGCCAGCGCCTCGCACCCGGGCCTGACGTGGTCGTCTCGCCCCCAGGCGTGCACCGTCGGAATGTCCCGGAGCAAGGCGTAGTCCGCCGCGTCGACGGTCCCCGCGAGCCCGATGGGCGGGTACGGCCCTCCGATCATGACGCCGAACGCGAACTTGGTGGCGGTGGGGGTGGTGCCGGCGCGCTCCTGGATCCTTTGCCGCAGCAGCAGGCCGGCCGTCAGCCTCGCGCCCTGGCTGAAGCCGATGACGCCCTTGAACGAGTCGACGCCGCCGTTGGCCTCCATGGCCTCGGAGACGAGGGCGTCGATGGCGTCGACCTCGTCCCGCGGCGTGGGCTCGACGTCGCTCTCGCCCGCCTTGAACCGCCGGTTGACCCAGCGGTAGAACGGCGCGCACGACGCGAACACCGGCAGCATGCCGTGGCCCGGCGTGCCCTCGATCGGCGCCTGCACGAACACGAACCGGAACTGCTTCTCGAGCGTCCAGATCAATCGGCGCATTTGGATCTTGAACACCGTGGAGTTGGACCCGCCCCCGTGGAGGCACAGGATGGCCGGGAGGAGAGATCCCTGACTGTCGTGGGTCGGGCGAGAAGTCATGATGGCGGCGGCGGCGGCGGTGGTGGTTAGGGTGGTGGTGGTTGTACTCGTGGCGGGTGGTTTGATGGACACGCCTGTCAGAAATTCTTCAAGCTGGTGCTAACTAAGTCCGTCCTCGATGATCGTGGAAATGGACTTGTGCGTGGATGGAAACCTTGACGGGCTGTGAAATGAGACGGACGCAATCCGAAAAGAATCTCATAAAAACACAGTTGTGTGAGTCTCGTGCGTGCTGGCGAGTGAAAGATGTAACGTGTACGCGTGTCGGATGCTGAATGCTGAGGCTCTGACTCTTCGTTCTTCGTATCGCTCTCACTCTCAATCTTTTGGGGCGAAGTTTGTGTTGGGTTTGGAGATCAAAAGATAACGGAACCGCGGAGTATCTGCGGAATATATTTAATAGGTATAGCATACATCCCTAAGGCACGGTACATGTATTAATATATTGTCTTCCAGTAGCTATTCGTTCAGTAGGTTTAGTGGAGTCGGCGATTTACTGGACAGCGCGAGGCTGTGACAGCACAGCACTTCGTAACCTAACGTTCGATACTACCTAGGTATCATATCTGTGGACAGCATAAATACTGGCATACAACATAAGCCGCACTTGACGCCGATATTCACGACCACCGCGCTTCGAGCATTTCCTCCTCCTCCGCTAAGTGCGGCACCTTTGGCAGATTGATGGTGTCTCTCAAGTCTTCCTCCCAATCACGCCATGGGGGAAATGTAAAGTCGTCATTGACTGATTTTGGTTCCCGCACAGTCTTCTTGAGTACTCGAATCCGCTCCATCAAATAGTTCAACTCTCGAGGCTCTTCGGGAGTAGTGGAAGGAGTAAAGCTCCTTCCTACAATGTCGACCAGAGCTGTAAATTCAAATGACCATTCGAGCTGGCTGCTCGAGTCAAGTATAGCCCAGAGAACTTCCAAAGTCGAATGATTATCGCCAATTTCCAACACCAAGCTCATCCACTTCAAAAAGAGCCCGTTACCAAGTCCTTTCCCAGAGAGACATTGTGCATAGTGGCGAGCATAGAATGTTTCAACTAGCTTGAGTGCATCCCAGGGTCTGTTGGAGGCGAGCCTTACGAGGAGCCGCTCCAGTAGCAAGTGGTTGACGGCATAGCCGTCCGCCTGTTGCATATCGTAGTGCTCTGCGACCATGTCCTGGATGTAGACAATGTCAATCAATTCGGCCCGCTCAATCAACTCTGAGATCAACAATTGGCTTTCTGCCGTCGACGAGGATCTCCAGGAGTCTTGCACCGAAGAAATTCCACGAGAGGACGCATCTGATTGATAGTCACCAACTGATTTTGGCCGAGCTAGGTTCAAGTCGCCTGCAAAGATGGACTTTAGTTCTTCGATCCCATTTAGCTGAGAAGCAAGGTCTTGTAGCGCCGAGTCGAAAACGTCGCCACCAGACACCGGTGGCCTGTGTGATGTGCAGATTCGAGAAGCAACATCAATAACTTGACTTAAAGGTACCCACTGTAGATAAGTGTCGAGAGCAACCAGACTTGGACGATGTTCCGCCAGCGTATGGAACTTCCCAGTGACATCGTGTCTCACAATGTCTTTCACAAAATCCTTCAGGACTGGAGAGAAGGGATCATCACGGCAACCCAGCGAAATTCCGCGGCAAACCTCTGCAACCTGCTGACATGTGGCACCTATTGTCCTCAAAGCTTGTCCGAGTTTCCAGGCGTCTTCCTCGAGATCAAAGCCTAGTTTGCACCGAGGGAAAGCTTCGCGGACGAGCCGCACCCATTCGCTGACAAGATCAAACCGCTTCTCCTGGACCAAAGCACATATGATCGTGGTGGATATTGAGCGGAGCGGAACAAGGCCTGCGTCTTTGATACAGCCCAGTAGAAAGTCGAAGGCTTGGGCAGCACCATTCGTTTCCAAGTGTCGCTTGAGTATGCTGTTGAATACCAAAGAGTACTGATACACTCGCTGCCTACTGTGGCCAGTCGCGTGTATCTGACTGAGCGTCTCTTGGACATCGACCCAGTCCCCACTGCTTGTGTACAATAACGCACACTGGCTCAGGATGTATGGCCTTACAGCCTCTCCGTAGACCTCAACAACAGCGTTTATGAGGTCGTCTCTCTGTCCAGGATCTTGATTTCGCAGCGCCTTTCGCAGCACAGGTACAAAGACTTGGTCCTTGTGGGCCAATTTGCTTCGTTTGGCAAGTTTATGTATCTTTGCAAGCTCGGCGATGCAGGATTTTTCGTCATGGCCCTCGCAGAAGATCGCCAAGTATCGAGGGGCAAGCGAATAATGATGATCAGTGCTGTCCCCGGGAACAGAGCTGGGGAAAAACAACTCTTGAAGCCTTTCGGAAGTTGGAGCGGTCGCGAGGAGATAGCTTATGAGCTTCATGACAGGTGCACAGATCAAGTCCTCCGGTCGAAATGAAAATCGCCAACTGAAGAACAGAGCTTCGGCCATGGCCCAATTAGGATCCTTCTGGTGTGTATAGTATCGCATAGCAGCCGACCACCGCTGTAGTCTTCCTTCGTATGTCGAAACGTGTTTCCGAGGGCTGATGAAATTCTGGACATCGAGATATACCTTCGGGTTGACACTTTTTGTAAAGTGGTTGCGAATGGAATATGGAATGTACTTTAGCTCATCAATTCCGGTCTCTAGCTTTGGTGATTCAAACACCCGGGTCCGTTTGGGCCAGTGGGGTCCGTAGCTCTGCACACGTTTACGGTAAGAGGTAAATTCAGTGTCCAAGGCTGTGTCAAGGTCGATTGTATTCGCCTTGTTCGTTGTGCAAGAAGACCACAGACGCCTGCCGTGGTGCCACCGAAGCTCCTTTCTGGGCAGCTCTCTTAGGTCTTTGCTCGTGGATGGCGCAGCTGGAGCAGGCTTGGTGGCAACATCGCATTCACGATCCATTGAACATGGGCTTCCTTCTGTACTGGACTGACGAGGCAAAACGTAGAGGGGTCGGAATGGAAGGCTCGTCACACTGTCATATTTGGCTGATGGATTGTGAATTCCTGGTTCTCCGTCCAACAACCCCGACGCAGACTTGTCGCGACTTCTTTCCACCGATGTGTCAGAATCTCCTTCTCTTAGAGTCGGCCGCATCGAACCGTGTTGTAGAGACGGACCAGCCAAGTTCCCATCAGGTGACCCAGTTGGAAAGCAAGAGTTGTTGATATGCTTCTGACTGGTTGTGTTATAGTGCTGATTCGCAAGAAGCCTGCGATTCGAATTGAGTGGCCCGGCGTTGGTGCGCTGAGAGGAAAATCGGAACTCGGTGAACGACGGCTCCCGTTTCTCTCTTGATCGCGAGACATGTTTCCCAAGATATAGTCGAGGGATAGGGTGATACCGGGGCTTTATTGGTTTCTGCGTGCTGGGAGTCTTACGCTCTTCCTCTCGAGACATGGAAGTTTCCTTTGTTCCACCATAATCGTTCCCAGCTGGTGCTGATGTTCTGCTGCTGGTTGAGAAAGATCTGCGTCCAATCTCCTTCCTCCTTCTCTTTGCACGCCATTCCGGCGATGTGACGTCCTCGCCTCTTTCTGCCGCTTCGAACATATCCTTCAGACGTTCGGCGGGTGGCCCATTCGTCAAGGATCGCAAGACCTTCTTCGTCTCGATGATGCGCTCGGCTAGAACGAGTTGACGTCGGATCTCACAGTGCACTACTGCAGCACCGCAGAGACTGCCCACAGCACCAACGACGACAACAGCGGGAGGAGACAGAGCCAGCCGCCGCAGAGCTCGTAAGGCGTTCTTCGAGGGAACGATCGGGGATGGAGAGATCATGATCGTAACATCATTGACATTTGGAAAGGCTCAGCGAGCCCAACGGCCCAAATGTCAACGGGAGAAGATCCCAATACGACACCACATCTGCGAAATTTGCGGACTTATATAGGCTGGGGGTGGGTGGTTATGATCAAGTTGACAAACAAGACGAGTCCGACTGTCAATGGATGTGCCAGAAGGTCGCAGTTGGATGATCGATCTCCACCGACTAAAAAACCCAAGGTCGTGAACTTCTTACTTAAGCTCAGCCTCGTCACGCCACACATTGGCTACAATGAACGCGGGAGGATTTCTACCACGACTAGGTTTGCCGTCTGTGCTCGCGTAGCCTGGTTCTCACGAGCTATCACTGAGGGATGTTGGCGGATAGACAGCCACAAGGTCCCGGAGTCTGCTTCGAACTTTCATCTTATAAATAGTACGGAAAACTATGCAGTCTATCTCCAACAAGGGCGCTCAATATATGGTTAGAAATTGTGTCTGGTTGTTCTCATGACACCGAGATGAGCATTCCATCTTACTACATATGTACTGATGTAATGGATCAAAGTGATGGTCGTACACAAAAGCTCTGGCTTCAGCTCACGCATTTCACCCGTCGTGGCTGTCCTGCTCCTGATCAGCTTCAAAAACAGAATCCTCATGCAAGTATACTGTCTCAGGTTAGCAAACGGCTTCGAACATCTCGATCAAGTCAGGGAGAGACGTACCATTAGGCTTCAAAATCCAGCTCAATACAAACACCACAACAAAAACACCCGCAAGACATAGGAACACGATGCCAGCATATACACCCACTGTTTGGCGATAGATCAAGTTAAAGACTGTAGGGGCTACTACGCGAGCCAGCGCGTGCAGAAGTCCACTTGCACCCAAGACCTGCCCTGTCCGATCAGCAGGAATATGCTTTGTCAAAGCGGACTGTAGTGTCGGGCTTCCAATGCCACCAAGACTGGCGACCATACCTCCGACCACCATAACAGCGCCGCTCGGTGAGAGCGCGTATCCCAGATAGCCAATCAAGTCGAACAATATCGAACCGCGAATGATATTGATGTCGAGCATGTCTGCGCCCCTGTGACCTGAACTGCTGGCGCCTCCGAGGGAAGGGCCGCGGAAGATTCGCGTCAGAAGAGGGAGAAGGAGAACCAAACAAAGCACGCGGCAGACGTTCACCACGGAAAGGAACATTGATGAGTCCACAGCGGTCCAGCCAAAGCGGTACTCGGCGTATATGATGAGTATCTGCATCGTGCCCATTGCCACCCCAAACATCATCGTATCGATAGCCGCGAGCACCAAAAGATTCTTGCGCAACGCGGATGATGTTCCTTCCCCGGTAGGTCGGAGCACCCAGAGAGGTTTGAAGAGATTGTAGTTGCGAAGCTTCGTAACGAAGTCTTTCCTTGGAGTATTTGCGCGTTTGACTCGCCGCTTCTCCCTGGCAAGCATCTGCCGCTCTTTGGACAGGGACTCTGGGACGAAGAGAGTGATGAAAACAATGTAGAATACATGGCAGCCTAAGGCGACGTAGAAGACTACCATCACCGTGCCCGTCACCTTGATCAAGTACCCTGCCAGAATAGGCCCAAGAGCGATACCGGAGAATAGTGTGCCGTGGAAGTACCCAAAAGCGATATTCCGTCGCTCGGGAGGGGAGCAATCACTGGCGTACGCAAATGAGAGGGCCATGGCTGTGGTGAAGGATCCAGAAAGACCGTCAAGAAGGAATCCTGCCAGCATCCAGTACACGGAAATGCTGCCAGGATTTCTACCGATAATTATGGTAATAATTTCGGCCATGAAAGCACCTAATGATGCAAACACGATTATGCCTTTGCGGCCGTAACGATCCGATAGCGAGCCCAGGTGAGGCGATATTATGGCAGAAAATATGCCCGCGAGGAGGCTAGCCTCGAGGTTGAAGGTCGCAACACGAGCTTGAACCTCTGGGTCCCGGCATTGGGGGTTCTCATCACCTAGAACCACGGGAAGGAAGTGGAACGTTGGATCCCTGCGAGCCTGGTCGGAGAGGTAGTCTTGACAGATCAAATCCAGGACCAGATATGTCTTTGGAACGATGATTCCACCAAAGGCGATACAGAAAGGAAAGAAGGCCGGAAGGAGCCAGAATATCGAGGGTTTCTTGTACCATGGTAGCGCATGAGAGCCCTGCGCGCCGCTCCAGGGTTCATTGATGGCACGTTCGTAGCTTGTCCTCGCGCGGGAATAGGGTGTCTTTCGAGATGCATTGCGACGCCGACGCGGGCTCATCAAAGGACTATTCTCGTCCTCTCCTTCGGCGCTCTCGTCGTCTCCGTTGCGGAGGGGATATTGTGTCTCGACGACCAGATCAGGGGTATGGCTACCTGATAGGCCTGCCTCCTCTTGCGCCTCTTCGGCGAATACTTCTTCGGGATCCATCATACCGACGGGGAAGAGTCCCTGCGTCGCGGCTTATACTGAGATAGGACGCGGGTGAGGAGTGCGGAATGCGAGACACGGTATAGGTACTGGTTACCGCATCTGGGCGACCAAGAGATGGAAACAAGGATGGCAACTTGGATGTTCCCCGACAGCGCAGGCAGCACAATTGATAGATAAAGGGCGATGGGTATAGATAGCTCGTCTAGTCTTGACGTAATTGGTGTTTGTGTCTATAGAAAGATGGCATTGGGTGCACTGGGTACGGAGGGCTCGTACAATGGTGATTGTAGGGACGGCAGCCGGAGTAGATTCCGACGATACGAGTCCATCCACGTTCTCGGGGTTGGCTCAAGCATTAATTCCGGATAGCACACCAATGGAAAGCATTATGAGTGGTGCTCAGGGCCCGGGGTGGGCTGGGACGATTATAAAGCCTCCAGGCCCCTGGCAGGCCTGAGAATCAGGCCGAGCACCCAGCTAACTCAGGTACCTAACTAGGGGTAAAGCATCGCCCCGAAGATGCTCGTTCGCTCGCTTAGAATCCTTGTACAATACAGGCACCGCAGCCATCCATTCCACATGCTCCCCAGGTACGTGCAGTGAATCCTGTACCAGGCATTCTGGCGGCGGCTCAGGCAGGATCCAAAACGAACAGTCGCTTTCGCATTAGTACTCGTTGGGCATTCTACATAGGTATACATTGTTCTCCCCTCTACCTCACTGTGGGAAGTATTTTTGCTTGCTCTCCTGCGAAGAACTTCTTTTGCTCGAGGCACCTTTCGCTATTGCAACCTTGACATCTCAAGTGCATTTGTCGCGAAGAACTTTCGCCGCTCTTCAAGTGTTCGTGGGCAATGTCAGCCAAAGCTTTAATGAACACCGGGCTTCCATTCAGGCTTTCTGCTCGCTTCACACCTGGATGTCCCTTCGCGTCCTCCTCTATCACTTCCAGGTCCAGCTCGTACAAGGTTTCAATGTGGTCGCTTGTGAATGCAATGGGAACCAAGATCAGATCTGTATGGCCCCGAGCAACATAATGCTTGACGGTATCGCTCGTTTGCGCACCAAGCCAAGCAGACGGTCCAACTTGAGACTGCCAGCACAAACGATAGGGTTGAGAATGACCCAGTCTGTGCATGACGGCGTGGACGGTAGCTGCCACCTCAGCAGGGTAAGGGTCCCCTCTGTTGACCACGCTCATCGGTAAGCTGTGCGCTGAGAACAATATAACCACATCCTTTCTTCGCTCCTCAGGGTATTCAGCCAATTTGGCTTCAATGTTTTGGGCGAATGCTTCCACTAACCCGGAATGCGTCGGCCAGCGATCTATCACACTCCAGGTGATCGCCCCATCCGGATTCGCTTCGCCGGTAGCTCTTTTCCCTTCCAGCCTATTTCGCCATTTCCATAACTCGTTCAGAGAACTTCCTGTTGTAGAACAGGAGTATTGCGGGTATTGCGTGAATGCAACTGCCCGCCCGCCTCTGCCCTTCCCGAAGCCATCCTTGAAAAGCTGCTCATACATATGCTCGGTCAAGGGGTTCGCGTATCTGAAAGCGACGTAAGGCTTATGAGGCGCGGTCTGGGGAGACATCTTGTCCAGCAGCTTGCACATCTCCTCGCACTGAAGCTCCGACCATTTGCGGATGGGAGAGCCTCCACCGATAGCAGCATATTGTTTCTGTATCTTGGGTGTCCTCCGTCTTGATATAAGTGGTCCCAGGTACGACTGGAGGGGACCGAGCGGTATCAGGTCGCCGTCCGCAAACAACCTGCTCAGAAAGTCTCCAACTTCGTCCGTTGTCGATGGACCGCCCATATTCATGAAAACCATGGCTGTAGGGCCTCGCTTGCCCACTTCATCTTGTGTAACAGGAGGGGCAACAGTGGCCATGCATGACCTCTGGGAGGCGTTCGTAGCAAGTAAACCAGCTACTGGCCGAGCAACTATGCGAGTCGCCAGCGACCGGGTGAGGTGAGTGGCTGAATGGCGTATAGACATTGTAAGCGCGTGGATGATGAATGTGTCGCTGCTACCGGGCCATAAGTGTTAGATGAACTCGCCGACAGACACTGCAACAAAGAGAAAGGTGTAGAGGAAAACGCCGATCAGTCTGAGATGAAAAGTGTGAAGGGCGGGATTCTGGTTCGATGATGCGTTCGTTCCGCCACTCAGATTGAGTATAATACAAAGTAGCACCGAGGTCTCCGCAGCATCTAGATGCCAGATCACGTGTCGACGCGTCCTGCGGGCGTCAGACTTATGACTTCACGAACACGATCTGCCTGTTGCCGGCTCAGAGCATCGATAACGGACTTTCTGCCCTCCCCCTCATGGGCTTCTTGTCGGTGTTGCCACACTTCCATCATGGCTGATCTATCTTACCGATCCAAGGCAGAGGATGATGCGGCCAGAGAAGATGGAGAGGACGACGAAGAAGACGACATCGATGAAAGCGGGTACAAGACGGTCAAAGACGCCGTGCTCTTCGCCATCGAAGTCAGCGACTCCATGTTGAAGAAACCACCGTCCTCAGGATCAAAGAAATCAGACACCACTTCTCCTCTACTCGCAGCTCTCAAATGTGCATACCACCTAATGCAGCAACGCATTATCTCCACCCCTCGCGACTTGATGGGCATCTTGCTCTATGGCACCGAAGCAACCAAGTTCTACGACGAAGATGAGAACTCCGGGGGCGGGTGGTCCTTCCCGCACTGTTACCTCTTGATTGACTTGGATGTCCCCGAGGCTTCAGACGTGAAGGAATTGAAGGAGCTCACCGAAGCCGATTCTCCTGAATCCAACGACATCTTTCGACCCTCGAAGGAACCGGTGACCATGCACAATGTCCTCTTCTGTGCAAACCAAATCTTTCAACAGAAAGCAGCCAATTTCACCTCCAGGCGATTGTTCATTGTCACGGACAACGACGATCCCCATGCCGTAAACAAGGAGACACGAGCCCAAGCAACAGTCAGAGCCAAGGATTTGTACGATCTTGGAGTAATAATAGAATTATTCCCAATCTCTACCCCAGAGCACACCTTTGACACAAAGCACTTTTACGACGATATCATATATAAAGCGTCGCCATCAGATCCAGATGCCATTGCATACAATCCGTCTTCGATCGTCGACTCGAATGAGTCGAGGCTAGCAGCAGGCTCGAATGATGGCATATCGCTACTACAATCTCTTCTGACCAATATTGCCTCAAAGGTTACGCCCAAAAGAGCACTCTTCTCGTCAGTTCCACTTGAGATCGGTCCAGGTCTTGAAATATCGGTAAAGGGGTATCTACTCTACAAGCACCAGAAGCCGGCCAGAAGTAGTTACATCTATTTGGGTTCCGAGCGACCACAAATAGTGACAGGGAGTACTGAACAAGTCGCTGAGGACACTCGTCAAATCCAGAAGGCCGAAATTCGAAAAGCCTACACCTTTGGTGGTGAACAGATTACGTTCAAGCTCGAAGAGGCTCAAAAACTCCGAGATTTCGGGAAGCCTGTGATCAGGATAATCGGATTCAAGCCCATGGCGCGATTACCACTGTGGGCTAACCTCAAAAACTCATCGTTCCTCTACCCGTCAGAGGAGCATGTTGTTGGCAGCACTCGTGTGTACAGTGCTTTGTACCAGAAATTGTCAAGAGACAAACTCTTCGGACTGACTTGGTTCATACCACGAAAGAATGCCACTCCGGTCATGGCGGCCATGGTTCCTACATTATCTGCAGAGCCTACAGATGGCAGATCCAATGCGGCAGGGGTCTCGCCCACAGGAGCACCTCAAGGTCTCCATTTGATACCATTACCTTTTGCAGATGATATCCGGCCCAACCCTCCAACAACCCGACAAGAACCTCTACATGCTCCAGATGACCTTGTGGATGCCATGCGGCCAATAATTCGTTAGTGATGATCCTGTATGATGGGACAAACCCAAGCTAACTCCGCGATCTAGAACAACTCAACCTCCCGAAAGGTATATACGATCCCTCCAAGTACCCGAACCCGAGTCTTCAATGGCATTATCGTATTCTTCAGGCGCTGGCTCTCGACGATGAAATTCCAGAGAAGCCTGAGGATAAGACAATTCCGAAATACCGGCAGATCGACAAGCGTGTGGGCAATGAAACCATAGAATGGGGCAAAACACTCGAAAGAGTCTTCAAAGAATTCCACATAGACCACCCAGACGCGATTCCTACTGGTTCGAAACGTTACACAAACGGCCATGGATCATCTGCTTCAGGGTCGGCAGCTAAGAAGGCTAAGACCGAAGGGGGAGACGGCATAAGCGAGGATGAAGTGAGAAGTCTATGGCAAAAGGGCAAGTTGTCGAGTTTGACTGTGGCTCAAATCAAGGATTTCTGCGGAGCGAAGAAGCTTTCTGTGGCTGGAAAGAAGGCAGATCTCGTTGATCGACTCGAGCAATGGTTGGAGAGCAAGTGAGCGGTAGGAAATTGTATGATTATGCTGCGAGATACCCACGATATGTACTTTACTGGCAAAGGAAAATAAATTTGGTGGGACTGTATGGTCAATCATTGCAATCCCAGTCATGTCCAAATGGACGCGACTGACACTGCACCCAAGATCGGCCACATTGGTTGTTCTCCGTTCCAATAGACGAATTCTGTACATCATGGGTAACCATTAGGTGACCTCGTAAGAAGTGCTTTTAGATTGGACGTGGATTTGCGTTGTTCAATTTATGTGGAAAAGAAAAAAGTTGCGAGAGAAATCGAGTGTTCAGTTTAAATTTATTTTGGCAGCTTGAAATGACAGACCACGTGACCTCGAGCCCCAAGCCCGCAGGCTAGCCTGATAAGGCTAGAGTTGGATGCTGCTGTGACGTCGTCCACACCTCGCTTCGACGGTCGGTTTCGCATGCTTAACCGTCTTTGCTGCAGAGAAGCATGTGCATGCCCATTGACAGAGACCAACCCTGCGGTCTGTGGCTCACAAAACCTCAAATCTACATCGACCATGGCCTTTGACGTCCAGAATGCTTGAAACTCGCTACCACAGTAGTGTCAACCGTGCCAACTTCCGCTTTACATCATGGCGAGGGTCCCCTTTATCGGCAGACTCTACTTGTACGTATTCCCATCTCACCACGTGCCACTAAATTGCTCCTCGTGCTAACTTTGGCGTGAAGAAGAGAATACCTGGCACTGGTTGGATCCTTGATCTTGGTGGCTCTGGAGGTCCTTGTTCGAATAATCACCCTCGGGTTACGTGAGTGCTGCGAGAGAACGTTTGGCCGTGGTCAAGCACTGAACTGACAACGATCTAGCTCAACCTATAATCCGCTTCTGTTACAAGACCTCAAAGAAACTATTTAACAAATTGTCTTCGGCCAAGTCGAAACAAGCTCGGTCCGATCGAACATCGAGGCACCACCACATCGCTACCTGCGCTGACTTTACCGAACTCTGTGCCCTTTTTGGATACTATGCGGAAGAACATGTTGTGCAAACGGCAGATGGATACCTCCTGGGTGTACACCGATTGCCGTTTCGGAAAGGCGAGGACCAGATTGGCCTTGCGGTGAACGCAGGCCCTGATTCCGTGCGCAAGCCGGTGGTTTATTTACACCATGGCCTGCTCATGAACAGTGAAGTCTGGGTTTGTCTGACGGAAGAAGAACGGTGCCTCCCATTCACTCTCGCGAGTCAGGGCTATGATGTCTGGCTGGGGAATAATCGTGGAAATAAGTACAGCAAAAAGTCTACACAATTCTCGTCGACATCAGCGAAGTTTTGGGATTTCTCGATTGAAGAGTTTGCCTTCCACGATATTCCCAACACAATTGACTACATTCTTAGTACGACATCTCAATCGTCCCTTTCTTATATCGGCTTCAGCCAGGGAACCGCACAAGCCTTCGCCACCCTCTCGATCCATCCTGGCCTGAATGACAAAGTCAATGTCTTCATTGCTCTAGCACCGGCAATGTCTCCAGCAGGCCTCAGCAACGGTATCGTGGATTCTCTGGTCAAGGCTAGTCCTGACGTCCTCTTCCTGGCATTCGGCCGCAAGTCTATTCTATCCTCGGCTACGATGTGGCAATCTATCTTGTATCCCCCCATCTTTGTGCGTTTGATTGACATGTCTCTTTCTTTCCTCTTCGCCTGGTATGGACGCAACATTACTGTGCAACAGAAGCTAGCAGCGTATCCTCATTTATACAGCTTCACCAGCACCAAATCAGTCGTACACTGGTTTCAGATCATTAGGAACAAGTCTTTCCAGATGTACGACGATGACGCATCCAACAAATTCTCCATCGGCGCAAGCAATCGATATTACAAAGTAGCCAAATTTCCCACTCGAAACATCAAAACACCAATCGTCCTCGTTTATGGAGGTAGCGACTCATTGGTGGACATTCGCGTCATGCTGAAGGAACTTCCTCGACATACTATAGCGACGGAGATTCCTCATTACGAGCATCTAGATTTCCTCTGGGCACAAGACCTTCATAATCTCGTGTTCCCTCATGTGCTCGAATCACTGCGGTATTATGCGTTGGGGCGCAACCCGGCCGGTGTACCCAAGGGGCTAGCTATCTCAATAGCAGATACCGCACATCTCCACAGACGACAAAACAGCGGAAGCACCTGGTCAGAGGATGAAAGCTCATACTCAGACTTTGATGGTATGGGTGATACACCACGAACGCCACGAGTCAAATCCTACGCACAGCACTTGCGTGAACAACCGTATCGGCCGCAGAACCCACCGGCGGATCTAACGCAGAGAACACCACGTGCTACTCATCTTCGCGACGCGACAAATGGTGACGACACTGCCGGCCTCCGCGCAAGGGAGTTGATGCGCTGGTACGAGCAGAACTACGAAATCGCTAAGGACGATGCGCAAGCAATGAAAGAGAACAGGGCGGATGCGCTGGGGAGATCAGAGGGCCCAGGTCCCACACTCGCACTTTCGACTTCGCGATCACCGGGCATGAGTGGGCATGGTGATCCGACAGAAAGGAACACGAGCATAAAAGTGTCGGGTTCGCCCTTATCGGCGACGGCACCAGAACAAAATCAGACTCTACAATCAAACATGGAATCGCAGACATACACCCAAGGTCCACAAGATGCAGCAAATGATGAGAATGGTGCACCTCAAGCAGGTGGTGCGAAGCCACAACAACCACAACACCCACAGGTCACGTCACGTGCCGCATCAATCTCCGGGTCAGGCAGGTCTAGTCCCACGAGTAGTATCCAACCCAGTTTCACAACGAAGGGAATCAAGGTCGGAAGTTCGAAACCTAGCATTGGACAAGCCAGGGGTGTTGGGGCAGACTAATAGACACCTTTCCTAGTAGAGTTTCTGAGTTTCATGGACAAGGAAAGGTGCGCGGAAATGGGGAAGATATCAAAAAAAGGAATCGAGTTTGGGTGAGGTTTGCGGTAGTATATGATGATTTAGTTCCAGGTATTTAGTCAAAGCAAAACCAAGTGTGTCTGCGAGCATTACATTGATGTATCTCTGAAGTTGTCTTTTTTTCACATCTATTTAGATCCCATTTGCTGTTCCTTGTCGTATTCTCTTTCGATGAAGGGATGGTCAGTTATCTAGGTACCTGCCTGGGGTAGAGTTCGCGTTTGGTGCCCCCGTATATTGGTAGATGCCCTACCTCCCCCTTGCAGGCAGTGGGTGCCAGAGTAGAAAGAGAAACGCACGCGCCCCGTATCCGAGGTCAGTCAGCAGCTGGTGTGTACCACTCATACTCCGCAGGTTACGTACGGAGTACATGACATTTTAAAATGGCAATGTTTTTTATCTACCCGAGTTAATTAGAACGGTCAAGATTGAATGGTCCACCAACCGAGACTCGAGACCTTTCGAGTGGGTGTTCCAGAGTCTCTCTACGGAGAAGTACACTCTCTTCCAAGATGAACTCGTTTCTCTCTTTCATTCTTGTCTCTCTTTCGATCCTTCCCGTCAAGTCATTCATTCATTCATTCAAAAAAGAAGGAAAAAGAGGGAGATCCACAGGCACCGCGGGGCGGGGGTATATATACATAGATCGAAACGGGGGGGGGAAGGAAAGAAAGCCTCCTCTCTCGTGTTTATATTCCATAGATGACCCAGGGCAGGCCCGAGTCTCCACCGCGGCATATACGGAGTACACGCAAGCAAGTCGAAATCCAGAAACCCGGCGGCACACACCACCACACACAGGTTTTGCTTATGTCCTTTTTGTAACCCAAAACTCCATTTTCCCGGGTGCGGGCGCAAAGTACCGGGGAAAAGAAAAAACCGACCAATGCTATATTGTACACTCCAATGTAAGTGCAAACACCCCAAAAAGACCAAAAGCCTATCGCGCCGTGCAGTATCCCCTCAGACTCAGGATGCTTCCAACTCCCGTACGTATATCCAATCCAATGCTCATGGAAGCGCCAAGTGGTGAATCGCGCTCATGCGTCGTTTTCGCTCAAACAAGAAACAAAATCCGTCAGTCTTAAAGTTTCGTAATTCATAATCCCGACATGACACACACAGAGAGAGATGCAGAGAGCCGGCAGGGAGATCCGAAAACTAGGAAACACAGTGTCAAGTCTAGTCGGTGTATTCTTTCGTGACAAATCAAATCGTCAAACTCCTCATTCATTACACAACAAGAGCGAGTCCAGCGACAGCCACAAAGGTGGCAATGATGGCGGCGAATGGCACACTCTTGAGTCCTGACGAAGCGGCGGCATTGTCCACGGATCCCGCCGTGACCGTCGAGGTCGCCCCGCCGATCATGGCTCCAGACTGATCCGAAGAAACGACCGAGGTGACTGGATTCGCCACCTTCGTGGCGTTGGGTACGCCGTCGGTGCCACTGGCGATCTCCTTGATGTTGTCGGTGGTCGAGTTGAAGACCGTCTGGGCAAGCGAGATCTCGTTGTTGGCAAGGTCGTAGACAACGTATGCGGACCGGAGGAACGTATCGCCCAGGACCGGGGTGCTACCTTGAGCGGGGGCGATGCCAAACACGCAAGCTACCTCGCCATTGTCGAATCTCAGAGGCTGCCCGGTCGAGTCTGTGCCGGCGTCGAGAAGGAGCTCGTTGTACGGCACTTTGATCGTCTGGCCGGAAAACACATAGTCTACCGTCTTGGTGTCGGACGTGATGTTGCATTCGACGTACGCGGCGCCCAGGCTCTGCGAGTACACGGCGCCGACTTCGTCGTAGATACTCGTCACGATGTCGTTGGGGAGATAGGTCAGAGTTGAGCCAGAGTCGAGGAGGACAGCGGCAGGGAGGGAGCTGGAAGAGGACAGGTCGGTGCCAGCGTTCGAAAGACCCGACAAGGCAATCAACAATTCATAGTAGCCTCCGTAGCTCTTAAGGATGGGGACGGTGGCCAGTTCTCCCTCGTACTTGTCTGTGTTGACACCGCCAAAGAGAATCTCGCCTTGCGACGAGTCGAGGTCGTTCAGCCACAAACTGTATGCGTTTGAGGCAATCAACCCGCCATTGACCAGCGCTTCGGGCAGGTTGGGGTATGGGTCGAGCCCGGCACGGTTGACGATCACCTCGTTCGCCGGGTAGCCGATTCCCAGCACGCCCTGTTCTGAGGTTGAGACCTCGCCGATGCCGAACTGGAAGTCGGTGAGGGCAACGCCGCCGAAGTTCAACGTGTCCGTGACGTAGTCACCGCTGGCTCCGGACCCGTCGACGTAGGAGATGTTGAAGAAGTTGTTGACGAATTTGTAGGTTGACGAGGACGAGGGGTCGTATGTTCCACCTTCGCATTGATCTCGGGCGGAAGAGCAAAAGCTGGAATTGGCCGTGTTCACCCAAAGATCAGAGCTCCCCGTGTCGATGTGCAGTCGCAACGATTGTTGGGGCGTTCCAAGGGTGAGGTTGGCGTAGTAGAGGCTTTCCTCGTTGTCCAAGTCCTGTAGCACGGTCCCTGATCTCCTCCTCAACCGGGCGCGATCATGAGCAACTGGATCTGAAACATGTCTTCTGTGAATCGATAGACCGACGACTCTAGGATTCGAAGATCGAGCAGCGATGGCGAGGCTCGAGGCAAGAGGTGCTGTCAGCGCCGCAAGGGCCACGACGGCTGTGGAGTGCCTCATAGCAAGCAAAGCAGTGTGTTTTTGTGCTTGTCAATTGCGAGACGCAAGGATAGGTCCGTTTTGAAAGCAGCAAATGAATGTTTAGAGGGCGAGCCTGTAGGGATAATGAGGATGGGAATGAACGCAGCAACCAACTGAGGATGTTCAGGAAAACAACGGGTTCACCTTAGACTTGTTCTTCTAGTAATAGGACGCAGTGGCGTCGGTACTGCGGCTATCAGCGAAGAGGGCACAAAGCACTTCGTCAGCAGCGTCGACATCATGGGCCCATCCGCGCGATATAGGGAATCATTTCGAGGTGGAATTGGCAGTGGCATGGCGCAGCAGGGACAAGACGGCGGCAGGGCAGACGTAAGAGTGTCGCAAAAGGTCGGCGAGGCGGGCGTCAGAGGTGGGTTGGTGAAGCCAAGCATCCGAAGCCACACCCGTACAAGTGCCGCCGGGCTGCGAGGCTTAGTGCGCGAGGCCCCTACGAGGGAAGCCTAATGAGCCCTAATTAGCCCAGATCGGCCTCTCACTGCCGCCCAGCCACCCCTGTAACGCCCAGCAACAGTTGGGAGCGGTTCACCTGGCAAAATAAGTTAAGGGATGCACCTCCGTATAGAGTCAACACTGTGGTTTGTATCAGCATCTCTGGGCACTTCCACCGACTGTTTCAGAACCGCAGGGCGCCAAGGACAAGGGCGGCCGACTCGTATTCTGGGGGCTGGCGCGGCGGCTGCTAGGAAGAAGCCGAAAACCATTCAACCCCAGCAGCGAGGGAGGCTGACGAGGCCAGCGGGATTGCCAGGTTACGGAATCCGGATTTCTATATTTTTAGTAAGGACCCTAGTAAGGACCCAAATCCCTGGCCCCCGACCGTCCCCAGCCTCATGAGCTTCACCATCACGGAAGATGACACGCCTGGCTGCCGAGGCCGGACATGCTGAAACACCGTCGTCTATCGACGCTGACCTTGGCCATGTCTTTTCTTCGCATTCAAGAGCCCTGCGAGCACAGATGCAGAGGACTGGTACCGCTCAGTATTCGCACCTGATAGAGGATTCGTGGTCTCGTCGTCGGCCGCGTAATGCGTTTCGCAATCCGCGCGGACTCCATGATGAATGATTTAAGCCTAGTAACGTTAGTAGCTTGGCAGTGACGCAGTAAGTTATACAAAGGACTCGTAGGAGCACGAACTAAGTCAGGTAGTTAGATCTACTTAGATACAGTATGTTCTTAATAATCAGGATAAGAAATTTACACCATGGAGACGGGAGCATTGAATCAATGATAAACCCATGTCACAGTACTCCACACGGCTCAACACAATCATTGACCATGTATTCCATAGACCATACATGATTGGTAACCCCAGAGTCGGACCAACGTCTGGAGTGCTCTGGCTCTCTTACTAGTCACGTTGAGTCTTTGATTCTTGAACGGCGAGGGGGGTGCAGGCCATGTTTTGACAGAAACCTAAACTTCGGTCCACAAGAGTCACTCTAAGTTAGCTCTCGATCGTTCTCTGAGCAGTGGCATATCACATAAATGAAGGTTCAAATGTTCACACTGGAATGACTTGTTTTCTCTTATTCCAAGCTCCTGACAGACACGGAGTGGCGGTACAACCCCTACATCCATTCCCTCTTAATGGCATTCTCTATTTCAACAAGATACCTTGCCTCCCCCCTATCGTGGCCTCAAGCATGGCCGTCAAACCTCGGACATCTGACGGAGAAATCTACAAGGGCGCCCCCAGTCGCGATTGAAGAGGCCGAGAAGGTCATGAAACCACATCGCCACGGGCGACAACTCCGGCGAGATTGAAAAGGACCTCGACTTCAAGGATCTAGGTACAACACATGTATCTCGATCCTGTGCGTGAGGCACCTGTTCCTGCAGGTCAAGACCGACATACTGCTGTCGTCGAGCAGTACAGACATGAGGAATCCTACACTTGGCTCAGAGGGAATCCGGAACCGCTAAAAGTACGTCTGAAAAATGGCCATCCCGCTCCTTAATCTTGCTCACATGCTGCAAGCTTGCTGAACTTCGACAACACTTTGTGAGACGATAGCGCGTCCACTGACATTTTCCAGAGCGGTCCACGAGTCCATTCTCCCGGTCATACTCGTTCGCAGACATTAATAGCCCTTCTCCTTGCCGTCGCCCTAGCTTGCTACCAACTCGCATCGAGAGGCAGGGCTCCATCCGGGAAGATCGGCGAGCATCTGAGGGTGCTCTTGGTTGAACTAATCGTGATAGTCTTGAACTCCGAGGTCGGCACCATTCCTCTGCTTAAAGCAATTCGGGTGCCTATGGGAGGTTCCGTCCATGGTCTTCACGCCTAGGATTAAACTCTGAGTTCCGGGAATTCGCGGGTTCAACCCCAGGATATTCCCAAGGTCCACGAGTAGTGGAACCGAGCACCGGATTTCAGACGGTCGAGTCTCGAACACAGTCGGGATGACAGTTAAGCGTGAAAGACGCAGCTTCTTTCGAACGAGCGAGAACAGAACCCTCGATCCTTTCTTTGCAATCTCTGTACACAGTGCCACTCACTCATCCACCTAAGATGGTTCCGGAAACAAAACAAGTCCCTTCCTTCGAACAACTTCCGCTGAGGAAAGGAGGTCCCCCATATTCAGCCTGGGGACTCTGGGAAAACCCAGAGCTCGGTGCTCTGAACTACTTGTCCGATGCCAATACTCTCCGGGCCGCCAAATAAGAGATCCAGACTGGCGTTCGTATCGGCTTGAAGTAGGCTCCCAGTCTGGCTGATGTAAAAGCCCCCCCGGCTGAGTTCTGGTCAGTTTGCCGCTAGATCTTATAGATCCCCCTCTATTTGGACGTAGAGGATTTGAGCGCCACATATTGGGCGGGGCTCCGGGAACAACTAATGATGATATGGTGGTACAGAATACACAGAGATACCAAAGAAGTGAAGCGCCCGTGGACCGGGAATTTGGCATGCTGCATCCGATTCTGCTCTCAGGCTGGGGCACAACGATCGGTGAGCTGTTCGACCTGGAAGCTCTGGCGAAGGAATGCCAGGAGCAAGGACGGTGGACCTTCTTTTTGACCTCGTCGCCGTTGAACTACACAGGGGCAGTGGCCTCGCCTCCCAATACCATGGCCATCATGTAGCGTGGGGTACTGTCATACTTGTTCATCCGACCTCAGCTCGGATTGATCACTATCCAAGGCCCTTGGGCGAGTATGGATGTGAATCCTTCGATGGTGAATGGTGTCTGCACTATATTTTGAGCATGACACCACCAAATACCAGGCTCTGACAATCTCCAGACTCATGAGCTTCACCACCAAGGGTGATGATGATTATGATGGATATGCTGAAAAACCTTGTCTTCTTTTGACGCTGACCTTCGACCGTGTCCTTCTGGCCTTGTGACGTACTTCCGCATTCAAGACACCTTGAGGACCTACGGAGGACGAGAAGAGAGACAGAGTACTGCACAGTATTCGCATGCCCCGAGGATTCGTGGTCTCTCGTCGTCGTCACCGCCCACCACCAGGCGTTGCCGCGTAATGCTTTTCGCAACCCGAGAGGCGATGAGTACGAGTACCCTTCTTACCCACAAGGCACGAACTGTATCTAGACCGGCAGGATGATGTGTTATCAGCATCGGAGGCTTCGTCTTATCCTTTTCGAGCCACACTTGGCCTCAACCGCGTCAGCCAAACACTGTATTCACCAGGCTTGATAGTAGCTCGGCGGTGACGCAAGCTTTCATGATAGGTTTAACTAAACTATACACGTAGAATTCAAGAGGAGTACGGATATGGATACCAGTAGATTTATCAGATCTGACGCGAGCCAAAGATATTATTTCTTTTGTGATTATCTAAACTCGAGTGTCGTATCGTCGACGATCAATGAGAACCGCCATTCGTGTAGCCATTCTGCACTCCGTTGCTCTTGGCCAAAACGACACGGGACAACTGTGCGGCACCGACGGCAGCGTGGATCTCTTCCTCGGCGCCCTTCTCCAGCGGCAACAGCGGTGACCGCACAGTGGCATGGCTCAGGATACCTCGGGCCACAAGAGCGTGCTTCAGTGCCACGGTGCCCTCCATGTGTGATCCCCGATGGTACACGGCCTTGGTGACGGGCAGGAGTTTGTCGTGGACGGCGCGAGCGCGCACGTAGTCCTTGGCCTTGCCGGCGTCGATGAGCTCGATCAGGGCCTCGGGCGCGATGTTGCCGTACCCGACGAGGAACCCGTCGACGTCGAACGCCGTGTGCAAAAGGTACTCGTCGTGGCAAGTCAGGATCTGCAGGTCCGGCCTCTGCTTGCGGATCACGGGGATCTCGGTGTCCCAGCGCCGCATGTTGCGTACGCCGTTCTTCATGGCGAAGACGCCCGGCAGCGCGCTGATGTCGAGCATCGTCTGCAGGTTGTACGTCGCCTTGGTGACGTCCGGGTACTGGAACAGGATGAGCGGGAGCTTGCTGACTTCGTACACCACCCTGTAACGGTCCTGCGGCGCCCCGGGCTGGTACCCGAACCGCAGCCAGCCGTGCGACGGGTACAAGAGACCGGCCGACGCGCCAGCCTCCCTGGCCCGTTTCGCCTCGTACGCCGCGACCTCGGTGCCCTCCCCCGTGATGCCGGCGATGATGGGAATCTTGTTGTCGACGCTGCGCACGAACTCCTTGATCACGCTGACTTGCTCGTCCTGCGTGAGGAACGTGCCTTCTCCCGCGTGCCCGAGGACCACGAGACCCTTGACCCCGTCGATGCTGCCGAGCCACGATCCGAGACGGTGGATCGCCTCATAGTCGACCTGGCCGTCGAGCGTGAACGGTGTCACGGGAGCGGGGGTCAGGCCTCGTAGATCGAGCATGTTGAGAGGACTCAAGACTAGGGATTGTCTGTGTGTGTATGTTTGTGTATGTATGTGTGTGGTTTTGGCCCTTGCGACGTTGCTTGGAATTGTTCAAGTCTTGTCGTTCTGATGATACACGAAGATATTGGCTCTTCCTGGATGCAATTCATCTTGTAGTTATATCCCGATACACCCTTGAGCAGATGAGACTCACAAACGTCCTCCGGTGGATCCTATGACCCCGTGTTCTGGTCGTAGACTGTGGAAAAATGGTGGTGAACCGGACAAATGATAGTGCGACATGATCTGGAGTTTCGATTGTCCGGCGTGTGGAGACACCTTCGCCCCCCTGTCGACCCCGGACCCCAGCCGGACTTTTGTTTGTGCGAGAAGAATCTTCAGACTGTGGGATTCCCTACCTTTCTGAACGAGGCACGATCGATTCGGACCAAGATCCGGGGTGCTCTCGCTCTCTTACTAGTCATGTTGAACCTTGATTCCTCCACGGGGATGGGGCTCGTGGCCACGTTTTGACGGAGAAATCCAAACCTCTGGAGAAATCTAAGCTTCTGTTTAATGGAATCGCTCTGGCTCTCGATCGTCCTCTTAGCAGTGGTATATCATTATATATGAAGGCACAAATGCTCACACATGGCAGCTTCTAGCCACAAGCAAAGTCTCGCTCGCTTTCCACAACCGCAAAAGACTTGTGTTTTCTTCTCCCAACGTTCCATGACAGATACGGAGTGGCAGTACAGTCCCTAGACCCAGGCCGGTCTTGTCGATACTTTTACAGATCAACAAGACACTGTCGATACTAATCGTGGTGTCAAGCATGGCTGCCAAACCCCCAACATCCGACGGAGAAATCTGCAAGGGCGCTCCAGTCGAGATTGAAGATGCCGAGAAGGTCATGAAGCCCTCTCGCGGTGCAGAGGGTGACTACTCTGGCGCTGTTGCGAAGCACGACCCAGTCGAGATTGCGCTCGTTCGCAAGATGGACTGGCGAATCATGCCGACACTCTGGGCCATGTACTTTCTGTAAGTTTTCCCCCTCCAGGTCTCTCTCTCTCTCTCTCTCTCTCTCTCTCGGGACCCCAGGGGTCTTCTCCTCCATGGTGTGGAGATTTCCAGTCAATTTTGCGGTCAAGAAGAAAAAAACGCTGACCGACGGGGACAACAACAAACGCAGAAACAAACTCGACCAAAATGCCATTGCCAACGCTCGGCTCAACCACTTCGAAAAGGACCTCGGCCTCAAGGGGTCCGAGTACAACACGTGCATCTCGATCCTCTACGTGGGGTACCTGTTCATGCAGGTCCCGTCCAACATGCTGCTGTCGTCGCGGCGGGTCCGGCCGTCGCTGTACCTGGGGGCATGCACCATGGCGTGGGCGGTGGCGGCGGCGCTCACGGCGTGCGTCCACGACTACACCGGCCTGGTGCTGGCGCGCTTCTTCCTCGGGGTGGTCGAGGCGCCCTTCTACCCGGGCGCGCTGTTCGTGCTGTCCCTCTTCTACACGCGCAAGGAGATCGCGACGCGCATCTCGATCCTGTACGCGGGCAACATCTTCGCCACGGCGTTCGCGGGCCTGATCGCCGCCGCCGTCTTCACGACCCTGGACCGCCGCCACGGCCTGCACGGGTGGCAGTGGCTGTTCATCATCGAGGGCGCCGTGACGTTCGGCGTCGGCGCCGTCGCCATCTGGCTGCTTCCCGACTTCCCGCTCACGACGCGCTGGCTGACGCCGTCGGAACGGCAGCTCGCCCACGCCCGCGTCGAGCGCGACACCGTCGGCCTCTCGTCCGCTGGCGACAAGGGAGGCCTGCGCGAGGGCTTCGCCCAGGCCGTCCGCGACCCGCGCCTGTACCTGTTCTGCCTCATGCAAAACATGCACCTGTCCGCGACGTCGTTCAACCAGTTCTTCCCGACCGTCGTGTCGGCGCTGGGCTTCGACTCGACCGTCACCCTGGTCCTGTGCACGCCGCCGTCGCTGGTCGCGGGCTGCGTGGGCGTCCTCGCGGGCCTGTCGAGCGGCAGGTTCAACGAGCGGACGTGGCACGTCACGCTGATGATGGGCACCGCCATCGCCGGCTTCGTCGTCTCGGCCGTCACGCTCAACCTGCCCGCCCGCTACGTCGCGTGCTTCATGTTCGCCTCGGGCTGCTACGCCGTCAACTCGATCATCCTCGGCTGGATCAGCTCCACCCTCGCGCAGACCCCCGAGAAAAAGGCCGTCTCGCTTTCCATCGTCAACGTCGTTTCCATGGCGAGCTTCATCTACACCCCGTACCTGTACCCCAAGAGCGACGGGCCCAAGTACGTCACCGCAATGGCCAGCAATGCCTGCTTCGCATTCGTCAGCGTCCTCGCCGCCTGGGCCATGAAGTTTTGGCTCAAGCGCACCAATTCTCGTTTGCGAAGAGACAACCCAGACGAGAATGTCGTTTACGCTTACTAGCGTCCACCTCGGACACCGTGCTTCAAACCGCCTTGTTCCAAGCTGACCATCTCCCATTGACCAAGTCTGGTCCCACACATGCAACACGGCCCACGAAGTCTGGGTTGAATGGCCTTGGGCCGCGGTAGATCAGAGGGAAAAGTGCGTGAAAATGATCAAACTTTGCAATTGGATTCCGGGAACAGCCATGCATGGTAAAGCAATTGACATTTGGTCTACAATTAAGATTACATTCAGATCAATTATGAATTAACTGATCATTCTTGCCCATCATAGACAGACAAACGCTGTGAAATTTCGGAGCTCCTGTTCATGGGTCATGTCATACTGATGTTTCATCTCCCCAAGCCTCGTAATCCATATCAAATCCCATCAGTTGATCATCCCCCAGCCAGAACGGAATGTCACTGCCATCAAAGAGATCTGTTGTGCTATAATCTCGCATACCACCAAATGTGGCGTCGACACCGGGATTATGAATATACGTACCCGCCTGGTGCCCGTGACTGTAACCAGCGCTGAAATAGGCATTGCTCGAACTGCCAATCTGAGCCGAGGCGACAAAGTTGGGCCCAGCGGTAGGTATGGCTACTGCCCTCTGGTTCGATCTGGCGTTTTGTTGTTGGTTAGACCGGCTCAATGTAGCTGTATGCCACGTTGAGTCTGGTATCGGAAAGACTACGTTCTGTGACTGGCGTTGTTGCGTCTGTGTGGACGTGTCTACCGCTTCAGTATTGCTCGGCCATGATTGATGGACGCTTTCTTCGGTCGCTCTTCTCGTTGACTGACTTCTGACTTGATGGGTATCGCCAGGGCGGTGATCGTCACCATCGTGCGAAGCACTGAGCTCGGCAGCCATCCGTTTACGCTTCAGAGGTTGTTCAGTCCGTGCTCTTCCGCTTTCGTTAAAATCAACAGTGCCTGAATCTTTCTTCAGTTCCTTCTTGAGACCTCTGATCGCCACCAAGCAGGCGTCTGGCCAACTACTTCCGCGTTGGGACAAATGTTTCAAGACCACGGCAGAGCGATCAACGAAGTGGAGGGCGACATCCTTTGAGACTTGACCTTCATTTGCTGCAAAGACCATGATAAAAGCGCTCATCCATACTGCCCAAGTAAAAGAAGGCCAGAACAACAACGGAGGAGAGGCTTCGAGCGCACCGAAAAGTGTGTTGATGACGCCACGGGCAGCTCCAATACAGTTCTGAAGGGCCGCATTGTACGCGGAACTGGAGTTGGAAGATCCCAAAACTGACCGGTTCAAAGCGATGACAGATTCATGCTTAAGGGCCACTAAGATTGTACGAGTCGACTTACCTGGCGGGGTTTTATTGGGGATGGTTGGGTCCAGATACTCTTCAACGTCGTTCCACCATTTGGTGATCGAAGTATTAATGATGACAGTAGCCTGCTCCAATGACCCAGGTTTTCTTGGGTTGGCACTGTTGCGGAGGTCCATGATGGAACCTCTTATCTCAGCGTTGCGCGCAAGGAGGACCAGAAAGTCAAGACGAGTGTCACGATGGTCGCCAGAGCCACCGTCGTTCGCATGTCGATGCCTCTCATACCCTGGAAGGCACACGTCGACGTGGTCATCATTGATAGTAAGTGGAATCCCCAAACGAGGACAAATCTGACGATCTAGTAGATACAAAGACCAGAAAACCCGCTGCCGCATTCCAGAATCGTCGAAAGTGACGCCGTGGGATTGTACTGGGCAGCGCTGGAGCCCCAAGTGGTAGGCAATCCGTACAGCTAGGCCTCCAACGCGACTGGCGGCGTTGTAGCGCAGCATGCTGACCAGGAACAGCTGCACGCTCATTATCGCTTGCAGGACAAGTAAGGAACCCTCCTGCAAAAGGGTCTGTGAAACTGCTGCAACCGCATCGTTGTACGTCGAGAAGACCAATGACGCTGCCGGTGGAGGGGACATGGCAGTAGAGGTCTGGCGGTCGTCAAGGATCGATATGGAGATCATGGCGCGGAGAATAATAAGTCGAAGATCGTCATTTGCTCCTGCTGTTAAACTCCCAGCAACCGAGATCCGTCTGAAGTAGTCTAGTATGGCAGGAGCATTGACGAAGGGATATGCAGGATGCCAGCTGTCAAAGTAGTTTTGTGTCCACCGAATAAGATCGTCGAAGGCAAAAGAAGGATTAGGAAGGGACCCAGCAGCCTCGAGCTCATTTTGCCGCCAGAGATATTTCGTATCTGCTCGAGTAGATCCCAAGACCCGCTGGCCATTCTCATCATCGTCATCGTCATCGTCATCGTCGCCAGGGACTCTGTCTGACTCTGGTGTCTGAATGGGGAGCTTACTCTGGCGTGTCCAACGTGTTGGCTTATCCAGGGCGGAGTAGACGTTGCGCATGAAAAGTTTGCTGCTACGGTTACCGTTGGAAGAGACCAGTCCCATCGTCTGAGTCGAAGCTTGATCTCGTTCAGTGCCGATCTCGCGTAATTGATGGCCCATGGTTTGCAGCATCATCTGCCTCCGTTTAGTCGGCGGCTCCGGTGCTTGTTCGGCATTGAAGTCGTGTGCCGCGAGGTTGGTGCCAGTTCCGTCGCCATCCCCGTCTTCGACCCCGTACTGTTCCCGGACGTGCAGCGTACCGTGCGGCGAACTGTGGGGAGGCGAGGTAAACGTCGCCATCACATCTTCCTAGGTGAATGGAACGTCACAGAAGTGCTGCTGAATGATTGCGTGGTCGTATAATGGTTCTGTGCCATCCGAGGTCAAGTTTGAAGTAGCTTGGCGGCTGAAGCAACGGTCGTATTGCTCCGAGCTCTCGGCGCGCTCACGCAGGCGTTGCCGCTTTTAACTAAGACCAGGTGCTCGATGCTTTTGCACCGCCTGGGACATGTGCATGTGTGACAACACTCAAATGCTACGTTTGTCGAGCACATCTGGAAGCTGTTTACATTACGGGCGCTGCTACTGCTATGACCAGAAGGGTTCGAAAACTGGTCCATCAGGCCGTGGCTTTCTGCTTGGCTCTCCATCCTGGTCCATACTTCATCTCGATATGCATCAATGGCCACAAGAGGATCGAGATACCTCCGAGAAGCACATACGTCCATCCATATCCGAGAGCGTTGGTCGCGTAGTCGATCACCGAAACAAGGAGTGCTGCTAATGAGCATCGCATGAGGTTTGTCTGGAAGTCATGGTACCGTCAGTGAATGTCCACGTCACACCGACGTCTCACCAACGTCTCCTACTTACGCATGCGATGACTCCTGAACTCTGGCCTGGAGCAACGTCAATCATCAAGGTCATGGTCGCGTTTAGGATAGAAATCGAGGTATATCCCACTGTGTCGGAGTTAGTATGGAAAGGAGTTCGTTGGGAGCATTCCAGCCACGCTTACAGATGAATTGAAGAATCAAGGGAACAGCAATTGAGACCTTGCTTGTCAGGCACCATCCCCAACCAAAAACGCAGCCCAAGAAAATAGCAAGCAACAGTGGCATCGTGCGCAGTCGAGCCCTTTCAATGGGAAACAGGCCGTTCTCCGCGTCTGCCTCTGCTGCCCACTGCTGTTTCGCCCTGCGATACTCGCGATCAAGCATCTTGCCGGTCAGGGTGGAGCCGAGGATCATACCTCCTCCGGTGGAAAGATAGCACAGGCCAAGTGCAGTCTCAGAAAGGTAGGGATAGATGTCTGCAAAAGAAGACGAGATGGTGGCCGTGATGGTATAATTTACCGCATACACCACTCCGGTGTAGAACAGTGCCACAACAATGTGTGGAAGTTTCAGAAGCTTCAAAGGATTTGTTGACGTTCGGCGAGGTCTGTCGATCGGCTTCTTTTTGTACTGACCATTGCTAGGACGAATGATAGGTAGCCAGGGTCGATACAGCATGTTGGGCGGTTCTATACTCCCATTTCCCACCAGTGTTCTCAGAGTCTCAGGCAAGAAACTGTACTCATATTAAATCTTTGGTTAATGTTCAAGAACAAGCGGAGCGTGAAGCCATACAGGAGTATAAACAGTATACACACAACGGCCGCAATAGAAAGGAACCAGAAGATAGATCGCCATCCTAGTCTTTCGGACAAAACACCACCAAGGATAGGTGCGATACATGGTGACAGCTATTATCGAGTCAGCCAGATTTCTCTAGTAGAGATGCTGTATTTACCATCGGTCCTAGATTAAATATTCCGAAGAACCCACCCCTCTCTTCAGGCGATGAGATATCGCCAATAACTCCCGAACCTAGCGATACACAATATGCGTTAGAAAGAATTCATGTGGCCTGGTCGTCTCTACGTACCCAATGCTATTGTACTGGCACATCCTCCAGCTTGCACGGCTCTCAGCAGCAAGAGCAGCCAGAAAGCATCGACAGGGGTCAAGGCTAAACCTATACAGGATGCCACTAGAATGATGAAGCAAACCACAAAGACTGGTCTGCGGCCAACGCGATCGGATAATGGTCCCCAGAGCATCGGTGCTTAAGAAGAGGCTGTCAGCATCAACAGTTCAGATGAAGACAAGCAAGACATACAGATTCCTTGCATAGCCAGGTATATAGTGACAGTAAGGTTAATCGAGTCAGTCGATACATCGAAAACCCGGGCCAAGGTGGGTATAGCTGGAAAATAGATGTTTGCTGGGAATGGGCTGCAAGAACATAGTCAGTCACTTGATGTTGATACTCCAGGTTCAATCAAGGATTCAGTGGCGGCGACAGCTACGACAAAGGCTCGCATAAATGAACGTACCTGAAGAAGCCCGCCACGGCGCTGATGCCTACGAGGAACCATTTTGCCCCTTTTCTATAGACGCAGTATGGTTCCGTGACCGTTTGTGCGAGTGGTGCTTGATTCTCGATATCTGGAGTCACAGACACTTCCTGTTGTGGAGGTATCTTCTCCGGGACGCTCATTGAGGTGGCACGCTGGTGGTGCGGCGTATACACGTGCAGTGCCTGGCCGCATTCATTACATCGACAATGGTCTCGACGGATAAGGACCTGAGTTGATATGGCTAGGTACTTATTTTTGACCGAGACCTCCCAACGCTGTGGCCGATCTCGCAGTTGCCGGCACGCGGATGAGGGTCCTGTACGAGAATTTCATAGCGGAGCCTCGTTGCTATCGGATGATGCCGTACAATTCTATATACTAATAACCTTATATAATACTCAGATACCTCTCAATAGCGAACTCGGCCGTGGCACTAGAATAGCAGTGCCGACCAATCAGTTGCCGGGTCGTCGACGGAGCATATCGACAAAGATCGATTTTCCATTGTCGAGAGCGTCATTCACAGATGCTTCTTCCAACGTCTGCAGAAATTAAATAGACCCTCTGGATTCCAGGTCTGCTCATCCAATTACCAGCATAGATGACCAAGTTACCACTAGCTCACAAGGCTCTGTTAGGTTGACTACAGCCAAATCAATAGCTTTAAAAGTGATCGTCTTGAATGATTGTTGACGTCGATGATCATGGCCATCCCGTCTTCAGTCGTTCGATGGCTTCAGCTTCCTCAACAACGTCTGCATATTTTGCGTCTAAATCAAACAGATTCGCAACCTGGATCTCGGGTGTCCGATCGCCACAAGCAGAGCCCACGACCTGGACGAGCCTGTCTTAGTACTTCAAACTTTGTCACCAGGGGTACATAAACAAAATTTACTCACCATTGGTCTAAACCCGTGTTGCATGGCATCTAGAGTTGTAGCTCTCACACATCCGGACGTACTGACGCCGCATAAGACCAGGGTATCAACATTCAAACACTGTGCAAGATACAAGTGTAAGTATGAATTTATAGTATCGCTTGCTCTGATTGAACAGAGCATCTCTTGCATGAGCAGGAGTCTGAGATTAACGTACCTGCAACTCAGAAGCCAAAGACGTCCCGAAGAAAGCCGAGGCATATTTCTTAACTACAATGACCTCGCCGTCTCGTGGCACTAGACCGTCAACATAGTCCGCCAGACCTCTGGTGTCGCCAACTTGCCAGACGTTGAGGAGTTTGGCCTTTCGCCAGAACAAGCCTGCGTCGCCCATGTCCGAACGTGTGTACTTCACCTCACTCCAGATCACGGGCGCGCCTCCTGCTCTGGCGGCCTCGAGCAGTTTTCGCATCGAGACAGGCGACGATGCGCCCGCAGGATTGTCGAGCAGCGACAGCGGTGACCCCTCGGTAAAGTAAGCCTTGCACACGTCGATGAGGATCAAAGCCGGCCGAGTGCCCCAGCCCATACGGTTCGAAAAGCCCGATGCTGCGTATGAGCCTGATGCAGCATGACTGACTGTGGATGACATGGTCGACGTATGTGAGACTTGTCTGTGTGTTCTTTTCCGATTTTGTGTGACGCGATATTCGTTTTATTGTCCTCGTATTGCGCTGGTGCTCATCGTCACCAGGCTGCGCTGTCACTGTATCAGTTACTTGGCGCTGGTGAAACGGGTCGGTATTGTTGCCGGCACCGTCGCCGCATTAAGATGCTCCGTGTGGATGAAGCACAGCAAACAGGAGGAAGTACGTGGAATCGGATACAGGCATCGGGGTCCAGACCAGCAGTCTTGGTCAGTACTGCAGCCTTTCTACCTAGTAAGAAGCGTGTCAAATGATACTGTACTACTAATCAGACCTGACTGCGGCCCCACCTATGTCGGGTACAGCCTCGCCGCGCCGGTATGTTTCTCCATATATTGCCGGCGGCAACTGACTACCTCAGGGCGATAAAGGCTTCAGGAACCACACAAGGTGCCGCCAACACTATCTTGGATATCCGTGCCGGCCGAAGAAAGAGGCTATTTTCTGGACCTCTCCAGACTCCGGCAACTGTGGATTGTGCTGTTCTCGACTACCGATCATGGACTAGGTAGGCACTTGGTGTATCGTATGTGAGTGAATCAATGATCGTAGGACAGTAAACCCGGCTCGCCAGAACAGTGTGGGCACTGGCACAAAATGGTGGAATACAGATATCAATTGATACTAAATCATATGGTGAAATATCTATCAGCTTACCTAAGTGAGCCGTCTCCTACTTGTACACTGCTTCGAGAGATTGAACAGAGTGATATCTCATCACGCCGAGACTAACAACATCATCAGCAGAAATGGCTGTTGTTGGCCACATGCTCAGCGACGCCGAGAAGAGCACTACTTCATATCAGCCCCTTCACCCTTCTGTACGGCCCAAGCTGGACCCAGAGTATGTGGCCTTCCACGACAAATACATCCAGTTCGTTGAGCCAGACGACGTACGGCCGTGGCACGCAATCCATACGCGACGTCGAAGACCTTTCCCACCAGGGACCTCTCAGCCTGTCTCGGTGAAGGAGGTGAGGGACGTGGACCTGGGGGACTTTCCCGTGAGGATTTTCTGGCCTGAAGGCGAGACGCCAGAGAGCGGATGGCCAGTCTTGGTCTGGTACCACGGTGGGGGTTGGGCGATTGGGGGCATCGAGAACGAAAATGATTTCTGCTCGAGGATGTGTCGAGGTATGTCTCCCACCCAATCTGCCTTTCCATCTTTCTCCCGCTTTGAGTTAGTTTGCATAAGGATGGGGGGGAGAATAGCCTTGCTGACCGACCACCTTGAACGTCAGACGCAAGCTGTGTAGTCGTCACGGTTGGATACAGGTTGTGTCCAGAACACCCATACCCCGTACCTGTAGAAGATGCACTCGAGGCTTTGGTCTGGGTGCACCGTCAGGCTGCCTCTGGTGCCCTGGGTATTGATACAAGCAGAATAGCGATCGGAGGGACATCAGCGTATGTGTACATTCTCCCCTTATCCAGTCCCTCGATCTTGTCCCCACCCATGTCTTTGATATGCAGCTCAGGGAGTTGGAACTGACATGATCATGCTTTGTTTCCCTTCTGCAGCGGCGGAAACCTATCGGCGGTGACAGCGCTCAAAGCATCATTACAACAACCTAAGCCCATTCCTCTCGTTCTACAACTCCTCCTCGTTCCCGTCATCGACAATACCGCCACCGTGGATTCGACATGGTCAACCCGTACACACGCCCCTTGGCTCACTCCAGCCCGTATGACATGGTACCGTGATATGTACCTGCCAAACTCGAAAGATGCTCTGAAGTGGGATGCCTCACCTAACCTCGCGCCTGCGGAGTTGTTGGGCAAGACCCCCAAGACTTGGATAGGTATTGCTGAGCAAGATCTACTCGCGCCCGAAGCCGCGGCTTTTGCGGATCAATTGCGCACTGTGGGCGTCGATGTCGATGTTGAGCACTACGCAGGAATGACTCATACGATCCTGGCTATGAATGGTAAGTAGAAGGCCTTCTTGCTCTTCCACCTTTGAAAAGCAATCTGGTTTGGGCACTTACTCACGCCTTGCTGATATAGGAATCTTGACAAAAGGGAAAGCTCTCATGAATGATAGTGCAAAGGTTTTGAAAGATGCTTTTTGGCCAGCTTCGTGGTCATGAATACAGCACTCACTGCCTTGTAGGGTTGACATCGAATGAGATTCATCTGTATCATGCGACTTTAGCGATGATTGCTCGAGTACCTTACTATTTTACCTAGTAGATATATCCCGGGGCTGAGAATAAGCCTCTATTGCAACCCTTCTTTTCCTATATCGACAAACCATATCATCTTCTTTATTAGGTCATTCCCCATTCATGTTCAGGCATTCCTAGTATGGTTACATTTGTTCGTCACAAAACTGTTGTAGGAGTGCGCGAGCCTTTTCCGAACGCGGCGTCATTACACACCCAAATGGCTGGGGGACACTAGATGATCACAAACGTTAGAGAAGGCGCAAGTCCAGCGGCAGGAATAGGATATACTCACTTGGAGAGACCGTTGGTGAAAGCCACGGCAGGCCTTATTTCGGCACCATCAGGACCTTTGGGACATCGAATGTCCATTGTCGCCAGCAGCGTCGAGACCATGATATAAACGCCTGCAGTGGCCAGCCACTGACCAGGGCAGACTCGGCGGCCGAACCCAAACGGGCCCTCGGGAAAAGGCTCGCCCTTGCCACCCTCTGACACGGGCACGTAACGATCTGGGTCGAACGTCTCGGGGTCGTCGTACACGCAAGGGTCATGGGTCATGGCGTAGGCGTTGGCAAACACCACCGAGCCTCCTGGAATGAACATGCCCTTGTACGTGTCATCTTTGATAGTCGCGTGCGGGACACCAAGTGGCGACAGCGGGTACCATCTTGTAGTCTCCTGGATGAGGTACTCGATGTACGGCAGCTTATCGCGGTCTTCGAATGTGGGCAGTCGGTCGGCACCGACCACTTCGTCCACTTGATCGTAGGCCTTCTTCAGTATTTCGGGATGTAGCAGTAGATTCATAATGCACACCATTAGAGTGGACCAAGTGGTGTTGCCGCCCGCGATAGAGATGGCGCCTGCAGCACCTTTCAAGTCGGCGATGGTAGCCTCGTTGGGCTTGGACTTGGCCACATTGTCCATGTACCGCTCCAGGTGAGTGCGCATGAACGACGGGAGCGTGGCCTTTCCGCTAAGGATCTCGGGCTCGGTGGCGTCCCAGGGAGCGTCATGCAGTCGCTGGATGTAGGGCTTGGTCGAGCGGGCGTGCTCCAAGACACCTAGCCTGAGCGGCCAGCTGGGCAGGTGCTTGAGGACAGGGAAGAAGTCTACTACAGATGCTCCTGGCACACCACCTTTGCCAGTGGCTTCCTCGGCGTCCAGCGACATCTTGATGTACGGATCGTCTTTCTGCGTGATGCCGAGGCCAAAGCCAATGCGAAGCACCACGGCCTGGGCGAATTTACGGAGGAGCGTGTCCCAGTCCTGTGGGCTGTCCACGATCTCCCGTGCGGCCTGCCGGGCTTCCTGTTCTTGAATAGGCCTGTACGGTTTGCATGCGGACTGGGTGAATGAACTCTGCATCAGTTTTCGGTGAAGCTTGAACTTTGGTCCCCAGCGGAGGAAGGTCAAGGTGATACCCCATCCCATGCTATTTAATGTCAGATGCACTGTTCTAAACATGTAAGAACAAGTCCAAATACATACACTTCAAAGAGCACGAATCTGGGCCGATCATTGTAGTTGGTGCCTCGTTTGTCCAGGAGGTCATGACAGGCTTCCCGGCTATTGAGTACAATGATCGGACGCCCCAGGATATTGAAAGACAGCACATCAGATTCTATTGAGACACAAATGAAGGGTCAGTCACGGGAGGATGACGGAACATCAATGTAAAGATGACATACTGTACTCTTTGCCCCACTCTGTTAGTTGATACTCGGGATGAGACTCTGGGATAAGACGAAGGTGTCCAAGAATTGGCTCCCCTCTGGGTCCAGGAGGTAAAGGCAGATTTGAACGTCGGAAAGCCTTCTGATAGCATACAACGGCCACAACAACCAGTATGCCTAGCCCTAAGGCAATTCGTATCACTGAAAGTAGGCCAGACATCTTGTGTGTAGGCTGAACGGTAACTCGATAGACAACAAAGGAAGGCTCAAGGACTGATGAGAGGATATGCCATTATTGGAGGCGCCATTGGTTGAGCCTTCAAGATTTATTGTGTAGTCTCGGGAAGTATTAATGCGCCATTATTGCAAACTGCAGACACGCGAGTGGTTGGTGAAATACTGAGTATGGAAGTAGTCAGCAATCGAAGACTGAAGCGAGCGTGTCGGAGCTGGAGATAATGGAAGTGACAAGATGCCGGCCGATGGTGAAGTTGCCGGATGCAAGAAATCGTCAAGAGCAATTATTTGCCGGCGATGATGAGGATCACCGTTACACATGATCTACTCGCTGGTGCTGGCCGGTGCTTGTAATGCTTATCACGGCGTGCCGGATATGTGCACTCATTCCATCCGTTCTTTGCAGAGTCACAAACACCCCTTGCAGTCGAGAAGGGGGTGGATCCATAATGGGTCACTACTGATAGCGGGCAAGCTGCCGGATCCCTTGCAACCATCAATCATCTCCCCACGATCAGCTATGGCGAAGCGGAGCATCCTGAATAGTCATTCCACCGTAGCACGACAGATGTGGCAAACACCCCCAGTGCACAAAAGCTGTGCGTTAAGTGCACGACGTCGCGTTAGATTCAGAACCACCCGCCAGACAGGACACTGCCGTAATGATCACAGCCATTCAACCCCCAATCTCCTACGGGAGGACCGCCCAGTCTGGCTTCATCACGACGGCCACAGACTTAGATCCATACTCGTACCAGGTCGGGTATGGCAACAGGTTTGCGACTGAGGCCATCCCTGGAACACTTCCTCAAGGCCGCAATACGCCGCAAAAATGCAAGTACGACCTCTTCTCTGAACAGCTGAACGGCACACCGTTCGTATCTGCTCGCGCATCACAACAGCACGCCTGGTTCTACCGCATACGACCGTCAGTTGCCCACCGACCCGTCACGACGTCGGTGGACAATCCCAACTTGGTGGCATCGTTTGCTGCCACCAACCCAAGCACCAAGTTCCTTGCACGAGACCAGTCATGGGGAGCATTTCCCATCCCCGAGGAGTCGGATCCCGTCGACTTCGTGCAAGGCATCAAGACTATTGGCGGCCACGGAGATGCTATGAGCAAGGAAGGTCTTGCTGTCCACGCATACACGGCAAACCGGTCCATGGGCAAGACCGCCTTCTGCAACAACGACGGCGACTTTCTGATCCTGCCACAGCATGGTCGTCTCGACATTCAGACCGAGTTCGGCCACCTCATGGTTCGCCCTGGAGAATTGGTGGTCATTCCAGCCGGAATTCGATTCAAGGTCGAGCTGCCTGACGGTACTGCTCGTGGCTACATTCAAGAGATCTTTGGCGCCCATTTTGAACTACCTGAGCTGGGACCCGTGGGGTCTAACGGTATGGCAATGCCCCGGGACTTTGAATATCCCGTAGCAAGTTTTGACGTGGATCAAACCGTCTGGACCATTGTCGTCAAGCTAGCAGGCCGACTGTTCGAGTATGAACAGGAACATACGCCTTTTGATGTCGTCGCCTGGCATGGAAATTATGCACCTTACAAGTACGCCACCGAGAAGTTCGTGAACTCGGCCACAGTAGAAAAGGAGCAAAGCGACCCGTCAATCTACTGTGTGCTGATGGCCAAGTCCAAGACCGCTGGCGTTGCGCTGACAGAGTTGCTGGTCTTCACCCCGAGATGGAGCGTCACGACCAACTCCTTCCGGCCGCCATACTACCACCGTAATGTTTGCACTGAGCTGATGGGCATGGTCTACGGAGACTGGAAGGGTTCAGCTACACTGCTGGAGCCAGGCGGACTCACATACGAACCCAGCCTGATGCCACACGGAGGTCGGTTCTCTGCCAATATAAACCTGCTTCGTTGTCACTGCTAATCTGACCTTGTAGAGTCGTATGAAAGATGGAGCGAGGCTACGACTACAGAACTCGTGCCCGAGAGGGTGAATGAGAACACTCTTGGTATGTACTATAGCCCCTGGAATGAGGCAGGACTATTGCTGACTTGTTTTCTCTAGCCTTCATGCTGCACATCTCAGGTCACATTGCCTTGACCGACTACGCCCTGGAAAAGAGCGGTACTCTCCATGGTGGGTATCTGCAAAGGTCATTTGAAGGTCGCCGAGAAGCTAACGGGTCACGGCAGAAATTCAAGCCAACTTTTGGGACGGCTTTGACAGCGGCTTCACCAAGCACATCGACCAGATAGATCGGGATCTGGCGTCTGCGGGGCTTGGAGGTTTGAGACGCCCGGAGAAGACAAAGGAGGCGAACGAGCTAGATAGTGAGATCATGAAGAGATGAGTTGGGTGTTGATGGATCATGGTTGGAGAGCGAATGTTTGTATGTCTCTGCTGCATATCCCGAGGTGTTGGATTCAAATAGCATCTATCTGAAGTTGTCACTGGAGCGTTATACTTAGCTACCTCACTTGCCTGACCTGGGTGATCCCAGCTGACTTTTATCGAGTCCCTTATTGGTGTTAAGCCCCTGTGAGTCCCTTATCATTCACAGATTCTCGGGCCATCACTATTCCACATTAGGCTCCGCTTCCCTTGTTTCCGGAAGGGTGTTAGGCCCCACTGGGTCTGTCAATGTGTTACCTATTTCTACTTTTTATCGTTCAGATACCGCCTAAGTCCCTACTTCTTTGACAATGTGTTCCCCAGCCGGCACTTTCCTCTAGGTCTCGTACCTACTGCGAAAACCGGTGAGCTTGCTTATTGTGTCCATACATTGATGGATACTCTGGTTGCCAGAGTGCAGACCCCAGGCCACGAGCAGCGGCCCAAGACGAGAAGAGCTGCCGTGGCCTGTCGAAGATGCCGTCGTCTGCGCGTCAAATGCCGCTACTTGTCCACTCATGAACCTTGCGAGCAGTGTAGTCACGCTGGCCATAAATGTGTCTTCCCCCAGCGCGGCGAACCTGACTATGACCGGGCATATCGACACGAGCGCCGGCGAAAACAGCAAACTCCAAGCCGGCAGCCGTCGACGAGCAGCGAGCCAGTGGCTCAATCAAGACCCCATTCCCAGCCAGGAGTCAATGCAGTGGTGCCGAGCGCGTCACGGTCGTCTGATGCGCTGATAGATGGCGACGAGGGGCCTTTCGTGCCTGGAATCAACCATGACAAAGGACATGCGATACTATCCAGAGGCAATGGCTGGGATCTACTTCCCCCTTTCGAAGAAGTGGTCGAGGGCTGTCAGGTGTTCACCACATCATATTTCCAGCTGGGCTTTCTTCCAAAGACGAACTTCTTCGAGCGCTTACACAAAGACAAAGAGGACATCAGTGTGTTTCTCCTCCTCTGCATCCTCAGCATCTCTGCACGATTTACGCCAAGCTTAGTTGCACGTTATGGGAGCGGCCAGAATGCGACAAATTGTTTTCTCCGGAGTGCAGCTAGCATGGTACCTGCACACATGTACAAGCCTAGTTTGGAATCGATGCAGGGCTTCTTCCTCATGAGCCTTGCCGAGTGGGGAAAAGGAGAGAAAGACAGAAGTTCTACGCACATGGGCATTGCCGTGCGTATGGCAGGCACCTTGCGTCTTCACCGCGAGGAAACCTATTACCTGCCCGAAGGCGCCGCAGCTGATAAAGTGGTCGAGTCGGAGGTGATCAGAAGGACCTTTTGGATGTTGCAAAACCATGAAGACTTGTTCTCGGGGCTTCATTCACCCTCGTCGTTTTCGCTGGGCGACATCACCACACTCCTGCCCTGTGAGGAACAAGACTTTGCCTTTGGTATAGCTCCAACTGAGAGGGCGGCATTGATGGGGACGCCACCTGCTATCAAGCACGAAGAGCTTGCCAAATCACCGTCGCGCTCCCTGTTTGCCACGCTGATCCAGTCTCACAACATCTGGGGCCAGATCGCACGTCGCGTTGCACACAACGAGGCAGCAGACCAGCAAGAATCTGGCGGACAAGCAAAAGGGTCAATGCCCTTGGGCAAAGAGGAATACGTGCGTCTCTCTGCTCTGCTGAAAGACTTTGAAGAGAACCTTCCCCGCCGTCATCAATGGTCGGTATGGAATCTGAGAGGGTTCAGGGCTCAGGGACTCGACTTGGCCTACCTTTCGGTGGTGATGATGATTCGGCTGAGTACCATCATCTTGCGAAGAAGCCACGTTCCGGGCTCATTCGAGACCTACAGCACCAGCACAAGCATAGCAAGCCCGACGACGGCAAACTCCCATGCACACGCAGATGCTTCACGTCCTTCAGCGATGGAGCGTGAGACCATCACCGTCGCTGAAGAGCTGTTCAACAATATGGTCATTCTGCATGACCAGATCGACGCGTACTTTTCCCTCCGGTCTCCAAATGAAGGGTTCCCGGCCTTCGTGGTGTTCTGCATCTACATCTGTGGCTCGCTGGCCAACCATCTTCAAAAGGGCGACAAAGCCTTCCCGACCGTGGAAAATGCCCACGCCCGTGCCACGAAGATCTTGGGATCATCCACGAAACTCTTGAGCGACGTGCAAGACTCGTGGCCCATGGCAAGGAGGTGGAGTGATGCCTTGCTGAGAGCCTACCAGAAACAGGCGACGACCGCCAAAACGTCGGCCTCTGTCGAGGCTACGGCCTCCTCTCGGCACGGCACAGAAAAGACTGGTCGCGGCAGTACAAGCAGAGGTAACGGCACCAGCAGCGCGCGTCGTGGCAGATGGCCTCATTCCTCTGCTGCATCTGCCACTGTAACTGCTACTGCTACCACCACTGCGGTCAGTCGAATGGCGGCTCCTGCCCCGGCCCCAGGGCCTCCTCCGCCACCATCCACTCCTTACCAACAGCGACAGGTCAGGGAAGACGACGAACTCGAACGCGGCGACAACGATAACAGCATTTACGAGGATTATGACGACGAGTCCGCCTTGCCGCCGAGCACCCAGACAAGCCCGTCGAGTACATTTGCTCATTCAGCGATGCACCATGGAAACCTTGCGGACAATTCTTTTCTGTCAAGCATCGCCCGAGGCACTCAAGCTGCGGATAACCAGGCGCGGGCGAGGAACGTCGTGCCTCGCCAGTCTTATGACCCGTGGAACGATATCTTTTCGGGAGTCTCACTCACGGACAACTTCGACTCGGAATTGGCATTCTATACGTGGCCTGGTGGAGAGGTTTGGGAGGAATGATTTACTCTTCGGGAACACGCATGAAGAGGAAATTGTCGTTCCTGCGTAAGACAAATCCAGATTCATATATTAGACTATGTTTTGGACCAAACGTGAAACTCTTCATCTGAGGCCGTCCCTCGATTCAGATCTTGCCAGGGGACGAAATAACGATGTTTACTTTGTGTATGATAAGCATATCTTAAAGCGAGGACACGACAGAGAGAGAGTCCGAGCATCACCAGAACAGTCTCCGGTTAAAGTTGAAGTTGAAGTTGCTCTCGCTAGTAACTATCATTCACATCTACCTTCTATATCAGTGTGAGGCGTTGAGGCGCGGCACCGCGGTGATTGATGTATACTAACTAAGAGATGACAAACGGTCGCTCTTTGCTTTCTCTCTCTTCATTTAATTAATCCATTCTTCCTCATCCTTTTCCCTCATCCAGTGTCCTTTCAACAGGTAGCAACAGAGGGCAAATCACCAGAAACGCAAATACAAGAGTTACACAAGTGATTCAAGCCATTGAACTATGATATGAACACACCAGACTACAATCGCCGATGACCTGCCCGCATTCACCGTTCACCATAACTTTCACAAGGACTGCATTCTATATTCTCTTTCGCGGGTCCACCCTTGGGGCCTTTCACCTCCCAAAGGTGCGTTTCTCCCACGTTCGCAGAGGGATGTACACCAGAACACTGAGCACGAGACCGACCTCGTAGCCGATGTCGCCCGTCTTCTTGCCGATCGGGCCGGTGTACCACGCCTGCGCCATACACGGCACGATCAAGGCAAAGGGAACGGTGACGGCGCCGACGGCAGCAAAGCCGGGGGGCAATCTGCTCGCGACGTTCCAGATGGCGTGGTCGTACGACGCGAAGTCTCGCCCGCGGAAGTACAGGAACTCGGTGCCGACGACGCCGATGAAGACGGCGGCCCAGTAGGCGATCACGCCCAGGAAGTTCTCGAGCGACACGAGGAGCGTGTGGCTGACGGGGACGGCGGTGCCGATGACGACGCCCGTCACGACCACGGCGAACACGTACCGCGGCACGCGCGCGAAGAGGGGCAACAGGATCTGGAATTGCACCGTGATGGCGTACAGCGTGCCCCCGATGTTGCCGAGCAGGGAGAAGGCGAGGACGACGGCGACAAACTTGCCGAAGCCGCCCGTCGACTCCATCATCTCGAGCATGACGCCGCCCGTCGAACCTTCGTCCATGGCCGCCGTCCAGGACTCGAAACTCGGGATGGCGCCCCCGATCGCGGCGCCCAGACACATCAGAGGGATGGTAGGGACGAGGAGGCCACAGTAGACATAGGCGAATAGACGCGCCCTAGTACGTTATATCGGGGAGATTGTCAGCTTTGGGTTATTCCTGGTGGCAAGGGAGGCCATACATCACCCCTCGATCGAGCGGGAGACGATGACGGTGAGAACAGAAAGGGAACATGGTTTTTCGAGGGGGGCAGGGACAGGGAGAGGGAAGCTAAGTAGATAGGTAGGTAGGTAGGTAGGTAGGTAGGCAGGTAGGTAGGTAGGTATATACTCACTTGGACGCATCAGGAGTGACATAGACGCTAAAATCGGACGCCATAATCGCCCACGTCATGGTGAACGAGCTGACGGTGCATGCAAAAGACAAGACACCCTGTGCTGTCACGGGAGCAGTCGGTGCCTGGTTCGCCAACAGGTGGCCACCGCAGCCTGTGGCGAACAAGATGGCGACCAGCGCAGGGATCCAAGCCCACCGCTCGTACGCGTGCACGACCTTGTACCCCATAAACGCAACGACCAGGGAGGCCACGGAGATGATGACGATGCCGACGTTCCAGCTCAAAGAACCGCCGCTGACGGCGGACAAGGTCTGTCCGGCGATGACGGTGGAGACGATAGCCCAGCCGGTCGCGGTGGCCATGCTCATGATGGAAGCGATAGCCACAAAGTACAGGCCGAAGCTGTACCTGGACTGGACAAGCTGTCTCATGCCGGTTTTGGGACCAAGGATGCTGAACGCCGCGGGCGGGAGGCCACCCAGGAGGTTGAAGAAGAGAATGACCAGACATGCCGCCTTGAGGCTCAGGCCCATGTAGAGGGTGCCGACGAGGCCGGTGGTGATGGGCAGCAAATTCACGCTGAACGTCCACCACAGCGAAAAGATACTGAAGGTCCGCGTGTCGGTGCGCTGCTCAACGGGCACCGGCTCTATTCCTCGAAGTTCAACACCGTACGAGGTGAACTGTTTCCACCATCCTGTCTGGGTGGCCTCCTCGGAAGGCGGGGTCTGAGCCTGCGTGACATCAAAGGACCCTTTCTTCTCAATGTCGATGCCGTTGTCGTGCGCGTGTTGGAACTCCATGAGGGCGGAATGCGCTTCAGTCGTTGACTGAACGGGTGGGTTGGAGCAGAGGTTTGAGGAAGTCCTGGGGGAAAATTGGATGCACAACAGGGGCTGTCACTACTCAACGGTATAGCATGGGGTCTTTATCAGTACATCGTTATATAGGTAGATGTGTATGCCGATACAATAAGTAGTTCAATTCCGTGGTCTCCTGTTCGAGCGCCAAAGCCATCGTGGCTTGGAACAACGGTTCAATGTCGATAACCACATGTTGCCGCCAACAAGAGTGATAGCTCTAGGCCTTTCTGGTGTATAATGCAGATAAGTGGGAAATGCATCTGGCGATGCAGGCGTTCAGGTGCCGGCTCGGCGAGGTAACCGGCAGCTGGGTTCATGTTCTGTGAGGTACCCAATAGTGTTGTCGCTATTAGAGGGTCGATTCCTTATCTGTGGGTGTTGTGGCCCAAGGAACCGGCACGGCAAACTCTGCGGAAGAAGTCGTTATCTGTACGCGGGATTCGAGAATCTGTACTCCGTACATGAGTGACGGATGGATGTGAGTCCGAATGCTCCGCACTACTCGTATTCGTACTCGTACTCGTAAATCAGCGACAGCTTATGTCAGCAGCCCCTTTGCCAGGCCAATCTTTCTCACGTGGTTGTGGTTTTCAAGAAGCTAGGCCGGGGGGCATGAAATGCCTGGGCATAAAGCCTTGACCGCTTTCTAATGCGCTAATATACTGTGAAGTGCGAAGCTCAGGAGTCTGCTGAGCTATGCCGAGGTTTAATGGGCGCTGGCCGCCAGTATCTGACAAACAAATCAATCAACGATACTCGATCAAACAGGACAAGAATGCTGATGCTTCCCGATATCAATTTCCGACCCAGTATCTATTCAGCCATTCCTCACTCGGCAAGTTCCCCAACTAAGACATCATAAAATAAGATAATTATTCAGCTGCATCTGCCTCCACATGCCTGAGGATTCAAAACACCCTTCGAGTAACTCATCCAGGAACAGTAGACAACGCGACTTCCCTCAATGTGCCTTCATAAATTGTTGAGTTGAATGTGGTACGATATTGTCGCTGTAGAAGGGGATAGCCTCGAATGACTGATCAGTCTCGCCTGAGTGTAGTGAAGGGGTGAACTCTCGTGCGGCGATGATTGAATTCAGCGATTCTTCAAGCCACTGCATGGACAACTTTCTACGGTCATCCAAGTCAAGGAATTCGTCGTCGTGCAGTAGTTTCATTGTTCTCTCTGTGCGTGTTATGAGCTCATATGCTCTGCTCGTCTGCGGGCCGTCGATACTGTCCACCCATGACGAGAAATGATCGCCGTGTGGGAGTGGTTCTGTCGGACGTAGTGGGCCTTCACGATGTCGCTTCCAATACGTTTCGTACGCGGCCACTCGCTCGTCTCTCAATCTGATGCCTTCTTGCCGGAATTCCTCGAGGACCTCCCAAACAAGTCTTTTGACTTTTGTGCCCAAGTCACTGCGGTCACTGTACCTGACTCGACGAGTTCTGCTTGCTAATTTTGAGTAGAATGCCTCAAGATCGATCTCAATACCCTCTCGTGTTAAGCTCTCTGTGGTTAATCGAGTCGAATTCAGAATGTTGTCGATAATTCCTTTGACTGATACTTCAGGATCTCCTGGTAATGTGAGTCCTGTCAAATCCAAGCTAAAAGTTCTTTTGATTCTTGCAAGCTCCACAGCGGTCATACCACTCTTATCAAGGAAGTCCTGTAGGTGGGATTCGAGTTGATGGTGGACTAATGCGCTCCAGCTGACCCGACGCTCATAGCAACGCTGATGCAGACAGACCAGAATCATACTCTTAGTTTCGCTCTCGAGATCTGCATAATTGGACGAACGGCGAAATGAATAATGATCGAGCACACGATCAACTGAGTACTCGGCGAATTGACATCTCGTCGTACAGCACCTGAAACACCCTTGTGGCTCTTCTTGTCCGTCTAATTCTGCGGTTGGGCGAAAATGATCAATCGCCTGCAAGTCAGCAACAGCACTGCCTAAGGCTTGCAGTTCTTGTGATTGATTTTCAAGGCTGGGACTCGACAATGAGTGCACATCCTCTGGAAGGCGTATCGCGGACATCACGCCATTCATTCTTGGAGAGAAACGTGTAGTGCCAGCCGCCGAGCGATGCATCTGAAGCAAAGCCGATTTCTCTTGAGCCCCGATTACCTGCTTGTAAGCAGGACCGGCGATGGTGCTGGAATCTCCGTAGGCATGGGGTTTAGTCTCAGGCGTTTCCTGTTTATTGGTGACTGTATCAAGACATAACTTCTTTGCGAATGATCTCTCAACGTCATCAATACTTTGGCCGCCAACCTGATCAACTCTCTCCGATTCAGTGGAAAGCATTCTCTTTGCTGATAGAATAGGCAGCGTAGATGAGTTGAAAGAAGGAATTTTGTCCGACGTCGCCATTGCCAGATGTTTGTTGAGAAGTGCTTTCCTCCTGAACTGCTTTCCGCAGCTACATATCCCAGGGAAATTTCCAGTCCCGTCGCAAACGAACGGTCTCTCTTTGTTGTGATCCTCTCTCAGATGCCTGGCCAGTTCTCCGGGTCTTCTGTAACTTCTTCCACAATCGGAGAGCGAGCATACATGTGGTTTCTCGCCAGTATGCGAGAGTTCGTGGGCTTTCAGAGCTTGGGGCCGTGTGAAAGCTCGATCGCACTCAGCTTCAGAGCACTTATACCTTTTTGGTTCTTTGGTCGTTTTGCCTTCCCTCTCCTGGCTCGACTTCAGTGGTGGAAGCATAGACATCGTTGTTCACAGTATAATTGAATTGAAATATCTTGGATTGTCTGACTGTGGAAGAGAACTGTAGACCAGATTTGTGAGGAAGGAGAACTTGAAGCGCAAGCTGAAAGGAGAAGGCTGAAGTCTTATTTCAAGCAACAGGCGCTGGCACAGTACAGCCCCCAACATCTGGATGTGGACACCGGTTGGCGGGCGCATAATCGCGCTGGAATCTTTCGTTTTGGAACACGACCTAGTTTTGTCCTATAATGCCATCATTCCACCACCGATGCATTCACCGTGACACTCATGGATTCTTGAAACCTTGCTGCAATGAGTTTCATTTACAGAGACCATGGGATGATCCAGACATACTATGGACAAGTTGGCTTGGGAATGCGATGTCGAAGTTCAGTGGCGCAACACTCATTCCGCCGGCACGTTCAAGAACTTCTCTTGAGCTAACTCTGTGAACGTTGCGGTGCCAGCGCGATAGCTCCTACCAGCGCTGCCAGCGTTAGCGAGCACCAATAGCTGCACTCCGAGATCGACCTCTTGTTGCCGAATAGGACGAACAGAGCATTGTTGCCCTCGGTTCCACTAAGACGGCCTTTCCCATGTATGCCAGAGGGGTTTGATAATTATCCACTCCTGTAAAGCGCATTCGTCCCAGTGCATGCAGTTTCGAGATGTTCTGCACGTGTTCCTGATAAACACACCCTGAGAGGTCTTTTGCTCCATGTTGGTCCGGTGACCTTTATGCCAGCGCAGGTCTCCGAAGATTGATTCACTTGAGAAATCGTTACTTCCCTTGAGTTCTGGGAAACTGGGACCGCGCGGCCAACTTGTGGGACCCTTTTAATGTACTCAGCACTTGCCTCAGGACTCGCTAAGCAGTGCTCAGGGTCGCTTGGTCATGAATCACGTCAAAGAGCGAGCTGCTGAGGTCCGTAGGTGGAAATGGACTTTGGAGAGGTCAAGATTCAGCCGCTGAGTATAGTGGGTATGGGTCTTATGTACAGCTCTCCCATGGTCCACCCGCCCGGTCAATCGCGTTGTGAGACTGGTTGTCGGCATCGCGGCAAGATGGACGAAGCCGCGATCGGTGCTATTTAGTGCGAATGTCGAATCTAGCCGGGAGTCGAGGAGACGAATACGGAAGCGCCGCATTTACATGATCACGATGATATCGTACAATATTTCAATCGGTACACCCATCAAAGAATTATTTATTACGACCTTTACAGCCCTAAGTACCATTATAAGTTCTACTTTCTCACACTAATACGTATCTAGCTGCGTCAGCTAACTCTTGAGGCTTTCTGTTTAGCTCACAAAAGATTAATCTTAGTTTCTTTAGTAGTTGAGAGTATTTATCATGAGCGAAGCAAGAGAAAAGAGAATAATTATTAAGTGTGATGTTCGCCACAGGGGCGGAAGATCAAAGTCGAGATAAAGATCGGCACATCAATCCGTGACCTGCGGGCAGCAATCAAGGATTATATGTGTGCAAGACCGCACGCTGAAGTCTACCAAAATGAGACCATCGCCGTACACCGTGTCGGCGATACGCCTCTTCTTGCAATTGCCTGGAACCTATAGTTGGAACTTCGCTGTCTACGCACCTGGAGGTTGTGAGAGTGTAGCCGTCGGAGCCCACACTGGGGCAGGGAACCAGGGCTGTACTGAGCTCGCCGCGTCGCACAGAGCCTATTTTGAGGCCGATGATTTGGCCAGCTGTCTATGCGGGTACTGGAAAATACCTAGTCGCCTTTCCCTCTTTTGAATTATCGGAAACTGCATTTGATTCACTGGTAATGCCTATGAAGAATATGAGCAGCAGCTGGCCTCCCTTACGCCGCGATCTGGAGCTGTAAGCCTAGAAATACTTCTGCCACTTTCCCCCATCCAGGCCTGTCTCAGCTTCGCCATGTTGTTGAGCATGGCTGGCTTGGTAGCGTGAATTGCCCAAGGTCACAGAGTTCGTGTATGGCTCCTTTCGTTTTTTCGGGCTCACGACAGGCGCGGTTGGGAATGGTTGAGGTGTCGGTGCTGTCGGCGATGGTCCGAATTCCAAGTCTCCTGTCCAGGTCCAAGAGTCTGTACCCGTGGAGTTCTCGAGAGTAGTTAGATGGCCTTGTCGCTCTTGAAGTACGTCACCCGCCGTTTCGGAGACACCAGAGCCGTCAACATCGAATGGACTCCGTGCAGAAGATGGTGGTTGAGTCTTTGATGATCCGGCCAGCCCGGGTGCGACGGTCGTCGTCTCGGTTGTTCCATGATTCATGGGGGTCGTGACCGAGGCCAGTCGATCTTGCAACCATGCTTCACGTTCTCCGCGAGTCTGAAGAGGCCATCTGTCCCATTCACTGATTCTTGTGGTCTTGGGAAGCCCGGCAAAACGAGAAAAGAATGCATCGTATGAAGACGAGTCCTTGTCGCCGGTGGCCTCCTCCGGTGTCAACGCTTGGTATAAAGCATACTCGGTTTCAACAAGACGCTTCTCAAGTGCAGCAATATATCCAGTCGGGACTCCCCTGTCTTTACGTTCACCGAATGTTGTGGGGTCGAACTGCGACTCTGCTTACCTCTTGTTTGCCGCCGGGTATCGACACGGTTGATTCTCGACGGCGCATTGAGAGCAACTTGGCCTAGGCAGGTGAGTAAATGTGAGCTTAAATCTCGACGCTGAATCCGAACAAATCACTAGGAGGTGGATGGTACGCACAATTTCCTGTCACACTGCAAGGACAGATATACTTAGAACGGTACGCAGACTCCAGGACTCGAACTCACTTTGCATTTCCTAGCGCGACACTGCTCACACGCAATGGAATGGCTTGCGGAATCCTTTTCCTGATCGCTGGTTAGTCAACTCACGTCTTTTGAGTCGAGGAGGGACATACCATCCATTGGAAAACCCACTGCTGGGCGGCTGCGGCGGACAAACAAAAGCTTCTGCCCTAGAAGACTAGTAGACGTGGTGGGATGTGCGGGGGATGCTTTGCCATGCCATGTCCTTTTGAGTAGCCCGAATATTAAAGGCTTTGATCACCGTCTTATCAATTGCCGCCCTCGGCTCCCTTCCGACTGCCAACCGGACATTCGATTGTCCGCAGAACTCAAATCTCGAAAGTGCTAGTTACCAGCCAGCCAGGCCGGTGGCCCCACCGCGGAATGTCAGCAGGACAGGGAGGAAGAAAGAAAGAAAGTGGCACGGCGTGATATCGACGGAGGAGATGCAACGACGCAACTTATGTACACACAGAGCTAATTACTGCTCAATCACCGGCGAGGCTATGGAAGGTCACTCGGCGCTATCACAAGTATGTTCTGAATACAACTCGGCTTCCTGCCACTGTGCCCACATACTCAAAGGACATAGCCACTACACCCAAGATTGGACCAGTGTCGAATGGGTCGCGAATCTTCCAGCTCAATGCACCACCATAGAATCTCCTTTGCTTTGTCTACTTCTCCTCCAAGTTCATGCGCTCGTGCCAGGCCAAACCACGCTTCTGAGTTGTCCCAGCCAGATCCCAGCTTTGTCAGGGTAGACAACAACCCATATGCGCGATCTCTCGCCGCCAGCCGGTTGAGGTTCTCCGGAGTCTTCTTCAGCTCGTCATCCTTGCCTCCTCGCGACGGGATAGCTGTCGTCGAGCCGGCCGTCGTGTCTACGTCAAAGACGACTCCATTGATGGTAGCACTGTCAGATGAACGACTCAACTCTCGTCTGTGTTGTTTTCGGCCCCTGTCGGCTGGCGTTTCTCCCATCTTGGCCGGTCCACTGTCAACTCGTCTGGCCAATTCAACCTTGCGCTCGTAGTAGTCCAGTAATACAGTGCTGAGCCCCACGATGCCTCCCGGGTGGTTGATGAAATACATCAGGCATGTTTCGTACTGTTCGACAGCATCGCGTACCCCTTCAGAATACACCTGGCCTTCTTTTTCTTCCTTTTCTCTGGCGACGGCTATCAAAAGGTCCGCACGTTCACAGTACACGTCAGCCCACAGCTCGTCAGAGCTTTTGCCCCCGCCCCCCCAGCCAGCGCTGCTGAACGCCCGGGCCGAGCTCTCCACACCGGCAATGATGCTTTCAAGTTTGGCTGCCACCTTGGCCGCTTCATCGCATGCCTCGCGTGAATCGTCAAACATTTTGGCTCGTCGGTACAGCATAGCAATGATCAACCAGATCTTGACCAGAATACTGAGCGCATGGCGCTGGGATGCAGTCTGGGGGAATCGAGGGGCAAGCTCCGAGGGCACTCTCCTTGGGAGACGTATATCTTGTTCCGGAGGCTGCTCTTGGTGCTGCAAAGGAGGTGGTATGCTGTCATGAGAAGCAAGGTTATGTGGAATTTCCTTCAAAGGTTTCTTCGCGTTCGTGCTCTCGTCGTGGTCAGCTGTCACAGGTATAGCTGGGACTTCTTGAGAGGTGATCGTTTGCAACGCAGGCCGGGATGGTTCCTCAGAAGCGCTTGTTTTCTCAGGCATTGTTTCGAATGACTGGCCTGTACCTGACCCTTGATTCGCATCGCTTCTCCCACGACTACGCGACCGCGAGATGCGTCTTGACCCGTGTTTCTTTTCGTCCTTGGCACGCTCGTGAGAAGTTCGGAATAGACGGTGTTTATGTGGTGAGGGCTTTTCGTCCTCGTCGGTGACGTGTATCGTCGGTGCTTGTGTTGTCTGGGTGTCGGGGCGACGTGCATCCTCAGGGGCTGATACCGGATCACCACCCTTCTGAACCTTGGGAGCCTCATGCATTCTTCCAGCTCTTCGAGAGAATATGCTGCCTCGCGAACTCTTTATTGTGCCAGCCGAGCTTTTAGGGGCTTGCGACAATTTTGTTCTCGATCTTGATCTCTCATCCGTGAGTGCAAGTGTGCCGTACTTCCCAAATAGCCGTGAATATAGGGCAAGCAAGTCATTACTGTTATTGACCGCATGCTCAGGGCCTTCCGAGAGCTCCGTCAAGGCGATTTCGGAGATTCGGATTTCAATGATTCTCTGAAGCTCATGGCATTCCATCTCGTCCACAAGACCCATCTGATGGTGACCTTTCATCTGTTTCTCGCCGCTCCTGTTCGCGCCACGGCCACCACCAAACATTACCTCAGGTGAGGGAAATTGCTCGAAAGCGGCAACACAACTTTGGCCGGCAATCTCAAAGTTCTGCTTGGAAGACAAGAGCAAGGTTAGCAGGTGCCAGAACGCGATCAGATCTCGCTGTAAACGATATGTGGGATCTTCTCCCAGTGTGTTCAATTCGCAAGCCAATGCAAGCTTCACCACCGCAATGGCTTCGTCAACCTCTCGTATTTCTCCGAGCATCCTGCCAAGTGCGAAAAGGCATTTCAATCTCCGTTCAAGTGGAAGGTCTTGAGAAGCTGCTTTCCTGAGGCTCTCGACGGCCTCAGACTGCAGGGTGGAACGATCTTCGCTGATTGGGATGAATCGAGCCCACTGTGCTTTGCCAATACCGATTGCTCGATACACGACCTCGACCACTTCTGAGGGTAGGGGCTCTGGCATGGACCCATGGACAACCAACTCTCCATTGGTATGGTTCGAGCCTTTTGCAACGTCCGCCTCCGGCCGAGGTTCTACTTCGTCGAGCAAGTCCTCAAGCTTCAGGCATAAATCATACCCCTTCTCGGCTTCTTCGGCGTGGCCATAAGAAGAGAGGCCCTCGATGGCCTCAGCAATAGTTTGAAGATAGGTGTGATCGCTATCCCTCTTGGTGGTCTCGCCGCCAGCTTTGGATGCGCGGGCTCGAGCTCGATCCATAAGTTCTACGTATGTGTCCAGAGCTTTGTAAGCGAGGTCGAAGTCAGCCAGGGCCTTGTGGACTTGGAAAAGTCGTCGGAGGATGAGCGTTGAATGGAATGTTTTCGTAGCAGCTCGATATAACATGTCAAGCACGTTCCTACCAACGGCGTTACGGCCACCCTCGCCGAGGTCTGGCTCTGACCAATCTGGCCCAGACAAAATGCACCAGTTGCGAATGAAACTTTCCACCCACTCTTCGATGACCTCATTAGACTCATCGGCTTTGGGAAACTGAGTATTTCGCAAGAGCTCATTCTCGTAGGAGGTCTCTACACGGCGGAGCTCATTCGACAGATCAGCTCGACTGTTTGTGGGGGATGATGGCGGATTGTGATGGCTTCCTTGTAGTAACTCCGACATGAATCTGTAGTAAGCTCTCCACATCGTTAGTTTAGAGAGATGGCCCGGTGCATTTCCAAATGTTGAACGAGACACATCTGGAGCTTTTGTAGCCAGTACTGCCCAGTGACGAAAAGCTTGCAACCTGAAAGATGGTGTGTCATTATCTGAGGAGGTAAGAGTCTTTGTCCCGGTCTGTTGCTGACCCAAAGCTATGCGACCGAGAAGTTGTTGCGCCCAGTATAACAGTTGCGGAGTAGAGACAACGAGGCTCCGGTTCGAGTCGAGCCACGGCAGAAGAGTATTGTGTATTTCTTGTCCTTGCCGTCCATTGCCGCCTCGACTAATGAGCATGCCCTGTATATAAACAGCCTTCACCACACTTATTTTTGTCCATACCGAATTGGTATCTGCCGCTGCGCGAGCAGGATCGAAAGTGACTTTTATGTATTCATTGTGCTTCTTTAATCCGACCCAGTGAGCCCAGAGTAACGACGCCTGCCCTTGGACCACATCCTCCAAGGGGTGCCCGCCAGCTCGAATTTCTGCCTCGAGTGCGGAGATGTCACCTTCTGTAGAGGTGGAGGTACTGGCGGCAGTATTGGGACGTTGGCTCTGTGAGCTCGCGACGCTATATTCGACTTTGGCTGTCTGTATCAAGCCTGCAGATGGGGATTAGAGCAAGGACAGACACCAGTTAGGGTCCGTACATTTTCGGCCAGGAGCGTGCTTTGAGACCTTTCGTATAAGTTCTGGGAGCTCTTGCCAAGTGGCACTGACGCGGGCAGTATCTAGCAGGCTGATATAGCGCTGGGCTTTGTCCTGGTGGACCTGGTGTTCGTCAGAAGGGCTTCTGATGGACGGGAAGATAGGAACCGACACTCATTGTGACCCAAGCTGTTGAGGATGCGGCGACGTTAGAGATTCCTCGATTGTGACATAGTGCCCTTGTATTTTCGCGAAGCCAAGTGTATAGACATGCTTCAGTCACAGGAGATTCACGCCAACACTGGGAAAGCTGTCGCTGTCATGAAATTGGCTTGTTGTCGAGATACATTGAATGCACACGGCAAAACTCCGGCATCTCTCTTGCCTGTTCACAAAAAAATCCAGATTCATTAATTGCTGGTGCCAGATAGTATTGTCTCTAGCTTCTACAGACACGAAGATGCAGCAAGAGAGTGTGCTGCGTGCAGTAGCAAATCGGCTCACTGTCACTCCAGTCGAAGATCTGCCTCGCATTGCAGGCTTGCTCGCAGCGCAGTTGGCGGACTGTTCACTGAATTCACGATTTGCAGACGGCAAGGCCAGTAATGCTTCAGTTGCTGTGCACAAGTTGAGAACACGAATCAATTCTCTACTCCAAGAGAAATCCATCGCAGGTCGATTCACAGGTGTTGTTCTGGTCAAAGCCGCTGTTGACAATGGTGGTGAAAATGTCCTCCGTGCTTCGGAAAGCTGGGCTAGAGGCTTGCTCAACTGCATCAACAAGCCGGATACTGTCGAAGTCAAAACCCTTTACTTGGTCGCTCTTACTCGGATATTCGTCCTCACGCAAGATGATCCGGCTCTGGTACGAGAGATCACCACGCCACTACTTCCCACCTTCATCAAGACCACTCTAAACTTGATTCGACCCACGAGTGTTCGAACGAGCAACGGTAGCAGGAAGGTCGCCAGTCCCATGCTGACATCAGTATTGACCTGTTGGATCCGTCTACTTCCAAGGCATGCTTCAGTATTCCGACCGTTCCTCAAGCAGCTGAGGCCGATTTTGCTCACCATTATCGCGGACGGTGAAGCTCTCGCACGGGAACGGGATCTGGCCATCCAACTTCTCTGCTGGCTGCTATGGTCGGTGCCGAAGAATGCAATCGTTCCGGAATCCATTTCAATGTTCCGTAATTTGATCAATGCGGCACATGCCACGGTCGACAAAGCATTTCGAGCCGTTGTCGAGGAATACGAATCGAATGATGCCACCACTACCAGAGTCAGAGGCAGGCAGAACTTCGCTAAAGATCCAAAACAAACGGAATCAGACTCCGCTGGACTACCTCCCTGGACTGGGATTCAGGAAGGTAGTCATAGACTACGGGTGATACTAGAGTGGTTGACCTGCTTACTGTCTGTTTCATCCGCTGAACCCTTGTCTTTACCAATTGGGGCGCTTTCAGATTTGACAACTCGTCTCATGGCAATCACAGTTCCATCTGGCAAGGCCGGGGCGATCAATGACATGAAGTATCACGAGGAGGCAAGCAAGGACGAAAAGGAAGAGTTGTGGGTAAATTTGCCTGAAGTTCACAAAGGTTGCCTCAGGCTTCTTGCAGAACTATGCTCATCGCTTGGACAAGCTCTCTTTCCCCTGCAGCAGACGATCGTAGGCCAGATTCTTGATCTCTTTGCAAGTATGTCCTGGCATGAAAGCGTCAGGTCAGAGATCTATTCCGTTATCGGGATGATCATGAAGAAGCTTGATATTTCCGCCCTAGAGAGTCACCGGGCCGCTTTCTTAAGCCTACTGGAGCGATGCTGCGACGATTTGAAAACAGGATATGTGCAAACAACCGGAAGCAATACTACCCCTGCCAAGAACGATAGTATTCACCTAGGCTCTAACGTGGCCCCAAATGAGAAGTCCCAGGTTGGTTCTTCGTGCAAGCAACCAGATGTAGTCGAAGCTGCTTGGATGTTGTTGTCTCAGTCACTTAAATACTACCCAGCTACATCGCTATCACGACATATACGGACAGAGATGGATCGAACTGCAGTCTTATTGGACCATAAGGATGCTATGTTAGCAAGCATCCTGAATCCGGTACTCGCGAAAGACGGCAAAGTTGCAGGCGCAAGCCTATTACCCTTCCTTGTGAGATCAATGGACGACAACATGGTCCTCGACGCCCTGCTCAGACCGCGAATGCCAGTGCTTACTGATGGTGGAGTCCAAGTTGGGACGAATTCCACAGTCCAGGTTGGAGATGCCGAGGAGAATGAAAGTGATGGCTTGGCTGAGACTGATGTACTGGCACATTTGGAGCAGTCGGTGGCAGAACAACAAAACGAGGATGCAAGGGCTCTGGAAGCCAGAGTGGATGAAGTCCACATCACTTCTCGCCTGGAGGATAATAAGGACGTTCGGGCACAAAAAAGGTCGATCGATGCCCTGGAAACCGAGTTCGTCAGCGACGGTGCTCATTCAACAGGATATCTTGGGTTGAGGGAACCCAAAAAGTCGCGTTCGGAAGCCCTCTCCGAGGAGGTATTTACGCCAACCACAGAAGACACCCACACTGGTCGTCCCAGTGAAGTTGATGCTGATACTGAGCATTTGGGGAGACTAAACACACAGCCTCCTCTTTGGCAGGCTCAAGGGCCAGAGTCTCCTAGCTACCCCGTTTCGGACACAACAGCACCCAAACAACCTCCACAGGATGACAGCGATAGTGACGACTCAGAGATTCCTACCATTGATCCCGAGCTGGACACTGACGAGGATGAAGAGATGCTGTGAGACATTGCTTCCAGAATTGAGCGTCATAATGAACCAGATTGTCAATCCACCTCTATCTGCAAAAATTCCCCTGGTCCGGGGATCTCCCTCGATCCCAACGTCAATCATCAAGCGTGTGGTTGCCCTTGCGGTTCTCGACCCGAATGATTTTGTTGGCACTATATAACGACTTCTGTAGTTGTTATCGCCGAATGTTTTTTTTAATATCACGTGATTTCGCGATAGCTCACGAACCCTGGTACGCGTCAAGCTTTTCGGGCTCACGAGGTGCTTCATTTTCGTCATTTCCAAGTAGCACCCTAAACCAATTCGCCCGTCTGCGTAGAAGTTGTTTTCTTTCGGTCGATTTGCACTCATGCCCTGCTTTTAGGTCTTGTCAAGGGCGCCCTAGCCATCATGCCCCGGGTTCTGCCACCCTCGTTTCCCGCGTCTGGATCCACCAAGAAGATGCCAAAAAGAACGATCGAAACTGTGGACCTGACAGGTGATGATGATCTTCCACCACGCTCTAGAGCCAAAGTACCAAAGCAAAGGGCATCTCATGCCTCTTCCCATCGAGATCATGCGCAGTTGCCGACTCCGCCCTCATCCAGCCAGCCTAGCTCTTCAAGCAACCGTCCCAAGCACAATTACAGCGGATTTCCCTCATCATTGGGCTCACGATCATATCGCTCTTCGGAAAGAGACCTGTGGCCATCCACGCAAGAACAGGAAGCTGAGATTGCATGCGAGATTGTGCTAACTGAGGACTTCGACGACGACGTTTACGAAAGCTATCAGCTGTACGGTATCCTTGATACCAAGGTTGTGGGCTGCAGATTCTACGATGGCCAAGCTACGACCGGCGAGTATGTGAAAGTGAAGCGTGAGCCAAGCAATCCTTATGACAGCAACGCCATTCGAATTGATAACGTACTTTGTGATCAAATTGGGCACATCGGCAGGCAGGTGGCAGCTAAGCTGGCTCCCCTGGTAAGTGTCTCTCACCCTATTTAGTGATATATGAGTCTGCATTGTCTGTCCAGATGAAGACATCGTGGTCAATGCCCTCATTATATCTTCTTTTTGTTTGCTCTGGACCGGGGGGCCTTATAGTATTGACATTTCTGCAGATGGACTCTGGTCAGCTACTTGTTGAGGGCTGCCTCACAGGACCAAAGTCATTCTATGATTGTCCAATCGGCCTTAAATTATTTGGTACGAGTGATCCTGTTGCCGGATCCGCTCTTGCTCGCAGGATGCAAGAGTTGAGGCTCCCCCTCAATCAGTACGGTCAATTCAAAAGACGGTTACAAGAGCAGGAAAAGGAGCGGAAATCTCGAGAGAAGGCAGCAGCAGCTATGGTCCGCAAGGGAAATGCTGTATATGACCTTCAAGGTCCCAATAGATACAGCAATTTCATCCCCCCAAATAGCGCTGCAAGTCAACCACCCGAACGCATGGATCAACTCCTGAATGGCACAAGTACTTTCAACCCCCGCGATGTCGAAGACATGCTCCACAGAATTGGTGCTGGAGAGGACGTTCTCGAGAAGCTGCCAATGGCTGAGCAACCCAAGCAACTTGCAACCCGTCTACTCCCATATCAGCTACAAGGTCTCCAATGGATGCTAGATCATGAGTTCCCAGAATTGCCGCAAAGGAGCGGTGATGTTGTACAGATGTGGAAGAAGAAGGGCAAACTCTACACCAACATCGCAACGAATTTCTCTTTCAGTCAAGCTCCGCCGCTCGCCAGCGGCGGTATCCTTGCTGATGATATGGGTCTTGGTGAGTCAAGAGTTCATTCCAACATTTTCGTTCCCGATTTACGGCTTATTGACGTGAGAAATTCAGGCAAAACTATCCAGATAATATCTCTCGTCATGGCCGATCCGCACAAAGACGGCCAACCTACGCTAATTATTTCTCCCTTGAGTGTCATGAGCAACTGGAGTCATCAAGCATCTTTACATGTCAGGAAGAAATACACACCAAGAGTACTGACGTATCACGGCGCGGAAAACAAAAACTTGTCTCGGGAGGAGCTACAGAAGTACGACCTTGTCGTTACAACCTACCAGACCATGACGCAGGAACTTTTCCCAAATCGCTCCTCAGAACCTATCCGGACTCCTGCAGCAAAGGGATTGTTCTCAATGACTTGGCGACGACTTGTTCTAGATGAAGGCCACCAAATTCGGAATCCCAAAGCCAAGATGTCCCTTGCAGCATCCAAGCTGGACGCCAAATCTCGCTGGGTGTTGACAGGCACGCCGATCGTGAATAACCTGAAAGATCTGTACTCGCATGTCAAGTTTTTGCGTCTATCGGGCGGTTTAGCTGAGTTCGAGATATTCAACTCGACCCTTATTCGGCCTCTCAAGAATGGAGAGGATGGCTCGCGTTTGCTGCTGCAAGCTCTAATGTCAACACTATGTTTGCGTCGAATGAAGGACATGAAGTTTATCGATCTGAAGCTTCCAGACCTCAGCTTTCACAAGTATACCGTTCGCTTCTTGCCTCACGAGCAGGAACGTTACGATGCTTTCAAGGCGGAGGGGCAAGGTCTGCTCCAATCTGTCAAGGTTAAGAAGGGAGAAAACAACATGACGCACCTACTTGAGGTTCTTCTCCGACTACGCCAGACCTGCAATCATTGGAAAATGTGTGGCGACGAGCGAGTAAAGAAGCTGCTAGAACTTGTGGAAGGCAATACTTCGGTAGACGTATTGAATCCTGCCAATCGAAAGGCCCTTCAGGATCTGTTACAACTTCGTATTGACTCACAAGATGACTGTTGTGTCTGCCTCGACAACCTCAAAAGTCCCGTCATCACATCCTGCGCTCACGTCTTCTGCAGAGACTGCATCGAGAGGGTCATAACAACTCAACAGAAATGCCCTATGTGCCGTGCGCCCTTGGCAGAAAAGGAGAAGCTTGTCGAGCCGGCAGCGGGAATCGGTGAAGGTGACGAGTGTGACATGGATATTGATCCGGACACAAGCAGCAGCAAGATCGAGGCTCTTATCAAGCTCCTCAAAGCTGCTGACGCCGAGAGCGATGGCAAGACAGTGGTCTTTTCGCAGTGGACATCGTTTTTGGACATCGTCCAAGTCCAACTCCTTCGCGAGGGTATGAACTTTACGCGACTGGACGGCAAGATGAACTCTGCGCGTCGTGATGCAGCAATGGACACTCTCAACAGTGATGCATCTTGCAAGATCATGCTGGCTTCTCTCTCTGTCTGCTCTGTCGGGCTGAACCTCGTGGCTGCCAATCAGGTCATCTTGGCCGACTCATGGTGGGCTCCAGCAATTGAAGATCAGGCCGTCGACCGGGTCTACCGACTCGGACAGACTCGAGACTGCAAGGTGGTGCGGCTGATCGTGGAGGGCACGATTGAAGATGAAGTGCTTGAGATACAGGCGAGGAAGAGAAAGCTTGCAAGCGAGGCATTCGGCGAAATCGACGCCGGCAAGAAGAGGCAGGAACGCACGGGAACCCTCAGGGATATTGAACGCCTTTTAGCCTAAGGTCCAAGGAGAGTGGGTTTGTTGATACGGAGTTTTCCAGCGCCAGACACCCTGTTTGTGTTTTGAGATGGTCTTGTGGAAGACTCGTGCTATTGCACTGATATGAACCGGCTGGTGTTGCAACTTCGAGAATCGAAAGGATGGCAGACAGCCTTGTAACACTAGAAGATCTAACTGAGGTCTGTGATCAACCGGGGCTGAATTATTTGTTGAAATTCCTGAACACCCCTGCAAACTAGAGACGGGTATAGCTCCTGTCAGTACGGATGGGTAGATTAACAAACTTAATAAACCTGATCAAAACCTTTTGTGATTCGATGGCAGCTGTCAGAGTATGCAAAGTACTTCCCCGGTGTCTGCCATGATCCAGGCGTATTAATCTATATCCGAAGCCTAATGCCAGCCTCGAGGCCAGGAACAGAGACAAAATACGGGACGCGGCTCCCTTATTGTGTACGAGCGCCGGAATCAACCGGAGACTTAGACAAAAGCACCGCATGCTGAGTAACAAGGCAAAGCTTGTTCACAGATATCAGGAAAAAATGGTGTGATGTTTGAGACTTTTTGAGGTGGTTGACTGCGGACAGAACGGAGGATCCATAGCAGCAGTTTCAGCTTTTTTTCCTTTCCATACCCACCAGCCACAGGTGCCGCGGCAACGAGGAAAAACCCCCCTGCGATGTCTTAGCAAAAAGCGCAGAGGGCTGGAAGAGGACCAGGGAATCCTAGGCGAGCCAGGGATTTACCCGCCTAAGGTCGCCTACCGGGCGGGCAGTGGAAATTTGACTGTCCCTTCTGCTTATCGTTGAATTTCTCCTTCTGTTGTAGGGACGGTGCATGGCCGTAGCTTATCCGGAGAGCCTGTGGAGTCGTGGGTCGAAATCTCAGCGCACATGTCTCTTCCTGGCTCCCAGAGCACTCCGTAGACTTTGCCTACCTGCTCGTGCCGAGATCAGCTGGCGAAATGGCGAGGATGGAAGAAATGAGGAGCGACAACGGGGTTGAATACGCGTGGGTTTGCGAGGTGCTTGTGCTCGTGACACAATATATGGGGAAGATGCAGCGTAGATCCCCGATGTATGAGATGCAGATGACCAGATTTCCACGGGTCCAGGTCGATGAAGCTCCGTACAGGCCTGCAAAAGTCAAACGACGTCAGGCCATGTGCCGGGAAGTTGTATAAGTGGTTGAACCGGCTGTGGGCGTTGAGGATGGATTTACTTTGTACATTTTAAGAGAGGGGCTTCTTGCCAGGTGCCCTAGAGAGCCTAAACATGCAGTAGTGGCCCTGGAGAGGCCGCCCAGGCGATGCTATTGCAGCGCTGGGGAAGCTAGTTGAGTTAGAGAGCATAAACCTGGGGACATCAGGCCACCTTAGCGACTGGCTGCGAGTTGTGCACCGTAGGCGGCCAAACCCTCCAGCCCAGTAATTAGCTTTAACTAAACTCAACGGTGGATAACGCGTGCGGGGGACCTCGATGGGAAGCTCAAGCTTCTGCATGTTTTGGCGTCACCAGCGTCCTTCAGGTTTCCTGCCCGCTCCACCCCAAATCCATCACCGCCGCCGACTGTGCTCGCTGCGCATGCTTCTGTCCAGCAGAACACACCTCATTCTCGCTCACACCCACTCACTCGACTCGAGCTTGTGTAGAATTCTTTCTTCCTAGTTCGTTCTACCTGCACGGCATGCCTGTCTTAGTCTCGTAGCAACGACTCAGCTCCCTCCCTGCCGACGCTCCTCTGGCTCCGGAAGAGACAAGAGTCATCTTCTCTCCTCCTCGCCGCGCTGCTGTCCTCCTCCGCTGCCGGTATGGCACCCATAGGAAGAGCCGTCTTTGCGACGCTGCTCATGAATGATGCCTACCTCCCTGGTACGCTATGCCGCTCGCTATGATTTCCAAACACTGACCAGTTTGCAGGTGCCATGGTCCTCGGCCACTCCCTCAGAGACAGAGGTGTCAAGGCTCCTCTGGTAGCTTTTGTCACTGTCGATAAACTCACCTCAGACACCATCAACGAGCTCAGAGTTTGCCACCCCAGCACAGGTTTCTCTGTACGTGGGCTAACTTGGGCAGTCTGTATACGATGAAATCGTCCCCATACAGCAGATCACTAACAAGAGCCCTGCCAATCTCTACCTCATGAACAGACCCGACTTAATATCTACCTTTACAAAAGTTGAGCTGTGGAGGCAGACCCAGTATACGAGGATAATATACATGGACGCCGACATGGTCGCACTGAGAGCGCCGAACGAGCTTCTTACACTGGACGCAGACTTTGCTGCTGTGCCTGACATAGGCTGGCCGGACTGCTTCAACACTGGCTTGATGGTCCTGACTCCTAACATGGCAGACTACTACGCTTTGTTGGCCCTGGCTCAACGAGGCATCAGCTTCGATGGAGCAGACCAGGGACTTCTCAATATGCACTTTCGAGATTGGGAAAGACTGAGTTTTGTCTACAACTGCACACCCAGCGGGAACTACCAATACGTACCTGCCTACCGACATTTCCAGAGTAGCATAGCAGTGGTACATTTCATCGGACAGGACAAGCCTTGGACTTTGGGGAGAGACAACAGGTTCAATACTGGGGTGTATGGAGAACTCTTGGGCTTGTGGTGGTCTGTCTATGATCGGCACTATCGACCACAGGTGAGTCTGGCACTATCATTAACTCCCACAGGCAACGTGCTCAACCGTGCCCAGACCGTGACACACTACGATACCCAGACGTACACAGCGACGAAGAAGGTTCAAGATTATGTCCGTGGAGAGGAGCCATTATATGTCCCCAACTACTCCAGCCAACAGCAACAACCGCAACAAGCACCGTCACCTCAGCAGGGCCAGATCCCACTGCCTCCAGTGATCACCATACAGGACTCTGATTCTCATGAATCTGTCAAGGTCGAGATGCCGCTAGGTGATGCGCCAACTCCGGCGATGCGATCTGATTTTGCTCCGGTTGCTACTTCTGAACAGAGACGCTTTAGTGCACCCCACGTTGAATGGGAGCCTTCAAGGTATGCTGCCAGTCAGTGCTGATTACCAAGTATTGACATTGTTCAGAGCACCGCCGCCTACGCATTCCAAACCCGAAGCAGCCAATTTCCCAACCACCATATACGATATGTCCAGTGATACCCAACTATTCCAGCCTCCATCTAAGTACCCTGAGCCGCCAAAGGACATGTGGTATCAAGTACCAGAAAAGATCCCTGAACCTGTTAAGCCGAGACAGATTTTCCCTTGGGAAGCACGAGCTCCCAAGCCTACTCGAGTATTTCCTCAGCCAAGACCACCTAGTCCTCCTCCGAAGCCAGTACAACAAGCGACGCCCAGCGTCAATCCTGAAGAGGTAAACCCAGGCGCGACAGAGTCATCGAAGGAAACGGAAGGAAGTCCACCCACTCCCGCACAGCGAGAAACAGTCAACCCCTGGGAAGCCTTCCAGCATCGGACGAACGCCTGGGACGACATGCCTGAAATTGAACGATACATGAGATCACTTACTCAATCAAAGAAAGGAAAGTTGCAAGTCTTGCACCATACACCGACGCAGCGTTCTCCTGGCGGAACTGCCATTGCCTCGCCTGCTACTGGGGACTCCCAGCGACGACCGAGTTTGAAACTGACCGATTTTCCTACCGCTGTTGAACGACCGAGCTTACCCGTAACGCCAGCGCCGATCCGTCGAGCCACGATATGGGGTCAGGAGAGAGACGAAGAAACTTTGCCTACGGCTGAAGGAGTGCCGAAGCAAGAAGATTGGGTGCGTCGATTCTCCTCCTACCCCACGCCTGATTTTGCCGTTGCATTGCCTTCCACCCTTGTCCATGATCTGCCCCATGTTTTTTATTGGAGATGCCAATATTGTGGTAAACAGAATCCGGTGGCGAAACTCGAAGAGCTCCAAAGACGACAAAGTGAGCTGTTTTTGTCGCCCACCCCTTCGAAAGAGCTTGATGACGTTGCTGAGCTACCACGGCGTGAGATGCCGGAGAGCAATAGCAAGGAAGCGGTCATTGAAAAGACGGAGTTGGCGATCTCCCCGACCAAGACACCAAAGGTGCCGAAACCGATCCTAAAGACTCCTCATTTCGAGTTGGGAAAGGAACCGGATGAGCCGACAGTTGATATAGACAGGGCGCCTGATGAAAAGGAGGATATCTCCAGTCCGACAACTACTCGCCCGCTACCTCAGACTGCAGTGGCATAGAGAACCGGTCGAGTGACAGTAAAGACTGATGTGATACGTCTGTGAGTGAAGAGGGGGCAGGATGATCATGATGGTCACGACTTTGGGAATCTTGGGTTACTTTGTTGTTTTCAAGTATCTCCTCTACGTTGCAAGTGAGCATTTGATTTGTTGTTGTTGTTCTTTGACGGCATTTGAATGGGCGCTGAGGTTATGTTACGTGGTGTTAATGATTTATAATTATGTATCAAAAGTAGCATAGAGAGCCATCACCAGTGATTTGAATGAAAAATGTGGTCAAGTCTGATCAACTACCTAGTGATAAGTAAGGTGTATGTATGTACTTGGATGGTATGGCCTTGCTCTCTGTTTTGCATACGGAGTAATTGGTAAGAATTACTGTGTACCTAGGTAATGTAAAACGATTGTTTACCGGTACCTCAGTAGGATGAGGCAGCCCCTTTTTCAGCCTCGCCTTATCTGGACTATCTCTCTATTGGGCAAGTTAGTGCTTCGGAATATCCGTGCCATTGCTCCGTAGGTACTCGAGCGCTAGGGTACGGAGTACAAATGTTAGATAGGGCGAAATAAGGGTACGCGTCTCCTTTCCGGGGGAGGGTTCTTTGGATGACCAATCCAATTTTGCTTTTGAGACGGGGGCCTTGTTGTGTCTTTCTTTATAGAATAGCGAGCGCCGTGCGTCGACGTAGCGTTTTCAATCAATCCGTGTATGTGTATGTGTCTGTGTGTTTTTCGTTTGAGAAGAAACACCAACCACAGAGTGTAGCTCAGTCCCGGCTCAGTCCAGCTCGAGGAGCCAGCCTGCTCTGATAAAAAAAAAAAGAACAATCCGATCAATCGACAATCGACAATCGACAATCGACAGCGCCACTCTGTGGTCTGTACGGAGGAACCTAGGTGAACAATGGCCTATAAATTCGTCGGTCTCTCGCCGGAACAAATCGAAGCGAGACGCCACGCCCTCGACCGCGCAGGGTGGTATGCCTGGCTCAGTCCTCTGGTCTTGATGGCGGTGGTGGGCGTGTGTCGTCGAGTACTTGCCTTCTGGTCGAGCGTCGGCCACGGTCGAGGCCAAGGTCAAGGCCACGCCCACAAACTCCCGAAACTACCTGTGCTACTGCGCCGGCTGAACTGGGTTCTGGGGACGACGTACCTCAGCCCCGAATTCGGTCCTCTGTCCGTGCAGGTGTGCGGCGTCGCGTACACGGGGTGGCTTCTGTACCTCGTCTTCCGCGGCACGGGGGAAGACTACATGCACGTCACCAAGGCGTTTGGGCACGTCGGCGTCAGCCAGATGCCTCTGCAGTACCTTTTGAGCGTCAAGTGGCCCGCGTCGTCGTCGTCGTCGTCGTCGTCGTCGTCATTCCCCTACGGTCCTGTTCGGTCCTTCGCGGCGGGCACCTTGAGCCATGAAAAACTAAACGTCTATCATCGCCTGCTGGGACGCGTGGTGCATGCGTTCCTGGCCGCGCACGCCGTCCTGTATCTGCGCTTCTTTGCGCAGATGGGGTGGCTGGAGAAGCGCGTGCGCGATTGGGACGTCCGGTTCGGCCTGTTGGCGTTCTGGGCCCTGAACGCCCTGGCGCTGTTGAGCGTGCCGGCCATCAGGAGGCGCGCTTACCATGCACTCTTCTGGAGGAGTCACGTCGTGCTCGGGGTCGCGGTGCCGCTGTTTGTCTTTGCACACGTCAAATATACCAGGGTCTACGTGGCTCAGGTGGCCATTGTGTGGGCGGTCAACTTTGTGGTGAGGACACGGGCGAGTGAGATTGGCCAAGTCACCTGCGAGAACGTGCAGGGAACCATTGCCACCACCACGACTACGACCACTCCTATCGGCGGCACCGTCACTACTGGTACTGAGCGCACGAAAACGTCGGTATTGGTCAAGGTGAAGATCATCGCGAAGAAGGGCGGCAGGCTCGCGAAGGCGACACCGGGACAGCATGTGTTTCTGCATTCCTCGAGTGGCGGCGGTGGTGTTGCGGCCAAGAATCCATTCACCATTGTGAGTGTCACGACCGAGGCAAACAAGGAGGGTGTCGAGCTGGTGCTTGTGGTGAGAGGGCTAGGTGGGCCGGGCACGAAGGGGTTGGCGGATCTGGCGAAGACGGGGAAGAAGGTGGATATGCGAGTTGAGGGACCGTACGGGAATGCACACGACGATGTGGACAGGTTGGTGAACGCGGGGACAGCGAGCCCAGTGTTGCTCGTCGCTGGTGGTGTTGGCGCCACGTACACGATTCCCATTTACATGTCACTCCTGAACCACGCCAGGAAAACCGGTAAGCGACAAGGCATACTCGAGATGGTGTGGTTGGTCAAGGGCGTTGGGGATGCTGCTTGGGGCGTGGAAATCTTGCGCCAGCTGCATGATGAACGGATTGACGTCGATCTGTACATCACGGGCGAGGATCCTGATCCGAGTCTTGCGCAGGGGTCGGATTTGCCGTCAGAACCAGAGATTCATGGATTGAAGATACATGCAGTCGGGAGAAGACCAGACTTGACGCCAGAAGTGGATGGCTTTTTCACGGCCTCGGCCTCGAATGGAGGAGACGTACATCACGCTCTCTCTGATGAAGGAGCCGCTGAGGTCAATGTATTTGTCTGTGGACCGTCCTCGTTGTCGGCAGATCTCAGGAAAGTGGTTGGGCGCCACGTCGGTGGGAAAGGTAGACAGGTGAGATGGATTGAAGAAGCGTTTGGATTTGGGGGGAGTTAGAAGGACGACACATTTTGTAGTACCTATGCAGCAATTGAGTACCTTAGACGATCCATCACTGTCACTGCATGAGTCTTTGGTTCTATCAGATATGCTGTAACATTGGTCACAAGGGTCGATGCACGCCGTTGTCATGCCGAGTCTCTTCAGAGAAGTGAAGTAGGAGATGAAGAAGCAAAGCAGCTGATGATCTCACCGCGAAGCAAACGCACTTACCTGTAAGAGACCAAATGGGTTGTGACAGAAGCATGTACGTGGATAGATACATGCATATCGATCTATACATTCCATTACTTGTCCTCATTTCCACTCTTTTTCTGGTCATCGCCATCGTCGTTCACCGGGATCGAGACCTGTTGCGGTACATCCTACATTCACGAGCTAGACAACATGCTTCTTACCTCTCAAGATTCAGATGTCCAGACCAAGGGACTACAAGAGCCATCAAACATGCCAATGACAGACACCGAGCGTGCCTTGATGCTCTTTCTGACAGCCGTCGGGTTCTTCTTCATATCGTTGATATGGAATCTTTACGTCCAATTCGGCTGGGAGCGAGACGGTGTTGGTCAGCTCGACAAGCACGCTGCTGGGGCCATGGAGCTTGATCGATTAGCAAGCAGACAGCCGAGATTTCATCAAGGTCTGGGAAGAGAGAATGGTGTTATGGCCGCTGCGGCATATGAGATCGACCGAGCAGCATAACATTTTCTCTGGCTCGGATGTCACCCGTTGGGGTGAGACGTGGAACATGAATAGCCGTGGTTGCAGTGAGAGAGAGACGATGGACTCGGTTCGCAGGCAACGTGGTTGATCGATCAGCCCACAAAATGGCTGTAATCTGATATGTGACTTGACCTCACACGGAGTAGATGAGCACTTCTGAGCTAAAACCCTCGCACGCGGTGGTCGTTCGTCCGTGATGATCGGCCGAGACTACCTGGTTAGGTAGATTCTGTGGACAGCGAGGATGGCACATACTCGTACCTTTTGTGCCTCGGGGCATCAATATCAGGGAGACCTCAACAGGCAGATCTGGTCAATCAATGGCCTTAGAGTCACAAGACCCTTGGGGAAGGTTTCAGCCACAGCCACTGACGTTGCTGCAAAGCTGTATATTCGAGATGCCTCCCGTACAGAAGCCGGACGTATCAATAGTTGCTTGCCGTTGAGACACTCCTTCGAGTAGCAATGATAGCCCTGTCACAGCGGAGTTTCTGTTAGCTGTGGAAGAGAGGAGAATTGGAGCAGCGACCAGCCAGTTGTGTGGCTTTGGCCCGAAGCTAAGATCGCTTCTCTATCAAGACGTGTTTGTCACCGGCGACTTTTGAACTTGTAAACCCTTTTTTCCTGGTCCCTGCACCAGTTGCGCACGCTTGACGGCGACACATGAGTCGATCTCTAGAGAAGATCCCTTCCTTGCTGTCTCGATACGAGCTACGATTACGAGTTCGGCCACGCTACACATGCTCTTCATTGAATGTGAATGAACACTCGTCCCGTTTTGTTCTGCTCGAGACTGCGAATTGCCTCTTCCCGCCTGCATCTCTCTTTCTGCGTTGCGTGACTACGTGTGATTGTGCAATTGTCAACGTCGTCTAAGTGGGAGTTTGTTGCTTGACTGGACGACCCTTACTACTACTTCTTTGCATCAGCATCCTGACCCCGCGAAGGACGTACAGTACACGGACCCGAGTTACCTGTACTAAATGATCTGACCCTGCACCAGAACCACCTTACCGCTGTCATGGCCTCCAACCCTTTCCAACAGTTTTTGGGACGGACCGCGTTCTACCTGTTCGGTATCTTCAGCTACCTTCTTTACTTTGGTTTGTCCATAAAGAGCGGGGCATACTTCAAAAAGAACACGGAGCAAGACGATCTACAGTTCGCCATTGGTACGTGGGAGAGCTTGGGGTACGAATATTATGCTGACGAGCGTTCTGCAGAACGAGATCGTTTCTGGAATTTGACAAAGGAACCCCTGCCAGGCTTCAAACACTACTTCTACTCTCTGCGTAATGGCCTCAAACTGCACTACCTCTCCAATCGAGCCGAAGCAACGACTGGCAATCTAATCGTCTTCCTCCATGGGTTTCCCGACAGTTCAATGATGTGGAGGCATCTATTGCAAGAGCCGGCCATACCGAAGAGCGAGGCCACCTTGGTCTGTGTCGACTTGCCTGGGTATGGAGGCAGTGACAGCTTCAAGGTCTACGACACCGAGGTGCTGGAAGCTCTGACCGAGTTCGTTGTTGCCATGCGAGACCGTTATATTCCAGTCGAGGAAACAGACGAGGCGAAGACGTTCATTGTAGGGCATGACTGGGGCTGTGTACTTGGCTTTCGCCTCGCTGCAGATGCTCCCTGCCTGGCCGATCGCTTCATACTGACCAACGCTCCACATGTGAATAAGCCTGTACCTGGTTAGTGGTCTGTTATGCTGACCGGCCTGCCTCTAGGTTGAACTCGCTCTTGCAAACAAGGACCGCATCATCCAATCAGCCTCCAAGATCTTCAAGCAATTCAAAAAGTCGCCGAAGCAACACTTTGGCTGCTTGTCCAAATCCATCAATACGCTGAAGCCGCTGTTGTGGCAGACATTGTTGATGGGCTACATATTCGTGTTCAATTTGCCTTCTTTCTTTGTCCATTCTCTGGGGACTGGTGGGAACTATTCGTTCCTGCGAGGAGCCAACAAGGTAGGATACGATAGGCACTCAGATGAGTTCCGCGCTCAGGAAGCTCTCGCATCAACACTCGGCCCTGGTCCCGAAGAGTGCAGAACTGCGACCCACGATGGGACTACCTACGGTCCGTCTGTGGCAGTAAGAGCCGCGTCCTCCGCAGACGCCTTCTGGAACATGACCGGAGTCTACCGTGATGGACCAGCAACAAGACCTTGGACCAAATCTCTCGAGACCTTGGCAGACCTGTATGCCCTTGAAAACTCTACTTCGGAGTCGAGCCCTCCCGGCAGCAGACGCCGGTCGTCGGTTTCGAACCACAGCATCTTTGTTGACCCCATCAAGGGAAAGCTTAATGCACCGGCTTACGTGATCTGGGGGGAGAAAGACCAGGCGTGCACCCGAACCATATGCTTGGACGGCTTGGGAGATTATCTTGCCAAAGACAGTGAGGTGACGATCCTGCCTCGAAGTGGTCACTGGACGCCTGTGGGCAAGGAGTCTCGCGCAGCTCTCGCTACTGCGATTGGCTTGTTTGCAGGGAGAAATGCCAGGCCTGTGTCAAAGATGACTGCTGAAGTACAAAAGGTCTATCCGGACGCAGTTATGATGGTGAAGAAATGATTGCCACGACTAACGACGAGATGCATGTCCTCGGATTTCCACGCAGACCAGCGGACGAAAGGATTTGCCTCTGGAGACTTCAGACTCGTATACGATTGACGTTGTTCGGATGATTTTGAAACAATGATTTACTTGGGAGGTGCTTCGTAGGTGTAGCTGAACTTGACGAGCTACATTGGGATGAAAGCGATGCCTATGCCAATGACTATTACTGCATTAATGGCAATGTACTCTGACCGTCAATACCACCAAGGAATGAAAGCTATCGCTTGTCTCTGTGCCGTCGAACCAAAATCCAGCCCGTCCAAGACGTGAGCTGGAGACCAAGGACTATGAGGACAATGCTGGTGACCGTCACGCCAAACTCGACACCCTTGTAGCATGAGTGTGTTGTTGACCGGCGTTGGGCAAGCGTCGGATTCGTGGTCCGGCTGGTGGTGGTCGTAAGAGTTGAAACCGGAGCGTCTGCTTCCGCCAGAGTTGTGGAAGCCACGGATATCGACAGCATCATCGCCATGATAAGGACGACGGAGTGCCCCAAGAGCTGGTCCATGGTGCGTGACGTGTGACGTGTCTTGTTGGTTATCTCTACGCGTAGGTAGGTATCGTTTGTCGCGTCGACTGTCGTCTGTCCCGGACCAATTCGTTGGTACCTGTAGACTGAGAACGTGGTGTTTTGTCCAAAGGGCCGAGGCTGTCTCTCTGTCTCTCTGTGTGTGTCTCTTGGGGTTGACGAACTGATTCGTTTCGAGACTTACTTGAGTCGGGGAAGGGAGGGTGACGGGTTTGGGGGGGTGTGGAATCGATCTATCTAGTTGTCTGGTATCGTTCGACTTTCGTGCAAGTAGTATCATCGATGATCAGATATAGACAGAGTGTGACGCACCAGTCAGATCGGGTCTCGTGGTCTCGGTGTGTGTGTGTGTGTGTGTGGATGGGCAGAGAGTCACCGTGAGTGATACAGTGGGAGCAAGTCCTCGATCTATCTCCGAGGTACATGTAGTAATATACACACTACCTGCATGCCCAGGTAAGTAGATATCGAAGTATCTGGCTAACTAATAAGTAAATACGTGTCACCGACAAACTGGGCGAAGCATTCACCACAGAATAGGTACCTCCCTACCTACCTACCTGCCTACCAACCTCCTTACCTGGGAAGGTAAGTGTTGGCAACCCGCGTGAACAAGAAGGATTGGTACGAACCGACACCCAGCGAAGTGAAGAAAAGCAAAGGCAAGTCAGATTAAGGGAAGGGGGGAGTGAGTGAAGTGAAATGGACTGGCGGGAGAGGAAGATGAGGGAAGATGAGGGTAGGAGTCTCACGTAGGTGTGCCTCAGGTAGGGAACAGGTAGCTAAGTAGGTAGGTCAGGGAGGAGGTACGCAAGATAGACTGTGATCGTATGTGTATACTCGTACCTTACATAAGATTAATTGCTCACCACGTTTCAGTCGTGCCCTCATTCCCTTCATTCCCTTCAGTTCTGGTCGCAAAGGCCCAGCCAGGGTGTTTGAATACTTTCTGCTTCGGAATTCCCCGAGACGTAGCGCCCCTTCCGATCGATTCCACGATCAACTGAAATATATAAAGAGTATGGAAAAACCAGTGAGCCTCCCAACAACACCTCCAAAAAAAAAAGAGAAAAACAGGAATAAACGCCGTCGCTGGATCGATCATGGTCACGTATAGGCACACTTCTCCGATTCCCTCTTTTTTCTCTCCCCTCTTTCCAGAAGAACAAAAACACCATCCACGGAGACCACGCAAAATGGAAACGGTTTCACACCCCGACACTTGTATCTCATCGCCCAGTCGCACCGCCAACCCACCGGACATCGTAGGACCTTGTACCTCATCGCTCAATCACACCGCTTGCCTGACGAATGTAGGCATGTTTGGATCCTTGCCAGTAGCCGTGTCTTAGAACAAGATATCCAGACAACAACAACACGCAAAAGCCGCGAGGAAAGCAGCGCAACATCCATCGGCATCACTGCGTCTATCGATGTACGTCACCTGCGGCGGGGGTTGTCCGTAGTACATCCCCTGCTGTGGTGGTCCGTAGTACCCGCCCGGGGGTGGTCCTTGTTGCGGATATGGACCCTGCTGTGGATTCCAGCCTCCTTGCTGAGGGGGAGGATAGTCATAGCCTCTGTTGTCGGCGTAGTTGTAATTGTAATTCTGCGGCGGGCCGTAGTTCTGGTCGCTCGGGATCATCCCTCGCTCCCCGTTGTACGGCCCTGCATCGTGGTGGACCGGAGGAGGAGACGAGATGGCAGGCGGCGGCGGAGGACCGTCAGGAGGCTTGTATTCCTCTTTGTTCGACATTTTCTTTCGGGCTTTCAACCGCAGTCCAACCTCTTTTCTCTGCCGAGTGAGCTGCAAGACTCGATCACCCAACGCACTCGGATCGTGAGTGTGGTGGTGCGGTGTAGTGGTCAAGGAGGTACGGTAACGCGGGAGCTTCGAAAGCACCTCCTAGACACAGCGATTTGGTGGGGTGACGACGAGTCGCGAAGACGAGGGGAAGAAGAGGAGAGGAAGAAGATGAGCTGAGAATAATATAAATGAGGAAGCAAGTGGTGCGCCTGCGGCTCAGTCCGGGATACAGTAACGGGATAAGATTCAATAGCTCGACTCGCAGCCTCTCAGCCTCTCCGGATTGACCGGCTGCGAAACAAAGCAAAAAGAGGGCTCGGTGTCGTAAGCGGGGTTAATGAAAACCCTCCCTGGGTTCCGGAACAAGGCTGAGAGAAACAATGTTTCGCAAGACAACGAGGCTCAGCAGGCTGAAGGGCGGTCAGTCTCGTGGCTCCCCCTACGGGCACAAAAATGGTTAAGATGCATCAATCCATCGGAAGGAGAGAGACGCCGGAGGATGGAATGTGATTGTTGCTGTTTCGTCGCTTGGTGCGTTTTGATAGGGAAGTTTCGTTTTACTAGGCTAGGTACCTGAAAGTACCTCCCTGGGGATGCGCGGTATGAAAACTATTAGCCTCAGATTGTCACCAGAAGTCGAGATGGCGCGGCGTCACGGTTGATTATGCTAGCAATGGACCATGTTCCGGGCGGCGACAGCGGCCTGAGTCAGCCAGTGACTGTCAAGAAATACCTGTTCATAAGCAATTGCAGGCGTAGGACGAGTGCTGAGAAAGAGAGTACGTGGCGAGTTTCACTGGCACCATGAGCCCGCATTTGAGAACGAGACGAAGAGTGGGTGGAAGGGAGGAAGAATGATGGACGATGGTGTTTGCTTTTCACCCCCAAGAATCTTGAAACCATAAAAGACAGTGATAGAGAATGCAGGGCCATCCCTTTGACAGAAGGTTTGTCACGCTCGGTTTCATGGCTGGAATCCCACTCTGTGACTTCGTAATGCCAATGCAGAACAGAGGCAAGAAATTTGATGATCCCAACGAGTCCTGCACAGATCAGTGGGAGAGCAGAAGTCACCCGACTGATGTCTTCGTGCCGTCCCATCGGTCACCGCTTGACACCGGGGCGAGCGGCCTAGGGAGCCTATGACGGCTCTGACACTTGAGGTCATTTTCGGGGCGGATGGTGGAATGCAATATGCCGCGGCGGCCTTGTAAGTTGTAGCCTATAGGCACGGCAGTTGGCCCATCGTGGTGGTGGGTGGTGGTGGTGGAAGTCGTGGGATTACCAACCCCCGTGCCTAGCGGCCACGGTGATGCGGTATGCCTGCTGAGGTACGAGTACTGTACACTCCTGTACAGGCTACCGGCATCGTAGGGGCCCACAGACAGACAGGGTCGGAAAAAGCAACGATGTGTGCGACATTCCGTGGGCAAGGGTGATCAGGAACTCTGGCAAGCTGATAGATCCCGGATCGATGATAGGTGGTGACGATGCCTCCCAAGCTCGACGCTTCGAGAAGTTCCTCTTATTCGTACGCCTTGGGGTGGATGATGGTATCGCTGCTTCGTGCAATATGCGTGTCACCTTGATATCGGAGCCTTCACGGCCAATTCATGACCCCACCGGGCACTGGCATTGATACGAGGTCTCCGTAGAGGTACGTAGACGAGATGATGGAACCACGGGTGGTGATGGTGATAATGATGCATCATGGTGCTGGCACTTTTGAGGCTGGCGGCATCAGGCGGTGTTCCGTGGTGCTAGTGAGTAGGTACTTATTCCTGTGTTCAACTAGCAGCGTCTCACAGTACAATAGGCTGTCTGGCGAACGCCGAACACACCCCCTCGACAGATGGCATTGCGATTTGCCCGCTTAGGATGGAGGGCGAGTGCTTTGATTGCTGCGAGGGTGCTGTTGTTTTTCCGACCCTCTTGGAGGCTCTCCCACCCTTGGTCCCAAGGACGAGTTTGGGCTTCTACTCGACATCCAAGCGGGAGAAGTATGTCCTGGCGCTTTGTCGCTCACTGCGCAGAGTGACATGTGTATCACTGACCAGGGGGTACACGGTGGTACAATATCCCTACTGTATCATTATGCACTCCTTCCGGAGTATTGGATTCCCATAATTCAGACTTTCCACCATTTCGGCGGGATCCCACGTTCTTCCGTTCCGCAGACAGAGTGTCTCTCCTCGCCTAACTACAATCGCACTAGCCCAAGCCAGGCTAACGAGTGGTGGCACAGTTCTTCTTATCAATTCTTCCCACCAGCATCCATCAGTGCGTCGGGCATCGATGGAAGCTAAGCAGTGCCTAAGTGATCCCGATCCATGTCGCGCTACTCTTTACCAGACCTCCCCCTTGCCCCGATTGTCCAGAGTCTTCTGATTCGGCCTCGCGCTCCAAAGCAAGGCCCCATTTCCCGTTGATCTCGCAGGCACATGTCTCCTGCGAGCCTGTGACTCCCTGTCCGACCGGCACCGCTACTTGTCGCACCTCTTGTTGAGCCGAGCGCATATCTTCCCAAGATAACGACTGATTTACCTGCTCATCACCAACATTCTCCCATCATTGATAAAAAACACACGCGCTCCTCAATCGCCCATCTCATCTGCACAGGGGGAATCTGACAAGTTCCTTCAGGCTTTGGCCTTCCTTCCCGTCTCTCTTGCTGTCCGTCAACTGCCTACAATGAGCACCTACTTGTGGTACACGTTCAGCTGGAGTTCTTTGAGAAAGAGCTTTGCACCGTGGTAGCACTTTGTCCCAACCAAATTGCGTATGTCTCGCTCTCACCGCATCTTATTCTTGCCCGCGATAACACATTCTGACATGTCATACTCCTACAGCTGAATACTGCCTCGAGCATACCTTTTTCGTGGACAAAGGGACTATCGAAACGGTAGATATCGTCCTCCCACGGAGGAGGGGGATATATCCCCATTTTTCCGCTCCTTGCGGACACATACATGATCGTTGAAAGAACACACATTTTCTTGTGAGGAAAGTCCCTTTGTCGATATCATACACCCACAACAGCCTCTTTCCATCGCGGCCTCGATGTTTGGGTCAAACGCGCTGCCGCTTCCTCCACCTCTCGCCCATGAGCATCGCCCTCTCCGGTTGACGTCTGAGTCCGCCCGCCCGCAACCAACTGGCGGATGCCGCTACATCTTGCTTCATCCCTCGGCTCAGAACCAACCATGTTCATGTCAATCCTTTCATCACAACCGAAACGCTCCTGGAAATATTTGTGAATGCGGTCATCAAGCTTGTTTTCATGTCCACGAAAAACAGTCCACAGAAACCTACGCTCTGCTTGAAAAGTTTGGAGAAAAGGTCAAGCGCTTGGAGGAAACTATTCAGAACGAACGGACAAACAGGGAGACTGCGTTGATAAGGGAACGACAGATGTGGGAAAGGGAAGTTCGTATCTTGCGTGAAGCACTGGCGCCTTTCTATCACAGTGAGAAGGAGATGCGCAGAAAGATGGCTGAACTCGAGGACCGAGTGGAAGGGAACTACGATGAACAGGTCCGTCTCCATGGTCGTGTCGTCGCCGTCGATGATGCTACAATGTCGATCGAGAAACGTGTGGATGAGCTTGAAGGTCTCCGCTCAAAGAGGAGACGAGTGGGTCGAATCAGTGGCCCAGAAGAACAACACTTGCCAAGTGGCCACGCTTCGCCTGATGCTATTGCAACCAGACGAGTCTCATCGAGCATCGATGGGCGATCCGTCCGCACCCCTTCTTCACGTGCCTTGTCACCTAGTGCTGCGATATCGGGTTCTGCCGAAGCAGAAGAACCACGCTCCAGTGGGATCCTCAACCTCGTTGAAATCCCACGAATTGCACCATCCAATATCAACGGGCGTCTGTCACCACCACCACACGATGAGCCAAGATCAAGCGGGTTCTTGAACCTTGATCTTGCTGAAAGATTGCATCAAAAAACGGCTTCGGACGCAACGCAGACTGTTGTTCAGCATCATGCTGCAGCTCGAATCACTCCTCCTCAAGATCGACCAAGTCCACCCGTCTATGCACAGTCTAAACCCGAGGTCGTCAGGCCTGTGTTCCTCCCGCCGGAAAACGCAGAAAAGAAGATCTCCTTGATTGATGTTATGGTGTTGCCTGTCAATACGTCTCCCCGAAAGAGAAAGCACCATCTCGATCACAGGGCCTTGGATGTGTTGGCCGACGTGAGCATGGCCAGTCCACTCATTCACTGATGCCCAGCTTAGCTTACTCATATCTTTTGCTTACTTCCTTCCTTCTACCATGATGATATGATAGCCATGGCTCGTTTTCACTTCGGCAACTATCCAAGCGATAGGTCAGCATTACCTGGTTACCCTCGTTTTGAGTGTCTGGACAGTGAACAGGGGAAGGGATTTTCATCTTCTCAGAGAGTAAATGTGTTGGACCACTCCTTGTTGGATAGCGCCGGCTTTCCTTTGTATAGTGGTAGATATCCCACAATCCACACTCTTTTGTAATGATCAAAGAAAAGGCACTCACACTTTGGATTAGCCGTGGTACTCGGCTCAAGCTCGTAAGCAACTTTTTCGAAATCGCCATGTAAACTGATCCAGTCACCATCACGACGTCAATTGTCGCCAAAGGAGTCCGACTCACCTGCCGCGGGTTTTCCAGCCTAAAGAGCCACCTGGGTACCGGAAAAGAGATGCAGGTCAGCCTTTTGGGGCGGCGTTATCGGGGACCGATGAGGCCACCAGATAATACTCTTACCTTGCCGGGCTTTGTCTTCTGAAAATTCTCTCGCCACGTCATCGAACTTTGCACCCGCACGAAGTTTGGCCAGCGCCTCTTCCTTTTTGGAGTGCTTCTCACACTGAAAGCTCCCCATGTATGTATTAGAGACACAATCTAGAATTGCACGAAACAGACGCCAACTGCACGTATTGCATAGGGGAGACCCACTAGAATATGCCTCACGTTGATTGATTGCGCAGCTTTCAGTTTGCCGCCTGAACTAGCTGAGGAGTCTTCTTTGCCCTTGCCTTTACCTCCGCCCGAGCCCCCCTTGCCGGAGTCTTTATTCTTCGGCGCCATGGAGTTGTAGGGTAAAGCGTTGATATTACAGAGAATATGGAAATATGAATTTTGCAGGCGTAACTATCGGATATAGAAGAATGAGCAGAACAATGGGGACTTCGACTGTTTCAAGACGAATGACCATGCTGCAAGTCAAGTACGGGGGACTCACTTTACGCGTAGACGAAGGCTTCGGAGTCGAGAAGCGGTAGTCGACCGATTCGGGATGGCGCGTGCTTGGCGGGACTAAAGAAAAGTCGCAGCCGATTTGACTTACTTGCGGGCGCGAGTTGCAGGGCCATGACAGTCAGAGAGGCCATGGTGGAGGCTTTTTGGCTGTCTGTCACGCTTCGCTTCAATCGGAACGCGAGTTTCGCTCACACCATGCTCACCCCGAGATAGACAGAAGTGAAGGACTATGCACTGAGAGAAGTGAAGAAAATATTGCCAACGGGCACCCTCTCGCCGCCTCTTACACCAACACCACCGACGCGGGCGCAAGAAAGTTGTATAGAATTGAGCGGATCACGTGACCATTCCACTGCCTCGCTTTCGTGAAGATGATTGCAGCAGAGTGCGGCAGACAAGCTTGGGCTCTGTGATTGCATCCGTCTGTGACCAACGATGATTCCATTTTTACCTACATCACCACCAGTCCCTTTTATCCATCTCTGACTTTTCTCATCATCAACCCATCCCACCACCATCTCTCTACAAGGATTGCGCGCCAACACGACATCGTTGCCCTCAACGAATAATGTCGCAACCCCCTTGAAAGATTGAGACCCTGTAACACGACATCGCCTTACCTCACCCGGCTTTTGCGGCAGCGAAGACACGAACCCGAAGCCTCAGGATCACAAACACACACAATCTCACCACCACAGTCGCCGTCAAGTAACGCTCCCTTGAGATCAACTTGACACGTTTCGACCGGGCAATGGAGACTTCGGAAAAAGCCAATAGATAAAAGACTGGACGCCTAGAGTCCTCGAATACGTGCTCAAGGAGCAAACCAGGCCGCGGCCGAAGACACTGTCACGACCATTTCTACTCAGATACCGTCGCGACAATGTCTGGTTCGACACCATTCACGGCTCGTTCGCCAACGCAGTCAAACCAGTATCCACCATACTCACCAACTCACCCAAACCGTCCATTCTTTGGCCATGAACCTTTTCAAATACCTCCCCCACAACACCTGATGCAAACTCCTCCACCATTTCAACCTGCGTCTCTTGCCCAAAGCCCGCATCATAATCGTCCACCAGCATTAGCATCACCCTTGCCTGCGCCGAATGGACTCCCTCCTCCGCCTGTCCCAGTCGGCAACGGGCCTCCTCAGTATCCGCAAGGCTTGACTTCAAGCCCTCCATATCCCCTTCAGAGAACATACTCCGGGCACCTTATACCTCCGCCTCCCGGTATGGCGTCACAGTATGATGCACCTTCACACGGTCACCCTGCTGGCCCAGCTTTGCAGCCATCACCCTTGCGAGAACCTCAGCACCTGAGCAATGGTAGACCTGCTGAGACTTACGTCGCTGAATCGCGTCCTCAGTCAAAAGACGTAAGTTTGCTTACGTTTGCTTTGGTTAAAGCAACGCGAAAAAGTACTAATTAATATCGACAGAAGCCCGATCGAGCTAGCAATCCGATGTCTTTTGCGAGCATCTTGGGCCCCTCGAACAACGAACCATCCCCGAAGCCTGTTGAGACGAAACCTCCACGGCTATCAACGCCACCGCCGATGCCCGCCACACCCACAATAGTCACTCCCGAGAAGGTCGTCAAACAGCAAGAGGTCGAACCACACAAGTTACTTACAAATGGCGAGGTGAAAGAGAAAAGAAAGCTAGACACGCTGCCGGTGGCCAAAAAACACGTTGCGCCTTCCAAGCCACGAACAGCTTTGACCGAGATCGAAGCTGACAAAATCTTGAAAGCAATGAACATGATTGACGAAGGACCACAGAGCGACGCAGATGAAGAGGGATTTTACGAGCTCAAGGAGCGCTATAAGCAGCGAGGCAAGAAAAGAGCGGCAGAAATTGAGGAGGCAGAGTTGCGAAAGCGCAAGGTAAGTCAATCGTCTTGTGGAATTGGAATAGAAGAGAGAGAGGTCGAGTTGCTAATCCTGGCTTGACAGCGCCGGCGAGACTATCTCCTCGACTCATTCATCAAAACCTTCGAATCCCATGCTATCGAAGCCGCTCAGCGTTTCCGTGCGGAGGTTGAACCACTCGCCGCGAAAGAGATCGCAGACAAAGACATTGCTACCGAGAAGGAGCGCAAGAAGGATATGCAAAGAAAGCGTCGTCGCGAGCAACAGATCCGAAACGAGAGAGAGAAACTCGAGGAACTCGAAGAACGCGCCAGAAATGCCGAAGACCAGGAAGAAGCGCAGAAATACCTCAAACAAGCTGAGAAATCGCAGGCTCGAATTCGACAGACTGCTGAACTTCTCGAAGGTGGTCCTCCGGCGGAAGATCTTGAAGTCTCGGCACCCGCTCCTAATTACGAAGGTGGTGTCACATCTTCCTTCCAAATCGGTTCTCCGGAACCTAGTGAAGCTCCTCCCAAGAAGAGAGCCAAGAAAGAGCCTGGGGCACCCTCTGCACGTCTGAAGAAGTCAAAGGAGAAGAAACAGGCGGAGAAGGATGCTGCAGAAGCTGCATATCTTGCAATGCAGCAAGATCCCGACAAGGAAGCGACCACTGCTCCCAAGGAAGATACTCCTGTTCCCCCCACAAAAGGCAAGAAGTCAAAAGACAAGGACAAAGAAAAGAAAAAGAAAGAAAAGGAGAAGGAAAAGGAAAAGGAAAGAGAGGAAGAAGAGGCGGCGGCCGCCGCCGCTGCCGCCGCTGCCGCACAGCAAGGTATTAATTACGACTCCAAAGGTTACAACCAAATCTACGAGCAAATATGGCGTGACCTTGCCAGGAAAGACATCCCCAAAGTTTACCGTATCAAGCAGGTATCGCTTAGTACCAAGCAAGAGAACATGCGCAAGACAGCCATTCTGGCGAGTAAACAGGCGCGTAAATGGCAAGAGCGTACCAACAAGAGCATGAAGGATACTCAAGCCCGAGCCAAACGTGTCATGCGGGAGATGATGTCCTTCTGGAAACGTAATGAACGAGAAGAGCGCGATCTTCGACGGATGGCCGAGCGAAAGGAGATTGAAGATGCGAAGAAGGCCGAAGCAGACCGCGAAGCGAATCGACAGAAGCGGAAGCTCAACTTTCTCATCTCGCAGACTGAAATCTACTCACATTTCATTTCGCGCAAGATCAAGACGGACGAGATCGAATCGTCTACCAACGATCCTAGTATATCCGGCTCCGGGGAGAAAGCGGGTACCTCTGATGCGAAGGAGAACCGCACCATGGATGATATGACCCTGTCACATGAACATGGAAACCACAAGATGACCAATTTCGAAGACCTCGATTTCGACGCCGAGGACGACTCAGATCTGAAGAGAGCTGCAATGGCAAATGCTGCCAGTGCTCTACAAGATGCCCAAGATAAAGCTCGTAACTTCAATGGAGACGACCCCATGTCTGCTTTTGACTCCAGCGACATGAACTTCACGAACCCTACCATGGCAGGAGACGTCCAAGTCTCTCAACCGAAAATGCTTCAGGCTCAGCTGAAAGAATACCAGTTGAAGGGTCTGAACTGGCTGGTCAACCTTTACGAGCAGGGTATCAATGGCATTCTGGCCGACGAAATGGGTCTCGGCAAGACTGTACAGTCTATTTCGGTCATGGGCTACTTGGCAGAGCAACACAATGTCTGGGGCCCTTTCCTCGTCATTGCCCCTGCGTCGACTTTGCACAATTGGCAACAGGAAATCACACGGTTCGTACCGGCCATCAAGGTCCTCCCCTACTGGGGAAACGCTAAGGATCGAAAGGTTCTGCGCAAGTTCTGGGATCGGAAACATGTTACCTACACCAAAGACTCCGAATTTCATGTTCTGGTGACGTCGTACCAGCTCGTGGTTCAAGACGCTCAGTATTTCCAAAAGATCCGATGGCAGTACATGATTCTCGACGAGGCCCAGGCGATCAAGTCGTCCAGCAGTTCGCGATGGAAGACGTTGCTTGCATTCCAGTGTCGAAACCGTCTGTTGCTAACCGGTACTCCCATCCAAAACAACATGCAGGAATTGTGGGCGCTGCTCCATTTCATCATGCCAACCCTTTTCGATTCTCATGATGAATTCAGCGACTGGTTTTCTAAAGACATAGAAAGCCACGCACAGAGTAACACCAAACTCAACCAAGATCAGCTGAAGCGGCTGCATATGATTCTCAAACCATTCATGTTGCGTCGTGTCAAGGCTCACGTACAGAAGGAACTCGGTGACAAGGTCGAGAAGGATGTCTTTTGTGATCTCACTTATAGACAACGCGCATACTACGCCAATCTCCGCAGCAAGATCAGTATCATGGATCTCATTGAGAAAGCAACACTAGGCGACGATCAAGATACTGCCACTTTGATGAACCTGGTGATGCAGTTCAGGAAAGTCTGTAATCATCCTGATCTCTTTGAACGAGCGGATACGACCTCTCCGTACTCGATGTCCACCTTTGCCGAGACTGCTTCCTTTCTCCGGGAAGGCTCCTTTGTCCAGCTCGCGTACTCTGTACGAAATCCGATCCAGTACGATCTGCCACGCGTGCTTTGCAATGATGTCGGCAGACTAGACATTGCAGGACCCAACAACGCTCGCGCTGGCTTCTGCAGAGCGGGTTTCAAGAGTGACGGCATTGGTGGTCTAATGAGAATATGGAGTCCAGAGTATATGAACAAGTCGGCAGAAAATGACGGGGCTTTCTCGTTCCTCCGCTTCGTGGATACGTCTCCCGCTGAGGCCGTCCACGCGGCTGATCACGGTGTTCTTGAGCGTGCTATCAAGCTTGTGAAGAAGCCCAAGCGTGCCCTTCCCATCTTTGATGACCAAGAAGCACAGCCACCTGCACATGCCATGTTCAATATCGTGGAAAACAGTCCTCGACAGCCGCTTGCAGAGCTTGACCCGAACTCAAACCTCGCACAGCTCTGCAACATCTCAAGACGGTCACTGGAAGACGACGGCTACTCTGTTTTGGAGCCTGCTGCAACACCGGCAGCATTGGCTCCACCTATTGAGGTCAGCGCTTTCGATCAGTCTTCCCTCACTGAACGACAGTTGACCATGTTCAATATGGGTGTGAGAAGCACTTTGTATCCGTTGGAAGAGAACATTGAGGTGAAGTTGCTGGAGCAAGATGTGGCTCCTGAGAACTTCCCGCTGTCGGATTTGATGCCAAAGCCACAATCACAGAAGGCCCGATACACACACATCTCGATTCCGTCAATGCGCAGATTCGTCACGGACTCTGGCAAGCTCGCCAAGCTGGATTCGCTCCTTCGTGAGCTCAAAAATGGTGGTCATCGGGTCCTGCTTTACTTCCAGATGACTCGCATGATTGATTTGATGGAAGAATACCTCACCTACCGGAACTACAAATTTGTCCGGCTGGACGGTAGCACGAAATTGGAAGACCGTCGTGACACGGTGCATGATTTCCAGACCAGACCTGAGATCTTCATCTTCCTCCTGTCTACCCGTGCCGGTGGCTTGGGCATCAACTTGACCTCTGCCGATACCGTCATCTTCTACGATTCTGACTGGAATCCAACTATTGATTCACAAGCCATGGATCGAGCCCACAGATTGGGTCAAACCAAGCAAGTGACGGTGTATCGTCTCATCACGCGTGGTACGATCGAAGAGCGTATTCGGAAACGTGCCATGCAGAAAGAGGAAGTGCAGCGCGTGGTCATCACTGGCGGTGATGGTGCAGGCGTTGATTTCAACACTCGCGATCGCCGTGAGAACAGGACCAAGGATATTGCCATGTGGCTCGCCGACGACGACCAGGCTGCTCTTATCGAACAAAAGGAGAAAGAAAATGCGGAGAAGCCAGAAGAGGATACCAAGAAGAAGAGCAAGAAGGCGCAAGCCGCCGCTGCCGCCCGGAAGCGCAAGGCTGAGATGAGTCTCGACGATATGTACCACGAAGGTAAGTTTTCATTTGGTCACATTGTAGTTTCCAGAGGTTCATCGGCTAATTTTTTTGTAGGCGAAGGACATTTTGACGACGCTTCAGCCAAACCCTCAGGAGCGGCTACACCGGTCAGCAGTGCTGAGACTCCTGGACCCAAGAAGGGTTTGGGATCTCGAGGCGGTAAAGGAATCAGCAAAAAGGCGAAGACGGCCAAACAGCGTCTCGCGATTATTGACGCCGAAGGTGATTTGGGAATGGGCGGCGGTATGTGATAGAAGGCAGTCAAGCACTAAACTGCCTGGATGAATGACCCACGCAAATGGTGACTATGTGGTTTACAATCTCTATGCTGATGTGGCCGCCGAGGATAGTGAGTGGAACGACTGGCATTTACTTTCTTGTTTGTGTATCATTATGGCTTTTATTGGCATTGACGATGGGTTTTTTCTTCTCCTTCTTTCGATCCAAAAAAAAGCACCGAGGTTTGCATTGGGGAGAGAAAGGGATGGTTGATTTGGCTTGCTGGCAGTGTCGAGGCTGGTGCCAGTGTTGTGCGGTCATTGTGATTTCATGAGTTCTGTTGTTTCTTTCTCTTTCTTTTTGAATGTACAAGAGAGAAAGACAGAAAGAACCTGGGATTCTTTCAGGTCGTTGGGATCAAAGCAATTAGACAGACGTGCGTCCAATACATCATATCATATTATCATCATTGATCTTTTAGTTTTTTACCACTGAAGTTTTTTATTATCTTGGTCAAATCTTTTTCCTCGTCACAAACCACGCCATCGTCGCCGCTTCACCTGAGTGACTTGAGGCTCTATGCCAGCCTTGCTTCACACCTCGAGACCCACCCGAGAACCATTCACTCACCACCGAATATTCAAATGGTATCAATCAAACCCGTGAATTTTCTTCCTCAATCACCAAGACCCCGCAGTGGTGGCTCAGGTTAAAACCACATGGCCATGTGGCGGACGTCCATTCACTGCGGCGAGCAAGGAAGAACGAGGGCCGCGGGCGTAGTAAAGGAAGAAAAGGGCCGCGGGTTCGAATCCCCGACCGTTCGAAAAGATAAATTCTCGAGGTAATTCAATTCTTCCCAGCTCCTTCCAGAGAGGTTCCATTGACACAAATCACAGACCGAAAGCTTCATCGCGCTCAAATCTCTAGTGAGTTCAAAGACCGGTTCCGCTAAAGTTCCAACAGGCATCGATTCGACCACGCGCACGAGGATCCAGGATATTTAAAAAGAGTCGACTTTCGACTTTTTTTTTGGCAGCCCTGGATCCCACGAGAAAATCGGCACCATGACACGATACAGAGGGGTTGTAGAAACTGTCGAATAATTAAGTGTCTTGAGGTGCTCGATTCATCGATATCCGCAAGTCAAAGTACAGTTGATACAGTAGGTGATGATTACATCATGACTATTTGTTACACCGGGAGCGCTATACATGTTCCGTCTTCTACCGCGTATGATTCACAGTTTGTCAGCCCATCTTGTGATCCTTTGACCACCACGTTTTGGTCATCTCATGAGCCTGGATCAGACCCAGGAATGGAACTACACCGACATACAGTAATGAGAGATTAAGCAATATTCAAATACAGTCCATCAGCCAGGTAACCAACTATACCCGGAGCGTCTTTTGCGTTTCCAGCCGGAAGGGGAAAGTCTAAGAACAACCGATACAGGTGCTACACCCCCGAACTCAGCTCGATTCAGCTCGATTCAGCTCAAACTCAGCTCAAACTCTTTTCACTTGTCTTTACGGGGGCCTAGGCGTCGGGTATGCAAATCATGGCCAAATCAACGCTCGACATTATCGACACAGCCGTCATCACAGGCGGTGCAGGCGGGATCGGTCGGGCCATGGCCGAACGACTCCTCGGACACGGCAAGAAAGTCATCATCGTCGGACGCACGGAATCCAAGTTGAAAAAGACGGCGGCCGAGATCGGTGCGACGGCCTACTACGTGCTCGACACGGGCAACTCGGACGGCGTGGTGGACATTGCGGAACGCATCCTCGCCGCGCACCCCGAGGTGAATTGCCTCGTCAACAACGCCGGCGTGCAGAGGCCGTTTCAGTTCCCCGGTGTCGGCGATGGTGGTGGTGGTGCGCAGGAATACGGATTCGATCTCGAAAAGGCCGACCAGGAAATCGACACCAACATCCGCGGCGTCATGCACTTGACGCTACGGTTCCTGCCGCACCTGCTGGACAAGCTGGACGGGGGCGCGGTCATCATGAACGTGTCGAGCGTCTTGGGGTTCCTGCCCAGCAGCGTCATCAACCCGGTGTACAACGGCACCAAGGCCTGGGTACACTTCTTCACGATGAATCTGCGCACGCAGTACCGAAACGCCGGGAAGGCGTTGAGGGTCGTGGAGATCGCGCCACCCACCGTCAGTACAGAGTTGCATCGCGAACGGACGGACCCAGAAGACAACACGAAGGCGAAGAATAGGAACGCAATGAGTGTCGATGAGTTTATGGACGAGGTCGAGGCGGGTTGGAGGGAGGGAGCCGAGTTGATTGCGCCTGGCCCGGCGCGGGATGTGGTCAAGCCATGGGTCGACGCGTACGGGGAGAGGTATGAGAAGGCCACGAGTCCTGCTGTCAAGAAGTGATGATGGAAATGAGTGTACGGATATGGATATCTATGAAGAGAAAAAAAAGGTACCCTGGGTGGGAGAATGGCAGACGGGAAGAAAAAGTGACTCTTTGACTTCTGAGTGTTAGATTTCCAACATACCTACATACACAAGTATACCTGTGCTGTAGGGTAGGTACACTTGATGAGTTTCGAGTTGGATTTGGACGTGTTCGAGTCATAATAAACATTCTGTACTAACCAGGGGACGAAAACGAAATTAATAAATCCATGTCTAAGAAGCGCGTCGATAGTGGCCACGATAGGAGGCTGAAGGAGTGGGAATCTCCGTGGCCTGGGATGGATTTCTGGGTTTCAGGTCAGAGGCTGGTGGGTCGGTGGAAGAGAAGAAGAAGTAAGTACTCGTAACTGGGACTGGGTTGTCGCGAGCATGGTGTTGATGAGATGTTGATGTACTACCCAGGTACTGTCGAAGCGCTGTTTGTATCTCGACGTGGTGTTGACGAGTCTAGTATGTATTTAAGTCTAGTAAAAGTCTGGTCCGAGTCACTCTTTGACAGACGGTTTGTTGTACAATACACAAAGACAATCAAGCATCGACGGCGTCAAGCATCAACCTCTCAAAAACCCGGATTGGGTGAAACAAGAAACACCGTGTCCAGCCACCCGGCTTGAGCTTTTTTACTTTGATGGACTACACACATATGGACTACTGTCTGTGCTGTTGTACCACAGTCGGTGTGTCTGTGTCTCCATCTCTATCAGGCTCTCTCTGCCTCGTCGTCGTCGTCGTCGCTCATCTCCTTCGGCCTCAGACGGTCTTCACCACCGACATTGCTTCCTCTTTCTCCCCCTTGATCGCCCCCATGAGCGCTATGGGTATCGTAACGCCACCACACTCTACCTACTCCGCCATCCGTTCCGTCGTGTTGCTACCGATAAGGAAACAAGCTCAGGGAAAAGGATCCAGTCCTGCCGTCTTGCACATCCGCTTCTCGCACATGGCTCATCTCTCATCATCATCCCCCAAGATAAGAGAAAAATCCCCAAACACCATCTCGCTTACTCCTGCCGGGACATATACTAAGGGAATTTATTTTTATGCGTATATATATTCTAATCAAATACCCTGTAACCACAACCACTGACCACCCTCTACTGCGCACGCAAGTTGTCGCACTCCGTTTGGTCGTCGCCCTGACTTATTGTAACACTCACCGGCTACCTCACCGCTGCTGCGCGTCTTTGCGCATTGCGACTGAGCTCTCCCGACCACCGTTCACGTATAACCCAATCCAACAATACATACCTGCACAAACACCCATCCCAAACATGGCCACGCGCCGCCTATCGTCCATCGTCCACGGTGGAAAGCCCAGTGAAGTTTTTGACCCGAACCTTGGAAATGAAGCTCAACTCGCCAAACTTGGTTATGAACAAGGTACGCATATGCAATCCACAAGTCTTGCTTCAAACCATCCTCCTCTCACAAAACTAAACTCTCTGCAGAACTCAAACGATCCTTCTCCCTCCTTGGGATGGTCGGCTTCAGCTTCTCCATCGTCACATGTTGGACCGCCCTGGGAGGCACGTTGATTCTGGGTATCGAGTCTGGTGGCCCCCCGGTCATGGTGTGGTCATGGCTGGGTATCTGCGTTCTGTCTTTGACGGTAGCATACTCTTTTGCAGAGATGTGTTCGGTAAGTTGTCCTGTCGCGTTCCACAGTTCGACAGTGTCGCCGTTGCCCAGGCATGGATTCTACTTCCTCATCTACCCCCCGAGATGGCACCCCAGGATCGAGTACACCATCACTGACGCAAGAATCACAATCACCAGGCATACCCCACGGCAGGTGGACAATACAGCTGGGTCGCCATTCTGGCACCGCCTAAATACGCCCGTGGCGCGGCATGGGTAACGGGATGGTTCATGTGTACCGGTATCGTTGCAATGGGAGCGGTCAACAACTTTGTGAGTATCCTTCCTTTCATTTCATGGTCGATCCAGGGGCGCTCTGCCACTGCCACCCTTCCCTTCCATGGTCATGGACATGAGTACTTTTTGCTCGCCGCTCATCCGTTGACGTTCGCCCAAACTGACACTTCCCCGTCCAGATCGGATCCAACTTCCTCCTCGGCATGGCCAATCTGAACTACCCAGACTACGAGATCCAACGATGGCACTGCGTCCTCGTGACGTACCTCATGGCCATCGCGGCCACGGGCGTCAACGTCTTCCTGTCGCGATACTTGAACCAAATCTCGACGTTCGCCGTGATCTGGAACGTCATGTCCTTTTTCGTCGTCGTCATCACCATTCTCGCGTGCAACGACCACAAGCAACCCGCCAGTTTCGTCTTCAAGGACTTTCAGAACGACACCGGGTTCTCTTCGTCAGGGATGGCGGTCATGATAGGTCTTTTGCAGACTCTTTTCGGGATGTGTTGTTACGACGCACCTGCGCAGTATGTTTTTTTTTGCCCACACCCCTCCCACCCCCACTGGGTCTTTTTCTTCATCACCCACCTTCTCCTTCTTTTCTCTCTCCCAGTACTGACCACATCATTCGTTTTCGTCCACAGCATGACCGAAGAAATGCTCAACCCGGCCAAAGAGGCGCCCCAGGCCATCATCCTCTCGGTGTTCCTCGGGGCCTTCACGGGCTTCGTGTTTCTGATCTCGGCGTTCTTCTGCATCGGCGACCTCGACGCCACCGCGACCACGTCGACCGGCGTGCCGCTGATCCAGATCTTCTACGACTCGACGGGCAGCGTCAAGGGCGCCACGACGCTGGCCAGCCTCATCACCGTCATCGTGCTCATCTGCGCCAACAGCCTGATGGCCGAGGGGTCGCGGGCGCTGTGGGCGTTCGCGCGCGACCACGGCCTGCCGTTCTCGGGCGTCTTCGCCGCCGTCGACAAAAGGTCCCAGGTGCCCGTGCACAGCGTGCTGCTGTGCTGCGCCGTCCAGATGGCCCTGAACAGCATCTACTTCGCCAGCTACGAGGGCTTCAGCACCGTCATCTCCATCGCCACCTTCGGCTTCTACGTCAGCTACGCCATGCCGCTGTTCGTCCGGCTGTGGAGCTACCTCGCCGGCCACGAGGGGGGCGGGCCCATCCCCGGCGCCGCCTACAACCTGGGCCGGTGGAGCCCGCTGGTCAACGCCGCCGGCCTGCTGTTCCTGGTCTTCGCCGGCGTCGACTTCAACTTCCCCCAGGTCGGCCCCGTGACCGGCGACAACATGAACTACTGCAGCGCCGCCTTCGGCATCATCGGCCTCGTCAGCCTGGTCACCTGGGTCTTCGACGGGAGGAAGAACTTCACCGGGCCCCAAACGGGCGTCGTCGTCGTGAATGCCGTCGAACAACAACAACAACGACAACCGGACGACGACAACAAATTGCCCTTGGGAGGAGGCGCCGCCGGCGTGTTGGACAACGAAAAGGAAAAGGACAAGGCCAGCCTGGAAGGCAGCGATGGATCCGGCGTCAAGGAGTCTCCCACCCAAGACCCTGAAAAATTGGCTTGATCACTTGCTGCAATCGAGTAGGCCATTTTCTTATCCGTACTGGACCAGTGACTTACCGTTCATTTATCTTGTATTCATTGTGTTTGGACGTTGGAAACTGGAATTGCTGCAATTGCTATTACTCTTCTTTTCAGTGCCACTTATCATCTTGATAAGTATTTGCTGTAACACGAGCCACACAACGACATCTCATCTATCATTACGGAGTATTTACTTTGCACACCAACTGTTCATAAACTGAACTAGAGCCAGAACCCTAATGGTCGGTCCTTCCACATCAGATCCCAATCGCGTCTTTTGACTTTTGATTTCTGCCATTGCTCCCTCGCGCCGTTAAACTACTGTTGCCTCATCATCGTGGAAGGTAAAGTTTTCGTGGAGTGCATTTCTTACTGACCGATTGCTTAGGTCGGTCGACTAATGTCGCGGTGGAACTCGCCGGCGGCCTGGTCTCATTGTCGCCATCGTCCTCAGCCAAGTCAAAAATAGATCCCCGATTCTGCTTCTTCCCACGTCCGTTGGATAATGTGCCGGTCCTCCTCTTGAGCCGCTTTCCGTTTCCCAGTGGCCTCAAGCGGGATCCTGAGTGCGAATTGCGACGAGCGTCAGTAGGAGTGATCGTACGTGCATGTACTGCCGATGAGGATATTTCGGGACTAGCTGCCACAGGGGGGTCATCATGTTGAAGAGCGTCTCGTCCAGCAAGATTTGAGTGTTCTACATGATCACTGTCATCGTTTGTGCCGCTGCTATCAAATGTTGACCCCGCAACTTCGGTACATCCCATGGGAGGCATGGAGCTAGCTCGTCTGCTGAGCAGATTTCTTGGCTTCGGTGTAGGAGGTCGTCCAAGTGCCAGATTGTCAAATGGCTGCCTTGCTTTGTATGCGGGTTCGTATCCTATCTTCTGGGAAGCCTTCTTTGTTGACGACGGCAACCTTTCTCCTTTCTTGTGATCCACATCGTCGCGACTGTCTTTCTTCCAATATTTTGATGTAATTGATCCTTCCTTTCGGTAAGAACTCTTCAAAAGCTCTTCACGGATTCGAGGAGAGTAGATACGTGAGTTCTCGATGGCATCCACGACCCCTTGCGTTAACCTGCCTCTAGGGTCCCTTTGCGGCCAAAATGCAAGGTGCATATTTCTTGGAAATGGCTTGTACGGCGGGTCGACTGGCTTCTGGCGTTTCTAGAGCCATCTCTTGCTGAAGTCGCGCGGGTCTGACGAGCTTGACATGTACTTGTAACAATTGCCACCTCCTTTGAAATCGATCGATGGAGACTTTGGTACACGCGGATTCCAATGCTTGATCGTCCTTTGGTACAATTCTTCGAAATCAGTTCGATGTAATTCATTGGAAAACCATGAGTGTTTCAAGGCTTCTTCAGCAGAAGGTCTTGCTGCTTCATCGAGCACAAGCAATTGACTGATGAAATCTTTCGGTCTCTCTCTGATTTTCTCCCACTCAGGTGTTTCTTGTAGAGACTTCAGGTTACAGTCAGCAGCGAGGGACTCGGAATATGAGTTTGTGATAGGGTCGGAGAAGGCCATTCCGCCTGTGAGGAGAACAACTGTAACACAGCCAACCGACCACATGTCTACGGCTCTGGTGTATCCAGCTCTTCCATTCTTTCCGTTGTGTGATTGTTCGCTGTCATAGTGTCAGCAAATATCCTATTGCAGAAGCCTGTGAAGCATACGGAGCAGCATATTCTCGGGTACCCAGGGCTGTTTGCATGCGAGATCGAGGGTTGGCTATGCGACGAGCAGCTCCAAAATCCGTGAGCACGACTCGACTGCCGGTGGCAAGGCTCGTCATAAGAATGTTCTCCGGTTTGATGTCCCTGTGGACGATATTGTTCTCGTGCAGAAAGGCCAATGCGATCAGGATTTGTCGGATAATGACTGCTGCTTCGACTTCGAGCAATGACCCATTCTTGGACTCGATATAGGAAAACAAGTCGCCGGCAGTGACAAGGGTTTGCATCATGTATCTACACAGTCAGTTCCGAAGAGGTGGGATTCCAGAGACTGTGGCATACATCGTGTTTTGTGTCACATAGACCTTCTCAACACCTATGATGTTCGGCTGCACCTTGCGTTAGCTTGCAACAAACGACCCTTGTGCCTACTTACGTGACTAATCGAGGTCAATATCTCGATTTCCCGAAAGTAGAGCTTTAATTTCCCCTCGAGACAGTTTTCTCGTTTCTGCTGATCCGCCCAAGCCTTGATCTGCCGCCGTTGAACTCGGATGTCGACTGCTTCTGCGGGCACAGGACGCTCTGGGGATCCATGCCTCAAAGCGCCTCCTGTCATCTTCCGCAAGTCAACAACTTTGCAAGCAACCTGTGCACGTGCATGCTGCTCGATGGCCATAAAGACTCTCCCGAACGTACCCGACCCCAGCAATCTATCGGTTATGACATACTCTCCACGGAAGAGCTGTTAGTGTTAGCAATGTTTAGGACTGAAATACCAAGATCGCCATACTGTCATCTCTCTCTCCTGCGTAAGATCAAAGTTGACATTGGACGAGCTGTTTGGCACCGTATGGAAAGTAAGAATCGTGCGGCGACTGAGTCTCAACACATCTCCGTCACTTAGCAAGTAGCCGCCGTTCCCTCTGCCAATCGTAGAGCCATTCCAATAAGTGCCGTTCTGTGATAGATCTTCGACATATACGAGGGTCTCGACTCCGCCAAGGTCGTCATCCTCGTAAACGACAGTGTAAAGTCTGACATGACGCTTCGAAATGTAGGGATCTTCAATGATGTACTGGCATCGACTGTTGTCACGGCCGATGATCATTTCTTGATTTGCGAGTATTTCCTTTCCTACTAAAGCTAGTATCTTATGCGAGCCACAGATACAGAAGAAAGGAATACGGACGAGCAAGAACTTGACCTTTATGGTCCTTGTGGACGAAAAGACCTGCAATCAGAGGTTTTGAGGACGAAGGAAAATTGCTGCTCAGTCGGTGTACACACGAAGAAGGGAAGTACACCATGATTAACAGACGAACAAGACTGACCAAGGGAAAAACGAATCGAAGAAACACATTCAATGAGGAAGAACCACCGGTAGCAAACGGTCACGGCACATGAAGCAGCTGGAGCAGATTATCTGGGAGAACATATTTGTCGCAGTAGAGAGCGGCATCATTATTGCTAGAGCAGGCGGAGGTGTGAGTGTCGAGAAAGCAGGAAGGCAAGAGGGAAGTTGTCCTATCATTGATATGACCGCATAGCTCACGTGACTGACATCCGAATTCGGTCACCCACAAACATGCCAAGGCGCCAAGGACACAGACGTTCATAGCGACCTCCAAATTGCTCGACGCTTGCTTTCCTTCTAGTTCTCCCTCACCAGCAACTCATCCTCGACTATTCTGTACGTCCTCTCTCAAGACCTCCTTTGGTCGCTCTTACTTTAGACAATGAACACCTGCTGACCTGGCACAGTCGAATTTGACCGAAGATGAGAGCGAAATGGAGAAAGAAGCGAGTCCGTCGCCTCAAGCGTAAGAGGCGCAAGACGAGAGCCCGCAGGTATGTTTCACTGTGCAAGTCGGTTGTGATCAGCCAATTGACCTCCTCCACAGCAAGTAATCGCGTCAACTGCTCCATCACAACCTCCCTCTCGACCAATGTCAATGATTCTTCGCTGTCGAGCTAGTACCTGGACTCGACAGTACTTCCGGCTACGCAACGCAACTACGACCAGTATTCACTTCGGCGGCGTGTCATCAATCGCTATGGAGGAATTCTGGTCCTTTTGAAGAAACGGCCTTACCATTTGGCATCTCACTCGTGGGATGCTGTGTAAGAGGAGTGGAGGATGGTCAAATCTCGTGGAGCTTTCTGGCGGGTTGCTTATGATGTCTTCAACATCGCAACGAAGGGTTCGGAACCGACAAACACTTCAGACAATTACATACACACATGATGTCGAAGACTCTGGCTCACCAACTAAAGATTCGGGCTTTGAAGTAGCTAGCGAGTGTTCTCAGTGTCGTCTAGTCGGCGTTGCTCTCAGGTGCCTACCTATGTCAATACAGCAAAGTTCCGATCAATTGTCTTCCTTTTTGTTTGTTCTCGTACTTTGTCCTTGTCCGTTGATTATTTTGGCATTGCGTTGTAGACTTCACCAACCTCTCGCTGTGCTGCTCATGGACTCTGTTGACAGCTTCGTGGTGCTGTGGCCCTGTCTCTCTGCTGTTTGCCGTGACGTCTTGTGGGGTGGGGTTTTCCTCCCGACGCTCTTCGGCGGCTCCACTAAAAAGTTTTCGACCTCGCAGTTGGAGAAGTCGACGACAACCTGCACTTTGCACGCATCGTTGGTCTCCCATTCCCACCTCTCGGTCGCTAAACAGACACAAACAGTCCAAAATGACGGCCAAGGAGAAAGACAAGAAGAAGAAGCGCAAGGCACCCGCTGAAGAACATGCCAAAGAAGACGAAAGACCGGCCAAAAAACCCCAGACTGAGCTGGTCAAAGTGCAGCACGTCTCTGGTGCCGATAATGCGCAACCAGTCGTCGGTACGTCAACGACCTCACTGTGCACCCCTGTAGGCCTCACTGACGATTGTAGCGCATTCGCCCGGTATATCCCTCCCCGATGATCTCCGGTTTGAAGCGTACTCGAAAAAGAGCTCTGGACAATCAACACTGCTCCTACACTCCTCGTCGCACCCGACGATTGACCACATCGCAACCGAAAGCAAGACGACGTCGGTCACCGACAGACACACGAAACACTACATCGCCATCTTCGACCCTGTGAACAAGAAACTGAGCGTGGTGCCCGCGAAGAAGATGACGGTGCGAAGCATTGTCCGCCAACCTCCACCCGACGAATCCGCCGACACATCAGACGCAGAAGCTGAACGCCCTCCACCCACGTCGTCCTCTCGCGCCGCACTGACCGAAGCCTTCGGCACGAAGAAGTCGCGCAAGGCTGTAGCATCGATGGCCGAGAACCGACTCCTCGCGCGGGGCGGTGATGACGACCCTCTCTCGACTGCCATCCTCTCCTCGATCAAAGAAGAAGACGTCCCGTTGCAGTCGTCGTCGTCCTCGGCGACCGGCGACCGGTCTAACAAACCGCTCCCTCCGGCCGACGTGACCACGGACGAGATCACAGACGTCTACCCTCTGTCCGTGCTCGTGCACCCAGGCCCGGCTCGCGCGACTCTGTCCCAAATGCGCATCCAGCCGTGGCTCGACCGGGTCTCGGCGAAGAAAGAGATCAACTCGCGCTTCCGGTACGTCGCGCACCGCGTGAAGGCCCTGGCGCATCTACACGTCTCCCAGCAGAACGAGCACACGCTCCTCCCGCTCCAGCTGCTGCGCTACGTGACCGTCCTCCTCGAACTGTACGTCTACGTGTCCCGCCTCCCGCCGCGCCGCACGATCCCGCAACCCGAGAAATGGCCCGAGTCCACCATCTCCGACGCGACGCACCTGAGCTCGGCGCTCCTCTCGAAACTTGTGCACGCATTCTTCCCCACCGCGCTCCCGACCACGCACTCGCGCACCCTGCTCATCACCACCATCCTGGCCTTGACGCTGCACATCCCGCCGCCAAAGTGGACGCCGGGCGCCGACGTCAACGTCCTCATCACCGAGCCAACCGATATCGGTCTCGACCTGGCTCTCCAACCGGCCGAGGTCACCAAGTACTACCGCGAACTCGGGTGTCGTATGGAGACGTTGACGGATAACGAGCTCGCCAAGTACGGTTGGGAGAAGGTGGGCCGGGGTAAGAAGGGAACGGACGAGGATGTCCCCGCTGGGAAGAAACCCCGATTCGCCAAGTTGAGGTTTCCTGTTGAGTTCCCGAAAATCAGTAGAGGGAGGCCAACGAGTCGGAGGTAAGGGGTGAGGGCTGGCTGGAAAGCGGAGACAAACTGGAAGGGAAGAAATGAGAACCAGCCAGAGGCGCAAATGATCAACTACAAGGTGAAAGAGATGAGAGCTTGCCAGCTAGCGCGAGAGAGATTTGAGGTCAACAAGTGTAATGGTCGTTGATCGAAGGACAATATGACCGTGTATGAATCGATCGATCAAGACTGCCGACCAAACCGTTTCCGATACGTGTGTCACGTTGTGGCTATTTGGGCTGAGGGAATATCTCCTCCCTGGACTAGGTATCTACCTACATTGTAGATACCTCACTGAGCTCGCCGGGCTCACAGGTTGCTTTACAGACACTCTACACGTACGGTGGCGCAGGGCCCCAAATGGGGAAAATCATGACTGCCTGAATGGTGTTATCTATCGTCGTAATCATCGCCATCATCGCTATTTCCAATTGCGAGAACGTAAGAACAAGAATGCACAGACGGCAAGAAACTGCAAAAGTATCCATGGCGTGTCCAATTCCCTCGAATACCTTTGGTCGACCTTTGACTCTACCACATACATACCTCAAAAACGTACCAACTCAGGTGGTCAGGTTTCGGGAGTCGCGGGTGCTGACGAGAGCCGGTCGACGTCAAGCGGCAGTACATATGTACATACTTACTTGCAGGTGCAACTCGACATTCATGAGTCCGCGTTCCACAGTACCTAGGTAGTCAGGTGAAAGGAGCCAGATTAGGCTCCCCTACACTCGGCTCAGGGGAAACCCAGTTAGTTAACAGTGGCTCAGCCACGCTCAACGTTGGCCTAGAAGCTCGGCTCAAACCACAATCGGACTCGCAAAACAACCCATCAATTAATCAATTACATCAGAGGCTGCGTTCCATAAACTTCCGGAGCGCAGTAGCATCAGTTCTCTGCTAGGGACAATATCGAACATTTGTTAAATATCCACATCCTTTAGCCTTTAGTACTTAGGTTGTCGCTAGGAATTAACCACACTTTCACAGCCGCGGATGTTCTGTAAATCTGAGCCATTACGCTGACCTAGTGGTATCTTTCAATGATGTCTGTTTAATTCTTGTAAATGGGGCCAACTTGGAAGAAAACGCAATTTAAGTCGGATAAATGAGGTAGATCTTCGGAGTACCGCGTAGATGATTATCAACAATAAATCACCTAGCGAGCAGGTTCCATCAAATGCACGGGCAGTCTTGGCCGCATACTCTGCTTCTAGTTAGTACGAGTAGAAGCAGGACTCTTCCCTACTCTCTAACGATGTGAGTAGTCGATGTCTTATAGACTGCCTATCTTCCATTTCTGTTTTGAATAGCACGAATCTAGTATACTTCATACTTCTATCGATTTCACCAAAGGCACACTGACACTGCCCATCACGAGGTAATTTAATTCCCCTCCGTAGATCTCCATGATGTCCCAAGATTACGTTTTATTTTAAGCCATCTTACATCTTATAATATCGGATTTTGATGGTAGTGAACTGTGAGGGATGTCCTGATTTCATAGAGAATGAAGAAACGTATGATACACTTTTCCAGCCCCACGAAGGTCATTCACAATTGATACCAGTGTCTCTAGGTCTTCAAACTCCCCGGTATCCTTCCACATATATACACAACTATCTTGACGTTCCAGGTACTGGTTATTGAGACAGAGTGACTCAACTAGAACCATGCCTTGATCTGATATTTCGACCTGACTAGCCCATGGATTCGCCCATGGGAAGTCTTCTTCGCCATTTGTTTTGCGCTGTTCTCGGCGTTGAGGCCGGCACATGGTACAAAATAGTTGTTGGTGGCCTGTTCGGTATGGATTGTGATGTTGAATATATTCGAATGTGCGAATGAAAGATTCGTCTGGATCTCGCTCTGTTCTCTTCACGTATGTAGTGAACATAGATGGTAAGGCGGGATTCGGCAGTCTTTCTACATCGAGACACGGTTGGGCGTCTTTCGGAGCCTGAAGCTTGTGGTACTTCTGGACCAAGTTTCGTAGAAGTGAACGCCTGAGGTTTCCGGCATTGGATACCCCGATCCCAATTGAGCCCATTGTACATCTTTGCTCTTGTTCTGCTCTGGAGAATGGCGAGAAGGACGTACATGAGATAGCGGCTAACAGCAACTGTGCCGGCGAGGGAGTCTGAAGGCAATCAAGAGCTTCGATCAAATCTTCATCTTCACATGGTCTGGAAGCCAGTTTGACCGAATCAATCTCTGTTTCCGTCAACGGATAGTCAGCGTGTTCGTTCAACTGATCTAATGCATCATCTGCTACCGCCAGATAAGTCAATTCATGGACAATATCCCATGAGTTGTTGATGAACGTTGCGAATGAGAAGAGTACATGGAAAGATTCGTTCCAAGAGCAAGACTCGGACGCATCATCGGTACTGTCATCCCCAGACCAGATGCCTTCCCAAGTTATGAGCTCTTCCCTGGTAAATCGTATCGCTTCAGAAACATGCGCGAACAGAAGCCTGAGTAGCTCTGCTGCGGCACTCACTGAATCATCCACACTTGATGCGATCTGGACACACTTGAAGAATCCCTCCAGATTTTGCTTAGTAAGACATAAGCCGACGAACCGGGAGCGGTACGTAAGTGCGGAGCGGCGTAAAATGAGATTTGACTCAGTAGAACCGATATGCGAAAGATTGTGATGATCTGTCATTGGAACTGAACTTGTCTTTTTGAATTCGGGGTAGACTCCAAGGATGTCGCTTGGAGGGCGTGGAACCCAGTCGTTGATACGACTGTGTGCAGAGAAGATGTTGGTCTCTTTAGCCAGACTGACTGTATCATAGTCTTCCCCTGTGCCTACAGACTTCAAATGTCTTAGTATTGAGGGACGATAGAGATCTCTTGCCCAGTCGAAGATATAGTCAACAATCATGAGTAGCTGCAGCGTGCTATCTTGAGAGAGTAGAGATCCGTCCCATAAATGGACAACATCCTATACCACAGTCAGCGTAGTAGGGGTATGAATTGCAAAATTTGTGCGTGTACATACATATTTGACCGGGTGGCTGTCGGTGATGAAGCAGCCGTACACCCGCCAACAGTCTCCCCTATTTGCAAGGAACCAAACAAATGGATGTAATTGAGTCTTAGTAGTCTTCACTCTGTCTCGCAAGTTCTTCTGAAGATTTAGCAAAGCCCATATTGGAAATGCCGTTTGAGCTTGTATAGCATCAAACCCGCTTGTGCTTTTTTCGGACTTGGCTTCCACAATAAGAAAAGGGAAGATCAATGGATCTTCTTCATCTTTGAACGGACTGGTTCTTAACGAGTTCCCAACCGTGGCGGTTGTGGTATTATCTGCCGAGCCTGTTGCCAAGGGTTGAGAAAGTAGATTCTCCAGGTTTCTAGTTTGTTGTAGGCCAAAAATTCTATCTGGCGCCTGCCTAGGAAGGATATGCGACGAAGAAGGATCGTGTTTTATCTCTTTCTGAACTCTGTCGTTGAATAGAGGGTTCAGGCCGACTTCATAGCTGTCATGATTTAGAGTCTGATCCACCACTATGCCGAGAGACTCACAAATCGTGTGCCCGATCTGCGGGGGGACAATGGCATGGTACGCGATTTTTCTTTCGCAGCTTTAGCTCATCCGCGATACAGTCGTCTCGGGCGAAAGAGACCTCGATCTCGGAGCGCCAAATTCTAGCCCGACATTTGGGGCTCCGGCTCAAGTCAGTAACGCCCCAGACAGCTGCGAGATCATATACCAAGCGACTTCTACTCTCAACCTTAGGAACACATCGTTCTCGATATGGAACCTCCAATCAGCCTCATTGCGGTCCTGTTTGAAAAGGCGAGCAGCCGCCTTAGTTAGCCATTCCGCTCGATGCTTTAGCTGACCCTTCCAAGGTTGTTCCCCCGAATGAATATCGATAGGGGAGCAGAAGCGCTCAAATTCCTGCCGGCCGATCTTTTGAATATTTTCAAAGGTTTGTCTGTGCGCAGACGGCCAGTTGGTCGAAGAAAGCTGCGGCAAAAATGTTATGCGATGGATTTTGGCTAATCGGCGCAGTCCACGATCAGAAAAGCTTGCCATAACACGAACTGTTGTGGCCAGGAAACTACTCGTTGAACGGCGCGAAAGTTGTTGGAGTGAAAAGCGTACTGACTTGTGGGAGATAGATGGGCACGGGAGCAAACGACCGGCTTTGCCCTTCAGCGCTTGTGATCCAACTCTGAAACAGGAGGTGCAATTTCACACATGGGTGGCCACTGTAACCATCATGTATCCCCTGGCTTGTTTCAAACACGGAGGTGCAAACCTCAGAATTCTGAGGCATAAAGCATCACTCCCCTGACTGCGCGGGAGCAACGCGCCCTTATGGACGGGCGTCCCAAATGGGCCCTCTTCGCCCAGCCGCTAGTCCCCTTTCGGCAGACACCACTCGCGACGTCATTCCCTCTATTGAACCGCGCTCTCTCGGTGTTGCTTATCAGCACTCCTACTGCACTGCCGTTGCCTTCGCATACGCGGCGGCCTCCATCCACGCTCTTCCCCTACCCTCCTACAGTTTCGGCCGGTTCCATGGCGGTTATTAGAGCAGGGATCATAGCCTTTTCGTCGCCGCCGTTGTCGGCGGTAGGCCTACGCCGGGCTGGGATTTCTCCTTCATTCTATGTCTCGTCTCTGCCTAATCTTCTTTCCTTTCCTTCTGCCTAATATTTTTCTCCTATTTTTTCTTTTCAACACTGTTACCTCGTAAAAGACTCGGTATATCTCTATCCCTAATGAATATCGGCTTCTTATTATGCCTTCGAACACTACTACGTAATGGCCCCGCAAAGAAGGCGAAAATTTCGTGTATCGGATGGTGATTTAGAGGCGAAACGGGCGAGGGAAAAGGAGTCTCTCGCGAAATACGCTTAACTAGCTGTCAGTTTTTGCAGCTAGCTAGGTTAGTCAGTCAGTTAGCTAGCCTGGATGGTCAGTCAAGTAGTTAGATAGAACTGTAGAAGATTTGGCTGGGGCTGGAGGCGAAAATGACTGGGAGACCATGGCTGCAGCTTGTAGACCATCTGACTTGGATAAAAAATATATGCGGAATCAATTGCAAAGAGAGCTCTGTTATGTCTATCTATCTGGCTACCAGAGCCTGATATATAGAGCTGTTGTGGTGCTTTGTCAGGGTCAGCTGTTGTTATCAATAGCTGAGATTTCAGCTGTTGTGGTCAGTTGTTGAGCTTTGGCATCAACCAGTGTAGTAGCAGCATTTCCTGTAGGCAGTGTAGTTATGGGTTCCCTGTCGATATCGACGACCACGTTTCTGGTGTTGTAAGGACTGTCTGTAGCTGGCATTCCCATGCTGGTTGTGGTGGTGGCAAAATAGACGGGTTCAGCTGTAGAATGAGTGTGCTGTGGTCAATCCTTGGTGTTGTAGGCTAGCTGCAGTGGTTTAATTGGTTGGTGGTTTAACACTTTCCATATAAGCCTTAGGCTTACAAGTTTGCACGATGGTAATGGGTATTACGCACCCCAGGGGTGGTATTACGCACCCCACCTAAAGCGGTTAGCGCGGCCCAGTTAGGTTAGCGTATGTCTTGGCACAACTGAGGTAAACCCCTTTCCATGCTATCCCTGCCTACTCCTCGATCACAACCCTCTCAACAACATATTCCTTGCTCGCAACAACCTATCATTGCGTCTATCATTGCGTCTATCATTGCGCCGTCTAGCCATGTCGACCCCCGCCCAACTAGCCGCGGAAATGGAGGCCCTATTGGCCTATGAAACATCCTCAAATGATGAGTTCTATGAGTGCAACTCCGACGCGGAGGGCGCGGAGGGCGCGGCGGGCGCGGCGGCGCAGGAAGATGCCCCGGAGGCTCTCGACGGCGCGCAACCTAGTGAAGAGGCCGCGGAGGCGCAGGAACAGGGCCATGCTATCCCATTTGCGCTCCCGCCTCGTGAAGAGGCCGCGGAACAGGGCCCTGTGATTCCATTTGCGCTCCCGCCTAGTGACACTATGTTTCACTCACTTGAGGAGGCCTGGGAGTTCCTTGATAGGTGGACAGGGCCTCGTGGATATGGCCTTCGCATTCATCGACGAGGTCGTCTCCATGTCAACGGCGAAATCAATCAAATCTATCTAGTCTGTGATCGCGCCAACCCGCGGAACAGAAAAAAAAGCGCCAGTCATGTTGTTCATCGATATAAGGGCACCTTGACTCGGAATTGTCACTTTCGAATGGTGCTGAAGCGCTCTATGGAAGGCTCCCCATGGCGACTTATCTATACTCATCAAGAGCATTCTCACGAGCCATCCTGAGGGCCTTTAACTCATTCAAGCCTCCGCCGACGCGGTCGACAGGGTGAAGTCAATGAATTTATCAAGGAACAACTCCTTGAGGGTATCGGGGTGCAATCAACTATCTCACATATTCACTCCCTTCATGATATCTCTATCACTCGTCAGGATATAACTAATGAGCGCAAGAGACATAAAAAGGTTGACTTAAATGGTAGGACACCTATTCAGGCACTTCTTTTAGCAATCACAGAGTAATGGCAACATCGAACTCTATATAATATCAAGAGTTTAAAATTTAAGGGCCTCGTATTTTTTCATCACCAAGGTCTTAATCTCTTTCGACTTTATCCTGATGTTTTGTTGGTGAATACTATATATAAAACCAATCATTTTAACATGCCACTAGTCAATATAATTAGTGTGACGACAAATAATGAATCGTTCTTTCTTGGATCGGCATTTATTAGATAGGAGGATAAAACCACTTATTAATGAGTATTGAGAAGTCTCCTTGAAATCCTTAAACACTGTCAAATTTCATCTCCACGGGTTCTTATCATAGACGTCGCTTATTCTCTTACTAATGCTATTAAGGTTGTCTTTTCACTTACCTCGTATTTACTCTATCTCTGGCATATCAACAAGGTAATTATAAGTAAGGCTAAAAAGATATGGAGACTATTCACTCAGCGAGATCTTAGCTTTGCAACACAAGAAGATATCGATGAGGACGCCATAAAGATTTAAGTCTAACTAAAGCGTCTCATGAATAGTTAATGGAAATATGTTAATGCACCTATTGGGGGTCTCGCTAATAAAGCCTAGAATAGACTAAGACGAGACTATCGATTCGAGCCTCAAATCTATAACTATCTCTTCTATATCTGGTTTATAAGATAACAAGGAATTTAGCGCTATTTCACCGACAATTATCGTTATTTTGGTAATGTTATAACCTCATGTCTAGAAGGAATATATCGAGTGCTAAAGAGTCATTTATCTAGCACTTAAAGCGATATCTTAACTATCGTTCGACAGTTTAAATATATTCACAGAGATATAACTATTGAGATCATAGCAAAACTTACTAACAACAGCCAATCGAGAAGGCCTCAGTTCACTGGTCAACTATAGACCTTTATGGTCACTTATATATTAATCTACGCACTTCTTAAGGTGGAAGAGGTATGCAAGCCTCACAATATTTATATAAATACAACACCCGCAATCTTGCGGGCTCCTCTAACAACATAGAGACCTTACATAGACTTATTCGAGCGTCGATAGAGCCTTTTATGTCCTCATATTATTCGAGCACGCATTGAATCAATGGAGCCTCTACAGGTTGAGGATTTCGACGTTCATTGGCGTCTAGATCGATGCCGAGAGATCACATTCAACTATGCTGAGGTTGCGCAACCACCAGATATTATCCCGCGGCATCGATATGATGTGAATGACAGGCGGATGTTGACTGAGCCTGAGCGGACTGACGCCGCAATAGAACAGGCCAATCAGGAGGCAAGAAGACGTCTGAATGAGTCAAACAGCGGTCGTGGAGGCGCAGGAACAGGCGCAAGAAGAGGCCGCGGAGGCGCAGGAACAGGCGCAAGAACAGGCCGCGGAGGAAGAGGCCGAGGCCGAGGACAGTCAACTCATATCCCAGGAACCATGACCTTTCGACTAGACTAGGTGTGGAGCGCAATGCGCGGCGAAAGGAACTCCCATAGAAAATAGGTGAGAGCCGCCTCTAACTAGCACTGGGACAGCATCACTTGCATCGATCCTTGCATCATTCCTTGCATCGTTCCTAGCATCATGATATTGTGCAAGCCTAGGGCGCCTAAAACACCGCCTAGAACGCGAGCCTAGAACGCTGTGAATAGGCGCGCCTTGGGGGGTGCAAGGGAGAATTATTCCTGACAAGGAAGGTTACCCGAGTGACGCTAACCGAAAGGGGGTGGGGTGCGTAATACCACCCCTGGGGTGCGTAATACCCATTACCTTGCACGATCGATCAATCGCTTAATCGGTTAACCAATCAATCAGTCATCTGTAATTATCGCTCTACTCCTGCCTAGTCCATTACTAATGCTCATCATTGATGAGAGCCTCCACCTGATCTAGAATTCCATCTTGATCGAGACCAGTTTCTCCAATCCGTTCTAGATCGCGTGCCAACTACATCAGTAAGAGCGCTTTATCCTGAGGAACGTCTTCTCCTTTGTGAATACTTTTCATCGCGATATTCTTCAGTTGTTCCCATAGTTGTCGTGCGCGTTTCTTGGTGTCTGATCTTTGGCTTGTTGCCGTAAATGTTGATGAGTCTAGGTTCTCGATCTCTTGCATAGCCGTGGTTGAGTTCGACTCGATGGTAAATCTCTTACGAAACCAAACGATACAAACAAATCCTGAGACTGGTAAAGCAAACGCCCAGTACAGCCAGGAGTACTTGAGCTTGTCGAGGCTTGGTACAATCCCTCGCGAAGTTTCCGAGACAGAAAAGAAGTCCATGCTAAAAACTGACTGGCAGTATCGTTATCGTTAGGAAGACCAGGATCAGGATATTTAGATTGAGCGGACTTACTGCTACTGCTGTTAGAGGGAGGAAAAATGCAGTTACCTCTGCCAGAAATTTCATCAAGCGAGCGTCTTTTTCCATTCTTTTGGCCATTTCCTGCATTTCGTTGCCTGAACTTTCTGAGTTACGAGCGATGATTGCAATCTCTTGTGTATGAAGATTTAGTGCTCGACTATCTCGTAATGATAGCATTCGCATCACCTGGTTGTAAGAAAGTCAACTTTGCGGCTATATAAAAACAAAAATCCACTTACAGCAGATTCTGTCCCTTTAAAACGCGAGAGAAGATCACATATCCTGTCATTAAGCCGATTAATGTGCGCAATAATGTTCCTGTGCCAGAAATTTAGCTGGAGCATATGGTCTGCTGTAGGCTGTCTGGCTTCCTGGCCAATTTGGCCAATTTGGTGGAACGTTGAAGTGATGTTGTAGATACAGTCAATGGAATTTCGGAGAACTTGAATCGCATTCTTGTCGAAGAGCATCGAGTTTCGAACGTCGTATAGCGTCTTCACTGTTTTTGACGGTACCGGTCTCCCTCTCCTGCGAGCTCGAACTAGGTGCAAAAGTGCAGATCATGCTCGGGATGTTAAAGAATCTCCGCCAGCGAGGATCTACCTGCGGCCAAGAAAGTGAGACTGATAATCTGGCATTCGCACACACTGGTACTTTTTGATCCTTTTCATCGTTAGCTCTCCCAGTGCTTCCTTCGCCGCGCGTCCTGCTTCGGTTAGTTCGCTCATGTCTGTGTTTGCCAGAATCTGCGTAGAGATCAAATAGTCAGCGTGGGATCTAGTCAGAACTACCAAGCTCAGCGGTGAGTATGAGTGCCGGATAATTGCGTGCCGAGAACAAGAGGAGAGTGGTTTTAGTGGGCTCACTCACAATATCTACATCCCAGTCTGCCAGTGCCTCACTGAGTGCATGGCGCTCGTCATAATCCGGGTCATCATCAGGGAGAAGATACCGTGTGATGTGCCAGGTACAATCTCGGTCTGTTGATGTGCTGCCCAAATCTTTCGAGTCATCTACCATGAGAAACATGTCTACGGACGACGTCTATCAGCAAAGAGCTCTAAGACATAACAGTCCAAAGAATATGTGTTGGGAGCGACGCCGATCTCGCAAAGAACACAAGCTGTACCTCTCGAAGATGAATCGGAATAAAGTCCACCTACCACTTATCCTGTTGTACCTCTCGGAAGCGTCGGCTTCAGCTTGGCGCACCTGAGCCCAGAGCGAGTCTCCTATGTTCCACACGTCGTTTTCAGTTGTCTGATTTGAGGCCGAAACCGATTGAGCGGCAGCTCCAGAGGTGGGTGGCGTTGGAATCGGGCTTTCATTTCGCGAAGTAGGGATCTGTTCTGGTGCTGCTGGCTCGGTACGTATTTTTGAAGAAGGCACTTGCTGTTCCGTTGTACTTGCGTCTTCTTTTGCCATTGCCGAGTCTTTCTGTGTACTAGAGCTGTCTAGTAAAAGATGTTCTACGCCAGGGGATGGCTGTGGATCCTCATGGTGAGGTGTTTGCTTAATTCGTAGCTTCCATCTGGAAATGTATTCCTCTAGAATACATTGCGCACCATGGTCCGGTATGTGTTTCTGCCTGTCGGGCTCAAAGCGAGCCACGTAGTGTGGGGATGATAAGTCCAGCAATTCTTCAAAGCACTTAACATGGTAATAGTCTATAAACAAATTAGTGTGAGTAATAAGCCAGGCCAAAACGAAGCTAGTAATTCTAAGAGAAAGGAGATGTAAAACGAATGTCGCAACATGTATCAGGCGACTGAGATTAGCCTCCATTGTCCCATTCGGCCAACAAGCACGATGAGTAGAAGGGCTCTAGGCACAAGCGGCAAAGCCCGGCGTGCTCAAGATCCCCTGAGGTGCAGAGGAAGTTAGAAGTTTCAGTAGGGACTCAACCTTACCAGGACCTCTCGAATCCCACAGCCCCGGGGACACTGCTATCCTATACTTTCCTGGGTCAATGCGATCGGTGCAGTGTCGCTGCCTGCATCTCGCTCCGTTGCGCGAATCAGGTGCCGTTTGAAGCAGAAAAAGGGGATAATGGCGTAGGCGGACACAGCTAAAATGGTCGAGTATTAACTTGGGCTTGATGTGGTTTCGCAAGACCTCCGCCGAGCTCTCAATGTCTTCCTGCCTTCGGGCTTCAGGAGAGAGTGCCTGTCGACGAGCCTCTTCCGCGGCATGACGGCGGGAAATCGCTTCCCAATATTCCCGTTCTCCATCAGAATCCACTTCATGGCCGACTTCCGCGGCAATGTTGTCCCTTCTCCTGCGCTTTCGATTTTCTGCCAATCGTTGTTCTCGTGCTCCGAGCTTTGCTTGCTGATTTATAGTGGCCGGCTCACGTGTTGTTGGATGAGGGCTAACTGTGGACGATAAAGTAGAAGTAGCCATCGATGAAGCAGAAGCAGCCGTCGATGAAGTCACTTCATCATTCCGAGTCGGTTGGACAAGTTGTGCAACACTTTGACTAGTGTTGGACGCAGTGTGAAGGGGGACAGATGAGACCGAAGCCGGCTGCGCAGATGAACTCTTATGGTTTGCCTCGCCGGAGGCTTTCTGCCCGCTGTTCTGTTGACGCCCATCCCCGTTAATTGACGTCTGCGGTTTTGATGTGATCTTGATCCCGTACACCTTAGGATCGATGGTAGAATACTTCATGCTCCAGTTGTACAATCAAAAATGCAATTAGATGCCGAATGAATGTTTTGCGGTGCTATCAAGACTCGGAACAAGAAGTCTGCACCTGCAATAATAGATTGATGGAGGAGCCGGCGGCTATATTTGTCCAAGTACTGGAGAAGCCTCGAAGGCGTCAACCACCGGCATCACTGGCTAGGCATCCGCAACCGTTCCACAAGGCGGCAGCAGCGCAGGAGCAGCAAGGTGCCACTAAAGTTGACCTGAAAAACATTGCTAGCTAGAAGGCGGGTTTCACCGATTGCTGGAGGAGCCCAGATGAGGCCCCCTCGGCCTCAAGATCGCACCGGGGTTCATGCGAGTGCTTGATACCAAGACCGCCGCATCCCTGTCGCACCGCCAGACAAAGGCTACAGTAAACGGGAATCTACCAGGTTCCCTGATAGCCCATATGAGACAAATGCCAAGGAGAGAGGCAGGTATAGCCGATTGATTGGGGCCGAGGGGTCTGATTAGGTGCCCGGGTGCATTGCTCGGGAGTGCTCAGTGATGCTCAGCCTATGGCTCAGTTAGAGCTCAGGTTAAGCGGCTTTCGCTCACCCACTAGGATCAAACCGAATATGGCAATTAGGTCTTTCGTTCTCGAGTAATAGAGGCACACGTAGGTACGCGTGGGTACGGGTGCTCGTGGCGAACATCCACGGCGGACACAGGTTATCAAAATGCAAAAAGACACACGTCCAAGGTCGAATGGGTAGGTGGAATGGTAAAACGGCCGAATGCACATTTTTCGTACATGGCCATGAACATATATATTGTTCTCTTCCCTGTCTCGCTACAGCTCATACGATCTGAGGCGAAAAATAGAGAAATCAAATACATATATGCGTACCTAGGATAGGTACATAGGTATATATAAAGGCTGACGAGCCGGACATTTGCCTCCTTTTTCATTTCAAAAGAAAAAGGGCGACAAGGAATCAATTCGTTCAAAACTCTCTTCTCCCCTCCCCTCTGATACGCTAATAGAGTGCGACGAGCACTTTTACTTCTTTCCCAATGTAGAAGAAGAAGTAGCTCAAGCCGCAGCCGCCGCGATGGGCATGATGCGCTCCTCGGTCGCTTCATCGGCAACCTCGGGTTCGGTGACTTGCGCCGCATGTGCAAGCTGGGTATCGGTCCAGAGAGGCTGGACGGGTTCGGCGTCCTTGACGCCCACGCCGACAAAACCTCCTTGAGCTTCCCAATCCGCCACACGCTTGATGTTGAGGCGGTCCCAGACATTCTCGAGCGCATCCACAAGTTCAGCCCGGAGGTCATCAGTGTGGCCCGGTGTAGGAGTGATACGGAGTCTCTCCTCTCCGCGGGGGACTGTTGGATAGTTGATGGATTGGACGTAGATGCCGTAGTCAGACAGGAGCATGTCGGAAGCTTGCTTGGCAGTTTCTGCGTCGCCGACCAGGACAGGAACAATGTGCGAAGGGTTGGGGATGACAGGAATACCGCGGCCGGTCAATTCATCCTTCAATGCTCGAGTGTGCAATTGTTGAAGACGACGGTCACCTTGGTATCTTGCTTGATACTCAATCGCGGTTCGAGCACCTGCCATAGTTGCAGGTGGGAGACTGGTGGTGAAGATGAAGCCAGGCGCAAGAGACCTGATGGTATCGACGAGCGCAGCTGAGCCAGCGATGTAGCCACCGACGCAGCCGTACGCTTTACCCAGCGTACCGGTGATAATGTCAATTCTGTCCATGACACTGCCCCTTTGAGATTCCTTGGTGCGGGCCGGGTTTGCATAGACTTCATAGTCGAGGTGCTCGGCCACGCCAGCGCCTCTCGGCCCGTACATACCGACAGCATGGACTTCATCCAAGAACGTGATAGCACCATACTTGTCGGCCAGGTCACAAATGGCCTCGATGGGTGCGACTGAGCCGCACATACTGTAGACGGATTCAAAAGCAATGATTTTGGGTTGTTCAGGTGGAAGGCTGGCCAGTTTCGCTTCGAGGTCGACCAGATCGTTATGCTTGAATACCATCTTCTTGGCACCCGAATGACGGATACCCTGGATCATGGATGCATGGTTCATGCTGTCACTGAGGATGACACAGTCGGGTAGTTTGCTGCCCAGTGTAGCCAAAGTAGCATCATTGGCGACATAGCAGGAGGAGAAGACCAGAGCTCCGTCCTTGCCATGAAGATCGGCCAAAGTCTTTTCCAAGGCCACGGCATGCTGATTATGGCCGGAAATATTTCTAGTTCCCCCGGCACCAGCTCCATACATATCCAGAGTCTCGTGCATGGTCTTCAGGACGTGCTTGTTGCGACCCATACCCAGGTAGTCATTAGAGCACCAGACAGTCACCCTCTCTTCCGGGACAGCCATGTGGGCTCGTGGAAACTCCTTCGCCAGGCGATTGATGTTGTTGAAATAGCGGTACGACTTGTCCTTGTGCTTCTTCTCGAGTTCATGGTTGTAGAAAGCGTCATAGTCGAAGCGCGGAGTTGGTGGGGCATTGGGCCTGGGGCCGGCGTAGGTGTCTGGCTTCTTGACGGAAGATTGCGCCTTTTGCGGAGGAGGTGCTGAAAGATGGTTAGCATGCCGTGGTCGTAGGCAGGGGAAGACGTCCTACCTTGCTGAGCCGGACGGAACATGGTCGTGTCAACACTGGCCTTTTTCTCAGCCGAGGTGTGCAATTTCTTCTCCAACAACGACTTGACCACACCGGTGCTGGTGGCAACCTTGCCATAGTTGCGGTGACCAAGACGAGCACTCTGGACGGCCAGAGCCTTGTTCATGACAGGGCATCGTCGTGCAATGAATTGCAGGTTGGTGATGGTGCCGCCGCCCGGCGACTGGCGGGTCGAGGTGGAGAGAGAGCGCAAAGTCGCAGGCGAGGTTTTCTTCAGGAAAGGACAGACGCCCTTGGACTGGTGAAGGAGAGCTTCCATGATGGGAGAGGAACGTCGACAGAAGCACTGTCAGGAAGACGGAGGGACAAGTAGAGCAAAGCAGAGGAGGAGGGAATGTGGGTGAGAGTGTGAACAAGAAAGTGTATACGTACAGAGTGAGTAAGAGGAGGATTATTCTTTCGATTTCCTTACTGTCACTAGCTGGAAAGCGAAATATGGGGTCAGCAGCAGCCGAAAAAAGCCACAGTCGGAGTGCGAGCTGCGAGAACCTTAGTAGGTACAGGTACCTAAGGGGATAGCCTGGTACGGAGTACGGGCTACTCGTAAGCGCCACTCCCGGCTACTCAGGGCCCCTTGGAGCAACTTCTAGGCGCGGTAGGCCAATGGCTCCCAGCCCCACCACCGCCCAATGGCCACCCACAGTGCCGCCGACACCGCCTAAACCCGTCCGCGTTAAGTTGCGCTTGGCCGGTGATGTCTCGGAGCCAATCCCATCGCTTGTATTTGCGAACGCACTTTTTCTCCCCTCGCTCAATTCTGCCCTTTTCGTCCATTCATTCCCCGGTGCGCTGCTTCAAACCCCTCGTTCTCCCAGTCAATGGAAAGTCTCAGTAAGAAGCAATGATTCTTCTCCGCTCCTCGATCTGCGTGTCGGCTCCTACAAGCTTTGCTGGCACCTTTTCATTGCCTCCCGAGTATCTCTACGGAATATCAGGAACAGCAAAAATCCCTTTTTACGAAATGCCGTGTCTCTGATTGGACAAGCCAAATCTCCCCAGGGCAAAACCATGAAGCAGCATTTCCGTGGCATCCCACATCCAATCGACTCGGTCAGGTCGACGCCGAGTGCGTCCGCACTATGCAGGAACCAAAATCGTCCTACCAATAACTCAAGGACTCGTCTCTTGTCCAACAGCGAACTCTTGTCCTCAGCGCCTTGTGCCAGCTACGGTCCCGTCAGGTTGACTGCTAAGCTAGCAACTTCTTGATTTCCTCAACCTCGGCCCTGTACTCCTACATCTGACTTTGTCATCTGGATCCTCCCTTCCAGTCTGGGTGCAATGGCCTGGGCGACAATATTAGCAAAATCTCGAATGTCGTCGATCCATGTCATTCAAACTCACCTTGGTCCAATCAACCTGAAACTCTTCCTCCTTCATATTCTCGCAGCACTCGGAATGTCCCTGGAGCCCAGCCAGTCGTCTCCATTTGCGCATGACCTGCCTGATGATCTTCAGTTCATCATCGCTCCACTTACTCGGTATGTCTACGATCTCGTGGTGTCCATCCTCGTCGTCGGAAGTGTCGAGCGGTGTAGTAGAGACAGCGACACTTTCCGCTCGTTCCCGCTTGGACGACACATTCTCGCCTCCTGTGTTAGTCGAAGATGGCGACGACGCGAGAACAGGATGAGTCTCGTGTAAATCATCTTGGATTCCCTTCCAATGCCTATTCAGGCTCTTGCCCCAGTGTTTCCACTTGCCCAGAGTCTTGAGCGACATGAAGTACTGCCGAAGCAGCATGCTGATGAGGATGCCATTCTCTTCTGACACAATTTCCTCTGCCTGGCCTCCTTCGGACTGAACGAGTAACGAGTCGAAGCCATCCTTGCCTCGTCCCATATACCCTCTTGTTACAAGAACGTACTTTTTCTCAAGGTCAATAGGCTCTCCACCAACCTTGCTCCACTTGATCCGGTGATGAGGGGGCAGGGAAGGGTCGAATTCGAACCGAATGTTCGACACTTGAGGAAAGCGGCCTTCGAGTGCGGGATACGCGCACACCGAATTCTCCAGAGCGGCCAGCAGCGCTGCACCCGTGACTCGTATGACAATACAGGGGTCTTCGAATGGGAAGCTACCACAATAACAGCGTTAGCTATGAATCCGTCTTTCGACGTCTGCGTCCTCCCGTACCAGTTTAGAATGTCCTTGAGCTTCAGCATTCCCGGAGGATACACCTGGTCTCCCCGAATTGTGCCTGCAGCCATGAGACAGCAGTCGCCATCGTAATGCAAGCGCATCAGGTCACACACAAAGTTACCCAGGTTGGACTCTTTAAGTCGAACCGTGGTGAACCTCGCGTCCAGCGGCGCCGCAGTATACCCAAGGGGTTTTTCAAGTTTACCCTTCAACGACTCGGTCAACTTCGCTGTGATTTCCAGCATTTCCGGGTCCTCCGGAACTTGTGAGACAATATCTCGTCGGACGATACGAAAGTCCCATTTGCGCTCCGTCCCAGACCGCCGACGCGCTTCGATATAGCTTAGCTGTTTGAAGTCGGTGCCGGATCGTAACACATGCGTGCTCTTGATCAGCGTGTGTGAGTAAAAGTGATCATGGCCGCCTAGGACGAGATCGATCAATCCGTCCGAGGTCTTCTCAGCGAGCTTGTTGTCGTTGGGTTCTCGCTGATGCGTGAGCGCGATGATAATTTCACAACCCTGCTCTCGTAGACCGGGGACAAGCTCTTCCGCCGTCGCCGAGACAGATTTGTAGATGAGGTTCGGTGGCAACGAGTTGATGGTGTCCAGCCACTCGCGTTCGACGAGACCAATAAGGCCTATCTTGATGCCATTCGACGCTGTAAGGATGACCGTCTTCTTTGCGTTTCCGAGCGGGACGTCTTCTCCCAGTTGAGGGTCTACGTGCCGGTGTCAGTAGGTATATATATCATCGTAAGCAGGAACAGTGGCACGACACCCACCAAGGACATTTGCCAGAAGCCACGGAAATGTGCAGTGGGAAGCGAGACTCCGAAACTGCTTGACTCCAAAGTCGAGGTCGTGGTTCTAGTAATTCCCATCCGTCAGCGAAGTTCGAACACCACTGTCCACGCAGGATCGGCAAGTCGTACACCCACACAGGCGGCATCTGTGCCTATCTTGTTAAGAACAGGGACCATATGGCTGCCTATCGTCGCATGTCAGACAATACCGAAGACAAAAATTGACGCCCGAGCCACGAGCCGTGTCGAGACACCGAGTGTAGCGAAGGCCGGGGGGGGGGGGGGGCGCACACCTTTCGTAACGCTGCTTTCCAGACTCGGGTTGAATGCATCGCCAGAGAACAGAGTCACCAGCTCGGGCTGGCCTTCGAACCGACCATCGTTGCGGTAATAGTTGCACACGGTCTGGAACCGGGCGACACCGCCTACCGGTTCGGCCGAGGACGAGTCTAGGTGATACACTTTGCCAGAAATCTGTCAGTCGCTCGTCACTGTGGTTGAGTGGTTGGGATGTTGTGCACTCCGTACCGTCGTTGTAATGCAGGATCCGGACGTCGGGCGGTGTCGAAGTCTCGCCGGCGGTGAAGGTGACCGTTTCTTCCATGGTGGGTGTGTTATATCATCGTCCGTCTGAGCCGATAATTGCGAGTATTGTCTCGGACCCGTGAGGAAACGAGGTCAACAATGTTCAGAGAAAAGGTGTCGGGCACGACGGCAAGCTTTGGTGAAGCTGGATTGGGTTAATGGTGTGTGTGTCGCGTGTGTCATCGACTCATCGGGTGCCCATGCCCGAACGTCTGCTGGCTGACAGGGATGTTTGTTCCATTGGAGATAATTATTGATACCTGCATTTATACCAGCCAAAGCCTCACAAAGTCTTCAGAGCACCATACGAAGAGTTAATGCCAGCGCCATTCTCCGTACCATGTCCACTGCCTTGACGTGCTTTGTGTCTTCCCCCTTTTCGCGTGGCCTCGCTGCATTGCAGGTAAACATGTCACTTCACAGACATTCGCTCAAACAAAGAAACCCTTGGGTAACCAGGAGTCATGTTACTGAGACAAAGGATTCCTTGTTCTACTCTTTCGTATATTACGTGAGTCTAAGGAAACATTCAGAGCTCGTCTGCCCTTCAACCCATTCTTTACCGGACTTGTTCAACCAAAGCCCCTGAACCCAAAACGCGCCATGGATCGGATCGCACAGATAATTCATCGGCGCATGTTGGAGCGACAGAGAGCCAAAGAAGCACGGCAATGGAAACTTCCACCGCCACTGTCTCCTCAGATTCCTCAGATTCCAACTCCAGGAGATAGTCTTCCGACAGAAAATCAGGGCCGTCCCGCGCTCCTCGACCTTCCATTCGAAATTCGACGTATCATCCTGCGCCATCTGCTCAGCATGGAGGAAGTTCGAACCGTCACTCGGAGACCCATAGCGGATTTCTTTCAGCACTCACTGCACGATGTCAAATACGATATGGAAACAGCCATTCTGAGAACTTGCAAACAGCTCTCCTGGGAGGGGAAGGTGGTTTTGTGCGAGAACAACTTTGTTGCCGTCCCGAATTTTCGATTGAGAGCAGGCCGAGTTCCAATGTGGAAGTTGCCCCAGTCACTGTCGTCCAAGATCAAGCCAGTTTTGACCGTCAAATCCACAGATTTCCGCGAGAAACTGGGTTCCGACAGCCTAATTTCAATCCTCGACTTTCGCCACTACTGCGATTCGTTGCTGCTGACAGCCGACGTGTACGGTTCCTCTGAGTTCTCATTCCGGCTGGAGTTGAACCTTGGTCTTGCCCAGAAGCTGTGGGGGTTTCCAGACGAGAGGTCCTTTCTGGATTACATGTCGACATGCATCATCTCCATCGGACCACGCGTGAAGAACGTCCGAATGGGAGATTTTGACCTGAGCTGTTCTCGAAACGTCTCTGGCACTCATCCGCGGCCCCCGGAGCTGACGAACTTGGAGCAGAAAGTGTGGGATATATTACGAGAGGGTCGGTTGCCCACGTCATCTCAACGCGTACGGGCCGCCTTCAAGGAAGCAGAGAGATTGTTCGAAAACCAGCACCTGTCTCAGGCCCGAGAGCAATACCTTCTGGTCAAAGACATGATCATCAGCACACAAGTTGACAGTCTCCCAAGATATGTTGACGATCGCGCAAAGTTTCTCGCTGACGACCCGGCGATTTCCTGGTGCCTGTTTCGCGTAGCGACCATAAAAACCGACCTTGAACGCAGAGGATTCGACTCTACTTGTGACCACACGGAGCTCATCGAGGCAAGATCTCTGACTGAGCTTGCAAGGAAGTGGTCCAGCCCAGAACCTCCTCCCTCGGCCGAGTGGCTTGAGTATTCGGTCAGACTCTGGTTCCGCGAGGCCGAACTGTTCGCGATGCAGATACCTCCCCCGTTCGAGAGCGACGTCATAAAGCGGCTGTGCCAAGTTGTATTGTTTCTCATCCCAGCACATGTGAGAACCATGTCGAGGAAAGACTGGATGTCCTGGGTCCACGTGTCTGTGCATGGCGATGATGCGAGTAATTGGCTGCCCTGGGATCCCAGCGAGCACATGTATGACAGGTTCAACTATCGCATTGGCGGCGCCGAATCGTTGGAAGGCAAGTTTGATCGTGCACGAGACTTGATATCGAGAAAATATGGTGATGAAGCGACGTGGGAGCATTACAAGGCCATCTGGCGAGCGTTGATACTCTCACGAATATGAAAACGCGAGAGTCGACGTCGAGGGCCGGCCTCATAGGATCTAAGGATGCCCATATGTACTCTTAACGACAGGGTTGAGAGAGACTCTCTTCTGTTCGGAACGTTCCTCCTACCTAGCACCGCGAGTTCCACGAAACAGACAAGGACGCACCGTCGTGGTTCTTACTGAGTACTAAATCTCGAGAGAGAATGCAATATTACCATTCATGAATATTCAAACACACACGGGGTCTGGGGATCCAGACATCCATGCTCCAGCGCTCTCCACAACGTCGATCTTTCTCCGCCTCGTGAAAACCCCCCTTTCTAGATAAGCCCGAAGAGTGCACTGTGTTTTTAGACGTCCTGACAAGCTCGTAACGAGACAATGTAGACTGTGTTAAACAAGCCACACTATCGAGTTACTCACCAGGTGTTTTCCCTCTGAATAATGAACCTTCACTCGTCATCCAAGCTTAATTTCATCCCAGACGGCATCACCAAATGCGGCCTGGAACACCTTTCCCAAGCCAACTCGTTCCCAGAGTGCCCTCTCCCGATTCCTGTTCAAGAGCAAGACATAATACAGATCCCACTCCGACTCGTCCTTCTCCTTGGGAATGTAATAGTTCCACACTGGGCACTCCTCTGACGTGAGAGACCTGGCGTCCGATATCGCCATGAACAACAGCGGAACTCCCTGTCTCTCTGCAATCCAGTCCTGCGGAAGCACAATGGATCCGCACCAATCTCCGGCCTTGTCGACAATGTCGCATTGACATGGCTCATTCACCAACGTCGACGTTGCCGTCTGCGGCTCGCGGAATGTCACAAACAACTCCGTCCTCCATGTCCAGAATTGGAGAATGGGCATAGCACGTATCTCATCCTTCTGGCCCTTTGGAAACGGCCCCCGGATGACTCCGAACGGATTGTCTGGCAGGATTCCGGTAAATTCAGTCCCTCGCTTGACCCCTTTTCTCCGCGGCCTGCCGTAGATGTCTTCTTTTGAAGACTTGCCCTTCTTACGGCGCCTGCTGCCGCCCATGTTTCTTCCGCTTGAACTCGACTCACTTGCTACCGGCGCGTCTGAATATCCTCCGGGAGCAGTGCGTGCTGGTGATCCACGAGGGGTGTTGGGCTCGATGAATATACGTCTCCTGTCGCTCTCTGGACCTTCCTCAGAGGCGTCATCTCGTTCGGACCCCGTGTTGTCGAGATCTTCAACTACAGCCGAATTATCGGTCTTCATAGAGCTTGTATCGGAGCTCCGATCGTCTCTTCGCGACGGATATCTTGTCCTGGCAGACCCCTGCTGATCGTTTGATTGAAGCCGTCCTGGGTCTATACTTGCTGTAAATGGAAGGACGGGGCTTGCACCAGATGCGTCGACAATGTATGGTTCTCTGACCCTCTCGGCCACGCCCTCTTCGTCTATAGGGTGGTCATAGTACCCGGTTGGCAACCTTCGCAGGTAGTCCTTGTTTCCCCGCTTCACCCACTCTCTTTCGCTCTTTTCGTATCCACTTTGCGGCCTGGGTCCTTCTTTCTGTCCATGACGATGCGGCTTGACCGGCGGCGGAACTGCCACCGGAACGGGGACAGTGGCGGTTTCATAGTGATATGGAGCGTAGGAGTATGCCAACGGAGGATATGCTGTTGGTGGATAGTAATGCGGCGGACCGTATGATGGTGGATACCTCACCCCGGGCGCAAGGTACGACGGTTCTGGTGCTTGTGGACGGTATACGTTGGGAGGCAGTGACATATAGTTGTGTCTTGTGCCGTCAAGATTGACCTCATGCATGTCAGAAACCAAGCTAGGCGGTGACAATGGGACTCGTGACATCCGCCGCCTGCTTCGACTTCGACTTCGACTTCGACTTCGACTTCGAGCGCGGCGCTGGACTTGACTTTTACCATTCCCAGCGTACCCTTTCCAGCTTGCATCTTCGCTCAGATCTTCTCCAAATGCGCTCTTATCCCACAGCGGCCGAAGATTGCCCTCTAGGTCTCGTACATACCACAGGATCCAGGTACGGTGTCTGAGCCATTCTCTGACATTCAATAGGCATCCTTCAATCATCTCAGTCTGATATCCTGCTTTGCCACCAACCCAGCCACACCAAGACCAGCTGGGGAACTCTTTGCCCCCATCGCCCTCTTCGTCCATCTTGCAATTGCAGTTACCCAGTTCATCTTGACTGCATGGTCCCCTGTTTGACCGGTGGATCCTCGGTTGCCTCCTGCGATGGAGCACGGTAAGCGGCATCCAGAGCAGTGCAAGATCGAAATGTGATACAGGAAGACCGTAGAACAATGGCGCGTTCAAATGCTGCTGCAGCAGCCAGGAGGTTCCTTGAAATGCGGTAAGAACATCTTTCGGCTTTGTCAGTTCACGCCCGGTATAAAGCCTAATGCATGTCATGTAAAACCAGAAAGCTCGACGCCGGAGTTCTCCCAGAGTTCGGAGAGGGGAATTGGTCCAGTCTAGAGACCAACCAGTAGTACCGCCGTCGTTGAAGATGTCCTGAGACATGACCGCTGAGCGGCATTGGAAATAGACCTGGCCTTCTGCAAAGATAAGACACCGGCGGGAGAGGAGCCGTTCCTGGAAGGTCCAGCCACGCTGATTCCACAATGAATTCTGGACCACCGCTTCTGGAGGTCGAGATACCAGTAATTTGATTCCCGGAAGAATTTGGGCAGTGATCGGCTCCGAGTGCATAGTGTCGTCGGAGTGTCGGTCAATGGTATCTTCTGAAAACCTAACGGCCGTAACGCGCTCAGTAGTAGGCGCCGCTCTGTGAACAGGAGTTCGTAAGACAGGTGCAACAGCCCGAAGTCCTGTTGTCGCTTCGCCATCTGCGGCACAGATCGTAAAATGCGCATTCCCATAAACGAGGTGCATAGCTTTCGCATTGAGCTCCCACGAGCTCAGGCTGTCCTGCACGATGCACAAGGAGTCGATCCAGACATATCTTTCCCCGAGCCGGCTCACGAGTAAGATGACATCTTGTATAGTTTTGGGTAGTTTATGCCACGCTTTCTCCAGACCTCCGTGTTGGATATGGATCATGACATTATTTCTTGTCGTGGTGTATGTGTGCTCGCCATTTGGTCGTTTGCCCCAGACATAGCTCAATGCAACAAACCGTTCTGGCTCCCCGTCCACGAGCGGAAGTGCCTTTAGCTGCATGTCGATGACATCAATGACACCGAAAAAGGTGCCCTCTATCAGTTTCTTGAACTCGGTCTTGGTCCCATGCTTCTTCTGACAGCTCGCGCCGTGCTTCTGAGCACACAAGTCGATCCAACTTTTCATCAAGGCCTGTTTCTCGCTCGAGTCCACTCTGCCTCTGCCAAGGAAATGTGTATTGGTTGCGGAAGAAGCATAAGCGTCCGAATTAGGCCTACGCAAGCCTGTTGGTGCAACAAGGACAAGGTACACATTCTCCTCCTTGCCGTCGTTGCCGCCCCACGATAGACGTATTCTCCTGGTTCTATTGACGAGAGATTCGTTGGTGGAAGCAATCCGGCGGCCATCGACCTCCCAGGTGAGGAACAGCTCCGTTGACGAGTCGGGAACCCGGCGGCTGTAGCGTGTGACTGCCTGCCATATCAAGTCGCAGAAGTGGCAATTATTCCGTTTTTCTTGCACTTGATCGAAAGTCGAAAAAACCCTTCTAGAAGTACCCGAACTCAATTGAAAGTCCTTGGTCTGGGTCAGGTTTCCCTGAGGGTCTGTCACGAAAGTTTGATTGCGCAATAACCCCTTCTTGCTGATGATGAACTTGTCAATGGAGAGGTCCACTTGCAGGCACAACGAACATAGCTTAAGGGTTCCATCAGTGCTCGTATCTTCCAGCGCGAGAGGACATTCGACATACCTCAGAATTGTTGTTCTCGTCAGCCTGATAAGTTGTACCGCTACTCTCGCTGTCGGCCATTGCGAGGCCAATTCTAGGAAATGTCCTACGAGCGGGGGAGATCGATCTGCTTCCATGTCCCAATGAGCCCTATTAATGAAATGATGTGGACAGCCTTAATTCGGAGTTGCTTGCGGTATCAGGATGAGCCAGTGACGATGAACAATGCTAGTCTTGGTAGGGATCTAGCTATCTCCACCATGCAAGTACGTGCATGAGCTGAGTCTGCTGCACTCTAGCTGCGCCTCTTTAGCTACCGGAACTGGGCGCGACTGAATGAACCCAGGACCGGTAAATGAGTGGAGGTAAATGCTCCGCCTCACGAGGAGTCGGCTGTAAGCCACTACTGCATCAACCTTTCGATGCTTCTTCTTGTGCACCTGCAATCATTCAGCCTGATGAATACCTCGCTCAGCGAGTTGACACTGCTATTTACCTAAAATGCGGCTTCACCCCAGCGTGAGGTACTTAGTATTGGTGGTCAATGTCAGGCTCCCTTAGATCAGAGAGTTCCTCATTAGAAAATGCTGACCATATCCGAGGACTCAGTCACATGGAGAGACAACATGATGGCGTTGATTTCGGTAGGCGTTGGCCACGAAGGTCAATGGTCTTATAGAGATATTATCCTCTTTCATCTTTATCGCTGTTGTCCTCTATCGACGTGATACGACCCTCGTGCCTCCTCTGATGATACACTTCCAACATGCTTTGCTTTTGAATGCCTACGTCATGAAAACCCCGTACGTGGCCAAGCTTGAGCTCTCAAACGATCAATTCGTTCTCCCATCGCCATGTATTGTATCTTTTTTGAAGAGGTTCCTGATGAATTTGCGCTTAGGTCGCCTGGATGTCTCGGTAGTGGCCTGCGGTGGCGTGGCAGGACGTTCATCTGTGTCCAGATGAGAGTTTCGAGCCTGTTCTTCTGGCTCCGTTCTTGACGAGGGTGGATGAGTAGGTGATTTGGACGTCTCTTGAGCAGGCGAGTCTCTCATGCTCGTTCCTTCTACGTTCTCCTTCTCATTTGCTCTCGCTATTTCGGGATCATATGGTACAATCCGCATAAGGGCGAGGTAATTTTCGCTTTCATTCAATTCTTGGTCCCGCGGGTCAGCTTCGTCCAAGGTATTCCCATAAGACCGTCGAGGACGCCACAGACCAGGCCTACAACCAGCAGCTTCCAGGAGGTTTCTGACATTCTCAGCTTCTTGTGGATGCCTGTATGTTAATGTGATGTCGAGAGGAGATTTCAAGTTGCGGTCCAAAATGTTCAGATCCGTTTCCTGCCTGGATAGAAGCTCGTTGATACACGATTCAACTTTCCCCTCTACTGCCAGATGAAATGCAGTCCTGCCGAGATTATCTTGTATATTCACATCGACCAAACCTGTGGAAAGCATTTGAGCGAGAACCGCTGTTGATCCAAACAGTGCCGCAAGGTGGACGGGAGTACGACCATGATGGTCTTTAACTTTCACCTGATCTGGAGCTATATCAATGAGTGTCTCTGCAATGGCATTCAGATTCCATGTCGCCACATAATGCAAGACAGTCCTCTTATTGTGATCAACACCATCTGTGTCAACAGTGCCTCTATCAAGCATGATACGAAGCACACGGTCAGATCCTGCTTCTGCAGCTGTGTGAGCTGGAGTGCGACCTTCATTGTCTTCCATATAGCTATCAGCACCGGCTTCAAGCAACCTCTTCGCCGCATACCAATTACGGACTTTGCCAGCATAATGCAAAGCTGTCATGCCATTCTTATCTTGAATGTTGAGCTTAGACCGGGGCAAGTGATTGACACAATGCTCTAGGACATCATGCCATTCTTCCATAACAGCATGGATTAGAATTGATCTCCGGTTGACGTCCCTCTCCTTTGATAGATCGACCTGGAAGTTCTGAAGAGCGAAAAGGGTGAGTTCACTCCAACCTTGCAAGGCACAAAGAAAAGCCAACGATATCGGGCTGCGGCCTGGACGCTCTTTTTCAATCCTTTGCTGGGCTTTGATCATACGAGGGTGTTCCATCATGAGTTGGGCAATCGACTCCATCCCGAAAAGACATGCATGCTCCAAGGGCGTAGCATACCAGGTGCCGAGGATACTCGTGTCCTTTTGTAAGACACTGTCGTGGCAAGGATCAATCCTTGGATCGTCCAAAATTTCGCTGACAACCTTACGCATAGTCATACTTGATGCTTCAAACAGAACACTTGGGACGTACCCCAGGCTGTTTGATGGTGTTCTTGCTTCCCTAACGGCCGAAAGCAGCATCGAGACACGCTCTTCATCACGATCATTAATAGCTCTCGTGATGGCACTTAGACCGTCCTCGGCGTTGGCATTGACATTTGCACCCATCCGCACGAGGGCGTCCACTAGATGGGGTTCGAGATCATTGTCAAGAATAGTCCCTCCCACCGACATTATTGGCCTGCGGTATTCCTTGGCTGCGTTGCGCCAGCCTCGGTTGACAGCGTTGATATCAGCACCATCTTGTACCAACCTTGCCACAAGGAACTGATTCCTAAGATATACGGCAATATGAATTCGTGGAGGGATCGTGAGATTTTGCCAGAAATTCTTCCCCTCCGACCATCCCCTCTGGGCTCCGATCGAACCATCGTAGAGTGCCAGCATCAGCCACAACTTGACGCTTTCAGGAGCGTTCAAAAAGTCTTTGAACGCTTCCCATATGCTCAAATCTTCACCAGCTAGACCGGCATGGTATTGCCAGTTCGTCGCAGCGTAGGATAAGAAGTAGTAGAGAGTGGGAAGATCCAGCATATCCTCTCGTTGATGAACTTTGTGAGAGGTGAGATTGATTAGAACTGTCTTGGCATCGAAACCAGGCATGTGCAGCATCCTCAATGACTGAATGGCGATATTCGCATGGGATTGAACTATGTCAACTCTGTATGTGGCAGGCGTAGTTGATCTAAGGAAAAATTCCTTGATTGAAGTATGCACAAATTGTACGTAGCCATCATCGCTAACGGCGATCAAAGCAGGGCAGATGGTCCTAAGTTGATGCTCGGAAATCATGTTATTGACAGTTTGCTGATAGCTCCTCTTGTGGTTCATTGCGATGGCAAACCGTAACTCACACGAGTGCAAAGGCCTTGCAGACAGGGCCAGCCAAGTTAGAATCTTGAGCGCAAGCTCTCGGCAAGAGATGGGTAGGCGGTTCATTATATCTTCGTACAGAAACTCCAGTGACGCTGGTAATTTCTGAGCCTTGACGAGATTTTGAGAGAAATCGTCTGGCTTATTTGCTTCATGACATAGCTCGTGCCATGCCAGGACCGCCCATAAGAACATGCCTCCAGCTTTCTGGCAAATCTTCTCAACTATGTCCGTCTGAAGCTCGTGCGACAGTGCGAACCTCCGTGCTAGCTCGTTGGTTCTTCCTTGGACGTAGAACTTCACATCTCTTTCACTTCGTACAGAGATGGATGGGCAATCGAGCAAGGCCTCCAAGCTTGACATCGGACGGCTAGTCAATAGCAGTTTTATTCGTCGTGGTTTTATCCGTGGTGCTACCGAATCAATCAGGTGTTTGAGTCCTTTCACAAAGCTTCCCAAATTTTCCGAAGCCATCTCATCCAGGCCGTCGAACACAAGATAAATCGTTTGCCAGGAAGTTGCGATCATGGCTGTCTTGACCGCATCCCATAGGGTGGCAGATCTAGCAATGAAAGTATACTCAGCGGAAGGTCGGCGAAATGCTTGGAGAGCTTTGTTGACTTCGAAAGGGGCTGCAAGCAGCATTTGATGCAGCAGAGATCGCAGGATATTGCGCTCCGACTGGAGATGCCGATTGCGTTCGCTGCAGAAGAAATAGGCAAGGAAATCTCCGTGGCTTTTGTGATGTTCACTGTCCGTCAACGGTGGCTTCTGGGACCAGATATACAGGGCCCGGAGAACCTTCGCAATTATATACTTGGTCATCACGGATTTTCCTGCGCCAGCGTAACCTCGCAGCCATAGTGTGTCCGAGTCGGTTTCGTCATACCAGGAACAGAAGCTCGCGTGCTTCGGAAGCCATTCACACGTCCCTGGATACTGGTCTGGTATCTTCATGAGCTGCTGGTCATAGTCCGCGACGTTTAGCTCAATTGCGAGATACATGAATGCATCTCTTGCCGCTCTCACATCCAGTGGCCGGCCTTCTTTAACCTCCCTCAAAGCGAATTTAACTGGATCAAATTTCTCACTATTGATATTCGCAAACCTTACCATCTCTCGATGATTTGCAGCTATCGGAATGGTTTGCTCCGTTGGCAACCCAAGGATTGCCGAGTCTCTTTCCACGACAGGCACCTTGAGAGGGAGCATGATTGCCGTTTCGTAAAAGGTCTTAATGTCAATATCAGAGGCAATCTCTTTGAAGGCAGTAGATATGTCAGCCAGTATTTGTGAACTGAAAGACAAATTGGTGAGGAGGCCTTTCTGGACCGGTTTGTGAAAGGTGGTGGTGTTGATAACGTTGGCGAAAACCGTCCCCCAACTGGCCACGCGTGATCCTCGGTGAGGACAACCGAAGAAAAGTATAGAAGATGTCTTCTCGAAAATATTGGTATAGTAAGGCTGACTTTGAGCCAAGAGCAGAGCCTGCTTGCATACAATACCACCAAGAGAATGGCAGATGAAGAAGATAGGGTTGTTCATTTCCTCTGCCGACCATCGCTTGTTCCGTAGCCTTGTGAGGAGATCTAAAGCGAAGTCCTTGATATCAGCCGTACTAGGGCTGAACGCGACTTTCGAGTTATATCCGAAGGTCATTATTCTGGCCGTAGGAATGATCTCTGGGATGAAATCCCGCGGCCACATTCGCTTGTTGTCTGCTGTCCATGTTGTAAAAGGATCTCCGCCCAAGCCGTGAAGAACCACAATGTCCACATCCCAAGACGCGTTGTCTTTCAGAGGGTAGAGGACAAACAATCCATGACGTTCCAATTCACTTCCCATTGCGACTCGGGATATGAAGGACGATCATCCCACTATTGCACCCTTACAAGCAGAACTTGAAATCCACAACGAGAGAGGCAGCCCCGATCTTGCTCGAGGAGTGTGAGGTGGACGTCCGCTTCAGCCGCACGCTGGTCCGAGAATTTGGGGCCAAGGAGAAAGACCTTTGGCTCGCCTAGGTAAGCGTGTTCCATGGATGACTCTTGAGCCACCAACGCTGGGGAGGCTTGCAGACAAGCCGGAAGCATGATTGGCTTTATGTTATGCAGTCGAAACTTGTAGCATAGAGAGCCGCATAAGCGTAGTGACGATTCCTCCATAGGAGGCCAAGCAGACCGAGGTTGACATGTCGTGTAACCCACCTACAGTGCTTCGAGACCCGAAGGTCGGACCTTCAAGGACAACGCACCGAAATCTAGTTGCCGAGTGCGCAGCTATGGGGGCTCTTGTGAGTGTTCCGACGCCTCCATGTGTCGGGAGTGCTGTCGACTAGGGCAGTGCATGTGAGGGAAGTTGCAGGGGATTGTGCGAAAGACACAGACAAATGGGAAACGGCCGTTCTAAGCAGGGATGAACCGTGCCCGAGCCGCTAGACTTTGTGGACCCTTCATAGACCAACTTCGTTCGGGTTTCTGGTGCCTTCGTTGTATTCTGGACAAAGGTCGAAGGTGAGTCCTCCTGTGTATACTTGTCCCGAGGGCTGTATACACGCACCAGTCATGGCAGGACGCTGACAGTCGATGTCCAGGTCCAGATCTCGATGCCGAAATCAAATTCTTCACACACCCGAGCTAAAGTGTGAGGGGAGGCGCAGGCGACTGGTGCTCGTACCGTCGACTCGACTGCAAGGATCCGAAGCCTGAGACGGTCCCCAATGAACACAACGAAGAACAGAGATCGAAGAGATGCAGGTTCCCGAGACCTTTTGTGGCCCTGGAGATGATTCTTTTCGTTGAATCCGCCAAGCCTCCCGCGTTCTCTTCTCGCCGCGTTTTCCTTCACTTCTGTTGCCGGCTGCGGCTGCTCATCCAACACCATTGAACACGGCATCAACGTTCCCTTGCCGAGTTATCGCAAACCACGACCTTGATGCCGCACGATGGTGCTCGATGTGAGGAGGCGGGATGGCCGGCGGACGGCTCAGGCGAGGGGGGTTTGCGCGCGACGCGAAGGATTGTTGTCGTCTCCAGAACACACACACACTAGGCGATGAGGACACCAAGCACCTCTACACCGAAGCGACGGTATGTGGTAATACCGTCAAACGCGCGAGCGTCTGTGGCCGGTCTGCTACCGCTGATTGTCTTTCTCTGAGCGACTGCTGCATCAGCCCGTTCTGCCTGCGCTGCTGCTGAGGGAATAGATATAGTTTTCAATCTGAGCCTCGTTGCGCAGAAATGCGAGTGTGTGTTTGGGGCACGATAGAGCGAAAGACATTAACAACCTCTTGCGCTCCAACTTGAGGATCATGGACGGAAAAGCGAACCCACCTATAAAGATAACCATCATATATACCATATACCCTATACCCTGGTCTGGCTTCCGAGGACAAACTGATGCCCATGGAAGGTCAGGATCATCGACGAGTGAGAAGTGAGTCACGACTTGAGGAACAAACATACCCGGTGATGATGAAGACGATTCAAAAGTCCAAAAAGCCAAAGTCAAAGACAGCCGTAATGGTTCGGTGCATTGCCTTTGCAATCATCTCTATTTCTGGCTGTCCATGAGAACTTAAGAGAGCTAATCTGAGGGTCGCCATGTTCATCAACATTCCAAAAGCTCAGCAACACCATTGATGAGATCAATATTGAGGGCTCTTTATCCCTCTATTCCGCTCTAAGACTATTTTTTGTCGAATCTAACCCCAGGGCAAATCCTCATACAGTGCAACAGGTCATCCACCTTGATTCTAGCAAACGCCTGATCTACATCATCCAAGCCGATCCCCACAATCAAATCATCTCCCAGATATCCTGTGCCGAGTTCAGACATGGTCTCAACGTCAACATCATCCTCCGGTCCCGCGACGATTGACGTGGAACGTGGCCTCCAAGCCCACGCCAGGCTCGGTGTATACATGAAGTAGGCACTGCTCTGTAACGCTTCTGTCACGGGACCGTCACTGCTCTTCCTGGCCTGTGTCCTCTTGTGTGCCCACATGCTTGGACCTGATGCATTCCATCCTATGTTTTCATCCGGCCAGTTCTGTTCGGCTGTCCACGGATGTGCACGCTCGTTACTCATCAGCAGTGGCCACCTGCTCACTGCCAGGAGCTGGAACGGTGCTCGACTCTCCCACACAACGACATACCTTTCATATCGCATTGGCAATTTCATGTCGTTAGTGAACTTCCGATGGACAATCGCGATATGCACGGAACGCCCTTCTTCAACTGCCACGTCTTCTGCGCACTCGCCTCGCCTTACTTGTACGCGTGTACAAAGGATCAAGCGAAGCGAATTGGAGCCCTGATGCCAATGGCCGTGATTGCCTAGACTGTCGACAACATCTTCTGGCCCGAAACAAGGCATCTCGTCGGTATGTGTGAGGTTTGTGCTCGTGAGACCGCTGCCGATGAGTTTGGCGAATGACCGTCCTCGTCCTTGTTGTGTCCTTGCACTGTCGAAATTCCTCGCATCTAACGTGCCGTTTTTTAACCGTTCGTTGATCTTTGCGTTTGTGTTGCTGTTCAGCTTAGTACTGTTGATGTTTATCCCAGATTCCTTATCCGCATCTGCAAAGGTGGAAATGTCATTTTTTCTGCCATTCTGGGGCTTCCCAAGCAGTTCATACTGTACGTACGCATCGTCACGCTCCGGAAACCACAACACCCAGTTCTTCTCAACGCTTGAACGACTGTGTCTTGGATTTCTCGTGATCTCAGTGAGGTGCGGGTAACTCATCGCTTGCCCCATCATCCTCTTGCCTCCTCTGTTCAGCACTTTCTCAAGGTCAGGGAAGATCGTCCGCAGATCAACCATCCACAGTCCGGCACAGCCGTAACGACTCGCCGAGTTGACTAGGATCAGCGGCTCACCCTTCCCCGACCAGAATGCGCGTGGGTCATGGAAACCAGGAAGATCAGGAAACGCAGACCACGCGCCCTCGCACTGTTCCGCTGGCGTGGGCGGGATGTTGATCTTGACCGGTGCCATGACGCAGCGAAGACCGCCCCGGGGTCCAAGGAGTGTCGTGTCGGAGTCGGTGCAAGGCCGTGTATCGTCGGGTGACAGACTGCCCTGGGATGGGCCTCGTGGGCGTATCGGTACCGTCTGGTGGAGGGCTGAGGTGTAGTGGTCATCGGCGGGAGAGGAAGGCGGGTGATGGTTGGCGGCCTCGGTCGTCGACGGTGACGAGGGAACGCAGATATCAGCAAGGCACACGTGTGACTCTTGATGCAGGCCTGTCGTGACGAGACGGGATATGAGGACGTATTTGGCTCCGTGAGCGTCTGGAGAGTCGGATGACCAGTACGGCAAGGGCAGGATTGCCGGATTGAAGAAACGCATGCCGTGGTCGTGGAGCGTATCAGGAGGGGTGAATGTGATGTTGTACAGCCCGTTGGGAAAACGAATGTGGCGAGTTATCGCGTTGAATGTGCCGCCGGTGCTCGCGTTCGGGCAGGCCGCGAGGGTGCGGACGAGTGGATGGGCAGGCTGAATCGGTCGTGGAGGCGTCAAGTACTGTCTGTGATCTGGAGATGGGCCCTGGAAGGCGGTGGTGTCGACGGTTGTGAAATGCGTGCTTTGGTCTTCTCGGGGGAATTGGAACATGCCAGCGAGGCCGAAGTCAGTGTGGTGAGATACATCCCATCGCCGCACGACGTGTGCAAGTACGCTCAACAGCCCGAGTGTGAGTATGAGCTGAAGCCATCTCCGAAGCGAGGGGTGGCGGAACATGACGGATTCTTGACACCATCGACCTGAAGCAGGAGGCAACGATGCCGATGTGTGGAATGATGGATTTGAGTTCACCCCAGCCAGGCTGAACTGGTGGCGAGGCAGATAGGCAGAGGCGAGTCCACGATAGATGTAGAGAGTCGCGTAGAGAAGGTGTCAGATGCCTGTAGTGAGTGAATACCCAGATGGACACCAGGAATCTTCGACGAAGGACTTCATTCACAGTGTCTGCGACTATACTGCCAACACCAGCGATCCGTCAATCCTGGAATATCTATCATCGGCAAACATGATATAAATCCTATCCTCCTCTCTGCGTATTTCATGATTTCGTAGCTACCTAAGAGAGGCACAACATTAACTTTTTACAGTACTAATACACCACCGTTCTCTTTTTCTATTCCCACAATCAGCCGAAATATATTTCAAAGTCAGTGGTGATAATTGTCTTCCTCCTCCTCTGATTTATCGCTGGAATCATCATCGACATTAGATTCGGTTTCCCAGCCTTCTGCCTCCAGATCAGCAGATCGAATACCGAAACTCAACAGGAAGCCGATAAAGGCGATTCCACCGAAAAGACCAAAAGCAAGAGCCTCGCCCTTTGGTCGCACTTTCGTAGCCAGTGAAAAGAGGCCACCAGAAACGAATGGTCCGACTGCTCGACCGGCAGCCGACAAGGTTTGCGCCAGGCCATTCAACGTTCCTAATACATTGTGATTAGGGGCCGAGTTGGTAATCTGCCAGATCGTCAGTCACTTCTGTGCTTCCTTCAACGTCTACGAAGAGGCTTACCAAAAGTAGGGCACTGGTCAAACCCCCGACCGCTGCCACAGTCTTGATGAGAAGCACCACGCAGATCTCAAACCACAGCCACACTGCGCCAGATGATAATGCGTCGCCGCCATTGTCGCTGTCCTTGTAACCGACCCATGGCATGAGGAGGTAGGCGATGACAAAACCACCTAGTCCGGTTCTATATGCCCATCTATTCCCCATCTTGTCGCGAAGCTTACCGAAAATCCCGACTTGGAAGACGATTGTCACTACACCAGCAAAGGCAAGTGATAGGCCTATTTCATCGGGGTGTAAATTTCGACCTGTAGGTGGCTTTGCCTGCGCAAAGATGGGATACAACGAGTTGAATGAGATGTTGGATAATTGGAAGATAAGATATGTTAGCAGAAGAAGCACAGTGTCCCGATTGAGAACGTCCTTGCTGCGGAGTTGTTCTGCGTTGGACACGAACGCGGGGGCTTCAGAGCTTCCGTCACTCTCGTCATCCTCCACATCGGAGGTATCGGCAATGCCATTTGCCTGCGAGTGCTGGCTAGGGGACTTGCTCCCGCGTCGCAAGTAATGCGGTCGGCTTGACGAAGTAAACTCCCAAATCCATGCAAACAAATTCTTGATCCTTGTGCCTAAAGGGGCAAGATAGTGTGCCTCTTCCAGAGACTCTTCGAGAAAAAGTGCTGTCAAGACAAAATCGACACACAATATGCTCGCCGATAAGAGGTTCGGAAGCAAATAAGGGTATGGGTTGGGTTTGGATTTGTCGAACGGGTTCCTTTGCGAGACTAAAACTCCGCCGATAACAGGACCTGTAATCCCGCCAATGCCATATATCACGGGAAGGTATGTAAATGCTTGAGATTGGTTGCTCCGATCGGTGATCTCACCCAAGCACGTAGATACCACTCCCTGATTCCCGTTCAACAGGCCCATCAACGCCTGTACCAGTATAGCCTGCCAGAGGGTCCTGCAAAAGCCGAACGCGATGAAGCACGCGGCCGTGAATATTGTACCCAGGAGAATAACAGGCTTTCGCCCAATTCGATCAGACAGCCACCCCCAGAAGAAATTTGTTGCTAACTGAGCAAGCGCAAAGGCCGAAGCGATGAGACCAACATAAACTCCGACCTGACCTGGCTTGACTTCTGGAAATGTCGACGCCATATCCGGCAGATAGGGACTTATTGAGTTGAGAGCTGTCTGTTCGCATAGAGCTATCACCGCCAGAATGGCCATCTGTTTCTTAGGTAGAGGAGAAGATCCGTGGTGACGGTCATTTTCGTAATGAGAATTGATGTCGTTGCTGGAGGAGTTGGTCGACTCGGAGAGGGGACGGCCTCGAGACTTGGGAGGAGATATGCCACCGAAGGTCTGATAGTGAGGCGTGGAGGAGGCTCGACGTAGCAGAGGACTGCCATGGTCAGAGGGCTTCATGGCTGCGCCAGCAGAAACTGAAAATGCGCCTGGCGGACGATGATCGGATGGAGAGGAGGAATCCGGGGATTCCCACAGACTCTTTGAAGTCTAAAACATGAGGAAGATGAGCGTATAATGTGGATCGGACAGATATTGGTGTATATGGTATCTTTGTCGGCGCAAACAGCGAGCGATTGTATCGAGCAAAATTGTCTGCTGAGTTTTTGAAGTTAATGTCTTACTGCTGAAGCACCTTTCCTACGCTCGGGCGCAGCCACCAGCCTTGTGCAGGTGCAGGAACAGTTCTTGGGGAATGGGAAAAACGTTCTTCCCATGACGTCTAGACAGATACTTTGCACTGTAGAGGGCGAGATGGTGGCCACTAGGCGTACAGTTCGAGCCTCCGAGGTGCCTATTTATCGTCCACTGACTAACTTTAGTTAGTTGCTTAGTCCTCCAGCCCAGGTACTTAGTGGGAGCCTCGCCAGCCACTACTAACTACTGTAACTAACTAGTTAACTAGCCCGAGCACTTTTCTTCAATTAAAAGAATAATTGTCTGTGGTGCCCCTCGATTCCCCCACTCACCACAATTTTCGAGTCCGAGTCGTATCTCAAGGTGGTTGTGCATACCGCAAACTACATAGATCCCTAACCATCTGCACCTACGGCCGGAATCTGTACCACGCTAGACACCACGCCGTTCTTCGTCTCCGTCGTCGTACCCTCCGACGTCTTGTAGTGCTGGGTAAAGTCATACGAAAGAGCCATAGGCCCCTTCATGAACTCGACCTGCTTTTCTCGGTCATTCTCCATACTCTTCAGCAGCTTCAGAAAGTCATCATTATCAAGTGCCTTGTCCGGATCCTGGTCGTACAATCTCTTGATGTTCTCGGTAGAGATGGGATCTGTGACAGTCTTGAATCGCTGTCGGCGCATCTCGGAATATTTGTCCAGGATGCTCTCGTCTGCGTTGCCTTCGTAGATACCGATCAAACAGTCATACAGGCCTCCGATGTCTGTCAGACCGCCCGTAAGTCCAAGGCCTCCGAAAGGGTTGTTTACTGTACAGATCCGAGTCAGCCCGAACGTGCGAACCTGTGGCAAGATAGACTTACGATGTGCCGCGTCAGCTGCAAGCACAAATCTTCCCACTCTCATCTTGTCTACGATCCTTTGGTGGATCTTGTATGGGCTGATAGCAGCGAGCTCATAATCGCCAGGTTTGGGGTGTCCAGGCAACATGGCCTCGAATTTCATGGGTTGTCGTGCAATGAGCTCCTCTCGGCTAAGACCATTGATCTCGCCATAGCTAACGCGCCACCACCCGCTGCCATCCTCGTTCTTGGTAAGACGAGCAACCATGTGCCAGTGTTCAGGATGGATAAAGAAGTTTGCATCATCATAGCCATATTTTTCGAATGGGTACGCAACCTGGTAGTAATTAGCACCGAAAAGCTTCTATGAAAGATGGAACAACACACATTTGTGGCCACAATCTGCTTATCCCAGGTGTAACCAGGGAATTCCTTTCCGTACAGACACCGCCGCACGACACTGGAAGCACCGTCACAGCCAACAACGTAAGTCGCCTCCAAGCGCTTTTGGCCTCCAGGGGTCTCGACGTCCACCCAGGCCTTGTCTGCGTCCTGGCCAATGTCGACCACTTTGTGTTCGAATGAGATTTTCAGCGTGGGCTGCACAACGGCATGCCTGTACAGCAGCCGATCGAGCTGAGCCAGTGGGAGACATGCTATCCGGTCTGGATAGTCGTGAAGGTAACTGTTATCGAGGCCGGCCAAAACAGTCCCGTCAAGCTTCCGCCAACTTGTCACGGACGGGTCGAAACCCTCCGCTCGAATCTCATCAATCACACCAGCGCGCCGTAGCACGTATGCGGCAGGAGGACCATAATATGCTGCCCGAGGAGAGTCATCAAGTTCAGACGATGCTTCGAGGATATGGACACTGACGCCCTGCTTCGCTAGCATCAACCCGAGAAGCAGACCACTCGGTCCGGCTCCAACGATAATCGTCCAAGGTTTATCAGAGGCCGTCATTATGTTGAAGATGCGCTGTACTCTGTAGAAGGAAAAAAGATATAAAGACTTAGCTTATAGCTACAAATTGGGCAAACACTGGGTCCTTTATGTCGCCCTCCACCAAACCATGACTGGCCCCGCGATCTGGCCGCCCTGGTGTCCGCTTTCAGTGTGGCTTCAGAACTCTACCGAAAGCGCCCAAGCTCCATCGTGGCTCCCTGGAGCAATATGGGCATTGTCCGTGTGTGGAGAAGAAAGGTGGCAGTTGGCAGTTGGCAGTGGGGCGCGGTGCAGTCCAATCCATGTGTACGGGCTCACTGTGGAAGACAAAGATCACCCTTGGGGAGAGAGTTTGATGCGGTTCAGAGACCCTTCATCCAGAGATGCTAGCTAGTCGTGGTTGTGCGCTTATTGTATCGGTATTGAACGATGGTGCCTTATCGAAAAGCCATTTCACCATCCCGGAAAAGCACGCCGATTGGCAAGCTAGGCTGTCGTTGAAGCTCTGGAGACCTCCCAAAGCCCCGCACTAGGCGATGCGGGATGATGGAAAGATCTTTCTGTAACAATCCTCACTCATAAAGCTTACAATACAGTGTGAGGGTACAAGTGCGGGAACGACGACAAGTCAGCGCTCACGAAGGTCGTCCAGGCGGAAAAATTTGCTTAATCTTTGCCTTCGCCCAGTAACACTCCTCGACTCGGAATATTAATTTGTCTTGAACGAAAGTCAGTTGCAGTCATGGCTTCGGGAGACAAAGTAGTCGAAGCACACAAGACGCTCTATGAGCAGGGCATTCCAGTCCGCACCGAGGTCACTGGTCCTCAGCATGTCGAGCGCTCACTGCAGAACAATTCTTCTGAGTTTGCTCGACCCATGCAAGAATTGGCAACGGAATGGGGTTGGGGATCGATCTGGACCAGGCCTGGACTGGAGCGCAAGACTAGGAGTCTGCTTAACATCGCAATGCTTTGTGCGCTGAACAGGATGACTGAGCTCGGAGTGCATGTAAGAGGCGCAGTCAATAACGGCGCCACGGAGCTGGAAATCCGGGAGACTTTGATGCAGGTGGCCGCCTACTGTGGCTTGCCGGCTGGCCTTGAAGGGGTGCGCGTGGCGGAGGCTATTTTGAAGGGTATCAGGGAAGAGAAGACGGTATAGACGGCGTCAGTCTGTCGAAGACCGTCGTACTTTTGTCTTGTATGCGAGGATGCAAGCCAAGATCCCGCTGGGGTCCATTTATTTCCACCTGGAATAGCACATCGGCCTCGCGTCGCCCTCGCATTGCTCAGCGACTCGGCCTCGGTGTCGCGCCATTCCCTTGGTGTTGCTGTTGCTGGCCTTGCGAGGAGCTAGTACTAAACTGCCTAGCGCCTCACGTGACAGCTGCGATGGGCTCAAGCTGGGCACGCCTGACGCCTGACGCCTTGGGGCTGATTGAATGCCTTACACAAAGACAATTCCGCCGTGAGGACGAGTTCTGATGGCGCCATCCCTGGCTCGAGCGCCCGTGGTCGCATGTCGAAAGGCTTTTGTATCTTGACCAGCGTGACTTGTTGATTCAGAGAATAATAGGACCCCCTTGGGCAGTGGTCAAATCGGCAGGACGAGTTGTCAGCAAAAGCGATGTAGTGTAAGCATAGCAATAGTCGTAGGACACAGCGATGTCCAGTACGTTATTATCCCTACGTAAACTCGTTGTACTGGCTCTATAATTAATAAGAAGGGCTCTGGCCTGGAGTTGTGCCCTTTTGTACTGTATCCATTTGCTCGGCAGCCTTATTGCCCGATGCTGTCGTTTCCGCAGATCAGATTATGCCCCATTCCACGCTGACTGCACTATTGACAGCCTGCGACACTCGTTCTCGTTCCTTGCCAGCACTCACTCACTCTACGTTGCCTTGCCCGGAACTACTATCTTCTCGACATGGACACGGGTACCAGGCAATCCAGCTTCATCCCCGCCTCCTAACACTCTCGCTACCGCCGCATGCTCTTGAGCTGAAAGGCATCCTCGCCCGGGCTGCCTTGCGACCACACACTCCATCATTATCATTGTTACCACAGCGGATGAGCCAGTCCAGTCAGCCCGACCGTCTTGTGGCCAAGTGACTTCTGCCAGCTCGAGCCGTCGAATATGCGCACCGACTTCGCGCTCGAAGTCTGCGTTGATCTTCTCCCTTCCTCTCGCGCCAGTCTGGCTCTGCTGCGGCACTGATCATGGCCAGCTACCAGAACGGACAGTCCTATTACCCCCAGAACAACCACCCTGCGTCCGGCCAGAACGTACCGTACGGTTCGCAGCCCGCCTATTCCTCACGCCCTCTTGAGCGCACTTCAAGTTTCGATGCGGGAGACGATGAGCGGATGTTTGGGGGAGGCCAGGCGCAGGTGCAGCCCGCTCAAGGATATTCAGCATATACTGCGTCGACTGGAACGAGTCCGCATACACACAGAACGCAGTCTACTGCCACATTCAGTTCATCTTCGACTCCGTACAGGACAAACACGCAACATACGGCGCTTGGAGGATATCAGCATCAATACCAGCAACCGGCGGTCCCGGCTCATCAGCCCTATAACCCTGCCCAGTATCAACAGCAACAGCAACAACATTCGACCTACAACCCCCAAGGATATGCCACCTCGCCATCTTCCTCTTACTCTACAAGCACGTACCAGCCTTACGTGCCAGCCGCATATGGAGAACAGAACATCAACCGGCAGAATACAGGGTACAACAGCTACGGCTATTACGATGTAAATTCCCAAGTGAACTATCCTACTTCTGCGTCGCAACCTCCACCTCCTCCTCCCCGTCCTGATCAGCCAGCCGTTTACCAAAGTTTCCAAGCGTACAACGCCTATGCGCACGATGCGCCACAGGCTCACGCCGGCCGTCATCACAGCTCATCTTCCACTGGCCAGAGTCAATCGGGGTATTCCCCTCCGGCACCCGCCCCTCCACCACACAATGCGTCGTTGCTGGACCGACGACATTCACGTTCAACGAGTATACAAGACGAGAGATTTTCGCATGGGACAGGGCTATCAGCACCGTATCAAGATGCATACTCACTACCGGATGTTGAACGTCATGCTTCCTTCGCGAGCCGAATGAGCAATCAATCCGTGTCACCACAGCCGTCCATACCAACTCCGCCGAGCAGAAACCCTTCCAATGCGTCTCCCCAGCGCACAGGAACTAATCGACACCCTCAGGGCCGATCTCTTCCCGGCGTACCATCAGAATCAGACTCTGACAATGACTATTTCCGTTCAACCGAAACCCCAAATGTTGCACAGCGCGGTTCATCCCCAGCAGCTTACGATGATCTGATGCACCATCTCGATGAGGCCATTGGAGGTACCTCATTGCATACAAGGTCTGCGAGTGCTCAAAGGTATCGAAATTCGAGAGACGGAGCTGTAGAGGGCATGTTTCCGCAACAGCCTTCTCCACAGCCTCGCCTATCCCCGGATGAAGTTCCCACCCATCTCAACGGAGCGATTGCGTCGACCGGTGACACCTACATCAACTATGGAGCTTTCACCGATGATAGTGATGCCGAAGCGGCAGCAGGTCTTGCCGCTATGCAAGCTCTAGATGAACAGGAAAGAGCCGAAGATGCTCGTAGACACAGCGGTTCAGCAACATTATTTCCTAGTCAACCTCGTTCAGATGGGGGTGCCGCACGACCTTTATCCCGGGAGCAGAGCAGTGACAGTGATTACACTGGCTATGATCTCAGTTCTGCTGGTGGCGGCTATCTCCCCGATTTGTCGTACGGTGAATCGGCAACGTCAAATTATGCAGCTGCAGCTTCGATGCCTCAAAGCGAGCTTTACAGCAGACTAAACAACCGTATGAATTCGGCACGAAGCTCCGGAGTGTCCTCGGAGGGGCGCGAATCGCAGACAAGTGGTTACGAGATGTTACCGCCGATTGACACACTTCGTTCTTACCCTGCAGTCCCCAATGTTGCACGCGTAGACACCGGAGGAACAGGTGGTCTTACAGAACCAAGTCCACATCCCAGACGACTGAGCTACGAAGATGGTGACGAAGGTGTATTTGTTGATTCAGATGTTGGCGGAAGATCTGGTGACACTAGTCCCTCCAGGGACTCGATTCCAGATTTGTTCTTCCATCCTGGCATGAGCCAACAACGACCGCTGCCTCCACCTCCCTCGCATTCGGATCCTGGTCGGATACCTCATCTCATGCCTACAGGCACGTATACACAGCAAAGCCGGTTTTCCCAGTACGCTGAGACGAACAGACAAAGCTATCCAGCGGCGCCTGATGCATACTCGAATGCTTTGCTCAGCCCAACAACTGTGCCAAGGTCAACTTCCTTGTCTAGTACTCGAAGTGCGCCTCGTGTGGAATATCCAATTCGATCCAAAACAGACGCAGATCGTCAAAAAGCACTGCGACAACAAGGACGACCAGTTTCAGACTTGTATGATATTGCCAGCCCACAGTCAGCTGCATTGGACCTTCCAACTCTCCCACGAAAACGATACAACCCTGCCAAGCTTACCGCTGATCAATTTAAGAAATGCTCAGAGCCATGGGCGTTGAGCTCCATTGTGACATGGATTAGAGATTTGGCCGAAGAGGAAGTTGATCTGAAGGAACACCACATTGCTGAGGGCATTATTGCTCTTTTCATGAACAAGGTGCCGACAATGTACGTCACAGAAGCCGAGGTACTGGGGGAAAGGGTAGTAAGGGAGATGCTTGCCGCCAACGCATTGGTCAGAGAAGAAGAATGGGTCAAATTTGGCCCCGGGACCACATCAGGTGTTCTTTATCAATTGACAGGGTCCGGATGCTACTCCTCCAAGCTTCATCTTAACCAAACCAGGGGAAGATGCTACTCCTACCACTGCATGAGGACTCTGAGGAAGGTCGATCTAGACACTTTGCCTGAGGAGAAAAAGTCTGAAGATTGGGCCACATTTTACAAGCTGAAAAAGGAAGATATCGAAAGCCACGAGAAAAAAGAAATCGAGCGACAGAATGTGCTTCATGAGATCGTTACCAGTGAAGATCTTTATATCAGTCAGCTCGATGTTCTGCGCGTCCTCTACCGTGACAGACTTTCGACAGCACAGCCACCTATTGTGCCCTCCAAGAAACTACCGAACTTCCTGATAGAGGTTTTCGGTGGCGTTGACAAGGTTAAGAAAGTCAACCAAGACTACCTCTTAGGCCAGCTCAAATACCGACAGACAGAACAAGGTCCGTGGATTGTGGGATTCAGCGACATCTTCCGTGAATGGATCAGAAAAGCTCGGCCCGTGTACGTGGAGTACGCTTCTAATTTTCCTCGAGCCGACTACCTAATGCGACGTGAAGCCGAACGGAATTTCCATTTCAAGAACTTCCTTGATCAAGCTCGAGATGACAAACGGTCTAATCGTTTGGGGTGGGACAATTACTTGAAAGCCCCCATCACGAGACTGCAGCGTTACAGCCTGTTGCTATCAACCGTCCAGAAGAATATGCTGAAAGAGTCGGAAGAGAAGAACAACCTTGCCTATGCGCTGGATGAAATCCGTGCGGCCACCTACGAGTGCGATGCCAAGTTTGCCGAAATGACCAAGAAGATGGAATTGATCGAGATGCAGACCAAGTTACGACTTCGACCCCCAATGGAGAAGGAAGTTGAGCTCAACCTCGACCATCTGGGTCGCGAGATCATCTTTCGGGGTGAACTACAACGAGCCGGTGGCAAAGGCTTCCAATGGGTTGACACTCATGCAATTCTTTTTGACCACTATCTGGTGCTTGCGAAGCCTCTCTACCGAGACCGGAAAGAAGGCTATTACGACGTCTCGAAGGTGCCTATCCCAATGGACTTGCTCGTCTTAGAAAGTGCCACAGATCCTGCTGTAGTGAAATCTTCCGTCAAGGGCATCGGTGCGGTTACAACGACTGTCGTCCCTCGAGGCGCCACAGCAGCAGATACTCGACTTAATCGGGCGCAGTCGTCTTCTAGCGGAGGTCCGGGTACCTTGGCGCATCAGACCACTAGCTTGTCAATAGGATCTGGAAGCGCCAGCCAGTCTATGGTCCCAATCACGACATTGGATTCCGCGAGCTCGAAGGAGGAAAAGATTATGTATCCTTTCCGCATCAAGCATCTTGGCAAGACTGAGACATACACTCTGTACGCTCCTACGGCGCAGAATCGACAAGACTGGTGCGAAGCCATAATCCAAGCCAAGACGAGACACGCGGAGGCGCTCTTCTCTCAAAATGCTGAGCCGTTCAAGCTCCGTGTGTTGGCCGACACCGCTTTTGGCTATGAAGGTATATCGTATCCTGGGAAGCAGATCAAGATCCGTGGTACGCCACTCGATCGAGCGATCCAGGAAGCTGAGAAGAAGTTTGAGGGACAAGGACGGCCAGCACCTGTGTGTAGAGCTCCAGTCAACTGTGCAACTGTGTTCAACCAACCTTATGGTAGACTCATGTGTGCGGTTGGGACGGATTATGGCGTGTACATCTCCGAGTATCAAAATTCTCGGGGATGGATTAGGGTGAGATGCATGGTTTTGCGTTTGGAGGATTTTACTGACATATTTCAGGCCATCCAGATGCAACGCGTGACACAAATCTCGGTGCTTGAGGAATTTAACTTGTTCTTGCTCATCTCCGACAAAGTCTTGATTGCATATCACTTGGACGTAGTTTGTCCACCATCAGGTCTTCCTGTTTCCCACACCGATACATCAAGTCGCAAAGCACCTCAGAAGCTCTCTGGCTCGAAAGACGTTGGCTTCTTTGTGTCTGGTAGGATGAAGGAGCGCACTTTGGTCTTCTACAAGAAGAGGGACGGTATTGTGTCGACGTTCAAAGTTCTTGAGCCAGTCTTGCAAAAGAGCACGACCAGTCGATCACGCTTTTTACCATCTGCATCGCGCCGAGGTCAAACGGAATTTTTTAGAGAGTATGATGAATTCTACATCCCAGCTGAGTGCTACAGCCTCAACCTGTTCCAGTCGAGCTTGGCGATATCAACGGCAAGAGGGGTGGAAGTATTGACATTGGAGAAGAAACAGACCTGGAGTGTACCCAACTTGAGGAGCGAACAACCCGAGACTCAGGCTCATCTGAGTTCCATCGCCAGTCGTATCAAAGACCTGAAACCGCTGGGTATGTTCAGACTCGGAGAAGCAGAGTTTTTGGTTACGTTTGAAGAATGTGCCGTGTACGTCAACAAACACGGTGACATTTCCCGTGGAGTGGTAATGGAGTTTGTGGGTCGAGCCAAGTCGGCGTGTCTCTACGCGCAATACTTGATCCTGGTGGATGACGATTTTGTCGAGATTCGAGATGCGCAGAATGGCAGACTCAAGCAGGTCATAGTCGGGAAAGACATCAAATTATTGGATGATGGTGGTGGCGGCGGTGGTGGTGCTCAGACGCAAGCTGCGTTAGGAGGTGGGATTAACGGATTGGGACTGAAGAATTTTGGAACCGCACCACGAATGCCGAAGCTGGTGCTACAACATCCGGAACACGAAAAGAGTCACGTTCTTGTCGAGTTACTGTTGACGACAGAGACGGAGTAGAGAGCGCCTTGTCTTCACGGCAACTCTGAGGAGGGCTTCCTACCAGGCGTTACTCGTCACTAAATGAGGGGACGACTGGGCCGTCTTGATGACTATTTTTGTTTGTATGAAAGAAGGAATTCGGATGAGGACATTTCAGGAAGCGCACGATTGAACGACATTGGACTATGGTTGCTACTGGTGATGGCACTACTCATGGGTGGTGAGTGGTATTATATGGGATACATGAATAGCAAGAATACCATTTTTGGCCGTCATGTAGGTATGTTATGATGAGATTGGTCAGGAAAACTACCCAGTCAGGTAGGTAGGTAATAATGATGCCTGAAGGTCATTTCTTTTGGAAAGTACTTCGTATAACACATGAGGATTTCTAAGACATCTGTACGGAGGGTAATGCGGGGAGATGTCTGGCCTGCTACAGAGGAAGGATATGATAGAATGACGTAGAGGCAGAGTAGATTACAGCTCACTACGCTGGCTGTACGAAGTATGGATAGATAGGTACAATACAGTAGGTAAAGGTGTACGAGTTCGGGTATCGCTATAACTCGGCGGCCGGTGGAACGGACGGGTAGACACAGGGGACGAAGTACAGTAGGTACAGTAGTTGGCCCACCTGCGAGGGGAAAGGATTTTCTTCTGTACGGAGTACGAGGAGTGAGAGAGGTATCACTGCTTGGTCTCGTACTTGGCTGACACATTACCATGGTGTAAGGTGATCAATGGCCAATTGTCAACAATACCTGATACAACACCCTCAGGTGTTTAAGGCCACCCGTCACAGGGATCGATGAATCGGTGGCTGTCAGAGGCTCAAAGGGTGATTGATTGCTTTATAAGCCTGCCCAGAGTACGCAGTGTCCGTATATGCCTCAACTGTGGTACTTGTGTCTACCCGGAGTGTTGTGCAAGTACTCCTGAGGGTGGGCGGCGATAGGGGATAACCACCTGGTTGGAAGGGCTCGGGGGATCCCAAGGCGTTCGGGCCTTGATTCTAGCCGCCTACCTTGGTTGCTTTGTAGAGTCTTCGTTATCTACCTAAGTTAGTGGTATTTAGTGCACCAGTACTGGCTCTGAGAGTAGTCGAAGGGTGGCTCGTGCTTGGCCTTCGGGGACGGAGAGATGTATTGATGCGAGAGACGGCGGGGGTACTCCACTTGACAGGTTCCTGTACCTTTGGTAGGATGTACGAGTAACTCGCTCGTACAGTATTGAGAGAATTCGATCGTGCTTCGTGTGAAAGTGATGAGTAGATACTACTCCGTACCCATCAGGCTATTGTAGGTAGCAGTCACTCGGTGCCACATGTCTACCTGACTGACTAATTTAGTACCTTGTATTCACACTGGTCAAGGGTTATTATTATTATATATAGTCTTTCCTTGCACCGTTCACTTCGACGAGACACACCATCAACGGCATCAACAAGCGAGAAAAGCCACCACATCTGACTTTCACCGTCGGTGTGTCTATCTTGACGATTTATCGCAATTGCAACATATACAAGGCATCAGCACTTCCGCAGCAACGACATTACAATATCTATCAGCACCACTACTTAGTGGACCGACGTTACAAAGTACAGAAGACACAGCACCGTCGACCGATTGAAGAAATTTAGAAAAAGACCACAATGTCTGCACAGTCACATCCGTTCTTCTACAACACAAGTCTCGCCCTCAGCGTCTTCCCAATGTTGTTCGGCATCAACGCCATGTTGAGACCCGACTCCCATCTCCGAGCTCTGGGCTTCCCACTCCACACTGAACCGACCGCGAAGAAACTCAATCTCGCGTTGATGCGCATCTGGAGCATCAGGAACCTCTCTGTCGGGTTCTTGCTCGCTTTGATCTGGAACACGGGCGACGAGAAGTTGATGGCCAAGGCGCTCGGTGCGGGAATGGCCATGGCGACCACGGATGGCTTCGTGAGTAGGTTGCTCATTGGAGGCGGCGAGACTCAGCATTGGATCTTCCCGCCTGTCTTGGGGGTTGTGATTGCTGGGCTCTATGGGTGGTTTGATTAGGTGAGGTCGTGATGAGACCGTCATAATGACGAGGTATCAGCAAGCACAAGGGACAGGAGTGATGAGAAATACAAAGGGGAATCAGTGAAGCATGTTAATATGGCATACATGGGAAAGGGTAACTGGAAGGATGTATACATTACGGATTGCTTTTTATTTGTGGAAGTAAGCGCCAATGTCAATGTCAGGGTACGTGCTGCTTGGACGGATAGCGGGCAGCTCTGGTTTTACGATGGTCTTGAGCATTTTGAACTTAAATAGTCTTCAACATTTTATAATGCGGCCCTGGTTCGATCTGATATTTGAACAGTGCGATAATCGTGTGTCTTGCCACTGCTGGCGCGACCTTGATCAAGCTACTCCGTACTGTACATACCTCTCCCGAAGATGAGTGGAAGACACAAAAGCCTTGATTGCTTTTCCCAGGTCTCCTTTGTTGAACTTTCAGTCGTATCGAATAATTACTCTTTGCTAAAATGAGAACACAATGACTGTATTGCAAGAATGAGGTCGTACCTTTCTGGGGTAGTGGGGACTATCGGAGCTTCACCTTACCGTCTGCTGACTTTTACTTTGTCTCTCCCCAGCTCCGACAGGAAGACACCGACCTTGAAGGGAGCGATGTCCTTGTATACCACTCTTCTTGTCCGAGCCGAAGTCAACACCTCAGCCCATTTATGTTGCTCCCCCTTTCCTTTGTGAACCAGTTCGCTATTGGACTTGAGGTACAATTTTGAGCAATCACGAACGGTCAATGCATGCCTATCAACCCGGCTTAATGCTATCCGAAGTGTGTTCTTCATCCTCGAGCCTGACCCGCACCTGAGATTGCCACTTCTGGAGCGTCGGAAGAGCATCGTGTGATTGTCGGTTGGAGGAAGTGTCCGCGATCTGGATTCGGAATGGCCTCATCCTACCCTCCTACGGCCCCGTCGTGGGACGCTATAGTTAAAGCGTACCCACGCATTCGGATTATGTACCCCGTTGCGATCCTCAAGTGGTTTAAATTCAAGTCGATTCTCAACACTTAAACACTTCCCCCTTCAATATTTGACCGTTGTACAGTTGGTCTCGTAATACGGAGGTAGCATCACCAATCTTGCTCCCTTAACGAGTCCAATGGAGAACACCAAGAATAGCCTTGAAGTTCCAGGCGCCACACTTTATTACGAGGTTGTTGGCAATGGACCATTGCTTCTATGCATTTCCGGTGGAAGCGGATCGGCCGATTACTGGAGGCCACTGGTGAACCAGCTCAAAGACAACTTCACTGTGGCCATCTACGACCGCCGCGGGTTCTCACGGAGCTACCTCTCCGCAACCGTTGACCAGGACTACGAGCATCGAATTGAGACAGATGCCGATGATGCCTCGGCCCTCATAAAGTACCTCTCACCAGCGGAACAACCAGTCAAGATTCTTGCCAACAGTTCAGGAGCTGTCGTGTCGTTAGTACTTCTCCTCCGCCATCCCGACTTGGTCGATACCTTGGTCTGCCACGAACCGCCAGCCCTCAAAGTTCTCCCAGACCGGGAAGACTTGACGGCAAAACAGCTGGATATTTATCAAACCTACCGTCGGTCGGGAATTCCTGCGGCTCTGAAGAAATTTGCCGCATTGTACAAGGTCAAGGATGCAGAGTTTCCGATTTTCCAGGCATCAATGGACGCCCGTCGAGGACCATTTGTAGGACAGAACTCCATATATTGGTTTGAGCGCGAAATTCCAGTCTATCCACTACAAGACTTCGACTTGCAAGCGTTGGCAAAGTACAAGAAGAAACTGATTCTCGCTGCTGGGGAGGACACAGATCCGAGTGCTCCTCACTACCGGGCAAACGAATCTCTCGCAAAGATATGCGCAAAAGAACTGACAATAGTTCCTGGTGGTCACACCGGGTTTGCGACCCATCCTGTTGAATGGGCAGAGGCGCTGATAAAGATTGCTCCACCATAGCTCCTGAATGTCACACTCGGTATATCCGTGCTGGGAGCCTGTCATGTCATAAGAATCAAGCTTGACCTCGGTGTATTTGGTCTGCCTGCCCTCCCGTTTTTGATGAAGAAGTTATGCAGTTGATTTAGCGAGAGCGAACGCGTCTCGACGGGCACAAATCCAAGCAGTAGAATTGATCCCGGCCCGGAATCTTGCCAAGACCCCGTCAAGCTCCTATTGGTACGTGAACTCCGTGTCACCTCAGGAGTTCGGAGTTGTCGTAGTTGTCGCAGATGCACTGCAAGTTAGATGCAGACAGACAGAGAGTAGAGAGTTGATTCTATCCCTAGACGGTATTTGCAGGTATGCAAGGTATGCGATGAATATTCCTACAAGCTTGGTTGCTTCACTCCAAGTCCACTATTCTACTTCCAGCGGCGTGATCTGGACAACACGCTCGCTCTTGAAGAGGTGTTTCAATGGAAGGCCCTAAACGGAGTCTTGCTTGTAACAACTGTCGACTACGCAAAATCAGATGTGAGTATTGAGACAAGGCATGACCTGGGAGCGACTTTCACTCACTCTGCTTTCCTATATGCTAGGCAGTCGAACAGAGCCGTGCGCCGGCTGTGCGGTAAGTCTTCCAAATCGTGGATGGATACCCTCCCCTAAAGCAATGGCCAGCAACGGGGAGAAGAGTGCATCTATGCTGTCTCCAAAAGGGGCCGCCGGACACAGAGGAAGGCATATCCCATCATGTCCATGCCTGTCCACAGAGTTTTCCCAATGTCCGACAATCATGAACGGGAACCACAACTAGGGCTGCATATGGCCCATGAACGCCAGGATGTATCCATTTTTGGTTCGGCCAACGTAGCAGTACGGACTCCGGAGGGTTCATCGAATCGTCGGTGCGAATTATCTGTGCCAGGCGCAACCTCATCTAGCGGTTTGGCTGGACGTACCGGTCTGCCCGAGCAGGAACGAGGATTGCCCGAGAATCAACAGTCTTGTCAGACTCAAGCAACGCAGATTACGGCTACATCAGCCTTTGGGGCTCTCTCATCGCCTTCGAACGAGGTCGAGCCAGGGTCTACAGACGCAGGGCCCTTCGGGAAGGAAGATCTTACTCCTCCTGCTCATATAGTGAGTACTGAATACCCTTCCAAGGACATATCCACTTATCCGCGCCGGAATAGTTTCACTGGGAACATCAAGGTAAGGACTACCTTACCAATTCCCGAGTCCGAAGATACGGCACTAATGGATAATAGGCCCTGCTTCATGCTTGTCGCTTTGTTCTGCACCTGCAGCGTCTTGGGTCCGCCAGCGAACTGGAAGCTCTGACTTTACTCATGTAGCTCGGGAGCTTGTCATTGGCTGGACTCGAAGATGCAAAGTACCCAGTCGCAGCCTGCTCTTAGGACAACAGAAAGAACCGGAGGCTGACACGGCCTGGAGATATTGCACAGGTACCTCCTGCCCCTTACTCTCAGCCTTCTCAATATGAATAACTCAGTTAAGCTTACTTCGATGAATCCTTTGAATCTGTGTACGGATTTGTCGATCGTTCGGAATTTTTCCTCTATCTCAATGCTCACTTTCGCAAGGATAATAGCATAGCAAATGACCCAGCGTGGCATGCCTTGCGAAATACTGTATATGCGTCAGGGTGCCGCATAGTCTTATCCAAAGACGACTCCCTGCGCTATTCGGATATTCAGAAAGAGGCATGGAGCTACTTTCAAAACGCCATGTCGGTCCACACTGAGTTGCTTTTCACATTCACAAGCCTAATGGCAGTAAGAGCTCTCATTGCAATGGTATGTGATACCTACATTATTTACCGGCCTTCGTCGAAGTACGCTAATCCATGTCATGTAGACCTTTTTTACTGAAGGATTAGGCAGTCCTGCACTTCAGTACATGCTATGCTCGAATGCGGTGCGTTTGGCTCAGTCGAAAGGGCTCCACCGCCAGCCGGCTCCGTCCTGGCATATTGATGAAGATCAAATCAATAATCAGAGCTGGCTTTTTTGGGCAATTTTCTACAGTGAGAAAAGTCTTGCTCTTCGCACCTCTCGTCCATCGGTGAGTGCCAGGCTTCGGACTGTTTGAGGGTTACCGACAGCTAATGTCAGGCCAGGCAATTTATGATGAAGAGGTAAGCTGTCAGATTCCGACAAAGGCGATCCCTGGAAGCACAGAAGCAGATGTTTCATTATTCACATTCGTCATTAAGCATGCACAAATTGCTTCACGAATTTCTCGCCGGTTAGCGTCGTTTGGTTCTCTGCACCAGCCTAAACGGGACCTTTGGGCAATAGCTGGAGAGCTTCAAGATCAGCTTAACAGATGGAAAGAGTCATTACCTGTAGATTTACGACCCCGGCCTGCAATCCAGATGTCAAGACTACCCTCTTACTCGCAGTCCTCCAGCCCTCGCTCTCTAGCGATTCTTTCCCTTCAGCTGGGATACTATGCAAGCATCGTGGCACTCTACACGCCATTTATGAATCCCTGGATCTCAAAGGCGCTAGGGGAGAATGACGCCATACCTGAGCAAGAGTTTGAGGCGGCGACAAATGACGTTGCCGACGCCGCCCGAAACCTCATCACTCTCAGCACGCAGATTGAGGTTACCGCTGCCTCACCACAATGGTCAGGATACGTCCTACCGGCTAGCAGACTAACGCTAATCCCACCACCACAGGTCAGCCTTTACGTATCCGCTGATTGGAGTCACGAATCTGTTTATCCATATTCTCAAAGAACCAAATCTTGCGTCAGCACGAGTAGATTTGGCCCTTTTGGATGTTGCGGCCGGTCATTATGGTCGGGTTGAGCTTATCACCGAGTCAGACATGACCTTTTCGTTTGCTCGAAAGTTGGCCGAAATCGCACGTAAGGCTGTCGAGAAAGCTTCTGTTTCTGCAGAAGGAAAGGGTGTTGAAAACGGTGGTAACCACGAAGTAAGAGAAGAGCGTGATGACGAAAACCTCGATTCAACGCTCAACTGGCCACAAGTAAGTGTTTACAACTCTGGAGTGATATTTGTTGAGCAGAGCGCATGTTAATTGTCTTAGCAGACCGAAGACTGGGTCAATATGGACTTCACACTGGAAGATTGGTCATTCTTACAGCCAATGTTGGTAGACGACTTTTTGAATCTGTAGATAAAACATAAAGTATTCGTCTTCCCAAAACGAAGATCAACTGGTCAGGTCTACGTTTCTTGGACTTCCTGTGGATGTCTTTCTATGTTCCCCTGCGCACAATGCTAATCATCAAGCCAACCAAAGTGCCTTTCCATGGTCTCTTTTACAGATTCCGGCCTGTCTGTACCGGGAAGGTCTTGATTGATGGTTAAATTTGAAAGACCGAGGACCCAACTCGTAATCCCGTAGCTCTTCCTCGAACCCGGGAGCGGCCCTGTCGATGGCATTTTGTTCGAAGGAAAGTCGGCTACCAGCTTGTCATTATCGTAGATTGCCTCAAAGCTCAACATGTACCAGCGGTTGTCGTCCCTTTCGAGGCGTGAGATGAAACGCACGTAGGACGTTAGTGTATATGAGCCATCCTCGATGACGACGCCAATTCGAAGCTCGCCGCTCGATTCTGACACAGCCTTGTCACGGCGAGAGTTGAAGTGGATTTCGACAGGCGTGATACCGTGGCTTCCCTGAACGCCCCGCGCGCTCGTCTCCTCCGAGCCGCTGACGAAGCCGTCGATATCCCCGTTGTACCTGGTGCAGAAAGGGCTCTCGTCAGCGAGTCTCGTTGGGAGGTGGTGGGAACTGGGCCCATTTACCATGAAATGTTGACCACCGTCTTTGTTGCATTTGGGTGGTAGCACTTTCGCAGCCCTGCCCAGTTTGCCGTGTCACGATAGTATCTCTCTCGGACGAGAAGGTCTTTGATCTCTATGAGATCAATGAATCGATCTTGTCGGTCGTCAATTTTGGGGATCACGTTTGTGATCATGGTTGTAGTTGCTGATCCGGAGTGTCTAGAGAAGACAAGCCACAAAACGGTGATGGTGATGAGGCTTACCATTGTTGAAGCACTAAGACCTTTGAGATGTGAGTGAACCACGAGCCCCGAGGGGTTCTTTTCCAATACACGCCGCTCCGTAGTCAGTCCACGGACTTCGGGGACCCGGATTTATTACAGGGATTATCAGAAGTGTCAACGGCGGAGAATCTCCCCTGGAAGTCGGACGCGTGGGACAAAGGTTCGGATTCCACTCCAGACTACTGTTGCCCCCGGATTCTTTGTCGAACGCCTTCTTGGCGATGCCTACTTTCTGACCATATAATGAGAATTAAAGGATGGAGCTGGAATCTCAGATAAAGTGGAGTCCTGAAGTATCCAAATCTAGATGGCCCCGAAATGCCACAGGAGCGCTCGTTGATTTTCACTATCGAATAGGGCATCCCCGTGTCTTCTCGAGTAGGCATATGGTCCGGATTACCAACATGGCTGAAGATGAGAAACCAATATTCGCTTTGATTGTCGGGGGTGGGCCGATCGGAATCACGACCGCACTTGCGCTCGCTCGTTTTGGATATCGAAGTCTTGTTCTTGAACGACATGCCGAAAGACTGGGACAGCCAAAGGCTCATTTCCTCAATTCCCGGACACTGGAGATATACCGGCAACTAGGACTGGATATGTCACCTTTGAGGAAATGCGGTCTTCAACCTGATGAAGCTGACGCTGTACGGTTTGTCTCTTCTATGACCGGGGTTGAGTTTGGTTTCATAGATTTCAGACAAAATGAGGACCAGGTAATCTCTCCGGAAGTACCGTTCAACGTGGCACAACCGTATCTCGAGGATGTGCTCCTGAGTGCCGCCCTGGCAACCGGCAAAGTTGAATATCGACGGATGTATGAGTGGAAGGACTGCACGGAGTCGGTCGAAGGTCTCATACTTTCTGAAGTCCTACGCCGGACGCCGAACACTACCATCACGATCAAAAGCAAATATCTGATAGCATGCGACGGGGCGAACTCCAGAGCTCGAGAAAAGCTCGATATCAAATTCGGACCTGCGCTTGGTGGCCAACAGGAGATCTTGCATTATGCCTCGGTCCACTTTTCTGCGGACTTGTCTCATCTCAGGACTGGGGTTTTGTGGTTTGTTCTGAACCGTGACAAAATGGGAGTGCTAATCGCGTACGATCGAGCAAAGAGTTGGGTCTTTTTCCACCCTTACAATCCTGAGTTAACTCCCAAGGCGACTCTAACTTCGGAGTATTTTCGAGGCCTTGTCTTTGAAGTGAGTGCCAGATTGAAACAAGTAGAGAGAGAGGCTGACAATATTACTCAAAGGCAATTGGATACGGTCCGGCGGATTACAGAGAACTTGGTATTACAATATGGACAACATCTCCAAGACTTGCAGAAACGTATCGGTCGCCAAAATTGCGAAATGCCTTTCTCGCTGGAGATGCAGCCCACAGCTTTCCTCCCACAGGCGGACTCGGCGTCAATTCTGGGGTCGCGGACGTCCAGAACCTTGCTTGGAAGATTCATGCGGTCGAAGAAGGCTGGGTAAGGCCGACTTTCATCGACGACCTATCGACTGAACGACGGCCCGTTGCACTCGCCAATGCTAGACAAAGCAAAATCAACGAGGGAAAGATCTTCCGCCTAGCCTCGGCGATTTTCAAAGGGGGAAGCAAGCCAGAAGAGCTCATGGCAGACCCTGCTTCACGTCTGCGAATCCAGGAAGCGATCGATGACAATTGGGAGCACTTCCAAGCACCTAACCTTCAACTCGGCTATGTATACGGACGTGATTATATCCGCGGCCCAGCTGACTATATTAAAGAACTGGTACCCGGTGCCCGACTTGCACACTACTGGCTTTCACTTCAGGGGCGACAGGTCTCAAGCCTGGATTTGATCAGCGGAGACAAATTTGTCCTCATGACGCCCGAGGGGTTCACGGAATTGAAAGAATTTACCGTTGTTGAGACACCAGTCGTAGTGCAGCAGCTCACTCGAGACTTTGAGGACATTGATGGGAGTTGGGCAGCATTCATGGCTCAAGCAGAACCCGCATCTTCAGTTCTGGTGAGGCCAGATCAGCATATAGTCGGTCTCGTGGATTCCATCGAAGCGGCAACATCAATGCTGTCAGCCTATTTGCAATCCGCGAATTGAGAAATAAAATCAGACACTATCTGTAGGTCCAGCCGATACATAGCGAGTCCGTCCCATTGGGGTCGGATGATAGCCAAGAAGGCCTGTCTAGTTCTAGTAGCGATCAAAGATATTGGAGAGGATAAACAATGAACGAACGCTTGTCCACAATGCTGAAACCAGAAGGGCGATTCGAATGGCACATGTTCTCGGTACCCCAGGAAGATCCATGGGGCTTATCCCGAAAACCACTATGTGAACTGTCTTTCGCCTGAATAGTGGGTACAGTCATCATTTCGAATGGATTATAAGGATTTCTCAAAGACGATTCACCGGAATTACACTGTGCACACGTTCTTTCTCAAGTGGGGTATTCTTCTTGTGTAACTCATCCGCAGGCTGTGACCATGGCTCATCCACGGGGCTGCGATCCATCTGTGATCGATGTGCTCATAGTCGGCGCCGGAATTGGTGGTCTCTTCACTGCCATCGAGCTCCATCGGCACGGGCACAATGTCCGTGTGATCGAGTCCAGGGATGGCGTGGATCCGGTTGGTGAGTAAGTTACGGCTTGAGGCAGCATGAAGAAGATTAACAGACCCATTGCGCAGGAGACTTCGTTGGTATAGGCGTCTCAGCGACGAGACAGTTTGCCAAATGGCCAGGTGTACAAGAACGGTACCAAGAGATTAGATACAAGCCGTCGATGGCGTGGTACACCTTCAGTGGCGAGCACCTTGCGGGCCCGATGAAGGCATTAGACGTCCCAGGCATACCAGTCCCCGTGCACCGCCCCAAGCTTCAGCAAATGCTGTACGACCACGCCAAATTCTTGGGCATTGATGTTGCATTTGGCAAACATGTTGAGAAGTACATTGACAGGTCGTCCACGTCCAAAGCTGGTGTCCTCACGACCACGAATGAAGTGATAGAAGCGGACTTGGTCGTTGCGGCAGACGGCGTCGGCTCAAAGTCCTGGCAACTGATGCAAGAGGGCCAGTCCAAAACGCGCAGCAGTGGCTTTGCAGTGTATCGTGTGGCCTTCCCAACCGAGTTGGCCCACCAAAACTCCATAGTTTCGAAGCACTTTCCTGTCCCTCAAGATGGGTGGGACGACGTGCGAGGCTGGCTTGGCCCGGATACGCATCTGATCACGGCAACGTCACCGGACATAATGACTTGGCTATATACACACAAGGTCAGCAGTCTTGGAGACATGGGAAGGCGGTTGTTCTCCCAGGAACAGATACAGGCTGACTTTTTTCCCGGCAGGATTCGGATACCTCCACCGAGTCATGGTCTAGACGGATTTCTTCCGATACAGTGCTGCAAGACCTTTCTCAGTCAGGTCTCGACTGGCACCCTGCGGTGATAGAATTGATCAAGCAAACTCCGCCAGAGACAATTGTCGACTGGAGGCTGTTATGGCGCGATCCCAGGGACGTTTGGGTCTCCGAAAGTGGACGGGTCATACAGATTGGCGATGCGGCACACTCTTTTATCCCAACGTCCGGAAACGGAGGAACTCAGGCTTGTGAAGATGGAATGTCCCTGGCGGCATGCCTGAGCCTTGGTGGCAGAATCAACGTCGCTCTGGCCACTCGGGTGCACAACATGCTGCGGTAAGTCGTTTAGTTGGTCCTTCATCGATGATATAGTCTGGGCACTTACCTTTTAAACACAGCGCCGACCGAATATCTTGCTGCCAACGATCCGGCTTTCGCAACCGTGACACCTTGCACAATGCAGACTTCGGAGAGCTCAAAAAGCATCCAGAGAGATTGGGCGAGATGACAGGGCGCTGGATCACACAACATGACGCGGAACAATACGTTTATGACAATTGGGAGGAGTGTGTTAATTGCTTGGTCACCGGCAGGAAGTTTGTCAACACCAACATTCCTCCAGGGTATACACCCAAGCCATGGTCCATCGATGATGTGATGCACGGAGAGACAAGAGATGATGAAGGAGAATGGACCTGAGAGCCAGGAGTTCGGTGTTGGCTCTTAAGGTGGATATATTCACGTCTAATCTTTGGATTAAACATAGAAATCCAGCAGAAGATCTCAATTTATCCTCCTTGGATGGATAGACTGCAGGATCTGACGACGGCTGAGATGCATACCTACCGTGTGTCGGCGGAGAAGATGCTTCAAATCACGGCGTTTGGTCGTATTTGAAATGCTTGAACAGAATGTATTATCATGAAATATGCTCTATGCTTGAATACATAACTTGATCCTGCCGTTGGTCGGATCAGCCGACTCCGGGCTCGCCGTTCTGTGTCGAAAAGGACTAAGCGCCGGGGTTAGCTCTCAGAGCCTCCGTTCCGAGTACTCCACATTCGCACATGTACCCCGGGAATTACCTCTTGAGCCTCCCCTCGACGGCTTTCCTAGACATACCATGAACACAAACCCAATCGTCAGCTAGACCTAGGACACTGGCACATACCGATCGAGTGTGTCGGCGGCCGCACATGATGGAATACGTGAGCGACGCCAACATAGAGCCCGATGAGATGAACCTCCGGCCCTATGCCTGCAGTTTCTGTGCCCAGCTCTTCAAAAGGAGTGACCACCTTAGGCGACACGTTAATCTTCGTGAGCAGCTTCCACCGAGAGGGTAGTACCAAAGACTAATGCTTTCACACAGACACGAGACAGCATCAATACCAATGTCCATGTGGTGACACCTTCTTGCGAAAGTCAGCATCCTTGTGAGGACTACTTTTCCGGACCTACTGACCCGGTCATAGAGATGCATTCACCTCGCATACACGGGACTGTGCGAGCTTCCAGGCTCGCGCAAATACTGAACGCAAGCACACACGTACCAAGGCAACGAGGACCAAAAGAGCCTGCGATCAATGCGCGAAAATGAAAATCAAGTGCGATTCTCAAGAGCCTTGTGCTCGTTGTCGCCGCCGGTCTTGGAAATGTGCCTATACCAGAACAGGGTATGTCGACCCCTATCTTCAGTTTTGCCGGAGTGAGAAACAAGGATGTAATCCAGGAGGCTCAAGCTCTACCACCACAACAACTCTGTCAACCGACGTCGTAGCTCAAGATGACTCCGATTCAAGGGCGGGTACAGCAGAGTATAATGGCAACTTACAGACGGAAGAGTCGCAGGATGTTTCCTTATCCATCTCCGCAGAGAGGACTGCTGCCATTCCAGATTCCATAAGCTTACACACTGCCGAGACTTTCCCACTGGTCGATGCTGACGTTCTTAACTTCGATTTCTCTTTCATGGCTTTCGACGAGGATGTCGAACCACTCTGGCCGCCCGATTCACCTTTTCCGTATTTTGATCCTTTATGCAACTTGCCATCTATGTCCATGAATTCAGAACTCTCAGCCAGCTCACGCCCAACTCACAACGAATTAATGGATGGAGAGTCTGACACCTCACGCGGGTTCTCTATGGAGCAGTCCGATCCCGTCGAGGCAAAATGCGCCGCCATCTGTGCGCTTTTACGGAAACTAGATACAAGTGCCTCAGAGGATGACCTGGAGCGATATTCGAGTCGCGAACAAGTTCTACAGTTCCATCAACTATACGGGCGTCATTTCCAGTATCACTTTCCGATTCTGCATTCGCCATCTCATAGTCTTCCGTCAAGCTCCCCAATCCTTCTGCTGGCCATCGTGCTCGCAGGAGCACATTACTCACAGCCTTCAAACCCTGGCCATCGTCTACTTCATTTTGCGGTCCGGCTAATCACACATATTGAAATGGAGCAGGTTGTATAAACTACCCGGCCCCCCTGAATCTCTTGCTAATTCGACCAGAGTAAATCTGCCGTGGAAACACCAGTCCTGGAGACTCTTCAGGCATGCGTTATACTGCTTGCTCTCTTGGCATGCTCTCGAGACCATGCTACCAATTCATCTGTCCTATTTCACTTAGAATGGATATTGACCGTAAATCCTTCTCCCATCTTGCTGTTGCCAAGCTGATCTAAAGAAGATGGCGGCAAGGATGGGGCTGTTCAACGAGGAAGAGCCACCAAATTACGCATCACTTCGTCAACAAGACTTTGACTGGCATGACTGGATATACCGAGAGTCACGCAGAAGGTAACGGAAGCTTAAATCGTACTAGGCTTCGTGGTCTAACATTATGCACCTTTCAGGCTTGCGTGCCAGGTCTTCTGTCTCGACATGGCTGGTTGCGTCTTTCGAAGCAGAGCACCTGCTCTCTCGCCCCTGTCGTTCAAGGTCCTCTTGCCAAGTTATGAATCAGCCTGGCAAGCCAAGTCAAAGAGCGAATGTTGGCATCAACTCCGGGCAACTTCACAGCCTCTTACAGTCTCCTATGCTTTCAGCAGACTTTGGGGGGCTGCCGCCGACAACTTTGTGGGCCTGGAAGTCTCTGGATACGGGATGTTCACACTAATCGAGGGTATGGAGCTGATCCGCAATTGTTTGTGGTCGTTGAGCATGCTAACACGGGGTTCGCGCCAGGACTTCATGGTTGCATCTTCAATATGACTCGAGAGGAGATGTTGTTTGCAACCTGGGAAGACAACACCGCGCCTTCCACGAACCTATTTCAAACAACCGCCGCCACAATGGTGAAACAACTTCAATCAAGCTTAACAGCTGAGACTATTGATGCAATTGCGGACGGATTTATCGGCACGTATGGAGGAAAAACTTTCACAAGGCTTAATTCTGCATTGAACGCCTGGCGCCAATGCTGGCAGAGTAGAGTGTTCCGCGATCTTCAAAACGATGGGAATAACTTCTTGTGCGATCCTCTCCCATTTTGGCATCTCGCGAAGCTCCTCCTGATGCTTCGTTTAGCGAGAGTGGCAGGTGCCGAAGAGCCCATGCTGGCCCTGCTTAAAGTGCGGCATGGACCTATGTGGGACAGGTCGTTTGCACAAGACGGAGTGCTTTCTTGGTTACGAAGATTATGGCCTAGCAGAGGGGAAGATACAGCTTTTGAGACATCTGAATATGCAGGATCAGAAACAAACTGTGTAGAAAGCCTGCTTACAGTCTTGTTGAGACCGACATGAGAATGGCGCGCTACACATGATGGTCGAACAAGTCTTGATGAAATTAGCAACGAAGTCTCATACATACACTGCCATAACAACTCATACATCACGCCGTCCTGCTTTGATTACGTATCTAAAATTCGATTCCATCTCATCACTCAAGTAAATTGACGTCGGATACTGTCGGGCTCTGTGGGGCCGTTTTAGAATGAGACGGCATATGAGGGGGTGTATTCCGAAGTCCAAGTAAACTGTGGAGCCAACTCTTATGACAGACCTTCTATCACTGTCAAACACTTGGTCCTCGCCATTTGAACGGCAAAGTGAGCAACAATGGACGAAGTTGAGATCAGAAGTGTGCTGTATCGTGAGAGATGGGCACGAGATACCTGTCAATGGAGCAAGATGAGAGCTTGTTATCACCCCGATGCGAGTAAGACCCTGGTTGCGGTCTCTTGGTACGACCTGTCTTTGTCGGGAGATATTTGGCTTACAAGCAAACTCACAACGGCAGGTACACGGGTAACGTCGATGGATTCGTGGCTGCGTCTGAGAAGCTCGCGAATCCAGGCATTTCAACAATCCACGTCATCACACCCGCGGACATCGATATTCGCCGGGGAGAATATGCTGTCGCAGAATCCATTGCGCAATTCAGCTGTCGCTTTCCGCACGACGGCCACGAGTATGACTTGGTGGCGTACTCGAAATTACTGTCGAGAATGCAAAAAGTTGACGGGCACTGGTACATGCTAAGCACGCAACCCATCTACATCCGGGATGCTATATACCCAGTGGGGAATAGTCCAGTGCCCGACTTTTCAGACATTGAAGCCGCTGGTTGGAACAGAAAAAGCTACCAATTCATCTATTGGCATGTGAGTCGGCGGGGGCTAACCATGAAGGATGACTTGCCCGGCGAAGATGATCCCAAGAGCGTCGAAAAGGTGTATCAAGAGGCTCGCATCTGGCTCGAGTCTGTATGAGGCATATGAAGATTTTGTGTCTTGAAGACCTTCAGGGTCGAGGTATTCTGATGGCAGCGACGGTACAAACTTAACTTAGCTCTACGTATCCTGGTATCGCACTGGAGACGCTGCCCTCTGACCCCAAGAAAGCCCAGAAATTCGGATACGTAAACAATAGAACGCGTCGCCACACCGAGCTCGCGATTCGAAGCTAAGCTTCGAAGTATCAGTTAAGGTCTGAGAATAGGAGGCGGAGAGGACATTAAGCTAGTATTCGCGAAACCCGAGGATCGCAATAGCCCCCCCGAACACGCGTGAAGCCAGGCCGGATATAGTCAGGATCGCGGAAACTCTTTGTAAGCCTGTTTGAAAAGATTAATACATATGTGGAAAATGCTCCCTTCGTAGAATGGAGATAATTTTCACATGCAAAAGAAGAGAAGAAATCCCCAGTCCCTACAAGCAAGACTCACAGTTTTTGTCTTGAATAGGATTTTAAGTCACTACCAGAATGAGTAAAGAATGTTGCTACAAAGGCTTCTTCTGGGACAAAACCCCGGTTGGGCGAGAAGATACGCTAGCGGGCTACCCTACATATATCACCGGGACCAATCCTGATGCGGCGTTGATGATAATCCATGACATGTTTGGATGGACCTTCTTAAACACAAGGGTGCTGGCGGATTTCTATGCCAAAGAAGCCGATGTCACAGTATATGTTCCTGATTTGTGAGTCTTCTTCGTCTTTCTTCGATACCTCTCCCCTCGCTGCGCGATCCTTCCTTCCAATACCACGTCCTGGTAGGGCCGTGCATACAGTCCTGGCCGCTATCTTGCTTTGGATCGCTGACCGACCCATTTCCAGTTTTGACGGCGAGGTCATTCCACCAGAGGTTATACGAGACAGGAGCAGATGGGCAGAGTACGACATCCCAGCTGGTGTGGATAGACGTCATGCCAAACCGGTCCACCGAGATCAGATCTTTGCAAGCGCTCGTGAACTCAGATCAAAATATAGGAAATGCGGAGCTATTGGGTTTTGCTTCGGGGGCTGGGCAGTCTTTGCTCTGGGGGCGGATAAGAATCTCATCGACGCAATATCGACCGGCCATCCGACGTGGCTTACCAAGGAGGAGATAAACGAGGTCTCTGTGCCGACGCAGATTCTTGCACCCGAACACGACCCTGTCTTTACCCCGGAACTGAAGGCGCATGCGAATCAGGTCATTCCCACGCGTGGCGTACCGTATGATTATCAGCTGTTCCCCAAGGTTGCGCATGCGTTCTGTACCCGTGGCAATCCGAACGACGAAGAGGAGCTCAAGGCTATGGACCGAGCAAAGGACGCAGCGGTCTACTGGTTCAAATTTTGGCTCCACCAACCGTAGAGATCCAAGTAGCTCAAGCATCGTTACGGAAGGAAAAGAGAAGCCACGCCTTTGATCAGACCTGGCCGGCGAGTAGTGCAAAGTAAGAAATCACATACGTTAACGGATGAATAGTGTCCCCGGTATCAAGCATAAGTAACTGTGGTAGAACTTTGGATCGACCACTTAGGGTCTGGAACCAAGACAAACACATAAGCCTATCTACCAAGTGGTTGTGGAATGCCACCAGTTCGACGAGCACTACCGAGTACCTCTCAACAAAGTGATGTACGCTGTGGCTCTGCATCTACCAGTTGATCAATCCATCCACAGACCTCAACTTTCGCCCGTATATATGTAGCCCTGCCATGATCAAGGTCGAGAACACAACAATCCCTGCCTGCGTACCAAAAGAATTGTTGTAACCCACTTTTGTGCCCCAGTCCTGTGTACATTCTTATGTTAGTATAATGTCCCATGGGTAAGCTCTTGTGCAGTCCAGGCTGCTTGGAGGTGGGAATACACTTACCACCTGGCAGTAACTGATGGTGAAACCTCCGATCAGCCTTGCAAAGTTGAGAATGATGGATATCTCTGCCGAGGCCGTTGCGTAGGAATCGACCAAGTAGGCTGTAGTAGCCACTGTCGACATTATACCTCCGACAACGTATAAAATCCATCCGGCGGCGATCGCAACCCACGACAGACGGTGCGCCAATGCCTGACCAAGGAGAACCAAGCCGGGCACCATGAAGAAGGTCGCAAAGTATACGGGTGGTATCCGTGCCTCTGGTGCATAGACACCGTTGTGGCGCCGAACGTATCTGTTTGACGCAAGGTCGATAACAAAGCGCCCAACTACGCCGCCAACGAGAATCCCAATGATAGGGGCGAAGTACATGTATGACAAGGCGTCTTTGCTGAACCCATAGCCGCCTTGTGTTCGCGGTGTACTGAGAAGAAGCGCAGAAGACTGATTAATACCAATAACCCACATGACTGTAATCCCACTAAATACGAATAAGTTGATATGTTAGCTGAGGCCACTGTTGTTGACCCCACGTCGGGGGCGGCGGATCGGGGCTGCTACTTACGTTGAGACCGAGACAAGCAAGACAACTGGGCACAAGAAGACTGCCAAAAGTCGTCGATATCCAGCCCACAGGTTGGGAAAGTATTTTTTGTGTGTTAGCTGCCATATGCCAACGACCCTGAAAAGTCGAGGTCCCCTTGTAGGCTGTTCTTCCATTGGGACATCTCTTTGATACCATGTCTCGTCGAAGAAAGCCAGAACAAGCAAGATGCAGAGGGCATTCATGGCGAAAATGAGCCAGAAAACATTACGCCAATTGCCCGTTCTTGTGACGATGAAATTTGCAAGCATGGGTGCAAGATAAGGAGCCAACATCCACATGGCGGTCCAAATGCCAATCTTTCGTGCACGCTCGTGTAGGCAAAACATGTCTGTGATGAAGGCGAGGCCGGCGATCAGGCCGGTAGATAGAGCAAATGCCTGTAGGCATTTCATGGCCAGGTACGTCTCCCAGGTTTGAGCGAGTGCACATCCGAGTGTGAAGAAAGTGCCTGCAACTATCGACCAAAAAGAGAGAGGCACACGGCCCCAGGAGGTCACCAATGGCATCAGAAGAAACCCACCAAATCCCCTATCCGTGGTGGAGAAACAAATCAGTAAAGAGACTTCGAAACTTTTCATAGAGTTTTGCAGAATGGTGTTGAGATAGGACTTACACCAACAAGACACTGTAGTTGTTTGCGCGGTTGATGGCCACGGGCGTCATTCCGAATTCAGAGCTTTGCAAGAAAACGCAACTGATTCCAGCGCCAACGGGAAAGTCCATGCTGAACGCAAAGAATCCTGTGCTGAGAAGTATAGCGTGCTTCCTCCAGGAGGGCCAGTTCAATGGATCATGGGGATCTTCTGACGGCTGTGGTACAAGGACCGTCTGCAAGCTGTGTCAGTGGAGATGATGGGGACGCTTTATCATGGTGTCATTTCATCAGTCCTACTGAGACTGCGACGAGCAGAATACCTACATGTCCGTCCGAAGCCACTTTCACGTTTTTGTCCACGTCCATAGCAGCCTCGCCGCCTGGATTTGCTTCGATCTGAACAATGGTTGCGGCACCATCTTGCTCAATGGATTCTAGATGAGTGTTACTCTGTTTCTCGCTCGTCGAAGGGCCCATTTCGATCGCTCTATCAGCAAGAGATGACTGTTGATACGGCCAGGCCTAAAATGATTTGAATCAAGTAAAATGGCAATTGCCTGCCAGGATCAACCAAACCGCAACTGTGTGGTGATATACCCCTTTCGACCAAGTCCCCATGGGCGGCCAAGACTCCGACTTGTGGAGTCTGGGGACATACACCGGGATGTTTGTGCGAGTCCGGGGCGAGATTCGCGGGGTAATCACCGGCCTCTGCTGGTTGGAAAAGCGAGTAGGATTTCAGTTCTAGCATGGCTTCTTAACGCCGGAAAGATTGCCTCCGCCTTCGGCCCTTTTCTTTGTGAAACGTCGCGTTTATCAATTCATATTCGGTTATCGTCGGTAGTCTGTAAACCTTTCGAAGCTCAGAGAACAGGAGTAAGAGACCTATTGGGGTTGACTCTCCCATGGAAACTTAAGGGGGACCTGAGATCAGGCTGAGGAGTCAGGCTTAGCTTCAGATTTCAACTATGGGATATTGGCTTCACGCCTGGAAGATCTGTCCAGACCTCGAAGACTGATCCCTCCACCGGACCAAGAGCACAGGCTCGATTTAGGGCGAACACTCTAGTTCAAAGCGTGTCTCCGAACAGTGTCTTCGCATTTCCTTCATATACATCGTGGCGATCCTTTTCATTCGGAATAACTGAGCCCAACTCTGATTCAAGCTCAACGGCAAGCTCCACCACGCTTTCATATCTAGTGTACGGATAGTCACTACCAAAAAGCAATCGATCGGGCCCGGTGAATCTCAGGAGTCCATGTATCTGGTCTGGAAGAACGAACCCAGTGAGATCAAAGTAGAAGTGTTCCTGCAATATGTGTTTGATATCGAGGCTGGTAACTTCTTGTGCATTGCCAAATACGGCTTTGCCAAATCGAGCAAATCGCTCCACGATCGGAGGAAACGCTCCTCCAGCATGCGGAATAATGAATCGGATATCTGGAAATCGGCTCGGTGTGTGCGACATCAGAAGATTGAAGATAACACGAGCCTCCTCGAAAAAGTACTCGCATATCCCTTGGGGAAGCCTCTTGGTCGGAATCGCACTAATAAGACATCCGTCGTGCGTTATGCATGGCACCGTGGGATGGATGAAGACTTTGGCTTTCCTGCGGTTCAACTCCTCGAATACCAGGTCGAACTGTGGGTCGCCGAGGTATATCCCATCGTGACTGGTCAGTACGCACACGCCGTCAGGTTGTAGTTTATCGAAGGCATAGTCGATTTCTGCCAGAGCTCCCTCAACATCCGGGAGGGGAAGTGCCGCGAAGTAGCCGAATTTATCTGGTCGCTTCTGCTTGACTTCAGCAGAAAATTTGTTGCACCTTCGGGCAAGATCCCTGGCAGATTTGAAATCTCCTGGAATGAGGTGTGTGCCGGGATGAGTAATGCTGAAGATTGACTTTGCGATATTGCAGCGTTCCATTAACTCGAGATGCTCCTCCTCATTCCATGTCTAAAGCCCCGTGTGAGCAGATATTCGAGAGCAGCTCTGATCTGGAGCGACTAGGATTGGCTCTGGCCAGGATCACTCACTGGAGGAATTGGAATTTTTCCCGCTGCAGCAACAGCATCTGACCAGAAGGGGGGAACAATATGTGTATGGACGTCGATTTTGGTAGGCGACATCCTAAAACACACTGGTTGAAATGCCTTGGCGTCAGTATAATGGCTCGACGAGAGGGCTGTTGCAATATCTCGCATACTCGACGCGGACAACTGGACCGTCCCGCTATCTCATGATAGCGACCGGCATAGGCATAAAAACCTACCGCTGTGGCGTCCACTTCCATGACCGACAAGCTCGGCGGAGAGATTGTTCGTGGGGACTTAAGCCGAAGAAGCTCTTCCAGAGCGGCATTGACATCATGCGGACTTTTCGGAGACACTTGCGTTTGACAGTGCCCGATCAAACATATCTGTGACAGGCGCAAACGGTTCTATACCTGCTCGAAGACTCATCTAAGAAAAGAACCCCTATTGGTGCAGCCTTCCGTCCCGACTCCGAGAGCCCGAAAAAGGGGTACCCCGCTCCGGGGAAGCTCCCTAGGCTCTTGTCCGGACCAGAATGAGGATCCCAAGAAATTTGACCCTCCGCAATAGAGTCTCGTAGTTGCACTTTTACAACCTGAGTCACGTATAAACGGAATTGTAAGACAACACTGAAGCCGCTCGCACCGATTCGACGTACGTCGACTGACAAACCTACTTGCAAAATGGCCTTGCCTCGGAAACTCGACTTTGATGGTGAAAGTGGCAAGGTGATTAGTCCCAAAGCTCTCTGCCACGTTGTCCTACGCACAGCCAGCCTGAAGGCGATGCAGAAATTTTATGTTGATTTTCTCGGTGGGAGGGTTGCTCACGCCAACGAAATGCTCTCTTTCATCACATATGACGAAGAGCATCACCGAATTGCACTGGTGGAGGTCCCTGGCACTGAGCCCAAAATCTCGACCACTTGCGGGCTTGAGCACATCGCTTTTGGATTTCCGACTTTGTTCGAGCTCTTGTTATCTTATCGACAAAGACTAAAGACCGGTATCAAGCCTTGGTGGTGCATCAACCACGGCCCAACAACGAGCATATACTACAAGGATCCTGATGGTAACATGCTCGAAACTCAGGTCGACAATTTCGAGACTGTGGAGAAGGCTGATGAGTTTATGAAGAGCAAGAGCTTTGCTGAAAATCCTATTGGCACAGAATTTGATCCAGAAAATCTCATCAGCAGGATGTTGGCAGGGGAGAACGAAAACATCCTCAAGCGCCGGGTAGAAACAGGTCCCAGGCAGGTGGACGTCAAGGATTTGGCATAGTGGTTATTAACAAACTCTCAAAGCACCACACCGAACCACAGACCGTGTACATACTACAAACACTAAGACTCGGTGATAAATTGTAATCATATCGGACGAAACAACCTTCCCTAGAAACAAGTGATTGTGCATTATAAAAACATCTTGCAGACTGCCCGGACCTATATTCATCATCTCATCACTGTGTATAGTTGTAGTAGTAGGAGCTGGTGCCTTTCAGTACGCCCTGCCCCTGTCGAGCAAGGGCTGCTGTCTGTGACTTCTGTTCTGTCCTATTCGGGAGCTCCATTATCCTTTGGTCTCTCTTTCGCTCACATCCCGACCTAGGTATGTAGAGCACGTTAGACATTCATAGCAGGGGAACTCTGCGAACCGAGTAGCCTCCAATCTTCAATGGTAAGTAGCATGTATTTGTCCCGGCTGCCTTCAAGCTACATCCAATATACTCACTCCCTCGCCTAACCCTGACGGCGGATGCCCGCCACTGTTCGTGCTCTCCGCCCTACTCCGTCCTTCGGTTTTGATACTGGCGACCTCAGCGCCCTCGAGCAACTCCTGATCACGTTTGCCCAATTCTGTGCTATCCTCCTGGTCGTCATCGTCGTCCTCGTCATCTCTATACGCTCCTCTCTGCTGTCCCTCGCGAGCGTTGCGTTCAAACTCGCGCTGGGCCTCGTCCATTCGCTTCCTCATCTCCGCAGCCATCCTCATTCCGTCATTGACGATGTTGTCCAGCACACCTCTGAGACCGCGGGATCCAGGCTCGACTATGCCGCCTGCACGTCCGACGTCGATGACCGTTCTGTTAGAGCCGCCGCCTGCGCCGTTGATCAGATTCTTCACCGGTGTGCCAAGATTGCTGAACGTCGTCAGATTGCCGGACAGAGTACTGCTCGGCAACGAAACCGTGCTGGCGTTCGGAGAGTCCGAGAGACGGAACGATTGGGGAAAGAAAGTCTCGAAGAACTGCTCGAGGAGTTCGTCGGCGAGAATCACCATGCGGAACGTCGGCAACGTGATATGTAAGGGTTTGTTCGGGTTGAGGGCCAGATTGTGCGACGCGGCACGTGACGCTGAACTTATACGTTTGTCCTTCGCTGGCGCCAGAGCGGCTGGGGATGGTGAGCCAGGTGGCGTGATTTCGGAAAGAGGGTCTTTCTCCGTGGGCCGTGGAGACATTGGACTTTTATGGTGCATATCATCACTCTCTGCGAAATCGAGGAGGTCATCGCCTTCTTGCTGCTCATTGGCGCTGAGGCTGGTATTTTCGAGTTTGGCGTTGGCCTCTTCGACAGCTTCGTCGGGATCAGCGTACTCGAAACACCGTCTAATGAAAGCGCTCACACTGCCTAGAAATTTCTCGTTGGTACTTTGTTTCAGTGCGTCGGCTGCCTCGGTCGCGGATAGAGGGGAAGTGACACCAGTCGAACCTGTAGAGACAATTGTGCCGTCGAAGCCTCGACGGGACAGGAAGAGCAGTGACTCCGACATTCTCAGTATTCCTTCTCGGTCGACTTTCCCTGTAGAATCCTCATCAAAGAGATCAAAAAAGAGGCTCATCGAGTTCATGATGTCGGTCGTGCCTTTGAATTGAGCCAGCCCCCGTACTAACTGTTGCAAGGTCATCGCGCCCTGTTGAGACTCGTCCCATTTGCCATACAACCTTTGCATAAAGTCGTGATCCGCTGGCTCAGGACTGTACCCCCATTGAGAAAAGGTGGCACTGCGTTTTCGCTGGCTCATGTTGGGAGTGCCGACCTCCTTTGCGGACATGCTGGGCGAGTCGCTCACCGCCCATTTGGCAGTATGTGCCAAAAACTCCCGAAATGCATCGTAATCCATGGTCTGCAAGGGAGCCTCGTTACGAGCTGGTTCGTCTTGGTTGTAAGAGGAGTGACGGTTCCACAGGCCCGGTCGGACTTTGTGATGCTCTTGCTTCCGGCGTTCTTCTTCTCTTGCCTTTGCACGAGCCTGTCGCTCGGACAAGACGGCAAAGAAACGATCGTAGATAGAACTGAGATCTTCAGCACTGAGCTTCTTGCTCTCCGGTCCTAAGTTTCTGATGGACGTCCGCTTGGCGAAGGTAGCTAGTCCTTCTTTGACACTATCGATGTGCTTCGAACGTAGTTCTTCCACGCTGGCATTCGTTATTGCCGCAAACTCTTTGAACGCGGTGACCATTAGTTCTTGGAATTTTGTGATGGCTCTCAACTTTTCGTTTTCAGAGTGTGGATGAGCTGACTCGTCGAGTCGCGAGAAGTAGTCCTTCAAGATGGAGATAAATGAGCCATCATCGGGTACGTCAAGTAAATCTTCACCATTGATGCGTAAGATGGCCAGTCCAACTTGAAACAGGACTTTTGGACCCTCTAGGAAGAAGACATCCAGGACTCTGAATGCAAAAATAAGAGGCATCGAGTTTATATAGAGCGACAAAAACCATGGTAGCGATACGACCGAGAGATTGACGTCCGACTTCACGAGGTGGTCCCACAGCACGGGCATTGTCCGCTCGACCAGCTTTTCAAAGACTCGCTGGTCCAGCAGAGTGCCGTACATGTCTTTCGAATAGTATCCGGGGAGCAATCGATCGCAAAGGGTGCCCAGCGTGAAGAACGCCTGCGCTTCGGATTGGTAGATGAGTAGGGCGGCCACGACTATGTTCATGGCCTGACAATAACCGACCTCTTCGTTCGTCCAGCTGTATGCCGTCAGCACCCGCCGCAGCCTGCCGATTCCCTCTTCGCTCTGGAAGCCAGGATACTCTGGCAGACTTCGATTCAGATCCTTCTCAATCTCGTCGATGGCCAGCGACTCCTTGCCGGTGAACTTGGTCAAGGTTTTCTCGTACAGGTGGGGATTTCGTAGTCTCGTGTAGAACGAGCCCGAAGATATTTCCCATATCTCGCCTCTCAACCGGTTGGGAAGACCAACACGAATGAGTTTGTGAAAGGTGGGCTGTCTCACTATGGTCGCATTCCGACCATTTTCTCGTAGATATTCGCCCCATAGCCTCATCTTACTCCTATCCCTGAGTTTCCTGGCATCACCCGGGTATCTGAATAACATTCCTAGGCCGGTGTCAGGCGGGTCCGGGGCCTGCGTGCCATCCTCTTTCGCTTTGATTCGGACCGGATCTAGCAGGTACTCGGAGTAGCACTGTGATACCACGGCCCGTAGCGTGTCTACTTCCTTCATTCCTTCCCTAAGCCCCTTCTTGAGCCCGTCGCAGAATCGCTCGCAGGCAATACGGCTTCCATCCAGTGTAATGATGAGTTTCCGGGGCGGGGGCAATGGCGCTTTGGGCTTCTCAGCCAACGGCTTCTGTATGGATTCGAAGGTAGTCAAGGCAAGGCAGAACTTGTCTTGATGGCTGTTCAGTCTTTCGACTCGCCGTATTGAGCAGAGTGGGAGGGTGAATCCATGACCGCCAGGCCCTGCTCCCTGTGTAGGGCCAGTGAAAGAGGTGGAGGAGGAGTGACTCGCGGTTGGGAGGAAACTTGTACGAATGGTGGAAAAACACAGAAAGTGTTCACTCAAATGCAGCTCCCCTCCATATCTGTTACCATTGTCCTTCGACTTCTCCCCAGAAGTTACCGGTCCGCCTGTCGAGGAGGAGGGTAGCGGAAGGAAGAGTTCGGCGGATATTTCGTGCAAAGGGTTTTGGCCCGCAGGGAGCCTGAACTGCTCCCGGAAGAGAGAGGCTTTCGAAGGGCGATCATCGGGAGTCGAGGAGAGGGGAGACTGATCGATAAACTTTTGAACGAAAGAGCTCAACATCGCGTAGGGGGGGGCATTGGCGGCTCGGTGCTTCAGTTGATGGTCCCTTTGCCAATCACGCGTTCGATGGTCACTCTGTTCGTATCATGCCGTGTATGTAGGCAGGCCGAAGGTATCACAAGAGTAATATGTCATTATTCCGTTTGGAAGCTCGAGGATAATGTCCCTGCGGTGTCATAGCAACGTATCTCACTTCTCGTATGAGGGCGCAGGGGCCAAAGGCGAGAAGAGGCATCAGTACAAAGCCTCACCGGGCTTAGTGATCCTTGGCAGTTGAAGCAGCGAGACGCGTACACGGCCTGACGTACCTCCCCACCCAATTTGATGGTGGCGGTACCTGCGGCTGACCGGGCGTCGGGTGGCGCCGCTTTTAGGGGGGCCAACCCCTTTTGGTCTACGGAGGACTTTTTGATGCTATCGATTATCTCAACTGCATTGCCGAATTTTGTTCTACTGAAAAGAAGTCCTCGAGACAAGTTGAGTGGTCGGTATTTGCTCCCTAGCCAAGACGTTGTTGAGTATTGTTAAAGAGCCAATGGGTTTTATCAGCAGAGAAAAGCAGTCCTTCCTAGATGGGAAGGTGGATCTCGGTGACTTTCTCTTCGGTGCTCGCACTGCCTGGAGATGCAGGGCCCCTCATTATATATAGGCAGGAAACACACCTTCAACGACTCGTGGGCTCAGGAAATTCACTCATGACGTTGGTGGCCTGTCTCGGTCACAGCATTTTCTTTTCCGTACTTCTTCAGACCTTCAGTGAGTAACCATGTTGAAGTCCAACACTTGAAGCTTCAAACCCTTGTTCTCGGTGCTCGCCACTGTAAGGGGCTTGCTGGATTCAAGATTCTAGCCAACTCAAGTGAGCCCTAATAGGTGGTTAATAATCCGCAGTACATCTATAGTTCCATATTGAATGGGCTGTCTTCACTTATAAGACAGAAAATTTGCGAGAAGAAATGGTGAACAGTGAAGACTTGTCTCTTGCAATACCATATAATGAGTGAATGAGTCTCAAGCCTGCACTTGACAGCCTGCTTGAATCATTCAATGACCAGCATACAGCACTCGCGCGCTCAGTTACCTTCGGTATGTCTTCCCGAGAACCTACAGCACTCCATCCGCCGAGATGTAGTGAATTTGTCCACGGCACATGGTATGATTCCATAAATGACTCACTCCATCACAGCACATCCTCCAGAAGAATGTGGTAAATTCTTGACTGACTGTGCATATAGTGGCGCAGGCTGTGACTGAATATCACGTCACAGAGTCAGTTCACCATTCACTTCAATCTGGGGCCATGGCTACATATACCCATAGGCAGCACTCTCGACCCTCTCGATACGCTTCTATCTGGTACTCATATATGTATATATACCCATCATACTCCGACCATCGTTCCGCCACCCGTCCTGCCGGTGCTTATGCTTGATGAATCCCATACCACAAGCGCTACGGCGTCACTGGACGGTCAGTCAGCACCCAGGCTATTGTTCCGAGGGCCGATGTAGTTCAGGTAGTATTCCTGACTCCCGAGGAACTATCGTCGTGTCTCCTGTCGTTGCCCACGCACTGACACTCCGTGGAGCCATACAAAAAGGGTGTCTTGACTACAGGTCTGATTCATGCTGGCGTTCTCTTTGCGCTGGACGGCCAGATACACAGTTGCATCGTTGATGCTCCGAAGACATGTAAAGAATTTCTGCTCAAACAAAGTGCAGCTTTGGTCCCGGGCTTCGGTGATCTTTGGGACACTCGTCTACGAGTGTTTGTGGTCCCTCATGATGAGTTGGCTGACCAGTGGGCTCTGGGCATGTTGTTTCCACACTCAGACAAAATTCTTGATGTTGACTTCAAGTGACGCTTTCAGGATGAGGACCGCTGCTACCATCTGTGGTTGTAGCGGTAATTGTCATTGGAGTCAACGAGGTGCGGACTGTTCCCTGAGCACAAGTGAGTACCATCCCTTGCGACTTGTTACGGCTGGGTGCTGATGAAGTAGGACTCAATTCCACCACTCCTCGGTGTGAGGTGTTCACACTTGGGACTTTTAATGAGCATCTTCAACGCGGAGTTGGAGTGGAATGTGTTGCGTCATACACCGCATCGGAGTGGAGCGTTAGTGACTCGGGACTCCTGGCTATTGAGAATTGTGTGCCCTTCACACTGAAGGCATGAACTCCAGAAGATATTGGCGCTAATAACCGGGGCAGAAGGAACTACAGGCATTAGTGGAGCGACACTACCTCAGACATGCCTATGGAATGTGAAGGGCCTGGTGTACGATGGACTATGCAGTCACAGCCCAATGACAGAAGGAGTTCAGGGGATGAAATACAAAGATGAAGAAATTCAAGAGCTTCAAGTGACCTGGGCTCAACGCCAACGAGACCTCGCCCGCAAGCGAAAGGAGCATGCCGCCGACGTCCTAATGGCCAAAGAACTGGGAGATATCAACTCTTCAGATTCGGAGTACCAAGAACCAAAAGAACGACGGCCACGAGAGCGTGCAGCGTCAGAACAAGGCCATAGAAAACATACAGAGAATCAGAGCATGATCCTTAGACTCCTTGGGCTTGGAGAGCTCAACGAGTCTGATGAAGATGTACAGTTGGTACTGACAAGACAAGAAGAGAGGGATTAACAGATTCGTCAATGGGCTCAAAACAGAACTGCTCTACGACGGAAAGTGTTGAAGGAGAATATCGACTTGCAAACTTTGAACGCCAAAGATCGAATGCAAATCGAAGCTCTTGATCAAGTTTATCAGCAAACCAGAGAGCGGAAAGCAAAAAACAAGGACCTAGCTCAAAGACCATTTGAAGGCGAATCTCTCGACGATGAAGAGCTGACAAAAGGGCAGAAAGTCATCTCAGAGCTCAAGAGAAAGATGCGGTCTGGAAAAAGCCAGCTTACGATGATCTGATGAGACCAATCCGTGTCTAGGAGACAGCAGATGGTCCTGAAGATCAGCCAATATTCGAGCAATGGCTCGACAAGGAGAGCGCCCTGCTGGAGGTTAAAGATGTCAAAACAGTTGACCAAAGGAACATGCACAGAAGGATCGAAGCACGCAAAGCAGCTATCAAAGCTTGGAACAATGCATCTGAGATAGAGCAGAAGCAACCAAGGGAGGCTGCAGAGAATCCAGACCCTCCTCTCTCTCTCGGATGATGGGAGAGCTCAATTGTATCAGGAGTTCGAGGCGGTCAGAAGAACGCCCGTCAGCGAGAAGAACGTCTTCGATACAAGGAGGAGCATGGAGGACGAAGGCCAAGAACCAGTGACCAGCGCGAGAGAGAAAATGCCGGGACGAAGCGGTTGCTGGATGAACGAAAGGCAATCGTTGAACAGTGGGAGTTGAGAGAGCTACCTGATGAGGCCGATGCAGGCGAGGCACGCGAAGGGTATGAGCAGGTCAAGGAGGCCTTAGCTAAACGGGCTCAGCAGAATAATACTACTAACCAGAGAACAGATAAAACAAGAGCCCGTATGAAACAAGCTGTCAGAGAATGGGAGTCAGCACCTTTCGACTCCGATGCTGACCTGCCCACAATCTAAGGAATACATCTCTGTCAAAGAGTATGCGGCCAAGAGGCTCGAAAGCAATGCCAGGTCCAAGGCCAAGGCAAAAATAAATGCAAGAAAGCACGTTCGATTACTAGCTCAAAGGCGCAGCACAGATTGACCATTGCCTGGAGGGCATGTTAACATTCTTTTTCCTGAGCGATTGGAGGGGCATGGGGAGCTGTTTCCTCACGGTTGAGACTCAGAGGTGGAGGGTTTGCAGAAGACGAAGAAGGTAGGAGAAGGAGAAGCAGAGGAGGACGAAGAGTCACACGAAAATGCATAACCCGGTCTACGGTTCGGTGTGGTGCTTTAAGAGTTTGTTCATGCTCCATCGTAAGGTACAGTAAGCATTCCACCCTGACAAGCCCATCTTCATCTTGAGTCCCAATATCATTGCTTGTATCACTGCGTACCTCTCTATTCCCAATGATGTGTTGGGTACAGTATGTTGTATGTTGTAGCCTGCTACCTACTCGAATATCTCATTCTTCGTCCGTTGAACGTCAGGTCGATATGATCATGCTGGCGTTGCTTGGCTCACTCAGACTGTCAGGCTATAGTGAACTGTCGAACAGGCCATTGCGATTCTGCTTTCATGAGTTCTCTTGAGTTGACTCGGACACGTAAGACCGCCACAGTCCAAGTCTCGTGTGCAGGTCCCCGTTCTCAACGGTTTCGGCCAAAATGAGAAAGTTGAGGTTTCTAACGCCTCTAGAAAGCAGTAGCAAGTCGACTCGTACTTTCGCACTCGAATCGTCATTGGCAGCTAGTCCTCGGTTTCGAGCTCGGCGCAATGTAGCTCGTCTTTGACCTGGAGTTTCGGCAACTTCGAGCGGAGTATCCCAGTGTACAGCGTCCTGCGCCGCTTGCACTTCCGCTACCGTCCAGCCTTCTATTTTAACATAAAGAGTCCAAAGACAGTAAGTGCTTCACCGTGTACCTGTTGCAATTCTCAACAAGTGCCTGTAGCCCTCGAGCAATGACCGAGCATGTCCGGCAACCACTCTGTCCGCTGTCTTGGATATCTACATATTTGACCCAGGGGTTTGCTGCTGCTAGCCTTCTGCAGTGGGCAAAATGAGATGTCGGCCCGATAGATATATCGGGGGCCGCTGTGTGCTCACTGCTCATTGTCGACGGAATATGGGTAGTACTTACTGCATTCCTTACCAAACACGGTATTGAGACGAAATGCGCAGGTGCGACGATGCCGAAGAAAAAGAACCAAGACCCAGAGACGAATGAGGACAGTCCTTCTGATGAAATGCAGCGATGATGAACCCGACAATTGTCAGAATACATTGCACGAAGGGGCGATACTTTGGCTGACTTTGGCTGACTTTGGCTGACTTTGGTAGACTGGTAACACACGGAAATGGCAATGAGGCGAGAGAGCTTCCCACCGTTGAGAAGTGTCAAGATGCTCAGGATCGCTGGTATTGATGCCTGACGGAGAATTAAGTCGTGTACGCTTAGCACTCGGTCGGCGGGTCAAAAGGTTCGCAGAGGTGGGGATTGTAAGCCGGAATGTGTGCAGAGACCGTGCCTGGATCTCTTATCAAGTTCCAAATGGTGTCTTAATTATTCGGGCTTCACTGCTGATTGATTGTTCACTCACGATAATGGGCCGAATTCAATGCTGCATTTGGAAGGGGCATTAAGGAGGTCTTCTACAGTCTGAGGCCAGTCTATATGCAAGGACAGAAATGCCAACGAGTATCCGAAAGTCTTTCACTGGAGAAGAATGATTGCGCATATGATGTAGGCGTAACATCACCACAAATACTGCTCCCACGTTGCCGCGCCTCGCTTAACCAAGTGTCCGCCAAATGTGCACCAAAGAACCCTGTATCCTGCATTCCAACCAAAGTACCTGCGATTATTCACAATCCCTTCATGAATATGTGCTCTTCCACAGATTACCCCGTAGTAAATCATGGTTGTCGTAGGGGTTAGACCCGCCTCTACCCACCTATATGGTTGCAGGCACTCAATGCTATCAATTACATTAATCATCGTAAGAAACTGTGCTTTCTTCGTCAGAAGACGACGAAGCATCACCCTGTTCTTCCTGTCCCTCATCGCTACTCTCCACGAGCAGTCTGACTCTCTTCCCGGAGGCTGACTTGGTCGCCTGCCCGGGTAAACCCTGGTCATCAGCATCGTCATCTCCTTTGACGGACTCCTCGACCTTCTCTGCCGCAGCCTGAGCCTCGTCAAGCGCACTCTTCGCCACATCGTCTCGGTCGAGTGTCGGCTTGTTCTCGCTGAGCTCCTCTTTTGAAGGCACAACGATCTTGAGAGCGAGATCAGGCTGCTTGCTGTATACGCGCAAGCCGACAATGCAACTTGCATTCCACGGATTGCGGTTCGGGTCTTTTTCAGCATCCTCTTCTGGTTTTGTTTCTTCTGTTGGAGTGGCGGGTGCTGTGCTAAGGACCGGAGTGCCGGTCGTGGCTGGTGTGCTCGTCCCCGTGGGCGACAACGAGGTGCCGGTCGACGACATACCAGGAAGCTGACCCTTCTGATGTGCCAAGTCGTACAGCTTGCCGATCTGCGTGATCTTGTCTCGCCGATGGATGTTGTTACGGATAATCGTCTCCACATCATCTCGCGAGGTCGAAGTGGCCTCCACTTTTACAAGGACCGAGTACGTGCCCTTTGCGAGGTGGACTTCAACATTGACAGATCGGACAAGTTCATAGTTCAACTTGCTCCGTGCGAGGTACTCGTCATCGTCATCTGAGTCCTTCTGGACACGGAATTGGAGGGTGAAGTTATATTTCCCCTGCAGGCCCTTGAAGTAGCGGTCGTCGAGTTGCGATAGCACGATCACAGCTTCGGTGTCCTCGGGCACGTCGATGGAGAAGTAGTTCGTTTGATAGTCGAGAGTGCTCCATGGGACCTGAACGGACATCCACTGCTGTACAACGTGCCATTCCGGCCCAAAAATGCGGGTTCGGTCGATGTACTTGTATTTGCTCAGCATGTCCTTATAGGTCATCCAGAAAATGCCATCATCGCCAAACTGATGATTCAATCGCGATAACCACTCAGGAGTCCACTCTTTCGAACCGTCAGACCAAGTTCCGGTCCATTCCTTGCGGCCCCATGGGTTGCGTATCTTGACAAGTCTCTGGCCATGGCCCTCATACGTGTCAAGGATCGCGTACGCATGTTGAGATACAATTCCTGACCGACGCTCTTCGCGGATCTTCTCATTGGCCACGAGATAAGGGCGCCATTCTCTCCATCGAGCGACTGCGCAGGAGAAGACAAACTCCGTTGTTTTTCCACATTTGGATAGCTCGTTGGACCAGAAGGCGTCGGTGTCAAGGATATTCGTCGTATAGATCTCAGATGTGATACTCCCCGTAAGCTCCTCCAGCGCCTCCCCAGTTTGCCCTCCAGAGATTGAAGCGTAGTCGCCGTGTGCTTTAGCATAGGCCTTCTCTAGTAAGCTGACCCAGGTCTCGTTTTGGTCCCGACATTGAGCAAAGTACAACGCTTGGGAGCCTCTCTGGAACAGTTCCTGATACTGATCTTCCTGATTATTACGGCGAACACCGTATTGTCCAAGCACAACGTCGCCGCTCTCATCGTAGTTTGGAGCTCGGAGGTATAGTTTGTCGTCAATGATGCATTGGTGCCATTCACCGTCTAATGTAGCATGTCAGCAAACTAAGCACTTAGAGCGAGATAATGCTAGTTCTTTATCTCATTCAATGCTCTGTTTCCTCTCAGTGACTCGAGCGACTGCTTTGGTGTGGGTGGTGAACATCGGGCCAGAGTTCAGCAACCGCGATCATTGGATGAGAGAAGCTCGTTGAACAGTTATAAAAGTAACATACCTCGGTGAAACACAAAGCCATAGACACCCACAGCTTGATCTTGAATCACGCAGACGCGGTCAATGAACTCTCGGTTGCAACCCAGCGCTGATACAGCAGCCAAAAACCAGCAATCGCTGAAGTCAAGGATCAGCATACATACTTGAGAAGTGGATAACGAGTCCTTCAACTCACCCGGCAGATCCTTGCAAGATATCATCGTACGAGGGGCCATCAACATAGAACTTGGGGTCGTCAAATATATCCTTGAAAAAATCAATCAGCCCCCGGTGACCGAATCAAGCAATGTCTATCACACGCTGTCTTACCGTAACGCGTTTCACATCTGCCGGAAATTCTTTGTCATTTTGTTCAATTACCAAGCCATCCAAGCAATCGCGTGCTCTAGTGATCTTCAAGTCTCGTTCGATGTCGAAGTGAGGGTCGGTATACTTCTGATTCGATTCCCGACACTCCCTTATGATTCTTTTGACGTCGCGGATACAGCTCTCCTTGGCATGTTCGTATGAAGTCGTGGCTCGGTGAGCAATCTCACCCACCAATTTTGCCAGAGACACATTCTTGTCGGTCATGCGCTCAGGCAACACACGGGTGACTTTCCCCTGATACTCGGGGTTGAAATTGTCCCAAAACTTGGTCATCTTTGCTTGAGGATGAGGCTTTTCCTTCTTCTTGGGAGGAGCTGGCGTTGGAGCCTTGTCAGGTACGAGCATGAGCTTGATTGTCTGGCCACCTCCCAGCTGGAGGCCGCCCTCTGGCGGTGTTGGGTCATTGCTGGTCGGGTTGGCTTCTATGTTGATATCCGACTTTGACTCTGGTCCACCCTGGTGCTTGCCAGACTGATTTTGTGAATTCTGTGGTTCCATATTATTATTGTCACTCGTGGAACCCCTTTGGTCGGTATAGTTGACGTTGTTTCTAAAGGGGTGTGCTTCTCGACTATCTCGAGTAGAGACTTGACGGGACATGCTCTCGCCGTATCGATGTTCAAGGATTCAAGGCTGGGAAGACGGAAAGTGTGGAGAAGAAAGCAGATTCAGGGTCCTGGGATATATGGGATGCTAGCATCGCAATGCACAAGGCTTAGAACGACAGCGAGAACAGCAACGGCCAGGCCACCGCCCCGTTATACCCTGCATGTGAGGTACTAAACCGGTGATCAATGGCCCTATCGTAGAGCGGACAACAGCATTGTTGAGCGTCGCCGGTCACACGAGTAGGCGGTAAGACAGATAATGTTGCCAGTTCGAGGTCTAGTCCGGGGCGGATTCGTGCTAAGTAGCAAATGTGGGCGTGGACCAACCAAGATAAGACAAGTATGCTGGCACAGCTAACACAGGGAGCAGCAGCGTCGTGGCCCTCTGAAAGGCGCAGGCTGACGAACAGGGTCAAAGAGCATGAGGGCATCGGCAACCAGTACCGAGTCACAATCATGATACAGGGACGAGGAATATTCCAGCCGAATACGAGCGATAAAGGGCACAGTTTTCTTTTACACAATTCTTTGTGCGCTGCATTCGCCGGTGGCCAAAATGCCATCCAGAGACCCCGTGCGCCGATAGAGAAATCGAGACCATGGCCGATAGCTGTACAGATAACAAAGACGATAGTCCAGAACCTTAGGTGCTTAGAAGCGAGCCCAGATGTTGCAATGTTGGGGGAACTTGGTCGGAGCAACGGGCATTGACGGGCTGTGAATCTAAAAATGATGGGCCTGGCTTTTGGCTGGGAATGAGGCTGAACGGACTCGCCCGGACAGGGTCCAGTGGGTAAAAGCCCCTTGCCGGTATTCAGGGTCCAATATTGCCTAACCTTGGCGGAGAACCACAGAGCCGAGTCCTCAGCCTGATGCTCTGAACAGATGTGGGATTGCACCGGTGGGTCTGACTGGTGTCACGCGTGTGAGCACAAAGTTACAATGCACATGGAATCCGTGCGGATACGCATGCTTGAGCCGCCTTGCAATGTAGTACCCATATTGTAAGCAAAGCAATGGCTAGCAATTACCTTGTAGTTGCCAACGAAGAGTGCGTGGATAAGGCCTCTAGCTGAAGTCGCGGTCTTCTTGCAAGACCGCCGACCGTGAAACGGCTACACATGCATTTCTTTCAACATGATCATGTGCATACACCGTGTGTTTATCATATATTGCCCGCCCTCGCTCCAAGAAGCAAGCAAACATATGCCTACCACTTAGGGAATACGCAGATATCCGCAGACGCTGGTTGGTCAGCGGATTATTGTTGTTCCGGGGTTCCCCACATACAATCAACATGCTTAAGTCCGAATCGCCGGGCATTGGTGACTAAGCCAATGCGCATCATCTTCTCGCCTGCAGGTCATTGACCTCTTCGAGGCTTTTTGCCTGCGTCTGCATTTGGGTGTGAGAATCTCCTTCATTCGATCTCCTTCATCCTCCAACTTGCTACTGCCCAACCGCCGATTCTGCCACTCTCACCCCTTGCGCAGTGTTGGCTACAGTAGATGAGGGGCTTTCTTCAAGAGCAGTCTGTACTGACTGCTACCGGCGGCGAAAGTCCGTCGTATTTCCCTCTTCCAAAGGCTCTCTCACGACAGCCTCTATGTGGTGATTCAGAAGGCTGGGGTCCGGTCAGCTCGTTGCGATGGGATCTTACACCTTGCTTTCTTGACGTTTGGGTCCTCGGTGTTGCCATCGGGGGGGCGCTGTTCGGTGTTGGGGCGCTATGGTACATACTCAAGAAACGGGTAGCTCAAGATGTCCCCAAGAACTGGCACTTCTACGCCAAGCTGTAAGTCTAGTATATTTGCATCTCGGGTGTCTATGCTAACCTCGGTGTCGCAGAGTCGTACTTACTGGCGTGGTCCTCTCGACCGTCCTCCAACTTGTCTTCCAAATACACGAACTGCCGGGAATATGGTACCAGGATATAAGATTTTACACATCCGTCGCTACAATTACCTCACTCCTTATAATATTCTCTATACAATACCATGAGCATTGGAGGTCGAGAAACCCAAATGGCGTCGTATTATTCTACTGGGTCTTTTTCATTTTGGCGTATGCAGTCAAACTGCGTTCCCTAGTTGCTCGCGGCGCCGAGAGGAGCCAACTCCCATACTTCATCGCCTTCAATGTCAGCTTTGGTCTCGCAATATTGGAGTTTGTGTTGGAGTACTTTGTGCCGAAGAAGCAAAGCGCATATGACGCCTTGGGAGCTGAGGACGAATGCCCTTACGAATATGCCGATGTTTTCTCAGTCCTGACCTTCAGTTGGATGACCCCACTGATGAAGTTTGGTTATGAAAATTACTTGACCCAGGATGATTTGTGGAATCTACGCCCGCGGGACAGTACCAAGGTCACGGGCGATTTATTGCAGCAGGCATGGGAAGTTGAACTCGAAAAGAAGAAACCCAATTTGTGGATAGCCTTAGCCAGGGCATTTGGAGGACCCTACATCCGTGGAGCCTTCATCAAGACCATCAGCGATGCGCTTTTATTCGTCCAGCCTCAACTACTTCGACTTCTCATTCGTTTCGTGGATTCTTACCGTCCCGGACGAGAACGAGAACCAGCAATCCGTGGCATTGCCATTGCACTGGCCATGTTTGCAACCTCAATTTGCCAAACTGCTGCACTCCATCAATACTTTCAGCGGGCTTTTGAGACTGGTATGAGAATCAAATCATCTTTGACTGCAATGATATACGCCAAATCCCTTCGTTTGTCAAATGAGTCCCGTGCGACCAAATCCACCGGCGACATCGTTACTTACATGAGTGTCGACCAGCAACGCCTCGCTGATCTGGCGCAATGGGGCCAACAGCTTTGGTCGGCACCGTTCCAGATCACTCTCTGCATGGTGTCTCTTTACAAACTGGTTGGGGTATCTTGCTTTGCAGGCGTTGCCGCAATGATCATCATGATTCCGGTCAACGGTTTCATTGCCAGATTCATGAAGAAGCTTCAGCTGTCACAGATGAAATATAAAGACAGACGTTCTCGTTTGATGACCGAAATTCTGAACAACATGAAAAGCATCAAGCTATACGCTTGGGGCTCAGCCTTCATGGAAAAGCTAAGCCACGTGCGCAATGATCTGGAGTTGAACAATCTTCGGAAAATCGGAGCCGCTCAGGCTTTCTCAACTTTCACGTGGTCATCAACGCCCTTCTTCGTCTCGTGTTCGACATTCGCCGTCTTCGTACTGGTCAATAACAGGCCTCTCACCACGGAGCTAGTATTTCCGGCATTGACACTATTCAACCTGCTGACTTTCCCGCTCACTGTCTTGCCAATGGTGATAACTAGCATCATCGAGGCGACTGTGGCCGTGAAGAGATTGACAGATTTCTTCACCGCTGACGAGCTACAGGAAGATGCAGTCAGGTTCATTGACGAACCACCAAAACGATCCGGAGAATCCTCAGTCTCCATTTCAGAGGCCAGTTTCACATGGAACAAAAACGAGGACAGAACTGTTTTGCGGAATATCAATTTCAATGCCAATAAGGGAGAACTTACATGTGTGGTTGGACGTGTCGGAGCCGGCAAATCGTCGCTCTTGCAAGCACTCCTGGGAGACCTATGGAAAATTAGTGGCGAAACAGTCGTCCGAGGCCGCATTGCCTATGCTGCACAATCAGCATGGATCATGAATGCAAGCGTGAAGGACAACATAACCTTCGGCCACAGGTGGGATCCTCACTTCTACAATCAGACTGTCCACGCATGTGCTCTTATCGCCGACTTCAAACAGCTACCCGACAGCGATCAAACCGAAGTAGGGGAGCGGGGAATCTCATTGTCTGGGGGTCAGAAGGCTCGATTGGCATTAGCACGAGCGGTGTATGCCAGAGCCGATGTCTATATCCTAGACGATGTCCTGTCAGCCGTCGATGCTCATGTTGGGCGGCATTTGATCAACAATGTTCTCGGCCCAAATGGCCTGCTGAATGGCAAGACTAGAATTCTAGCGACAAACTCCATTCCTGTCCTCAAAGAGGCTGACTATATGTACTTCCTCCGTGAAGGCGCGATTTCCGAGAAGGGCACATATCGGCAATTGATGGCAATGAGAGGAGATGTTGCCAGTATGATTAAGACATCCACGAGCGATGAGGATCAAGAATCGGAAGGCGAACGGAGCCCTAGCATTGAAGGAATGGAATCAGATGAGTCTGCAACCATCGTGGCTAATGGAGTGCAAGATGAGCTGGATTCCGAAGAAGCCGACGAAGCACGCCAAGAGATCGGTGGTCTAGAACCCATTCGTGCTGGTGCATTTACGGCGCGCAAAACAAGCTTTAATACATTGCGACGTGCATCAACTGCTAGTTTCCATGGTCCAATGGGCCATGTAACCGACGAAGAGGCCGGTCTCAAATCTAAACAAACCAAGGAAACTTCGGAACAGGGCAAGGTCAAGTGGTCAGTGTATACAAGCTATGCGAAGGAGAGCAACCTGGTCGCAGTGTGCTTCTACTTCTTCGCCCTTCTTGCAGCTCAGACAGTCCAGGTCGCCGGCAACTTTTGGTTGAAGCGCTGGTCTGAGATCAATGAGCTTTTTGGCGCTAACCCGTCAGTGGGAAAGTATATTGGTATCTACTTTGCACTCGGTATAGGAGGCTCAGCCCTGGTCGTTGTTCAGGTGTGTACCTTACTTTGCTGACCATTGCAAATGCTCACAGCTTACAGACTCTCCTTCTCTGGATCTTCTGCTCGATAGAGGTACGCTATCTTTCACTTGGCGAGAAACTATGTCTCACACCTGCAGGCTTCAAGAAAACTTCATGACCGAATGGCTTATGCCATATTTCGCTCTCCGATGAGCTTCTTCGATACTACCCCGATAGGCAGAGTACTCAACAGGTTCAGTTCCGATATTTACCGGGTAGACGAAGTCATCGCTCGAACATTCAATATGGTAAGCATTTCAACACTTTAACTGGGCCATGAACTGACGTGACAAGCTTTTCGTCAACGCCAGCCGGGCATTGTTTACCATTGGTGTCATTGCAGCCTCGACGCCCCTCTTCCTAGTCCTTGTCATTCCTCTGGGCGCCGTGTACCTTGTCTACCAGAGATATTATCTCAGGACTTCTCGAGAATTGAAAAGGCTTGACAGCGTCAGTCGCAGCCCCATTTACGCACATTTCCAGGAATCACTGGGTGGCGTTTCAACCATTCGTGCTTATCGACAGTCGAATAGGTTCATTCAAGAGAACGAATGGCGGATGGATGCCAATCTCCGAGCCTATTTCCCTTCAATAAGTGCCAATAGGTGGTTGGCAGTCCGCTTAGAGTTCATTGGCTCTGTCATCATCCTCGCGGCTGCTGTTTTCGCTATAATTTCCGTGACAACTGGCAGTGGATTGACGGCAGGCATGGTCGGTCTTGCGGTATGTGATCATGAACCGGTTCTTTCTTTTAACAACCTGTACGCTAATCGTCGTAGATGTCATATGCCTTGCAGATTACGCAATCTTTGAACTGGATTGTGCGCCAAACCGTGGAAGTCGAGACCAACATCGTTTCTGTGGAGCGTGTGCTTGAGTACGCCGAACTGCCTAGCGAAGCCCCCGAGGTCTTGTTCAAGAGTCGTCCCAGTATCGGTTGGCCAGCTCATGGTCAAATCACCTTCAATGATTACACGACAAAGTATCGGGAAGGTTTGGACCCAGTTTTGAAGAACATCAATCTGAGCATCAAAGCCCGAGAAAAGGTCGGCGTCGTAGGTCGAACAGGAGCTGGAAAAAGTTCTCTGACACTTGCACTATTTCGTATAATTGAACCTACATCGGGTAATATAAGGTATGTTGAACCTCTCGAGGAGTTGTACCGTACAACCAACGCCATTTAACTTACTCATATTTAACAGCATTGATGGGCTTAATACGTCAACAATTGGGCTATTGGACTTGCGAAGACGCCTGGCAATCATACCACAAGATGCAGCCCTCTTTGAAGGGACTATTCGTGACAACTTGGACCCCCGCCATGTGCACGATGATACCGAACTATGGAGTGTACTTGAGCATGCTCGGCTGAAGGACTACGTCTCGGAGCTTCCTGGTCAATTGGATGCAGCGGTCCATGAAGGCGGTAAGCGAATATCCCACCATGTCTCGGACTTCTCTTTTTTGCTCCCTCTGTTGCTGAAGATGCTGACTCTTGGAAATTTTAGGTTCTAATTTGAGCCATGGGCAACGTCAACTTGTATCTCTGGCCCGCGCCTTACTGACCCCCAGCAACATCCTGGTTCTTGACGAAGCTACAGCGGGCATAGACGTCGCCACCGATCGGATGGTTCAAGCCACACTTCGCAGCAATGTCTTCGATAACCGCACCATCATCACAATCGCACACCGTATAAATACTATTATCGACTCCGATAAAGTCGTCGTCTTGGAGCAGGGTCGAGCTGTCGAGTTTGACACACCAAAAGAGCTGATTAAGAAGAGAGGTCTTTTCTACGAGCTTGTCCGTGAAGCCGGACTACTTGATAGTTTTGAGAGTTGATTGGAACCGAAGCGAATTCGCGAACAACCAATTGTGGAGTTTTCTGGCCTGCTCAGTAGCCGCGCTCGAGCTCACAACAACACCGGGTAGGGAAAAGCATAAGATCGAGCGCATTAGGATTACGATTACCTCATTGTGAACTCTATGACCTATTCCGGGAGCCTCAGAACCCGATGCAGCCGTTGTAGCGCAGAAACGCTCGGTTCATCGAAGTAATAGTAGCAACATCCTCTTGATGTCCTGATGAATAATGCGGCATGGGTTTTGACTCCCGTATCAAAACAGCATTTGTAATCACTGGACGAGGAAGCCCGTTGGGCGAAAAAATAGTTCGATCAATCTGTTGTCATAATGACACTCGTCAGTAAACTCTTCTCTCTTAATCATCGGTTGATATTTAGCTCCTAGTCTCAAAAGCAGCACATACACGTATTGAGGGAACGAAGGTCTCTCGAGGATAAAGCAGATGCATGGATGCCAAATTGTCGGATGGGACCCGGCAGACCCAACAATTGTATCTTGTGCACTGGTTAGAACCGGAACCCGATGGCGAAAGTATCATCCATTTTCGTTGAGGCCGGGGAGCTGGTTGAATGCTAGGATGTATTCAAGACGTTGAAGACTCTTGCGGCCGACCGCCCGACCATAGTCGAGAGGGTCCATATGATTCTCGGACAGACGCCCTTGTACCATGGGTCCGGAGACGTGGTCGAACAGGCTGAACGAAAAGAGAGGAGCACAGATTCCTCCCGGTTGTTACCAGATACTTCGTCAACGCTGTCTGAATGCAGTCGAACTCGCGCTCATGGCTCTGAGAACTTCGGCGTTCGTGCGACGCCCCATCGAGGACCTCCTGAAGGCAGACTTGCGGCTGCTACAAGAAGATCTGGGACAGTGAGAATTGTAGTTTCGACTTCTTTGGCATCCATTGGGATGTCACTTCTCGGCAAACACATTGCGTATTCGAACGTGTCGGAAGTGGTGGGTGGTACGGGATGTCTATGTCCAACCAGAGCTCCTTCAACAGCTGGACACTTGTGATCCGACGTGTTGGTACATATACCTTGGGGAGAGATCTCCTCGGCTCCATCGCGGTTGTAACTGTTACTTGTCGCATACACGCATGATTCACATGTCGGTTGCACCGTGAAACCGTGCGGGCGCAGCCTTCTCAAATTGCAGGCTTGTGCTGACGAGGTGCGAGCTGATCCCAAACTGACCAAAGACAAAAGGTAGGGCCGCAGTGGAAAAGACGGATTTTCACTGCCTTCTACATCGGAAATCGGTTGCCGAATGCTGATCCCAGCTAGCTTACGCAGGCTCACCTCTCTCTCGTGCTGTTCGCTTGACCGGAATGCATCCCTAGTCGCAAAGGTAGAGGTGGCCTCATTGCACAGAGTACGGTGCATAAGCCTGGGCATCGCGGGTCCTAGTCTGAATGAGAAGGGCGGGAGGCTTGTGACCCTGTCCTACGTGACAATCTCCACCCTAGATGCCGAGTTTTGGTGTTGCGGAGGGAGTGCTGGCTATGGCTGTATCGCATCTGCACCCTCTAAGACGGCGGAATGCCCCAACATCATCCTTGACATCGCTACTAGCCTTGTCCGGCGAGGTCCTCGAGATACGGCCGACCTCTCTACTGTCGTTGAGAGATTCGCTGGGATCCGGTCGTCTTCATCTTTAAGCAGGATGCGATGGATGCATTCTCAACGACGGATCGATCTTCCTCTCGACTTGCAGCAGCCGACCGTGCGATAGCCGCAAAGCTGCGCATCGATTTGCAGAAGGGGCTCGCCTTCATGCATTAGCTCGGTGGAGACGCTACTGGCTTCTTCGATATGCCACGGCTCCAGGAGACATCATTCGATGGCAGAACCCAGCCTGTACACCGTGAGAATCGAGCAAACAAACAGTGGCGACAAGACCCACACTAGGAGGCGAACAAGCCCCAAACTTGATGTTGTAGGTGTGGGAGAGGCTGTCCCAGAACGGCCCATGTTTATGGAGTAGCTATTCACATCTCAAAGTCTGTGTCTAGCTTTAGACGAACGTTGAGAAATGAAACGAGGGCTGGTCTGCTTTGCTCAAGCCGGTCTTGAAATCTGCACCGCGTTCTGGGCAAGACATCCCTTGTCTACTACCAGGATCTTGCAAGAACGAAGATCGGATTCCCGAATCCGATCCGTGGAGTCCACAATGTGACAAGGCCCCCATCTAGGCTCAAAGGGCGGCAAAGAGGTCTACTGGGAAGCTGGCAGCTGAGGGAATCCAGCTCCGATTCGATTGCTGTTTACAGAGCCGGTCTTAAGCGGGACAGCTCTCGCTACGCCCAGAACTGGCTGCAGTTGTGAGGGCACCAGCCCTGTACATGATCCAGTTGGACACGGTCCGAATCGAAGGATTGAGATGTGCACGGGGCCTAGCGTCCCGCAAAGGGGTAAGCCAGATTGGGAGGCCGAGCAAATTCAATCCGCACGTCTCGCTCATCCGTGTTTGCTTCGATATTGGATGCAACCAGAATTCGGCCTCGACCCCTGTAAACTTCTGTCCAGAGTGTGAAGGAAGGCCAACCCATGCAGGTTTATCCCCTCATATTCGACGAGCATGCGATTCGTGCAAAAAATATTGTAGTGACGGCCATCACAACTGTCAGGGGGAAACTCGAGCCGGAAACGTATCAAGGCGGTTTCACGACCACATAAGGTCGTCTCCCATGTAGCCCTACTCTTGCTCCTGGATTCCAAAGGACCTGTGTTGTCCCGATTATCTTGGCGAGCTCGTCGACAAGGGATCCCCACTGGGAACACAGTTCCAGCCCTGAAGCTTCTGCAACGAAGTGACGGTAGCAGCAATACTGAGGAATAAAAATCCAGCCGTGGCATTGAATCAACAGCTTACTTGCTTCCACCAGAGGGCCATTAACTCGCGCCAGTCGTATCATGACGCTCTCCACAAGTAGGATAGTGGCACAAGGCGGAAGGCAACAGGGGCTTGGATGAGAGTGGCCTCCCTTCCGCCGCACAAGCCGCTGGCTAGCGACATGGCTTTCGCTGCATACTTCTTCCCCGGAAGGAACCCCCTCTTGGAGCATGATGATTGGTATCTCGCTGTTTGATTCACCTGTCTGCAGGCTTGTCCAGTACGCCGATCGGCATCCTTTCCGGTGCAGTCCTTCTATCAAGCCCGGGATCTCGAGCATCGCATTCGCAGCATGCGCCAGGACAAGCGCAACAGGAACGTAAGCACCGGTCTGGACACGAACAGTCCTCTAGGAACTCAGCTCACTCCAGAATCCAGTTCTTGACTGGCTCCATGAACACAGGAGCCTTCCCCGAAGCTGGTGCTACCAGAGCTCAGATCGACGCCTCCTCCGGAATGTCAAGCCACTGAGCAACCCCGAGGGACCAACTAAAGCTCCTTGATGACTGCGACACAACCTAACACTGTCTGTCACTGTGGGTGCTAGTGGCCCCAAAAGCTGAGCAAGGTGATCAATTGCATACATTTGGTTGAAGAGTCGATGCCCATGTCACCACACCATTCGGTTCGTCATATTGTTTGGCTATGTGTTGCCGTCCAATTGGCAACCTCATATACTTCCTCCTGAGGGCCGTCAGAGAGACTTACTTCTCCTTCTTCTTCTTCTCTACTTTCCCGCGTACCTCATCTAAACAGTTTGACCCCACGCTATTGCATAAACGCCTTCTCAAGGTACAGCCTAGTCGACCAGGAGACGATCGACCTCGGCGAGTGCCATCGAAAACTACCCTCGACTTGTCGCTATCAGCACTCATTGGAAACCTCAAGTTTCATTCAAGCCTAGCCTCACGAAGTCCAAAGTATACCTAATTGCAAGGGTAGGCAGAGCCCGTCTGTCCTCGCCAACTTTCACCAATAACTCAAGAGCTCCCCAGGCAGAGCTATCTGCTGCAAAATGGCTGGTTAGAGAGTCAAGGCTATTCAACTATTACAACCGGTCGGCTTCGTCTTTGCTTTGGTCATTTTGGGCTTGGTCATATTTTCCCTTGTTGTTGGCATCATAAGTGGATCATGACCTGCAGTCTTGAACATTGGCCTTGACTACAGAGACCGCCATTGCACCTGCGATAGGCGAAGTCCGGAGACGCTGCCTCACGGTCAACAATATATCCATTCAGACTAGTCAAAGAAAGGTCAGTGCCAACCAGTCTCATTCTCACAACATCCACGTGCCAAACGCATTTTCCTGAGGCCATCATCTTTGAGCCTTCGGATCTGCGGATGAACGTCCGTAGAGCTCTCGATGCGACCAGTACCAGCGGGGGTAAGTCTTGGAGCTAACACACGACCCTAACCTTGAGGCCGATGTTGATAGCTGCATACACTCTGGGCCAAAAGGGACCTAGCTTGACATTAATGCCTCCTCCTCTTTTTGCCGTTGGCCTGTTTCCCGTGGCCGGGGCGTTGCCTGCCTACTTGTCAGAGTCTCAAGCATCTCTGATACCATCTGCTCTAGTCCCCTGCTGAGGAGATCAATACTCACCTCTCCCATTGCACTTCTGCAGCCGATGGTATCATAAGCGCTAATATTGATCCTAGCAGTTTTCTGGTCTTCCAGTTTCCGCCTCCTATCTCCTTCGCAAGGACGTGCCAGCTGGTATAAAAGGAAGTCGCTTCGAGTTAATTCCAGTTAGTCTGAGCTTCTGGCCCATTTTGCCTCATTCGGGTATGGGCATTACTTTCCCAGCACATAATGGCCGCTGAAACAAACGCCACACCATCCTCCGACCTCATGCCACCCAAGATGGAAGAGTTTGCTTTGCATTCAGAGCTCTCTAGACTCACCAAGGAAGCTAAGCAGAGATATGTCCTTGTAGGCTCGCGAACCGAAAGTGCTCCACAGTGTCTGAGCTAATTTGTTTCAGAATCAGATCAAAAAGCTTGTAGAAGGCTGTGAGACTTTCATAGCCCTTGTCCCAGGCGAATGTGGGTTTCCAGAGATCATAGCTTCTACAGACTTGAGGGAGGATAGTATTGCAATCTTGGGTGATGCAGTCGATAACTTTTCGCATTACCTGGACGGAACATCCCTCCGCGCCTCTCCGCGTATGCGTACCACAAATATTTTATTCACAGGCTAACGGATATAGGATTTCCACATTCATGGAGCACCCGGCGGTGGAAAGGAAAGAAGCCCATACGTGACCGAGTTAATGATTTGGCCGCCGCTTCCATAACATATCCTTTCCAGCGACCTATGAAGCGTCATCGCGCCAGCACTATCGACAGCAGAGAAGCAGTCGATAACACAGGTCAGAGGGGTGAGCGCAAGCTGAGAGTTGTCAATGAAGGCCGTGCACTTCAAATCCGAGTAGACGATCATGATCAACTTCAACGCTGGTTCAAGGAGGCATTCGTGGCCATGCAGCAAGTCGCATGCCGGATCATTGCCAAAATGTGGATAAAGCGCATTCATCCTAGAAAGGTGAGCTTCATCTGGATTTTTCGACTTTAGTCAGACGTCCATGTTGATGAGACCAGCAATCAACCCACCCTTACAACGGTGGCGTACCCCGAAGTGAGGAACGGAACCCTGAGCGCACTCGACCGCCTTACTGGCCTACTAGTAAGTTCTCTTGGTTGACAATAAGTTCAAGTTACCTTGTTTGACTCTGTATAAGGTGTTCCTCACAAGGAGCCCGATCACATAGGCCGTGACGGTGAGGTTCCTTCATCATCATCATCACACACAAGCTTTACGGCTAATTGACGATAGATCGAACAAGTCTGTTAGTTCATCTGCTCACTTCCACTCCACTCGAGGTTATCACAAACCCGCCGGACCCGCACAATGCACAATTTGTGACGTCTGCCGATCTCCTAGATTGCCTCGATTCCCGAAAGCCCGATTTGAAGGAGGGTGTTTGGGATATTATCGAGCAAGTATGTAGAGCTCGAGATCTGATGGAACAGTATGAAGCTGGTGAGATAGGTGAGTCCAAGCGACAATCTCGTGCCGGATACTGGTCTAACAAGTTCAGACGGCGACGCATTAGTCTTTCTCAATAACTATGCGCACACTGCCAGATCGTCATATGCCGAGGTCGATAGCGAGGATCCTGAGCGAAGCTTTTTGTTGCAGGGTACGGCTCTACAGACAGAGTCATTGGATGGGTCAGAGGAAGAAACGCAACAACTCAATTGTGATGGTGTCTTTACACCCATCTCATCTACACACGATTCTCCTCTTGACCAGATTCATTTCGAGAGCAAGCCGCCCAAATATCGGAAGCGAGATACAGTGGTTACTGAGTCCTCATCGACACATCGATCTAGCGTCCATCGTTCGTCAAAGCCATCCGCGTCGATCGGCAGACGGATGGTTCAGGAGCTTCCATACCGTTCACCTTCTGCCATGCGTAAGCCTGGGTGTCAACGGGAGGACCTGCTAAAGGCCCAAATGACAGAAGATCATAGAGTCAACACAATAGACGACTCACAATCAGCACCGGTAATGGCACAGTCTCTGCCCACCAAAGACTGCGAGCAAGAGCACAAGGTTCAGTCGCCGGCTATGGATATGATGCATATGATGCCATACATTCGAACATGCCATCAGCCGCTGGGTATGCAGCAATGGATGGGGATGATGCCAAATATGGGACCCGAACCTCCTGACCGCGTGTTTGGTTTTCATCCACATGTGATGGCAGGTGCTCCTGAATCAGCACTCGCATATTTCGGGCAGGCTGCGCAGGAGATGGACAGCAGACTCGCCGGTGGCGGCATTCTTTTGACGGACACGTTGCAGTACCATGAATTTCACGACAATCCACAAGATTCGTTGTCAATGAGTGTCACAGGGATGTATCAGCAAGGCGTGGCGCAGCCTCTTGATATGACCTCCACGAACTTCTATGCGCATCAGCCTTGAACTTCTTGTACGTCTGGGACGACTTACTGCAAGCTCCAATATTGTTATTCGCCCCCTATCTCCTGTCTCAACCAACGTCGACATTGTTCCTCAACAATATAGGATGCTCTTCACCGCATCATTTTGTAGCAGGTATCTCCTGCTACCTTACGAATTTCGGACGCCTTATAGTTCAAGATGGGAAACTATGTAGGGAGCGATACGTTCAGTCTTCACGAATTGTTTCTATTCGCTTCCTCTCCAAGATGCCGCACTCATGACGTCGTCATTTTCTGTTTCGCGTCATCTTCATTGCTTCAACATCTGTTATATTTTGAACTCCGACAACAACCTCAGTACCGTTCCTGTTCCAGTCAGTCACCAAGAGTCTCACGAGTTCCCTTTGCGTCAATCTTGATTTTATGTTTAGCCCCTGCTTTCGGATTTCACGAGAACTTCTCGATCTGCGGCCGTTGTCATTACTCGAGTCAACACAAAGTGATTCAGTTTACCAAAAGTTCCTGGGGAGGTAGTGACTGAGCACTGGTTCGATATATTGACCCTGCCCATCAGCAACTGCAGCAAAAGGTGGTGCACGCTACGCACACGGAAAGGTCTTTCTGGGCGACTTTGAATCTTTCGGGGGGTGATCATATCATTATGCTTTTTGTAGCTTTACAACAGCCCAGGTTTTCTGGTGAACTTAGTTTAGGGTATCCAAGGACTCAAAGTTCTGGATCATTATGTAACTGATTTGAAAGCCTCCCATTCATCCTAGGTGCGAAATGTGAGATGTTTGTATAGAGGCAACAAGGCCTCTTCATGAATAAAGAACTAAGTAACAGACATACTATAATCATGAACAAGGTAGATACGGACAAGTGCCTCGTATGTAAGGAGGTTCTGGGTGATGAATCTGACTGAAGAGCCAATTGGCCGTATTCTGTAAGATTTGACTCTAGCGCTGAACGGAGAGCTCAAGGAAAGTGTGTCGAACTACAGGTTCGAGAAAGACCAGTGGTGCAGCTACTACGGGAGGCTGTAAAGTCCTGCACAAGGGCCTGTTGGCACGGTGTGATACCCTTTCTGCTGCATATACGCTGTGCTTCAGTCTCCTACCGTCGCGAATCCCCTCTGCAATACCAGGCTATGGCTATAAGCGGTTCATTGATATCAACGGGTGCAGACGCTCTCATTGTCTGTGGAGCCACAGTCAGACTGATTGAGCTCCTGTTGTCAACCAATACTGTCACCTCCCATACGGAAAAGGTGAGTCTCCATGGGCGTCTATCAGGCTGCTATTGGAGGCAATTGTAGAGAACAATAAGGCTTGAAAAGAAGTGGTGGACAACCTTCTCTAGATTGGTGTTGTATAGCATAGGGCCGACATCAATAGCAAGTCACAACACTGTTTCGTTTGTCACGGGGGATTTCCTGTGATGCACTGGCCTGAGATACAATGACAATAAGCATGGTGGACGACAATAGCAGCCCCGGCGAGACATGTAGTCAATTGAGGTGCGGCAGAATCGCTGGGTCGTGGCTCACCGCCTTCCTCACAGGGGGGGCTCGCTAAACCTTCTCTCACTAGCGCCGCTTCGCTAAACATTCCTCTCTTAGCGCAACACGTCACCATGAATGAGTCACGTGAAGACTTGGCTGCCTGGACGGCCTCCATGTGGGACAAGTTGCATGAATTCCGGGAGGACATGCCCAACTTGAGACCAGTCCTCGACATCCTCGACGAAGGACCCGCGGCAAAGGAAACCGTTTTCGAGTTCCAGCTTCGTTTCCAATCACACCTGGACAACTACATCAGACGACGAAGCAAGCCTCAATATGTCGTGGGCGGGGTTCAAGAAGAACGTGAACCGGGCAACGACCCAGGTCATGATGAAGACGGGTGAGGTTGAGCTGAAAGTCCACTGAAATTCAATCTAACAATGTCTATCAGGACACGTCGAAAGAACAAACGATCGAGACTACGAAGTCGAAGAAAGGTAAGCGCATCTTGACTGATGTGAGTTCAGAGCGTCTATGGCTGACGCAGGCAACAGACGATACAGAACGATGGAAGCGGCAGCGAACCGACTGCAGAAAGAAGCGAAGGGATATCTGGACAGCCTGCGAGGTAAGATTGGAATGACGGCAATCCGAAGCCGCCGTCTAGACACTGACAATGGTGCGCTACAGCAATGACGGCATCACAAATGAGAATTGCCGAGACGATCGACGCATTTTACGGCGACGCTGGTACAAAAGATGGAGTTTCGCGATCATACAAGCAGGCCGTCGAAGATTTGGACGCGGAAACAATCAAAGCTCTTGACGGACCATACCGGTATCTTCCGCACGAGGCCTTCTAAGTTCTGTGACATACTGACATTTTGGCCTTCAAGGACCACAGTCCTCGAACCAATTTCTCGCTTCTGCGCCTACTTCCCCGACATCAACGAATGTATCAAAAAACGCAACAACAAACTCCTCGACTACGACGCAATACGTGCCAAAGTCAAGAAACTGGTGGAAAAGCCAGACAAAGATGTGACAAAACTGCCACGAGCAGAAAGAGAAGCCGAAATGGCCAAGCAAGCTTACGAGCAACTCAACGAACAACTTTTTACCGAATTACCCCAACTCATCGACCTGCGTGTACCTTACCTCGATCCCAGTTTTGAAGCGCTTGTCAAGATCCAACTCAGATTCTGCGCCGAAGCATATAGTCGTATGGCGCAAGTTCAGCAATACTTGGATCCTGATACTCGAGATCAATACGCCCGTGGAGACCTGGACAACCGTGTCGAACAGGTTCTTTCGGAGATTCGAGATCTGACCATCGCCGGTACTGTGTGAAGCGTCATTCAAGCCTCGAGATGTCGAGGACACATACTCAACCCTTTTTCTCTACTTTGGCACCTTGTGATTACTCGAACTGTCTTACCCTCAATACACACAAAAACAAACAAAAACAACTGGACTCGAACACCGCAACTAGCACTTGTTACAGCTGGTTGATGAGGGAACTGGAGGGAGATGGGTGTGCTTTTGTCACCGGGTTATCCAGCATAGCATAGCGAATGGAGTTACTTTTTCCCCGTCATGTTTGGTCAATGGGAAAGACTCATAAACCGAGCTAATCTCAATCAGAAACGGAGGGATGGAATGCATCAGGCATGCATACATGGCTTTCAAAAGAAAAGGCGTGGACTGGGGAATGATGGTCTCAGGGTTTCGGCGTGTTGTCCGTACCAACAGTGGGTTACTACCAGCTCAAAGTTCCAAGTAGTAGACTCTAGTAACGAGGATCATCAATACCTGAACCTGGTCAATGCATTTTTTTCTCATGAGACATTCATACTATCTACACACACATATATGGGTGTATTTGGGTTGGAAACGGAGCTATTTTTGTAGCTGACTGGGTACGTGGATTCATCCAGCAGCCAGCCAGCTTAGGAACCAAGGGACCCCCATCCACAATCATCGATGTTGGTCGGATGCGACGAGACAAGGTAAATTACAGCTCATGTGGTTGTTGTTGTTTTTCTCTTTTGAAGAAAGAAGGAGCTGTTTGCTTTTGGTTTTCGTTTTTCGTTTGTTTTTTTTATTGTGTACAGCATCTATATTGCGCCCAGCTCCTTCAACTTATTAATCATACCGTCGACGTCGTCGACCTTGCCGCCGCCTTGTCTCGCAGGCGGTTCTTCGACCTTGACGGTCTTCAAGCGCGGGGTGGCGTCGACGCCATAGTCGGCCAGGGTCTTCTTCTCGAGCTTCTTCTTCTTGGCCTTCATGATGTTCGGCAGACTGGCGTAGCGGGGCTCGTTGAGCCTCAGATCCGTCGTGATGACCATGGGCAGCTTCGCCTTAAGCGTCTCGACGCCACCGTCGACCTCCTTGGTGACGGTGACCTCGCCCTCTCCGGTGATCTCGACCTTGCTCGCCTGCGTGGCCTGCGGCCAGTTCAGGAGCCCCGCGAGCATCTGTCCCGTCTGGCCGGCGTCGTCGTCGATGGCCTGCTTCCCCACGAAGATGAGGTTACTCTGTTCCTTTTCCGCGATGGCCTTGAGCAGCTTGGCCACGCCCAGCGGTTCCAGCGGCTTGTCCTCGGGCACGTCGACGTGGATGCTGCGGTCCGCACCCATGGCCATGGCGGTCCGGAGCGTGTCTGCGCATTTCGCAGGGCCCGCCGACACGGCCAGGATGTCGTCGACGGCAACTTTGCGCTCTCGCAGGCGCACCGCTTCTTCGATCGAGAGTTCGTCAAACGGGTTGAGCGAGTGTTTGACGTTGGCCGTTTCGACCCCCGTCCGGTCCGACTTTACTCGTGGCTTGACCTGTGGTGAAGAACACGCATGTTAGCTCAGATCCCAGACCTAGGCAGGATTTGTTCGATAGAATGTATTTTGAAGTTCACCGGGCGGAGTATGAGGTTGTGTCGTGCAAGTACAATGGTGAGTACGGTAGTAATAAAAACGTACAGCATAGTCAATGACCCGCTTGACGGGCACGAGGATCCTCAGCTTCGACGACATGTTTCTCTGCAACCTGAGGCCCAATGCGATCCGAACGTCGAAGAGGGTTCCTTGCTCCGACGAGACACCACTGCAAGGAGGCAATAAAAGGCAAAGCTAGAAACTTGGGTGGGAGCAACACTGGTGCTGGAAAGTACAGAAACCGTTTGGGGTATGCTCAGGGCGAAGTCGGAGTGCAGTCGAGTACCGTTATTAGGCGCCCTCTACTCGTAAATTGTTAGTTAGTTGAGCCTCGGAAGCATGCACTTGACGCTCCTCCTATAAGCGCAAGAGACTGCGGGATCGGCTCGGGCGGTTGACTCTCGGGCTACGGCTATATCACACATACAAACTGTACAGGCAGCCCGGCCCAAGGCATTGTTATGTCAGCAACCCGAACCGACCAGGCTCGGGCTCAAAGGCTCAAGGCTAAGGCTCACTCTTGGCAAAACGCCAAGACGCACGCAAATTCCCAAGCGCTGTACCTGCCCTCCACTAGGGCGCAGGCGTTTTGTTCGCGGGAACAGACAATACCTTTCCTTTCAACCCAACAACAACACCACCACCGCAAGTCTCGTCATCGCATAGACAATCGTCAAGATGCCGGTACGTCGAAGCACCTCCCAGATCTCCCTCCACTGCAACCATCAGTCAGAAGTCCTTCCGATCAACGCCGTGTGAAGCGCACAACGATCGACCAAAAAGGATCTTGGGGCTTGTTGGGATCTACCCCGTCTCAAGAGACCAAACCGTGACTGATGACCGACTGACTGACAATATTATCTTTTGTGTGATGAACAGAGCCACAAGTCCTTCCGCACGAAGCAGAAGCTCGCCAAAGCGCAGAAGCAGAACCGACCTATCCCTCAATGGATCCGTCTGAGAACCGGCAACACCATCAGGTTAGACTCTTCTTCCCCCAGCATGCATTGCATACACACCATTGCCCTCGATCTTGTTGTTTTTTGCTTCCGACGCTATACTTTTCCCACATCATCTCGGAGCAGGCGGCATCAGGCTCGTAAATTTTACTACATTGGGGGCTCTCTTTTTTCACTGGCTTGATCCACGCTGTGATCTTTTTGAGGTGGAAAGAAGCATCTTGACAACCCCCCTTGATGGATAAATTGTTTCAAGAGCACACATGCACAGATAGGGGGGTTTCGACGCTCAGAGTGAACTCGAGATGGATCTTCTCTCTTTCCCCAAAAAACCACACGCATCGCCCCCGGATTACCATTCTTCCAAGAACTGAATACTGACTTGTGGTTCCTTTCCGCAGATACAACGCCAAGAGGAGGCACTGGCGCAAGACTAGACTCGGAATCTAGACGACTCGCCCATTTTCCATCGGTCGACTTATCCCGGTTCAAGAAACGCTTCACATACGGGATTCGCCGGACGGAGTCGATCCGCTACGAGGGAGGAGGTTGTGTTGTTGATGAAGTAGTGGCAACGTGAAAGGATGCCATGCACTCCGATCTGAATCAAGGGGTTGCGTTGGCTTGCTCAGGGACGCTCGAGGGGAAATGCCTTATTTTTCAACTCAACATGCTTGCGAAGCATCAATTCAAAAAAAGGGTACTTTGCAAGAATGGCACGCTCTGAAGCACGTCATTCTCCCGGATCTTGGCCATTCCACGTAGTACGTACCGTCTGTCGTGGTTAGTTAGTGCGCAACGAAAATCAAAATCAAAAATCAATGACCCAGATTACTCTGTTTCTACTGTTCTGCTGTGGTTTCACCGTCTAGGCTGTAGGTCGTCCTCAGGTCCTCCATGCAAAGTATGTAATAATCTTGTTCATTGCTGAAGTATGGATGGTGCGCGGTTAACAATGCAGCAATAGCCATGTTTTGCTCGGGTTGGACAGAACCCCTTGTCTCAACGAGCAAGCCAGCTATCTATCTAGCAGGATGGTACAATCATCAACTTGTTTTTATGACCGTGCCATCTTTGCAGCAGTCTAAGGTGAAACGCTAACCTCCTGCATATGAGAGGCACGTAAAACTGTCCCACATCCAGTATCACTATCCCATTTGAACTCCACGTGCATGCATGCTGACTGGAACCATAAACGCCATCGAGCATGTCCGAATATCGTTGCTTGAAGTGTGTAGCATCAGACGCTTCAGCGACTGTCATCGGGGTCAGTCCAAGATACCCCAGAAGAGCATGGGGGGAAAAGACACTTACTCCTCAGCCCACTCGTTTTCCCGTCGAATTTGATCTTCTTCCTCGGGTGTGAAGTCATTCTGGATGTTGAATGTTTTCCGGATCTCCTCGGGAGACTTGCCCTTGATCATGTTGGCGACCGTCTTACACCCAACGTCGAGCAAAGCCTTGATGTCAAGATAGTTTGCGGCCTAAATTTCAGTCAGCGCGACGAGCTGCGGGTGAGTGCTGGCATCGGCAATACCAGAATGATCTCAAACAGCATTTCTTGATCGACCTGCATGAACTTCTGATCCCACTCCTCAATGTCCGTAGTCTTCTTGCGCGAGTCGGAATCGTCCTCGTTGGTGGAGGGGGGGTCGTGCTTGTGGTGATGGCACCATTCGATGACTTTCTTCAGGACGGCGGCATTGACGTTGGGAATGGGGATGGGTTCTTCCATGGCTTCTTCACCAAGATCGGTGACCATGTTCTTTATCAGGATGGATCGTTCGGCAACTTCGCGCTCTGCGGAGAATCAGCACCATGGCGCACCACCGAGGCGGGCCTCAAACACATACCGACGAAGATGTCTTCTCCATCAGAGCTCTGGAGCGTAAGTGGTTTGGGAGTCATATTGATGATTGCGAACGCTGAGTAGAAGACTGAGATCGAGAGTTGGTAGAGGTTGTTCCGTGACGATTGGTGATGGAGATGGAGGATGGGAGGATGGAAGAAGAGAAGAGATTAATATTCGGAGAGCCAGGCACAAAGAATGCGCGAATCCGGCAGAGAATAATGTCACGGTGAATAGACAGTGAAAGTGCAGCAGCAGTTGGTAATCGACTGAACAACCTCAAGGAAGCCTTCACTCCGCAGAGCACATCACGCCTTCAGGCACTGACTGAGTGGCGCTTGGCAGCCTCGAGAAGTGGCTACATTATTTACAAACCCCCGCAGCCTCGTCGTCACTTGCTGTTGTTCACCTATTGTGCTGCTTGTGTGATATACAATCTATTGTTCCCTGTTGCGAGACTCTGGAACTACTGTGAAAGCGAGAATTGAACATTTGCTCAATTTGACCTCCAATGCTCCTCTTCATGTGTCCGGGTCACCTCAATCTGCCCTGTTCTGAGGGTCGGTGTCAAACGCCATGCAGAGAGTCATGCCCATTGAAACGGAGCAATCGTTTGCCTCTGTTCACAGATGACCCAGTCCACACTCATATCACAAGGCTTCCTTCACTTCCTGTCTGCGGTCATCTGCAACATACCTCCTAGTTGGACCTTGTTCCGGCACTGCCTCACGTGACCTGTTTCTGACATCACCTGCCCCAATTCCGTATCGCGCTTTTGCACTCGACACCGAAATCGAAAGTTGGTCAGACTCTGGAAACGGACGGACAATCTCACCTTCTCAATCAAACGCGAACTATTCCTTTGTTTCCCTCGACCCTCTTCGCCCTTGTTGTTATTGTCATTCCTTCGGTGTTATCGCCTCATATTCTTTCCCACCAAACCCCTTACCTTTGTCCTATCTTCCTCTTCGTCCCCATCGCAACTGGACAGTCGCGTCCTCGGACGCGCTTCGACACAATTCACCTTTTCGTAGCTGAGAATGAGTTTGAAAAGAATCTGCAGAAGCTCCCACGCATACAAGACAATGAAAGAGTCAAGGGCTTCTCAGCCAAGGTGAATGCGACAAGCATGTGGCGCCTGGTGTACCTCCTTCTGCTTTTTGTTCGCGTTTACTTTGCTCTACGTCCGAGCTACCTCCACCCTGACGAGATCTTTCAGGGTCCGGAACCTATTGCTGGTATGTGTTGGCGCTCACGCTCTGAAGCACTATACTCATCCGGTGTCAGGCTACCTGTTCCCGTATCCCAGCCATAAGACATGGGAGTGGGATTCAGACCGCCCCATCCGCAGTGTTTTCCCACTATGGCCGGTCTACGGCTTGCCCATGGCATTGCTGAAATGGATTTGGGCTCAGGAGGAAGACGGCTTGGTCAGCCCGAACATCATATACTACACACTGCGCTTGGTCATGTTTGTGCTCAGTTTTGTGCTAGAAGATTGGGCCGTTCACGATTTGGTCCGGTCCCCGCGGCACCGTCCAGAAGCAGTTCTTCTCGTGTGCTCTTCGTACGTGACATGGACATTTCAGACCCATACCTTTTCCAACTCCATCGAGACGCTGCTGGTCCTGTGGAGCCTGGTGGTTATCGAGAGGATCGTGGGTGAAAACGTAGGTCTTCTGCTTAGCTATCATTCGCCAGGGGAACTGACGATCGGGACAGAAACGATCAGCAATTGCTTCCTGCGTCGTGCTGGGCTTTCTTGTCGTCTTCGGCACCTTCAACCGAATTACGTTTCCAACTTTCATCGTGATACCCGGCATTCAAATGTTGCCACATTTTCTGAATAGGTAAGCCTTCCGCCTGAAGACTGTTGATGCCGGACCCTGATGTTTACAAGACCTTTTTGTCTTTTTGCCCTTATTCTTTCTGGCGCCTTCTGGACTCTGGCAGCCGTGGCCATCGACACTGCATACTATTCCGACGCTGCATCGACCAGATCCTTTCGAGCTTTGTACGACCACGTCCGTCATGCTCCTGTAATAACACCTCTTAATAATGTCTTGTACAATACTCGGACTAGCAATCTGGCTCAGCACGGCTTACACCCACATTACCAACATCTTTTGGTCAATCTGCCACAGCTGCTTGGGCCAGCCCTTATTCTTCTGATTGTATCCGCCTACCCCTTCAATCTACGGATCCTCAAAACAATGCTCAGCAATGTACGCCTCGCGTCTGCGACAGCTGGAACTCTTCTCCTCAGCCAAGTCCCACACCAAGAACCACGCTTTCTCTTACCGGCGATTCCGCTATTGCTCACATGTGTCCGCATACCTTCCAGCGCTCTCTGGAGGCGGATCTTTTGGACGACGTGGATACTCTTCAATTCTTCCCTCGCAATACTGATGGGGATCTACCACCAAGGTGGAATCGTCCCTACTCAACTCTCTATACCATCTCTTCTCACCCAGTCCATCGTGAATACGCATTCCGATGCACACAACATTGAAGTGTTTTGGTGGAAGACTTACCCTCCACCAAATTTTCTCCTGGGCACCGAACCACGTCATCCTTACACAAACAATAGTCTCAACATCTCCACTGTTCCGATGATGGGTTTCCCTCAATCCGAGCTCGTCTTCTTGTTGATGCAACACATGCCGACCTGCAACCCTTCTCTTATTGAGCGATTGACGATTCATAAGGAAAAAACAGACGTTTTTGTGGTTGCTCCCCTATCCGCCTGGCGTTTGGAGAACACAACACCGTCTGTGTCCAATTTTAGTTTTTCAATTGCCTTTAATATGCCACCCGCAGAGCTGGTGATGACGAACATCTTCACACACCGCCAGCACATCAATCTTGACGACATGGATTTTGGCGATGATGGACTTGTTCCCACTTTGAGTCGAGTTGTCGGCAGCCGAGGATTGGGGGTGTGGAAGGTCGACAGGATATGTGGCCCGGTTGAATACATTGATAAACATACCGGTGAGGTTGTTTCGGGGTGGCCTGTGGGTCCAGAAGGAGTGGATGTTCAACGAGGACAACAGAAGGGTGTCGCAGCGGTAGGGGATCCGCAGGAGATTGCAAGGTCTAACGAGAAAAGTGATTAGATGTTGTCCGATAACAAGCTTGCAGCTTAGTGGAATTGTACGATAGCATTTGTTGTAATCGAGTAAAAGATGAGAGAAGTTTTGCCTTAGGTTGTATGGAAATGTGATGTACGAAGAGAGACCCGAATGCATCTAGGTCTTTCCTCTACGCCTTTTCTCCGTCTGCAGTAGCCATCCTGGAAGTACCTTACCTTAGGTAGAAAGCAAAGCTACCGAAGTCGAATCCTTAAGGAAACCTATGGTGGCTCGTGAACCCATGGCGTTGATCGAATACACGTTAACGGCGCTCTGATGCACTTTCGTATCGAATTACATTTGGGTGAGTGAGGGATTAAGAAAAACTTCGTGTCATTCTGGCTTTCCTAGTGATTGATAGAGGGCCAAAGGAAAAGAAAATAACCCTTCGCCCCGCCCCAGTCACTCTCTATCTGACATGAATTGACAACTTTTCCTTCCCTAGTCAATCTTTTTGTGGAAGTGTCAAGCCGTCCCGGGTCCCCGATCCCCGTGTGTGTGCGAGGGGGTGGACCGGGGTGGCAAGAGCTCGACTCTTCCGACGCAGCTAGCTAGCTAGATGTCCAGAACGGATGGACGGCCGGCCAGCCACGGTTCTGCAAAATTGCAATGCACGTGTTTTTCGTAAGCGGTTGTGAGATGAAGTTCGATCGCGAGAGGGACAGGTCGAGATTTTCGGCGTTTGCGAGTTGTTGAGAGGAAAAAGCAAATTCGGCGGGAACGGAAAACACCTGGGAGAAAAAGACCCATGTCTTTTCTTTGCTTGTCCTCTATCGGGTGGCCATGGCCTTGGTCATGGCTCTCTTGAGGGCCAGTTCCTTCTTCTTGAGGTCCTCGGGGCTCGAGTCCTCGACCTCGAGCTGCTGCATGGCGTCGGAGAGGGCCTCCTCGATCTTGGCCTTGTTGCCGCGCTTCATCTTCATCGACAAGCCGGGGTCGGAGATGAGTTCCTCCACGCGGCCAATGTAAGACTCGAGTTGCTGCTTGGCCTCGAATTTCTTGGTGAAAGCTTCGTCGCTGGTCTTGAATTTGGCAGCGTCTGAAAAACAGTCAGTAAACCGTACGTAGAGAAAGAAGGCAGACACCACTGACCGTCAACCATTTGCTCAATCTCTGCCGTAGAGAGCTTTCCAACAGCATTTGAGATGGTGATGTTGGCGGTTCGGCCGGAAGATTTCTCGGTGGCGGTAACTTTCAAGATACCGTTGACATCGACTTCGAAAACAACCTCCAAAGCAGCTTCTCTGTGAAATTTGTCAGTGACTGTTTACGACAACCAGGTAGGGGATGCTTCACCCTGCTCGCATCGGGGGGATTGGAGCCAAGGTAAACTCTCCCAGAGAAGTGTTATCCTGCAAGATGTTAGCTTTGGATAGCGACGAGGAGCTGAAAAATTCACCTCGCAATTTACACGCTCCCCCTGGTAGACAGGGAATTGAACAGTTTGTTGATTCTGTAGAAAGATTAATAAGAGATCAGGTCGAGTCAACAACCTGGAAGATAACTCACGTCGACCACCGTAGTGAAAGTTCTGTGGAACAAAATGTTAGCATTGGTCGATGACGTCCAACAGGAACGGAGATGAAGGATGAATAGGAAGAGCTAAATAGCAACAGGGGAGGCTCCAGAAACAACTTGCATGGGTACTCACCTCTTCTTGAGACATGGAACAGTGTTACCGCGTGGAACGACAGGAGCAAAGATGTTACCTTCCATGGCGACACCGAGGGAGAGAGGGACGACATCGAGCAGGAGGAGATCGGCGGTTTCAGCAGAAGTGGCCTTGCCAGAGAGGATACCAGCCTGGACGGCAGCACCGTAGGCAACAGCCTCGTCAGGGTTGATGCTCTACAAGCCTGTCAGAAAATCACGTGAACACGGTCAGACAAATTTCAAAAGACGTACCTTCTCCAACTTCTTGCCATCGAAGAAGTCGCTCAGGAGCTTCTGAATGCGAGGGATACGGGTGGAACCACCGACAAGGACGATCTCGTCGACCTTGGACTTGTCGATGTTGGCATCCTTGAGGACCTGCTGGACAGGCTCGAGAGTGCCGTTGAAGGCCTTGGCGTTCAGATCCTCGAAACGGGCACGGGTGATCTGGGCGTTGAAGTCCTCACCGTCGAAGAGCGAGTCGATTTCGATGGTGGTCTGGGTACCGTTGGACAGGGTTCTCTTGGCACGCTCGCAAGCGGTACGGAGTCTTCGGAGGGCTCGGGCGTCGCCAGAGAGGTCCTTCTTGGTCTTTCGCTGGAACTCCTTCTTGAAGTGGTCGAGGAGGTTGGTATCGAAATCTTGACCACCCAAGTGAGTGTCACCGGCAGTTGCCTTGACGGTGAAAACACCGCCCTGGATGTTCAGGAGAGACACATCGAAAGTACCACCACCAAGATCGTAGATCAGGACATTTCGCTCCTTGTCGCTCTTGCCGGAGCCGAGACCGTAAGCGATGGCGGCAGCGGTAGGTTCGTTGATGATACGGAGAACGTTGAGACCAGCAATGGCACCGGCATCCTTGGTAGCCTGTCTCTGGTTGTCGTTGAAGTAGGCAGGGACAGTGATGACAGCCTTCTGGACCTTCTTACCGAGCTTGGTCTCGGCAACCTCCTTCATCTGCGCGGTTTGTTAGAACATCATCACATAACAGCTTCTTGAAGCCGAGATCATACCTTCATCAGGACCATGGACGAGATTTCCTGGGGAGAGAAAGTCTTGGTCTCCTTCAGGTACTCGACCTGGACCATGGGGTTTCCACCCTGGTCGACGACCTTGAATGGCCACGACTCGATATCCTTCTTGACTGTAGGGTCATCGAATCGTCGTCCGATCAACCGCCTGCGCCCGTTATTAGCATTTTTGCTGATGATTTTGTATTTCTTCACCCAACTCACTTGACATCGAAGACGGTGTTGGCAGGGTTCATTGCGGCCTGGTTCTTTGCGGCCTCACCAATAAGACGCTCCTCATCGGTGAAGGAAACGAAGGAGGGAGTCGTGAAGGAACCCTGCTCGTTGGCAACTGTTGTCGATTGTTAGAACCGACCAAGAAAAAACTGGTGACAGGGTGAGAAGCGAATAGACATACTGATTTCGACATTGCTGCCCTCGTAGTTGGCAACGCAAGAGTACGTGGTACCTATTTCACATCGTCAGCGTCAGTGTGCGCAGAACAACGGTGAGCGAGGCCCGAAAAAAAGGTAGCGCACCCAGATCGATGCCAATGGCACCATCGTAAACCTCGTCGGACATGATTGCAGAGGTTATAACAAGACAAGTCCCTAGATACCGGACTCTGTGGGGGGGGAAGACGAGAGGAAGAGTGCAAAAAGCGATAACAGTGGGTGTGAAGTTTCGCAGCGACAGCCTCAACTTTGTAAAGTCTTTAAAAAAAATTCCATTCTGGATTAGTGGCACCACATGATTTAAGTGGGTTGTGGACCGAGCTAGAGCCGGCGGAGAGCCGACTAATAAGCAAGGCTGTACTGTGCGTGCAGCACATACCCAAGTACCTACGAGCAGTGAGTGGTTGGACTTGCAGCAGGATTGGGACGCTTCAACACGACCAGTGGATTTGAATGCGAATCAGACATGGCTCGACTCTTCAAAATTATACAACTGCGGTCATCCGTCACTGAGCCTGTCGGTATAGTTCCACCCTGTGGTGTGTACATCTACCTTCCTACCCCCCTTTGGCTTCCCGTCTTCCCCTTCAGTCCCCCATCTCATTCTCTCAGATCATCTTCGCTTTGACATTCTCTTCGCGAACACGGTCCCTTCAGGTGTCTACATATCTCGATATTTGGCACATGTGATTTATGTGGTCAGCGGTGTGCGGCTCGTGTAAAAGGGTTCGGTCGGATCCGCACCCTTGTCATGGGCGCATACCATGTGGTCTCACGTTACTGCATAACCTGGATACGTAGCATCAGGTTTTCACTGTGTTCACAATCTGTAGGTGAACTAGACTCGGAAATGAATCGCCACAAAACCTTGCTGAATGTCGTGTATGGGACACATGACCTGCCTCCCTCTCTCACGAAATGCATTAAATCTTGTACTTTTCCCTTCTATCGCTCACCCACCTTTTCAATCCAAGACGCCACTCTCACGCAGACCAGCCAACAAATCTGGCTCCAAAAACCTCTTAACATCGACATCCTCACTAAGGCCCTTTCTTCTCCTCGTCTTGAGGACGAAATCGCGAGCAGCCTGCTGGGGTCCGGCCATTTCCAAAGGCCGAATACGAATGCTTTTGTCAAGAGGGTCGCCTGGCACGACGTCCCACCGATCAAAAACAAGTGAAACGCTGGCCGCACCTTGACTGTGAATACGCAGATCGGTCTCGAAGCCAAAGCTGTCAATGACGGGAAGAAGCGCCTTTGCAGCGTACAGAGGCGTCCCTGCGACGGGACCGTCGGAGACGACATGCCCACGTCTCTTCATCAAAACCGTATACAGGCCTGAAATCGAGTCCGCGGGGCCAGTCATATGCACACTGTAAATTGGCTCCATGAGTCGAGGTCCAGCCATCAGGAACGAACTGTATACGGCTCTTCGAGCTGTCGGGATGATCTGTCCGCCACCACGATAGATCGGTTCCGCAGCGAGCTCAGCACCAGTGAGCCTAAACTTGGTGTTGCGGATTGGCTCTTCACAAAGAGGTCCTTCACGCGTACCCCACGAGAAGCCCTGCTTGATGCTCTCTTGGACCGTTTTCAGCAATTTCTTGTCAGTGTTTGATGGCAGGGTATCGTCACAGAGAACATTGGGCCCCATTTCATCAGGTCCGAAAGCCCAGATCGATCTCGCGGCAAGCTTGTCCCATTCGTACTTTTCTTCAAAGAACTTTGCAACACGACGGATAGGATCCCGGATCTTGACAACACCGGCCTCTATATCCTCGGCTATACCGTCATCCAATGGCTCGGCGATCATAGTCAGCTTATTTTTCTTGTTCGGCGTCAAGGCGTAGCACATGATGGCGCTCGTCTCGGTGACCGTCTCGCAGAATCTGGTCACTGGGTCAGAGACTTTGATATCCATCTCGGCAAACAGCGTCCGGAGATCGTGCAAGACACAATCCATGTACAGTTCGCCCGTACCAAGAACAACGTGCTCGCCTGATTCTTCGACTTTTGTTGTGATGAGAGGGTACGATTTATTGATCTTGCGCAACCCCTCGAGCATCTTTGGCAACTCGGACGGGTTAACTGGCTCCACGGCGACCTTGAAAACAGACTCCGTAAAGTGTCGAATGGGTCTGAAAATATAGGCGTCTTCATTACTCGGGAATTTCTCTGCGATGACAGTCGCAGTCTTGACAATCGAATTATCGATTCCAGAAAGCAGGACCAGATTGCCAGCTGGTACGCCCGAAACAGGTATATTATACCTCGAGCAGCCGAGAAAGGTGGCAGTAATCGTCGCGTTGGTTGAGTCTTCCTCATCTTCAAGACTATAAGATTCGCCGAGAACGCGTACAACCTGGTCAGGCGATGCGGTTCCGGACATGATGCGACCGAAAGCATTGAACGTTTTGGCGTCCGGTGAACTGAAAAGCTTCGTGACATGTACCACTAGGGGACCGTCCGAATCACACTTCGTCATAGACTCTCCCACAGCGCCGTCTTGGCTGCCAGTGTAGTAATTGTCCAACATTCTCTTTGCGCCATCGACTGGTGAAGGCACATGCTGTACAATCATGTCTACAAAACCGTCTGCAGGTCCGAAGAACTGCGCACAAACAAGTTTCAGCAGATCCTTGGCATCGGACTTGAGTTGTGACGGCTTCAGCTTGATTCGCAGTGTATCCAGGGTTGCTGCCAGGTCTTCCGGGCTTTCGCTGATGGTATGTGAATAGAGCTTGTAGATAGGTTCGAGGACGAAATTGACAAAGGATCGCTTTGCCCCTTCTTCAACTCCCTTCCGGGTGAACTTTCGACTTTGAGGGTTAAAGAAAATATCTCCCCATAATCTCTTCGCGAACTCCGCGGCGTCAACTTTGGGGTACGTCTCTGCGTACATCTTCGCAAACGACTGCAGAGTGAACACCCAGTCCATGGATGTGCAGGCAAAGGCGACATTGCCCTTCTCCGGCGACAGTCTCTTGCTTTCGCCACGACCGGGGATCGTGTTCTCGATGATGGTGTTAACCTCTTCAACCACATGCTTCAACTTGAAATACGCGTCGGTAGGTGGGATCTTAAGCTCCAGAATCAGACGGTCCATCTTATTCACCACCAAAACCATGGGTAAATCTTCTAGCACAGCGTGCTTGATGACCTGCTCGGTGTTGATTTGAACGCCCTCGACAACATCCACTACCAACACGACACCGTCTACCAGTCGCAGGCTCGACGCGACCTCATCGACAAAATTGACGTGGCCCGGTGTGTCTATGATGTTGAGGATATGCGACTTCCCCCTCGTACCTTGCATAACCAAACTGATCGGCGCAGCCTTGATTGAGACACCGCGTTCTCTTTCCAGGAAATGAGTGTCTGTATATCTGAGCTGCTCGTCTCGTTTCCGACCTATTCTCTTGTCAAGTCTGTCTTGGAGATCGTGGGTCTGCATAACCAGCATGTCCACAAACGCCGTCTTGCCATGGTGTAGATGCCCCGCGACTGCAATATTCCGAATGCCTTCCGGGAAGCTCAGAAGATCGGTCATGAACTCGCGCGAGTAGTACACGGGTGGCAGATCCGCCTCTTGCACTTGAAACTTCTTCTGTGTGACTGGCGCTATGATCGGCTGCGTGAGGGGCTGCGCGTCTTCCTCCTGCACCATGGTCTCGACATCTTCGCCATAAACCTGTTGCGCCGTGGGGTAGTATTGCTTGTCCTCATGTAATATGACGGCGTTCGATGGCGGCTCATCGTCGACTTCCATCAACCCATCCTCGTGGGGTTGTGGCTCGCCGTCCGAGTCCTCGTCGTAGACGTAATTTTGACCATCATCGCCCGCCTCAACGCTCTCTTCGTCGGACACTGCCTCGCCGATAAAATTGCCGAACCTGCACCACAACTCGTCAGCAACCTTTCCAGCCAGACACAGTCTGGAGCAGTAGCACTTACTCGTCGTAGAGGTCGTCCATAATGCCAGAGGAACCTCGTGGGTTGTAGGAGAGTCGCGGCGCAAAAAGTCGAGGAGATCGCTTGCTTCGCTTTTAATTTTTGCGGAGTACTACAAAACTACGGGAGTACGTTGGAGCAATTTGCGGCAGCGGCGCGGTATGACTCGCCGTACACATTCAGCCTCGCTTACCTAAGGCATTCTACCCCCTTTTTTCAACACCACCAACTCCGCATCAGTACGACGTTCGAGATGGAGGAATCTTAACAAACAAACTACATCACCATGAAGATGCTGCGCGTCCTCGACGCCTCACATCATCTGAATCGCACTTTTCCGTCGTTGTTATTTTTTGTTCTCGCCTTTTGGGCTCAGCCTTCCTATTCCCCCATCGTATTCATCGTGTCCAACGCTGCCAACGCGTGCGAACCTGAATAAGTGAAGCACAACAGTAACCTCTTCACCCCTTCGTCGCGCTCAAGAGCCAATCAGCCACCTGGAATAATATGATTGTATATTTATTAAAGATTCCAAATTTTATTCCCAACACCAAGACCCCTAGAGGCGGCCAGATGGTTCAATGGCCCGCGAAAGCGACAATCTGTGCAAGTCGACCCCTCTAGGCGATTCCGATCCCGAGACTGAGCCACTCGCACCGATAGCCCTCTCTCCCAATGGACGTGTTCCTTGTTTGAGGCTTGCCCATCCGAGTTCGTGTTCTGACTTCTCCGAGACCTACGATCCTGTCTAACCAAACCGCCCCCTCCGCGGCCCAAGATTTGCGAGCGCCGATTAACCGACAGATCGAAATCGAAGGATAAAAAATCCCATCCCGGGGTTTCTCCACCGTCAATGGTTAACGACACCATTGATGGTTGGAGTTTTTGTCATTTTCGCAAAATCTCAGTCTTTTGAACTCTCTTAGCATGATAGTTTGCTCCCGTCGCACGGAACACATAAGTCGACTCTACTACAACAACTAGCCATAACTCTCCCGTGATGTTCAACTAGTAAGCACCTTCTCTGGGAGAATACCCCGACTCACCCACGAAGTCCACCTTGCCTAGAGCTGACATAACGGGCGTGTCGCTCTCAAGCCGGAAAATCTCCAGTTTCGCTCCTTCAGGCTGGTGCGCCCACAACGTCAATGCCAACCAATTGGTGCCCTTGTAGTTTAACACGCCCTGTGGAACTGGAAAAGTCGTCTGAGGTCCGATGTGGTTGACGTATTTCCCATATTGGAAGCCGTTGATGTAAAACTGCACCCGATATTGCGCTGGAGGCTGAGTGCTGTTACCGAACTTAAAAGACAACGGCACATCCCAACCTGCCGGAATATCGAGGTCGAATTGCGTACTGAAGAAGCCTACCCCAGCTTCTGAGACGCCGTCGAAAGGGCTGCGCGACTCCCAGTTCTGGCTAGGAGGATTTGGCAAATGCCACCCCTGCCTCTCTGCGTACATTCCTCCCTCGTTCAGCGGCCCACGGGTTCTGTCTCGATAATCTTCGCCACCGAGATTGCCGGTCAACTTCCAGGTGATCGCAGTCTTCTCTTGTCCAGCAAGAGAATAGTCCAAGATACCACGCGGAGTCTTCATTAAATCGCTACCAATGAACCCACTCTCGTCGTAACCCATATGGTCGATTAGGATGCTGAAAACATATGCCTTGCCAGCTTGCAGAGGAGGCAAGTTATATGTGACATTCGTGTTGTTTTGGGTGCTAACACCAGCCCACGAACCAACAAATGTCTGGTTGAGCCATATCGAATGTCCATAGGCCTTTCCTCCGCGAGTGTTGATATAAAGAATCGATTCGTTCCCTTGCGAAACGAAATGGCCACGATAGAGAAGGGAGCCGCTATGGAAGCCATAGTCACTCGCATAGAGGGACGTGGGCGTCGTCAAGTCGCGCCAGGTATTATTCGTCGTCGTGAGGTCAGCGAAAGGCCAGAGCCAATCATCATAGCCAGGTTGAATTTCAGGAAGAGTGTCGACGTACTTCCAGTCGAGGCTGCTCAGAGTAGGCAAGGTGAATTTTGGATCCGCCCAGGTGACGGTTGTAGCCCAATCGCCATTGCTGCTTGTAGTGTATTGTGATGGCTGTCCATTGACAAAGAGTGCGTTCGCCGAATTTGGTACTCCAATCACCTCAATTGGGGTGGTAGCATTAAAATCAGCGGCCAAATATAAGTTGCTGCCTTCGAGGTATGCACCTCTGACCAGATAGCCTGCTTTGACGATGATGGACCCGGCAGTTGTCTCCTTAGAACTAAAGCCTGCAGTTTGTGAATTGCTAGATAACTCTGGCACCCAATAGTTGTACGCCGAATTTCGATCTGTCCGATGTCAACGATGGTGAAGCCTTAACGGCCAATGCCACTTACCAAGTATGAATATCTCCAAATTATCCACCTTGACAATGCGGCGTTGAGGTGCGGTGTCCCAGGCAACAACAGCTTGCGAGCCGCATTTCATTGTGACTCCAGCTTCTGGTCCTTCAACCAATGAAGGCGTAGACGCCGAGGAGATTGAAATCTCGTGGTGTTCACCTGGACCGCCATATACCAGCAGTACTTTCTTTTGACCAAAGTCTTTCCAGGTGAATATCTCTGCAGTCGAGTAGAGAACATTTGTTCCATTGATATCATAATCAGTCACATGAACTTTGGAATCTCGTCCATGGAGAGCTAGGGTGCCTCCAGATTGTGGAACTGTGATGTTGCCAGCACTCGTACGCAGTATCAGTTTGTATGACGTGCTGGCTTGACTCGTATAATTGGCGTGCCTCAAGACATAAAAGGTCGTCACGCTACTGTTGCTCATGAGCGGGGTAACGAGGAGGTCTTTGCTGTCGGTATAAAGTGTAGTGGAGTTGTGCAAAGGGTCCGCATCGAGGTATGCTGGCGAGGCCTTTACAAAACTACCAATCAACTTCAGCTGACTATATTTCTCCCGGTCGACCTGGCGGCCTTCAGCAATGGCGGCGGCGTAGTCGTAAGAAGTATAACCATTTGGATGACCGAGATTGCCCCAGTTCGTGCCGCCGTAGATCATGTAGAGATTCAAGAACTTGATGCCAAAGCTGATATAATTCTTGTAGAAAACCCTCTCGAATTCGCTACCGACGAGGACACCACACTTTTGGAACCCAGGCCCGCCCCAAGGGTCGAAGCTACCGCCCTGTAATTCTGGAATGCTGTAAGGTGTCGATGGACTTTGTCGAAGATGTCTTTGCCAGTAATCCGTAGGAAGCTGCCCTGCCGGCCATATGGTAGGGTTCGCGCAATCAAATCCAAGCGGGTAGTTATCATGTCCATAGATGTCCACGGACCCCTCACCCGTGCCCGGAGTGTTATAGCCATTCGGGGCCCCGTCGTTGCTTAGGAATGGTACCACTACCCCTGCATCACGGGCTTGGTCCTCGACTATTTGCATGTAATTGCCATCAGGTCCTAGTGTTGAAATTAATACTTTTGTCATTAGCCGAGGGACGTGGACCAACCGTCAATACCGCAGCAGAATTTCGAGTATTCGTTCTCTGGCTGATACAGTATGATCGGTCCGCCATTTGTAATTTGAGCTTCGGCAATTGTGCCAGCGACATGACTCATGTAACTGCCACCGCGTCAGTGTATGCACAAGTACGGGGACAGAGACCTTACTTCTCGGTTGCTTCGATATAGCTTGGATCGGAGGTCCTCAGTGTGCCTTTCACCCTTTGAAGCCACCCTGGAAATCCACCGCCTGAAGCCTCGGCGTTTATGTAAGGCCCAGGTCGAGCAAGGAGGTATAGTCCAGCCGAGGTGGCGGCTTCAAAGAATGGTTCAAGGGCGAAAATGCCTCCTGCCGTATAGTTCCCATGCTTGCCTTCGAGAAGAGCCCAGTCGACATAGAACGACACACAATTGAATCCAAGAGCTTTGACTTTCTGGAGGACGTCGAGCCACAACGAGGGAACCGGAAGCCTGTCCGACAATTAGATGGTCTATGCCACTTGCTCCGTATTCCAATGTCTTCATAAAGCATTTCCTGGAAGGCCGACTACCTGAACGGGTGGAATTCCCCGCTGAAGATCATCAGCCGCTCTCCACGCACGAACATCGATGTCTTGTCCCATGTGACCTTTTGATGTCTCAGCTGTGAGGGTACGCTGTATTGTGTTGACATACCAGATCTTGCAACAAAGCCCGTTTCTCAGGATCGCGATGCTCAGTGATTTTGAAATGGCCGAAATCCTGGCTGGGTACAGCGAGTGCCGCCAACTGTGTGGCCAGGAGACCTACGATGGAAGCGCACGCGAGCTTCATTGTTTCAACGTTGCTCGCCAATCAAGAAGTAATGAGGGTGTAAAGTTACAAGGTCTTTCGAGGAAAGATGACCTTGCTCTCCCTTTTCAGGACATGGCCATGGACCATGGTAATACCTCTACCCCAGATCCAATCTTGCGCACTATACCTTCTTTGCACGCAACTCGGTGGCGGGACGAAGATCCCCCACAAGCTTCATATCCTGTGGGACTTTATGCAGACATCTTCCTCGTATAGCAGGTCGATCGACATGCATCTCTGCATCCTTGCTCAGGGTAGCACAAGCTTTTTGAAGCTAGTGGAGGAGCTTTGTAGGTTGACCATCTCTCAGTAAGAACTCTGTATCGTCGCTTGCATCCATAGACAGTGACGATAGCAATAAGGAATGTCGGATCTTGGAAAATCACGCTAATAAGAGGAGAAGACGCGGGAGTTGCTGGTGTTACAATAACAGCCTGTTCGGTCCATCGAATGCCGAACACATAGTCTCGATCTCCATATACACCTACAGGCATGGAGGTACCAAGGAGATGCACGCGATAACATTGGGTTGGATGTTGTTGGAGATTGAAATAATGTGCAGTATTATTGCAGTATTAATTTACTTTTGTAAAACATAGTACAATCCCCTGCTAAAGTACTACCCCTTAAGCGCCTTGTTGTTCCCGACGCTCGCACTGATGTGTCTTTCTAGAGCATACGCAACACACCTTACATCAAAGATTCGATAACAAGGGCACTGGCACCACCACCGCCATTGCAGATGGCAGCGCACCCAATCTTGCCTTTCTTAGCTTTAAGAACACCAAGCAACGTGTTGACGATTCTGGCGCCCGAGGCACCCAGAGGGTGTCCAATGGCAACAGCACCGCCGTGCACATTGACCTTGTCTGCACTCAACCCCAGAAGCTTCATGTTTGCGAGAGCGACAACGCTGAAAGCCTCATTGATCTCGAAGGCATCAACCTGATCTTGTGAGACACCGGCATGCTTGAGGGCCTTAGGAATTGCCAGGGCCGGAGCAGTAGTGAATTTGCTGGGCTCGTGAGCAGCCTCACCCCAACCTAGGATTTTTGCCAGGGGCTTGATGTTAAGTTCTTGGAGCTTGGCTTCCGAGACCAACACAACAGCTGCACCGCCATCGCTAAGGGGCGATGCATTGGGCGCAGTGACAGTACCCTTGTCGGGAATGAAAGCAGGCCTTATTGAGCGCAGCTTGTCAACGTTGAGGTTCTTTGGCTCGTCATCCTTGTCCACTGTAACGCCCGGCTTTCCTCGTGCTCCTGGAAGTTGGATGGGCGCAATTTCAAAGTCAAACAGCCCTTCTTTCTGGGATGCCTGTGCCCGTTGGTATGACTGGATGGCGTAGTCATCTTGCTGTTCTCGGTTGAAGCCATGGTCTTGAGCACACTCTTCTCCTTGTAGACCCATATGTTCTTGCTTCCCATATGCATCGGTCAGACCGTCTCTTAGCACTCCGTCGACCAGTGATTGATTCCCAAATTTCGCCCCCGTGCGCATGTTGGGAAGGTAATGGGGACAGTTAGACATCGACTCAGCACCGCCAGCCACAACGATGTCGGCGTTACCAGTCATGATAGTCTGAGCTCCAAGGACAATAGCTTTGACACTCGACGCGCACACTTTGTTAACCGTTGTGCAGACAGTTGAGTCGTCGAGGCCAGCTCCGAGGGCGCACTGTCGGGCAGGGTTTTGACCAAGGCTGGCGAAGTTAGAAAGCGGTCGGAGGCGGCGTGAGTGAAATATTACTTTGCAGAGAGAACGTTACCGAAGAAGACCTCTTGTACGTCCTGAGGCTTGATCTCGGGCACTCGTTCAAGGGCAGCTACATAGGCCGTTAGTGTGTGATCTGCATCGTGAAGCGGTGAAGGGGCCATACACTTGATAGCATGGGAACCGAGTTGGGGTGCGGTCAGCGAGGCCAGGGAACTGATGGCTGTCAGCAGTGAACGAGAGCGCGCAGTCACTGAGTTCGCTCACCCAAGAAACATGCCCACCGGTGTTCGTGCAGCGGCGACAATGTACACAGGAGGCAGAGAGGGTTTCTGGTGCGGGACACCATTGGAGCCGTTGGTGGCCATGATGTAGAATCGGATGTGGGTTGAGGGAAGGCGAACTTCGTGTGACAGCAGACAGACCAAGAATCAGGAAGCACAGTAGACCACCGAAAGACTACACAGGTAAGAAGAGGTGTTGTAGAGAGAGACTCGTGTTGTCTTGGTATGCTATGTGCTTCCGGCCTGCGGTGTCTCCCTTAACTTTGATTAGTTTTCCCTCCAAAAAATTATTCCCCTCAACTCCAATCGTACGACGCGGATGCTCTTTTAGCCCGACGCCTTGCCGTTTTAGGCTGATAAGATAAGACCTTCGAAGCGACTGCGGCGGCCCCATTGAATAGTTCTCTTCTGTACCTGCAGCAGCGCCTCCTGTCACCACCCCAGCCTGTCATCTTCGTAACACTATCTGCCAGAGAATCCTTGCCATCATTATTACACAGTATCCTCAGCAGCGTGCTCAAAAGACGCTTCTACACTTTTCTGCGCCCTTCTTCGATTCTCGATCATCCAGCGACACACAAATACGGTGGTGCTGCATGTCAGCCACGTCCACCACAATGACGATAGACCACATCCCTTCGGGATGGTTGAAAAAGGCGAGGCAACCTTGTGAGATAAACCCTTCACATGTAGAGCAGAATAAAATAAAGAAAGATGCGAACACGAGTTACTCACGTCCTCAGTCAGACGAAATGCTATGGTAGCTCGGGACTGCTTTCAAGTGATGTTGTTGCTGTTGGGACTATCCACCTGACTGAAGGATCCCACCGCTGAGCTCTCTGTTCCAATTTTGGCCATGTCTTGAAGCTCCATCAGGACCTCCGGACGGAGTAGATCTGTCTATGTCTATCCCGCGTGGGGGTTCAATCAGGGGAGCTGCTCTCGCCTTCCTCCGCGGTGGCTCGCCCCGGTCGAAGCATTCTCCGAGAGGAAGTGCCATAGAAGAATCTCCTTACCTGAGAGGAGGCTTGACCACGTCTTTTCCGTCGGATATGGTAGGCATACGAGAATCCTGGTCTGCTCAACGAAGCTTCAGATGTTGTTACATGAAGGACTCATCACGACCAAACTCTGTCACGCACAATAACATTGCCATGGAAGCTTGATTTTGTCTGATCGTGCTCGAAACTCCGTAAGCTGTCACAAGGAGAAGGATTCTCAAGGCTCAGAGAGCGCCGGACTCGTGTTGAGGCATGATGGCTCACGCCTTGGAATCAACCTCGACGGTTGTTCCTCTTCAAGCTCTGTCTTTCCGCCGTCAACCTTCTGCTGACGCACTTGATGCCGCATCCCTGTACCACACCGATGCCCTTCAACTTACTCAGCTTGACCACCTTGGTTTAGGCTCGTTCAGCTGGCGAATAGTCAGAAGAAGTCGATGCTCTCCAGCGTCTTACCCGCGGTCTCTGGGTAGAAAACCCAGAAAACGAAAATGCTGGCCCAGTTGAAGATGCAGAAGTCGAATTGATGCAGTGGGCAAGCACGAGGTTTGTCCTTTGCCACAGATATCTACCATCCTAGCCGAGGTCCAACGACGTTCAGACGAATTGATTTTGGGGACGGAAAACGGTTTGCTGTCTGGTACTAGAAGGAGAAGAGTTTCACTACCCTAGTGGACATCTGGAGGATGACCCGGGCTTGGGCAAGAAATCGCCTCTGAATGACGGCAATGGAGACTGTCAAGGCAGGTTCTGGGGCGGCTAGATGATTGGGATGTTCGGAGCCGACGAGACCGGAAAAAGCTCACCATATCGTCTCGAGTCTAATCTTTGTCTTCATCCTATACCGGACGGTGTATCGATTGCGAACGGCCAGGCCTCGGATCCGCCCACCACTACCATGTACTTTGCAATTTCACATGATTAAACGGGGTAGGCTTTCGGCCTCGACGCAATGTCCGGCTCCAAAAGCAACAACAGACCTCCTATGTCGGCGAGGTCAAAGCCGTCTCGGATGGTCTTGCGGTTGACGTTAACGGCAATGTCTGGCTTGCGTTGTGGTATGGTTTTGCCGTCCTCCAGCTATCGCCGGAAGGGGAGGTAGTTCGAAGAGTAACTTACCAGTATCTCGTGTCACTTGCCCTGGTTTCGGCAGGCCAGATTTTGATGAGCTATCCATAACCTCGGCAATGTCGAACCCTAAGAAACCAGAAGGTATCGAAGGCTGCGGAGTCCGTCTCAAGGTCGGAATTAGAGGTCAACCGAGGAATAGGTTCCTGATGGGAACGAGCGCGGCTGCATACGACAAAAGGGCTTCCTTCTAAAACAAGGACTGTCTGATCTTTGTCCCGGCTGTGCAGAAACACAAACAAAGACGGAGATGTAAATCGCAATATCGAATCTGATTGGAAATACCTGAGTGATAGCTCCTCGGCCTCACAACCATTACATCAAGGCCAAATCCAACGCAAAAACCTCCTCTCCCGTGAATCAGGGGAGCTTGTAAACCATTACATGCCGCCAAAGGTACGCAGGATAGGTTGTGGGTCACTCCATCAGCGTGACGAATTAGTATCGTTGTCCATGATCTCGAGACTGATGCAAGAAGCGACTCACGCGTGCTTGACGTCGAGTTTGGGTTCAGCAATCTCCGAAAAGCCTTTCTTTGGAGCCCTGATCTTCAACAAGCCAGCCTCCAGCGTCACGCTGACATTCTCAACATCTGATGGGAAGTTGATATATCTTCTGAAAGGTCCGATTCTTCTTTCTCCCACCAGCAGGTGTATTCCGTCTACGTTCGGCTTGTCCTTTTCTTCCTCCACGTCGGCGTTTTCGGGCGATCCATAATCAGGGCGCGAGATACCGCCCGTCAAGAGCAGTGACCGCGAGCCAGTCCAAGCGACTGTCACTTCATCTGGTTTCTTGATCCCCGGAACTTCCACATCAACCAAGTACTCCTTGATAGCGTCGCGGAAATCCACGTCTGGTTGGTTGGGGTGGTCCTCTGGCCTGGGATGTCGGCGGGCCAGATATTGCATCAGGCTCTGATGTTGATGGTGACGTTCATGGAGGTTGTCCACTAGGGGTGGTGGCAGATCATAGTAGTATGCGTATGCCATGGCTTTGGAGGGTGAAGTCGAATTTGGTTATAAGGAGATGGCTGAGAGTGAACGAAGCGTGGTCAAGGGCAGTAGGGCCTAGCGCTTTGAGGTTATCGAGATGAAATTCGAATGATTTATTTTGACGCGGTTTTTGGTCAATGGATCTGGATGTTCAAGAACAAGAACTCCAGCGAGGGAGAGGCTTCTTATATTCACGGCGGCGTTTATGCAAGTCCCCTCCTCGCGCAACCAAGGGACCTGGGAGGGCAGGCTTGAAGCTGCAAATCCAGCGACACTTTAGGTCGCGAAGCACGAGCTCGAAGACTAGCTCATCATCGTATGTGCGGCCGGTATTTCTCGCGGTCGCATGACATGCCAATCAGTAGCTTCGGTTGAGGTCCCCGTGAGCCTGGAAGTGCCGGGGGAGACCGACGAGAGGGTCCATCTCCAACATCGGTAAAGGGTAGACGGCTTCGAGAGCGTCAACGACAGGAGAATCAATGCGGAGGAGCTGCGTCCGGTGATGTGTCATTGGACGAAGATGAGTCAAGGAAGCTCACATCATCAGGAGATGTTGAAGCCAGCGAGGCCGAAAAACGCGCAAGTGGTTTGATGTGGTAATTTTGGTCCACAGAATGTGACACAAAAGACGAGAGTATGTTCCGCGACGTTCTCTGCACCACTCCAGCACTTTCATCATGTCATTACAACACATTTTCAAAATAATTACATTGCCGATTCTAGATACTGTCCAAATCCTCGCTTCATGTCCATCGCTTCCTGGCCATCTTTGCCCATCCAATGTGCATCTTTCCTTCTCTCCCCGTGTTGTTTTCTAGATGGTGTCGAAGTCCATCTCCGTTCGAAACGCTCTAGTCTTGGCCGAGGCATATTTTAACTTGCGAGTCAAATGATCATGATGTGGAACGATCATGGCGTTCCGCGGTGTAAGGCGAGGGCCGGATAGTCTCGTACTCCTGACCTCTTCCTGATGGCATTCAGGCCAAGCGCCAACTCGAGCTCATCAACTTATTTACGCTTGATCACTTTGGATCCTGACAATGTATTTTCTCGATTGAGATTGGGCGCCTTCTCCACGTGTTTCGTTTCCGAGGAAATGGTCTTAGAATGGATCTGCTGGAGCTCTGGGGTTCATTGCCACAATGGACCAGAATTGCTGAAAGGGAACTCCTATAGCTTCTGGCTTGTCTCACTGGTCAATGGCAACTTCCAGAGCCCGGAAAGCCGGTTCTGGGGAGAGACGCATACATGAAGCTCCATGCTGAAGGGGTTTCGACCCCGATCATTTTCTCCGGCCTAAGCACTTACAGTCACAGACATTTCTACCCCCGCACTCAACAGTAGACAACTGATATAACTAGGTGACTGGCTGCATCAGGTAAGGGGCCGGGCATTGGGTATGGCCAGCGTATACTTAATTAGATTTCGCAAGGATGGCGACTCGCAACTGACCCGGAAGCCCGCGTCATATTTCTTCTGGTCGACGGGCGTTCCCTCGGTGATAAACTCCAGAACTTGGGTGATGACTACTATAATGTCGACGTGATGCCATCACATCGAGGGGTATCGGCACCAAAGCTTGACGGACTCGACGTCGATACGGGTGGCCAAAGCAAGAAGCAGCAGCAGCTTAAGCAACGTTGTTCCGCAAGGCATCACGGGTCGGCTCCTCTTGGAGATCTTCCAGGGGTTAGGCTTGAAGGCGTAAAGCTTGAGCGGATCGACGAGACTGTGATCTTCATATGGGGAAATTTTCTGAGCGCCACTGGTCAGATTTTGACTCCATTGCAGACCTCATCAGTATTTCGATGAGGTCGAAGCAGGTCAGCTAAAGCCACTCCCCAGGAACCGACAAGTGTCGTTCGAGCGTTCGATGATATCCTCGACCAAAGTCCAGACGCAAACACTCGAGGCCGCAGACCAAGATGGTATTCGGTTGCCCAAGGTCCGGAAGCTGAGGAGGAGGAATGAAGAGCTGCCGAGGCAGAATAGCGGATATTTGTGCTTCGGGGCCACGTTAACTGGTAATGAGAAGGCTTTGACTGAGTCTCGTAGCTGTCAGTTGCTTTGCACACCCGCGACATCTTCCAGACCTTGGAGGGACTATGATTGGAGCCTTCTGCACCATGAATGAGGGCTCAGCGTCGCCGTCACAGCCTGTGACTGCGCCGTGGCATTGGACTCGACCACCTGCCTTGCGCAGGGGGAGTTGTATGGCAAAGTTCATTTATCGTTCCAAGTTGTTCATTCTTCATCACCACAGTATCAAATCGATATTCATCGGTGGCCCCAAGCTGAAGCCTCTGGAGGCTCGGAGTTGCTCCTTGCAAAGGGCGCTTGGCCCGACTTAGAGAGCGAACGTGTCCAGCCAATTAGCGTGAAGCCTGCTAATTATACCTGCTGCACTGCACGGCACCTCATCTGACAACTCAAGCCACCATATACTCTATTACCTTTCACTCTTCATCGTACTATCTTCAGACTATTGTCGGCAGCGCCATCACCTTTCTTGAGAACAAAGACAACGCGTTCGATCGCCAAATTCCTCCTTTTGCAGACCTGCTCCTTCTTTACCCCCAGCCCTGATCACCCATTTCCCAAAGAAGACTCCTGCATCATCAGTCGCGCCGCCGTGCAAGCAGATTAGCCTCCGAGGTATTGGAAGAGACTCTCAAAGGCCCTCACAAGCCCGATCCTGTTGAGTTGTCGCTTCAAGTACGAACAGCACAGACCGGCGACATTTCCACTGAACACACCGCCCATCCTCGTCGCCTCACCCTCGCCGGACTTGCGTTTCACCTTCATTGCATCTGCAGTGGTCGCAAACAAATAAAGGAACTCAGAAGATCACATATCAGAACTTGAGGGATTCACATCAACACCGATACTTCTGTGCACCAGAGCCGCGGCTGCTGGGAGTCATCTTTGTCGAATGTTTACCCAGTTGATTCAGGAACATACATGCAAGACAAGTCGAGCAGTGACTTAGAATGGCGGCTCCGCTTGAAGGGCTGCCCCAGGGGAACCCTGGAACAACAAGATACACAATAGGCGCTCCGCGCCAACAAAATGAGCCCCTGCAGCAGACTTCCTCAAATGGGACGAGCCAGAACAATGCGTATGGGCAGACTCAGGCAAATGGAAACGCAAATGATACTTCATATGATAGCGACACAAGATATTCTACCGAAAGCCGCACTGGCAGAAAGAGATCACGAGGTGGGCGTGGTGGAAGTGAGAGGAGTAGATCGAGGACGAATGGCAGTTCTGGCAAGTCGCCTGGCGCTGCGCAGCGTACGTGCAAGAAGTGCGGCGAGCCATTGACTGGTCAATTCGTGCGCGCTTTAGGGGGCACATTTCATCTCGATTGTTTCAAGTGCGCCGACTGCGGGCAGATTGTCGCCTCAAAATTCTTTCCTGTCGATGCAGATGACGGATCTGGACAATTCCCACTCTGTGAGACAGACTACTTTCGCCGACTGGACCTCCTCTGTTTTGAATGCGGCGGTGCTCTTCGAGGTTCCTACATTACAGCGCTGGACCGCAAGTACCACATCGAACATTTTACATGCTCTGTGTGTCCAACAGTATTTGGGGCTCAAGACAGCTACTACGAGCATGATGGGAAAGTGTATTGTCATTTCCACTATTCCACACAATTTGCACAGCGATGCAACGGGTGTCAGACAGCAATCCTCAAACAGTTTGTCGAGATCTTCAGAAATGGACAAAATCAGCACTGGCACCCTGAATGCTACATGATCCACAAATTCTGGAACGTGAGGCTTTCTCAGAGCGGAACAGCCCCTGAGAGGAAAGATATTAACGCGCCAGTTACCGAAGATGAGCGCGAACAAGTCAAAGAAGATGAGGAAAAAATGGAGGACAAGGTTTATCGCATATGGAGCACTCTGTCCACCTTTGAAGAATCGTCTGCCTCCTGCATCTCCGACATGCTCTTGCACGTCAGCAACGGTGTCTACGTGGATGGAGTTATTGTCGCTAGGAAATTCATCTGGCACGTTGACATTCTTTTCGGGGCAATCGACACACTTTCGATATTGGTCACTACTTCTGGTCTCAAAGAATTGGCATATGGAAGAGAAGCAAAGCTGCTCTGCAAAAAGGTGGTGGCATTCTTTACGCTGCTCTCGAAAACTCAAGAAACTGGCGTGCGAAAGCTTGGAGTTACGCAGGAGCTTTTATCTTTGGTTACTGGCTTGGCTCACTACCTCAAGCTCCTTATTCGTATCGGCCTTCAAGGGGCGCTGAAATTAGAGAGGGAACGCGGATCGCCTGAAGGGCTACACGCATTCTTGGACGAACTTGCAGACCTTGAAACTATCAAGGAGCAGGAGATGAAGTCGCTCGACCTATCGGAAAGCGTGGCAGGGCTTGCAAGTCAAGAATCAGACTGCTGCTCGGCGTGTATGGAACCTATCGACGATGAATGTGTCATGATCTACGGACGGCGTTGGCATGCAAAGCCGCCGCACCTCGCCTGCAGTGTATGTCAGCGCGACCTAACTACCGACCTCCAGTATGCAGTCTACAGTGAAAAGGAAGATAAAGTGTACTGTGGAGACCATTCCCGACGAGTGCACGATCCAGTGTCAGGATTTTCGCATGTCACCAAGCTCCAACAATATGTTTTCCTGCTCCGAGTCGCATTGGCAAGACTCCTAGAGGTCCTCAAGTCTGGCGGCACACTACCACACACTTCTGACGATCCAAATTTGACTCCATACAATACTATTGAAGGCCACCGAGTATCGCCGACCGGAGAGAAACTGGCTGCTCAGCCAAAGATGGGTTCACGCTCTCGATCCTATGCTGGGGCATCTAGTCATCAAGAGGAATCCTCCCTAGAACAGACAGTTGGCGAAATGAAACGTTTAAGATCCACCCGAAACGAGCGAACTCTTTCTACGACCTTCCGAAAAGCTCGCGAGTCAAGAGTGCTGTATGGACCATCAGGAGCTCGTCCCGGGTCTGAGGGAGGAGATGATCCGGATGGTCGCGGTCGCGGTAACTTCCAGATTGTTGAAGAACGAGACGTCGATGGTAGGATGAGGCCGGAGTTGAGCTTTGGCAACCAAGATGGCTTGACCCTCGATGATATCCCCAGGATTGTAGCTGCTGAACAGGCAAAAGAGCAACGACCCAATGCATTCCGCCACGCGGGCACGAACCTTATTGGACACCGAGGCAATGAGCCGAGACTAGTCAACGGCCATCAAAGAGGAGCATCGGCCGGTAATGACCTCCTAGCAGGTGAGCCTAGCCCGCTGCGGACCAAGGGATACTTCTCGGAATTGTCGGCTCTTGAATACTTCATCGTTCGACACGTTGCGGTTCTTTCCATGCAACCACTCTTAGAAGGAGAATACACCTTGGAAGATCTGCTTGGCCTGATTGAGACCAGGAAACAAACATTCTGGGGCAAGGTCAGTCGTGCCTTGCGCAATGATGGCAAGACCAAGAAGAAGGGCATTTTTGGTATCCCACTAGAGACTCTTGTTGAGCGGGAAGGTGCAGAGTCGACCAACGGAGTTGGTCCAGGAGCCCTGAGAGTTCCTGCAATTGTTGATGATTGTGTCTCTGCGATGAAACAGATGGACATGTCAGTCGAAGGTGTTTTCCGCAAAAATGGCAACATCAAACGGCTGAAGGAAGCTTCCGAAGCAATCGATACAAACCAAACGCCAGATCTCAACCGCGAGAATCCTGTGCAAGTGGCAGCGTTGTTGAAAAAATTCTTGAGAGAAATGCCAGAGCCGTTGTTGACATTCAAACTCCACAAACTTTGGATCACTTCTCAGAAGATTGTTGACGAGGAACGTCGGAGACGAGTCTTACACTTGACATGTTGCCTGATGCCCAAAAGTCATCGCGACACTATGGAGGTGCTCTTCTCTTTCCTCAAATGGGCGGCCTCATTCTCGCAAGTCGACGAAGAGTCTGGGAGTAAGATGGACATTCACAACCTGGCTACTGTCATGGCTCCGAACATCTTGTACGCAAAGGAGAAATCGCCCAATGCTAAACAGCCCCACGTCCCTCAAGTCGATGAAAGTTTCCTGGCTATCGAGGCCGTCAATACATTGATCGAGTACAACGACTATTTTTGCCAGGTATGAAGCCATACTCCTCTAATCTAAGTATATGATTCTGACTCATATATAGGTACCGGAAGATTTACAATCTATTCTGTCTGACAGTAGCCTTCATGCTGGCACTGCAGAGATTACTACCAAGGAGATATTGTCTAGATATGGTCACATTGCCAAGGGCCAAGTACAGAGGCAGACAGTTCAACCAGCAGATGCCCCTATTCGCAGTCCTGTTTCAGCTTCGAATTCCATCGGACCTGTGGCCACACGCGTTGATGTTGATCCTTCTCAAGCGACGGCTTGGCAAAAGCAGAGCTCTGTCCGGCCTGTACAGAACACAAGCACGGCGGCATCTGGCCTTCACAATGACTTCAACTTCAGCGCTCCAAGCAGCCCTTATGTCAGAGATCGAGCTAATAGTTCCGGAAGTGGCGGGAGCCATGGAGGCACGCCTTCTGGAAGACATAGCTTCCAACCCAGACCTGGCCAGATGGGGATCGCAGGCTGATCAGTTTTCCCCAACATTCGAACAGAGATTCAGCATGTTGTGGCGTTTTTTTACCATTGTGGGTTATGGCCGGTCGCTCAGGGTTCTATTTCAAGGGACTAGAGGGATGGTCCTTGTGCAGCTACCACGGAGAAATCCGTGGAAACCATTAAGCTGTGCACTCATTGCGAGAACGAACTTGACGACACTTTTTTTCTTTTGTGCATTGCTCTTAAGAGCTCAAGAGTCATATCTCGCCGCAGAATGCGGCATTCCTAAAACTCTTGCAACATTGATTTTCACTTCTTGCTGGCATCATGGCGGCCACGTTGAGCACCGCATACGGTATGCGGTGCACCTTCAGAAGGCGAACCTGAAATTTCGCAAAACCGTTTTTCAAAACAAAAATCCCTCGCATACTGGACTTGAGCGCCAGTTTCGTTTCTTCAAGCACCAGAATCATGGTTGTTTATTTGTTGGATTTTTACTCTTGGATGAAATCTGAGAGATGTTGGATATCGTGGTCAGATAGCCTCGGAATGATATGGCAGATTGAGCGGCGAAGGAAAAATTGCACACGTTTGCTACTACTCGGCGTCTCATCTTGAGGTACCTGCAACGATCTGTTGAAATATTTACGCAACAACAAACTTTTCTCTCACCCATGAGCCATCGTTATCATACGACCCGTCAAGAATTAATGGCTATGTCTACACCTGACGGCCTCGTGCGTACACGAGTGCTGGCCAGAACAAAACAGAAGTAAGTTTGGTTCCTTGGGGCGAGGCAACTGAACCCATGCCAAAAGTTCAGGGAACGTAGTGGGAGGACTAGATCTAAATTACGCGGACGAGGCACGAGGCTTTCCGTATTCATCAATTCCAATTCTTACTCTACGTTCAATAGTCTTGGTCTCTCACGAGAGTCTTTCGAGATCAAAACACCTTCCTGGATCGCTGGATCAATTCAAAGATAGGCAAAATTTACGGCCGTTGAGTCCATTATGTGCACTGTTTCTACTGATTGCCTAGCATTTTGTCCATGACCCTTCCTAGCCTCGCTACTGCATCATCCGAGATTTGATAATGCACTACCAGTCTGCCCCCGTTAGCCTTGATGCTCTCTGTGGCGGCAAGCTCAGCAAACTTTTCAGCAGAGTAGCCCGCATGGTTGATGTCAAGCCACACCATATTGGTCTCAACTGGCTTTGCGAGTTTTCCACCTTTGCTCTGCCACATTTCTGCAATCTTGCGGGCCTGGACATGGCTCGCTCTTAGCTTCCCGCCCTCGCCGCGCGGGCCTTTGCCGAACGTCTCATCCACGGCAACGCGTGCCGCAGCAGACAAGACGCCTGCTTGCCTCGTGCCTCCGCCGAACATCTTGCGTATGCGCCTCGCGTGGGCGATAAAGGCCTTCGAACCAACGATTATGCTCCCGATTGGAGCCCCGAGGCCCTTTGAGAAGCAGAGGCTCACGCTGTCGAAACAGGTAGCGAAATCGGATAGGCTTCCCGCGTCGGCGGCGACAGCCTCCCAGATGCGGGCGCCGTCGAGGTGCATTTTGATGCCGTGTTGGCGGGCAAACGTAGAGATCTTTCGGACTTCCTCGAGTGGCATTATCATACCGTCGAGCGTGTTCTCCAAAGAGATGACGGTCGTAGGACAGGCGTGCACGTCAGCGGAGAGAATGGCATTCTCCTGAACGTCCTCGAGTGTCAGGTGGTGGTTGTTGGATGGCATGATGGCGATGAGCATTGCGCCTGAGAGGGTCGATATGCCGCCAGCTTCGTAGTTGAAGATGTGGCCCCTCCGGTCACACAGGACCGAGTGTGGTGGGTGTGCCAGGTGTGTGCGGAGGGCCACCTGGTTGCCCATGGTCCCGGACATGACCAGGAGAGCTGCTTCATGGCCCGAGAGAGTAGCCACGTGCGCTTCGAGGTCGTTCGTGGTCGGGTCTTCGACAAAAACGTCGTCCCGGAGCGTGGTGTTGGCGATGGCGTTGAGCATGGACTCCGTGGGCGTCGTCAGTACGTCACTGCGGAAGTCATAGGACGCGGGCCCGGGCTGGTGCCAGGCGTTGAAGGCCTTCTCGGTCGTGGCATTCGCGTTGGATGCTTCGATTGATGGTGGCATTCTGAACCAAGCGGAGTGGTGCAAGTATCTATATGTAGAATGATTAGAGGCGGGAATAAGAATGTGTTGAGGTTGGACAATTCGGAGAGCCGTTCGAGGTATTAGTGCAGCCATGTCTATATCAACCCGTAATTTATTGTCACTTCCCCAAACCTGTATGAGTCCTCCTCTGCCGTCTGTATCCTGAAGGGCGCGAAGGGGTGGAGCACACGGTGCAGCAGGTGTTCGTATTCGTATTCGTATTCGCACAAGGGGCACATTTCGTGATTGACTCTCTGTTGTGCACGGCGCGACTGTGCGCGTCCCGCGTTTCCAAACCACTTTATTCGGTCCCAGAACTTTGGACCCGTGTCAGTCATCAAAGTCTTTAGGCGGCATCTTTCAACCACCTCAAAGTCAGGTTTCTGCCTCGCGTGCAGGCTGCACAATCTCAAGCGAGTCACGACCACAAACACCATGGCACCGTCATCACGACGTGTATCGCAAGCACCAGCACCTAATGTCAATCTCTTCTGCTCTCAGTGCGACACCCAGATTGGGGTGTTTGTGAATGAGTGGATCCGCCTTACCTCTTCTTATGTCCATCCCGCGCACCCAGGCAAGCATTTTGGGACAGAGATTGGAAACAAGACACAGGTCGTGCCAGATGGCGTCTTTCAGAAAGCAGTCCAAGGATGCACTTTGGCTGAGGTCTTTTGCAAGAAATGTTCGGCTGCGCTAGGTCAGTTTTGTAAGGCTGCGCCGACACCACAGCAGCGGCGATTGCAGTATGTATCTGTACCGTGGGTGGGCGGATGTCTTTCCTGCTGACATGGGGTCAGGGACGAGTACTTTTACAAGTTATCAAAGACCTATTTGAAGGACAATGAAACGAATACCATCGTCGATGCCGTCTTTGGCTATTCGGGAGACATTGTCCAACCCAGAAGCGTCAGGCCTACCAATCCCCCTCGATCCGGCGTGCCTCCCCTTCCTCGAGGGTCGCAAACTCCAATGCAACGCTCCCCAGAATCGAGTTTGTCCGCCTTGCAGTACTCGGAGTCGCAAGTGCAGCCCTACCACCCCTCGCCACTCAACAATGCTTCCTACCTGGGCACACCCACTCCGAACGACATGGAAGATCGAACGACTTTAGAGGCCAGGATGAGGGCCCAAGATGAGAAGATCGCAGTCCAAGATCAGAAGATTCAACAGCAGGATACACAGGTTAGACTGATGGCAACGCTTCTGGAGACTCTCCGAGGCACTTTGGACGATCTCAGGACCACAATGCGTGAGATGCAATCGCGCGATGCGATCATGCGTAATGAGAAAGCATATCCCAATGGACCCGACAACATCCCAAATTTACCTTTTCAAGATACGAGGAACGCCTCATCAAATGAGATCGATATCGATCGGCTTCGGGCTGAGAACGCTGCCATCAAGGCGAGGCTTGAAGGGCTCGAGACGGCTAGAGATCGTCCTTGGAAAGACAGCGACATCACCACCGTGCTAGGCAAACGCAAAAGACGCAGCAGTGTAACGAAATCACGAGCCCCAACTAACTCGGACAGCACAGATCGATATGCCGATCCATCTTGCCGACAAGAGTCCTCTTTCATTCAGATGCCAACTCCCCAGTCCAGCAACTCTGTCGAAAACCATTCGATTGATGAATCGAGTGTCTCACGGAGTTCTAGTCCCTTCGAGGGGTTATCTGAAGTGGCTTTACAAAGAGCTTCACAGGCGAGTGAAGAGCTTGGGTCGATCGCGCAACATGCTTGTGCCCCTCCGGCGCAGGATGGGAGATCCCAGGTCGAAAAGCGTTCTGATTTCTCCGACCAATCTATTGTTGACCCTGAGAGTAACGTTCCTCCAAGAAATGTGACTCGCTCTATCCGCGCAGCGGAAACATCAGACGCAGCTGCATCTCCAACGGTCCATGCTTTGCATGAGTCTCACAGGAAACTCTCTGGACTTCAAGATATCGGCCCAAGTGTGCATGTCAACCCGGAAAATTCGGCATCTTGCCCACAAAGCACTGATATTGTTATCGGCGACCTCGAGACATCGACCACACAACAGCCAGGAGCAGACAATGTCGAATTCAGTGATGAAGACAACGAAGGAGCGATCGAATTGCAGAATCCCAAGAGTTCAACTGCGCAAGACACTCAAAATCGGGTTGGATCTGTCATTGATACGAAAGCCAGAGCAAATCAGGATGCACAGATCTCCCAGGCAGATCCCTCCGAGGATGCTTCAGAAGTGCAACAAGAGCAGCAGGTGCAACCTCGGACCACAAGATCGACGGCAAGCAGACAAGTTGCAGACCCTACTCCTGAAGCTGTTACACCAGATGGCTCAGAATTGAAAAAGCGACCAGGTAGTAGAAGGACTTCAAGAAAATCCACTGAAAGATTCGCTGAAGGCCGGAGTGTTGCTCCTGAACCTGCAATACCTAAAGTCGTACGCCGTCGTTTACCCCCCGAGCCATTTGATGTTACGACCCCAACATCTTATGACGAAGAACTGTCTAGAAAGAGGGCCAAATTGCCTAAACCCAAAGTCCAATACACGACTAAACTGTTAAACATTGAGCTTAAAGAACTTGGGCTTGACGAGTGGATCGATAAGGATAGGAAAAATCCGGAATATCGCGCTGCCGTCGCTGAGGCAAGGAAACGCCAGCGAGAACTCAACAAAGCGGCCAAATTGATGAGCTATGGACTTGGTGAGAATGGCGAACCTCTACCTACACCTTCCAATCCGGGATGGCAGCGCTCGTTATCTCTTGATGAAGCCTTCAAAGAAGCCACAGATGCGTTGGTGGTCAGTGGCACCCCTGGGCTGAAGAGTGGAATCAGGGATGAGCAGCCTCTCCAAGTCGGCGTGCCCCATCCTCAAGCCGACCCCTATGGATCGGCTAGGTCCCAAAACCATATGGTCGAGATTTTGCCAGTGGCCAACTATGTAGGCAATCGCCCTACTCCAGCTATACAGCAGAACTCGTCAGTACCTGATGTGGTCGTCCCGAATACCGCGAGAAGGCAGCGAGAAGAGGAGATTCGAAGACGCGACCAAATTGCCAAGGCAGCCATGGAGATGTGACTCTGGGACGCTCAAGGGTCAAGCGTTTTTGTAAGTGGCCGTTCTGACTCGGTGCTGCGAGTGCTGTCACCATGCCAGGGATAGGACGACTGCGAATGGTACGATGTAAGAATCACGAAGCATTGAGCCGACGACTTGCACAATGAGGACTGGAGGATACCTGTACCTGTCTGTAACTTTACTACTCCTTAGTAGAGTTATGTTGGATGTTGTGTCACATTGGTAGTTGAGGACGGAGTGCCGTAGATACTCTGATAGATAAAGATGCAGCCTCATGAGGTGCCCTGATGGGTGCCCTGATGGGCCATGGACTGCTTAACGAGCAAATGTGCATGCATGCCTGATCTTTGCCCTGCCAAATAGGCTCCAAGCCCACTAAATTAGGCCAGGAACGGGGAACCGGGAAGGGGCGAGAGGCACGACGCCATTAGCCAGGATCTTGTACAAGCTTGTAAATCCTCGCAGAAGCGGTTGGCGGGGGAATTTGTTCGAGGTCGCAGTTTCAATCTCAACTTTCTTCGTCCATTTTGCTGTCGAGTTGTTCTCGTTGTTCCCTGGTGCTGTTCTATGCTGCCTCTCTAACAGCGTTTTTCCCGTTTCCTCGTTCAGAAAATCTCCCCGGAGCCCAGAATCTTCCGGCGCAGTTGGATTTGGCGTAAGGGTCTCTCTCTGGTTTCTGTAAGTCGTCCGCTCTGTTGAGTCTCGAGCATGCCTGCTGACTTCTGGAAAGCAAAATACCTCCTTCCGGCCTTCTGGTAGGCCTCTGAAAGCGGTAAGCAGCCCAATTCACCTGGTCACATCGGCTAGGCCATTGTTTCCCTGGGAGTGTCTCAGCCACTGAGGGTGCACAATTGTTTATTGGGACCAAGTGCTGTACTGCACGGCGTATGAAAGAAAGACAGTAACAGATTGGTGTTCCCTCTCTGCGGAGATCATATCGGCATGAAAGATATCTGTAGGAAAGACCGTTCACAGTACAAAGCATGGGAAAATACACACCAGTCATAAACTTTCCCGAGATCGTGAGGCTGATTGATACAGCCTCAGAACAGTGTGATTTCCCTGCCCTTACAGAGGCGGACATAATACCAAGGTATGTGGAAGGAAGTTACTCTCTATGATCATATGATATGACATCGTTGCCTGAAATTCGGCCTGCTGGCGCGACGCGGGCGCAAGTCACCCATTCATGGCCTGGATGTCTCTTGTGAAGGTGTCCTCGACACACTTCCACACAAATCCTTCAATGTCATGTCTCCAAGATGGACGTTGCTAATGGTGGTGACGAAGAGGCTGAGCCTGGATACAACGATGGCTCCCTCCCAACGAGTCCCTCGAGTAAAACCGATGTGAGTCCAATCGAGTACTACGAAAACCGGCCCGAAGACCTGGCCGCATTCGTGCAGGTTCGTTCTGAGAGTGCAAGAGTCGAGGTACCCTACTGAAACTTACTGGTAGAGAGGGTCTACACCTGTTCGCCTACCAGTGAATGAATCTTACGAAACAATCGACACCGTAATTATGGGTTCCTCACAGCCTACTCAGCTCACGCAGCCCGTCGAAGACCCCAGAAGACTTGGGAGAAATCTGTCCATCGTATCCGAGGGCGACGCAGTTGACGTGATTTGTATCCTATATCCCACTTCGTCTGCCGCAATCGATGCGGTCAAGGCCAACCTCATACATGGAAGGCAGCACATACTGCAGAACGAGGGCCTAGAGGAATATTCGGGAGACGACATCATGTTCTCGTCAGTTTACAATGCAACGCACGACATAGCTTTACGCATATCCTCCCAAGTGAAACATCCACGAGATGGCTTTCGATTTGGTCGTTCCAGTGCTGCGAGCGATATCCTCTTGACGCCGAACGAAAACGACAGCCTTGTGAGCAAGATCCATTTCAAGATCTTTGTGAACAGTCAAGGGAGTCTCATGTTGCAGGATCTGTCGACAAATGGCACTATTGTGGATGATGTCCACATCAAGATGAAGGATCGACATGGCAAGATCCCCGCTCGTCCAGCCACGATAGCACTCGGAAATGGTTCCATCATCTCCTTATTCAGTGGACGAGACAAGGAAGAGATCAAATTCATGGTGAGGATACCATCACGAGGCGAAAAGGAAGATGCCTATGAGGAGAACCTTCGGACATATCTTTCCGCCAGGGGAGAGGTTGCACAGTTTGCTTCTATGCGTGAAAGCTCCTATGGCAATCACTGGAATGGAGGCAGCTTGTACAATTTCACTGGTCTGTTGGGCAAAGGAGCGTTTGCGACTGTCTATCGAGTCCAGACCAAAAAGGAGGGTGATGTCTACGCGGCAAAGGAACTGGACAAGCATCGTTTCATCAAGAATGGAGTTCTCGATATCAAGTTTGATAGCGAACTCAACATCATGAAACACCTTCAGCATCCCAACATTGTTAATTATGTTGACTGCCACACGTACTCTCACTGGATTTATATCTTGATGGAATATGTACCATTCGGCGAGCTTTCTCAAGAACTCAGGAGGACAGGGAGGATTTCGGAACGCGATGGGCAACAAATTACCAGACAGATTGTACATGCCCTGGACTACCTGCACCGAAGAAACATCACCCATCGAGATATCAAACCGGACAATATCCTGATCGCCTCTCGATCCCCCTTGATTGTCAAACTGTCAGATTTTGGGTTGTCCAAATGCGTCACAGATCAAGAAACTTTCCTGAAGACCTTTTGCGGCACCCTTCTCTATTGTGCTCCAGAAGTGTATCCAGACTATGCGAGCTACAAACATGGATCGGCGCAGAAGCGGCGTCGTCTAGGCGAGCCTGTTATCAGGCCTCCTCCATCTCCTTACGATCAATCAGTCGACATGTGGTCTTTTGGCGCAGTCATTTTCCACATGTTGTGTGGGAAGCCGCCTATCAATGGGAGAGGCGACGATCGCGGCGCCCAGATGCTTAACAACATTATGACAAAAGATGTCGACTTCGAACCTCTCAAGCAAGCCGGTGTTTCGGATGCAGCGGTTGATTTCATCGGAAAGTTGCTTAATAGAAACCCATCTCTACGACCAAAAGAAGCCGAATGCTTGCGACACCTGTGGCTACGCAACGTCCCGGACCTATTGGAATACAGTGTTCTCGAGCCACCAGATGCTCTCGATCGAAAACTCCATGTCGTTGACGAGGTGGATGAAGATGTACTCGATGATGAACTCATCCAGGATCTCCATGCGTTGACTCAGCCGCCATCATCAGCCCAGAGTCCCGACCGGGCACCCAAACGAGCGAAAACCTTCGCTGATCCAGTCATCTCACCTGATAACATTACCTATCCTTCGCTGCCGGACGTTGGAGATAGCTTCCTGCCTCCTACGCCCATGGCACATCCTGCCCAACGCTTGTTTGGGGAGATCTCTCAATCGGTGTTGCGCAGTTCGGGATTGTTTGGCACCGAGCTTCCACCCACAACGACGGCTGATGTCCACGACATTCAAAACCGAGTCGAACAAATCAGCGTAAATGATTTCGGCCGCCTAGGATCACTCGGCGGTGCAGACAATGCCGTGATTGCAGGCAATACCACAGAAGCAGCGGCAGCAACCGGTAAACACCATCCTCGAGCCGGATCTGCTGCAAGTTTGATGGGTGCTGAACATCAGATTGGTCAACTCAACATGGCCTCCCCTGAGGCGGACGTATCAGATGCTGCATCACCCGAGACCAACAATCCAGTGACACCACGCACTCGTGAATTATCACCATCCAGTAGTGTGAGTCGACACTTGGATGATGGCTTAGGTCAAACCCTAACCGGTACTGAAGAACCAATATTCACGCGTCGCTTGGATCTTGGTCTGGTTGCAGACCCTGCAACTTTCGAAGCTGAATTGGAGGCACGCAATGCATCAAGAGTTGGCAAACTTCGAGCCAAGGCGGACACATTCCATGGAGCCATCACCACGACACCGGGTTCGCCCTCCGTCACTGCTACAACCATTGACGCCAAAACTGATTACTTTGGTCATCCTGCTTCCGCAGAAGATGGTGTCCTCCGCTCATTCTCAAACACTGCCAAGATGAACAACGCAAGGGCTCAGAAGTCCGGTTTCATCGAACCCCCGAAGCGATTCGGTAAGTTGACGAGCATCCCAGGCTCTTTTGCGAAGGTCAATTTCAACCTTGAGGCAAGGTTCACCTCCTGGGGCCGAGGTGTCGATTGCACAATTAAATACCCAGATTCAAAGGACACACGCATTCCTAAATATGCTTTGAAGATCACATTCTGGGCGCCAGGGATGGAAAAACATGTCGAGCAGGGTGGTGACTGGACCAAGATGCCAGCCGTTCGAACCGTCCTGGCCACTTCTGCAAGTGGCTGCATTTACGTCAACGGCGTCGAATTGCGCAAAGAATCGTCGGATGGCGATGCAGCATTGTTTGGGAAAATCTACACAGGCGACATCATCACCATATACGATGGTGCCAATGGTGATTTTTTGAAGTTACGTGTCGAAGTCACATTCGGTGATAGCGCTCGCAATCGACCAGAGAACGAGGCAGGCTTCATGGTGCAGGAAGAACGCCATCATCACCAACGGATGAAGGAGCGTGAAAGTATGAGAATGAGCAAGGCATGACTATGATGACTATATGTATATTAACAAGCAACCACTCACAAGCTGTGAAGTATCAACGTGGCTGATTTCGAGTGTACATGTCGAGGAGCTTTGGAAAGATGACAGGCCGGCGTCAAGGATTGTCGTTGATTGTGGCGTTGGAGATGCTGCCCATCTCACATCGATTATGTAGACAACCAATGGTCGACTTCATCTTTCACAGACAACGTTCTTTCAGGCTCTGGAGGAGTGGTGGCTCGCTGGTATCCTTGATGTGCTGTGCTGTGATTGGCATGACTGATGGCTCCGTTGATCAGAAAATTCGTCAGATATTCCGTGGTACTTGTGCAACGATTCGAGGAATCAAGCAGCAACTGGGTGATACACGGATTCGCAGTAGGGGGGTTCCTGCAGGTCAGGGATGACGGTTGTTCAGGTGCAGAGGACACGACACAATTAATCTCATGGTCACTTCTCATCATCATACTCTGTACTGTCTAGTCCATTCATACATTAAAGTACCATGTGGTGGATGAGACTCCACGCTCCGTTCAACGTTACAACAGTGCAATATCAGTACATTCTATGGAGCACTCGTAGTCTGTAGTCTTGCGCGGACTGTATGTATCTTTTAATGAGTATACTCCGATCAACGCTTGCGCCCTGGTCCCTCAAGGGTCCGACGCCACCGGGCCTCCAACTAAAGGACAAGCAACACTTAGTCGAAAGATGGACAGGGATCTTGACGCGTTAGCCCGATATCAGGATAATGGTGGAGTCTAGACGATTATTTTCAGGTGGATGTCGTGGCAGCTGAAACAATTGAGGATTATTAGGAGAGCCTGGTGATGGTTTGTACGGACGACTACGGAAAATGGACTGTTTCAATCTGTACCAGCAGGGCAAGGGTTGAGATCGCATGCATGTGGCTGTGTTTGCATCTACAGTATCATTTCACGTCTTGCATGTGAGTGAGAAAGTACCTGTGCTCTCTCTGTGTACGAGTAGGACGCTGCGGGAGATTCCTCCATGTCCAGCTCCCTCAGAAGTCTGTCGCCGCACAAACTCATTAGTGGGCTATGCATAACTTGGAGGGACTGAGATGTCTCTTAAGACAGAGAAGAGAGTCAGCCAGCGAATGAATAATGTTCTGTAAGAAGTGGTCGTTCGTACTCTGTAGCAATAAGCGGTAGGTTGCAGTACACAATATGCCGCTTGGCGATATGAATCCCGCTCCCATCAGCATCTGCCCATCAAGTTTACCTTTTTGTGTCAGGGTTCCTGGCTGCACCGCTGCATTGTACGGGAATGAGAAATGAAATACACCATGGCCACCTTGTCACCTTTCTCCAAACCCTCATCCTAATGTCTCTGCATTTCGACAAACCCTCGCATATCCGGATTTCCTGTCCTTTACGCCACATGCCAGTAAACCACCCTGCGTGTTAAGCTCTCACTCCTTCTACCCTTGACGTCGTCTTGCCAGTTGGTTCGTCGCGAGCAGAACAAAAGGAGGAATAACAATATCTGCGGCGTTATCTCCTTGGGCGATTGGCGCAGGGACACAACCTCGTCGTCGTCAACATCGGGATCCTCTCGCTTCCGCAACAACCCTCACCCTCTTACCTGCCGATCACATGTCCTGCGATATTCGAGTCCACATCCTCATCCTGTCCGCTTAGATCCTCTTCTATCGCACCAATGTCCTCGACGCGGACTCCCTCCCCGCTGCGAACTGGGAGATGGTCAGCACATGGCTCCGCCGACCAAGCGTCCACCCTGAACGGTCTGGGTCTGGGTCTTGATCTTTCTGCGCAAACAAATGGCTACAGTGGTAACGACGACCAGTGGGCAGCAGCGAAAGCGAAGAGTGCACAAGTGAGAGGCTTCCCAACCATCCAGACAAAAAACGAGGGCTTCTTCCAACGCTCACGACGAAAATTAACCTCCACCCTACCCGTCTTCAACAGTCCATATCCCCCCTTGTCTGCCAACTGGAAAGATCCAGAGAAACTGGGCCGCAGTCGGTGGTCACCCGGGCGTGAAAGCGTTTTCTCCATGGTCAAGACCCTCCTGGGAAACCTACTGCGGAAATGCAAGTTCCTGGTCATTATATTGGCACTTGTGACCATCTCAACTTTGATAATGTCGCAGACGAGTGAGTCCCTCTGTCCGCGGTCTAGGCCGGCTGGCTTTTCCCATATTAACCACTTCTTCTCTCCCTCTCTGCAGATTTACTGTCCAGCATCCGAAGCAATGCCCATCTCGGCGGAGGCAGCAAATTCGTCATCGTCCTAGGTGCCAATGAAGGAGGTGGCGTCATGTCCTGGAAAGGTCCAAGAGAATGGGCAATAGAGCGAGACAGTGTCAAGAACAAGAAACGCTATGCTGAACGATGGGGTTATCAACTCGAGATCACCGATATGAGCACGAAGAAACGCTACGCTCACGAGTGGAGGGAAAGTTGGGAAAAGGTCGATCTCTTGCGGAATGCAATGGCGAGGTATCCCAAGGCCGAGTGGTACGTCTGATACTTCTACGAAAGGGATACAACTGAACATAGTTGTTTCTTTTCGGAGCGTGCGTGTGACTGTATGCTAACATGCCGTCGCCCAGGTTCTGGTGGCTTGATCTCAACACCTTCATCATGGAACCATCCAGGTCTCTACAGTCTCACATCTTTCGTAACCTCCAGGACAACGTGTACCGCGACATCAATGTCTACAATCCTCTCAACATCACACATCCTCCAGTAACGAAATTCCTCGACCCGATCTCCCGCTCACCTACGGGCGACAACCTCAGTTCATCCATCGACATCATCATACCTCAGGATTGCAGTGGATTCAACTTGGGGTCTTTTTTCATCAGAAGATCTCCCTTTACCGACCGCCTGCTCGACATGTGGTGGGATCCCGTTCTCTACGAGCAGAAACATATGGAGTGGGACCACAAGGAACAAGATGCCCTCGAGCACCTGTACGCCTCGCAACCGTACCTGAGGACGCACTTTGCATTCATCCAGCAACGCAAGATCAATTCGTTTCCTCCTGGGGCCTGCGCGGTCGAAACAAAAGAGGAACCCTCCGACGCTGATAAGGACAAGGCGCAGAAATCCACCACCGACCCGCGTTTCCACTACAGCGAGACAGAGCGAGATTTCATGGTCAATATGGCTGGGTGCGAATGGGGTAGGGACTGCTGGGCCGAGATGTACAGCTACAGAGAGCTGAGCAACAAGCTAAACCGATCAGCGTGGGAGAAATTCAAAGATTCCGCGTCCGGGATATGGACGAGCGTCAAAGGTATGATAGGCCAGAAGAAGGTCGATCAGGATAACAAAGGCGAGGATGAAAAGAAGTCGTGAAGCTTTAAAATACTGAAGTTGAAGGAGGCTTGTTCTGTGTCATGATTCGTCGATCGAGGGAGGAATGACAAGCAAGGGTCATTTTCGCCCACCCTCTCACACACACTCTCTCTCTCTCGCTCGCCAACACAAACACACAACAAGTCTTACGTTTGGTGGTGCGATACGGAAACACAAACACAAAAAAACCCCGTGTATTGAATAGCATGAAATCCTAACTAATTGCATGAGGAAAAGGGCGGCTGTCTCATCGGTACCAACAGAACCAAGGAAGGGAGAAAAGAAACAAAGAAATAGAGACGTCTCGTTCCAAGTTGGGGGAGAGAGAGAGTCTGGGTCAACCGGGTTGCCGAGGATGGGATGGAATGGGTGGAATGGGACGGGATTAGAAGTGGTGGAGTTTTGTCGAAAAAAAAACAATTGGACGCTTTATCCTGCTAGATTTATTGTATTTTATCCCATTTCGTTTGAAGACAGCATGGCTTATTAGCACAGCACAGCATAGCATAGCACGAGGTGTCGTCGTTGGTACCGTCAAGTCAAGAAGAAGGAGGATGAGGAGGAAGAGGAAGAGGAAGAGGAAGAAAAAGAAGAACTAGAAGAAAGAATCAGTAACTCACATTGACGATCTCGAGGGGTGTTGCCGTTGTCCTTTTGTTTTTCTTTTGCGCTTCTGATCGGTTTTTCCTCTTCTGAATCCGTCAGTCATCACGGCCGAGCTCGCTCTCCGGTTCTTTTACGAGTGGTGGTGGTGGTAGGGGCTCGAAATATGTAGGTAGGTTTGAGACCGAGACAGTCAAGAGGGGAAAAAACAATGGAAAGCAGTCAACCACGTAGGTACACTTGACGCACTGGAGGATTCGAGACCGACATGGGCAGGACGGGGGAGAAAACAATGCATCAGTTGAAGTACAGCTGCGTATTTGAGACCGACACAACCAAGAATAATGTTTATCGGGTTCGAAAAGGTCCCAGTCCGGTCCAGTCCAGGTCCGGTTGTTTGAAAACACCACCAACAACGACAACACCCGTCGGATCAGTTCAGATCATGTTATCATTTCGCCATTTCCTATGTGCCCACCGCGTGCCCGTTTGCTGGCGCTCCACCAAATAAAATCAAACAACATTGACGTCGAAAATGGCATTCCTCCATCCTCCGCCGGTCTCTTCATTTTCCTCCACGGTCTCTTCCGCCTTCACGGCTTCTTCCTGCCACATCTTGACGAGGCTGCCAGGAGTGTAGACATCCTTGAAAACTCCACGGGTGGGCGCATCGACGCCCACTCGGGTGTACACATCTGGATCCTCCGCCGGTGTGAGACGCGCCGCGACGGCCTTGAGGAAAGTCACGACGTCTTGAGGATCGGCGATGCGCGTGGCCCGGAGCCGTTCACGGGCAAACACCAGCTCGCGGTTCGTGGCCCTCAGGCCCTCGACGATCTTCTCGGCTATGGTCTTCTCCAACGACCGACGGACCAGGTGCTTCAGCAGTGGCTTGAACAACCACCCCAGCCAGGACAGTTTGGATTTGCGAAGCTCGTAGTCGAGTTTGTGGATGTGGACACGGACACCCCGCAGAGCCAGGATTTGTTCCAGACGCTCTCGACCGATTTCGAGGTCCAATGAGATGTCGATGCCTCTTTCGTCGAGATAGAAGCTTGCGATGCCTTCGTCGGCGAAACGAACGAGTCCTGCGTGGCCACGGATCCAGAAGCCGAGATCCTGTGCTGCAACGCTGAGACCGTTGACGGTTATGGTCACCAGGGATGTGGTGGATGAGACGGTCTTTTTGGAATGTGTCTTGCGAATCTCGAGATCGTTCTTGGTCGAGACGAGCAGCCTGTAAGGGAGGAACGAGGTGGAATTGACGTTGCGACCTGGTTCCAAGACAAGGTTTTCGAGGAGAAGGTCCATTTCCGGCACCGAGACTTCGATGCGAGGTATGGGTATGTGTTGGACGCTGCGGATCAGCAACGGGAGGAAGATATGGATCGAATCGGTGATTAGGTCAGGGTTCACGACGCGGTTCGGTGGAGACAGAGCGCTGTAGATGCGGCGCGTAGCTAGAAGTAGTCCGTTGACATCCTTGTCCTCCATGACCGAATTGATGGTGACCTGTGCCTGTCGTAGAAACTGGTCAAAGTCGGTGCGGAACTCAGATTCGTTGCCCAGTCTCGCAGATTTATCCTTGAGCTCGTCCAACTTCTTATCGGCATTGTCGAAAAACTCGGGATCGGTGAACATTCGCTGCACGGTGTTTCCGACGTCGACCATGAAGTTTTCAAATTGAGGATCGGATCTGGCGTGACTCAGGACTTTGTTCCAGGCTTGTTCCAGTCGTTCCCATTGTTCACGATCGCCAAAACTGCTCATCAGTTCCCAAAAGTTGCGTATAGCGCGGTCTAATGCCGGATTGGTGTGGACATCTTCCTGCGCAGTGGAGATGGTCGCATCCGCGACACGGGAATATGCAATGGCATATCTCTGGATCAGCTTGGAAATAGTCGACACGGAGTCGTGATAATCAGTTCTACTCCTCAGATTGAGAATGACTTGTTTGAGACGATATAGCAAAGTGTCGCCCTGGTCACTGCCGATATGCTCTTTGGCGCTCTCCACAGTATCTGTCCCAACTTTTTTCAACTGCGAAGCAATCTCATCTGTTGCTTTTTGTGCCGCCGCCTCCTCCACGTCCTCCCTGGAGGGCTGAATGCTTTCGTCGGCGCCTGGCTTGGAGATTGCCTGTTCTTCCTCGGCAGACAGCTCGAGTTGCTTGCCAGTCTTCTCGGCAGCCTCTGACAAGGAAAAGGCAGTGTCCGCCAGCACTTCTCTTCCTATAGTGGCAACATCATTCACGAACAGTCTGAAATCAGAGTTGGTGAGGAGGAGGCTGCCGACAGTCCGGAAGCTCTGGTATGCTGCTTGGGCATCGGCCCTGGCTTTGACTTTGGAGGCGGAATGCGAGATATCGTTGACGTCAAGGGAGATTCGAGATTTCGTCAGGTACCAGATGAAGTCTTGGATCTGGTCTTCGCTGTTTTTGTGCTGTAGAAGCTGGATGAATAGCTTTAGCCATGTTCGACAATTTCGAATTAGAGCACGTCCAGAATCGCTGAGCTCACGGTTGTTTGGATTGAGGAGGTCGGATGCGAGGAGGGTTCGGAGGTTGACTATGGTCTGTTCATTCGATGGCATATAGCCCTTGGATAGAGCCCTTAGCATCTGATAAGTATGGATCTTCTGATGAAGAGCCCGCTCACGAGCAGTGTCATCCTCGTAGCGAGGTAACAATGGGGTCGTGTCGTCTGCCTTGTTTTTACGGCCAAAGCCGCAGCAGGACGCGAGGAAAGACATGGTGCCGATGCCTCAGCCTGGAGGACCTGCAAAATCAACGACTCGAACAAACGAACAAACAGCTCCTTCAAGAAGGGTGTGAAGAGGAGGAAATCATGTCATTGAATCCCTTAGCTACGCAATGGTGACAGAACAGAACTGGCTTGGGGCAACAAACTGCGGAGGCTCGTTGCCATTTCAAACGTCATTACTCTCAGGCTTCAGCCACTGAGCCAAGGCCGGAGCCAAAGCTGGACACCGGCCCTGATCAGTCCTGACCAAGTCCTGACCAGCTGGCGTGAGAGCACAAAGCCGTGATGGTCACTTAGATAGTTGTATCGCGGAGGCAACAAGAACGAAGTATATCAACAAGGGGCTTTCCTTGTAACTTATAGGACTCGGACTACCAAAATGCGCCACGGCTCCCAACCTCAGCCTTGTGCTGTGCGACTGTGACCAATGCTGACGAGGCTCTCCGCTCCCGACGCTGGTAGTGCCCGTACGAGTCCTTGTGGCGTTTCTTTCAGCATTCAAGTGGGCTTTAGCTTTTCCATTCCTCGACTTAAGGTCTTGACGAAGAACCCGACGGAGGCTTGGGCCGGAGGATTCTCGCTGAAACTCGGCACTGTACACTACAGTGAGGTTGGATGATTGCATTGACTCACAGACTGGCAGTCTTCTTACGACTCTCAACAATTTTTCTAACTCATGCACAGGACCTTCCCCTATGCACCTCCTCCGCACTTTTCGCTCTCACCAAATCCCAAGTCAACAACGTCTCCTGCATAAGCGCATGCACCACGAAGACACAGGATTCCTACTACCTCGTACTTTTGAGTCCGGGGGAGCAGTTTGGTGGCGGACGGTGGGTCACGCGAATGCTTTCACGATGAGAATCCGGAGGCGATCTTGACTGCTGAGGAGAATGGCATCGCACCCTGCCTGAGGTTTCCACTACGATCGCCTCGGCGGAAATTGGCCAGCATGAGACTGTGTATCATCGTGATCACAGCGGAGTCCGGACCATCCCTACAAGTATTCTGCAGACAATTCCCAGCAGCTGTTTGGGGAAAGATCCATTTGTTTGGAGTACAGATATCATATATGGACACAGCTTAGGGAGCGACGCGGACATGGTGCCTCTACAGGTATCCGTACGAGCAGGGGGCATACTGGCCGTTCGAAACATGGTCGGTCTGCTTCGCGCGTTGCTGAGTCTTTGTCTCATGTGCACTCACGTCGATCACCCACCGGTCGGTGTCCGAGCACGACAGGAGGATGCCAATTGAGGCGAGCCGCATCAGCACGTCGGACTGTAAGACCGAGTTTGGTGGCTAAAAATGGCGATGCTTGGACTCCCAGCCCAGGGATCCTGTAAGCGTGCATTGTGTTTCCGGGCAAGGAACCGCCCCTATAGGCTACAGTCCATGCCTAAGCTAGCACAACAAGAGCGAGAATTAGAACCCTGCATAGCCGTCCGCCCACCGGTCCATCCATCGCCATGTTCTCAGCCTCCTTTTTGCGGAGAAATCTCAAATCTGGCATGATGCTTGGCCTTGTTTAGTTGAGCTTAGGACACGTTGTTAGCGACTCTGCCCTCTGTCGGATTGGCCGTCACGCCCTGTGATTCATCGTCGCACTTGAAAAAAAAAAGTTGAGATGCTCTCACCTCACAAGCTTCCGGACTCGAACTCTGACACCCTTATCATGTTCGACGGACCACGGATCTCACGCCGTTCGCTTTCCGTTTCTCCTGCGGCCCCTGCCAGAACATCCTGTCAAGCGATTCCCTTTCGTTTCATTGGTGACACTTTCTCTGTGTGACTCTTAAACCGTCGTCGCATGTCTCCTACTGTCCGTACTCCGTATTTCTACAGCTTTTCCCTCACCCGGTTTCACCCATAGTCTGACCCATAATCTTCTATACAAACCTTTTGGCTTGGTCCTCCGGCATATTAAATTGTGCGCTCGCCTGAGGCTACATCCCCCACCCCACTGTTATACCCGCGGCATCAAACTCCAGACCACTGGCCTCGGATCGTGCACTATTGTTTCCTTGTCGGCGGACCGCATAAAGACCGCGCGGCTGCCCGATGGTCCATATGCTCTACAAACTCTCCAGACACTCCAAGTCGAGGGCCAACCTCAACACCCTCATCCAGTCGGCCAACATGACTACCACCTCCACGACGCAGGCTCCTATTGCCCAGAGCGTAGGCAGTCTCGCTGCGGCCACGTCCTCGACGAAGGCTCATCCTCCTGCACACCACAAGCCCAAACACAACCTTCCCGCCGCCCACGTCCCCAACAGAGCCGCCCATTTCGACACGTCCCTCTCCATCCCAGTCCGCAAATATCTCCAAACCTATGGTCTAACTCCTCCTCGCGCCGAGAGCTATGAGACGCAAAAGAAGAGATGTCTGGCTCAACTGGCATCGAAAACCACAGATATCGAAAGGTTTCTGTACTTGAGCACTCTGAGATACAACAACGTCCACCTGTTTTACAGACTGCTTACGGACCATTTCACCGAGTTGACCCCCTTGGTCTACACTCCTGTTGTCGGGGAGGCCTGTCAGAGATGGTCAGAGATCTACCAACAGCCAGAAGGCATGTACCTCAGCTTCGAAGACAAGGGACATATTTCCGCCATTATCCAAAACTGGCCCCAAAAGAACGTGGAGATCACCGTTGTCACGGACGGATCCAGGATCCTTGGTCTGGGTGACCTTGGAGTCGGTGGCATGGGTATTCCCATTGGCAAGTTGGCTCTGTATACTGGCTGTGCCGGTATCAGACCCGAGGGAACCCTACCCTTGACCATTGACCTGGGAACCAGCAACAAGGCTCTTCAAGAAGACCCGCTCTACATGGGTAGCCGCAGAGACAAAGTCACACAACAAGAGGAAATCGAATTCCTAGACGAACTGATGGTGGCGTTGAAAGAACGTTGGCCTGACATTGTGATACAGTTCGAGGATTGGAAGAATCCCTTCCCATCGCTCGAACGCTATCGAGAAGACTACGCCATGTTCAATGACGACATCCAAGGGACCGGTGCTGTCATCATGGGCGGCGTAATTGGGGCGGTGAAGCAGTCAGGCGTTGCTGCCAAGGATCACAGAGCCGTCTTCCTGGGATCTGGCTCTGCTGGCGTGGGTGTTGCCAAGCAGATTGTTGACTACTTCGTCCATGAAGGCATGACTGAAGACGAGGCCAAGTCGTGCTTCTGGCTCGTCGACAGTAAAGGTCTCGTCACGCAAGATCGAGGTGACAAGCTTGCCGAACACAAGATTTACTTCTCGAGAACAGACAACAATGGGCAGCAGTTCAAGAACCTGGACGAGGTCATCGAGTATGTCAAGCCCACCATCATCATGGGTCTCAGCACTATCGGAGGCGCCTTCACTCCTGAGATTTTACAAAAGATGGCCAAGTGGAATGAAAGACCTATCATCTTCCCACTTTCCAATCCGTCATCCAAGTCCGAGTGCACGTTCGAGGAAGCCATTGTCAACACCGAAGGTCGTGCTCTGTTTGCATCAGGCTCGCCCTTCCAGCCGTTCACGTACAACGGTCAGACGTACCATCCCGGTCAGGGAAACAACATGTACGTTTTCCCGGGCATTGGTCTGGGTACGATTCTCTCCAAGTCGGTCCAAGTGACTTCGCGCATGATCTATGCTTCTGGTGAAGCATTACCAACTATGATCACGGAGGAAGAGAAGCAACTTGCCCTCTTGTATCCTTCCGTCACCCGTATTCGTGATGTCAGTGCCCGCGTAGCACTATATGTCATTCGCGCCGCGCAGAAGGACAATGTCGACCGTGTACACCATTTGCGAGACATGGATGATCAAACTTTGGAAGCCTGGATCAAGGATAAGATGTATGATCCCCACAAGGAGACGCAAGGTCTGGAGGATGAGGTGCGCGAGCTTGTTGAAGACTTCTCTGCAGTTCCACGGCTGTAGATTTTTGCGATGCAGATGTGTTAGCTTTATGGGATACCCTTTCTATTTAGTAGCTGGCATTTTTACGGGGGGGCCTAATGGTATGGCTATACAGAAATATCATTATTGTTCGACGACCCAAGCGCAGAGTCCCGAATTGATCGTAGTCAAGGAGTGCGTGTCGCCGAGACGCGTTTATGAGTACTGTCCATCTAGTGCTCTATTACGAGTATTTGTGACCTGTCAGCGTTGCCTGGGCAACGCGCGATAAGGGGGAACTAGGGCGATGGCGGCACTGAGTCGCTCACTCACCTGCGCTCGCCAAAAAGTCCAGTTTGTCGACAGTACTCCGAACTCATAAACGCACTCGTTCAGGTGGACACGCGCACACTCTCTTGGAATACTGCTTTTCCATCACCGCGACTTACAACAAGAGCGCTGACTGACTATTGACCACGACAAGATCTTGAACGAAGTTTTTAGGTAAGTCATGAGCCGTGGCCGTAGAAACGCCGCACCCTCCTCCCATCACAGTTCCAATAAGTGTGACACTTTGACCAACAACTTGGAATGCTCTATAGGAATCGCCAACCTGACATCCGAATAAACCATCAAACAGCCGCATCTCTCAAACCGAGCCATTGTCCCCGATGGCCTCATTACTCACTACAATGTACGAGTTTCTCAAATCTTCTCCCTCATACCCTCCGCAGCCCCTCAACCCGCACTTGACATTCAAACAATCCTCCTCTTGTATCACGGTCAACACCTTCACTTGCTATGACAGCGAGCCCAACTCAGTGTGCTCGTCGCCCTCGACCCCTTCCCGCGCAGCAAAACTCCTGCGTCAAGGGTTGACATCCTCTCCGGCATCGCATATTGACTCTCCATCTAGCAACGCCCGCACCCGGGGACAGTTCAAGCCGCAGCGGACCAACAAAGGCACGACGAGCTACCAATTACGACAGTTTGCCGAGGCGACTTTAGGAAGCGGGAGTCTGCGGAAGGCGGTCAAACTACCAGAGGGCGAAGATCTGAACGAATGGCTTGCGGTCAATGGTACATCCATAATTGTCCCAAGCACTCTGTTGTGTAAATACGGGGAGCTAATCGGATTGAACAGTGGTCGACTTCTACAATCAGATCAACCTGCTCTACGGGTCGATTACAGAGTTCTGCTCGCCGCAGTCCTGTCCCGAGATGAAAGCTACAGATGAGTACGTTCCGCCTGTCTTTGACGCTGGCCTCTCGACATATTCCTCACATGGTTTCTATCACCTTCCCCTCCTCACCGTTGATGAGAAATGAAGAAGATCAAGGACGCATCAAGAGACTGACTCTTTGTCTAGATTCGAATACCTCTGGCAAGACGCCGCAACAGGCTACCCCAAACCCACAAAGATGGCCGCCCCAGAATACATCGAACACCTGATGACGTGGGTACAATCCAACGTCGACAACGAATCGACCTTCCCATCTCGTATTGGTGTCCCTTTCCCGAAGCATTTCCCGAGCACCGTACGACAACTGTTCAAACGTCTTTACCGGGTCTATGCACACATTTACTGTCACCACTATCAGGTCATTGTACACTTGGGTCTCGAACCGCACTTGAACACCAGTTTCAAGCATTACGTTCTGTTCATCGATGAGCACGGGCTCGAGAAGGGCGGCGGCAAAGACTACTGGGGCCCTCTGGGTGATCTAGTCGAAAGCATGTTGAAGAGTGATTAGGGATTCGATCTCGGAGTTGACACTGAAGCGGAAGCGCAAATTGGAACGGGAACGGGAACGGAACAGCTTATGGACTGGGATCTCCATGTATGATATGAACCTGGGCGTCAGGGGGTTTGTAACTTTAGCAGGAACACATACATCGATGGGTACGAGTATGCAGATTCGGTTTTGTTATGCTCAAAAAAGTTCATCTCCAGAGGCGATCGGGCGTGCGTGACTGTGGGGTTAGGTTTAACGCAAACTGTTGTACCAACAAGCGAGCGGCTAAGGATTGTTGACGATATTGTACAATACAACCCCGTTGGAAGTGCGTGGACTCCGGTCCGGATGAAGGTTTCCGCATCGCACAAACGGCATGCCGTGGCACGGCACGACTTGGCCAGAAGATCTGAGTTCCGGGTCAAAGGAAACGGCAATCTTGGAGCAGTTCCGGGGTCAGCGAGGTGGGACTGATGGAGGAAGTCCCAGGTACCTAGGAAAAAGTGAAATGACTCAGGTACCTCACCCTCTTCTCTAGGTACGGGTAGTGTTGGTTACGTGCCAAAGGTACGGAGTGGATTGGCGTTTTTTGTTCTCTCGGTTTTTTTTCTCTCCCGCTTTCACTTTCACTTTCGGTCCAAAGGCATCCCCTTTTTCGTGTTTCGGTGGTCCAATGTCTTCGGGTACCTGCCGTGACATGGGAATTCAATCTGTAGTATAAAGTACGGGCAGTAAGGACCTACCAGAGTCGAGAACTTCAGAGGGTGGGTATCAGAACGTTTTGAAAATGGGATCCAGGCCGAGGTTCATGATGACATCGAGAACTCTTGCCTTGTTTTTGTTTTGAAAAAAAAGAACAGAAAAGAAGATGTCTTTCTACTGTGTGATCTCGTCTTGGTTATAGTCGTGGTTGTAGTCTTGGTGTTGGTTTTGATCTTGATTATTTTTTGGGTCATGGTTTTCAAAGATCGGAAACAGGTTATTTTTTTTTGACTTGCAGTGACAGACACTGACTGAATGACTGGCTTTGACTGACTAACTCGCCGTAGAGGCGACACGAATACAACTGATCTCTGGGCAAGGTAAGGTCCCCGAGTTGATCCGTCCTATTTTCATTCATCCGTCCACCTCTGTCCGTATTTGTGTTTCGAGGCGTCCCATCTCTCTCCATGGAAAAAAGGGCGGAAAGAAAAAGAAAAACAAACACCAGACCAAGACGAGCCGAGGCAAAGCAAGCCCTATGCCAGATAGATAACAAGCGTTCGCGGCGGGAGGAAGAGAGAGAGAGAGGAAAAGACGGAAGAAGGAATTGGCCTTCCTGTTTTTTTGGCGAGTAGAAGAAGCCGGAAAACCATAATTCCAAGTGACAAGCAAGTATCAGGGATCAAAAACACCATGATTCAAGTGACAAGTACCAGGTGCCAGGTACCAGGTACCGGGAGTCAAGTATCACGTCCTTGATACGAGTACGACGGATAGTTTTAATATCCTCTTCTGTATCCTGATCCGAAACCACCTCTTCCACTTCCGCCGCCGCCGCGACCGTCGCTGTACATTCTCCCTCCACCGCGATGGTACATGCCGCCGCCGGTTGGACCTCCGTACATGCCTCGCCCTGGACCGCCTACGCCGTTGCCATAGTGGGAGGATCTAGAATTGTAGCTGTTGTGACTGTGACTGTGATTGTTGGGGGTGGAGTTGTTGTTACCGCCGTCACGGTAGGAAGAGGTGGAGGAGTTTGGAGCTCTATCGTCACGGCGGTCGTAACGTTGATCTCTTTCCCGGTCACGTTCACGGTCACGGTCTCGTTCTCGTTCTCGCTCTCGTTCACGCTCTCGATCTCTGTCTCTGTCTCTATCACGGCGGTCATCGTCTCTCCTATCATCATAGTCGTCACGTCTTCCGTCACGACTGTCAGAGTCCGATTTTGCGGGTCGTCTGTCTCGTTCCCGATCACGGTCGTCCTGTGCCAAGGGAGCCTCGCTCTCCATCTCGACGTCATCCATGCCGTTGTCGCTAAATTGATGGTTGGATGCTACGGGTTCGGGTGGCGTGGGCGTAATGGCGGCGTTCCCCCCCGACGGGACAGGCGTAGGTCCTGATCCAGACTGCTTCAGGTAGAGGTGGAGGATTCGCCCGTCTGCTCTCTGGTTGTTGTAGGTCGAAATCACCCTGTCTGCAATGTGTCGTTCGGAAAAGATCATCTCGGCCACCACTGCAGGCGCAGTCGCCACGATTCGACACGATAGCATCCCGCTCGCGCCATTGTCGTCGATCGTGTCTCCTTGTAACGCCGATTCTATGTCCGCGGCGGTGGTACCGGGCGCGAAATTGCTCGCCTCGACGGTAAAAGGCCCTGCCTTGCCTTTTATACTGAGACCTAGACTTGGGCCGCCTTTTGTACTCTGACGGGGCGGAGTGACGATGTTGGCTTGCTGTGTTTCAAGCGCGGACGCAAGCCGTGCCGCGCGTGCCTGTTGAGGGGTCGTGGAGGAGGGTCTGGAGGACGTGTTTCTGGCTGAGCCAGAGCTCGCTACGGATGATGAGCGGTGCGACGAGACCTACATAAGTAGGCAATGCGTTTGGTTAGGACGTCTACTCGTATAGAAAACATGCGAGAGTCTTGTGGTTGCGCGCGTACCTTTGTGATTCTACTGGCGAGATCTGGCGTCCTCGTCGACACTTTGCTTGAACTGCGGGAGTCGCCCCTGGTCTGTTTATTTCTGCCGAAGATCTCGTTCGCTAGCGCTTCATTCTTCTTTCTCTGGCGGTCTGGAAACAACGGTCAGCGGGGTTGTGCCAGGTTGAACTGCAACAACATTGGTACTAACTGGCTTGGATGATTGCATCGAAGCTCACGGCCGTTTTGGGGTCGGGCATGATTGTACAGAACTCAGACTGGAAACTCTGATCGTCAGTACATTGACCGTTCTCAGAGTTTCTCTGCCCTGGGGGAAGTAAAGCAGCACAAGAATGATGTGGCGCGGGTCTAAAGACCAACCAAGCACTAAAGAAGTTCTGGATTGTAGTGAACGCGGGTCTGCAGCCTCGTGGCCGTGCTTCGCAGCCTTGCGGCCTTGGCAGGGAATCTTTTTGATCCAGCCTTTTACTCAGTTCAGTCGTCCAGTGGAAGTTGTGTCGCAACTCGCTGTAGCAGCTTAGGAGCCGCATCGGCCCCAACACTTCCACAGGAAGTTCAAGTTCTCCATCGACATCCTACTCGAGTCCCAGCCTGACGACTCTACAGCAGTCTCTGAACTTCAACTCCTCCCGCTGAAAATGTCTTGTGCACTCCGACCTGTTCTTCGGCCTGGCCAGCTACCCAGTCTACCGTCTGCCACCACATCGACGACGTACATTTGCCAGTCATGTAGGCATGCAAGACTTCTCAAAAGACCCAAGCGGCCATACACCTTCACACAGCTCGTGACCCTGTCGGACGGCAGCGCCTTCACCATGCGAACCACCTCTCCGACACCAGTTTACAGATCCACACGGGACACGAGAAATTCACCTTTATGGCACCCCACTTCGAAAGAACTACTGAGCGTGGAGGAAGATGAAGCCGGACGACTGGCGGGCTTCCGAGCGCGGTTCGGTACAAGCTTCGACAGCGCAAAGGGAGCGAAAAAGGGACAGGAGACAACAGAAGCCCAGGCCGATGCTACAGTAAAAGTAAACCCTCCTTCGGAAGCCAAATCGACAAAGGAGATCAAGTTCGAGGACGAGCACAACGAGTTTGAGCAGGATGATTTCAATATACTGGAACTAATAAGCTCATTTGGCCAGAAGAACCCGTCGGAGGAGAAAGGGTCGTCGGGTAAGAAGGGCGGGAAGAAATAGAAAGAGCATTGCTTCGTTGTATAGCAGCTGCTTCACATGTACAGTATGGGAGTGACAAAGTTTACCTGGCACCCAGTAACCAAGTTTTACTTGATACCGAGGGAGGCTTCTACTTTATATAGGCATTTGAGAGATACCCAGTCTTCGCACACGTCCACGGCTTTCCGAAGCTTTGTCGTTCCTGAAGCAGTCATTCTCCGTTGAAGAATGGCGATGTAAAGGCTCCGGCCAGTGGCTAATGGGCAATTCGTCGAAATCGCTGTTGCACCCACTACGAAGCGATAATGCTCTCTCAAGCTTGTCAATCTGGCTACAGTACGAATTACACGCACTCAACCTGGGTACGCTTGGGTTGGAAGCCTCCAACCTAACGTAGAGATGATCGAAAACATAGATACCGAGGACAAAAGAGCCTCGGGGAAATGATCTCGGGTTACCCAATTCATCTACTTCATCTCGCTCCCTGACAGGATCCCTATCTGTCAGATATCAGCCTGCAATGTTGAAGAACTTGTTGGGTGGCTTCTCCAAGTCTTTCTCTCCTGTTTGCCTGAGCACAATCCGAAACAATCGACCAGCCTTTTGTTCAAGACCGATACACAATCAGGTCAGGCACCAATTTTCATCTTGTCAACATTGTTACTCGCTTTGCTCCCTGGGCTCTTTTCTCGATAAAGACGACAAGGTGATCGAGATAGAGAACGTGATGGAACAATTCTGCTCCAAACCGAATCTGTTAGATAAGCATTGCAAAGCTTTGGAGGATAAACGTCAGGTGTTAGGTCTCCCTTTCCGCCGTCTAGCAGCCTCTGCATACCTCGTTCCTTTCTTTATCCCAGCAATTCTCATGCACAACAAGCTTCATGTCTGCGTTTGCGCTTGTTCGACTTCGGAGAACACAATCAGATTCCCAGAACACGAATGCGGGCACTTAGCGACGCAGCCATGGCGGAGGCGGAGGATCAAGACCAAACTTCTTGCAAAGCTGGAGAAAATCCTGACCCAATCAGAATATCAGCATGACAGCAAAAGCACTCGTCGCCTTGGGTGTTTGACATGGCAAAAGCAACAGCGCGAGATGAACATGTCATTCCATACTTGGGTCGATCCTTGCAAGGGGAGCCGGTTGCACCAATATATGAGGAATGCATTTGAGAGTGAAGCTTGGAAGGAAGTCACGCAGGGCAGAGCCACAGCCTATTCTGGGTTTCGATAGATCTCTTTGACAAGCTCTTCATTCAGGTGTATGACTGGACGAAGGTACATGACTTGATCTGGGGGGCTGCGGCCTCTTGTAACAAGGACATCTGGATCTGTATGTGGCATTGCCGGGGCTGTGGACACACAAGTAAAAGGGAAAACGGTCCAAAGATGAGTTGATGTATACATCAGCGAGAACTGAAAGTCCCTGAACGAGCGCATATCTTAGCAAACCTGCCTTTTCCAAGTCATGGCATGGGTGGTGGACAAATTTCGGTGTTTATCTCGTTCTAGAACAAGCTGGACTCCTATGCAGGCGAGACAGTGTATGTCGACCGGTTTCGAGAAATGAGGGAGGGAGGAAGCGGGCACGTCGCGGCTTTAAAGCGGCGCTTCGTCTTTAAGAGCATCAATCGATATGGAGCTCGACCAGCCAGGCACATGGTGAGCGCTGACTTGGGGTTTGTATCTCCTCCGCATTCAACCTTCCACGCAACCGTGAGCCAGGCATATCTCATTCGTTCCTACAGCCATTCCGAACTTTGCAATCTAGTTCTTGGGTCCTGCGAGCCTGGCCAGCATGGATATGGACTCTCCTTGGGACGGTATATATAATGATGCTCCGTGCGTATGAAGTTGCGCTGACCCAGACCTAGACGTCCCCTCTAAATCACACGCCGAGGCGCAAGAATCAACGAGCTCCACGAAAGATAGTACCGCTCCTGGTATGACCCATGCCGCAGTCCAAGATACACCTGCTGATTCCAATGCTCCAACAGGCTCGTCGACTCCTTCGAAATCTACCACCAGCGGACCCCGACCTTCCTCATCTCGAAAGATACCTGCACGCAAGATCGAAGTTCAACCTACAAAGCTTGAAGCCGTCGACGATTCGCTAGATCCGCTGGGGCCTCTGGGGGCAGAGCCAACACCTGCAACTCCCTCGATACATGCAGACCAGGCTCCGACGCCGCCCAGGAAAGAGCTCAGCGCCAAAGTGAATCGACCGCCCTCTGCTCCCTCACCAGGCTTCCCCGGTTCGGAATACGAAGATGGTCCCCTTCCCGTGGGGAGGACAAAAGGTCCACCACCGGTACAGCCCCAGGCCCAGGCCCCTGGTGCGGTCCGTCAGACACAACCTAGCATGAGCGTGGAGCAGGCAGCGAAACCGACGTTTGATATTTTGGTCGGAGATCCGCACAAGGTTGGAGATTTGACTAGCAGTCATATTGTCTACCAAGTCCGGACAAAGGTGAGTTCCGCAGTAGGATGCTCGTGGATGCGAAAGGCTCACAGCCGCAGACGACGTCGAAAGCGTACAAACAGCCCGAGTTCGCAGTCTCCCGGCGTTATCGAGACTTCCGGTGGCTCTACAATGCACTGCACAACAACAACCCTGGGGTAGTGGTTCCTCCGCCTCCAGAGAAGCAAGCCGTCGGTCGGTTCGACAGCGAATTTGTCGAGTCTCGCCGGCAAGCTTTAGAACGAATGTTAAACAAGATTGCTGCACATCCGATTTTGCACCATGATGCGGATCTCAAAATCTTCCTCGAAAGCGAAGCCTTCAATATTGACGTGAAGAACAAGGAGAATCGAGAGCCCGACTTGGGACAAAACAACAAGGGCATGCTAAGTTCTTTGGGTATCAATGTAGGCGGATCAAGTGGAAAGTTCGTCGAGCATGATGATTGGTTCCACGATCGTAAGATCTACCTGGATGCTTTGGAAAATCAGCTGAAAGCTTTGCTCAAGGCGCTGGACACGGTAGTGGCGCAAAGAAAGGGCCTGGCTGAAGCTGCCGGGGATTTTGCGGTGTCTCTGAATAACCTAGCGATGGTCGAACTGTCGCCAATCTTCTCCGGGCCAGTACAAGGTCTCGCGGATCTGCAGAGTCGAATCCGGGAACTGTACGAGAGACAGGCTCAGCAAGACATTTTGACTCTAGGCATAACGATCGACGAGTACATTCGCCTGATCGGAAGTGTGAAGCAAGCTTTTTCGCAGAGGCAAAAAGCATTCCATTCCTGGCATGCTGCCGAGAGCGAGCTTGCGAAGCGCCGAAGCGCCCACGAGAAGTTGCTTCGACAGGGCAAAAGTCAGCAAGACAAACTCAACGAGGTCAGCGCTGGCGTTAGTGATGCCGAGAAAAAGGCGCACCAGGCACGATTATTGTTTGAAGATATGGGACGTCTTATGCGCGGAGAGCTGGAGAGATTCGAGAGAGAGAAAGTGGAGGATTTCAAGAGTGGTGTCGAGACATTCCTTGAGGGAGCTGTGGAGGCCCAAAAAGAGGTGTGCCCATCGCTATCCTGCCTGGCGTTTCCATTGTGAGCTAATCTTATGAACAGCTGATCGAATTGTGGGAAACTTTCTTATTACAGATGGACGCCGAAGAAGAGGCAGCAATCCCTCCAAAGGCTCAGTCAACTGCAAGTGAATCAGCGGCAACAGCAGGCCCAGATGTGTCAGCACCTCCTGAAGATAGCACGCAGGGCACACCAGCCACGGCGACTGACGTAGCACTGGAGCAAGATGCTTGAGATGAGAGATGAAGGTGACACTCTTGTGGAGAGAAGAGACGGTGAAGTGAGAGTGTGATGAAGGAGGCATTGAAACAAAAGGAACGACCAGAACGGTCCGTTGTTCTCCTTGTTGCTGACATGTCGTCTCTTCTCTCGCCTTAGATACCCCTATAAACCGATTCTGCTTGACCTCCGTGTCCAGCCGATGTGGTTCACCATCCTCTCACTTCACCTTCAGACTCAAGATGATCTTTTCAGAAGCCATGGCCGTACTCTCCTCAGGTTGTCGTCACTCACAGCACAGGTTTGTCGTCGGGTGGAATTTATTGTTAGCGTGTGCGGCTCTCCAGCTCTCGTTCTTTGCTTTTCGTTTCAGGACAACGTTATCATCTGTTTCCTGCGTCGCCCCCGACGATATCACACTCCTTCCATCGCCGCGGCGACGATAACGTTGTGCGTTGATCCCACTTGTTGTCTTCATCGCAATGGTAAACACTCCTTCGACACCTTGCTCGTCCATTCTCTATTCCACCACCACGGCAGAACCACCTTCGTCCACAGCAACAGACAGAATGACCGGACCAAACGTCACTTTCACCTCCACGCGAGGATTCGTTGTTTCAGTCGTCGAGTGTACGCCTACGCCTGTCATGAACCACACAAGGTATTGCTCTTTACTCCCCGACCCAAGGACCACGATGCTTTTTTGCAAGATGGGGCATTGAAGAATGCAAGATGGGGCATTGAAGAAACAAACGGATTGACCGTACTAACCACCGTCTGAACGACAGCGCCACTGTTGCTTCGGCCAGCACCAACGTCAACGTCACCGGCACCGCGGGCGATCTTACAGCCATCATCCCGGCCCAAGGGACTCCGACCTGGCCCAACACCACCACGACCGGCTGTGGATTCCCGACTCTGGAGACACCGGCCGGATTTAACGTCACCGGTGGCGGTCCAGCGACGTACGGCGACAAGACTACCATCGTCCTGACCCAGACGCCGTCCATCGTCACCGTCACCACCGTCCCCTCGAGCCTCGCGGCCACCGGCGCGTCTCGTCTCACCACCGCCCTCGCCACTCCAAGCGGTTGGACCAACGAGATAGACTCGCCGTACGGAAGTTCGGTCGAGGCGGGCCGGATTGCGATCGGGACGGTCCTTGCCGTGTTTGGGTTCATTGTCATTTCGTAAGTGTCTCGCGAGCGTGTTTGAAATTTCATCATCTCGTCGATCGGAGCGGCGTCGTCGTTGGGGTTGTTTGTTGCTCCTGTTGCTGCTGTTGCTGTCGTGTCCGGGTGTCGTCCGAGTAAAACGAGTGTTGACGGTCGTATTTTTCATTCACGCATGCGTGTGCTATCGTTGACTGACGACCTTTCCAAAAACCCGTCAACAGGCTCGGAATGTTGGGCAACTTTGGACCGTTCGGAACATACACCAGACCCATGCGCGAGAACCTGGCCGAATGGGCACGCGGTCATTATCGTCAACTGTCGCTCCCGCGATTCTGCGGCGGCAACCGTTGACGGCGCCATTGACGATTCAACTGGGCGAACAGAGAGCGACGTACGAGGATATGATGATCAGAGGGGGTTGTGAAGGAACGCTTATTCCGACCGATTTTTTTTTGCACGGGAATCGAGGACGGGTATTCAGAATGTCACTTTCTTCTTTCAGAGATTGATTCTACGAGTTCAGGGGGGAAAGAAAACCAAAAAGAGGTCCGTCTGGAACCACGTACCGACGTCTGTTTGACAATGGTCGGAAGCGAAAAAAACAGAGAAGACACACCATACCTAGGTACTTGATGAGAAACCACCTACCTACCTAGGTACCTAGGCACCTAGCTACTTCGTCGTACCTCTCGTCCCTGCTCGTTTTACATGTTGTTGTTATCGTTTTTGCGTCCAAAGGCTTCCCTCCTCCCATCGACGATCTCTCCCCGAGACCATATCCTCTCGTGGTCAGTCGGGAGGTACATGACTAGAAGACATCGGAAGGACCTGAAACCCGTACTCAAGGAGGCCAGTACATAGGTACGTACTTGACATGTATCCTACAGCATTTCCAAAGAGTGTTAGAATACTTCTTTCATTCAATCTCAACCTTTAGACAGCTGCGATCAGTCCAATACTTTCCCCCACGTACCCATACTACTTCGGCATACTCTATTCAAACCCTCTAGTCAATCACTCCTCGTTATCCCTGATATAGAAGATGCAGCATTTATCCTGCTTGTTTCAACACCAAGTCTACATCATATGCTCTTGCTGCCGAATAATCCATTGAGCCCCACTGCTCCGACAAGCTTTGTCCACTCCGCTAATCCTCGCCATCATGACCCTCAACATCAGCTCTGATAATGACAATCTTCTCCCCTCTCTCTCTTGCTTCTCGTCCTGGGCTGTCCCGCACTTCCACTTCCACCTTGACTCCTCCCCTACCGTTCGTAGATGCACTCCGACTCGGTCCGGGACTAAGCTTGAAATGTTGCTCTACCCCATGTTGAGCACCAACAGAGGCTCGGTGGATGGACTTTCTTGGTCTTCCTCTTATCGGTGTTTGTGGTGGAGATTTGACTGGACTGGCTTTGGGCACATCTTCTGCTTCGACTACAGATCGTGGAGCCAGGACTTGTTTCTCCGACATAGCTCTGTGCAGCGGCGTCTTCGGCAGGGGTATATCCTCCGGGCTCTCTTGAGGCTTCAGCCCCTTAGTTTCCTCATCTGTTGGAATCTGCAAGGGAGGGATTTGCTCAGGCTCGAGCTGGTCTAAGGCTGCCTTGTCTTCTCGCAAAACCGATTCTTTAATGAGCATTGTTGGAGCTCGGGTCTGTCGACGACTGAATCTTTCTCGCTCCGCGTAACTGCGGTGCTTCTGCGCATCATCACGTTCGCTAGCAGCTTGTAACAGTTCGTGAACTCTGCTCCTGACAATACCCGGTTTGTCATGAGAGGGAGGTGCAGGTTCCCGCTTCGTTTCGTCTGAAGACGTTTGCTCGGGCGCTTGCAATGTCGCAGGAGTAGTCTTGTTGAAGAGGCCCCATTTGAAAGGCCAGACCATGGATGTCTTTCGTTGCTTGTCCTGGGGCATATTCTCATCACCGGGGGTTTCCTCATCTGTCTCGCGCCCATGACCATTTTCGGTGTCATTTCGTTCGAGAGGCGAAGCAGCCCCTTCTGACTTTTGCTGCTCGTGAACCATTGCTGGCAGCGCCAACGGTATCAATGGTGTTCCAGGTCTCTCCTCAATCGTCTCCCCGAATTTGATTCTGTGCATCTTCTTCGGTCCCTGGTGCTGATCGCGAACGTCATGAGCTGCCTGGCAAATGTTGTGAGCTTTGTGGGCCTCTCCGTAGCCATCAGGCCTCTTGTTGAGGCTTTCGAAAATGGCAGTCTTTCGCTTGACTGGGCTAAGCTCGTTGCCTGGGTGCGATTGCAATTGCTCAGCTGGCGTCAGCTTTGTTTGAGAATGGATGGGCTTTTGTGACCTGCCAGCCACCGCCAAAGACGAGTTGAGAGAAGACAAGCGTTTTTCCTTCTCAGGGATGAAGGGTTCCAGTGGAGACAAGATTGGATCGTTCTGGTAATTGACCTCGAGTGACTTTTCGCTACTGCTGCGAGGTCTGCGGGACTCAATGCTCCGTCTATTGTCTCTGACTCTCGATTGTGAACGATGATCCATGGTGTTGTCCGTAGTCGGCCGGTCAATCGTGGCAGGTTTCTGTGCTAAGATTTCCATATCATCATCATCAGAGAATGTTTGGGGCCCTGCCCCTTCAATGGCATGATCCAGCATGTTATTGAGCTCAGCTAGAGTGCATGGCCTTTCAGGTGGTGGTGTCTCGTTTGCCGATTTGTCTTCAACCACGGAACGAAGCCTCAATCTAGCCACAGCTATTTCCTGGCGCGGGTCGTCAGCAGTCTCCATTGAGCGAAACCTGCGATGAAGTTGATGGATCTGGTCTTCACTCGCTCGTGGTACAGTCGAGGCATTAAACGCTTCATCAAGGCTTGTAACAGGTCGTGCGGGCACAACTTTTACCTTGTCCTCATATCCTCTCATCCTCTTAGGTGATCGGGATTGCTTGTAAGAGATTGATCCGAGGGGTGGACGACCATCACCACGCAAGTGCTCGATCCCGATCCTCGACGGTCGTCCCGTTGGTGAAGCAAAGCTCAAACTCTCCCCGCGACGCTGAGCCTCGTAGATTCCCGAGTCTTTTGCATGTGTAAGAATTCGAGGAGGGAGGTTCAATGTGGGAGCTCGGGGCTCGAGGATTTGCACATCTTGAAAGGCTCGAATTCGATCAGCCACAGTACCATGCTGGGGCCTGTCACCACGTTAGCCATACTTACGACGACGATACGGACAGAGACAAACGCTTGAGAGCTATTCATATTGAAGACTGTAGAACTGTACTATTGGTCATATAAGGGTCCCAGGGAAAGGCGTCGATAGGAGAATGGTTGCAGAGACTGGCACTCGTGACGGAATGAGGGTATCAATTGCTTCAAGAAGAGCCGGGATATGTCCGGCCCTGCTGTGCGAGAAAGTTCCAAGCTCTTCCAAGCTCGGTGGCAGGAGCATTGATGCTAAAACAAGTCAGCTGGCGGCAGGCGTTGTTACCAGGCACAGGTAGGCGCTGGTCTGCCGACACAGTCCTTGAGAAAAAGCTGTGCCCACAATCGGTCATGAGCAAAGTGATCAACAAATAATAGCGGAGAGACAACGGTTTTTGGCGAAAAGAAACATAGAATGATCGCAGTGGTACAATTCAAATTGACGACCAAGTGCGCTTTTCCTCTCGAGCATCGTTTTATATGTACAATAGCATGGCTAATTCTTTATTTCAGAGCTGCTTGCAATGACTCGAGGACCTAAAGGATTATTAGTGGCGCGAAGTCAAAAGCCCAGCGCAGGCAACTCTTACCTCGAGCTCAATCTTGGCCTCTGCGATGTCCTGCTCACTTCCGCTTCCACTGGCAATCTTTTGAGCCTCTGAGATTTGGGACTTGATGGCCTCTTCGCTGAACTCCTCGATGGGGAAACCTTCCACTGCGTTGATGCTCAGATTCGAGTCGGGCTGAACAACGGCAAACCCTCCAGAGACTATAAGCAATATCAGTGTTCCCGCTCTTTTCAAGTCGCCAAGGGAGCACTAGACGTACGGAAGAACTGCTTGTTTTCACCGTTCTCCTGGATGATCTCGACCAAGCCAGGCTTCAACTGTTCGATTGAAGGGACGTGCTGGGCCAGAATACCCATTTCACCGGACTCGGCGGGGATGTTAACTTGGACACTAGAAGATCTCCGTCAGTTCGAGGTTCGATGGGTTACAGGGAACGGAGTGGGATTCGACGTAGGTAGGACGTACACATCCTGTGACTTGTAGATGGACTAAATTCCGACATGTTAGTCAATGTTTCTCTTGTCTCTTTCCACCCCAGCTTCTTTGACAGGGACACTTCGGGGCACAACGTACTTGATGGGGCAGGGCGAGTGAAAGCTTTATTTTGTCCGAGACGGCCTCAGCATAACCTCGACGCTGGATAGGCTTGATGGCGACTGCGGATCTAGCGCGCAGCGCTGCACGAGACAGTCGGAGGGCGCTCATGTCGACAAGTGCTGGGCAAGTAGAGGAGCTGAGAGTCTGGTATTGCTGGTGCAAGCTCCAATCGAGCTCTTGAGATGCCGCAACTGAAGATAGAATTGCCAAGAATTTGGGTTAGCTACAAGTGCCTTGTCCTCTTCTGGTCAATACTTGATGCCGCTGCAACAGACTCCAGCATGCCTCTCAGGGTGTCCAATCAACTGACAATCACCCACCAAAGCAGCGTTGCCTTTCAGTTTCTTTAGGTCTAGTCTCCTTCGGATTCCTCTTCCATACCTGCAGTACAGGTAGGAAACCTCAACATCATTCTCAATAGCAAATACCTCTTCCGCTATCGTGCGTGGATGCTATCCTCGTCTTCGCGTCATTGCTAGATGCCGTCTTCCACCCGGTTCCGTGTTCACGCTCGTGTTGGTGTCTGTGTGCTGTGTTGCAGCTCTCCTGAGAATATCGACCTCCGCTTTCCTTTCCGGCTCTCCTCCACGGAAAAGCATTTACTTGTACAATCTCGAGTCGAACGTGAAACCCCAAAATTCAAGTAGTAGGTCTTGACAAGACCAAGACATGTACTAGGCATGGGAAGGTGTATCACGGTGCCCGCCGGCTGGGATTGCAACCAGGGGACTGCAGCCAGAGGATCAGGGTTTAGTGACCGTTGGAAAGGACATGACCTTGGACCCAGTTGAAAGGGGTGAGATGACTACTCCTCTCGTGACAACGTGCGGCATGTTCCAGAACTTTTCTTATCTCATCTCGACGAACCAAAAATCGCCGTGTCAATCCTGACATGACCCTCGTACAACTAACCGGCTTACTTTGTCGACGAAGAATCCCTGTTTGGTACCTAACCGTGGTGCATGCTTACACCAGAGTCCTAGCCAGGACATTTCTGTTCATTACCCCGGAGTGCTGGACAGTGACACTACTCAGAGATATAGTTCCGCCATGCCCGCGGGTAATTTGAACAATTCGAACCCGTCCTCGACTTTCTTGTTGAGCGGGTTCTCGTCCATTCGTGCCGATCCAGACGCATGCTTCTCCCATCTATCCAGCAAGCCGATCGTCCAGTCCTGAAACGTCTGCGCAGCCTCGGGAAGTATGTCCGTGCTCTCGGCCAACGCATTTTTGAATTCCTTGTAGTCGTCCTCCGGGACCACAAGCTCTTCATGGGTATTGGAATGGTCGTCGAGGAATTTTTCCGGATCTGGCAGATCCTTGTAGAAGATCTTCATTGCTCGATGGGCAGTAGGGCCTCGTCTGCTACTCGAGTAGTAGATGTCCGGGTTGAACACCCATACCAAAATCCCCTGCTGCTGACTGGATGTCGGGTCCTCACCGGTGCTTTGATGCACCACGATCTTGCGACTCACCGAGCTCTCAATGAGGGACAGTAGCTGTGCACCAAGGAACACCTCGGCTGGATACTTCTGCCAATCTTGCCCTTGCCGACTGTCCGGTCTGACTTGTACTCGTGACTTGTAGAGCCTAATGCTCGGCCGCCCAGTCGGCGAAGAGCCGGTGATCGTCTTACATTCGTCGCATCTTACAATCTTGTTTTCTTCCCTCGAACTGGGTACTTCCTAAAACGGATTCAAAATGTCAGCAGCCATGTCCCTCACGTGTTATCCCTTTACGCTCCCGACGGCTCGACGGAGGAAAGGTGAAATTCAGGAGGTCTGATCTGTGAATCTTGGTGATGGGCCGGCCATCCATCCTTGGAAACAGGAGGTTGACGCAACCAACTACCCAAGCACGAACAGAGAATTGTCAAATCAATATGCGGCGATTGTATCAGAAACTGGATCAACTGACGCTCCTAATCGAGACTCTGAAAAGCTTCTTTCTTGACGCCAAATTCTGCCCACCGGGGATTCACCGCTGGCTGCTCTGATGATGATACGCACCTGAAGGTTCAAACAATCCTCTCTGTGCAAAAGGAACGAGACGGTATCCACAAGCCCTACGCCAATGTTGGTGACCACCTGGCTCTTTGCGGAGAAGCCTTTGGACTCGGCGGCGTGGTCATGTGCTGAAAGTCCTTGGTGTGGTTTGTGGCAGAACCACAAGTCCATGAGATCCGCCCAATGATCACTGGGGAGATCTTTCCAGGTATTAATCTTGCCGGATTGCACAATGTCAGCACTGCAGCGTTTGCACTGGATGGCGGCGTCTGGCGTCAACTCGGTTGCAGACCAGGGTACTTCGGAACTGCCAGGTTCGTCCTGTTTGTCCCTCAGTTGGCTGACGTCGTCTATCTGTAGTCGAGCCGAAAACTCTGTCCTTTTGTCCGTGGGGAGCGTCACGTTGGCAGTTCCAGAAATTTGTGTAGGGAGATAGATACTGGACGACTCCCCATCATGCACTGCCGTGATGATTTTCTTGTCCGAGGAGATGAAAATCTTCGTGTGCTCGTTCTTCTCACTTTGGAGAGATGCATGGAGAGTCAACTGTCGGATATTGGTCAGCGCTTCGGCGTACAGGTCGATCTTCGGCTTTGGCATAGTGACGGTTACCGGCGCTCGCAATGATCAGAAGACTTGTCGGAGAGCGCTCGGGGGACGCTTCAAGCTACCCGTCTTCACCAAAGAGCGTATATGTGCTGGCGGGTTGGACTAATGCCGCGTGGGAAGCTAATAACGCGTGTCTGCAAGACCCCAGCAATTACATGCAGGCTCTGCATGCACACAGTGGCTTTGGAGGTGCCAGATGCAAGCCAAGTCGAGGGATAGAACAGTCTCAGCTAAGGAAGTTAGAAAGAGAGGACGGCGATTCGAAGCAGGATGCCAATGTTGATAGGCCAATGCTTGCCTGTGAAGGCGCCCAAATCATGCCACCGGCATCGCAATGCAGGGAGTCGAGGAAAGAAATTGGCTCAACGTGGTTGCGTAAGCTGCATTTTTCGTTTCCCACGTCGAGTCAATGGGGTAATATGCTGAGTTGATGCAAGCTGGGGAAATCTAATGCGAACCTGGGAATAATGAATGAAGAAGCGGATCGTGTGCTGAGACGCGCACGAAGGTGGGTGGGGGATGGATTTTTGCGTCAGGCCAATAAAGGCCTCGCTGCCTCGTGGGTGATGACGCCGTCGACCCTGGTTGCTTCTGGCCATCTAAGTCTACTACTCTCTTAGTAGATATGCAGATAGAGCAGAGGGGAAGTGAACTGGTCTCCAGCAGACGCTGCCATCGATATTCCATCGTGGCGACCCGGCATCAGTTGCCTCATATGCTACAGATGTGGAAGTGACCAACAATGTAAGACGAGTGCTGATTACTCGAAGGAGACCAGAAAAGCCTCGGTTTGCCATAGCAGTGGCTTTCGTGAGGACTTTGTTATTATCTGCTACTCTGTATGACTGCGACTGTCCCACGAAGACATCGAGTCGAAGATACCGTTATCGCATTCAAGCGAAAATTCACCATTCATCTAGCACTATCATTCTTTCCCCAGCTATCAACTCTGCAGCTCCGTCATCGTGCCCGTCAGGTCGAGACAAGGATGTCCGGAGGCGATGCTATTCCTTCCCGGCACAGGTTGCGCTGATGAGACACACTGCTCATAGCGATTTTGTCTCCCTGCGCCTCAGCACGGGTGGCCACACTTGTGACATCGCGTTCCTGGAATAACCCAGACCTCTTGGCCCTTTCCCTTGCATCGGGGGCATCGAATTCCGTTCATCTGGACAGTATTCTGTTTAGTCATGTATGAAAATAATCGAGATCTCGGGATCACGAACCGGTCGACTAACTCCTGCCGGATGATCTCGTCCTGGCTGCGGGATATATGGCGCCTTTGGATGCGTCGGGCGCAGACCAAATGTGGCACTGATGGAATCCATTGGTGTAAAACCGGCACGCTCGAGCCTTGAATGGTAGTAGAGCTGGTTCACAGTGATGATGATGGAAGAGGGGAATTATGAGAGGGAGTTTGTTGGCAGCGAAGGTGAGGTTGAGCCATGGCTTGCCTGGCTTTATAGTGGCAGACCGAGTAGCAAATTTGAACAATTGCGTTGGTGAGAACGACTACTGATCTATCGACACCGCCCGACAATCTTGTACACAGACAGGAGTCACAAGATGAAGTCTAGTCAATCTTCGCATAATGCAAATGGTATACTGACCCAGCTTAGACACTCTACCTGATGACACCCGCACCAGTGTGGCAGTTTTCCCGCAAGTTCGAGCCTAAGCCATTGTGTTCCTTTTGCACATTGTGTTCCACGGCGCGGATCGGTGAGTAGCTGGCCGGTCCACGTATTTTTTGTGGAACAGAAAATTTGACTGCCGGCTTCATTACTATATCGAGTCGTGAGAGTCTCATCCGTGACAACTACCAAAATGAACAAGTGGAAACTGGCAACAGCGTCAGAGACATGTGGTTTCGGAAACCGCCAGGAGATGAGCGAGCATTCTGTACTCAGGAGGTCTTGTGGTTCCGGTCAACAGCCGATCGGAAAGCGGCGATTCGCCAGCTAAATGTCCGGTAATGTAGTTCCTGAAAGCGCTTTTTGATGGTACCGTTGGCGTCGTAGGGGCGATGTTGAGCAAATTCTAGATCGTGGCCAAATGGTGGCAGTTCTCTTCACAGTGGAAGATGTCCAGTAAGATTTGAAGGCCCAGTCCCACCCGTTTTGGATGTCCTCGAATGACAGCCACAGCACCTTATGCCTTTCCCCCCAGGAGTCACCACTATCATGATTAGTGATTGTTAGCTCGACGCCGTGAGCATGACGAGTGCCTTGGACATGTTCTTGGAAGAGAGCAGGTGACCTAGAACGGCGGCACTCTGGCCGAGAAATGTAAGATATTGGGTTGCGGTTCGGGAAGACTCCGAGCCCGGTTGTGACAGAATAATGGTATTTTTCGCCTATTCAGTGCCATCACGAGGGCATCGTAGATTTCTTGACCTCAACATCTTCTGCTGCGCTAGACAAGTCTAACCAGAGAGGATCATGGTGACTTTCAGCAAAAGGATCTCACGTTGACGTAGTGTAAGATGAACGCCGCACAAAGGAGCTTCGTGGCAAAATGTGTCGAACATCAACCAAGACGTTTAGAAATGAAGCACAATAACCCCCCTGCCGACGGCTGGCCAGCCGCATTGAGGAGACGTACAAACCGATAGCCTGGCTCCAGGCGGTCAAGCCTTATGCATGCCCAAGCGAGCAAGGTATCCCTGCCGAATGAGCGGTCGTCCTTGATCGTAAGCCTGCCCATTGTGACTTGGTTAGCTTTCTCTGTAGCGGTATAAGAAGGCGGTAAAATGACGGATCAGAAACGATGAGCGGAGGATCAGTGCACAAAAACCAAAGACATAGCAGATTTGTGTTACATGATCGGCCACGAGTGCATGAACCGAAAGACAGCCACAGGCTGAGTAGTCGGGACAGATATGATTCGTGACTGGCCAAGATTGCTCGTGCGATCCTGCATGCGCCCTTTTGTACCGAGCTAAACCACAAAATGGTCCTACAGGCTTTTGCGTTGGGTGTAGAAGTCCTCCTACCGGTATCGGGTCATTGAATGCGGAATGACATGTTGGGCGTCGAATCATGAGCAGAGGCACCAGTCTATCTGAGGCTTCCACTATGGTGCCATGCAGACTATGCCTCAGGAAGGATGGAACACGTCAACCCCTCAAATGAATAAAGGCTGCCAGCCAAGCATCATGCATGTTCGGGCACGTACAGTTGTAGAACAGTCTCATGGAAATACAGAACAAGGGAATTCGAGGTTGAGAAATGAAACGTAAGGAAGAATAGCATACCTGAGAAAACTAAGCTCGTCAACAACGTCGGGTACGTTTTGCCACTTGAGCCTTTCGCCGCCAAAGTCCGGACAGTCGGTGCGGCACGTCAACGATCTCCATTTGTACGTCGTTTGGTCGCTCTCGTCAGACGCGTAGGAGCCAGAGTCATGTGGTATGCCGGAATTAGGCTTGATAGTTTTGGCTTCTCCAGGAGGCCCATGAGTGTCGACATGAAGTTGGACTTTGACATAAGGTTTGACTTTGGTAGCAAATGCAGGATCTTTGTCTGCAGGCAACGGTATTCTTTGTGCGGCAAGGAAAGCAATCTCAAGGTCAAGACGTCTTTTTTGAGGCGGTACCGGCTTGTCCTTTGACTTGGGGTTTGTGGAGCGATAACCATCTGGTTTGAGGACCCAGCCACCAGTTGCTGCAAACATGCCCTCATTGAGCATCATTCCCTTGTCCATCTTTTGCCAGTTCAAAGCCACCATTTGAGCGCCCTGTCGCCAGTGAAATGTTGGGTCGACATTGGACGAATTTATCCTTGTTCCTTTAGGGAACACCCGCAACAGGAAATTCTTGTTATGGTCGAACAACGCAGGACCATATGCCGGATCTCCGTGTATTTGGAACATCTTGGTTTCTGACAAACTGAACACATGCGTAGGAATAGACGCTTCCGGTTGCGAAAAATGCTTGAAACTGTATGCCCGAGTGTAGACACCGAGTTCAGACAAAGCACTCAGAATCTTAGAGGCTTTCTTCTTCTCCGGCGAGACGGTCGTACTGTCTTCAGTGCCTCCGTCAGTCGATCGTGAAGCGACATGCTCAAGGGGGTTGTTAGAGTCTCCGGTTTCACTGTTCGGGGCCCATTTGACCTTGATCAAGATTTTCTTTCGGACCGAGTCTGGCGATGGAAGGTTCAGCTCTTTTGTACACTGTGTGATGTCGACAAGAAAGCCAGCCCACACTTCTCTCATGATCTCGACCATTACTTCCTGCTGCGAAAGCGAGGCGTGCACCTCTAGGGACACTATCAGAGGAAGATCTGTGCTTTCAAATGCACAGTCTCTGATAGCATGGCAGACGGAGCGGAAGGTTATTGACTGGGTGAGGGTATATCCATGGAGTACACGAGGTTCGACTTTTGGTGGAAATGCAGGTGAAATTTGGGGTGATAGGAAATCCCTGTTCTGCGCTGGCAACTCGGTTTGCCTGGCAGTTGCATCCGTTTCGCTGGGAGTGTGGAGGTCTGCAGGGTGAGTCGCCGTGGAAGATGGATACTTTCTGCGATCGGTCAGAGAACCTGAACGAGAACGTGATCTCATTCTCGCTGCGCGAGCTTTCACCCTATTCCAGCGAGACGACTTCGTTTTACTGTCCGTACCACGATCATGGTGCTCGTCTGCTTGGTCGTCCTCGTCGTCCGAACTGCTAGTGTCGGAGTCATCACCATCCCAGACGTCAATCTCCAGACAACGGCAACCTCTCTTCAAGACGTTGGCGTAGGCCTCCACATTGGCTTCTCCGTAGAGCTGGTGACCCGAGAGATAAGTATTGTGACTGGAACTTATAAAGTACGAAGACAACGGATAAGTAAGATCATTGTTCAGGGGCATCGACATTGCAGCAGAGTTGTCCGAAGCCATATGTCTCAGGAAAGACGACTCGTCTGGGTATTGCTGCCGCTGTTCGAGCGGCATCTGTTCGTAGGCCACGATGAGGTGGGACAGCACCGCATCTGAAAAAGGTGTGAGGAGGAATTGGCTTGCTGCATCGGACGACTGGCCTCCGCCAGCAGCACGTACGGGAAGCGACATTGTCGCTCCATCATGGGACATGGTTGGCTTTATGTGCAAGACGCTTCAGCGGTCCTGGTGAGCGTGGCCGAGGAGAGATAGGGCCCCTAATACACGAACGCAGGACTGTGGGGTTTGGAGGAAGAACGACTGAGGAAACGAGGGCGAGATAGGCAAGATAGAGAGGTCTCCTGAGTGGCAGTGAGTGAGGATTCCAAAACGCAGTCTCACCTCTGAGCCAACAAGGTCGAGTTGAATGCTCGTTGGAACATAAAGCTGGCAATGGATCGCATGCCAATCCCTGGATCAGGCACGTTCCTACCTAGGCGCAAGCGGAAAACTAGTTGGATGCGTACAAATGGCGGCTGCGCCTTGCAAGTTTATTGACTCTCTTCTGTTTAGCAACATGACGTAGCCACAGTACTTCGTACCTGATCTTAAAAAAACAGCCTGCAGGTGAGATAACGCACTTTGTACTCCATACTCCGTACGGATGGATACTCGTACCTCATGATACTTTCCTACGTGTCGTCCAGAGCCTCCTTTTGTATCCCGAAATTTGGAAAGAAAGCTACAATCGAGCTCAGGTGTGCTACTTACTGTACACCATTGTCTTAAGGCTTGATGACTATGGAGTACTTACAGTCTACACATTTATACGATGTGCTCCATACTCCGTACTCGGCAAACATTTAGTCGGGGAGCGTGAACAGTCTGACTATGGCAAATGGCACGCCGCACGACGACAATCTGGCCAGAAACGAACCAGGAAGCGATCTTTCGCAAACAGTCTGGGGGTGTACCACGGGGACATGAATCCTATGGTGCGAAATGAAATACCGAAGCTAAGTCACGTAAGAACACAATGAACATGAAAATCGTACAAGATGATGCAGTTTTATTGAATAAGACTATCACAATGTTGAATAGAATGCTCGTAGAAGTTCGTCATAACATCGATAGATATGGTCCACCGAGTCATCAGAAAAGGTTTTCAGCAAAAACTAGGCCACAGTCAGTTAACTGTACCCAATACCGAGGGGATGACATAACGTACAAAATGTCAACTGCCGATATATGGTTGGTTTCGTTGTTTATGCAAGATCGCCTAAATACAGGTCAGCACTTCTGTCAAGAAAATGAAGTGAGTTTACCCACATGACCAGACGTTGGTGTTGCTTGCGATTGCGCACCCGATCTTTGAATAGGATGTGCTCGTCAAAATGGTGGCATGACCTGTCTGTCCGTCGTAAGACCAGCCCTGAGAAGCAGTGGAGCAGATTCCGTCCAAGCCGGGTAGAGTTGGAATTTCGCAGAGCCAGCCACCAACGTAGACCTCTTCAAAGTTGGAAGGGCTACCAGGAGCAAGCACCTGAGCCATGGTACCTGGGTTGAGCTCGTGCTTCAGGCCACCAACGCTGTCGGTGCTGGTCTTGAGGGCATTGGCCTCGAGGGTGCTGTCCCTGCTGAGGGCAGGGAGACCGCCGGCCGAACGCCACTTGGACACAACGTCCATGTAGTCGCCGGAGCTGGAGCCGATGGTGGGAGCTGGGCTGCTGGAGGAGGCGACAGGAGTAGCTGGAGCAGCGGGAGCGGGAGCAGGAGAAGATGAAGCGGGAGCGGCTGCAGCAGGAGGAGAGCCTGCCACTTCAGTGACCACAGTCACGACAGTTGTGGTGGGAGCTTCAGTTGGCGCTGCTTGACCAGGAGTCCATCCCTGAGGGATGACCAAGGAGGTGCTGCCGTCGCCAGTCGACCACCAGTGGTAGCCGTGATACCACCGCTTCGCCAGGCCGGTGCCCTCCTCAGTAGGGGTCGGGGCTGCAACGGCGACGCCGGCAGCGACAGCCAGAACAGAAAGCGTCTTGAGAGTATACATGTTTATATTGTTGTTTGGAGGTTGCGGGTGAATTCAGGCGTCTTTCAGGGGGGGCGGGACAATCCTTTCGTTTCGTCGAGGGAGCGTGGTCAAGAACGAGCTTGATGGAATGAATGTGATATCCTCCGGGGATGAATGAGCGTGGGCGACAGGAAGTCGAGGGGCGAAACGAAAGTCACAGACTTTGGGGGTGTACTTGTACGATCAAGGAATGTGATGAGCCGACAAAGAAGAGGGAAATAAGAGCAGGCGGACAAAGAGACGCGCGCATGAGAGTTATACTTACCACCCGGTTAGACTTGGGGATGATGGCTCTCAGCACTGTCATCCAGCCCCAGATGGTGGCCTTGGAGCCGGGTTGTGAAACAGCAAGCGACCCACTGCCGAAGTACTGCCCAGATTGTCGAAGTGCTCAGATCTCAAACATAACCGGCCGGACGCTCGACCAGCCATGAGCAAAAGATGGAGATTTGCACAAAAGCTGTCAGGGGTCCGCGCTCTCAAAGGCGGGCTAGCCAGTAAACAAAGAGGAAAGCCCCAGGGGAAATTGAGGAATTAACGCAGGGGAAATATGCCATGGCCCATCAGCTCGGCACCTTGGCGGGTCTGGCGTCTTTGTGGAGAGTGATCTTACCATGACCAGTTCGCGCGTCGACGCAGCTTTCCTATACAGGACTGATCTGGCGGTCCCGAGACTGGGTGTTGTAGCTGTGACAGTCGACAGGATAGACGTCTTCGTGCATCGTCGAAGTCTTTCTGTGTCGAGAGGGGTCATTTTCACGCAACAGTGGTCACAGTACGTGACAGCAGATAGATTGCCCTGTCATGGCCAGAACGACTCTAGGAATCCTGGGAGGTGGTGGTGGAACTGCCACGGCGTGCGATGGAAAGGATCGCGCTGTCGGCCAACATTGCTAGTCCCGACTCGGCGCACTAAAATCCTGCTGCTAACTGCTTTTATCAATGTCTCGAATCCCCCTTTCTCGCCGCCACTGAACAGGGAATGCCACGTCCAGCCTTGTAGCTTGCACCTTACTCGATTTTTACGTTTGGGTTGCATCCTGGAGGAAATTACATCCATCCATTCCGGCCAGTAAAGCGACGATCGGGTCTTCGGCGGCAGTCGTCGTCCACGTGCACTGCAAGAATATGCGTATTCGAATAACAAACACCACCACTCCGGGATCCCTGACCATGGCACTATTATGCATACCGATCACACGTACTCCGTAGGTATCCATACAACGGTTCCTTGTCCACGGACTACACGGTTCGGATATGCAGCGACGTCGTGAGATGTGTAGCGATATCACAGTCCTCCAGGCAGGATGAGGCTACTCCGGTCTCTGCTGATGAAATCTCCTTGTCTCTCCGCTTTCAATTGGACCTAGGGTACTTTAAACAAGCCCAGGACCTTCCGGACAACCTTGTCGACGATGCCGGCCTACTTGGTCAGTTGGGATGCAATCAGCACAAGAATTCGTCCTGGGATCCTTTCAACATGGGCTGATGTCAATATTGGCCCCGGCTTCAAAGTCGATCAATGCTATTGTTGCTTCACGTGGCTCCTGCGTCTGCACGACCTCCGACTGCACAGAAATTGCTCCGTACGAGTGTGTAATGCAATCACCGGGAATGTCAAAAAGCGAGCCGTTTGCGAGGCCGTAATACCAGCCATGTAAGGGGAATCGCATGTTATTGTCAGTATGTGACAGGCAATCCATTGTCCGTGTTGCTATGGGACGGCAGACGATCCCATTTTTAGTTCTCTTGAACAATGCGTCGAATCATGGCAAATGATCTGTTTATGTTTACACATATCAACATCGCCCGGTCATCAATGTGGTCAGTGCTGAACAAGAGGTTTTGCTCGGGCTTCACATGGACGGTCAAGACATTTCCATCTACTTGAATGTGGAAAGTACTCCTCGCTGAATATATCGAACATAACCCGGAACCAGGAATACTCATCAAAACATCTCTTGCGTCTTCCCAGCAACGGAAGTAACAATCTCGAGGACCTTGGCCCATTCATCACAGTGGAGTAATTGAAGGCGCCGTATTCAGAATGCATCATCCGAATTGTCGGTTGGCGTTGCAGGGCCAATCTGCGAATCCAAATATCTACAGTAGTTGCAGAGCACTAGAGCACTTGGCCTTGAGTATAAATATGCCTACCGATATCAGAATACAGACAGTGCCAATTAACTCGAGTCTCGAACGGCGGTATGTGCTAGAATTCAAGAGACTATCGTCCGGTTCCCGTCGCGACGTCAAACAAAAGGCTACACAGAATGCCATATTGCAATTTACCATGACCGATCAAGGGCACCGTGCATGGAAGCGAGCGTTATATGTAGCCTCGTCGTATACAAACTACAGTAGGGAGGAACTGAATGTCCGCTGGACTGCTTCTGCCTTGGCCTACGTAATGAATTTCTCCATCACGTCTCGCCGTCGATCTACGACCGTAGACTTTTCTTCACCACCCTCATGTCAAAGACAGATCTTGTTTCAAGACAACGGCTCCTTCACACCGCACCTGCGGCAGAAGAACACGTTTAAGAATGTCTGCCAGGACGACCTCCCGCGCGCAGGATGAGAAGACGGTGCGAGACTGGGGTTTCGGCCACGTCTTCACGTGGACAGATGGGCCACTTGCCCACTACCCTCCACACTCTCATTCCGGCTTGACGACACACTTGATCCGTCGAGGCAGTTTGACCATCACTTACCCACGAGATCCGAATCCTACCAAAGAAACATTCGGGGTCGGCGCGAGGATAGACGTACCGGCGGGGAAAGTGCACGAAGTGTGGATGGGCGATGAAGGTAGTTCGTTCTGATCCTTCGGGTGTGAGCCTGTGTAGCTGATGATGGAACAGGGTGTGAATATGTCATAGGGGAATGAGCAGCACCAGTTTTCAGAGTACACGTGACTGTTTTGTCAAAATATGATGGATTTTACATGGTTCTGTGTCGTGGTATAATAACTTATCAACAAGCACATAAAGTGAGGCCAAAATCCTCCTTCTCCCCCTCCACTTGCCGGTCCAAGTTTAATACGTTCTCTTGAATGGTGGCACCGCTTTGCATTCGTTCTCATCCAGCGTGTGGCCGACAACCGCTCTGTAGCCGAGCTCGACCTTTCCATGAGGTGACTTCTGCCAAGAGAGCGTGTGCTTCATCCAGTTGTCGTCATCACGTTCGGGGTAGTCCTCACGAGCATGAGCGCCACGAGATTCTTTACGGTTTGCGGCAGACGCGGCGGTTTGGGTGCTGTATCGGCATCAGTCAGCATGTATCAACATGGATGGGAGCGGAAGGATAACTTACGCGCAAGTCAACAAGTTTCTCAGCTCCAAGGTTTCCACCAAGTCGGAGTTCCAGATCATGCTTCGGTCCTTGATACCGACCTGGTCGAACATCTGGTCAACCTCGTTGATCCTTCTCACACCCTCGTCCAAAGACTCTTGTGTCCGGAAAACGCTGACGTCGGTCTGCATGACCTTTTGCATGGCGCTTCGGATATCGTAGGTACTCTTGGGGCCATCCGCCTCACGGACCTGGTCGAGAACGTTGATCGAGTCGGCACCAGCATCTGCTGCAATCTCATTCTGCGTTTGGCCAGGAGTGAAGTTGTCACGAATCGTGTGCGACACTGCACGCCCGAAGACAATCAGGTCGAGCAGCGAGTTCGCACCCAATCTATTGGCACCGTGGACGGACACACAGGCGGCCTCGCCACAAGCAAACAACCCAGGAACGACCTCATCTTCTCCCTTGGAGTTGACAGTGAGTACTTCACCGGTATATTTGGTCGGGATACCACCCATGTTGTAGTGAACAGTTGGAAGGACAGGAATGGGTTGTTTGGTGACATCGACACCAGCAAAGATGGAGGCGGTCTCAGAGATACCAGGGAGACGTTCGTGGAGGATTTCGGCGGGCAAGTGGCTGAGCTGGAGGTAAATGTGATCCTTGTCGGGACCAACGCCACGTCCTTCGCGGATTTCCATTGTCATTGATCGTGAAACAACATCTCGAGAGGCCCTGCGATGAATAATGTTAGCCAAGTGCACGGAACAAGATGAAGCCACGGGTAGACAGGTAGTTAACTTACAAATCCTTGGCTGTAGGAGCATAACGTTCCATGAAGCGTTCACCTTCGGAGTTGAGAAGGTAGCCACCTTCACCTCGGGAACCTTCCGTGATCAGACAGCCGGCGCCGTAGATGCCAGTAGGGTGGAACTGGACGAATTCAAGATCCTGGTTGGGCAGACCGGCACGAGCGACCATGGCCATTCCGTCACCGGTGCAAGTATGGGCAGACGTGCAGCTGAAGTAGGCCCGGCCGTAGCCACCTGTGGCCAAGACGGTGTTCTTCGCCTTGAATCTGTGCAGAGTGCCATCTTCTTGGTTGTATGCAAGAATGCCTTTGCATTCACCGCCTTCCATAATCAAATCCAAAGCAAAGTATTCGATGAAGTAGTTAGTGTTGTAATGCAGAGACTGTCCATAAAGGGTGTGCAATAAGGCGTGACCAGTTCTGTCGGCGGCAGCGCAACATCGGTAAGCCTGTCCGCCTTTGCCGAATTTCTGCGATTGACCGCCGAAGGCTCTCTGGTATATCCGGCCATCTTCTGTTCGTGAGAATGGACACCCGTAGCCTTCGAGTTCGATAACCGATCGGGGAGCTTCGCGCGTCATGTAGTGAATGGCATCTTGGTCTCCCAGCCAGTCGGATCCCTTCACGGTGTCGTACATGTGCCATCTCCAATCATCCTCGTGCATGTTCCCCAGGGCCGCATTGATGCCTCCCTGAGCAGCAACTGTATGACTTCGTGTGGGGAAAAGCTTTGTAACGCAAGCAGTGTTGAAACCAGCCTCTGCCAAACCGAATGCAGCTCTTAGACCTGCGCCGCCCGCGCCGACCACAACAGCATCATACCTGTCTCACGTTAGGAGTGTATCATGACGCCAATAAGATGAACTTGCTCATGGTCAATGACTGGGTATTTGCTCGACACGTGAGGTGAGGCCTCCTTCGCTCGGAGGGGGTTGTTTGCGATGATGCGCGCTTTTCGGATGTCAGCAGCTGGCCAAAACGCAAGCCAAATTATCGTCCATACCAGCGGGCCTCGTTGAAGAGAAATGCCTTCGTGTAGGTCTGAGAGCTCGAGAAAACTGTCGCATCGGATGAGCACCGGATCAAGCAAGCCAGTTCTTCGGCATACCTTGTTGGCGGGAGTCAGGCTCCGCAGAATGGTTGAAGAACTCATCTTGTGGCGGCTTCAACGCACCCAGCACAAGCAGAGGAAAATGGACGAAGGACACGAGGACAGGCAAGAAGGAGGAAGGCGAAGGAGTTGGTGGTGGAAAGCTCGAATGCGTCAATGAAGCGTCCAAGCCGAGCCGAGAACCGCAGGTAAAGTTGGGCAATGGCCAATGGCAAGGCCGACAATTGCCAGTCAAGACCTTCGCCCTTCATTGGTCCCGTGTTTTCCCTACGACGGACTCCGCGACCTTACCCGATATTCGACTACTCTCGCTTCCGAAGGGGCAAACAAAAGTCTATGATGTTATCAACGGCAGTACACCACGGAGGGCCTCGATTCAGTAAGATCAATGTGACCACCACATGCCATCTCCAGACGGATGCCCGATCGGTTTTCAAGCTCACCATGTTGACCGCATCGGCAGAAGAATTGAGGCACAAGTGTGGAACGGCAAGCAATGGTTCAGCTGAACAATCTTTCCCCATGGTAGATCAAACGAGTGCAAGCCAATCTGCTCCTTTGTTTTGGCTGTTTACGGGCCTGTCGAACACAAACAACACTTAGAAAGGGGGATTTTGGACATGAAATGCAGCGTAATATTCTGCGTTCTGGAACTATTCTTACACGACAACCGCACCCGCGGTGGATTGTCCGTCGAAGTTCTAGTCTTGACAAACTCCAGGCATAACCATGCTCTTCTATGCTGAAAACAACACTGAAAAAGGCCGCTAATTGTACTGGGCGTAAACATCTACCAGGATCGTTAGAAAGGGACAGGAGAAGCGAAACAGGACGAGATGGAACTTACTCGTAGAGCTGAAGCGGGAATTGCCTTTGATCTGTAGTCACGGTCAGTATATCAGAACCCCCATTACAAATATTTGCAACACGTACAACTTTCTCGACAGATTGAAGGAAATCTTGCTCCGTGGCAACCTTTCTTCTTGCTCGGATGGCGAACATTCCGGCTTCTGTCGCCACACTTCGCAGCTCGGCACCCGTTGCTTGACCGGTAAGTCGGGCAATTAGTTCCCATCTGATATCACGCTCGACGGACATGCTCTTCGCGCTGATATGAAGTTAGTGTCAAGAAAGGGCACACCTCGGCCTGAACTTACTGGATTCTCAAAATGTTCGCACGACCGTCGAGATCAGGCAGGGCAAACTCGATCTTACGATCGATACGACCAGGTCTCATCAAGGCGGGATCAAGAGTGGCCGGCCGGTTCGTAGCGAACATAACTTTGATGTTTCCTCTCGAGTCGAAACCGTCAAGTTGGGTGATAAGCTCCAACATGGTTCTTTGGACTTCATTGTCTCCACCAGCGCCGTCGTCGAATCGAGCGCCACCAATGGCGTCGATTTCGTCGAAGAAGATGATACAGGCCTTTTTCGTCCGTGCCATCTCGAACAATTCTCGAACCATTCGCGCACCTTCGCCAACATACTTTTGCACCAGTTCAGAGCCAATGACTCTGATAAAGGTAGCGTCAGTCCTGTTGGCAACCGCACGAGCACATAATGTCTTGCCGGTACCCGGAGGGCCGTAGAGTAGGGCTCCCTTTGGCGGATCTATACCCAGACTGACAAATCGTTCTGGAGACAGTAAGGGCATTTCCACGACTTCTCGGAGCTTCTCAATCTGCTCTTTGCATCCTCCAACATCCCCGTATGTCACGTCGGGCTTGTCTTCCACCGTCATCATGGTAACGCTGGGGTCGATCTTTGGTGGTAACGGAAGCATGATGGAGTATTTCTGTCGATCCACGCCCACCCGCATGCCTTCCTCTATATCCGTAGGACTGACTCTCTCTCCAAGGTTGACGACGAATTTGGCGATCTGCTTGACGTTGATCACGTATTTGCTCTTTTCAGGATCCTTCTCATCTTGTATTATTTTCGTGCATCGGGCAACTTGGAGAGGTTGTTCTTCAGACATTCGTTGTCGGTCGGCGGCAATATCCCAGAGATGTGGAGGGGCCAGTCCTGTATCTGATTCCTTGACGCCAATCTTTTCGTTGACGCTCTGCTGTTTGTCCTTGATTTGCTTCTCGAGCTTCTTCAACGCGGCTGCGTACGGAGCAGCTCCATACGTCCGTAATACTTGGATATCCCTGGAATCGGTCAGCGGATGTGCATCTATATCTGGAACAACTCACTCCTCTGATAAAGGTGTGATCTTCTTCTCTGGCTCCTCATCATCGGCGAACGTCTTCTGGTACTTTTCCCAGTTCTGGCCTGTGGCACTGGGCATGTTGAGGACTAATTAGAGTAAATCGAGCTGGTGATGAGAAAGGTCGGGGTAAAATATGCTCCTGAAGTGTAATGTCGGCAGGGAGGATAATGGACAATGGCAAGATGATGGGTGCAGGTGCTGTGATGGCGAGTGTTGACCACAGGATGATGAACTCCGTAATCGCGCGGTGCCTGAATGCGCAGGAAGCGAGCGTTTAGCTGCGCATCGATCGCCACTAGTGCCAATGCGGTCACAGCCTGCGCCCGCCTAAACTCTGCACTCGTGAATTTTATATGTGCCTGCCGACGCAACTCAGTATACCGCAACAGGCATCACCGCTCTCCCACCACGCACCTCCTGACAAACCAGTATTACCTGCGCCGGGAGTAGTCTGACACAGTACGGCCACGATGGCGGCTGCATTGGGTATTCAAGGCAATGTTGGCGGCGGTGGAAATGCGGCATTCAAAGTGCGACCCCGGCTCGAAATACGTGTGGACTACTTTCTGACTTTATTTAGGACAAGGAGAAGCCTATGGCGGTTCGGAATGCCAACATCATGGCTGCCAGGGCCGTGGCCGATGCCATTCGAACCTCGCTTGGGCCCCGAGGAATGGACAAAATGATTCAATCCGGCAAAGGGGAGAACTTGATCACAAACGATGGTAACACCATGCTGAAGAGCATGAGCGTGATGCACCCAGCGGCAAAAATGCTGGTGGATCTCAGTGCCGCGCAGGATGTCGAAGCTGGCGATGGGACGACCTCTGTCGTGGTCATTGCAGGCAGCCTTCTTGGAGCCGCCGATCGATTACTAGCAAAAGGCATACATCCCACCATAATCTCGGAGTCTTTCCAGAGAGCGGCAGCGGCGGCGGTCAAGATCCTACATAACATGTCTCAGCCCATCTCTCTGACGGATCGGACCACACTTCTACAAGCGGCTTCGACGTCGCTGTCGTCCAAAATCGTGTCACAACACTCCGGCTTGCTAGGACCCATGGCGGTTGACTCTGTGCTGAAGACCATTGACCCAAAGACTGCGGACAATGTGGATCTACGGAACATTCGCATCGTCAAGAAGGTCGGCGGTACCATCGAAGACTCGGAGATGATTGACGGCTTGGTGCTGAACCAGCCTGTTATCAAGAGCAGTGGCGGCCCGACCAGAATAGAAAAGGCTCGAATTGCATTGATCCAATTCCAGTTGAGTCCACCCAAGCCTGATATGGAGAATCAGATTGTCGTCAACGATTACCGACAGATGGACAAGATTCTGAAAGAAGAGAGGACATATCTGCTCAACATGGTCAAAAAGATTCAGAAGACCAAGTGCAACGTGCTTCTCATTCAGAAATCCATCCTTCGAGACGCGGTTAACGACCTGTCTCTGCACTTCTTATCCAGATTGAAGATCATGGCGATCAAAGATATCGAGCGAGATGAGGTTGAGTTTCTATGCAAGAGCACAGGCTGCAAGCCTATTGCCAATATCGACACCTTTACTGAGGACAAGCTGGGAACCGCGGATTTGGTAGAAGAGGTTCAATCCTCCGGCGCCCGATATGTGAAGATCACCGGCATCCGAAGCGCCGCAACACAGAACCAGACCGTGTCGATAGTGGCACGCGGGGCCAACTCCTTGATCCTCGACGAAGCCGACCGCTCGATACACGACGCACTCTGCGTCATTCGTTGTCTCGTGAAGAAAAAGGCACTAATAGCTGGTGGTGGAGCCCCCGAGATCGAAGTTGCGCAGCAATTAGCGAAGCAAGCACGAGAGCTGACAGGAACCGAAGCCATCTGCTGGAAGGCCTTCGCCGACGCAATGGAAGTGATCCCAACCACCTTGGCGGAAAATGCCGGTCTGAACAGCATCAAGGTAGTGACGGAGCTCCGGCATCGACATGAGATGGGCGAGAAGAATGCCGGAGTGAGCATCAAGAGTGGGGGTGTCAAGACGAACATTGCGGACGAGAAGGTGCTTCAGCCTCTGCTCGTGAGCACCAGCGCCATCGAATTGGCAGCGGAGACTGTCAAGATGATTTTACGGATTGATGATATTGCCTTGTCACGATGATCGAGGAGCCAAACCTCGAGGGCACGACGTATCCACGGCCCCAAAATAAGTGTACTGTAACCAATCATAGAGCGGTAGAGTCATACCCCTTTCAGATGTGAGATTGAAATCTGCTACAGCTTTAGCCTTGGAAACTTGAGGTATGGGCCGTAGTTTGTAGCCGACGACGAATGGCTGTCGGCCAACAGGGTACATCAGATCTTGAGAAATTGTGAGCTACCGTGTGCTAGTGTGCTGTTCCTGGTTTGGAGGCAACAAAGTCATGTAGGTACGGAGTATATCTTATCTATATATGTTCACGGGCGTCCGATTGGCCACGGATCCATCTCACTTTGGATGAAGTTGTTTCTCCTACCTCGTATTTTCCAACTGCATACTTCGGACAGTGTGCGGCGCCACGGTGTTTGGCCGTACTCGTATCCTCCTAGTCTGGGACAAAGTTCATTTGCGGGCGATTGGAGGTGAAGGGGACTCAGCCATCTAAAACTCGACAGCGACACGTGTGCGGGGGCATTTTCACCTGTATATTTATTCAACGCCTGAGGTATCAATCTGGAGTAAGCCAGCCGACGGCGCTTGCAGCAGCAGCCTTTCGGGTGACCTGGGGGATCTATCACATATTGAGAACCTGGCGGTCACTGGCCGGGCCTCTAGTGGTCTTGTCGTCTGAAAAATTGGTGTCGCGAAGCCCCAAGCCGCCTCTGCCACTAGATGTTGCATATAGTTAGCGCTGATGGCCAGGTATACATATATGGGTTGCCTTATCTTGATGGTCGAGCGAAGTGCCGGGTCCTATCTCACCAAACAGGGGTCGACTCGATTTGTCTTTTCAAACGATTAAATACTGCGCAGGCCTCGGGTAGACAGTGCCTGGCGACAACAAAATATACCCAACTCAGGAGAGCGACAGTGTTGTATGTACCGAACCTCGAGCAGCTCTCGCCAAGGTCAGAAGAACAGATCTACCCTGCAGTAGGATCGAGTGTGAGTGTGGTCCTCTGGCTGTAAGCCACGGAAACATACCTGATCATTGATACTTCTAGCTACAGAGCCCCAAGAGTCCCTCGGTGACACTCAGTATGACTTGGGCGACAATCCTGGTGGTCCTTGTTGGCCTCTGGACATTGTCCAGTGTCTACAGCCTGACTCGAAACTACCTCGTGGCTCGAAAGATGGGTCTACCCATCCTCGTCTGCCCGATAAACAGCTACAACCCGCTATGGATGGCAACGGGGGATCCCCCTGAACCCGTTGTACAAGAAGATCCTCCCGCGACACTTCTACGAGCGCGTGAACTGCGCGTCGTACGGGTTCGAGTGGCGGGAAAAGAGCCGCCTTTTCAAACAGTACGGCCCGTCGTTCGTCCTCGTCACCACCGGCGCCATCGAGCTCAGCACAATCGACCCGGGCCTGGTGGCCGAGGTGCTCCGACGACCGAAGGATTTCCCAAACACTGACATCGGAGACCTCATCATGGGTGTGTTTGGACCCAACCTGCTCACGTCCAACGGCGAAAGATGGGCTCGACAACGCAAACTCATTGCGCCCAACATCAACGAGAAGATCAGCGGTTTGGTCTTCGACGAGTCTCGGCGGCAGGCCAGCGAGATGGTCGCTTCGTACATGGACGAGGCGGACGGTGTGACGAACGACACGGTGCGCGGATTGTGAGTTTCCCCGGGGTAGAGCCTACCTCCTTTGCAAATCAAGTATTTTCGCCCGAATCTCCCGCACACAATAGACTTTGGACTTACCACTCTTCCCGATACCCGCAGCAAGGCACTCGCCATCAATGTCCTCGGCACGGCCGGTTTCGGTATACGACGGCCCTGGAAAGAAAAGGCTGCGGCAGCACACGACAGAAGCCGGCGCTTCACGTACATGGAAGCCACCAAGATCGTGGTTGAGAACATCATAGAGGCCGTCTTCCCCACCAGATTGCTCACGCTGCCCATGCTGCCCTCGTCCTGGCGGGACATTGGACACGCGAAGGCCGAGTTCCCGCTCCTCACCAAGGAGATGCTCGAGAACGAACGTAGAGTCCAAGAGAACGCCACCGAGCAGCCACGGAGTAACCTGATGAGCATGCTCGTCCGGCTCTCCAACACCAACGACTCCAAATCGACGCAGTACCTGACCGAGGACGAAATGTTGGGCAACCTCTTCCTCTTCACGGCGGCAGGGTTCGACACCACGGCCAACAGTATGGCGTACGCCCTGGCCCTTCTCGCCACGTACCCCAAGTACCAGGACTGGCTGCACGAGGAGATCAAAGCCGTGATAAGCGACAAGCCCAGCGAAAGGCTCGAGTACGCCGACGTCTTTCATCGGTTGCCGCGCTGCCTAGCGTTGATGGTGAGTCGTTCCGTCCGTGTACCTGGTTCTTTAATGCTCCCTCCGGGGCCCGCGTTACCTATCCTCCCCTTTTCACGCCGCCTGAATACTGATCCTTTCCGATACTGATTATTCTGTTTTGTGATTTCTTCTCTCGCCTTAGCTTGAAACATTGCGTCTCTTCCCGGCGTTAGTCCACATCGCGAAACAAGTCAACAAAACGCAAGACGTCACCGTCACCACCGCTCTCCAATCGTACTTTCTCCCGCGCGAGGTCATGATCTACCTTAGCTCCGTGGCCTTGCACCGCAACCCCGAGATCTACGGCGCCGACCCCGACCCGGACACCTTCCGGCCGGAACGCTGGATCATCGACGACCCGCCGTCGACGGCGCTGGGATCCGCGACACCCACGGCGTCGACGGCAGCTTCGCCGTCGGCATCTGCATACACGTCGACCATCGCCGCCAACGTCAAGGCGATGCCCGCCAAGGGCGCGTACGTCCCGTGGTCCGCGGGACCCCGCGTCTGTCCGGGCATGAAGATGGCGCAGGTCGAGTTCGTGAGCGTCTTCATGACCATCTGCGAAAAGTACCGCTTCGAACCCGTGAGGATCCGCGACGACGAGACGGACGGCCAGGTCAAGGCCCGCCTCGAGGCCGCCATGGAGGACAGCTCGCCCCGGATGACGTTGCAGATGAACAGCTTCGAGCGTGTCCAGATAAAGTGGATCATCAGACAGTAGGAGATACAGTACCACCGCACAATACCAAAAATCCATTCTGCAAAACGTCCAACATCGACATCCACAAGGATCACCGCTCGAAATTTTCTAGTTCTCAGTCCAATGTTTATGTGCGCTTAAGCGCCGACGAGTACAAGTTACCATACGCGATGACAAAAATCTCGTAATGCCACATACAGAACACCTTACTACTTGTTAGCTACCTCGTAAAATACGTGCCTGACGCAGGGTGTGCCGGTCAGCAGCCAACAGCGACAGCCTAACGAGTACGAATACGAGACAGCACTACGTACGAAAGAGGCAGGTTGGGCGACGCGCTTATCTGAAGCCACATCACATGATCTTGAATTTACCTCTGCTGACCTAACCACCGTGGGTAAGGTAAACAATAGAGTACCAGTTCGAGTAGGACAGACTCCTCCTGACCCCTACTGTAGGATACAGGATCCTCCAACATGGGCAGCTCCTGACTATTGAGGACTCCACCTATTGAACAACGCGCAAAAGTCTGTGGTGTGTGATAGAGTGTCTGTACAAAGGCATTTCGATTTTGAGTCTGCGTTGTACGTGAAAATCGAAATGCACAAGGTGCCCACCCACATCGTTTCATCCTCTTTATACAAAGTTGAGACGAGGGAGATGAGATGCGCCTACCCCCCGTGATGATGACGATATCTCTTGTGTACCGAACACACCACTCAGACCTTTTGCGCCCGGATCTGGATCTCCTGCGTATCCCACATAACCTGTTCCCGTCCCATATAAAAATCATCACGATAACGCCGAGATTCCCCCCATCTTGAGCCTCAATTTCCCAACGCGAAAACACAGTGCGCCCCGAGGTTATGAAGAAGACACATCGGCAACACAAAGTGAGTGGCGGTCCGTGGCAATCAAGGACCATGGCAACAGTTTAACAACACCCACATCAGCTACCACCCAACGTCATGTCCCATCAACATAATCACCAAAAGTAGCAGATACACACACAAAAGGTTGGAAAGCAAGCAACACACATCAGGTCGTAACGTCAACATGAAACCCTGTCAAGTTCATGCAGAGGTTTCAGCCTTCTTGGGTGTGGCGGATTTCTTTGGGGCGGCACTCTTCTTGGGTGCTGCCTTCTTGGGAGCGGCCTTCTTCGTGCCAGCCGTGGTCTTTTGTTTGCTGACGCGCCCTGACTTGGTCTTCTTCAGCACTGTTGGGGCATCTGTGACGGCAGGGGCCTGGCGACGTTATTAGTATCCACACAAACAGCGATGGGGACTTGTTGACACATACGGCCTCGGTCTTCGTCTTGGTCTTAGGAGCTCTCTTGGTGGCGGTATTGGCCTTTGGCTTGGCAGTCGAGGCCTTCTTGGGAGCGGCCGCCTTCTTGACCTTTGTTGCGGCGGTCTTGGGCTTAACAGTCTTGGTCTTGGGAGCCTTGGGCTTCTCCTCCTTCTTCTCCTTCTGCAGAATGGTCAGTACGGTGACGAGGACGTCGACATGATAGAGACCGACCTTGGGGGCGGCGGCCTTCTTCTCGGCAGGCTTAGCTTCCTTCTTCGCCAGCTTGACGGGACCCGAGGGACCTGAGAGTTCTCGTCAGCAAGCAGGCTCACGATGCGCAAGTGCGCAAGTGTGCAAGTGTCAATACCCTTGGGCTGCTGGAAGTCGCCCTTCTCGACACCAGACTTCAAGGCCTTGTTGAACAGGGAGTCGAATTGAGACTCGGATGTGATGGTGACATTGTTGTTTGCCTTGACGTACTTCTTGATGGCTTGTCGGCTGCATAGAAGTCAACAATCGGATCACGCGATAAGAGACCCTGAGGCGGCGGCGGCGGCGACAAGGTATGGGGAGATACTGACCTGCTTCCATTTCGCTCCTTGAGCTGTGTTGCCCCGAGACACGTCAGCAATGCCACACTTTTGAAAGGGAATGTCTTCCACAGGTTCCGACTCTTTCGCCAATCTCACGTGGACCTTCTGACGACGAGGTAGGCGGATCCCACGGCATTGAGGTGGTCGCAAATGGAATTGACTCACGTTGATGATAGCGTCCTTGATCATATCTGGCACACAGGGTCAGCATTGGCACGCGACAACAACAAACAGACTCTCGCGACTATGCGACGCAACTCAGGCAGGCAAACACACCTTTGTATGAAGCATGAGCCGGGGCGGCGGCGGGCTTCTTGTCCTTGGGGGCAGCGGCGGCACCGGTGGCTTTCTTAGGAGGCATGGTGACGGTGGGTTGGTGGTGGATGGTCAGATAGATAGATCAAGCGCGAAAGATATGGATCGAGTCAACGGTAGACCGGTGCTGGAGCGGCGGAAGGGAGAGGAAGCAGGATGGGATGGGATGGGATGATGGGCTGTACTCGCTGCGCGCGGCGAGCGGGGGACACGCAGTGTTTATACCTCGCATGTGACGTGCCGCGGGCGATCAGATCAATCCAGCTCAGAGGCCCGCCAGCCAATCAGAATTCCGCATCACGGGCGGGAGCTAAACAGCTGGCAAAAGCGAGCAGCAGTCGAGACAATAATAATAAATCGAGCTGCCAGTCCAGGCGCAGAACAATCAAATGCCCTCCCAGATCACGCGCTGGGCCTCGTCGACTCTCCCGCGCTGTTTCTTGGTTGCTTTGTCCACTCACCTTCCCGCTTCCCTCTCGCTCTCGCCCTCGCCCTCTCCTCTTCCTCTTCCTCTCCGTTGTTCCTCATTCTCCCCGTCACTGTATTTTCTCTCCCGTTGATCTGAACGGAAAGAGGTCTGACCACCACGGGCCCCACCCTTTCCTGTGCATTTTCAATTCCTGGTGTTGCCTGTTTCTTGTTGTTCGTGTTGACCTCTCACCGGCTTCTGATTTTCGTCTTACCTTCTCTCGTGACTTCTGCCGCTTTGACTCACCTTCGTCTGCCGAGAGTTATCTATGGTGTATTCGGCCATCTACTCGCACTTGTTCACGACACTTGATCGTGCAGCGCTCCTAGGTCAGTCTTTTCGGGGTCGCTTGTCGATAAAGATGACATTTGATGCTGGTACGGGCGACAGAGCTTGCAGTTGGATTCTCGTCACAATAACGTGTCTCATATTTGGCCTGGGTGGGCACTCTGTCGCCATTATTGTTACAAAGATGCCTCGTGCACATAGAGATGGGGAAGTGTTGGGCAGACGATGAATCAAGCTCGACCATTCGGAATGCCCGCTCTCCAGCTCACGGCGAGTCATGTGAACACCCAAAGCCCCCGGCATCGCTAGTGCCAAGTCTATCTCGACCTGCGATGCACGTGCCATGCATTCCCTAATGGGCATCTCCCTCTGGTGGTACTCGTAACCGCCCTATTCTCACTCAATCTCCCTATCCTCGCCAGAACGCCATGCTACAGATACAGGGTTGCATTCTCGTTGGTATCGTTCCACGGCCACTCGCATGATCTCGCAGTCCGCCCGGCTCCTCGTTGCCCTCATGTTGAGATATGCGTCCTCGCCTTGGACTCTTTCTTGGTCTTCGCGTCCTCTCTCTTTTTCTTCTTCGCTTCGGCAATCTTTTCGTCGTGCTTCCGCTTTAGGTCCTTCTTCTCGGTTTCGGTCTTGGGGACTGCTTTGAAGAACCCTTCAAGCCTGGACTGTTGTGCCGTCTTGACGTTCTTCTGCAGTTTCTGCGCCCCGCTGCGTACTCGGTCTTCGTTGAAGCCCTTGTCGTTGACGAGAAACTGTACAAGGCCCTCCACGTCAGGTGCTTCCCACTTGAAATCACACTCAGGGTCATCGGCAGAGCGCACGTCCGGGTGATGGAACAGCTCTCTTGCTTCTTTGTACGGCCAGTCGTCAGGAATGCTGTATCTCTTCTTCGGATCATTTTCCATGAACTCCACAACCTTCTCCAACGAGCCATGCTCCCGGATCAATTTCAATGCAGTGTTCGGCCCAACCTTGGGGATGGGGTCCACGTAGTCACATCCGAGCAGGATGCAAAGGTCGATAAACTAGAACAATCAGTCAAGCGTCCCAATGCGCGGCAGGTCACATCTACCTGATTGCGGTCCATGTTCAAGCCCTCCAGTGTCTTGTCGAGGTGGATTTCTTGAATGGGCTCCTTGCGTTGTTCACTGAAGGTCAGATGTCGTAGCAAGATTGGTGAATTGAAGGTCAATGTGTCCATGTCCTCAGAGGCTGCTGCATACACCTTGCCAGCTCGAGCCAATACAGCGCATTGTGCTTCTGCTTCTGTGGGCGCAACGATGAATGGTATGCCCATCAGCTTGAGCAGCTTTCTGCATTCTTCGTTGTGTTCTCTGGTCACTCGCACAGTTCTTCGTGAGAACTTCTCCACTTCCTCTGCGGTGCCAGTCTCCTTCGCCTCTTCATGCTGCTCGTTCGCCTCGTTCTTGCGGGCAAATCGCTTGGCAAGTTCGCCAGACTTGAGCTTTGGCGGTGCTCCGTCGAAGACATATAGAGGTTTGAGACCGTTGTCGACCATACGTAGAGTCCGGTAGAACATGCCCATCAGGTGCGATGTGGTTTCGCCAGTGTCTGACATGAGTTGCTGGCCTTCGGAGCGCACCGCTATGAGGAAACTGTATATGCTCATCGACGCATCCTGTGCCCTTGTCAGCTTCTGCGAAGATTGCGAAAACATGAGACTTACAATGGCGACCTTCCTGCCAAAGTGGTTTTTGATCTCGCCATTCTTGATGGCATCGGGTGCCTCATCGGCAATGACATGATAAAGTCCTGGAAGAAGTTCAGACGAGTCCCGCGCCGGAAAGAAACAAATTACCTTTGATGCCCATGTTTGCGAAAGTCTGGTGTTGTGATGTACTGCCTAGATGGGTTTCTTGTCGAAGTGGCTGCGCAGACGGCAAAAAGTCCGCCGCAGCGCGTTAAATGTGTCGCGTATACGCGCAAGTTCCTATAATGACGTGCACCTAAGCACCCTGCTGCTAGCAAGTCGCCAGGCCGAAGCACCGCAATCCCAGTGGTTGAATGAAACGACAAAGGAAGGGCGTTATCTACAAGAGGCAGTTCTGCCCCTCTCGGAACCTATTGAATATGTGAAGTATCCTCATGGACACTCGGCGTGTAGCACGCTCGTCATGATGCAGGCCCTGGCTCTTGCACTCTTTCTGAGGTTGGAGATGAGCCGCGGCCTTTCCGCGTCGCGGGGATCTGCGCCGATGATCTGTGTCTCCTCTGGAGACTTCTGGGTCATGGCCTCTCTCTCCTTCATCCATCTTGAATCCCTCTCTGATAATGTCTATGCAGGCTCTGTGTCGTCAAGCTGCGCGGGCGCGCTTGGCCTCGTCAAGGGTGCTCTGTCGTCGACACGCCTCTACCCCCGCGGCTTTCAAATGGGAGGATCCCCTGAACTTGTCCAATTTTCTGACCGAGGAGGAGCAGGCCATTCAGGACACAGCATACTCGTATTGTCAAGAAAGACTATTACCTAGGGTCTTGGAAGCGTATCGGAAGGAGGACTACGACAAAGCTATTCTGCAAGAGATGGGAGAGCTGGGCTTGCTCGGAGCCACCATCAAAGGGTATGGCTGCGCCGGAGTTTCCAGTGTTGCTTCCGGTCTCATCACGAGGGAGGTGGAAAGAGTTGACTCTGGATATCGATCAGGGATGTCTGTCCAGTCCTCCCTTGTTATGGGACCGATAGATGAGTTCGGGACGCAAGAGCAAAAGGACAAATACCTGGAAAAACTAGGGAACGGCAAGTTGATCGGCTGTTTTGGATTGACGGAACCCAATCATGGCTCAGACCCTGGTTCGATGGAGACGGCTGCGAAACCGCATCCTTCCAAAGAGGGATACTACAGTTTATCGGGATCAAAGACATGGATCACAAACTCTCCGATAGCGGATGTACTCCTCGTCTGGGCGAAGCTTCAAGAGACTGGGAAGATTCGAGGATTTCTCGTTGAACGCGAAAAGTGCCCTCCTGGTACCCTCGAAACACCACAACTGAAGGACAAAAATGGACTCCGAGCATCGATAACTGGAATGATTCAGCTTGATGAATGTCCTGTGCCGAAAGAGAACATGTTTCCCGATATTGAAGGTTTGAAGGGTCCCTTTTCATGTCTCAATTCGGCACGGTTTGGTATCGCCTGGGGTACCATGGGTGCTCTCGAAGATTGCCTAGCACGAGCCCGTGAATATGCCTTGGAACGAAAGCAGTTCAAGAACAATCCCATTGCCAAGTATCAACTCGTGCAGAAGAAACTGGCCGATGCCGCAACAGACGTGGCATATGGGCTTGCTGCAGCGTACCAGGTCGGCAGGCTGAAGGACGAAGGCAAAGCTACACCTGAAATGATCTCCATGATCAAAAGGCAGAACTGCGACAGAGCTTTGGTCAACGCTCGACACCTCCAGGAAATTTTCGGTGGAAACGCTGTCAGTGATGAATTCCACATTGGACGGCATGTATCGAACCTGTTCGTTACGCAGACATACGAAGGGCAGAGCGATATCCATGCACTGATTTTGGGACGGGCAATCACCGGTATCCAGGCGTTTGTGTAGGTGGCGCCTTACTCTATATCGGTAGCGCATTTGAAGTCCCCTACAGTAGGCATCGAATTGGGGCGTGCAGCCATAAAATCAAGTTTCAGCCCATCAACAGGCGGCACTCGCCTACATGGGGTTTCAGTGTATAGCGTCACAGCTGGCGGCTGTGGAACGAGTCCCAGATACTCCGCGGATCTCTAGGCACAGTAGTTGGCGATGTACGGTGAAGTGCGTTGATAGTAGCACGTAGCTCAGACATGAGAGTGATGAGGCGAGAGTGAGTAAAGGATCTGTAAAGGTTGCTTTGTCATGGCCCGTTCCCAAGCAGCAAACTCCGGGTGAGTTACTGATGTGGTGGCGAAGGGCGAGGGTGGCAGCGAAAACTGAGGAACTTGAGGCCCAAAGCTCGCCGTTATTGGGCGCAGCGGGCAGTGCCAGCAGGTTCCAAGGCTCTTTCATCGCCAAGAACTTCGCCCTCTACTGCATCGTCGGCTGAACATCACCAAGTCCCTTTCTTATTCACTTCCACTACTGAACGACCTGCTCACAATCAAGTGTTTGACGACAATACCCTATACCCTCACTGCTCACCCTACTTACACCTCTACTACACCTCGTCTCCTCTTATCACTTCAGGTTCGCTCTTCCTCCCGTCCTCAGAGCCCAAGATCAACTTCTGTTGCAGTGTTGACTCAGATTGCAGCCCCGCCTTCGCTCGACTTTGTCCACGTTTAACACTCCTCAATCTCCTCCACATCCACACGGAATACATCAAACTCAGCCATGGCGTTGAAGCGTATCAACAAGGAACTCACAGACCTCGGCCGGTATGTCCCCCCGTGTCCGCAATGCCCCGGTTTCTCAGCGTCATCGCAAGATGGAGGCTTGATAAGGCAATTTTTGTTGTTGAAGAAGATGCTGATTGAGTGGCGATACAGTGATCCTCCTTCATCATGCTCTGCAGGCCCTATGGGAGATGATTTGGTATGTAAATTCCGACGGCGCCGTTGCAACTTGCGCCCAGAGTCGTGTCACGCGCCGCAGCGTTGAGAAATGTCCTGGGAGACAAGGCTGATATCTCATGTGCAGTTTCACTGGCAAGCAACCATCATGGGTCCTGTAAGTACCTACTCGAAGCCTGCTTCAAAATTGTCCTAATCGGCCTCGCAGAGTGACAGCCCCTTCCAAGGCGGTGTATTCTTCCTGTCCATCCACTTCCCGACAGACTACCCCTTCAAGCCACCAAAGGTCAACTTCACAACCCGAATCTACCACCCCAACATCAATTCAAACGGCAGTATCTGTCTGGACATCCTCCGAGACCAATGGAGCCCCGCATTAACGATATCGAAAGGTACGACTCATGAGGGCTTATGATTGTAGGATCACCAGCTAATGATCTGCGATAGTTCTGCTTTCCATCTGCTCTATGCTCACAGACCCCAACCCTGACGACCCTCTCGTTCCGGAAATTGCCCACGTGTACAAGACCGATCGCGCCCGATACGAAGCAACTGCGAGAGAATGGACGAGAAAGTTTGCAATCTAATTCCGGAAGCCAGGTGCGAAATGCTGACTGGGCTGCGCTTGGTCTATGGCATCCTTTCAACGCACTGGATGGGAGCCTGTTTTTGCTGCGCGACGAAAGGCAAAGACTGAACGATGAATCTGGTTCTGCGAGGGCGATGGTACGAAATGCATTTCCACGAATGCAACGACAGCCACGGGAGACTTGGGAGACATGGGCGTAGACGATGCAAAGGTGTGCCGTATTCCAATGGCACGATCTGGGATGAACTGTTATGATGCATTACATTAAGGGCGTGCTTTAGGGATAACAACCAGCTTCTGCTATCCAGAATATTGCCGATCATCTTGTTTCATTGTTCTTTTTGCGGCTGCAACGTGCTGTGAACCATACCTGTCGTCAGTGGGGATTGTAATGCTCTGACGCCGTAGCCGCTACGCCGAGCCTACGGCGTTGCGATGTGCTGTGAAGGATCTGTCCAGAAGCATAGGAGGATGGCAAAGATCCAATAGATGAAATGTCAGCGTCTTGATTGACATGTCCACTGATTGATATGCTTGGCTTTCTGCGAAGGGGCCGTCGCCTCCGGATAAAGCCGGTCGAGTCTGTCGTAGGAGGCACCGATAGCCCGCTTCTACCGTGGTTGCCGCCTCCTGCTTCGGCCCAGAATAGTATCCTGGACGTAAGCTTCTCGAGAGCCTTGCAGCACTGAAACAGCGAGCCTGCGCGGCAAGCAGGGGGTAAGGCTGGGTGACAGAAGAGAGGCTACGAAGACCGTGGATATTTGGGCCGTGGCTCGTCTTGGAGCGTTTCCTCGCCCCTAGCGTGTTTCACGTCTAGAGATCCCCCTCGCTTCGTCTGCAAATCACAGCGTCGAACCTCGCTTTCCAAGTTTTCCAACTGTCGCGAAGCTCCAACCCAGCACCGTTCCATCGGAGCACCCACAGCGTCTGGACGTCAATGGCTAGGTGTTGTCTTCTTTTGGTCACGTCCCGCGTCCAGTGAGGAGGGCTCCCTCGCCCGAGGAACGAGCCTGGTGCGCCTGCGTGGCACCCGGGGAGCCCACAAGGAATGTTCGACAGAATCCCCCTATCTTTTGCATACCAAAAACGCTGACCTAGGCCCTTGGGGACGACTGGGAAGCGCCCACAGGTGTCCTACGGTCTTCGTGCACGGATTCCTAGTTATCTATGACTTCTCCCGCCCTCTGATCTTCCGTTTGTTTATGTTGATCATCCTCCTCTTCTTGCTACAACTCACTTTGTAGATAGGCTTTGGTTGTGGTGTTTTACTGCTGACAAGACCCAAACAGCGTTCAATTGCGGGCACGTCTCCAAGGTACGTATACCAACCCCCCCAAACACCGTCATTTCCTCTCAGACTAATTCTGTGTCAAGTGTGCGTTTCAAAAACCGCATCAAGGTTGTGGTCAGTGTGTCCAGTCCCGATCTTTACCGCAGCAACGCAGGCGAACTGTGGGTTGCCGGGGTCGAACATCAGAGCTCGAGAGTCATTTAACGGAGCGACCGCCATGAACTCTACATCACCGCCACCATACTTCTACGAGGTGCCGCTGGGACGGTCGAATACAACGACGCATGATAATGCGCCTATGTACTACCTAGAAAAGCCCTTGGCCAGATCAAACACAATGTCCGCAACCTCTGTCATGACGGAACGCACACGGTCGACACCTCTCTCGAGGTTGTTGTTGTCGGGGGAGGTCAGCGGAGAGGCGCCTCGCGGCTTAACAGCGAAAGAGAAGTTGGAAAGGTGGATGGTCAACGAAGGTTCAAGACGGGTGGTAGTGGGACTGTTCGTGCTGGTTCACGCACTGATCTTTGCCTTCGGCTTCATGAATTATCAGCTGAAGGACAACCTCACAACTGCGCGCGCGACTTTTGGCATCACGTACCCTATCGCAAGATCCGCGGCACTCGTCTTGCATTTTGACGTTGCCCTAATCCTCTTTCCCGTCTGCCGGACCTTGATCTCCTTACTGCGCCAGACACCTCTCAACAGCATCGTCCCTTTCGACAAGAACATCACTTTTCACAAGACCGTCGCCTACTCAATCGTCTTCTTTACTTGGGTCCATACCATTGCGCACTGGAACAACTTTGCCCAGCTTGCAGCTAAGCAAAATGTCGGTTTCGTTGGATTCCTGAAAATCAACTTTCTTACTGGCCCTGGCTGGTCCGGCTATGTGATGCTGTTCGCTTTGATGGCAATGTTCTTCACCTCGATCGAGAAACCCAGGCGTGCAAATTACGAGCGCTTCTGGTCCATCCACCATCTCTTCATCGTCTTCTTTGGCTTCTGGTCAGTCCATGGCGCCTTTTGCATGATCAAGACCGACAGCCCGCCTTTTTGCTTTGGCACAGGTGTCTTCTGGGAGTACTGGATGTACGGCGGCTTTGCCTACCTGTTAGAACGAGTCCTTCGAGAGGTCCGTGGACGCCACAAGACCTATGTCACTAAGGTCATCCAACATCCTAGTAACGTCGTGGAAATTCAGATGCACAAGGAGAGGACGAAGACCAGGGCCGGTCAGTACATCTTCCTATGTTGCCCCGAAATCTCCATCTGGCAATACCATCCCTTCACCTTAACCTCGGCTCCCGAGGAAGACTACATCTCGGTCCACGTCCGCATGGTCGGCAACTTCACCAAAGCCCTGGGCAAAGCTCTGGGCTGCGAAGAAGGCAAAGGCGCAAGAGGCGGTGACAAACGCTCAGAAGTGGTCTCTATGGCACCAGGCGCGGGTCTGACCAAACTACTACCCCGGATTTACGTTGATGGCCCATTTGGCTCTGCCTCTGAGGATGTGTTCAAGTTCGAGACTGCCGTTCTCGTCGGTGCTGGTATTGGAGTCACGCCCTTCGCCAGTATTCTCAAGTCTATCTGGTACCGCATGAGCGCCGGAAGAGACAGCAATATACGCCTACGCAAAGTGTACTTTTTCTGGGTCTGCCGTGACTTTGGATCCCTCGAATGGTTCAAGAGTCTGCTCATGGCAATTGAGTCGCAAGACAAGCAACACAAGATCGAAATACATGCTGTAAGTTGTCCACCGTGCGTCACTTGGGACAAGTTACTGACAAGCTTCTAGTATCTCACTGCCAAAATATCCGCAGCGGATGCGAACAACATCATGCTCAACTCCACTGACGCCGATGCCATTACCGGCTTACGGACGCCTACCAACTTCGGCCGCCCAAACTGGGACATGGTTTTCCGGGCCGTTCGGAAGCTACATTCACCTGGCGAGGCTGGAGTGTTCTTTTGCGGTCCAAAAGGCCTCGGCTCTCAATTGCACATCAAGTGCAACATGTATAGCGAAGGCGCCAAAGGATTTAACTTTGTCTGGGGCAAGGAAAATTTCTAGATTCGCAGTCTTTTCTAGACGATTTTCAGCGTCCTCGTTGTAACAACAGAAGAAAGTTTCGACACTACTATTGGCTTTTCAATACGCATTTGAGCATGACGACAGCACTCCGGACGCACGATTTTGTGGGATTTTTCTCCGCGAAACTCCAGGAGTATATGGCTTGAGGTGTTTTCAATTGTTGCGTTCTTGCAAGCACCGTGACAGCAGAGCTTTGGTTTCGAACGGGCCGACGAGTTTTGTGACTTGTTGCCACTATCATTTATTTAGATATTATATACCCATATGAGCTCGCTCTACGAGATTTACGAGATGAAGGAATGAAAATCTGTTGAAAGGAACAATTAATATTCCACGCAAGCACCTTTTCTTTTTACCTTCTTTTTACCAGGGCGTCCCGTTGAGGTATTCCATTCGGTTCAATGGCCCTCCTATGTTGGAATCTTTCTACAGAAGTCCCCGTATTGATTCTCTACATCAATCCAACAGATTCCGAGAGGGTGGCTCGAGCCGGGACGGCAGGAATTGACGAGATGGACCAGTCTCTCGCGCAGCAAGAGATGACGAGAAGTCGAGAGGACGTGTGTGTCACATTTCGTTTCGTGACTGCCGATCTCGATACAGCCCTTGCATAAACCGGACTAAGTTAGGTAAATCTGTAACTCACAAGCCCCCCCGGGGGAAGGGGGAGACGGTCTCTGTACAGACATGCCACGTCATCTCCCGACGCGTACGAGTACAATATGCTCGTAGTCGTCTCGGGCTCCCCACGAACGTGTGGGAATTTTGAGTAGGGCCGCCTCTGACACAGCAGCCTCAGCACGGAAGTATGCAGGTACAGCGGTGGGACGTTTTTGAGACGGTCTGGATTCTGCAGATCTAACATTTCGAACTCGGGATGGATGGTCAAAACGGAGAACGGAGGAGGACTCGTACTGTACTCTCCCCGGGACGCGACAATGGCGCGAACGAGGAGGTACTTCGGTGAGACAAGCTTTGGACACAAGCTTTTTTCGGGAATCTCAACTGTGAGTCAAACTTGACTCTCGACTCGTAACTTGAAGGAGGGAGCGTCGCGGTCCACCAGGGGCCCAGCCCTACTGAGTAGGCTCCATGGTGTGTCAGGTTGAGAGGGAGCAAGCGGAATACTCGGCATAGGCCCAAGGCAAGCGAACAGATGCACCGGACACAATTGCCTCCATAGTAGTTGAGGTGGTGATTCGGGTACGAAGCGGTTCCGACATCCTGGATGAGCCATGGCCCTCAAGAAACGAGGATGATAGGCAGGTCTTTGCGATTCAAAGAATACCCCGACAGTTGATATTAACTTCCATGCTCTCGACGTCTCTGGGGCGGAGAGACGTCTATGGCGTGCGCCTCCCTCCGGTACACTGTTCGCTGAACACCGAGACAGCGGGGATAGGCGGCCCACTGCCAGCCGTTTACGCTGGAGGAAGAGGGAAGGAAGGAATACTAATAGAATGCAGAGAATGGCAAAGACAAGAGAACATTCCTCTATCTCTCCTGGATCACGAAAGTGATTTTTGCAATTTTGAAAACACATCTCTCCAGACACGGACGTTCCTACAACTTAATTATCCAATTGGGGCCATCTCTACTACAATCAGGAACCCTGTCGGACGAGACACCGACCTATTCGGCAACAAGACTCGATGTCGACATCAGTGGTGCTATTGACCGGCGCGGGCAGTGGTATAGGGTTATGCGTCCTGACACAACTGTTGGAGAAGCAACCAAGTCCACGAGTTCAGGTCCTGACGTTGTGCCCGACGCCCGAGTTGACCGCGCTGGAGACCAAGTACGGCAAGACTCAGCTGAATGTCGTCTACGGAGATGCATGCAATGTAATACACGTAACCCCCTTCTCCCTCCTTCCCTGCCCTGTCCTTGTGCCTGTGCCCGTCCCAGTGCTCAAATGCTCAAGACAGTCCAAACTCTCTGACAACATTATATTCCCGCGCAGACGTGGACCGTGGAAAAGGCGGTTCAGGAGACGATGGCAAACTTTGGCGCAATGACACACCTCATAAGCTGCATCGGGACGATGCTGCCGGTGCAAACCATCCGACACGTTCCCATGGCGGAGTACAGAAATATCTTCGACATCAATTACTTTTCGGTGGTCGACCTCGTGCAGCGGTCGTTGCCACACCTGGCGGCGTCCGCGACAATCCGGAAACCGACCGTCATCATCGTGACGAGCGGCGTGGATTCGACGGTGTTGTACCGAGGCTGGAGCGGCTACTGTACGTCCAAAGCCGCGCTGACGCGGTTCGTCCACCTGCTCGCGCACGAGGAGCGAGACATGGACGTGTACGGCGTGCTCCCGCTCGTCACCAGGTCGCCCATGGTGGAGAAGATCTTCAACGGCGAGTACGACGACGTGATGGTGCCCGAGGAACGGGAGAGGTTCGACGTCTGGGCCAAAGAAGGCAAGATTGAGCCGCCCGAATATATTGCCCAGTCCATCGTCAAGGCTGCCATGGGCGAGATCACGGCCGAGTCGAAGGAGGTGGAGAGAAACGATTGCGGCGCGTTGTTCATCGGGAGTTTGTATCAGAAATGATGTGGGACGACGACTCCTCGGCGAGAAAGCCTCGAGATGTAACAAGAAAAGAAGGTCGTACACTATTGCGTGGGTAAGCGTCGAGCCGGTACCTCCCTTACCTTTCGTGCTCAAACAATCAATATGTGCATGAGCTTATCGTATGGTCTTCGGTCGTTCTGTGTCATTTCGCTGCTCTTGTGCCCTCGAAACGAGCGTGCTCGGTCGTAATGGCGAAGCGGCCTTGCTCGTACATCGATGTAGGTGAACCTATCTCGAGGACTTCAGGACGCTATGCACGAAAAGAGATGCCAAACGGCAAACGAGGCACAAGGTTGCACTACTACGCTCTCTGCCACGGAATCGATACGAGGGCGAGGCGTCCAATTTCGGCAGAAGAGGCTTGGCACGATTCCGCAGCCGCCAGCCCAAAACAATCGGCTCTCATGATCGAAACCGTGAAGCTTGGCGTCTGTGATCTCGGACTCCTCCTGAGACTCCTGCGATATGTAGGTCTTGAACACCGCAGTGATTCGATCTCACTTCGCGCCGATTGCGTGTTTGTGCCCAGACGACGCCAACGCCACTCAGTGGGAGGACGATGGCGATGTGTCACTTGAAATGGATTAGACCACAAATACGACAACGAGTACGAAAACGAGCACGAAAACGAGCAACCTAAAGCATCGAACCCAGTCCACTCACACTGGCCCTCCGTCCATCTCACAACTAACCCATTTGGTCGAAAGAATGCGATATGTCCAATCACTATACGTGTGCGGTGAGTGGAGTGGCCCTCGTTTTCGTATATGAAAGAGTGTGGGTGCGAGGTCGACTTTGAGTAGGCGGCCTACGGCTCATGAAGCCAGGAAGATGGTGGTCCTTCGTCGACCTGGCCATTTACGAGGTTGGTCCCGTAGTTTGTAGTTTACATCTGCTTCCACTGCCAGGCCACTCTTCCACTCATTTCCGTTTGAGGCACGACTATCCGACAGCAGTGGCGTTGGCCTTCTTCTCATCACAGCCGCAGAATCAGGGCATCAAGACTATAAACTCTACCGATATGACCCAAGCGATCGCGTAAGAAGTGTTCGTCCCGAAGCATAGATTGAGCAAGCCCACTAGTTAATACCTCCGAGGGGAACTGTCACCTTGGATGGTTTTCTTCACCCCAGCGTCGTTCATCCATACTCTTCAACTCCTTCGAACGAGGACCTGGTTTTTCATCGCTCTCGTGGTTGGAGGTTATGGTGGTTCCACCTCTCCCTTAAGAGACAAGACCCGTACGCCGACCTGGGTGCTTGCAGTCTGGAGCGGATGCATCGGGGTAAGCTCTCGCCGCTGCGGACTCTATGGTTACCATTGAGGACTTACAAAGCAGCCTGGTTGCACACAGAGAGCTTTGAGATCACATGAAACCCCCGCTGGACTCTTGGACCTTGCATCCTTCAAACGCTTCTTCTCATCCAGATAGCTCCCGCGCTTTTCTCGGCTCCCACATACCTGGAACCCGGACGCATCATTCACCTGACCGAAGGTGCGGCGCATTCAATTATCAAGCTGCTGTGGTTCACAATGATCTTCGTCGTGGGAGATGTCTTGTCTTTCCTTATGCAGGCTTCTAGCGGAGGCCTAACGTCTTCTGGGAATTCGTCGTCGCTCAAGACGGGAGAGAACATGATCGTTGCAGGTCTCGCGGTTCAGATGGTCTTTTCGGCTTCTTCATCATCGTGTCGGTCGTTTTTCACGTCCGCTCGAATCGGACTCCTACCTCGGAAATCCCGGGAGCTGGAAAAGCGAAGTCAATCTGGAAGAAACACATGTACGCTCTTCACAAGTGCGGTTTTCTGATTCTTGCGCGATCACCATTCCGAATAGTTGAGCTTAAGAAGGGGATTGACGGTTACCTCATCTCTCGCGAAGTCTTGCTGTATATTTCCGGCGCGGTTCTCATGCTTGTTGCCATGGTGCTATGTGCTTTACTACACCCAGGAGAGGCCAATGCACTGATGAGTGGTGAACAGTTATGGGAAAGCCTTGCACAATGTCGGTTCAATTCTATGAGTTATACCGTGCTAGATAAAGTAGAGATGGCCATGATGACATGAGATTTTGCGCAATACTTGCAGGAGAAACGTCACCAAAGAGCCAGGAAAAGAGCCACAAGGATCCTGGATTTTGTTAGCCTCTTGTTGGAAGTTGAAAAACTGTCACGGATCCTCGATGCGTGATGTAGCAACAACATAGCGGGCAAGAATTATTCAGAGTGTGGTATTTGCGTCGAAGGGTTGATCGCAGCCCGTGGTGAGTCGTACGAGGTTTTTGAGTGGTTGCCGAGCGTGAGAAATCAAGAAATATATTGTTTGGGGATCCGTGAACCGATTCAACTTCTCTCTATTTACAACATCTTTCTCACCAGCGACCACAACATTGCACGCATCCAATCTTCTCAACATCGCCCTCCACAACCAGTTCCTGTTCGCACAACCATCGAAACCATCAGTGGAAATTGGAGGGAATCAATATTTCATGCCCGTGAGACGTTCGCACAAGAAGTCGCGTAATGGCTGTGCTCAGTGTAAACAGCGGCGCGTCAAGGTAAGAAAGATCCCCATCACGTCCACCTGAATCAGCCCCGTTTTTCGTCGCATTTCTGTCGGATGGGAACAAGCGTTACACTTGGTCGGAGAGGATTCTAAATGTTTGACCATGGGTGTCGTGGTGGTTGTGACGGTGCCATCACCTTTGCGCGAGGTGCACACCCGTCGCTCTCAGTGCTGGGTAAAGCACGCTATACTCAATTGCTGACACATTGGTCGCGAATATAGTGTGACGAAATAAGCCCAATATGCGCCAATTGCGCTAGGCGTGAGCTGCAATGTTCTTTTCTTACGGACAACGACGAGACTACACCAGGCAATGGCGCCTCACAAAGTCCGGCGGCTCAAGGACCACCACCACGCCCTCGTTCGAACCCGGCATCGTCAACTCTGCGGGCACAACCACCGACAAACCACCTTCAGACGGCGGCGCCACCAGGCCTTCTCCCAGCGACTAGCGCAACTGTCCTCGATCCACAAATCCAAGCCAGGCACATGCTGGAGCTTGAGCTCATGCACCACTACTCGACCTCGACGTATATGAGCTTCTTCGGGCTCCGGGACCACGTCGCGACGGTCAATGCGTGGCAACGCTTTGTACCCCGAGAGGCGCTGAAATACGATTTCCTCATGTATGGACTATTGGCATTCACGGCACTGCACATTGCCAAATTGACGCGACCTGCCGACGACAAGCTCGACGAGTCCACGGCCATGGACACAGATGCGGACGCGGACGCGGACGCGGACGCCGACACGGACACGGACGGTGTTGGCGGCGGCGGCAGCGGCGGCGGCGGCGGCGAGGCGACCTTTTCCGCGCCGTCGTCATTCTACTTCCAAAAGGCCCTCGAGTATCAGAACGAGGCGTTTCGGTCGTTCCGCTCGGTGCTCGACCACGTCACGCAGGACAACTGCAACGCGGCATTTGCCTTTTCCGTCCTCACGACGCTCCTGGTCATCGCCGTACCCGGCTTCGAGGACGGGAGCGAGAAGGAAGACGGGACCAGCAACAAGACGATGCAGGCCGTGTTCACCATGTTCGAGTTCCTCAAGGGTCTCAGCTCCATCGTCGCCGCAAGCGGGGAGTGGTTCCACAAGGGCCCGTGGGCGCACGTCCTCGCCCACTTCCAGGAGTTCCAAGAAGGCCACTGGGAGCTGTCGGACCCGGACTGCCTGCAGGTCCTGCGGCGACTGTCGAGCCTGAACGAGGAGCTCAACGACCCTGCGGACCCGGCCGAGGGCTCAAAGTTCAGAGTCAACAAGTGCGCCATCGACAACCTGGAGCGGTGTTTTGCAAAGTACCATGTCCCCGCCGTCGTCAGAGGCGGCGGCGGCGGCGACGACGTCGCGGGTGTGGGTGGCGGCGAGCGGGATGTCGCCTACAAAGGCCACATACTGGGTTGGCTGACCATGGCCGGGTCCGACTTTGTCACGTCGCTGCACCGCGGCGACTCCCTGGCGCTCCTGATCTTCCTGCACTGGGCCGTCCTGCTGAAGAACCTCGAGTCGTTCTGGTGGTCGCACAACTCTGCAAAGGCCCTGGTCGCCGAGGTCGCGAGCATGCTGCACCCGCGCGGCAGCGAGTGGGAACATCGAACCATGTGGGCTCGTGAGAAGGTCGGACTGCCTTAGTTAACTGTACTCGTACTTACTTACTTTGACGGTTAGCTGCCTGCGTACGGATGCCTGGAGGTACTTTTGTGTGCTCCGTGGCCCTGCCCGGCGATTTGCACCGGTTGAGTTACTTTCCTTTTGACTGTGCCATTTACGGCACTCTTCCTCGACTGCGCGATCTACGGCTCGCATTCGGCGTTTTTCGAGGTACTTCCAGGCACTCGGCAGGTGCTCCTGTCGTATTACCAATGTACCTACGCCTGAACTCGTACTCCATATCTAAAAGCAATACGAGACCAAGCCCAAAAAAAGAAAAGAAAGGATCGGCTTCACGGAACAACCTTTTTAAATAGTCTATTTTATGCTTCGTCTCCCCAGCCAACTGGCGAGCTACCCAAGGCAAGTCCGTAACATAGGTAATATAGAGTAGCCAATTTGCCCACTCTCGAGGTGTTATCGGCTCACTCTCGCCAATTATACAGGTATCAGACAGATGGCAAGAGCCCAGCAGTAGTTAAGCGCCTTTCGCCGTCCGCAAGTACTGTAAACCTACCTAACTTAGACACAAGGTAGTATTGGAGCCGTGGTATATGCAAAACCGTACCCTGCCCTACTTTCCCGTACCGTCTGGTCCGAACAGCTTCCATGCAAAAATGGCGAAATACCATCACCGAAAAAACCAGATCCAATGTTCCTCACCCAAAAAAATCATGACACAGATAAATCGTCGATATATCAAACAGGGAAAAGACGGTCGCCAAGGGAGCCGAAAAAAAAGAGAGCCCAGGTCCCGGCTTTAGATTATATATACCTATAAGGTAGTTATCCCACATGACCCAACGCCGTCATGAGGTTGTTCTTTTTCGCCCGAGTAGAGTTTGTAATCAACAAGTTTGAAATGTTTCGGCTTTTGTTCCCGTCGTTGGGGTCGTAAACGTTGGCGGCGTCATCACCAGACCCCAGATCGCTTTCGTCGCGGAACGGCTGTCTCTGAGGCCGCAGGGCAGTCGGTTCCTCGGCGTCCTAGTCTTTGACGTTGACGATCGGCGGGTTGTTGGACGTGGCCGACTTCTCAGCGTCGGGTCCGGCGTTAGGTTTCGCAGCGGTACCAATCGCCTTGGGCGCGTCGGGCATGCTGTATAGATACGTGGCGTAGAAGACGAGAACCGAGCCAAACAAGAAGAAAATAGTCGGCGTGAAGTCGAAGATGAAGACGGACGCGACGGTTGAGAGGATGATAGACAGGGAGGTGGCGAAGCCCTTGAGAATGTTGTCCGCGTACTTGATCACCATGGCCACGATGAGCCCGCCAGCAGCCTGGGTGCAGATGGTCAGGACCACGATTGGATTGTAGCCCTGGAAGAAGCCGTTCGCGCGGATGGCCTCGCCGTCCCACATGTAGGCGCCGAAGAGGGCGATGGCGAGACAGCCGATGCTGAGCTGGATGTTGCGCACCCAGATCGAGGCCGAGTGGCCGCCCTTGAGCACCTTTTCAAAGTACACGCCCGCGAAGCCCGAGCAGAGACACGCCACGGCCACGGCCACGATGCCGAGCATGTAGTTGCCCTCTTGATTGGTTTTGTTCTGCGTGCTGCTGCTGCTCCCCGGCGAGGGGATCTGAACGCACGCTACGCCCGCGGTGAGGATGACGAGCGCCAGCCACTTCTTTCCCGACAGCGTCTGGCCCAGCATGAGCACGGCGAAAAGGGCCGTGGTTAGGATCTTGCATTGGTACGTGACTTGGAACGTGGCGGCGTCGAGGTTGGACGCAGCCACAAACTGTAAGTTGTTTTGCAGGGTGTAGAGGACGGCGGGGACGAGGAGTTTGAAGAAGCCGCTCTTGACGCTGAATATGTCGGCCCAAAGCTGCTGGAAGGTGTATGATGAATGGTTGGGGAATGCGCCGCTGCTGTCGTCGCCTGCGAACGACGGCAGTTTCGAATACTGCGACTGGGACCGTTGTTCGCGGAGGTGCAACCAAAGACAGATTACACATTTGAGGAGTTCGGACAACACGACGGCCGTCGAGCTGAGGTACCGTGGTCCAGGCAGGATTCGGGAATACCGCATGATGAGGACGAGCGAGGAGTTTTGGACGACGAGGGTCAGTAGCGACACGTATTTCGTCGGGACCCCGTAGATGGTCGCGATGCCATCTGCGAGCTTGGTTAGTTGTCTTCGCTTCGTGCCTACGCGGCGAGAGGGTCTGGAGTGTTTATGTACCTTGAGGAGCCATTGCGAACCTGGGACTCTGGGATAGCAGAGGGTGACGAGGGGTCTATCGGGGATGTGGTGGGCTTGAATATAGGTGAGAGTGGTAAGGGTTGGTCGTGATTCTATACGAGGATTCCAGAAGTCGGGAAGATAAGAGACTTGGACAAACGAGTGACTGGTACCGGTAGATGAGGTACCTGTTGCGACAATGTTCAGAAGAAGGACATGGTGGTGAATGAAAAGGCCAGAGAAAATGGTCCCGCGGTTGAGGAACTTTGTCCTTGAGAGCGACTCCAGAGCAATAATATGGTTAGGCGAAGGCCTCCACTCCTGGTACGGGGTTCGTTGGCGACGTGCAGATGGGATCCCGGACGAGAAATGAGTAAATTAAAGGGTGCGAGGTCTGGACGGGGGCCAAGGCTGAAGGCTTGTGCTAAAGCCTCCATATGCATGCACGGAGGACTGAGATGGCAGTCTCCCTGGCTGGCTGACAGCGGTGCCGTGTGCCAGGTGCCCATCTCACATCCATCAGATGCTCCCAGAGGCCTTTTCTTTTTCCCGGCTTTGAAACAGAACTACGTCTTCTTTGTTTCTTCAGGTGTTCTTGCATGTGCTGGACTCCCCTACCCAGCAGACATGGCTACCTTGGAGATGGTTTTTTTCCAAGCCCGGACACCGCACCCAAACGTCCCCGGTGTGCCATGCAGCAACGGCCAATCTACCGGACGCTAAGCCACGGCTGAAGGTGAGATTGCCTTCGTGCCTGAACATCCAGGGTCAGATCTAGACACGGCACCAACCAAGACTGGTTAAGCCCACAAGCCTCTCCGGAGTCACTTCACCCAGCAGCCCGGATAAGCTTCGCTAGCCTCTTCCACATTGGTCGTTAGTCTTTAATTAGAAGTATCTCTCCCTTGCCACGCTGGTCTCAGCGCCCGGCTTATCGATAATTTGCGATAGGCTTGACGTTCTTTGCATACAAGTACAGTGGCGAGAGCAGACGTCTGTTCACGCATCCAGCTTTCCAACCCTCTCGTATGAACTCAACAAGTGCCCTGCACAACAGCCATAGAAATCCCTTCAGCTGGCGTAACTGAAATGGAAGGGATCAAGACGAAATGGCTTCTCGGCCACCGGCTCACCCTGGAAGAACGCCAACAGCCATTCCTTCACCTTCAGCTGCACATCGTACGAGACATGTTTCAACACCCAAGCATATGACGCCGCTCTCCATATCCTCCTGCTATGATCGGCACTGTGATCGTTGACCTGGATTTGCCACATGATGTTGTTGCAACTTTGGCCCATCAGATGCAGGTCCTCCACCTGCTTGTGAATGCCATCCATGTACTGCTGCAAGCTCCGAAAGTCACCGGCCTTGTCCAAGGTAATCATGCCGAATGTAAGGAGACACGTCACTTGGAATATCATTTCCAACCGACGTTGTTGAGTGAGTTCGGCATCTGAAGGCGGCTGGCGCTCGACGAGCGCGAGAAGACTCGAGTCTGGCTGCAGTCCGAATGAATGTATGCGTGGTGGTCCTGGTGCTTTGGTCGTTTGTGCTGTGAGGCCACTTATCGTCGACAGCGACTTCCAGAGCTCCCATATGTCCCCCAGGAACCCGTTCAAGCCGTTGACCAGCCTGTCCAGGCCCGACTCGTCCCAGATATAGCTTTCCGGGCTTGTCCCATAAATGCACTCGAAGAAACACATGACTCGAGACAGGAGAACCGAATTAACAGCAAGAGGTCCGCCGGTGGATTTGAGGATGCGTCTCACCGCAGAGTAATGCATCCCTGCCGCATCTTTGGCGCCATTTCGTCTGTCGAACGTGCCCAGGCTGATGATCGAAGCAAGCAAGTCGTCTTTTCGATTGGGCGCAGCCTTTGCACTCAGGACCCGTAACATCTTCAGTGCTTCGCCTTTGTGCCTCATCACTGCCATGTTCAACTGGTCCTTTTCGCTGTCTGAAGCATATTTGTTCAACCCAATGCGATACAGTGCCGAACGAGCCAAGATGACTTGAAAGCACGCTGGCGTTGTCAATGCGATGGAGAAATTGCTCGCAACTGGGTGTGGCCGAAGCCGTGGACTGAAGCCATAGGTTGCTTTGGGATAGTAAAGCAGATAGAAACTGATCAGGTGTTCTTGCAGGCGATCCAGGTTCACGGGCAACGCAGCGAAAGGGTCGAGTCGGTCAGAAAAGGGCTTCACGCTGTATCGGACTATGGCGAGAAGTTTCTGTTCTGTCGACAGCTCCCTGAAGTTCTTTTGTCTTTCTTTGCCGCTTTCATCTCGCGGCTCTCGAGGTGGCAGGCCGTGTGAGTCGAGAACGGCCGACTCCTTCTTGACGTGGATTAAAGTTGTACTCGTCGATGTTGGACTGGCCATATCCCGCTGATCACATCTTGTTCGGTGAATCGAGTGTCGTTGAAAGTAGGTCCTCGTTCGAGCACGTCCGGCGTTGTAGGATTCATGGGTTAGACTAAAATTGCCCTGGTCACATATGGTGCTATACTCCTACTCGTAAAGGTTGTATCACCGACGAGGCTACGACCATTGAAGCATCCATGTTGGGGGACACTCAGGTCTTGGATAGGCGGGCTGGTCCTTTTAGTGGCTTGTCAGCAGCCCCTAAAGGCGCGCTACGGGCCCCGGCGCAGCACGCTAGGGGCACGGGATTGTGTTTCCGGGGACAGCTAAGCCTATAGGCCATAGGCCATGCTGGGAACATCCTGCTCCTCCGCAACTTTCCCACCACTTGCATGACGTTTGACTGTCACTTCGGAATCACGCCCCAGCGTTGTCAACTTCTCACTGATCAGTGATCGCACGCCTTGAAAATGGAGTGTATGGAGAGGAGTGCCTCACAGATGATACGTCATGCTTGAATCTCCGCGTCGTAAGGAGATGGTACGGTGTGTAAGGTTGTACTCTATGTACACAATGTCGAGGCAAACCCTCGAGTCTGACTGGAACCCTCGACAGTGTGGTCTCGACGTTCGTGACACCAACAAGACAGGCAATGGTTCCTAGGGCGTTCCCAGACACCTATACCCTTCGAAGCCACGGCCGGGCTCGCACATGCGATTACCGCGTCTTCATTGAAAAGAATGGGTGCCCCGTCTCCCCCTTCCATGACATTCCGTTATATGAAGACAAGGACAGCCATGTCTTCAACATGGTCGTCGAGGTTCCAAGGTGGACTAATGAGAAATACGAGGTAAAGACCGTCGTGTCTTTTCTTCTGGTTCTTATTCTTCAGCCTTAGCAGAGCGTAGACATATTGTTGTTAAACGCTACAAGGCCGAAAGCACCACCTCTATTGTCGTCAACACCACCACTCATGTATCTACCTCCACACACTGTCATACTGACCGATGACGGGGTATAAAACCTCTCACTTGATACTTATAGATCTCAAGAACCAACACCCTGAACCCTATCCACCAAGACCAAGCCGGCGGTGTCCCAAGGTACGTGCGGAACCGGTATCCGCACCACGGCTACATATGGAACTACGGCGCTCTACCTCAGGTTTGTACATCGAACCCTGCCGCCGCACTCGTCTTGTCCTGCCCAACAGCTTTTTGCTTACCGACTCTTGTCTTTCCAAGACCTGGGAGGACCCCAACTACGTACACCCCGACACCGACGCCAAAGGCGACAACGACCCAATCGACGCATGCGACATTGCGCAAGCCGTCTCTTACGCCGGCCAAGTCAAACAGGTCAAGATCCTAGGCATCCTCGGGCTGATAGATAGCGGGGAGACGGACTGGAAGCTCATCGTCATCGACGTCCGGGACCCGATGGCGCAGAACATGCATGATATCGACGACGTCGATCGCATCATGCCTGGTTTTCTCACGGCCACGAGAGAATGGTTCCGCTTGTACAAGGTACCTGACGGAAGTCCACCCAACGACTTTGCGTATGATGGCAATTACCAGAGCAAGACGTCGGTTTCTTCCACCCTCTCCCCTGAATCATCAACCGCAATCACGTCCTCCCCCAAAGTCATGCAATCGACTGCTAACTTGCACGCACCTCCACAGGTTCGCTCGCGGCGTCATTGAAGAATGTCATCGTGCCTGGGACAAGCTGATCGTCGGAAAGAGCGAATCTGGCCAGATTAGTTGGTATGTGGTAGTGATGGTCAAGGTGATGGTCACGGGTCACTTCGTGTTTTTGTGCCTTTTATCTACTACTCTTCAACCCTGTACTGACGAGCCCCTGGCGCAGCACGAATGTGACGGTGGACAAGTCACCCTTCCGGATCGATCCCGGCGATCTGGACATACCCAAGGATGAACATCTGAAGCCAGCTCCGAGGCCAAAGGTCATTGATGAATGGTTTTTTATCCCTGCTCGAGACGTTCCTGGCGAACATCAAGGTTGATAATGGAATACGGTTGCACAGTCAATGAAGTATCACGCGCGGATTCCTGTCACATCTAAACCTTTGCCGTGGCTTACCAGAACTTCCCTTCTTCAGCTGAGTCTACGCTATAGCCTGGCCCTTTCAGTATCATCTCTGACCCTCACACCTCGTTTCCTTCCCGGCTCTTTATCTTTGACCTTTAGTATCCGCCTCAGCAACTTCCCCGTCGGGCTCTTGGGCACTTGGTCGGTGAACTCGACCTCGACGATCCACTTGTAGCGCACCTTCTTCTCCTTGACGAACTTCAACAACATCCTCCCGACGGCTTCGGTTGGGTCCACACCCTGTTTCAGCACAACGTACGCCTTTGGCCTTTCGCCGGCGTACTCATCTGCGATCCCCAGCACCGCACAGTCCTCGACCACCTCGTGACCGAGCAACAAATCTTCCAACTCGGCCGGCGGCACCTGCAGGCCCTTGACCTTGATCATCTCCTTTATGCGATCCTCGATATGCACCAGGCCCTCGTCGTCAAAGTGGCCTACGTCGCCCGTGTGGAAGAATCCGTCGGCGTCAAAGGTCTCGGCGGTCGCGGCGGCATTGTCGAGATACCCCATCGCGATCTGTGGGCCCTTTGCGCATATCTCGCCCGTCTGGTTGGGGCCCAGCTCCTCGCCGGTCGTCAAGTCGAGAACTTTCGCGACGGTGTTGGCGACCAACATCCCCCCCGTCGTCGCGTACTTGTAGTCATAGTGCGAGGGCGGGTGCGCAGTTATGCACGCCGTCGACTCGGTCGCTCCGTACCCCTGCCTGAATCCCGTCCAGGGGAACTTCTTCTGTAACAACGATATAATCTCCGGCGAGATGGGCGCCGAGCCGGAAGACCACCTCTCCACGTGCCGAAGGTCATAATTGTCGACGATCTTGTCCCGCACCAGCCGGATGATGATGGGCGGCACCAAGATCAATTCCTTCATCTGAAACTCGCAGATTGCGTTGAGCATGGCTTCCATCGTGAACGCCGGTAACATGACGCTATCCCCGTTCATGAAGACGGGGTAATGGCAGAATCGGACCACTCCGGTGACTGTATTGTACCGTTTTCAATCCAAACTCGTCAGCCATTGCAACACAAATTACGGTATACCTTGGTTTCACCAAAAAGAGTAGCAAAGTCCATGCCGAGGTGTGTAGATAGAGAGGGTAGGTACGTACTGTGGAATAACGGCATCACCGCTAGAATCTTGTACTGTCCCGGCGCCTGTAGCTGCCTAAGTTGATGGCACTGTGCGATGATGTTTTGATGGCTCAACATGACCTAGACAGGTAGCAAGAATTTCATCGTCAGTGACCGGTAAGGGTTTCCACAGTCCATTATCCCTCGTCCGTACTCTCGCCTCCTCTGACTGTCCAGCTCAGATTTCCAGTTTATGTCGAGATATGACTTGCCGTTCCATGTCTCAAGCTCGTCGGCGCTTGCATAGCTGAATGTTGCTTTCATCCTCACGAAAAGACACGCAGAGAGAGAGAGAGAGAGAGAGAGAGAGAGAGAGAGAGAGAGAGAGAGAGAGAGGGAAAATGGGAGGACAACGACAGGTTATTGGAGAGGAAAAGCCAACTCACAGCTTTAGGAAGCCCCGTCGTCCCGCTGCTAAAATTCAGATATCCGCAAACATCGGCGTTGGTCATTCCAGAGGGTATGCTCCAGGGTTTCTGTTCTTCGTAGCGAGCCCGTGCGGCCGCGTCCATGAGATCTTGTATGCTCTTGAACCCCTCGGCATGGCCTTCCAGCAGAAACACATGCGACGCAGGGATACCGACGTCCCTCGCGGCGGCCAACGCGACGTCCAAGCTCTTGGGTAGTGTCATGAGGATCTTCGTCTTGGCCACTCTGAGCGCGTAACTCATTTCCTCGAGGTTGTAAGCTGGGCTGGCACCGTTGACTCGACCGCCTGTGCAGAACAGGCCAGACGAAGGGTCAGTTTATGGATTGAATTTTTGGTGAATCCCGGGGCGGGGTTGCAAGGGCTTTAAAAGGGGCACGGGGATGAGCAAAGGCAAAGCAAGGTACAAGAAAAACAAAACAAAAGGAATTCCAGGTGTTATGACCCAAACGCCTGAGGCTGTAATCAAATCACCAACCCAAAAAGAAGAAAGAACCGATAAGGCAGCGCAAAGACATGATGACATCGGGGCGACGGGTGAAGGCAAAAAAAAAGACCACTGAGAATGTACTCCTACTCACCACCTCTGACAACGGCCCACATGGCAACAGGGTACCATATCGTATTGGTGCTGAACAACGACACCGTGTCGCCCGGCTTGAACCCGTATTCCCTGACCAGCGCCGTGCTCAAGAGCGTGGCTTTGGTCTTGACCTGAGCCCAGTCCAGCCGCTCCTTGGTGTCGGCGTTGATGTAGCCGCGCGAAGGCCCCGACTGGGCGTTGTAAAGGGGCGAGTAGGATTTACTCTCGAACGCCCATTCCCACGTCGTGATGTTGTCGGGTACTGTTGATAAAGTTGTGTGTGAGTGTTGCGCCATCAATGTAGGACAATGTGGTACTGGGTACATACGGTGTATCTCCCGCCGAGAGGGAGGGAGGAGGGAGGAGGGAGGAAGGGGGAGGGGGAGGGGAGGAATAAGTACATGGGTCGACGACCTCAGGGTATGGTGGGATGGATGGCTTGATGCGGTGCATTTGGAAACATCTTGCAGTGCTCTATCCCCAACCACAAAGGAAAGAGAAAAACGGAACAAAAAAAACCCACCTTCGACGTCTGGATGTGGACTTTTGAAAAGAACCATGGTCCGTCTTGAACACCCAGGTCCAGGTGCCTAACTACCCACCTGACCCGAGTGAGGTACCTTGATTAATCAATCGCACGACCACTCGCTCCCTCACCGTTCACTTAGGATCTAAGAGGAACCGCGCCTCTTCCCCCGGCCCAAAGCAATCGCCCTGTTCTGGTTCGTAACTCGTGCCCGCGCCAAAAACTCTGAGGAGGGAGAGAAAGAGAGAAAGAAGGAAAGAGAGAGAGGAGACCACTGGCGTCCAGAGAACAAAATAATGGTTCTGATGACGAGCTCCAAAGATGTTCCAAACGTCCAAAAAGGGTTCAAAAGGAATAGCAGAGAGGCAAAAGAAGTTCAAGAGTAATACAATGCTGTCAGTCTTTTCACAGTGTATGTGCGTCCATCTCTCTCCCTCGGTACATTGGTCCACGAAACTGGAAAAGATCGGTTTCATACAAACACACCCCTACAAGGAAGGACCTCCAGAAAGTTCGGGGATCTTGTTCCCACACGGCTATATCGGCCTCGAAGGACTGGGGTAGCAAAAATGAGGCTTCGCCGTTCGCGAAAAGCGGAGTCAAAAAAGTCCACGCCGATCTTTGCATTGTCCGAGACCGGTGGGAAACCTCGGCTGAGTCACTCACTCACTGACACCATATCAACCATTCCATCGAGTAGCGTACTATTAGTGACCCCAAGTCTGTAGGGATGTACATCTCCCCATTCTCAACAAGTATCCAAGCATCGTACGAGATGCTTGTCTTCATTAGGCATGTCCATGGATCATGTTGCTAGCAGCAAACCTAAACTGAGCCATCATCATCGTCATTATTCCCCTTTCATAATATCATCTCTCATCTTCTGCATCTATTGATGATCTATCTGATCATGCTCCAACTGGTGTTGACCGAATTGTCGAGTCGAAGCCTCCGAGGCCAACTCCAGAGTCAACCCTCCTGTCATTATGAGCCGCACCTCTATGCCCAAGGCTTTTGGCCTTTTGCACAATTGACCTGAAATCAACCTTGGGACCATCCGTCCATCCGCCCTTCTCCGTTTGTACGCGTGCTGATGGCACGTTCTCACCACTGACAATGCACAACACTGTCATGCCCCTTCTGTATTTCAACCCACTCAACAACTTGGGCGTGATCAGGAAATATTGACTACCACCATCGTCCGCTGCAATGTCCACCATCCGGCCATGCACCATGCGCTCGTTCCGAGGATCCATACCTTGGTTGATCTCATCCACAACGCGGAAAGGCGCTTGACTCAGACTTTGCATGGCCATGAGATAGAATATCGTACTCACTGCTCTTTCTCCGCCAGATTGTCGGTGACTGTCAAGAAGACTGAGCGGCTCTTGCTCGCGGAATTTGACACTGATGTGAATGGCCCAGTTCGCAAAGTCGAGTCCGTTGTCTGCGCCTCCATTCTCTTCCGTACAGTCTGCAGGCATGTCTGAAGATGCCTTGTAGACAGCCACCTGACCCGCACACCCAATCCTTGCAAAAGAATCGGAAAATGCTTCATTGATCTTGGAAACGACAGCCTCCAGACGTGCTTCCCACTTGCCACGAATCTCTTGGATACCGTGCTTGAGGTCGGCTTGCTGTTGTGCATCGTCTCCGAGTTTGACTCTCAGTCTCTGAATCAACTTGGCTCGGTCCTCGTATTCCTTGATGATATTGGTACTGCCTCCCTCGGTCAATTCAAGTTTGGCTTTCTCGGCATCTATTTCGCCTTCGAGAGCTTCTAGAGTCTTGACTTGTTCGGCCATACGTTGGATCAGCTCCATAAATCCATTGTCGTCTTCATCTTGCTGCAGCTGTTGGGCTTCGGCTTGTATGCGCTGACAATCGGAGTAGAGACCCCTCGCTCGCTCGTGATGTGTTTCGTGAACCTTCTCTGCTTCTGCAACCTCTTTCTCTTTCTCCCTGATGGCACGGACAATCTGCTCGTTCTGGCTGGCCAGGTATGCAAAGTCTGAAGTCGCTTCGATGTGCAACACTTCAGCCTCAAGCAAAGCGGAAGACTTGGTTTTGACGGCCCCCACAGCCGAAGCAAAGGCTAGAACCGCGTTCGTCTTTTCTATCACGGCATCAGCCAATCCGTCATTCAGTCGCTTCACACGCTCTTTGGACTCTGCCAACGCCCTCTCCACGATTTTGATCTTTTCTTCTCTCTCCGCAATCTGTGCGTCAAGCTTTTTATAAGCCGCGTGAGCAGCCTGCTTCGTGTCTCTTTCCGACCGTTTTGCCGACTCTTCATCGGCCAGCTGTTTTATTTGGTCATCAAGCCGAGTAATTTCGGCCTTGAGGTTGTGGAACTCGGTCGACATGAGCTTTCCTTCACCGGTCACTTCATTAATTTGTCGTTGAATAGCTGTCTGCCTCCCCATATCGACGGGCTGATCTGTCCACATTTTGGCGGCACGAAGGTCACCTACACGAGACGAGGTACCCGCAGTGCCATATTCTGCTCGGCGCATGAATTGGTATAGTTTTCGCCCAGCCACATAGCTGGCTATTGAGGTTGCGGCGAGCTGCTCATGCTGTTCTTGGGTCAGTTCGGCAGAGCTCATGGCTGCGCGATGAAGGTTTCTTTCGGCGCAGAGCATCGCCAGGACAGGCGCTGGGCCTTGTATATGGTCGATCGCCCAGCTGGTCAAACCAAACTTCGCCATCTCTTCTGAGTTCAAGGGCCGATGTGTTAGGTGTTGAGAGTTAGCGGGAGGGCAGACCCGGAGGCTGACGTCGTGTAGCTTTAGTCCCCTTGAAAGCTTGTCTTGTAGCTTTCTGAAATCGTCTTTGTTCTGAACGGTGATGATTTTGAAGTCGTTCTGTTGAAGGAGAGACTCGACAGCATCGGCCATTCCGGGGTCTTTAAGCGAACACTCCACGATGGGAGGACCGTACACGTGCTCGCTGAATTCTTCCCGGTTGTTTTGAATCCACTCCCAAGCTTTGAATGTGTCTCTTGAGACATCTTTCAGTTTCAGTTCCTGCTTCCCGGCTTCGGTCTGCATACTACGAAGGGTCTTTTCCAACGCCTCACGCCGGGACTTGGCGTCAAGTCCTTGCGTCCTGAGAAGTTCTTTGCGCTCATTCAGTTCGAGTTTCTGGGCCTCAAAAGCTCTCTGCTGATTCTTCAGTCGCTGAATTTCGTCCGTCATTGCTCGAGCGTCAAATTCTGGTGGCGGTTGTTCCTTTTTCTGCCGATACTGTGCGATCGACCCCATATGGCGTCCTATCTCCGCCTTCTTCTCGCTGGGGACTCGTCTCTCGGCCTCCAGTTTGTTCTTGAATTCGTCGACGGTGCTCTGCGTGTCAACAATCTTCCTCGCTGCCTCTTCACACTTACGTTCGGTCACTGCCAGATCTTTCTTGCGCTTCTCCTTCAATGACCTCACATCTCTTTCGTATTGTCTCTTTGACTCAAGGTCTTTCAAAGTGGGAGCAGAAATGGCCTTTAGACGTTTGAGCTCCTGGGTGATCGCTTTCGCTTTCAGTTTGGCCTCTTTGTATTTGACTCTGCACTCGGAATATTCCACAAGGGGTCTGCATTTCTCCATCCACTCAAGTCTCTTTTTGACCAATGCTCTTTCACGCATCCTCTCAACCTCTGTACGTTGCATTTCTTGACGGTTCTCGAGATTGGCCAGCTGCTCTTGCTCGGCCTTGGATTTGTTTAGTGCCTCGCTCTGGGCACTGCGCAATCGCTTGAGGTCATCGTGCATTGAGGCCATCTCAGGGCCCGCCACAGCACGTTGTGTGCTTGCGAGGAGTTCGATTGGAGTCATCTGCGCGAATTCAACCACTTTGTCCTGTGGCAGGAACTGACAGAGATTATCGATTTGAATGTTGAATGAATTCGCCAACTTTTGAACTTGTCGGCCATTGCTAGCATGTCCATCGATAGTGTAAACGGATTTACTCCCTTCTCTCTTGATAACTCTGGTGATGACGGGATTTTGAGACGAGTCTGCGGATCGCTGGAGTTCAATCTCGATAGACGCTTCCCGACATCCGTGCTTGATAAACTCGACGGGGTCTTTGGCGCGCCCAAGGTACTGTTAAATGTGAGTCAAGTCAAGATTAGATGAGGCGATGGCACATACCGAGGGTGGCCATCCAAGTCCCAAACAAATCGCGCATACTAAAGTACTCTTGCCGGTGCCATTCGGCCCTATGACCATGTTCAAGTTGGGTCCCGGAAAGAATTCTGCAGACGTGTAGGTGACAAAGTTGGTCAATTTGACGCGAACAATGGCGCCGGGTTGATGGCGACTTTGCATGCGTGAAGCGTTATTCCGGGCGCTGTCAGCTCTATCCTGGCGACGCAGCGACCTCATTGTAGTACTCGGCGAGGCGCTCGCATCGGAGTGAACATCGTCGTCGTCGTCATCGTCGTCATCGACCGAGGAGTGCTGATATCTTTGACGCTGTCGCTTGCTATCGTGCGGCGCTGTTGATGAGGGCGTGTTTGGTCGCGAGTCCTCATCGTCAGAATCAAGCGCTCGGGGTCTTCGACTCATACGTGAAGTCATGATGGACCTGGCGACGTAATTCGGTTGACCGACAGCGGTTTGACCTGAGTTGTAGAGAGCAGTCGCACCCACGAAACCTCCATGCTGCTTCACCAGGCTGCGCTTCACTGGACGCGGTCGCGCCTGCTCCACCGGCCACGCGATCACGTTAACGGGTATCATCCCCGAACAATCCATCTGATTCGCCCGCCTGACTAAATGCGTCGGTCACAGCTTACAGGAGACAAAGGATCTACCAAGCATTTCTTCAAGCAAAGTGAGGTTTTCACGAGGTAAGTCATTGCTAGACTCGAGGAAGCATTATCAATGTATTGAATGAAATCCGGTCGAACTCCCAACCAGGGTATTTCTACGAATTAATATCGAATGCAATCGATCCTAACCGAGATATCGCGACTTCAGGAAATTCTGACTGAGAAATGTTTGCGCCTCTTTTCCCACTTGATCCTCCCTAATGTTGCAGATACTAGACCTCCTCCCGCCCAATAAAACACTTCAATATTCATACTGGTTCGCCAGCGATCCGCTTAAGGATGGTCCTGTATCTGCACTCCGTTTGAATTGTCCAAGTTGGGTTTAAGCATGGTTCTTGTCATGAGGTAGGCTGTCTGTCTCAAAAGTAATTGCCCCGAGGTACCTAAGAAACTATTAGCGTGGACGACCGTCTAACAGTGAGACAACTTACAGCCAGAAAGATGGCAGTTATAATAGCCGATATGACGAAAGCGGTAATGATGGCTTGAAGGAAAATGGTGTCCTGTATCTGACGGAGGGCGGGTTCTTGGATCCAAACTTCGCGATCGAAGATCTTGCGGATGAGGTTGCGCTTTTCATACTTGGCGACCCAAGGAGCATCCTCGTAGCTATTGGCAGAGCCTAGGCTATCGAACGAGTCTTTCTTTGCTGCGTAATCCGAGGAAGCCTCATCGTCGTCGGTGAACAGTTCCCATGGACGAAGATGTCGATGGTGCATGCCATGCAAGACCTGAAATATCAGTCAAGGTCATATGATGGGGTAGGTTGGATCGACTTACCACACACATGCCCTTCCATGCGGCAAACAAGGTAGCGATGCCAATGAAGAGACCGAGGAATGCCAAAGCCCTCCAACCACGATTGGCCGAGCTGAGAGTGATGACAATAGCATACACGATACCAGCCACGATACCTGCAACGCCCAAGCCTCGAGCAAAGATTTGTCTTGGTTTGTTCCCATTGCAGATTGTCCATCGGATGAAGTTGGGATGAGCCTGCCGCCTGAGAGACCACTCTACGGTGGCAATAACATCTCTGAATGCTGACGGGTGTGTTGTGATAGACAGGGCCTTCAGGAGAACGGTTCTCTCTTTCGACGAGAGGTTGAGCATTCTTGAACTGTCTTCAGCAATATAGATCGCGATGATTCTTGTGATTTCCTCGCGGAAGGGCTGAATTGTGACTATGACCCTGTCAGAACATGTCTCAGCAGAACAGATCTCTCCTTACATGGTTGAAAGGCTCCAGCTTCCTCAAAAGCGGCCTCAGCTTTCCTACTGTGATCAGTTGTTCCGGAGCGCAGGGTGGTGCTGTCTTCGCTGTAGCCAACGGTCGAAGGAGGTGGGCTGTCATGGTCGGCAATGGTTGCTGACGGCGTGTGTGGAGGAGTATTGAAAGGGTTCGGGGCGAACTCAGGGATTCCGAGTTTGGCATTGGGATCGAAATCCGTCCCTTTCAATATAGCGGTGGCGCTGTTGGGGGTTTTCTTCGGAAGCTTCTCCTTTTCAGCATTCGCCTTCTCCGTCAAGGCTTGCTCTGCGGTCCATTCCGGTGCGAGGCTTCGCTGGCTCTCGGCAAGGTCTGCAAAGCGCTTGCAGTAGTCTTGATACCAAAGATAGAACTGGAGGTTCTCTGCAGCGTGCTCAATATAGCAGAGGAAGTCCATGAATTGACGCAAAGTTACAGGCTTTTCCGGGCTGTCAGTTCACATGCGAGAGCACATCAAGGAGATGGACCTTACCGGGCAAGTTCCACCACTGATGATCCTGTCGAACGAAAGAGCATCGGGAATACCATATTGACTACTGGTGCCAGAGCTGATAGACTCGGCTGGCGTCTCCGAGTCCAGTGAGCTCCGAGGGGACACATGCGCCGGGCGGCGGTAGGTGAGTGAGAGAACCATGTTGTGCAAGTCTTGGGTAAGTGTGCAGTTGGTTGAATATGACTCCTGGCTGGTGAAAGAATACTGTTGCTTTAATGATCTTGTGGCTTGGGTTCTGGGAACTAAATATCAAGGTCTGGTGTGCGGTAGATGAGGCGAAGAGTACGGGGTTGCAGTGTGCTCCTCATAAGATAACAGTCAAAGTTCTTGAAGCGAGGCAAATGACAGACTGACGGGAAACGAGTTAGACTTTCGTGAGGGCTGATGCAGGCTTCGGGGTGAGCGATGGGAAGTCCCTTGAGCTTGATACGGCTGCTTCCGAGGCAGGTCCCAACGACTACCTATGCAGTGTTCTGAGGCCGGTGGAAGGAGGCAGATTTGAATACTGACTCAGGTCTCGATGAACAGGACAAGAGAATTCACAAGGAAAAGGCGAGCTGCCTGTCGCTTTTCTACTTGTCACACCCATGAACGAGCTACAAGCCGAGGGCTGCCCTTGGCTAGGATTTCCTGCGTCCCTTGCCCACCCCGGCGAATGAGAGACACATGGCTGGGCGGGCGTGGATGGCAGGAAAGCACATCCAGTCATGAGGGAGCGGTACCTGTCACTCCTCAGAAGCCCGCGGTCCGAACTTCTCGCAGGAGGAGCCAACACTGCGATGTGGGAAGGATGTGGAGTTCACACACCAGCTCGAGAAAAAACCAGTGCCAGGTTGACCACGCCATGTCTACCCCGTACGAGCGTCCACGGATCTGTGGGCCATCTGACTAGTAGGCCACCGCCCATGCTGCTGGCAGGAAGTACGGATATGTGTCTTGCACAGGATCCAGATAAACGTAAAATCTGGCGGGAGCAGGGCAGGGCAGCGCATCGGCCAGGACGAGGAACATCGTGAAAGCGGGAAAGAATGGTGTTGGCTCTTGGCCGGTTCGGGGCAAAACGATCTGCTCGCCTGCATCTTGCACCCGACGCCACCTTCGCCTCTTGACCCATTGGCATCGCGTCTTCCTGTCCTTTGTACGTCAAAAACCTTGTCTGATGTCTGTGCCGTCATCCATGCGGGCTGCAAACTCTACTACGTTCTGTGCGTACTCCGTGCGCGGGAAGACCATAATCTTCCTCCCTTGTAAGCAGTCTCTCCGAACTCAGTCGTCCGGCGCACCTCGCCCTCCATTTCCATCCTCACCAACAGCGCAAGCAATGCTGTCAGTTGAGTCTGTCCGAGACCACAAATCCACTCACTATAGGATCTCGAACAGACACTCCAGCGGAACCCCCACGAGAATAGAGTATATCTTGATAGTAGCAGCCACTTGATCACGACCTCACCCTTGCACTGCTCTGCCATGCCTCCAGATTGACATGAGAAAAAGCTGTGACTACTGGTCGCACGCCAAAAAAAAGCCACCACATATTGGCGTCACTCTGGGAATGCAAGGTGTTGTTGGCAAGACGAGTCCTAACTTGCTGGACGCTTCTCCGTACGGCTGGTGGCGCTCGCGGACCGTCAACCTTTGGCCTCTTTGTGAACGAAACTCCGCCAGGGAGGGATAACAAAGGATCTACAGGCCAATCATTGCCCATGCAGTAGAAGGGATGTGGCCTGCTCATATCGATCTAGCCCAGCAGTCTACTCGCACTATCGGCTGTTCTTGTTTCGTTTGTTGACACGTCTCGAATGAGTGTCTCTGGGTGATCTCAAAAGTCTGGTTGTTTAGAATTCCAGAAGGGACTGTCTGGGCTCTTCTCGACGACACCCGTAACCTTGAATGCCGTTCCCACGGAGGTTTCCACAGTACAACCCAACAGCATGTTGGGTACGGTGTACGGAGTGTCCGCGTGGACTCCGTAGACCCTGGACGAGCAGCCAGCCAGCTTCAGGATTCTGATGATAGCCAAACCAGCCTCTCGAGGTACTCGTACTGTACCACGCCCGGATACTGCAGTCTGCAGGCCACTATTTCTGGCTGATGCCAGTCCCCGTCCGGCCACTAGCCAGGTACTCTCAGAGTCACCCACTCCTGCAGGTCGGAGTCAATATCTTGCTGCAGATACGCGACTCAGGTTTCCCCACATCTCTTTCCAAGGCCTGTTGTACCCCGTACCGTACTGACTTGTGCCGTGTTTTGCCATCACGACAACCCTTGCCTATCATGGGATATTTGCCTAAACTTGGCCTCTCCCTTGTTTCTTTGCGAACTTTCCCCAAGCCGCTCATGCAGTTGCTGACCATGATTCCGAAAGCCACTGAAGCTAAATGAAGTCCCCGACTCCCCGAAACTCTCACATAGCTGGACAGCAACCAAGATCAATCTCAAGTCATCAAATTGATCTGACCCGCCGCGACTAACACCGATGCGTGAACAGGTGAAGGTGAGCTTAGTGCCTTTCCTGCTGGCCCACTCCAGTTGTCTCTTGGAAAGCAGTCCAGCCTACAGTTCAGTATGGTTATTTGCCATCTATCAAAAATCTCTAGCACAAAATCCCCCCTCCAGCCGGGCTTTGCGCTGATACCTGGTAGTTACTGCCTACTCCCTGTCACCCTGATGCCATGGTAAGTCAATCTCACATGCCACCCACCACGAGTTCGCCGCAAACGATAGGTGCGCAAGGTCCCTCAGCCTCTGCCATTATCTCCTTGACGTCTCCGAAGTAGTATCATATAGTCGCCTTGTTGCCCGGATGCGCTTCCGAACACATGAAAACATGTGGAATCCACTTGCTTTCGTTCCTTGCTTAGAGATCCTCCTAGTGCTCATGTCGGCTAACTTGACCCAGCCTGCTCCGTAGGTAGTTGAGATTTTTGGGCCTTGAGATTTGCACTCGAGGTCCCTTGTGTCCGGAGTCAACCTCTGTGGAAGAAAGAATCCAGCTTCCCCCATGTGGTTCTGTAGATCTTCTGCTCACGTTTTTGATACCCTGTTACCCGTTGATCTCTGAGCAGGGAGGAGGAGATGCTTCTTGGTGTGGGCTCACTAGACGCTAATTAACTAGTGGACGAGCCGGTTGGCACTATCGAAAGGTCAAATCTCTTGTCGATGCCGGATTACGAGAGTCCACTTGGTGATACATTCAGTTCCAACTCCAGACGATCCGTAAGATCTCAAATTCGTCAGTGCGTAGCCCCGCAAGATCGCTTCAAGAGCTCAGCATTTTTCTTCGAGATTATACTCTTTTAACGGCCATCATCATCTTACACGTGTGGCATAGGGATCGACAACGAACGATTTCAGTTAACTCCCTCTGTCTTTGATATCTGCCAATTCAGCTAGAAAAAGTTTGCATCTAGGTGGCGACGTCAAGAGAGGAGAATGCATAGGTTGAAACAAAAGCCCTCATCGTTGTCAACTTGCCATTGACGTGCAGTAGTGCGATACCTTCAAGGACGGCGCCACATCCCGATCGTTAGACTGTGACCCGCAGGCACGCAGCAAGTCGCTTCAACAACGTGAAGGTTTGGGGTTTGCGTGCTTCCGCTGGGTCTCGCGGTCTAGGATTATCTCCACGATCCAAGATGTGCTTGGACCCTCGTCGCCAGCACTCCTGACTTTGTTGCGACTCATGTCGCTCTCAAGTATGCACACACTGACAGCCATCAGCGACATCGCGATATGTCCATTGTAGTCGTGGCAGTCACGCCAGCTCACAACACAAAGCACAATTGCTTTCCTTTCTTCAACAACCAACGTCTCTCAGTCATCTCCATGGGCGGATGATGCCGCAGGACAAAGAAGCCGCGGCATGGGTGACTTATACACGTCTTCATCTAGGGCCAAATTTAGGATCTCTTTGTGTAGCACGATTGTTGTTTTGTAGTATTTCACTTGCGTCGGGACAAAGGTGAGGGCTGTTTCGAACGTGGCATTGATCAGATATATGTTCACCTCCTGTAAAGGGCCCCTTGAGTCGCAATGTAGTCTGCACAAGCAACCATCCTGCAATTGCAGAAATTCCTTCTAGGATCTCCATCCAGCCAACATACTAACACGACCATCGCCATACGAACACCATGTCCTGGCTATGGCGAAGAGAGCATCCTTGCACTCCTCCAAACACTATCACCATCACCCAAACCATCCTGCAAGGCGCGGCTACTAGCAGAATTACCTCGACCGATTCTGCGCTCTCAACCTTGAGTGCCGAATTTACCTTTGGTGCTATCAACTTTGGCCAGGGTGATAGTTCAAGGACACCGGGCGCGTCTGCCACAGATTCAGGGTCTCTCTTGACCTCTGGTTTTGCGGGAACACCCCCAGTTACCAGTATCACGCTTTCAAGTACAGTTCCGACCACCAAGACGATTCATCTCGTTTCCGCCTCTGCCTCCGCCACATCGAGCGCCACGTCAAGTGCCTGCCCCACGCAATCATCTTCGTCGTCAAGCTCTAAACATTCTGGAGCCATCGCTGGTGGTGTTCTTGGTGGAATGGCGGGTGTCGCCCTGATCCTCCTGCTGTTGCTGTGGTGCAGTAGGCGACACTCGAAATTCAAACTCACCTTCAAACGGAAAATGATAAATACTGTAGACGAGCAAAAAAGGGAGGATGCAGTTCAACAAGAGCGTGGCTTTGCGATGCAGCGACTTGAGCAAAACCATGAGATTCCAAGCCCACGGTCGTTCGATTTCGGGCTCCCGAAAGTGCCGCAGAACTCGACGCCTATAATGCCAAAGCAATGGATATGAAGTCATCATACTTAGACAAATGGATAGAGAATACATTCCCTTGGATATCTTCTGATGAGCACAGGCACGGTCAACTTCTGTTCGTCTTGTTTGCGTTCAGATTGAACCCGCTTCAGGGAAGGCGGCTTGGCGCCGACATCATCGTGACAAGCGTCTCCTCTCCTCGCCTCAGTCTTCAACTCGATGTTCTTCATGTGTCTTGGGCATTGCGCCTCATGAATTTGTTATCCGCAAAAAGGGTATGACTGAAACGAAGACCTGAATGTGCTCATTTTGAGGCTGACACTGGCAGCTCTGCACTGGTAGGTTTTGGTGAGTTTTGGTGAGGTTCACTTGCGGACTGCACAAAGGCCTCCAGTATGATCGGACTCGGCCTGCATTGTCCTACGCGGACAAGGTAAGTATAAGAGCACATTGGCGACTGACTGTAGATGCATTGCTACCTTGACAGACGACATTATGCGCATATTGTTCAATTCCTGTTTCTTGCACTCTCTGTCTTAAAGGGTCGACTGCCCCGTATCGCATCGTGGTCAACAGTGGCTATAGCCAAATGAAGGATCATACGAAGGAACATTGTATACACATTGCCTGGGCTCACCTCAACAATCAAACAGCGTTTGGCGTCTTCAAACCTTACGCCTTGATGACGATGACAACAGCGGGTCGTGCTGCACACTTGTGTACACATTGCTGACCTATACCTACCATGTGGTTCAGAAACACGTTGCCGGGTCTGGTCCTGGGTACTTTGTACAAAGATGAAGCGGCAAGTGACAGTGAAGGCATAACGCGTCTTCGCGATGTCGCGACGGAAGCGGTGAAATGATCGATACTGCACTTCATCCTGTCCCGAGATGACTGCTGCCTATCCTCTGCAGGACTTTGTTGAACGCTCACGTCCAATCCATGTTTTCTCCTGTCTAGTCGTCCTCAGACATTGACAAGATGGCAGGATCTTCCAAACCTAGTTCTCAGCCGGCGGGCTGGGTCCGACGCTCAAATCGCGCGACCAGGAGACCGGAGAGACTTGGACAGACTCGAGAGCACGAACAACCAGGAACTTATTACCCACGACCTGATGTCGTGCGTGCCTGTCTTGAACAAAGAGTCCAGTGGGAGTTGGCGAATCTTGCAGACTCGGGCCCTGTCTATCCTTCGCCACAAATTCGGAATCCAAACATTGGTGTTCATGGCCCTTTCTTGGTAAGTGACCTCTCTACCAATTTGGGTCCTGGTGTGCCCGGCGAATATGCGATCTGACGATTCAATTCGCAGCTACACCCACTCGATGTCCCTGCCACTACATTGCCTCAGAACACAATCCAATCTCCCCCCGCGCCATTGACTTCCCAGAACCTCTTGTCAGTAGCGTCAGATACACGCCACGGTGACGAGGACCCTCGAAGCGCGACCGTGGACGTCGAATCATGCAAGGATAACTATGTCTTGAGCTCTGACAGTTCACTTTCATCAATTCCCGAGACGCCGGCCCGCCGAGGCACCTGCGATGATCCATCGAAGACCAGACCGGCGCAGACTGCCCCAGAGACATCCAAGGCAACAGCAACAGCAACAACAACAGCAACAGCAACATTTCCGGAGGGCTTTCTTCAGAAGTACAAAATCTTGCTCAGCGACTTGGCAGAGGAGATAGATGGCTTACGCCAGAACAACAAGTTGTCGGAAGTGGACGATGAGGACCTCGAGGAATGGTGCATCTGCAGGATGGGGGACGTCGATGAGGAGGGCAGTGTCAAATGTGACAACCCAAGTTGCTCCGTTGGTTGGTACCACCAAGGATGTCTGAATCAACGTGACAGACTCCTCCACCAGCAATATGGTCAGTAACCCTCCCTAGTTTTTGTTACGCCGTCGGGCGCCTTGACTAACTCACGGTTATAGACCTATGGCTGTGCACCATATGTTTGAACAGACGCCTGAAAGCGCTCCAGGCAAAAGAGAACGCGGCGGCCAATGGCCAAGGTAGTAATGAGATTGAGCAGACGGAGCCCTGCTTTGACAACTATCCTGACGATCCATTTGTGCTCGGTGCCTCATCTGACATTCGTGATACCGACATGACAACCCCTCCTAACAGTCCAGGAAGAAACCAAGCTATACAAGAGGTAACATTGAGCAATAACGCTGAATTTGAAGCCAGAGCAAGTCAAGCACGCAGTCCCAGTCCGTCAACCCCAAGCTTGCATTGTCCACAGCATGTACCCGGGATCGAAACACCTGTCCTGCCCTCAGCTGGACTTCAGTCTTCAATGCATGCGGTGGTGCCGAACACTGCGAGTCCTCGCGAGACGCAACGAGATACAGAAACAAAGACCCGGCAGTCGACCACTACAAGCATACAGCAGCCTTCCGCATATGTGCCAAACCCGTCGAAAATCTCGTTGTCCGTGATGAACGCGCTCAGTCTATCGCTGTCGGCTAAGCTGTGGACGTCTCCTGCTTCCACCATAGTAGTAGTAGAGGAACCAGGTCAGGGCTCCATCCAGGTCAACTACAAGCACAACCTGGTTCTTCCAGAGTAAGTACTTAGGCCCACGTCCCTCCCCCCTCCCCCCCTGCGAATCTTGACCGTGATGCCCTGCCGGGGTGCAATGCTAACGTTTGGTCACCGCCGCAGTCTCAACCAGACGGATTGTCCTCGGTTTGCCCTCGTCTGCGAGGACGATGGCGGTCGTGCACACTCGGTGGAAGTCCCGGTGAAGCTGCTCCTGTTCTTCTCTCGCACGCTGAAGCACGCCAACGTCGACGGTCTCTGCGCCCGCGCTCCGGGCGAGGTGGCCGCCGTCCGCGTCCCGCTCGCACCCAAGGAACCACTGCAGCACGCCGTCGACTTTCTCAAGGGACAGTTCCTGAGCGTCAAATTCGGCGCGCTTGACACTCAGGTGGCCACGGCGGAGAAACGACGACTGCTCGGCCTCGTGCACGTTGCTCACGCCCTGGCCATCGAGCCTCTGATGCACGCCGCGGTCCATGCCCTCTGCACGGCTGTCCTGCGCCGGCCTGACGACTGGGCGGACGTCGTCGCCAACGCACGCCTCCTCAGGGATACCACCTTCCCATCCAATCCCGCCAGACGCCTCCTCGGAAGCGTCCGCCGCCACTCCATCTTGCCTACCGTCACCGGCTGGGCCACACTGGCGTCCCATCAGGAAGACCGGGACCAGTATTGCCGCATGCCCGACCGGACCTGTCGGTTGAAAGGCTCGTTTTCGCCAGAGATTAGGTTGTGGTTGGAGAGTTTCGACGAGACTGGCGTCCTTGGTGACGACGGGAGCGACGACGACGCATGAAACAACCCGCAACCAATTAGTCCGGTCCCGTCCGGTCAGGTCCTGCGCAAGGGTTCGAGGCGTGCATTTGGATTGTGCCTGTGGCTCGCTGCTTGCCGCTCGACCCCTTCAAAATTGCAGGAAGGAAGTACCATCACGATAGGTCTTTGTGTCTTGAGCCGAATGTCGAATCACCATGATCAAAGTCTACACGGGGCCAACAAAGCAGACGATCACTTCTGTCCCTAGCCCTTGGGAGGAAACTGGCAAAGAATAAGAAGTATGCCTTTCCTTGTTCTGCGTATCCACTTTCCTTCATCCCCTTTATCATGGGCACCGATAGTGCGCGGGTGGTAGTAGAACGGCCTGCCAGACCATATGTTACTCGTTCCATTGACTGTTCCATATGATGTGAAGGGAACATCACAAGGAAAATAAAAAGAGATGAGCGAAAACAGCGAGTGTGAGGAGCAGAGACAAAGAGAATGGCATTCGATCTGCGAATTCATGTTGAAAGCTGATTGCTAAACACGAGTTACTCATATCCCACCATCACATCTTTTTCCCTGTGCCGTTCCATGTTCCATGTCCCTTTGTCTGTCTACCTCGACTTTTCCAGCCTAAGATTCCCAACGGCGCCATTCAACCCTTCTTGCCCTCTCCACCCAACCATTCTCCGTCCCGAGTTGTTACACGTCGTAGAGACTTGCGCCCTAAAAGACAAGAGGCATAAAACGCATGGCCAGAAAAGGAATGTCAAGGTAGAAAAGCAGGCTGCCACTACCAATCAAGGCTGATATCAAAATAACCTTCAACAAATTACACCCATGTTTCACTCCTCCGGTGGTTCTGAAAATAGACCAATTCTGACTCGGTGAAACTGAGGGAGTTTGGGTATCACGACCGCCATCAGAGCCATAAAGTTGATGGTGAAATATGTAAAATCGTAGTGTGTGTAGTGCGTACTCAAGAGGAAAAGGACTATGGGTACTGTCAGAAGGAATTTCTTCGCAGGCGTGTACTGGTCCCCGTTGTCGATTTGTTCCCACATGTTGAGGTTGTCGTAGGCTCCGGCATTGAACTCGAACGGTACGCCTCGTACATAGTGGAACATCAGGTAAGAACCGGCCATATATGTGATATTGGTGAGTGTCCACGATATTTCCTGCGTCACGCCGGGGATAATGTCAAATAAGATCTTGAGGCCGATGATCAGGACGGGATGTATCGTCCAGGCACCTGCACACCCAAAGGTCAGTAAAAAGGGTTTTGTCTTCAACGGTAGTGGCCACGGAATGGGCTGGACTGTATTGTGTTATCCCACCTTTTGCATTGACCCATTGTGAGTTGAGATTCGGCTCGGCTAGTTGGTCGCTGATCTGTTCCAATGATTCCGGCGGTTCCTGGTAGATGATACTGCTAGATCTTCTCCTTCGGCCACCTTTCGCACTGTTCATGGCTGGATCGTAGGACGATGTTGGGGGTGCTAGCCTGGCATCGGCTTGAAAGGAGATTGTTCGATGGAGGGTGGTGTGTGAGGTCATGGACGAGACGAAAACTCAATGCTGAGCGGAGGAGTTATTCTGGGATGGCCTGGTGAGTGAGTTGCACCTCTATATCTGACTCTATAAAAGGCGTCAAGTAAGCATACCTAAAGGATGGACTGGTCGAGTCGAGCGGATCTGTTCGCTTGGGATAGGGTATATGAAAGATGAGGCCGGACGATGTTGTTGTGAGGCAAGATAGATGACAAAACAGATTGGTGACAGGTTTGAGAATCTGAACTTCCAAGAGGATACAGTATGCAGTATCCGAGGAGAGCCAGAGTGAAGTAAGACACGACGGTGTTGAGGATGGATAAGTCTCAGATTAGAACGGTCTGAGGCGAGTAATGCACGAGAGGCTCCTTTGATGGAGATGTGAACTGGGACTGGAAACTGGAACTGGATCGATGGGGAAGCCTTCGGCGGCCGGGTGTGATCGCAAGCCCGACAGAGGTGCATTGCGCGGGCGGCCACTAGCCTGCATAATCAAACCAGCACGCGACAACTCGCTGCCAGAGGTACCTAAGGACCAAGGTAGGCAACATCCTGCGGCCTGCCCTTGCCTTAGAGTTAGGCCTCACTAGGGATAAGGTGGCTAGGCGTCTTGGGGCTCGTCACACCTGCCAGTAAGGCTCACTAACTAAATTCGTCACCCTCGACCACTGACTAAATTCTCCAATTGTTTCGCGTTTCTCCAATTCTCGAAATCTCAATCCATCCGCGGCTCGAAAGTCGCAACAAAAAACTCACTGCCTGAACTGAGTGTCAGTTGGTGCTCATACTCGAGTAACCTTCCACTCGAGTCGTCTGAGATCTTCTGTGCATGCGTCGCTTCTCACAGGGTTCCGACGATGACAGTGAGTCCAGGACTGCGTCTGTCGGTCTGAGAAACACCTGCAACCGCCCTCTCATTGCACATCGTGGCCTACTTCACTCTCGAAAGGTCTCCGCTTCTACTGTGATGGGCAATGTCGGATCCGTGGATTCTTCTAATGCTTTGAAATCTGGGCAGGACTACTCTTCGCCTGACGTTTCCTCCGAGGAAACCATGGCGAGTACCAACGGCTTCGGCAACAACCGTCTTGCGACTGGCTTCAAGGCACCATCCACGCTCGTGCCTGAGCCGAACCATGAAAGCCTCACGGCCGTCTCACGCGCCTCCCTTAGTCCTGGGGGCTCAATTGACGATGCCATCGAGCTCTCCAGCGACGACGCGTCCTCCGAGGACGGTGGTATGGTCATTAACATTGACGATACCTCGTCCGTTGACCGTCCCTCAGAAACCAACCTCGATGGAAACAAGGACAAGATGTCCGGGGTGAAGAAAGACACTGCTACGTCAGATAGCAAAGACGAAGACATATCGGCACCACAAGACACTATTGATCGGGACGTTGAGATGCAACTTCATACTGAAAATCAGCGGCACATTGATGCTAGTCTGAATGGTGCCCATGATTCTGCTTCTACCAAAGCTGACACGGTCTTACGATTGAGAGACTTGTCGGAGGATCGAATCGCTGCTCAGTTGAAGTATGCATTCTTCGACACCAGCAGAGAAGATGTGAATCTTGACCTGCCAGTGATCTGCCTCACCTGCTTGACACCCGGACATACCGAGCAAACCTGTCCCGAGCACGTGTGCACGCATTGCTCAGCGACTGACAAACATCCTAGCCGCCTATGCCCGAAAGTCTCTCGATGTTCTCGTTGCCGCGAGCAAGGTCATGATGCAGAGTCATGTACAGGGATGAAGATCACGACAGTGCCCTGCGACCTGTGCGGTGGCTTAAATCATACCGAATCATCATGTTCCCGCAGATTCTTCTCATCGGGCGCAGTCGGCGAGGCAAAAGCTGTCAGTTTATGGATCTCTTGCTGCAAATGTGCAAGCAAGATGCACCTAGTCGGTGACTGCCCCGATGCGAACAAGACGACTACGATCCGGTGGTCGTTGAAGCCTTTTGCGTCTGCGCAGATCACTAACCTCAGCCTTGAAAGCCACACTAAGCAGATGGAACATGAAGCGATGAATCGAGGGATGCGACCAGAAGGCTTGAAAATCAAAGGACGTGCGGGTATCCATACGGCGGGCGTGCCTGATATAGGACCGCAACCTGAACAGGACAGCGATCAGCCATTCTTTGGCCCTCGAGTTAGAAACCAACCCAAGGCCGAATTTACCTTCCGACATCCACATCATCCACCTGATCCACCGCCCTCCCAACCCCAGAATGCACACTTTGATCGCTATAATCCTCCTACGGCAAGCCATGCTCAATCTAGCCGTCAACCCAATAATTGGTATGCCACGGACTCCTTTGGTCAGCCTCGGTCGAGATCTCCGCTACGATCAGGTCGCCGGGGCGATGAAAACATCAGACGACGTTCACGCTCGCCACGAGGATATGACGGTCAACGAGGTGATCGCAGACGCTCGCCTCCTGCTCCTCGAGATGGATCACGTTCAACAGACCATCAAGTATCTTATGGGCCTGGTGATTTTCGCCCAGGTCCTCCCATCGACCCGCCTCGGCAAGGAATTTCTATTCAGTTACCTCTTAGACGCGGCTCGAGCAACAACGATAACGAGAACAAGCCTCTTGCCCCGAACAAGGTTCAGACAGGCCCCAAATCTGACGCTGCACCCAGCCGTTCAGCCTCTGCAGGCTCCAAGAAGAAGTCCAAGAAGGGCAAGGCAAATGCTAAAAAATCAAAAGCGTGAGCCTGGAGTTTGTTGGACTTCTTTCTTTGGTATTGATCAAGCTAATAAGTAAATATGGCAGTGAAGCAAACTCTGCGTATCACGACCTTGTCTATCTCCATGCAACCACGACAGATCAGATCGGGAAGCCGACGAAGTCAAGATGCGCCTATCCTATACCGGGCCATATGATCTTAGTCAAGTATCTTAAGTGGATATCTGCGCGGCGAGATCATTCTGGAGATCCTCCAATGGTTCTGGAATATGACAGAGATGGGTAGGCTTCAGGCCTTTGTTTTCATTGCCCCAAACGCCTTTCTGACTCACGCAGTAAACCTTTGTTCGTTGATACATCGGCCCCGGGTCTAATACGAGAGCCAAATCAAAGAGATCTGGAATCAGTGTGGCTCTGGGCTTTTGAATACTTCTCAGGACCGTACTTTGAATCCAAGAGAGATAAAGAGTACCATGTTGCGAAACAGGAATACCGCAACGTCGTCGACAACAATCATGCGCTCTTTTGGGCTATGCTTGATCTAAGCGCGAGGTTGAGAGCGGTCGTTGAGAAGAAGGATAGTCCCGAGCCCTTGAGGGCAGTTTCCCTGCGAAACGGTCGAATCGTGCCTATGGACGGTTAAAGGTTGACTCCTCCTGACGTATTTGTTTCCAGAGTGCATTGGGGTTCTACGTGAAGACGGACATTGTCAACATGGTCATACAAGTTAGCGGAAGGCATGGGCGATTTTATTGTGTGTATGAACTCAAAAGCGAAGCGCAGCCATGGCGAATGGTGACTATGGCGGTGTGCTTTGCCCTCACCTTTTGATGTATGAGTAATGAATTACGGATGATCAAGGACGACGCATGACCCGTTTTCACTTGGCGCGTACCTAGGTCCCTACCTACCTGACATCTCAGGGAGGCAGGTCCAGAGCCTGCGATTACTCGTTTGTATGTACATTACGAGGACAACTGCAGGGGCTACGAAGGAAAACTCAGAAGGCAGCCTCGAGGATCTAGCCAGCAAGATCCCGAATGCCACGCTCAATCATGAATGAATTACAAGCCTGTCTACGTGGATCATCTGTGCACCAGTCAAGTGCTCCGGAAATAGATCAAAATGTGCTAAGGCGATGAAGGTAAATACAAAATAGTCATCGACGACTTGGCCCAAGCGGTCACCCACTTCTTGGGAGATCAAGCAGGTAAATGAATTCAACCACTCCGCAATGCCCGCCTGGTGTGTTTCGAAAGGTGCTGGAGGCATATTCCTGCCTAGGCAGAGAGGGAGCACCTGGGTATGGGTGCCATTGCGACAAGCCGCTCCCAAGGACCGAAATACGACAAGGACGTGTTTCTGAAGAATCATGGTGTGAGTTTCGTCTCCACGGGGTATCAACTCAAATGATTCACTTCCACTGCCCGGACCGACGACGTACATTGAGCCGTTGATCCTCGGCCGTGTGATTGATCCAAAGAACTACTAGATAGAGTACTGTCTTGATGGTTGCCACAAAAATCGGACTTGTTGATGGCTTTTCGCGGAGCTGTCCACGCGGCTACTTGACAAAAGAATGGTCGTGTCAAGCAAGGCGGATGCAGTGCAGAGTTCTTTTACAACAAAGGCTCGAGCCTCAAACACGCCTCGGCGTCATCACCGTTACCACTGAATCGTCCTGTTGGGCATCAGCTCGCTGTTATCCCACGTTTCCTTTGATTCCTTGGCCTGCGGCCGCGAGATGTCCGACTCATACGGATATGGCTCTTCGGGTGTAGAAATCTGGGCCTGCTCACCAGCATCACCAGTGCCATCGGCGAACTCCACCATTTCCACATCGCCCTGGAACTGCGACCAGTCTGGCGGCACTTCACTCATTTGACTACGTGCGGGCACCGGCGGTGGCGCATCCGGTGGAGGATAGACGATGTCCCGCTTGACTGTTTCGGCCAGCTCGTCGATCCGATCTGCCTGGATGTAAATCAGCAGGTACGGGTTTGGCGGCGGGCCCCAGTTGTCCTGTGTAGGTCTGCCGAATATCTCGTTCCGGTTGTGAACAGTGCTGACACGGTCGTCGTTGTATTTCCGCCACACTTCCTTTTTGTGATCGAAAATGTACACCCAGTAGTGTCCTCCTGCTGCACCACCACGGTGGAAAAAGGCCGCATGAAGTCTGTAAGGGTGCTTGCGCATGTCAACGAATGCCTCTTTGACCTGCATGTTTAGGTGGTCCATTCGGCTGCGAATCCCTGTACCACTATTAGTCGAACGCTGTACATGAAAGGCATGTATTTACGCACCTTCGAGCTCTGATCGAGCTTGCCCCGCGAGGTTTCCTAGGGTATTTGTGATATCCGGGTTGATATTGAGCTCTTCTGAGACTGGATCGGGTGGGATTGTGCTTAGATATTCAAGGACAAGCTTCGCATCCTCCAGGACGCTGGGAACATCTTTGGATTGACCCTAGGGACTGTTAGTCAGAATCGTAGTATGCGGGCGACGAGACTCACTTGTTTCTCCTCGAGGAAGCTTCTCCGAGTTGCAAGTGCCGCCAGCTCTCGTTTCATCTCCCATGTTTGTTGGCGACGTTGCATCAAGTCGGATGAGGTATCGCTTTCAAGATATCGATCCATATAAATGGTCTCTGGCACTTCCACGTGATGATTGAGCTTCTCCTGGCGCTTTGCCTCCTGATTCCACGACACCCTGTCAAGGGCCACGCTAAGGACTGGCGGCAAACGAGTGACGGATGTGTAGGCTTTGGTACCGTCCTGTGCGTCTTGCAAATCATATTCATTATCGATGGCAGCGTAGACATCTAAAGGTTGATGATAGACTCGCGTGATAATGTTGAGAAACGGTAAAGGTTGAGGCTTTTCTTTCTCCGGCTGCGTATGAATGAGTTGCTGGCCGAAGAAAAGATCATGAATCTCATCAATTTGTTCACCACTTTGGTCAAATCCTGTGGGTCGAATGGCACATGACAATTGGATAATACAGTGATTCATAACCTCAGTGACATCTTGCTGACGTGCATATTCCTCGAGGGTCGTGGTCGCTGTGTGAGCAGGCTTTCTGGGCGGTACTGGTGGTGGCTTTCCTGGAGGAGGCTCAAATTTTACTTGCCCTTGTTCTGTGCCCATATCAGTCGATGCACCAGGTTGGGCCAGAGCTCCAGCTTGCACATTCAACTTTGAGGGAGATGTTGGGCCCAAAGGATCGGCAGTAGATGCGGACGCTGTCTCCATCACTGATGATTCCTTTAGAGGCGATAAGTTCTCCTTGTTGTCTAATATTGATTGCTGTTCGACTTCTGTAGTATCTTCTGCTCGCACAATGTCCGTGTCTGGTTTGGATATCAAGGTGGCTTCGCTAGAATTATCATCCATCTTTGTGTCTTCCTCTTGTTTGCTCGCATCATCCTTCAAATCGTGTTGGGAAGCACCGAAGTCAACGAGGGGGTTGAATAGAGCATCTTCTGTAGGAGAATGCACTAGTGCATTCTCTGACATACAACTCTGCTTGTATTCTGCCAATGTTGGAGGTCCCAACATGTGCAGACTATCGATGTGGCCCAGACTGGGTCTTTCCGACACGAGTGTGGATCTTCGACGCAGTCGCTCTTTAACACTCTCGGTCTCGAGAGTCAAACGGGCTAGCTCTTGTTCTGGTTTGATGGAGGATTGTGGTGTTTCAATCATGCCTCGGAATAGATATCCGAGTTGTTCGACAACTGGAATGGTTAGTGGGCAGATCTCGTGGGGGTTCATGTACATACATTTTTGAGCACTTTGCACTTCCTTCAGACTGACTTTGCGTTGACCGACCCGTTTCTTCTCCATATTTTCGGGCTCCAGGCTCATCTTGTACTCATCGAAATCGAGGACAACATGCCGAAACGTTATTAGGGTGAAAAGAGCCTGTAGTAGGCTATTGAGATAGCAGGTGTTTCCGATATTCTCTAAGCCCACAGGTTCGTCTTGTGTACCCTCAGGCGCTTGTGGAGCCTTGCTGTGCAGATGGTTGAGCAAAGCATCACTCTTTCTACCACTTGCGATCGCAGCTAGAGCTTTGGTGTAGTATTCAACACTGCCTGGGTTCTCTTCCACGGCCATGTCGTACTGAAGCATGATCATCTCATCGTCAACCTCCCGGTGTTCAATTTGTAAGGCTTGGTAACCCTCCGCAGGATCCATTTGCTGTGTCTCTTGTGAGAATCCGGTATCAACTAGGTGAGACAAAAATTGACTGTTGCGATGTTCTGCTATCAACCGGACAGCCTGAGTAGCTTGCGGCTCTAAATCTTTGTTTTCAGAGGTCTGGGGTTAAGGTTAGACATGCACGATTCAAAGACAGTTACACATGACTCACTTTCACAGTAAACAAAGCTTGAATGTGTGCATCTTCTGTAGTTTGATCAGCACCGAGAAAGGCTAGAGCTTGCTCATAGTTGTTGATAACTGCGCGAGTAATTGTCAGAGATTGAAATGTATTGAATCAGGCGAGTCTCACCATTTTGCGCCGCATCAGAAATCTTCTTACTGTTCCGATGGACACCTATGATGCGTAGGTACTCTCTCAATTCATGTTCCTGGCTGGGAGCGTCCGCTATTGTGGCCATAAATGCACCAATAATGTCGTCGTCATTGACGAGACCTTCTCGGCCAGTAAGTTGAAAAGCTTTGTACGCCGAATCCAACGTTTCCACATCAAAGCGACCCTTCGAAGTCTCCAACATCACCTCGGTCTCAAGTTCCTCGCTTTGGCGGTTGTTGGCAATGTATCGCAGGTTACTCAGATACGTCGGCGCATTCACGGGATCTGTCTCAAGCTGCCAATGGTATGCTTTCACAATCAGATGATTTGCTAGATCTCTCGGACATCCAAGCGCAATGAAAGGACTGGTCTAGTGTCAGTTCTGGCTCGTTTTGAGCCTCAAAGGAAACATACGCAGTTCGCATTTCAGGCAAAAGCTTCGCTGCCCTGCTCGATGAGTCGGTGTCATCTGTAATTGTCAGCATGCTGGATGAATGGAGTTTGGCAAGTCTCACAATCTTGACATCCCAAGGCACGGGACAGCTCTCTTTCTGCGGGTAAAGGAGGCGCAACGTCATGTAGCTGTTGTCGCTCTTCCTGAGGCCGGCGTAGTAGCAAGCTGACAAGTTCATGCTCGGCATTGTCCAACCAGATATTCATCGGACTTTGGAACGGCTCAGTATCATTGAAATCCGGGTTTGGCACCTTCCAGCAATCTCCAGGCTGAGGACAAAAGGTGTTAGTGAAAGATTGAAGCCAAACTGAACAGATTTCAACCTACCACAAGCTCAAATCCGAGATGCTCAAGAACATCCTTACACGCAGTTCCCTCTGGCCCGAAGCGTACCATGAATCTCTTATTGGCGAGGTTTATAGAACTGTATTTGGGATCTTGACGTGCTTTCCACGAATTCTTAATGTACGCGCGTAGGTCGGTAAGCACATCAACGGGTTTTGGATGGCCCATGCCCTCTGTATTACCTCCTCGGTCCTTGAAGGCAGCTTCTGTTCTTTGCTGCAACATCTCGGGGTCGAGGAGCACTTTGACGTCGCTAGGCCGGAGTACTGGAGTGCCTAGGCGGACTGTGACGGTTGCGGAACAAGTCTTCGAAGAGCATTTGTAGGTATAGATCTCGTCTCTTGAGCTTGGGTTCTGCCGTAACCATGCATTGCGTTCTAACGGTTCCTGATACTCAGATCTAACCAAATGGTGTAAGGGATGTTCGGGGTTGGGGCAAGGCGCTTGTTCGAATCGCACAGAGTAGTCAACCTTCAGATGTACATGGAGGCGACACACCTGACAAAACGCCGCAACGGTCCAGACTGTCTGCGGATCTGCCTTTTCGTCTAATGCAGGAGGGTTCGATTGTCTCGGTTTCAGCCCAAACTTGTGTCGACAGCCGTCAAGAGGGAGAAGATCTCCTAGGTATTGAGTCTGGCTGAGCTTTACCGGTCCGTCCGCCAGTAGGTTTGGGCTTTGCGGATGCCCCCATGGCTCATAAAGCGAGAGGTCTTCAAGGAGGGTAGGTGCAAGTCGACCTGCTCAATTTTAGTTAGACCACCTTTGTTTCGCATAAGGCCTATGCCATGACAAACCAGATCCTTTGATCGGCGCAATGAAGGACCGTATGTTTCCTTGCACACCGGCCATACAAGACCGCCTGGACCTGTATTGCCGGGTCGGGAAGCCAGCAGATGGATGCCACGAGGTGATTTGAATGACAGGAGATGTTGCCGCTCCGCTGTATGACCATGCGCAAGACTGGGCGGATTAAAACTACAGCATGGATGACTATGCAGTACTCCGATGTCCGCAGCTGGAGGTGTAATGCTCAAGTCTTGAATGATATTTTGATGAAGCCGACTGGCGGATAAATGGGTTTGGACACCACAGACAGAGGCAAGTTGTATGAACTTGAAATCTATGTGAAGAAAGCCAGGAATTGGTCTGTTGGTTGGGGATTGATTGCGGCCTGCATTCGAACATGCACACTGGGACCGCAGACAATGATGTTCCATAGTTCCAAGGCTCCAAGCGCGTCATTCCCGTTCTAAGCCAAGCGTCATCCCGTCTGCGCCACCAAAGGTTCATCCATCTCACAACACTGCACGTCCCTTGCTCATCGAGCTCAGGATTTCTTAGACGATCAGGGGGTGCTGCAGTTTTGTTCACTATTGTACGAGTACGCATAGCCTCAAGGACTGTGAATTTCCTGGCTGCCTTGTTCATTCTTTTGGCGGACAGAGTCCTCGGCCTCATATCAGCCAGACTGCTGGAAAGTACCAAGCTCTTGCTTCGTTTGTAGCACCAGACTTTCAGGTGCGAAAGAGGTACAAGCGACTAGGCTGAATTCGACATGTTTCTGATAGCACCGTTCTGGAAGAATGCATTTGAATTCGCCCTCCTTGATTAGCTGTCAGAGATTGTCTTTCTGCCCTGGAATTGATGGGACCGCGCGCTCATAGGATACCATGTCTGTTCATCTGTGGCGACTTTGCCTGGATGGTGTCGCATATCTCGAAGACAGTCGGCCCAGATGAACAAAATCTCGATTCAAAGGATCATCGGATGATTTCTGTTGCAGTGGCAGGGCAGCTACCTTCGCCGAACTGCACCTATTCGACTTGCCTAGTGATCTCTGGTTCACACCAAGAAATTCAACACCACATATGATCACGCTGCCTGCCATGGACGCCACCAAACCCCGGTCGCCAACCGCGGACACTCTTGCCTATATTTCTGTCAACCCCAATGCGCGGCCGACTGTGGTCCTTTTCCATGGTGCTTTCGTTACCAGCAGCGACTGGGCTTTGGTAACGCCATTCCTGACGGACTATCACTTGCTGATCCCTGATTTACCTGGTCATGGTAATTCGCGCGTCCAAACCCCCTTCTCACTGGACACTGCGTCTCGTCTATTACAGAAGCTGATCGTGGATCATGCACATGATGCCCAAAAGCTAGCTGGCATTAGCAGCTGCAGGAATAGTACCACCCGTGCTGTGAGCCATCCTCAAATGAGACATCCCTGGAACCTCCAAGCACCAAATCTCTTTGTAGCCTCGGTACAGGCCTGGTCTAGAGACGAGATATTGCCCGCGGGGTTCGTTAATCTTTGATCAGAATGCATTCAAGAGATAGTCTTCGATTGGCAACAGTTTCTATCTGTGGCGGAGCTTGGATAGTTCGGGAGTGGATCGAGGGCTGGATTTTTACGTAGGGATATTCTTATCCACCGAGTTATTATCGACTCTCATCTGGAGTTTGAAGGCAGGTTTTCTGTGTCAAAAGCACCCACATTACTACCTATTCGCCCACGGCACGCACATCAACCCCGACAACGGCGTTGAAGTAGGAGAGAACCATGCGTGTTCATCTACCCCGCTAGCTAGGCCAAACTCGTTCGGATCTGGATGTCCATCACGCGCAAAGTCCATCCAAGTACGAGCGCGTCTGTGTTCGTTCGGTTGAAGCACTACGAACACATCTCCAGGTGCTGATACAGTAACATTGGCCCTGAGTATTGCATATCCAGAGACGAGGCTAGCTAGATTCATTGAGGCTCCGAAAGAGACTACTTACATCAGCTGGATATTCGACAGCATTGAAACCGCGAGGGACTCTCGGTTGAAGTCCAGGAGCCCTTGGCAAAAGCCCTTGCCTGCAGATATCACTGTCCGCCTGGTATGTCTGAGGGATGACAATGGATGTGTCGATGAACCATAGCGACGGGCGATAGTCGTACAGTGCTGTTACATTGGGAATGCCGATACTGACAGCTACTGGCGTGCTGACATTGGTGATAGTGATCTTTGTGTAGACTCGAAGGGGCAGTCTCAGGTAGGCGTCAGGATTCTTGCGATGCTGGTGTCTGGCCAACCCCCCGCATTAGCGATGGATACATGCGTGCCATCATCGGGGTGTGGGCGATGGGCTTCCGTCCCATTGATTGAAAGCAGGAGCAAGAGTAAGGCGCATAGCTGGGTTGCTATATTGGCCAACATGACGATGTATTTCTGACCACAAACCAACGAGCTCTGAGGCGGACTGAAGGAGACACCCAAAAAACAGGCGAAGGTCGAGATCAGGCTCTCTCTGGATCAACTCCTGAGGCATCGAGCGAGACAGTGTATGTACAAGACAACTAGAAGCTCGGCAAGGTCCTCATTATTGGGATTAGTATCTCATGAGTTACCCATGGAGTCTGGTCCAGCGAAAACCTGCCGAGAACTTTTGGAATTCGAAGCAGCCTCCGGCTAGATCATAACTCTGGTGGGACAGGTCTGACGAAATGGCGTGCTAGAGACGCAGCCTTTTGGAAAACACTCACCCCGGCTCTGACTATTGTCTATGTGAGGAAGGACAATTCGACGAACCAGAAAGCTACCTATGGAGAAGCCTACCTCCATTGGTCTCTTGCCGCTTTTAGGACCGAGGACCTGTTTCCTCCACCGCACCTCAATTCTTTCATCTGACTCCAACAGAATAGATCTATCGGCTGGAGCCACGCAAATAACGTGGCTATCTTGAGTCATTTTGCCATTGCCGCCCCTGTACTTGCACCACCCGTCTTTTGAAGGGCCGACCTCTGCGAAAGGAAGTGATTAGTTGGAAATTCACACTCCTCGGCTCTGTTGGCAGCATGTCGTCTCCTGATGCACCAGCTGGGCAATCGCCATAGTTGAGAGGTCATCTCTGCAATCAGCTTCGATGCACCGTCACTCTTGTATGCGATGGTTTCAGTGATCCTGCTACGAAAGAGTCGTGCAGCCACTCAAATGGGGTGAATATCTCGTTCGCTCTAGCTGAAATGAAGCGCTGTCTCCGTCAAATTTGATCTTCCCTGTTGTCTCAGCAAGGCCAGTGGCTGATATACTTGTTAATGACGAACTAACCACGAGCGAGGTCGCATCTGACATTGTCTATGACCCTTGCAGCCCTTCGACCTCATAGGCGGCCCTGTATGCTGCTTCCAATTGGCATTCTACGCGTTGACTCTATGCGCATCCCTTCTCATCGCGTACCTTGGCCCAACAAACTGAGCCCAGTCACACGAGTTACCAATCAGTCGACTACAAGACATCTTCTGTCTTTGACACACACACACCACTCTGGGATCAGTTTGGGGGACCTTAATACTCGATTCTTTGCTGGCCACCCCTGCTGTTCCCGTGGCTTCTAGCTACTGACTTACTTTTCGGCCCCAGCGACAATCACGTAAAGACTGAGTCACGGAAGATGTTACTGCCGGAATCATGTACTTGCACAGTACATTAGTTTGGGCCGAGGTGGGACTCGATCTGGATAGGGTTAGGTAAGGACCTACCGCATACTTATTTAGGAGAAGCCTCGCACTAAGACGAGGCTACCACGCCCTTCAACTGTACTCAACTTTTGTTCACAGAGCATGCTGCAGCAGAAGTCCTTTTCTTACAGCAAATTACAGGCCCACAGAGCTCAGCAAGGCAGAATTTCATTTCAGTGATTACTGACAAGATGTGTCGGCCACCAGCTCCGATCGAAGTGGAAATCACGGTTAATTTATGAGAGCAGAATAAATTTCTCCTTGTCCCCGCAAAGATGAGATTATCTTCTGTGAAGGTTTCCTTCGTCTCGATCTCGCCGCTTCCCATCGCATCCACGAATATATTATGGCGACATTGCTTCTCCTGGGTCTCTGTTTAGCTTCCTCGGTAGCAGGAGCGAATGTCAACCTCACGAGTGCAGGGTGTGTCGACCCCTCTGGACTCCAAGCTTGTCAGAATAAAGTGAACGAGCAAACAACCTCTTGCATCAACCAGGCAAAGCGCGATTCAAGCCAACAAGAGCTCCTTGCATGTAGCTGTGCGGATTACATCAACAACTACAACTGCTATGCGGCCTTTTGCTGGAACCGGGTCTGGGAATGCGAGTATCAGGAATATGTGATCTCGTACATGGAAAATTGCGCAACCGCGAAACTACCGGTCCCCTACTTCCCGGCTCCAGACGGTGCTGCTGATGCCTGCTCATGCAACCTCGGTAAGGTGCACATGGCCGTTGTGGATGCGATTCAAGAGACTGCGACTTGTTCAAACAACGCCGACTCTGGAGATGCCTCGAGCAACGTGCAGCAGATCCAAGGATGCAATTGTTGTGAGATCAGCGGAGCATTTTCTAGGTAAACCTTCGCACAGTCAATCATTGTCACCCCTAAAGACTAAGTCGTCTGCAGTATTTTTGAGATCTGTCCCAATACAGATCCTACACTTATCGGGCTCTCCAGCATCGGTGATCTCGAGTCGGAACTGAACACGCAATTCTCATCCTGCGGACCTTACTTAGAGACATATGATTGTATTTCCTCGCTCTCGTACTCGTTGGATGGCGTCAGTACATTCCTTAAACCTTCGGACCCTCTGCAGACCGGTACGGACACTTTGAGCAATGGGCCGGGCTCTGTAACAACGCCTGCGAGTGGGCAGGTATTCTCTTACACCAACGGGGGTGATGGAGTGGTTTATACCATCACCGCTGCCACCGGGGCCGCTGAAATCAGTGCTAAAACGAGTGCTGCGGTTCCCGGCTCAGGTTCTGCGCAGTCTGGAAGCGATTCAACAACTTCTGCAGCGAAAAGCACAGGAACGGCAAAGTCGAGTGGTGCCCGCGTGTTTGCCAGGGGTCCATTTACAACGTTTGTGTTGGGCTGCTCGGCTTTGGCTGTAATACTTTTGTAGAGACTGAGTTACAATATATCTTTTCAGGCGCCACGCCGTTACAGGCCCCACGGTGGTCTTGATATCAATTGGGAGCCTGAGCTATTTCGACCTTCTGGAGGGGGAGACCGCCGTCAAAGCCGCCTTCGAGTGAATGAGCAAGGCAAAGCACAATAGATAGACCAGAGGTCGACTGGCCACTCATAGAGATCTGGGATGGACCCCTCTCTCATCACCAGCAAAGAGATTCAAGTTAGACCGGACGGACTATAAAGCCGCAGCAGGGATAGAGCGTTGCGGCGATAGTGAGAAGGAGCTTGAGTAGAAGGGTGACATGTCGTATAGCGGTAGGTCTTAAAGCGGCACCACCAGGGTGGGCGTCCAATGAGCTTGGAGCTGTTTCTGGCCGCCAAGCCATCGGAAAACCGTTCGGGCAGAAGCTTGCAAGCTGCGCCGTGCATCGACGGACGTTGGGTCGACTTCAAGATTGAACTCAGACCTCAATTGACAAACTCGACCACACAGTCCAGCTACCCCGACTTGCCTCCTCCCGCACCAAGTCGCTCTCTTCAAAGACAAATCAACTGATGAGGTGATACTCTCGTTAGCTATCTCAATTCCGAAAGCAAGAGCAATAGCAGCAGCAACACAATGGCTGACCTGCTTGACGCGAAGCCAGTCCTCGAAGATACATACCATCCCAAAGATGCCCTGGCAGCATCAGTACGCGGCATTACATATGCAGGCGCTGCCGGCCTGTTCCTGGCGGCTGTGCAGAACACGGTAGCGAAGGAGAGCATTGGACCATGGGGCGTCTTTTCGCGGTTCGGCAAGACAATTGGGCTTTTTGGTACGATATCAGCACCGTCTGAAACGGCCCCCGTTACGAGTTGTGGACTGACGGGTTGTAGCTGCTATGGGTGGCAGTTATTCGTTCGTCACCACCGCTACCGCCAATCTCCTTGAAAAGAACGATCCTACGAACCACGCACTAGGTGGTGCATGCGCCGGCGCACTTGTTGGCCTAAGGAGTATGCCGTGCGGACAAAGTTGTGGTTGGGAAAATACGCTAACCTGTGGTTGCAGAGAGATCCATGCCCTCAACTCTCGGTAGTGCATTTGCCCTCGGGGCTGTGATGTTCGTTGTTAATTATACCGGGCGGCCTATATTCGAGTCGTCCTCAGACGCTCCTCAATTAGATCGCCTAGCCTACAAGGACGAGGCAAAGACCCGATACAGGCGACCACTGAACGAGACCATCAACGAACTCGGAGAGGGCAGAGGTGAGCTCATTTCAGGTACTTGAGGTTCAATTGGCTGAGCAGAACGTTACTAGGTATCTATGGACCCGGATACGCCGAAAGACGTAAACAAAGAATCAAAGAAAAATATGGTATCGATGTTCAAGAGCCATATTACACCAACAAATCTGCTGAAGCAGGCACCGAGTTCTAGGCTCGACTTTTGCTTGTTAAAGAAAGTTAGCCTGACATAACGAGCAGCCTGATGGTGCTGCGGCTGGAAACCATCAAAATCACAAAGGCCATTCCATCAGAATAGGAGGCCTGCTGCTACACCCATTGTCGGACAGACAATATAGATTGTGGACGCATGTACAGATATCCCTCAAAAGAACCGAGAGAAGCCTGGCCCTAGCCATGGAAATGTTCAAGCACCTTGCAAGCCGTACCGACAGGGAGTCTCTCCTGGTGCCGCGTTGTTTCGGTTTGTGTGTTCCAGCTGCCCCTTTTCTCGTGAGGTCTTATGCCCATTTTGACCGGGATCAAGCTATTGAACGTAGGACTGCAATGGACATCATGGTATTGTTGTGAGTTGGCATGGTGCAACTATATTTTAAACTGTTCGGGCATAACTATTGGAAATATCCGAGTCGAGGACCGCATTGCATCTGAGGAAGCATACGAGACGAATGTTTTATTACTTGCCTTAAGTTTTTGTAGTGACCAATAGCTGCAACATGTGAAGGCCACTCAAGCATCCATACCTCAGCGTACAACAGAAGGAGGGTTATCTTGACTTCTGAGCCTTCCAAAGTTAAATTAAGAGTTTCGACACCCAGGGAACCTCTGGAAAGTCTTCGCTGTAGAATCATCTATGGATCTGTACGATAGACTCCGACTCGATGACTGATGCATGAAAGACCTACATCACATTGAGCATGTGCAAAACGAGCATACCGTAGAACAACATAGAACAACTTCGGCGTCGCTCATGACAGCTGTGGCACGGTTGACTCTCGAACTATGAGAGGGGTATGTCCCCGGATGCTCGGATCCGTAAAGGTGCAGCACATTCTGAGCTTTGGATCAGGAGTAATGGTCCATGGATGACCCCCTTGGGCGACGTTGCCACGAGGGTTCCAGGAGGGGAAATGGTCGCTCCGCTGGGCTTTTTTGGGGCCTTCGTGACGCTATCCGTGTCTGGGGTTTGCATAGTGATGGCGCAAGAGCCACCAGCAAGAATCTCCATCAATCAGTAAAGAGGCAGTGCAGGAGGATGATTTCGTGGTTTTGTGGCCTGGAAGCCTGGTACACTCAGCAGATGTCCTGAACACCTACGAGTATATATGCAATCCACCGACCCGTGGAGAGGGGCGTTGAGGTGGCTAACCGAGGCGCAGTGCGTCCTCATCGGCGGCTTACTGTACAATCGTCGCCGCACCAGCCGCACTCTTAGCCCGATGAGCTGCAAGTCGATCGGTGGGGATAGCTTACAGTAAAGACGTACAGTAGAGTCTACAGACGCCACTAGAGTCGATGACTGATTGATGATGAAGCGTCCTCTCGACAACCTCTTTCGGACAACGCTCGCAACCCTGGAGCTCATGCTCGCGCTCAATAATCGCAGAGAAGGCCACTCAAGCTCCGCGCAGTGGCTTCAGGATCTCCGGACTGGGTGCAACAGTCAAATGTGTCAGGGATGGCCAGGGATACAAGCATGTCTACGAGGAGTTGTATCTTTCGTCGCTCGCGTCCAGCTGTGCAGCAAATGCCAAACCTAGCTAGCTACCTACAAAGCAAATCTCGACAAGGGCATGTGGGAAGAAAGACCCAGGAGCGTCGATTAGGCTTTTCGATTTGTCGGTGGCTGGTGGCGGCATCATTGCAGTAGTTCTTGCGACTATCATCTCCTCGGCACCATGTGCTGTGTGTCTGACGAGTGTGTCGTGCGCAATCGAATGGCGCAGGCTGGCCCAGTGCGCCTCATAATGACGCTCTGCGTGCGCCGAGGACACTATTCCGGGCAGTCAGACCGAGGCCCTTCAGAGGTCCAGCTGGCTCGGTTGCTCGTCACTCCACGCCTACAGAGGACTATTGTACTCGTGCTGTAGTGTGTAGCCCACTATCATCACTAGCCTGGTGAGCCTAAGCTCCCCCCTCCACCTTGTCTCCCGCGTTGCCGGCTCACCGGGGCCTCTCATGGCTGTTCTGCTCGTCACCGTTGCACTGCACAACACCTCTTCGTCGCTGGGCCTCGATATGAACTTTAAGTTATTAACATCGCCAGCATCTCGAGATCCCCATCAGTCTTCTTGGAATCGACGTCATTCATTTCGCTGGTTAGTACGCAGACCCCTCGACCTCCTGTGCTCAGCCGTCTCCCAGCTTCTGCCGTCGCATCTCATTTCTCCTGTTACTTTCCACTGTCCGCATTGTTCCAGCTTTGTCTGCAACTTCGTCATTATCTAGTCTGCCGATCAAGCTCCGTCCCGCTCCTCAGAGTGCCTTCAGTATCTTCATTTTCTCAACCAACCCATAACACCATGCTGCACTCGACATAGCTATCTGTTTCAAACCTCTTCTCTGTCCATCGACAACCTCTCACTCGAGCTCACGCCTAGACCCCCGGCATTCCGCACCTCAAGACGAGGATCGTGACCATGTCTAGACCAATCACTCCCATATCGCCTGCGCGCAGCCCCTTCCCACCCCAACCTGATGCCTCTCTGCAATCTGCGCGCCCAACGAGCGCTAGACCACCATCTTCTCGGCCAGTCTCCAATATTGACACCCATCATACCGACGCCCTGTCAAACTATGATCAGTCCGGCTCCTACCCCAATGATCCAAGTGCGAACTCGCCGACTGACCATCTCCATGACGGAGAAGTCGTGACTGGAGAAGGGGCTCCCGCGCTTCCCCGAACCAACTCACAAATGTCAGGGGCGCAATCGTTGGTTCCGTCAAGAGGCGGTACTTTGAAGAAGAAGTCTTCCTTGCACAAGAGCGCTAGTCTCAGAAGAACGGCTAGCAAGAGAAGTAGTTACGCCGGATCGGTACGGAGCATGAAACTTGGTGAAAGGGAGAAGTATGGCGAAACCGAAGAGACCAACAGCGTCTTCTACTGTCCCGTTCCCACCTCCGGCAATCCCACTGAAGTACTAGCGAACAGATTCCAAGGTAAGCTCGAGGCGAGATGTCTGATGGTTTGCTTGCTAATGGACGTTTAGCGTGGCGCAAAGTCCTGAAGGACATCATCAATTACTTTCGCGACTTGCATAAGACATACGAGATGCGGTCCAAAGCTCTCTTGTCCACTTCAAACTTGGTCAACAGTACTTCGCTGCCTCCCAACTTTCTGTCCTCTGGGGGAATTGGTGAAGCCAACTACATCTTACGAGATTTCCATAAGCAAGCTCTCAGCGAGGCCAGCAAGGCGCGTGACCTGGAAAATGAGGTCATTGTTCAATTGACGGGCCTTCGTAGCGACTTGCAACAGAAAATCAAAGAGATCAAGAGCTTGTCTGGTGACTTTAAGAATTCGGTAGACAAGGAACAGGAAACAACCAAGAGAGCGGTTCGGTCTCTTCAAGAAGCGCTGGGTTTGGTCGATTCAGATGCCGCATCGACCAGTGGGAAGGGCGACCCATTTTTGGTCAAGCTGGGTGTTGACAAGCAAATCGAAAGGCAGATTGGCGAGGAGAACTACCTCCATCGAGTAAGTGAAAGCATTTGTTTGAGATTCATGAGGCTTGACTGCTAACCTGTCAAGGCCTACTTGAATTTGGAAGCATCCGGGCGCGAACTCGAGTCGATTGTAGTTGGAGAGATCCAGAAGGCATACAACGTTCTGGCTGGCATTCTCCGCCGCGAAGCCGACGATGCTTACGACACCGCCGAGAAACTGAAGGAGGGACCTCTTGCTATGCCCAAAGACCACGAATGGGATGAGTTCACGACAAACAACAACCAGATGATCGACCCACGCCGGCCAATTCGACAGGTAGCCAACATTGTTTATCCTGGCAAGGATCATCCCGCGGCCATCGAAGTGAGAAGTGGCATGCTTGAACGAAAGAGCAAGTATTTGAAGAACTACACACCAGGATGGTAGGCTTTCGCCCCTCGACCAAGTTCATCTGCATTGCTAATTCTCAAACCCAGGTATATTCTATCCCCAACTCATCTTCACGAATTCAAATCGGCCGACAGGGTGAGCAGCCAAACTCCGATCATGTCACTATACCTCCCAGAGCAAAAACTGGGCACCCATTCTGAACCCGGATCCTCGTCGCACAAATTCATGCTTAAAGGGCGACAAACCGGTTCAATGCACCGCGGCCACGCCTGGGTCTTTAGAGCGGAGACCCACGACACCATGCTTGCATGGTACGAGGATATAAAAGAACTCACCTCTAAGCGCGGCGAAGAACGAAACGAGTTCGTCCGGCGCACTCACGCACGATCCATCTCCGGAAACAGCATGAAGCCAGCAAGCATTATTAGCTCCGAAGGTGGAATGGAGGAAGATGAGGCCGATCAAATAGCATTTGCTGGAGAACAATCTGTCCGGGGAAATTCTATCGCCAACGAGGCCGGTATGCCTGGAGCCACTGGACTGGGTGTTCTCGGTGCAAACGAGGTCGAGGATACTAGGTCAGAAGCAGGATGGCGTCCTCCTCAGCAACGACCAGCACCAGGTGGGCGTTTTCCATCCGACCTCAACATTCAGCGAGGCTTACAAGCACCGCTTTCCCCGTCTAGTGGAGCCAGTTCTGACCAAGACCGAGATGTTATAGCAGCCGCAGGTTCCCTTCCCGGAAGTGGCGTGCCCTTCTCGAACACCGGCGACCGGCACACAGAGCTCCAACCAGCCACTGCACAAACGGTCCCTGACTCTAATGACATCAACACCAATAGTCACTATACTGCTGGCCAGCATCCAAATATCCTCCCTGTGCATACCGCCATTCCACGAACGCAGGATACCACCAGCCAATACGGCGAATGGATGGCGCCAATTGCAGCAGGTGCGGGAGGCGCTGCAGTCGGAGCTGGTCTGATGCATTACCATCAACAACAGCACCATGAGCAACCGCAACCTGAAAACATTGAGAATCAGATGGCCGGAGGAGCGGCAATTCCAGCTTCTGGTCAATCTTCTGCTCCGATACCAGTCGCGACTGCCGCCCCTGTCAATGCACCCACCGGACCTCGTGCAATGAGTGAGTCAACCACAGCACCAAGTTCAGCAGCCGAAAATGCTACGTCGTCTGGCACGGATACTGCGACTCTTTCGACAGTACCTACCAGTACAGGATTTCCCGCCGGCAACGAGAGTATGTTCGATGCGAATGGAGTCTTCGCTGGGCCGAGAACTGCGAAGGGAGCACCCACAGACTATGTCGTCAAGCCAACAGAACGGTCAAAGAGTCATACGACCATCAGCGACTTACACGTGCCCGGAGAGTTTCCAGCCACTCCCGGTCTAAGCGAAGGCCCCCGACTATATGGTGACGTGATCAACAATTGAAGCAGGGCAGAATTTGAAAGGTCTCAAATTGCCTCCAAGGGTGATTTAAGATGTGGCAATGCCTACACGCACAGGATCAGGATAACAGGCCGATTGAACATCTTTTCATATCATCTACTGGTGGCTATGTGATCAGGGTAACACAAAGGAGGGTTCACTGGTGCGGTGTTATCTTGCTTCATGTTGAGTTTCCCTTGTTTTTTTCCTTTGAAGATACCACACGATCGTTCTCACGTTTTGCGTTGATTGGTTCTCTACTTGGTGGCCGATGGTGGGGGGAAATGAGGAAGTATGCTGATTGTCGGTATCCTTTGAGCCACGGGGATTTTTACCTGCCTTGGCTAGGTGACAAACCTTGTTGGAACAAGGTACGACTAGTTGAAGTGGAAAGAGCGTCAGCGGTCTAATGAGGATAGGAAGAGATAACCAGTAAAACACATGCACAGAAAATATCTTGAGCGTATTGAATATTTGTCCTCTTCTTTTATTTTTCTGCCAGCAACCTTTACATTTTGTGCTGGTCGTAAAGGTTGAAAAATGGCAGTTCATGATTGTCCTATGGGGTGCGGAGTAAATACCTCGAGTACCTCATGTACCTGAGGTAAGGAGACTGCAGGATATGAGAATGTTAAACGCGTACCAGAGTGCCAGGACAGCAGTGTTCAGGTTTGTCTCGGTACCGTGGTTAGAACTCCGAGAATGCCTGATACTTGAAATGCCTCAATGTCGAAAGCGAGCAAGCAGTAAGGTACCTGTAGTATAAACAAATAATCGTGACGGTTGTCGCGTCCACATAATCAGGCGGCATGAAGAGTATGATATGAACTGGACCTGTACTGGCGGAGGAGGGGGATCAATACTCGTACCTGGGGGACCAATCGCGAAACCGCGCCTTTTTTTACCTTTTGTCCCACTGATGATATTGTAAGTATTGTGACTCGTATCGCTGGCGTCACTCGACGATCTCACTTTCCCTATTAGGAACAACAAGTTGCCTCTTTGGGAACTCCTCTCACTTTTTGGTCAGCCAGCATCGTCGGAACTTGGGTATATAAGAAATGTCCAAACTTTAATTTCTTCATTTCTTTCATCTCGCTCACTCACTCACCTCTCTGCCTTCTCGACGACCGACAGCGCGCGTTCTTCTTTCTTTGCGCGAGGGTTTCTACCGGAGCGGAAGTCTCGTCCAACATTTAGTATCTTTTTCGATTGCGATCGGGTCGGCGGGCGGGGCTATTGCCAGGCATCCTGACGGTCAATCTTCGCGCCATCACCGTTCAAGGTGTACCCGTCCACGTGTGGTGTTTTTTTTGTTTCCATCCATTAGCGGAATACAGTAGTCTTGATACGATGTGATTGATCACCGAGACTGGCTGACCTGCAGTTACCCACCACAGGTGAGTAATGTGAGATGAAATTCACGACTTGCAACGGTGAACCGAAGGTGGAACTGCCTCCGTAAGTTTGCACCGTTGTGAGAACACGTCGTCCGCCGTCCCACGAGTACCTGTGTACCTTGTGTACGTACCTTAGGCAGCTTTAGGTGGGTGCCTACTTAGGTGCCCTGATCTTTGATATCGTTTAGGTTAGGTATGATCAGGGGGAAACGTCTTTGCCCGTCTAGGCCGGCTTGGTACCTCATCCGTCCTTTCCAACGAGCACTGGATCCAGTGGGCTAACGAGTGCAATCTTGCACTCCCTAATGCCCACGGTGCGGCGTCTGCTCCCCGTACCTCGACTATGTGTGGCGACCACTACGATGAGACAAAGGCAATGTACAGGCAATGTACAGTCCGGGGCATCATTCATTACTGTCATCCAAGGTCATAATATGTAACACTTCATTCGCACCTGGTTCTCATTCTCATCTCATGAGCTTCATATCCTCCCCTCATCAACAACATCATTACCGGCATTCACCCCGTTATCCCGAAACACCGTATATCTTTGAAAGTGTCTCATGGTCAAATGTTTTCATCGCAAAAGAATCTAGCACTGCTTTCGTTTCATCCATGGCACTGAGCACCGGGTGCATGCCCGCCGTGTTATTCCGCATACTCGTCAAATGACTGCGGAGCTGCTTGAGCATCGACTTCATCGATTCATCCTCTTCCTCATCTTCCCCTCCATCTCGAATAGGATTCTCATCCAGACCATTCTGGTTGCTTGAGATTGAGTCGTCCAGCGCGGCGTTTGGTGAAATGCCCGTGATGCCATTAATCCAGTCGATTTGGTCCAGTTGATCGGAGTCCATTTCGAATTCGGAGAGTTTTCGAACGACAGGATGCAGACCGCGCTCCTTCTTCCGGCGGAGGTCGTTGGCGGATCTCAGACTCGTCTCGAGAGCGTCGAGTTCGGCCCGGTCGCGCTTCAGGAGGCGTTGTTCGCGCTTGATCTGTCGGCGCAGGAGGTGACACGACGACGTGTTCATGTTCAGCGTCGATTGGAGCGAGGAGATGCGGTGCAGTGTGTTGGACAGGTCAAACGGCGTGTCGTCTTGCGAGGAGCTCGTGGGTGCAGGTGGGAAAGGCATGCGCGGAAGACGGGATACCAGTCTATAAATTTATCTCGTCAGCCTTCAACTCTCCCATAGAACAAGTGTATATTGGGGGAGTAGACTAGGTTGAGACGCGGGGTTTGGAGAAGGGCCCTTAACTTGTCTGCAATTTCTTCAACGACCTTATCGTACTCTTCTTCCTTGAGCGCATTCTTGTTGTTTGCTTTGGACGCTCGACCCGCGCGGGTCTTGTTGAGGGGAGGGATGCGCGCGTTGCCTCCTCTTCGCTTCGCTTTGACGTTCAGAAGGATTTGACGAATTTTGTCCTGAGAGGACGTCGGTAGGGGCTTCCATTTCTTCCGGATCGTCGTTTGCGAGATGTTCTTAATCCTTGGTGCGAGCGCTGCGAAAGGGGAACGCGCCTCGTCTGCGTCTACCGATGGTCTTGAGGGCGCCATTCTCAGTTCCGAACAGGGAAAATGCCACTGTCGTAAAACCCGGGGCGCGAAGATGGCTATGATTTGTGTCACAGAAGGGTTAGATGCCGGAGTGTGTGCTGAAGACTTGCGATCGATCAATCAACGCGTGTTGATGCGTGTTTTGTTTCGGTTTAGCGCAGCCTTGCGCTCGACGATTTCGCGCCTACCCAGGTATCTGCTGTTTGGAAATCCAATTGATGAATGAGCAGATTACTCTAGCCATCCTGGATTTTGCATCCTTCTTACTTTCCCAATGGCCTGTGCCTTGTGCTCAAATGTTGCGCGGTCTTCAGCCGCATCTAATTCTGAATAAAGCGGTTAGATATCCGAAACACGAATACGAACACTGTCACTGATGTTCAGCTCGTACCAATCCGGGAAGTAGCCAAGCCAACCTCGCTTGGAACTCTCAACTGAAATTCCAGACTGTCCAGTCCTGGGTCTTGTTAACGAGAGGCACAATCAGCTCGCAAGGTGGGCGTATGCTTGCAGGGAACACTAACCTGCCTAGGATTGTCTCTCGGACTAAGATTGGACTGGGCGTCGGTCCTTCGCTTAGCCAACTACCAGACTTTGCAAACACGAGGAGGAGAAACACACTTTGCGCGGCTTGTATGGAGCGCAGGACGCCTATGCTGCCTTCTCGTGTCACTTCAGTATCTGTTTATGGTCGCTACTCAGCCAGCCACTTTTCGAAGCTTCAAATATATCCTCGCGTAACGTCGGTTGCATCACTCAAGCCACTGATGCACTCGGATGCAGCATATTGTTGCCGAGACAGACTCAGCCGCAAGGGCGCTCGTGTCTCACAGCCTTTAAAAGATGGCCGTTTCTCTTTTCACTCGACACGTTCTCCCAACCTCTGAACTGTCCGTTTAAATTTATACCTAAGATCTAGACTGGCTCTGAACTCCGTGCTACTTTCTACATCAAGATGCCTATTCGCGACTACGGGGTCTGGAAGGGGAAGCCTGTATCATATACAGTCGACCCTCCACGAGACCGTACACCCCACATCAACCTGGTCTTCCAGAGCGATGGGCAGACAATGCTCAAAGCAGCCATCAATGTAAAGTCCAAGACCAAGCCACATGAACTGGTGTATTGGGTCGACCGCACCTTCTCCCACCCGCTCACGCAGTACATCGAAACGGTCGATTATGGCTTTAAGGCAATTGAGCCAGACGACCAACAAGCCGCGACCTATGCACTCGACTACGCCCGGACGCCCGGGCTTCTGCAATTTGAGTCCGGTCGGATCCTGCCGTTCATGGAAGACGGACCGGACAACGACATTCTTGATCAACTCCGGCCTATCCTTGACGCAGCTATCGAGAAGCAGGCCGACATATATCTTTATGGTTCGTCATTTGGGCCGGGAGGAATTCACGAAGTCCACATGAACCAGGGTAGTGTTGGGTTCGACAACGGTGTCAAACAGGATGGAGGGTTGATTCTCAGATTCCCCGATGGTCACTGGGAGGCAGTATTCTTGGCTTTTGCTTCACAGCAGATTCCCACGGACAACATTTCCGGGCTGCCTACGCCTGACAGTCGATCTCTGAAGGACATTATCCAAAGCGGAGGGAGGGCACGTCTTTGAAACAGAAAACAGAGTATGGAATTGTGCGTTTCTGCTGGACTCGTCTAGGCATCCATCCACTGTTGATGTTATAAAAATGGGAACGTCGTCGGGAGAGAGCTTGGAGGTCGGCACCTTACTCTATATTAGTAGGTGTAGCGGAAACTCGCAACCCCTTCTATCAGCCGGTCACCGAGTCTAGCTCGGCGATTCGCATCCCAGAACCATAGTGTGCAACCCATAACAACAGCGATCATAGCTATATGGCTCCCTATACTCACCCATATCGCCGTCAAGTAGCGAGGCGCTTCAGGTTGGCGCACGATATAGCTTCCGGCAATTCCGCCCAGTCCATTACAAGCTGAAATGGCGGCTGCGACCGTGGCACGCTTCCATTGTCCAACCACGTTGTTGGCTTGATAAGCGTTCAGTGCCGCCCAGTTTGAGATGTAAGCTCCAGTGGCGAGAAAAGTACCGATGTATCTAACTGTCACTTGACTTGGAAACCCGAGCATGCAGAATCCCACAATCAGACATATGGCGTTGAAGATGATCACTGGTGCCCGGATTCGATACCTGTCGCCGACATACGAGGATATCAGGACGGGGATCACGGCGTAGTAGTACGGCGGCGAGGAAAGCAAGATTGCCTTGTTAGTGTCGAAGCCCATTCCACTTTGCTAGTAATCTGTCAACACGCGGAAGCTTGAACCGTCGAAGGACGAGGAACATACCAATATTATCGGCAGAAAGTAGCTGAGGGCTGTGGATACAATGTTCAGAAGGAAGAACAGTGTACAGAAGACGTATAGTTTGACGTCCAGGAAGTTGACCAGAATGGCGGACACATTGAGAGGTTCAGGCTTTCCGCCATCGCGCCGATCCTCATTGATACGCGAGAGGGCCAAAATCTTTTCGTCGTCCGACAGGAAGCGAAACGAATTCTCGCATTGATCAGGAAATTCAACCATCCAGAAATATGTTACGATGCCGAGGAAGACGGTGACCGCACCTTGGACAAGGTACATGTACTGCCATCCACGAAGGCCGTGGCGGTGGTCGAGATGGTTGAGGCCATAGTTGACGATGGATCCGGTCGCAAGAATCGTGATCTCGCCCGACTGAAGGATGGCAAAGCGCAGTTGCTGCTCTCTCCGGGTATAGTACTAGTACGATATTAGTGCCGAGGTATGTCTTAGACCACGACTCGACCGTAAATTGGGGAGAACACATTGGTTTCACGAGGCCTTCTTGCCAGATAGACTTACGGTCGAAATGAGATATGCTAGGAATGGTAAGACGTGACTTTCGCGACCTAAAATAGCGAGACTACTTACTCAGTCCGGGAAAGACACCGCTCATGGAGATACCGAGGAGGACTCTCAGTGCAATCATCTGTCTCCATGTAGTTATGGCCGCAGTACACATGGTGATGATGCCGAAAGCACAAGTTATAGTGGCGAAGAAGATTCTGGGGCCAACAAGCCGGAGCAAAATGGTGGAAGGGAGCTGGAAGCAGATTGACGCGACCGTGAATATGAATATCGACACTGAGTAGCGGTCTCCGACGAGGTCCAAATCGGACAGCATGCTAGTCACCGAGGCCGATGAGATGATTCCACTGTCCAGCAGATTCAGGCTGCACAGTATGCCGGCGATGGTACATAGCCGCAGGTCAATCTTGCGCCGTAGGTGTAACTCTGCTTTGGCTCGGACGGACTCGTCCTGAAAGCGGTTCTGCAGGACGTCGACGTCGGGTTCATGATCAGTGCCGTCGGGGGTTTGTTCGATTGACTCATCGGCACCGTTTATGTAAGGCGGGCTCGAGGCCGGCGATTCACCAAACACTTTGACACCATCTTTGGCCGATGCGCTTGCCATGGCAAGGAGGACTTCGGGTCTGTTGCTAGACACTTCAGGACGTCGGTAGAGGAAGCATAGGCAGAGCAAGAGTCATCGCTCATCAGCCCAGTCAGAAATCTTTCAATGTCGTGATACCTGCGATTCGGTTCCACTGCGGGGAATGAGCAAGAGATAACAATGATCCATGGTGATTCGGCAGGGCCACGTCTGATTCCAGAAGCGAATAGTCTTGCAGGGTGATGCATGGTAGAGGTCCTACATATTGTGCCATGGCAATCGTACTTACGCAAGCGATTGGGAGGACTGGTCACTGGTGAGAGAAGGTCTGTTTTCTCAGACCGTGAAACCAGGGGACATGCCGTTGTGGCTGGCCCGGCTTGTCAGCAAGGCTGTGTCGCATGTGATTGGCAAGGCTGGCGGTGTCGGACAATAAAGGTCAGACACGTCCTCCACCCTCGTATTCCTTACAGAGTAGAGAGGAAGAGAGAAAGAGAAACAAGTGAAAGACGTCCATATACTCGGCAGATCACGGCGCATTCTACGATGCCCCAAGTACCTGTAGATTGTAGGTTCTGGTACTGGCCCTCGTGCGCCGAATGCTCGGACAAGATTTCAAATGACAGACCGGATGAATGGAAGACTGGCCAGACTGCCATGTCTTCCTCTCCGCCGCTCACATGCAGCCGGGCAGAAGATCGATGGAGATCGGCCACATGTTACTGAACCTCCGGCTGTACTCGTACAAATCCTACCGTTTGATGAGCATCGGGGCCCGTTTTCATTGCTTACCCGTACCAGTCCAGCAAGCGACCAGCCCGCATATCCTCAAACATGTCTAGCTTCCTGCTTTATTGACATTTCCATGTGTCTCACGCTCCATCCAATTCTACTACTAATGATCGCAGGCAAACGCCTTCGCCCTCTGCCACATCCCCTCAAAACCTCCCACTACTAAACACGCCCGGCGTCCTCGTCGAAGAGTGCTCGGCCACTCCTGCGCAACATGGTCGAAGTAATCCCGCCTCCAGATCCTCATTCTCTGCTGCCGCCGCTGCTAGCTTGTCTCCCTACGTCGTTTGCCTCTCCCAAACCTCCGCCAGTACTGCTCTCTCTTCTGTCCCCGATACTGCGTCAGCGGCTTGAACTCCACACTTCTGCCTCGTCAAGTGACAACTGGGCAGGTTTGTTATGTTGGGATGCACGGAAAGGAGACGTCCTCAAGGACAAGATCGAAGAAGCAGTGTTCGAGCCACACCCAGTTTCTGGAGAGATCGAAGTCGGTGACCATGACCAAATAAAGTATAAGCGATTCGACGAGGAAACACTCCGGGCACAAGTACCACTGCAAGATTGGCCATTTACGGCTGTGTACTTATGGTGCACGGGAAATGAGGAGGGCAATTCTTGGAGGCTGGCTGAGCTGCTGCCGCAAGATTCAGATCTACAGCAAGACACGTCTTGGTCGTCCTCGATTACAGAAGCAAATGAATCTGCCCAGGAGAGGATGGTGACAGAGGCTCTACAAGAAGCAGACCGAGCCAATGCACGGTCAACGCGAAATCTTTCTGTCCCACAAGCTGATGAGGACGATTACTGGGCAATGTATGACAGGTCAGAAGGACGAACACCGGCCAGAAAAACTCCAGTTGAACCTGCCCGCAGTGGCCCATCAGAGGATGATTACTATGCTCGCTATGCCAGCGTCCAACCTGCTCTGGATGCGCACGACCCAGATGAAGAAATGGAAGACGCTGCAGGCTCGACCTTGAACGGACATTCGTTGCAACATTTGTTATCGGGGGCCCCGTTGGATTCATCACAAGATCGAGAACCTCCGCCATATCAGCAAGGGCTTTTCAAAGACAGTGCTGAGGAAAAGGACCTGGCAGTCAACCAACCAGCACCATCATCGCCATCTTCGAGAGGATCGGACACTGTGGCACGGCTAGAGGAGCATGCAGAGCGGTACGGCGCCTCTGAGATTGGAATCAGGCAGCATATCAGCACCACTTTAAAGAGTATGTATCGGTTAGCAAAGAGCGCGGGCATGGATCGCGACGAATTTGATCGCATCGTTCAGCGGGAGTTGGAAACCTTGAGCATCTTTGACAGGCATGACTAGGAGCCGGCAGGTGTCGGCCATTTCAAATTTATTGACACTTTTGACCACCAAAAGGATCTGTAGCCCACATGCGTAGACCCCCAAGAATATGAGCGAGATTCGTTAAGACCCATCAGCGACGAATCCAGCTACACGAGGAGCGACAATAGTACAGTTGTACTACGTATTCAGGCCCCTTTTCTAATTAGGGGGAGGCGAACTTCTCCAACTTCTCGACGCACGGACCAGCTGTCGCGGTCTCAGAAACTTTAGGACACGTCTTACCCTTGGAATCACCCATCTATGTTTAATACAGTGGTCGAGTTTCCAGCGAGTTCCTTCGATTCCTGTTCTTTTGTTGTCTTCTCTTTTCTTTTGACTCCCAGTTCTTTCCTCCTACACAAGCTCAGGTTTTGTTCACCGACGGGGCTCCTCGCCGAAGGGCAATTGCTAGCACGCCCTCGAAGCCTCCCCTCACTCTCACCCGCAGCATGACTTCTCACAATGCAAGTCTGCGCCAAAGAGGTGGCAAGGAAAAGAATAAGATCACTGTTGACGAGGATAGTGATGAAAAACTCTTTGCCCAGGCCTATGCGGACGTGCAAAACCAAACGTCCATGCAATGGGATTACAAGCTGGCTCTGGGTGTGATCACCCTGCTTGCCTTCGCTACTCGCTTCTTCGGGATCAGCCATCCCAATGAGGTCGTCTTTGATGAAGTCCACTTCGGCAAGGTACGTTCATATACCATGGGGAAGTAGGAAGTGCCCCCTCTCACAGTGAATGCAGTTCGCATCCTACTACCTGAACAGAACCTACTTCTTCGACGTCCACCCCCCTTTCGCCAAACTCCTCTTCGCATTCGTTGGCTGGCTGGTTGGGTACGATGGCCACTTCCTCTTCGACAACATCGGCGAATCCTATATCTCCAATAATGTACCATATCTCGCATTCCGATCTCTTCCTGCGCTGCTTGGGGCTCTTACCGTGGTGGTGGTCTTCTTGATCATGTGGGAATCAGGGTACTCTCTTCCAGCTTGTGTTCTTGCAGCAGGGCTTGTACTCTTTGATAACTCACACGTTGGCCAAACCCGGCTGATTCTTCTGGATGCGACCCTTGTCTTTTTCATGGCCTTGAGCATCCTAACCTACATTCGATTCTACAAACAGCGACATGAACCCTTTGGTCGCAAATGGTGGAAGTGGCTTTTGTTGACTGGCTTCTGCATGAGCTGTGTCATTTCCACCAAATACGTCGGAACATTTACATTCGTCACTATTGGATGTGCCGTACTTATCGACCTCTGGGATCTGCTGGACGTCAACCGAAAAGGCGGAGCGCTCGACTTGATGACATTCGGAAAGCACTTCGTTGCACGTGCTGTGGGATTGATCATCATTCCTTTCTTCTTCTATCTGTTCTGGTTCCAAGTCCATTTCGCCGTACTCACACGGTCTGGCCCCGGGGATGACTTCATGTCGCCGGAGTTCCAAGAGACCCTCAGCGATAATCTGATGCACCAAGCATCTATTGATATCCAGTACGGCGACTATATTACCCTCCGACACAAGGATACAAAAGTGTACTTGCACAGTCATCCAGACAAATACCCTCTTCGGTACGAAGATGGTCGTATCTCGAGTCAGGGACAACAGGTCACAGGCTATCCATTCAATGACACCAACAACCAGTGGCAGATCCTTCCTGGCACTGTACCCACTGATTCGAGTAAGGAGGGACAGCCCGTCTTGAATGGAGACGTGGTCAAGCTGCGACACATTGTCACCGATACGATACTTCTTACACATGACGTGGCATCTCCGTACTACCCTACGAACCAAGAATTTACCACAGTGCCTCTAGACCTGGCCGCTGGTGATCGTCACAATGACACCTTGTTCGAGATTCGGATGGAGCAAGGTAAACAGGGAATGCCCTTCAAATCCCACTCTGGTCAATTCAAACTTATCCACTTTCCGACCAAGGTGGCTATGTGGACGCACACCACTCCTCTCCCAGAATGGGCTTTCAAGCAGGCCGAGATTAACGGCAACAAGAACGTCCAGCAATCTAGCAACATCTGGTACGTTGATGACATCCCGAGTCTACCAGAAGACTCTCCCAGACGGGTCAAGGAGCCAAAGAAAGTCAAGCGTTTGCCCTTCCTCACCAAGTATATCGAATTGCAACGGGCGATGTTCTACCATAACAATGCCTTGACATCTAGCCACCCCTATGCTTCTCAGCCTTACCAATGGCCGTTCCTTCTCCGAGGTGTCAGCTTTTGGACTCAAGAGAGCACCAAGCAGCAGATTTACTTCCTCGGAAATCCCATCGGATACTGGATTACCTCTGCTCTGCTTGCCGTGCTAGCCGGCATCATGGGAGCAGACCAACTAAGCCTGAGACGTGGAGTTGATGCCCTCGACAGACGTAAGTTTGCCCGCCTTCGTGGTGACCTGGTATGGTCTCTTGCTCACACTCACCCTTTTTTTAGGCACTCGTTCGCGCTTATACAATAGTACCGGCTTCTTCTTCCTCTGCTGGGCTGCGCACTATTTCCCATTCTACCTCATGGGGCGCCAACTGTTCCTCCACCACTATCTGCCTGCACACTTGGCTTCATGCCTTGTCACTGGTGCCCTTGTCGAGTTCATTTTCAATGTCGATCCTGTCCTTGACGATGAAACCGCATCCGCCATCGCCGTGAAGAAGGACAAAGTCATCAGCAAGGTACCTGACAAGACTCGACGGTCCTTCCAAACTGCCCAGGAGCGTTTCAAAGGCCAGAGTATGTTCACCACGTGGGTTGCTACAGCAGTCGTACTGGCCGCGGTCATTTACGGCTTCTACTTCTTCTTTCCCCTCACCTATGGCTGGCCTGGGCTGAATCCTCAGGAAGTCAATGCGAGAAAGTGGCTCGGATATGATCTGCACTTTGCCAAGTGAGGAGTCAATGCCAGACATTGCTACGGTTGTGATGCGAGACTCGACGCAAGTGTGCTCTGAGTCATGTGCGTTACTCTGGTGACTGGTGTAGAAGGACAGGGAAGCGCCATGGAGGCGACTTCCCAAATAAGTCAAATGACACTGCGACACAGAGCGCTGATTTCTGCCCGGCAGAATTAGAGATGGCCATTGGATGGAAGGGTGCCATCTCCCAGACGTAGTACACTTTGGGTCGTGGGCCGGAAGGACAGGAGGCTTCGAGGATTTTTGGCCAGCATCTAGTAAGCGCTGGGCCTTGGTCCGGCTGTCGTGGAGAGGTGATTGAGATACATCAACAGCGTCGACTTGCTGCGACTTGTTGGTGCATCGCAGCAGGCGGGAAATCCAGACTTTTTGTACGTCACATGGATTCTATGCCTGATTTTAGTCTAGTGCATGCTGATACCTGTACGGACCTAAGCTTGCTGTCAACCGTCTTGCCATCTTTCTCCTGTTGTTTTTCTGTAACCTGGGATTCATCTTTCTCCCTAGCGGCCTGTCGCTTCCAATACCACGTGAACATAAAGCATGACAGAGCAAGTTGGTCACGCGATGACCAGGAAGCCACATAACGACTTGACTAAATCAACGATGAAAGTAGCGTGGACCAGGATGCCCACATCTAAACTCGGAGAACATGTTCCGGGTGGAATGTACTGATACCCAGGGAGACCGAGGATGGTCGGGACTTGCCAGTCGTGTTGGGGTACTGATTGATCGGCGATCAAGAGGATAGCGGACAAAATGTCGAGATCGTTTCAGGATGATCTAGACTTTCATCCGACTACAAACGTGCATGAATAAACCGAAGGTGTATCTAAACGTGCGAATGTAAGCCTATATGAGAGTGCTTATCGTCACGAATAGGACCAATGCGAAGTAACATTCACAAGGTATGCAGGAGTGGCACTTGTATGCACGCTTCTTTTAGGCTTCTATGGATCTATTGACTTTTTCAGGCAACCGTGAATGCCGATGGCGACGCAAGAAAGATATGGATACTCCGTAGTGAGATGGTGATAAGGACTGACCTAGTGACTGAGCCTTGCATGGATAGGGCGCCAAGGCTAGAATGGAGAGAGATATGAAGGCTTCAATCCGACACGGCGACTATACAGAGTACAGCTCAGACTGATGATCGTCAAAAACTCAAGCCCTCTTCAGGAACACATTGAGGTTTCAGACATGATCACAACTGGGAGCGAGCGACATACAAACCACAGCTCAAGGCTGCGATACCGTAGATGACCTCAGCCTTGCCCCTCAATTGTTCCCCGGCTGCGCGCCTCAAGCAATGCCAATGTGCTGTCAGTCCCTGACCCCTGCTGCACGGCAAATTATGCTATGGTATCATCAAGCATAGCTAAGCGAGGAAAGGCCGTGCAAGCATTGGCCGGCCTCGTCTCCTATACCCTGCACCGCGTGGAAGACGATACCTAGTACATATCGAGAGGCAGAAGTACGCACTACACCGGCCTCGCACTACTCGGCGCTACTCACACTCCGGCCCGGCGTCATGGATCTGCCCTCTCTCACCGCCCTGGCCAGTCCACTAGCGGAAAGAAATGGCGTGCTTCTTCCACCAGATGTTGCCATTCCTTTTGTCGTCGCCGTCACTCCATAAAGATGCTCGAAATCTTCTCGTTCCGCGTCACGGAGAGTCAAAGCTGATGTTTTCGCCTCCCGCATCCTCCACAAGGTCCCCTGAGATGGAGTAGAATGATGACAAGATGAAATCGACGTGGGCTGCTGATGGTGCACGCGCCGTACTCGTTCGTTGACCACCTTAGCAGATTCCCCACATACGCGATACCAGGCTGAGTAAACTTCTGCCCGCTGTTGCTGTTGGTGTTGCTCCTACTGCCTCCCTTCATCCTCGTCTCTTCTGGGTGCGGCCTGTCGCCAGAGTTCCAGCACGCAATACAGAGCCCGAACTCGCTCCACTCCTTTGGCCGCCTGCTGTGACTTGCATATTTCTGACTGCTTCCGCTCATTCTGTTCTCTGCTTCTTCCTTCCCTCCAGCTTGCCCGAGCAGATAGTAGATCGTCCTGATTTGAGAGACTCAAGACTACCGACCGACAGAAACGCAATCATGGGTTCCTACGAACCACTCCCTGCCTCTCCTCCCATCTCGCCGCCAAATGGCTACCAGGGCGCGGCAGGCTTCTCAACCCCCTTGTTTCCAGCAAAGCCAAACATCCTCTTCATCATGGCGGACCAGCTGGCGGCCCCTCTGCTGAAGATGCACAACCCAAAGTCACAGATCAAGACTCCCAACCTTGACAAGCTGGCCGAGCGATCGGTGGTGTTCGACTCTGCCTATTGCAACAGCCCCCTGTGCGCACCCTCGCGCATGTGCCTTATCAGTGGTCAACTTCCTTCCAAGATTGGCTCCTACGACAACGCCTGCTCTATCCCTTCCGAGACCCCCACCTATGCCCATTACCTGCGGGCTGAAGGCTACGAGACAACCTTGGCAGGCAAGATGCACTTCATCGGGGATCAGTTGCACGGCTATGAAAACAGGTTGACTGCCGACATATATCCTGGTGACTTTGGTTGGGCTGTTAATTGGGATGATCCCGATCGCCGCTTGGAGTGGTACCACAACAGTAGCTCAATCTTGCAGGCTGGCCCCTGCGTCAGGACCAACCAGCTTGACTATGATGAGGAGGTTCTGTACAAGTCTAAGCAGTATCTGTACGACTATGCCCGAGAAGCTGCCGGCAAGCGGCCTTTCGCCTTGACCGTCTCCTTCACCCATCCGCATGACCCGTACGCAATTGAGGACAAGTACTGGGATCTGTATGAGGACGTCGACATTGACCTGCCCAGTGTGTCCCTCAAAGAGGAAGAACAAGATCCACATAGCCGACGTCTCATGCACGTGTGCGAGCTTGAAGGGCATGACTTCACCGATGAGCAGATCAAGCGTGCTCGACGCGCATACTATGGAGCGGTGAGCTATGTTGACGACTGCATTGGTCAATTACTCGATGTGTTGAAGAAGTGTGGTTTGGATGACAACACAGGTAAGTTGTGTATTCTATCGAAGCCTTACGAGACGCTGACCGAACCTCAGTGGTCATGTTTTCGGGCGACCATGGTGACATGCTCGGTGAACGGGGTCTCTGGTATAAAATGTCATACTTCGAGAACTCTGTGCGGGTTCCCATGCTGATTTCTCACCCTCAACAATTCAAGCCACACCGTGTTTCTCAAAACGTATCGACTTTGGATCTGATGCCTACTTTGGTAGATCTCATCGGGTCAAAGTTGGTTCCAGGCCTGCCAGTGGACGGTTTATCCCTGCTACCTCACCTTTATGGTAGCGATGGAGGTCATGACACCGTCTTTGCTGAATACATGGGAGAAGGCACAGTGGCGCCATTGATGATGATCCGGAGAGGTGACTGGAAATACGTCACGTGTCCGGTTGATCCACCCCAATTGTTCAACTTGCGAGACGATCCTCTAGAACTGAAGAATCTCGCCACGAGTGAAGATCCTCAGACGCAGGCTGTCTTCAAGGCATTCGAAAGAGAAGCGAATGCTAAGTGGGACTTCCAGAAGATTACCGATGATGTCCTCACCTGCCAGCGTCAGCGTCGATTGGTCTGGTCTGCATTGACCAAAGGTCGATTCGAAAGCTGGGACTGGAAGGGGCATGAAGATGGCCGTACCAAGTACATCCGCTCTCAAATTCCCCTCGACGAGCTTGAACGACGTGCAAGGTACCCCATCGCCAGTAATATACCAGCCCAAGTCTCTGTCAACAAGAAGCACGAGGTAGTGGTACAGCAATCCAAGCATCTCGTGGAAATTGCTAGCGACGCAGTCCATTACCGTTAGATGCATTGCCACTGCCTCTTTGGAAGACCCTGACGATTTTACATTTTATGAGCGAGGAGTTCCGGGGGAAGACTGCTACTGCTTATGTATCTGGCTTGCTTAGTCTTCTTTTCTCTCAGACTACAGCATCAGCCCCAAGTGTTTAGCTGCTCCACATTATCTCAAATATAGCATGGGGATTTATGGAGCAATTTTTCGTCGGCCTTGAATGTTTTCTGCTTGAACGCGGTGGCACTTTCTCTTCCGTGCCTTAGCAAGTTACCTGGTGGCCCTTGTGCCCCCTTAGGTATTTATGACTAGACAGACATACATCCATGCTTTAGCGAAAATTGGCACATCACCAGGCCATTTACGAAAACACAAAGCAAAAAAAGAATAAACAAATGAAATCTTATCCGCCAAACTCTTGTCCCGCGCTGTGAACCCGCGCTCCTTTTCTGCTCCTTGTACCGAATACACTGACCGGTTTTTTTTTCGTATGGGCCGTCTTGCATCTACGTCAAGCACGTGATCGGCTCTGGGCTTTCAGAGCGGCCTAAAAGTGCTGCTATTGTAGTGAGCTTGAGAGGCTGGGACTAAATTCATAGCGGGCGATCGACCTGCTCTCCGCCGTTATGCCACCTCGAGTCGCATTTGAATCGCAAAGTCGCTCGCTGGCCCAACTGACCCTCCGTCCGCTCCTTTGTCAATCGCTCGTTGAACAGTTATTCTTTATCCTTGTCCCATATGTTCTTATCCGTCTGCCCTGCTGAGCCTCACAAACGCAATGGCCGACAACGATGATTCTGTCCAGATTGCCGAATCTGGTGAAAGAGACGTAGAGATGGACACTGCCGAAGAAGTTCAGGAGGTGGAAGACGCTAATGGAGAAGGACAGGGCACTGGCGACAGCACAGGAGAAGCCAATGGCGAATCTGCGCCCAGAAATCCTCAAACCGCGTTTCTCGAGTACCTCAAGTCACCGATAGTTGAACTGGTCGTTGGTGCTGGTGACGAACAAACTACCTTGACAGCGCACAAAGCCATGCTCACGCAATCGCCATATTTTAGCAACCTCCTTGCTACCATGGATGACGACCAGCTCGTTCTTGAACTCCCAGACGAATCGCTCGACGCCGTTGGTTGTTTCCTGCAATACCAGTACACCGGTGAATACTTCCCTCGGCGACTTCCCAATTCCGCAGAGGGCTTGGAGCGGGACCCATCTGTACCCGCTGTCGATGACAATGGTGCGCAGCTTCTCAGGCATGCCCGTGTCTACACCCTGGCACAGAAACTGGGAATGCCTGAGCTCAAGACGCTCGCACATTCCAAGATTCATCGCATCGATTCGACCGCAGTTGGAGAGATCGCATACGCAAGATACGTCTATGGCAATACCCCTGCAGCCGACACCACCATCCGCAAACCAGTTGCGGCGTTCTGGGCCACGAGATCCCATGTCCTGCGCCACGAGGCCGAAGCCGAGTTCAAGGCGATGTGCTTGGAGTATCCCCAATTTGGTTTCGACGTTCTGAGCTTGGTGCTCGACCAGCGCGAGAAGAGAGCCAGAGAGCGCGACGAAGAGGGAACCCCGGGTGGTGGTAAAGGAAGAAAGAGAATGCGGCCCAGTGTCAATGTGTGAACAAGGTCCTACTTACCTTCCTTGTCGTTTGTATGTACACGATGCGGCGTTTATGGAAGATTTGGCGTACAGCAAAAGTTTCTGAGTTTCGAATCTATACCACTAGCCAGGGAATATCTCAAAAATACCTCGAAGTGAGTGATCACTACGATTTGGGTGATCGATTATCATTCAAGGAGTTAATGGACACAATGCAAGCGACGCTACTTTGCGCACATCAACGGCCGTTGATGGTTTTGGGCATGGGATGGGCATGTAATCAGTAGTGGCTCCAATCAAAACCCCAGTGGTCTTGGTGTATACGATGATACGGAGCAGAATGGCTCCTCATCTAGACCTTGACAGCATCATCAGGATGTATCCGTACGTCCACATCACGCCGGATATCCACAGCGTGCTGCTATCCGTGATGCTGCAAAGTAGTAAGTTCGATGGGCCGATGATCCATTCAAGCGAGATGCCATAAGTGCGCGCATCCGCACTGATGGTGCCATTTGATGGTTGGGTTCTGCAAGGGCTCGACAAAGTCCGTCTGTGCGAGGCTAAGGTCTGGGTCTGGAGTAACAAATGCAGAGGATCGAACTTTCGCCGACTCAGGGACCTCGGCGGCTGGTGAAGAGCATTAGTTACTACTCGTACCAGGTAATTGGACATTTTACGTACAGATACTCGTCCAGAATTGGGTGATTGCGGGGTGCGCTCGATTGCGCTTGGGGTCGGCTCGAGGCCCACGGGTTTGCAGCTTTCTCGATGCTCGCTACTTCGCCGATGTTGTTCATTCATTCTGTATCACAAGTTCACAACCTTGTTCATGTTCACGTAAATCACTCCCTTCCTTGTTCTGGCCCTGGTGCGCACTGCATGCCATGAGCATGAACGCATGCGATCGTGTCGCCTACCACCTCGACCCGCAATTCCACCTCTAAGCCTCGTCCAGTCTCCGGCCGGTTGCCAAATCGCCTACCATGTCAGATCTCAGAGATGGGCCTGATTATGCAGGCAATGGCATGGACACGAGCGCAGACACCCAGACGTCGCTCTCGACGGGCGGTACCCCTTCTGCGACTCAGCGCAAAGCAAATCAAGCCTCCCCGTCCGACCAACCAAAGAAGAAGCGCAAAGTGAATCATGGTGCGTGTCTAAATTCCAGCATCTCGGTCGTGTGCTCTACTGACTGTGCGCTTTCTGCGTGTAGCTTGTGTCTATTGCCGTCGCTCGGTAAGCCCGGTCTCAAACCTGTCCCCAGCAGCACCGAGTTTCGAGTGTGTAGTGAGACATCGGGTAGGCTAACACAGTACTTTCGGTGGGATACACAGCATATGACCTGCGATTCTGTACGACACCCTTCGTCTCCATTATATTGCGCCTGAACTGCCATGGCGAGAGCTTCTCAAGGACCACAGGCTGACGCGAGCTCCTTCGATGGGGCATGTCTTAGGATCGACCCTGCAAGCGCTGCATCAAGAGAAACATCGGACATCTGTGTCATGACGAGCCAAGAGACGGACACGGATATCAAAAGAAATCAAAGACCGATTCAGATACTGCTACGGGGGTCGACGACAATTCTCCTCCAAAGGATGAATTTCCCACGGCACCAAGCTCCGTGCCTGCACCCGCGCTGATTGATGAATCCGGCCACAATATTCTGCAAGAGAATAGCATTGGGCTGAGACCCTCCACGAATGACACGATGCCAGTCTCGAATCCAAATGCGCCGACGCCAACAGTAGGGCTCAATGGAAACGCCCAACCTCGTGAGTAAGGCACATGTCTGAGCTCGACGCGCACTAATGCCGGGGTTAGATTTCAATTATAATGACCCGTGGCTCGGAGTTCAGAACAGATTTCACGACATGCATACCTTCCACCCAAATTATATGTTTAATGCTAACGAGGTCACGGACGAGTACAATTTGCTCAACGACTTCCTCAGCAACAGTTTATTTGAAGAGACCGGCATGTATTCCACGGACGAGTTTCAAGGGCCGTTCAACGACCCGTCTTTCATGAACACCATGGCGGCATCAACGCTCGGTGTGCATCCTCCTGAGACCATGCTCCCACAGGAACAACAACTTGACGGTTCGACCGCGGCTCAGAACAATGCTGCTCACGGAGCCTTGATTTCTAGACCGTCCAGCGTGAAGCCCGTTTCGGACAAGGCGCGAGAGAAATACTACATGATGGCAGCAGATCCGACCGGGGCAGAACCACCAGAGGAACGGATGCAAAAACTACTCAAAGCCAAGTACGACGCCGGAATGCTCAGACCTTTCAACTACGTCAATGGTTATGCCCGGCTCAACAAGTACATGGAGAAGAACATGAAACAGTCGTCACGTCACAAGATCTTGATGCAGCTAGATCAGTTCAGGCCGAAGTTCCGAGAGAGAATGCAGAGCTTGACCGATATTGAGCTTGTGCTGGTCGAGATGTGGTTCGAGAGGAGTTTGATGGAGTACGATCGGATTTTCGCTAGTATGGCGATACCGGCGTGCTGTTGGCGCAGGACCGGAGAGATCTTTAGAGGCAACAAAGAGATGGCAGAGTTGATAAATGTGCCTATCGAGAGCCTCCGTGATGTAAGTCCGCAAAATATGGCGGCTTGGAGGCCTGCTAATGACTTTATAGGGTAAACTTGCAATTCACGAGATCATCGTCGAGGACCAGCTGGTTAGCTACTGGGAGAAGTTCTGTGCGATCTGCTTTGATCAGCAGCAGAAGGCTATGTTGACGAGCTGTATGCTACGAACGCCAAACGCCAATGGTGGACAGGGAGAAGAGATCCCCTGTTGTTTTTCTTTCACGATTCGACGAGACAACCACAATATGTGAGTATACTTGATTTTGTTTCTGGCAGGATGCTGATGTAGAACTACAGACCATCCTTGATTGTCGGCAATTTCTTGCCCATGAATCCGCCAAAGCATTAAAGGATGCCAGATGGCAATACCTTATGTATATCATGCCATTAAAAGCGGGTAAACAAAAAACTTGAATAAACGTGCTGGCTGAGACTCTCTCCTTTTCTCTATGTTTGGTGCTTTTCGTGAAAATTGAAGGTTGGGATTTCAGGTGGTGGTGCACTTCTTACCTGACCTCGTCATCCATCACGGCTTGAGTCCCTTCGCCCTCTTTCGTAGCACCAGACGATTTCTCGCATTCTGAAAGGTCCCCGCCATCATCTGCAATGCCCATCCAAGATATTGCAAGCAAAGTGCGATCTGTACTCGGTACGTATGCCTGAGAATTCTTTGCGTCCGACTAATAGAGGAGTAAGACTTTGCACTACATCTACAGCATGTCCTCGAAAAGGACGTCGATGCTCCATCCCAAACCATTGCAGACACGTTATCATATGTCCAAGCTTTGCCTCTCCCTCGCAAAGACCTCTCACCTCAGCAACGGGTTGACTTCGATCGGATCGGAGTTTCATTGTGGAACACGTGCTGCAGATTAGGCAAGAGTGATGGAACACAAGATCCGAAGCATCTGGCGACCAGTAACATGTTCCAACTCCATACCTCGACCTCCCTGACTGATCTCGGCGAGCAGTACGATGTTTCTCCTACTTCCTTGTCGAGAGCGCTTCGAGGTCCCATGGAAAGAGTAAAGTTGACTACTTCCTGTCGACTCTGGGTGCAATCTCACATGCCAACAGATGCTTTCAACCTCTTCCGGCACGCTCTGAAGACCTCGAAAAGCTGCCTCGGTACAATTGATCATCGAGAAAACCAGTGCTTTGGTCGTTACTCACACATTTTACTAGATGCTGGATTGTTCGATCTCGGTGCTCGAATTGTGGAGCATTTGGCGGCGAAAGACGAAGAACTGAGTGAGATCAAACAAGATGACAATAATGGCGAAGCTGTGCTAAGCAACGCTTTGCGTGCGGAATATTTACTCGTACGGATCGCGCTGGTTCGTAACATGCCCTTACATCTTTGACGGGCGAGGTTTTGACCACAAACAGGCATGGAAGCAAGACCGTATCGAACTTGCGGATCACTTCAATGCACAGCTCGAAGCTGTTGAGTCAAATATCGACCTCGGAGTCGTCAGAGGTTTGATCGACCTGTGCTATGAGATTGGAAGTGATCGCCTCGATCAGAATCCAAGGCAAGGCCATGTAGCAACAAAGTGGCTACGAAGAGGTTGCGAACTTTCAGATCAATACGATGCGGGCGTTGTAGATGCTGACGTACACGAAATGAGACTCGCTTTGTTGCACACGCTTGGTAAGGCTGGACTTCTGCTTTTCGGGCGATTGATACGCAGCCTTTGCTGAAGTTGCAACCAGTAAGAGCTCTACGTTCTAGTCAAGATTTCGAAGACCGTGACGAGGCTTGCAGGGTCATGGTGAAGTTGAAAGAAGTGGGGACCTCTCGATTGTCGAGACTTTCACAGGCTGATTAGTCCAGGAATTTGGTCATAAGGCCTGTGTCATTGTCCTCCAGCTGGAGATTCACAAGGAGGATGGCAGGACGGATGTCGACGCATTTTATCAAGGTAGGAGCTCGTCACATTCAGGTATTACCATCGTACTGACCTATCAAGAGTTTTTGAAGCTGGTTCGATCCGCCCATTTAATCCTGTCGAACCACAGATTGTGGGTATTACCTATACCGGATAATCTGTGACGCAGAGTACTGATCGTGCTAGGATCATGCATTATGTTCACTATCTAAAATCATTGAGGTGAGGCTGATTTCGTCTCCACAAGTTGCAATGCTGACATACATTCTTCACAGCATTCACCATGCCATCGAGGCTCTGATGACTTACATCACGACAAGATTGGTGGTCGGAGAAGAGCACGACTGGGTAGACAGTGCCATTATAGTTTTGGTCTGGATCATGACTCTCTCGGGGCCTAGCAGCCCATCGAGGATCCATGATCAAACATCATGTCGGTTCAATCAAATCCAGTCGGCAGGACGCGTGAACATGGGGCCGGAAGCTGCGCAAAGCGCATTTGTTGTGAGTTGCAAGCTGGTATGGGTAGGAGTTCTGTTCTCTGACTCTAGTAGCTTCTCTGGAAACGAGTTGAAGACTCGTTCAACCAGGATGCAAAACAGGATGCGGTAGAATGGTGTCGTGCTGCCCAGCATGGGCTCTTCTCTGGCGGTGTGCATGTTGAGAATGCTTGCAAAGTCGAGAGGTATACACGATCCACTTCCCAGTTGCAGGAACTTGGCTAATCGTGCACAGAAAGGTCATGCAGTGTTACCTAGACCTGTCTGACGTGGAGGCTGCTTCCAAGGCTTGGAATACCATGTCAACGAGAGGGAAACAACACTTCCTCGGCCGATATCTCCACTATTGCCTAGCACTTCGGAAAGGCGATGACGCCGAAGGTGAGTCCACACGATCTCCGGTTGACTTTAAACTGATGAATCCCAGTGCGTTCTGCATTAAGTTCTCTGTCGATGGTGCACGACGATCGAAATCGGATTCTCTTCGTTGCTGTTGCCGAAGCTCTACGACATGGCACGAAACCCCAGGCAGCACAGTTGCTTCAACGGATATTGGACAAGTACAGAGAGAACCTTCCACCGGAAGTTGATGCATATGCTCTGCTGAGGTGCGTTGGAATAAAACCCCATGTACATGCCACTGACGGTTCAAGATTTACGGCTCGGCTTCTGATCTTGGCTCTTTCGGAGCCAAGTGAAGGTCAGGATGAGCTTCATCGGAGGCTGTGTGGAGTGTTCAAGTTCGGTACGATCGAGCTTGAAGGCCTTGGCTGTCTTGATACTGACCGTGCTCAGCTTCGACACTAAGTCAAAACACCTCTGGCGGGAAAGGGGTACCACTCCAAGAATGTAGATGGTTCCAAAAGACAGCCTTCAGTTGTGCAGCCCAGAATCATAACTCCTGGCCAGCAAGATACTTGATCGACATTCTGCAGTATTCGTGTCAGGTAGGACTAAGAATTTGGATTGAGAACTTCGACCGGATCTAAACATACTCCAGTTTGCTGTCGTCTCCGATGTTCGAGCAGGTGCTCCGTCCGAAGAACAACTCAAAAACGAACTTGACATGTGGGCCCTGCAAGTAGCTCTCTATGTGGGTGAAGCAAGGTCAGCCTCTCCGTCCTGGACGGTTGAAGACATTCCGAAAACCTCGTATCTCAGCAAGTCACCTCCCTCGCCTAGAGATATCAAGGAGTTGCTTTATCGGAACGCGTTCGACAGATTCTCGACCATGCAGCGCAAGTTGCAGGAGCTGCCAGGAGATGAGTCCCGGAGGACAGCAGAAGACATGAAGCAGAAACTCATCTCGATTTCACCTCTCGCTTTCGAAGCACTTCTGTTCCTGACGGCCACAGACCCGGCCGCCACGAGCCATCGTCGTGACTTTTTTTCACTTCGCAGCCTCCTGGGCCAGATCACCCAGCTTCAGCCTCCAAGAAAGACTTACTCGTGTTTGGCAGACATGATTCTGTCCGCTGCTTGTCGTAACTCCCCGGGCGGCGACGCGATGGACCCTCCAGTGCAGTTTCCAACCTCAGCGGTGACCCAGCTGCTCTCGACGCTCATCCAGGGGATCCGCACCCAGTCCGGCTACGACCTCTCGCAAGCGTCACGCTGGATCCGATGCGTCGTCCAGGTCCTCCTGGACGGGCACCGCGACGAATTTGCCGTCGTCGACACGGAAGATGAGATTGGGCTGGTCACGGTCGACACGGTCGTGGATCAAGCTTTGGGTCTTGCCCGTTCGGCGGCGGCGGTGCCTTGTTCTCCCGTGCAGGATCACGAGGCGTATCCGGCGGAAGAGCTCGAATGGCTTGCCACCACACTGTTCAATCTCTCCATTGACCTATACGTGGCGTCTAGTGAAACAGAGACTGATTCTGAAATGGCGGCCTGTCAAAAGCACAAGGGCGGACGCCACGGTGGCCACGACGAGGACCGTGATGGCGATGCTGATGGTGGTGGTGGTGGTGACGACGATGCATACCGTGCTCATTATAGACAGCCACAGTTCTGGGCAAGAAAGGCCATCGAGGTCGCGGAGCTGTTGAATGGGGGTGTGAATGTTCATGCGAACGGGGACGGAGGGATGTTGGCACGGCTTTTGAGAGAGAAATGTCAACGCCTAGGCTGGGATGTGTAGGTAGTATCGTATTGGTATCCTGAATGGTATGTGTGCTGAACCCACCAAGAAAGACCCCGAGGTTCTTGCGTATATACACAACCATATTACAGTCACACTCTCCACGCCTGTCGGAGAGTGGTAATCTTTTTGTTATCTCCACGAAATGATCCCATCTCTCTCTCTCTCTCTCTCTCTCTCACACACACACACACACACTCTTCCCCCCTCTGTCCACCAAAAAGGTCTCTTCGTCGTCGTCGTCGTCGTCCTCCTCCTCCTTCTTGTGCAGTCAGTCGAACTGTCCGAGCCCGCGTGACTTGCTAACCACATCTCCCACCTGGTCCTAGAGATTATCTAGGCAGTGGCACTCCCATATTTTGCGGTACTCTGTACCAAGAAGTTGTCGGAAAGAAAATAAAAAAAAAGGTTCATCGCTCATTTTTGCCACCTGTGTGTCCAAGCTGGCCTATGCATCAATGCCGACGGTGGCAGTTCAGTTCATCTCAGAATCGAAGGGGGGGTATCGTTGTTGGAAAACAAAACTTGAGGTAGATCACAGCAAGGAGATAAATCGTGCCTAGTCATTGGTTGCGCCTCTGACTTGTGTCATTGGCCACATCAGTCGTGAAGACCAGGGGCACGTCGTTATTGGTTTGACACCGGGAATATACAGAGAATTCATGGATTTTCTTTGGCTGCACGACCACCACGTCTACCATCCTGTCCAATGTAAATTCCACCAGTGCCAGTCATCAGTATCATTGTGCATTTGCGTCGTTGAGGTCTTTGGGCCTGCCGGTGTGAATGTCAAGGCCAAGCTTCATCCTTAATTCGTACACCGTTTGCTTGACGCGAAGGACCTTCGCCACAACAACTTCGAGCTTTTTCATCGTACTCTGTTTACCGTGATCCTCAAGTTCGGGTACCAGGTCGTACAGTTCAGCGTAGGCTCTGGCGGTAGCGTCGCGACGACGCTGTTCGGAATTCGTGTGGTTGGCTTTCCTCTGTTCCTGGGTGAGTGGAACTCTACTACTGACAATTTTCCTAGCAACCATCTTCACTCTAGGTCCGGGCTTGGTCGGAGATGATGTCGTATTTGAACTAGCCTTCTTTTTCTGGGCAGCTTTTGACTGTGGGGGAGCAGTGATCCTCCGGCGCCCCCGAGTGGGTGAGGACGAGCTTAGTTGTTCGGGAGTGGCTTCGTCTTCCTCTTCTGCCTCGGCATCTTCTTCGTGATCGTCGCCTTCACTCTTTACGGGCGTCTGTGATTTGTGGTGCGAGAGCGGCGTAGGTGGCTGTGTACTTTTGGCCTTGTCGCTTTTTGTCATAGAACCTCGTTTCCGAGAGCTTGGTTGAGTCAGGGTAATGCTCTGCTGCCCATTCGTCGGTAGATTCAATCCTGTCTGATTGGGCTGATCTTGCTGGAAGTCGTCAAAAGTCCTCTTCTTTTGCCAATTGGGACTTGATGGCTGCGTATTGGGCCTGGTGCTCGGCCGAGTGTTTGGTTGGGTGGTACTTCCACTCGTCGGCTCAAAAAAATCCATAGGGTGAATTTTCATTCCATTGGGAAGATCCGGATCAGAGGGATTATGAGGGGCCGCATAGCCGTTGGGCTGAAATCGAGCATCGGTACCAAAAGCCATCGGTTGCCGATTCGGCTGCTGGGGGTTTGGCATTGCGGGCTGGTGGAAGTCTTGTTGCTGCCATGTAGCTCCAAAAGCCGGTTGCATTGAGGTTACTGGCTGGATATGATTGGGTATAGGATTCTGCATGGACGGATCGCCGTACAAGTGACTGTGCATGCCAGGGTGTCCGATACTTGTGTGGCGAAAGTTGTTGAGATCATGCCCAAGCATGTCGCTGCCATACTGAAACCCTCCGCTCTGCAATGGATTGGGAGCAATCATAGACTGAGGTCCCAAATCGGTCTCTGACCCAACGAACAAAGGTGGTATGCCAAAGTATTGGTCGTGTCCCGTAGGAACGAATTGAGAAAAATGTTTTGCAGGGGCATTCTGGTCGAAGTCGTTGAAGAAGGAATCGAGATTCTGGTTTTCGGTTGCATTGAGCAAGGGCTGACCTGGTGGAGGGCCTGGAGTGATGAATTCAGGCAGACCTAATCCGTGTATATTCTCTTGTTGATCTACAAGTAAAAAGTAAGTCAAGCTTCCCGGAATGCTTTGGATCTGACAGGGTGTTTCCTACATCCGAATGGGAAATTCGGCTGTCCACCATGGGACGACATGCTTTGTGTTGCCAACATCCACGTGATGCCACTGCGCCACCTCTTCTAGGCTGCAAGATGCAGCCTCGACCACAGGTTGTCCTCAGATGGGTGGGCTATATGAGGATCTGACGTGGTAGGTGGAAATAGACTCGAAGAGCGGTAGTGAATAGTGGTTGAGGCGGGTATTCTCGAGCGAATTCTCGGCAAGTTCAGCAAAGTGGTCGGCTTCGAGAACTTGGGTCGAATGCTAGCATGGACCTGGTATTGCGCTGAAGGTTGACCAACGATTCACCTTGCTCCTTGTGGTTGAATGTTGTATTGGAGATCTGTTGGGACGCTCGTCTCTTTGGGCGGGCCGAAGCTATTGCGCAACTGTAGGAGGGGCAAAGGTGGACAAAGTGAGCGGGAGTCAAGGGTAACGAGGAAGGATAAACCTGTAGAGAAAGGGAGGTGTAATAAGAGGATGTTCAGACCTAGGAAGTCCAGCAACGGGGAGTAGAGAGGCGGAAGTGAACAAATCTTCACATGCATGTGAAGGCTTGACTGAGCACGAGTACGAGTTGATGCGCCGGCTCTACGAGTCATAAGAGCGAACCCCAGTCAGATGCGAGCAAGGCCTGCCCGCTAAACTTACTAAGGAGAGTTCCCTCTAACTAGGCACTAGTACCTAACCGGACTAGATGACCCCGCCAAGACTTTACCGAGCAGGGTTACCTTCACCAGATGCTCCGAGGCACCGCTGCGGACTACAGTTGTCAGTAGGTACCCAAGGTACATTGCCCTCTGCTCTCGCTATGACGATGGGGAGTCTGAGGAGTCCAAGTATTCATTGCAAAGAGACCCCCAAGACTGGGTCGTAGATCAAATCCATAGACTTGGTCTTGCCTTCATATATACCTACACATCACTAGATGGAATCAGATGTAGTCGTCAGACCATCTCCAGCTTCCGCATCCCCCAGCAGCCTCGCTCGCCCTCAGTACTCTTGGGTGCCCAAATATAACGACCATTCCTTCTCTGCTTCCTCCCCGACATGGTGACAACAGCGGTCCCACGTCCATCTATCCAGTGCATGGGGATGTTTTCAATCAATTTGTCCGACAGAACCCACAGCACCAGCCAGATATGCCCAAGGATTTCAGCCCAGGTGAATAGTCGGATTCTCCAGAGACCTCGTCGAACCTGTTTCCTTACTATAGATGTTCCCCATCCCGCCTTGCCGTCCTTTATGAAACGAGACACATTCCTCCAAAGCTGAAGGAAGTCTCTCCCCGAACACAGAGAGATAGGTTCATCGTTGCGACGCTTTTGTTGTGCCTGTCTCGGATCCGGTGTCGTCGGAGACTCGATTATTCCAACCAAGAACTCCCAATATCCTCTTTCTAATACACGGACGTCCCTAGTGACGCAATATGGGTAAAAGTGTTTTGAAAGCGGCACCCGTACAGCTAGCTTTCGTAAAGTTTTGGTGACGTGAGTGACAAATCTTGCGTGGCCACCTTGAGGATTCGGCCCGTGGATCTGATCAGAAAGTTGGGAGGGAAAACTCTGTCTATGCCGTGGCTGACGAGCTCTGTCAAGCGGCTGAGAGTTGGTCAACCCTTCTCCGTGCCGGTGGCGGGTAGGTGTTTGCTGAGAAATCTCTTCATCAGGTCGGCCCATGACAGGGTAAATTGGACTGGAGAAGCCTATCGCCGGCTCGAATCCTGGCACAGTAGCCCTGTTATTGCAAGTCGGAGCTTGCCAGTGAAGTGGTTGCGAAGGCGACATTGTGGACGGCAAAGAACTAGAATTATCTGCAGGACGCACCCTGGGAGCGTCCAGGTGCTGCGTGTTTATACATGGATTGTATTGAAGAGGCTGCCCACAGCCCACAGAATGCTCATTTTCGGGAGCAAGGAGACGTCGCCGTTTAGGACACCTCCTCTTCTCGTAGATATTGCAATTCTCTGAGTGATGAGGAACTAGATGCCCAGTCGAATATCCAGTGTTGGCGGCGGTTCGATTATGAGGCCACGCCTCAGGTGATCTCGAAGGCAGCGCGCCGGAGACATTGGCAAAGGGCAATGCCTCTGGGCAAGCATATCCTGCTGGCTGCAAGACAGTGTGCTCTGAGTTGCAACCTAGTGCCTGGTCGTTCAGAGAATGTCTGGCTGCTTCAGCTTCAGGTTTGTGTGATTGTCTAGGCAAGAGGTCAGTTGTATGGCGCATTTGAAAGGCAGACTGGGGGAATGGGAATTAGGCGCGATAAAGAATGCGCTGGCATTGAGCCTAACGAAGAGACATCACCGCAGACGACGACAACCTACCTCTGCTTTGGGAAGGGCTCTTGTTCAGTTGCGTTGATCTCTGTATTGGTGGGAACGGGGTGGGAAGAAATGAAATCTAGTTCGGCTACCTTTGCTCTCTTCGCGGGCTGGAAATTTAGGAGTGCTGCTGCGACGGATGTAAATCGGGCATCGTCTTGTGCGGAAGATGGCGCGGTAATGTGAACTAAGACTTCGCATGTTGAAAAGTCCCTCGAGGCATCAGGCCGTTCAGTTGCCATTGATGAGGATGGACATCGCCTGCTCCGAGGTCGACGATGGCTCAACCCGCCAAGCAGAAGGCCAATTCTAGAACGGCAGCAACCAGCCGTTTGTGATTTGTGACATGGAGATACAGGACGCGATTAGGAGAACGGAGTGAAGATGTTGGACTTGCTAGTGGATTTGAATGATGGTACAAAATTCCAAATCAAAGTGCCAAATACAATGTAGCCACCTCAGTATCCACCAATCCCGACGACGGCCCTGAATCATCCCTGCGTCAAGTCGGTGGTGATGCTGAGATACGAGATGCCACGAGGGGGGAGTAACTTGGATCAAAACTGCAGTATTTACTGGTCTCTATCTACCTGCCCAGGTAAGTACCGGGGGAGAGCTGTCCCTCCTCTCAACTCATGCTATAAATTGTTCTGTCGCGGCTGGCTTCGCTCTTCGCTGAGGGCGAGTTCTCGCTACGGTGTGCACTCTGTGCTCCTTCTATCATCAGCCCATCGTTGTTTCCAGTGTGTCGAACGAGGACTATGCAGACGTCCATGTATTGAATTGTGATCTCGAGGACAGCCGTGACGTCCCGAACCAGACGGAAGAAAGACAAGATATGAGTCTAGTTGTCGGAGGGGACTATTCAATGCCTTTAGGGATGGATATTCGAAACGCGTGAGTTCTTGCTTCGCCATGGCTAACCAGTCGTCATGCTGACTGCTGGCGGGAGTTACAGGGACCAACAAAAGATCCCATTCCCCTTATTAGGGACCCCTGCATCGTTCTTCCAGGTAGGTATTAGGCGGCGCTGGGCCCCTAGGGACTCCGCGCATGTGCGTATTCTAGGTTACTCCATACCCTTGAGGTACTTGTGAGGCTGTGCCTGTGGGCCTGAGCTGGTTACACAGCACAACTCTGGGGCTTTGAAGGCCTAAGGTACAATACTACCTTCATCTTCCACCATCCACCAATCCCGCTTCGATAATATGGAAGAGACTTTCGTGCTCTGTGTCAGAGACATGTACCTCGTACAGAAATGCTCTTCTGGAAATCTTCCCCATGTGCGGTCATGTCATGGTAAGACGCATACATGCGGCTGACTACTTGTGCCTGAGGTTGCTGCCCCATCATCACCCGAGGTAATCTACAGGTAGTATCCATTGCACTTGCGCCTTTGGTTTGCATGGTTCTCACATTTCCATCTCTATCATATCTTGACATCACATTGCACAAGCTGCCGGCTTCTACTGTCCCTCATGTGCTACACTACCTGTCCATCCTCAGTCAAGCACCTGCTCATCCCGGCCCAGCTCCGCTTACCCGCTCTGCGACTTTGTTGGTTTTAACGGGTACAGACCGTTATGCGCAGAAGGCCGACTTGGCATCTATCTGGGCCTTTTAGCTGCTCATTTCCACTAGTACGAGTACTTGATTGACACTTCCACCATTGACGAGACTGGCGGCTCACTAGGCTTACCTACTCGTCGCAACGCTCTTCATCGAAAATCATTGAACTGCATCGGACATACCTGATCCAGTTCGATTTATCGATTTATCCCGTCAATCGAACCAGTTCAACTCTTGTTCCCGCCTGTGCCAATTGCCAGCAGTGGTCGCAGTGGTTTCATCTTCCTCGGATCCTCCTCTAGCTCTGACGAAAGGGCTGCTTGCGACGTTCCTGTTGCACAAACGAACCTACCACGATCAGCAATCTTGTCCCGCTCACAAATATTGTGTTGCGCACGTCCCCCGTCATCGAGCCACCACTGCGCCATCTTCGACCTCAACGGCATCGACCTTGTCTCATGTTGAAGTCCTAAATTTTCTCCTTGCCCAGTTTAGCATCTTGGGCAATTCCTGTCGCCTTGCAAATCACCACTTGTGATTGCTTGAACTGTGCAGACAAGGCTTGGCCGCTGAACTCTCCGCATTCAGCCTCCTCGGCTCGTCTCTTGCCGTTCGTCAACAGCCACTCCGCAAAACGACTAGGTGCTTCAGCTAGCTGTTGTCGCTGCTGGACACGCATACCTTGTCAATTTCGGACCAACAGTTCAGGACCGTCGTGGATAAGCGTGTGATCGAGGTCTGCTCGCTGTATTGGATATCATGGCGTCGCATCCGCAAATGCTTTCCAATGTGCAGCAATCTTCAGAAATGGATTCACCATGGGCGGGTCAAGACTACGGTGCTGTCCCAGTATACAGTAAGTCATCCATGGGTCTACTTGGTTATTGCTGGCATGGTTTTATAACGAATGTCCAAAATCAAGATGTGTGCGCATAACTTCTCTGCCGGGATACTGATCTATGTCTAAGTAGACAATGGTATGGTGGGCGAGGCCAAAGGATCCGCCTACGGGGGCTTACTCAAGGGCTTTGGTGGCATGAATAAGAAGTTGACAAGAGGTAGGCGTGTCGTCCGGTCAGTCAAGCTGTCAAGCACTCAACGTCTCTTTAGATGGACAGCCAGCAAAACGAAGGGGGCCGAAGCCGGACAGCAAACCAGCACAGACGCGGCGGCAGGAGCTAAATCGTCAGGCTCAACGGTAGGTCGCAGCCGTTCAGCGAAAACCGGATGAAGATTCTGACAAGAAATCACTATTTAGGACACATCGAGAGAGAAAGGAGAATTATATCAAAGCGCTGGAGATGGAATTGGCGCGGCTACGAGAAACGTATCTTGTTGAGCAGAATGCCCGCGAGGCCACCCTTAAACAGCAGCAACTCGTTATCGAGAACCAAAGAAACGAAAACCTGGCCTTGCGAGAAATCCTTATGAATCGAGGTATCCAATTCGAAAATGAACTGGAGAACCGCAAAGCTGTGATTGCCATGCGGCCAAAACGAGAAGAGAATTCCTTAAGTCCACCCAACCTGACTTTCAGTCCCCCGACTTCAATGGCTGGACGCTCTGTTGTAGGCTATGGATCAGCGGGCCAACCAACACCGACCGTGTATTCCCTGGGCGTGAACAATGCTATGAGCACATCAGGCCACTCTCCCGGTACCACGCACCATAGCCATTCGCCTCAGGGCCCAGACATCCAGGAGGTCTCGATTAAGCAAGAACCTGGAGCTATTTCGGATATGCCCGGCATGTCGGAAATGCTCGTACCTGGGATCTTCGAGAAAGAGCCGCAACTAGGGATTGATTTCATTCTTAAGTGAGTGGCGCTGTTCCTCGGAGGCAATTATAGCCACGCTAACCTTTGTCTAGGCTTGAGCAAACCTGTCGGGATCATGGGGAATACTTGGTGCGAAGATCGATGGATTCGCCAAACAATGACGAAGAAGCAGTTTTCTCCGGCCATGCTCTGATGGCGTCTTGCCCTCCACCGAGCCATATTCAGCATACGCCTGCTGTTAATGGTGGTCTGGACCCAACGTACGAGCACAAGGTTCCCGATGCCGAGTCGGTGCAAATATTGAACAATCTACTCAATTTGAGTCAGAGTCTAAAAGGAAGCGCAATCCCTAGTGGCCAGGTGACTCCGATTATGGCCTTACAGTCGCTCAAAGGTCACAGGAATTATGCCACCCTGACCCGAGAAGACGTCTTGGGCATGATTGATTCTATCAGGAGCAAAGTTCGTTGTTACGGGTTCGGTGCAGTGATGGAGGATTTTGAACTTCGCGATGCTTTGTCGAGTATATTCGCAACCAAACCGGAAACTTACGATCAATTGGGCACCGACTACACAGCCGAGATTGACGAAATGTATTCATGATGTTTCCTTCGGACAACAGGAGGCGGCACTCGGTATTAATGTACGTTTGAGAGCCGCTGGGCTCGCCAGTGTTCTGATGGTTTTCGCTACGGCGATAAGTGATGTTCAGATACTCCGTATTCCCATGCTAGTTTTGTTGAAAGTGTGTTGCAACCACAATATGATCATTTTGACAGAGATGGAAGAATTTCATTCTTCACAACTCTCCAACAACGAAAGCAAAGATCTCACAGACTGTTCAGTGCGAGTAGGTGTAGCTCCCGCACGTCTTGAGAACAGGCAGGCGCGGGGTCGCACCTTTTTGTGAAGGGACAAAATTCAATGCCAAGAGTTGCATTCGCCTTCTTTAGTTTCGAGGGCAAGGGCCCTATTGTGCAAGGCTTGATCTTGAACAACAATTGATCAGATCACAAATCTTTGCAATCATGCCTGGAATCAGTCTTGCTGATGTTATCAGCAACCTCAATGTCAACGACGAATGGGGCCCAGAAATCAGCTCAAGCACCACTCTCGATGGCGTACCTTACGCTCCTTTCTCGAAAAGCGACAAGTTAGGTCGTATGGCCGACTGGACACAGGAAGGCAAAGAGGGGCGCGACCGATCTGGCAGACAATATGGTAGAAATTTCAGAGGTGAGCATCGTCTTCCATTACGCTTAAATGCTCGCTAACTGACTTTTTCAAGATCAACAAATCTATGGCGCAGGCACATCTTCCCTCTTTGCTGTGCAGGTGGCCGAGGATGAGTCTTCCTTCTCTGTTGTCGACAACACTCGAGCAGCAAACAAAACCCGGGGCTTTGGCAGAGGTGGTCTGGCAGTTTTCCGTGGGCGTGGCCAACGGGGAGCCGCCCAACGAGGTGGAAGAGGCACATTCCAAAGAGCAGGACAAGGCCGGACGACAGGGCAACAGCAAGGACAGTATTACGACAACAGAGGCGGACGTGGTGGACGTGGCCGCCGCTTCGGCTGGAGGGATTATGACAAGCCACAACGAAATCGAGATGCATCAGTCAACATCCGCCCAGACTGGGTGATGAAGGAAGAAATCGACTTCAACCGACTTGCCAAACTTAACCTCGAGACCGGGGACGGTGAGGATCTTGATGGTTACGGTTTCCTGTACTACTACGACCGGTCGTTTGACAAGCCACCTGTGAAGAACACCGAGCGCAAACTCCTGTCCCTCGATCGTGCGGCGTACAACGTGACCACTTCCGCAGACCCAGTCATCCAAGAGCTGGCCGAGAAAGACGAAGCGACGATTTTCGCCACTTCAGATATCCTGTCTATGCTCATGTGTGCTACGCGCTCGGTTTACTCCTGGGATATTATAGTGCTCAAGCACGGCGACAAGATCTTCCTCGACAAGCGACCCGACAGCAGCATCGACCTGGTCACAGTCAACGAGAACGCCGCCGATGCACCTTTGGAAGCCGAGTCAACGACTGCGCAAACGGGCGTCAAGGCAGACAGCATCAACACCCCCAGCAACCTCGCCATGGAAGCCACTATGATCAACCACAACTTTGCGTTCCAGACTGTGCTCGAGAACCCAAACAACAAGGTGGAATTCCCTCACCCTAACCCGTTCTACAGCTCCAACGACGAGACGGATCCTTTGGCATCCAAGGCATACAAGTACCGCCGCTTCGACCTGTCGCTCGAGCGTGATGAAGAACCTCTCAACCTGATTGTCCGCACGGAACTCGACGCCGCGACCAAGAACAATATCTCAGGAGAAGATCAATTTCTTGTCATCAAGGCGCTCAACGAGTTTGACCACAAGGCTCAGGGCGCTGGTGGCGCGCTTGACTGGCGTACCAAGCTGACGTCACAGCGCGGTGCCGTCGTTGCGACCGAGATGAAGAACAACTCGTGCAAGCTCGCAAGATGGACGACGCAGGCCATTCTCGCCAAGGCTGACCAGATGAAACTCGGATTTGTGTCGCGGGTCAACCCCAAGTCGGCAGCGAACCACGTCATTCTAGGGGTGGTGGGATACAAGCCCAGAGAATTTGCGGGCCAGATGAACTTGGGTTTCAGCAACGGATGGGGTATCGTCCGTACCATTGTCGACCTCGTCAGGAGCATGGCCGAGGGTGAGGATGGAGACAAGAAGTACGTTCTGATCAAAGACCCCAACAAGCCTGTGATCCGACTGTATGAGGTCCCTCTCAACACGTTTGACGAAGATGACGACGGGATGACGGGTACCGTGGCCACGGAGGGCCCGGACGGTGGTAACGAGGAGTAGAGCCCTACGAGGTGACTGCTCTCGGCAGTCGGTGTGTTGAGTTGAGCTGCAGTGGCATAAAGTGGGGATTGCTTTTGTTTTCTGCAACGCGCACTCACGAAGGATGATGTCCTTGAAGACACAAAAAGTTCTCATGAATTGTGATGTCAAGAGGGCAGGAGAAAAAGTCACGAGTAGAAACGAGATAGAAAGCTTTTCTTCTTTGATTAATGGAGGAAGAATCACCAATGTCATTTCTTTGGTCCATATCAAAAGCTACCTGTATTCGTATCCGCATGCCCCAACAATATGTTCTACAGGATATTGCTCTCGCGAAAAATGGGCATCGTCTGATCTCTCAGCGCTGGACGCCATGCTATGCCCGCGAATCCTCAAAAAATCCCGTGTTCCAGAAACTCCCGTGTAAATGCACATTTGATGCTGTCAGATGCCTGTATGGTGGTGATGGTGGTGGTAGTTGGGTGGTGGTGCGTGTTGAGGGTTGTTTTACCGAACTCGTCCCAAGGTCTTGCCAATCTCACTTTCCCAGTTGGCGGCCCTCTCGAAGCCGTTGCTGGATGTCTGAAAATCCATCATGGCCTGGTACACGGCCTCTTTGCTCGTGGTGACGAAGGGGCCGTACTGCACGATGGGCTGGTCGAGGGGCAACCCGGCGACGATGATGAAGTGCGCGGGCTCGGCGGCGCCCTCCTCGACGTGGGCCGTGACGACGTCGCCGCCGTCCCGTTCGAACACGACGTTGTGGTAGGGGACGACGGTCTCGCCGGCGTCTTTCTTGCCGTTGCCGAAGGTCACGACCCCGTCCAGCGTGTACGCGAAGGCGTTCCACTCCGGCGGGAGTTCCTGGGTGATTTTCCCGCCGGGCTGGACGGTCACGTCGAGGAACCACACGGGCGTGTACGCGAGGTCCTTGATCGAGTCGACGCCTTGGCTCTTGCCGGAAATCACCTTGACCTCGACCTTGCCGTCGTCGGCGGTCGCGACGGGGATCTCGCCCGCGCGGAGGTCGCGGTACCGCGGTTCGGTCGACTTGAGGTTCGCGGGCAAATCGACCCAGAGCTGTATGCCGTCGTTCATCTCCACGTCCTGCGCGGGCATTTCGGCATGCATGATGCCTCGGCCTGCCGTCATCTGTTGTTACAGAGAGATTTTGTTAGTATACGTTATTCTCTTTTGGATTCCCTTTTCGTACTTGGTTTTCCTTCTCAAGCAGGCAAAAGAGAAAAACAAAAGGGGGAGGTGGGAGGTGGGGGGGGTTTGGTACGTACAAATTGAAGGTCACCGGCTTCGATTCTGCCTTTGTTCCCAGCGAAATCTTCATGGTCCACGGCACCCTGGAGAATGTACGTGATGGTCTCCTGGCCGCGGTGCGGGTGGTCGGGGAAGCCTGAACCGGGAGGGGAGCGGAAGTGGTCGAGCATGAGGAACGGGGTGAAGTTGCGCAACTTGGGTGTGCCGATGCTACGTCTCACGGTGGCGCCCGCACCCTCGGATTGCTCGCGGGCGAGGAGAGAGAACTTGATGGCTCGCGGAGTCGTCATGTTTGTAACTGTGGATGCGGGCCGCGCAGGAATCAAAGGTAGACCGAGAAACGGTGTTGGTGTTATAGCTTTGGCGTTTGGCTGTGTTCGGTGTATCAAGCTACTGAATATAGGTAGTCTGGCTTTTTGAAGGATGCTCTTCGTCGTCGACGCCAGGGTGTCGGTGTTTGCGAAGTATGCGATCAAGAGTGCTGTGATGATGGTAAGGAGAAAAGAGAGGGGTCGCTTCATAGGAATCTGACTGAAGAATGGAACACTTATACCTGTGAGGAATATGCCTGTTAGGAAAAGAGAAGGCTTCGAATAGACTAGAACGTGCGTAGCAGCAGAGATCTAAGCATTATGAGATCTGGACATCTTTAGTAACCGTGGTCGTCATTTGGATGGCTTTACAAGCGGAAAATCCCGGACTGGGGAAGCGAGGATTTGATAATAATCAGTCAGCATCCAAGAACAGCTTAGTGGCTTCCAGAGGTCCATCACGTGAACACGGCATCGGTCTGCGCGGTCACGTGCAACTGCTATTCACCTCATATACCGGCCGAGACGAGAATTTTCTAACTTAATTACAGAATACATAAATAACTGGTAAACCAGATACGAGGTCTGGTCCATCGTCTCCAGTGGGTAGTCACCACTTTCCACCTATTGGCTTTGTATCCGTGGATCAGAATCTCATTCCGTGCGACCTGGTGCGCCTTCTATCATCGAAGTAGTTGTTACCCCCTATGTACCTTGATATTCTAGTGTGGCCAGGCTGAGGTGGGTAGTTCGGGGTAAATCGACACCCCAAGTCCCGCCCCAAGTCCCGATCTCCAAGCGACAAAGTCACAATAGTACTAGTAAAGCCAAAGAGGCCCCTCAGATACGACATCACAGCGGCTTACGGCAATTGAGTTAAGGTCGAGTCCCACGGAGAGATCTGATCTCACTAAACTGCGGGGTTTTTCCAGATGGCCCGGTACTTTTATTTCTCATACCTGGAAGGTAGGTAGGTAGCTAGGTAGGTAGTTATTTGTGTGTGGGCGCTGAAGGATCCAAGACCCTACAGTAAGCTTATCAAATAAGGGCTCCCAGTCAATGCCGTCTCGTCCAGATCCAGAGTATTCGTGCATATCCAGTTACCTCATTTTTATCACAGAGAGCAATTCCGAGCTCAACTACCATTTCTTTCCCTTTCCTCCTCGTACGAATATCCATCCATCCATAAAAGTCCGTTGCATCGACCGAACAGCACCAGCTACAATATATAGGTAGTCACGCCGTTGCCACTCCACTGCGAGTACGTCGCCTTTCAGAACCCACAAACTAGATACGACACAGGGAGAGAGAGGCTTCCAGCCAGGCCAGGCAGATACACAAAAAAGACATTCGTGTCCTACACAAAGTGCACAAAATGTTCTACGAACCAGGCAAAACAGAACATAACCTCCCCCATGACCCATTCAAGGTATGCAACTACTAAACTCCTGAGGAGTACCCCAAGCACTACCTACTCATACGTCAATTGTTCCGTCACAACCCTCTCTCTCCCTCCCGATCCAGACCCGTTTTTCTAGTATAGCACCTCTTCTAAAATCCAAATCAATAGGCCTGTGTCGTCCCACGTCCTATAGGCTGGATATCTACCGTATCACCTACCAATATCACCACCACCACCACCACCACCACCAATAACGCTTCATCGTCCAGTCCATCAGGCACAACCCCAGGCACACGCCCAGGTCCCATCGCCAATCTAGCCCCTTACTCTCAATTCAACAACCTGACATTCGACCCCCCGTACGTAATGTTCTCCGCGAACCAGACCCCACGCTCGGCGCAAAAGGACACGGTGCGCAACGCCGAGGCCACGGGCGTCTTTTGCTGGCAACTGGCAACCTACCCGCTGCGGGACGCCGTCAACAAGTCGGCCGAGTACCTCCCTTACGGAGTCGATGAGTTCGAGCGCGCCGGCCTGGCAAAGACGTGGTCCAGGGTGCTCAAGACACCCGTGCCCATGGTCAGGGACTCGCCCGTCAGGTTCGAGTGCGAGTACTACACCACCCTTCGTCTGCCGGGGAATCCGCCCATGGGCACCGTCGACGTCGTCATCGGCAAGGTCGTGGGTATCCACATCGATGAGCACGTCCTCACCGATGGCAGGATCGACATCAACAAGACCAAACCCATCGCCCGCTGTGGCTACTACGAGTACATCATGGCCTCGGATCCTTTCAGTATGATCATTCCCGGCGACCCCGCTACTCTCTATGGCCTGGAAGGGAGCGTTAAGCATCACAAGGAACATCGAGAGCGAGAAGCAGCTGAAAAGTCGGGAGTAGATCAGTCTAGTCATGTTTGAGTGCACTTGGGACTCGAGTGGAGATTCGTTCTTCCTAAAGTACATATGCTTAGCTCTTAAGCTCACACCTTCCCGCCCGCAGCTCACAAGCACTATCTATGCTTGTCAATGACCCTTGTGAGTCTGTTGTCTGTCCAGCATGTTCCTAGCAAATACTTCTCTCAGAGCACGGTTTTCAGTTCCATGGCTATGCTGCCGCCGCACTCCTGTCGATGTTTCCAGCACATCCGGTTGCACTTGGCCCAATTTGTCACTGTCCCTTGAACGCCAATACTCACAATCAAAAGGTCGATCGCTCGCTTAGTCCATCATTCAGTCTTGGTCTCAACGACAATCTTATCGTCTCATCCCTGGAGTCGCAACTTCTCAGATGATGCCTCGGCAATAATCTTCGTCTTCGTCTCCCGACTCAGACTGAGCGCTCGAGAACGTAGTACCGCCTGTTTCGTCCGATCCGCCTTCGTCATTGTGACGACGTGGTGACCATTTGTGACCGTGGGCCGAGACTTTTTCCATGTGAGAGGCAGCAGTACGTTTCAACATGTCAGTTGGAGATTCCGAACCAGATTCATTCTCTGAGATTTCTCTGTCCTCTTCCGACGTGTTAAGATTCTCCGTCACTTCACGTTTCAATCGCAGAGGCAACTCGATCGTCTTGGGCTGAATACTGGCTGAATGCACAGACTCGGTGGATATGTTTCCTTCCATACTGAGTCCACTGAACGTATCGCTCGCTTCTGTATTCGTCCAGCCCTTGACTTGTCCAGCAAGCCAGGATCTAGGTTCAACTTCCGTATCGGAAAATGATCCTCGCAGACCGAGAACAGAACTGTTATCGAAGTCACCATCGGTCTCTGCTTCTCCATGCAGATGTTGCAGTGCGGTGTGATGCAAGTGGGTTGGTGACATGGCATTCACAGAAACACCAAGTTTACTGGCTGTAGACGACTGCTGAACTGATGGTTCTCCTTGAACCGCATCCAACAAGTCGTCGGTTTCCCATAAAGACAAGCCCTTGGTATCCTTGCGTGGAGCAGTGTTTGGAGGCAACTGATGCTGATCCCAGAAAAAGCGCAACCCTCCTTCTTTGCAGACCAATTCCCTAAAGTCGATTGTTCCCGGTTCGATCATTCTCTTCACGGCATGTACAAAGAGTTCCTCGTGAAATGGACACCATCCATATTGATCGGTGTACGGACTCAGCTCAATCTGGGACGGGGACATTGGTAGGGGGATGAGCGCAGGTGGAAGAACACATGGTGTCTGCAAATCAGCACCCACGGCTCGTGTCTGTGATGGAGACATCGGGGTTGGGTAAGAGGTCTGAAGATGGTTTTGGTAGTCGAACTTCTGTCAAAAGTCAGCGAATTCAGGGAGGTATAAGGACCTTTTACATACCCTATCGTTTGCTGCTCCTTGCTTCTGCTTCTGGTTCGTCAAGGAGACCATTGGAGCATCCGAATTAGAAGATTGTTGATGAGCCAACGCAGCAGTATCCATGCAATGCTTCGGGTCCTTCGTGATGACATGATTGTCACTTGCTACAATTTGTCTCTCAGCCAAAGAGCCAGAGGTAATTGTCGCTGCTTGTGTAAGCGGCTACCAAAACGTCAGCAGGTCTCTTCACAGATGAAGAGAAAGGGCTTCGAATGCTCACTCGAGTCTTCTTCGGTATGGTCATGGTTAACACCTCTCCACTTGACGTAGAGGAAGAATCAGAATCCATGAAAATGTCGGGTGGGTTCAGTTCTGACTCTGTATCATACTGTTGTGCAGCCCAAAGAGACTGGCCTGTGGGGTCTGGGTGAGGTGTGTTGAACTTGCTTCCTGGTGCCGTCGCAGAAACCCCAGCAGAAGTATCCTCCTTGTTCTCGAGGATGTGAACAGTACCATGATCAGCTGTTCCTTCAAACATTTGGGCCTTTGAACCGGTACCAAAAACAGCCTGGCCACTAGCAATCTCCAAGGAGGAAGAAATGCTGGATAATCTTCTATAGTATCTGTCACCATACTGCTCACGCATGGCTCGACGGATTTCGGGATCGATTTCTTCTGGGGAATCTCTGAAAGGATCGTCTAGAGGCTTGACGGTTTCTGGGGGGACTATTGGAACTGCTTGAGTAGGCAAAGGAAAAGGCTCCACTGGAAGCTTGCTGCTCATGTTAGGAAGTATGTCGCTGGCTTTTGTGGTCTCCCTAGCGTGACGAAAGACTGCAGAGTTTCGCAAGACATTTGATGGTTGAGGTCTGCCTGTGGGAATGGTGTCTTGCAATCGTCTCATGGCTGTCAGCATTGGCGTCCGTGTGAGATCAATCGGTGGCAACAATGGTGGTTGCGTGGGGATGTCAATGGGAGCAGATCTTTTCTCTGTGTCAACGACGGTGTTCTCAGGTCTAAATCTGACCGATTTCTTGGGACTCTTTCTTCCTGTGGAAGAGGGAGCCTCCACCCCGGTACCCTCAACTTGTGGTTTTGCCGCCTCCTTGTTCTCCTTGTAGAACAGCGACGTTATTGCTCCAAGGAAAGTCTTCGGTGGAGATGATTTGTCCGACGACGATAACTCAGACTGCTTCTGGTCCGAGATTGCCTGGTTAGCCTTGCTCATTAGTGACAATCCTGAGAATTTGAGGGGATGAGGGCTCGGTGGTCGACGAAATTGCTTTGGCTGCTCGACTGACGAAGCGTCAATGGCTCGTTGTGGGTCATGGCCAGGATTCGAAGCATCATATTTTGGATACAAGTCACCCTCAATGGCATCTGATTCAGATCTTGTAGGTGACCGACTGTTGAGAATGGTCAGAGTGCTCACAGGTGGCCGACAAGATGATTGTGAACTTGCCTAGCAGTACGGCCTCTCTTAGCTGAGTCAAACATAGCGGTGATGCTTCTACGTGGAGAGAGTCTTGGAAGAGTCGAAGAGCGACCTCGATTTGGCGACGGTGAGGTTTTTTGCTCGCTCGACGTCTTTGGCGACTCGTTGACAGTCCTCCGGCGAAGACTTGGGAAAGGCATACTGGGCTAAATTGATCTCATGGACATGCAAGATAAGAGGGGGCTGCCCAGTGGCTGTCAGCGGCCGAAGGATTGGCTTGACAGGACAAGAAGGAGAATATTGCTGTATTGGAAGAAAATTGAGGCGTGGGAAGAGAGGGATTAGGATAGGAGAATTTGGTGGGAGGAGAGACAGGCTGCTAATGTTGTGACCAGGAGGAGGAAGGAGGGGCGCGGTCACAGTCTCGCCCTTTCTTGTTCAGTTAACGACATCATCGACGACTTCACAGTTCAGTTACTTAATCTATCACCATGAGAGACTCATTTCCGACCTCCATGGGCGAGACTTGCCCTGTCCATGAGTGTGGGATTCTCTATAACAGCCCGTTCTGGGGACATCAGAAAGTCCAACCCGAAGTTCAACCGAACGAGGCTGGCACCCCTTTTGCTCAACCACAATGGCAACATCAAGTACCAGAGGAAAATCATGCCATCGTCTGCATCAGTTCAAGGCTAAAGTAAACAAAACTCAAGTCTTCACTGCCCCGTGAAATCAGCGTCGTCCTGGTCACCATAACAATCGCCATATACTAGGTACTTCTTCACCGCGTGTCTGCTCCACCAAGGTCCGATAGCACGCGGTTGCAAACAACTCAGCACGATGCAAGTGCATAGTTCAAAACAAACGCTCATAGGAAGCTATTTTTGCTAATGTCCCTTTGTCCCCAGGTCAAAATTGTACATTACTATTCCTGGCTATAATGAAATGGCACATTGGTTCATTGTCCAGACCGGCTGCAATGCACAACTCAACACACACTTTGTCCCTATAAGATATGATCGGCCTTCTGCATGCTGTGAGTTGTCAACCTTGAGGATTCAAAGCTACGGATATACTTAATAATCAATTTCAATATCTTCTGCCCCCAAAACGAATCACAGCATAATGAGTAACGATGGCGATGGCCAACTGCTGGATGGATTCCCGATCCACCCTCTCTGGCGCTATTCTAACTTTCGAAATGTTACCTTCAAAAGGGAACCTGAGACACATCCCAACCTGTACGAAATAGACGAGCCGGAGAATAATATAGACGAAGTGGTTTATGACCGTATGAAGCCAGGCCTGAGACTTGCGACGTTGTTTCTTGAGCAGGCTACCCCTGAGCTGGCACGTATCTATTACGCAGGGCTCGAGCCTGTAGCTAATGCTGCAGGACATCCGGGACAGAGACTGAGGGAGTGGAGGGACACCCCTGCCAAACAAAGGGCCCTCAACAATGAGCTTACTCGAGTGGCCAAATGGTATCGAATTACAAAGCTTGAGGACCAGGGCGGAGATCCTCAGGACGTTTGCCCACATATAAAGGAAGACACTGCGGTTACAGACCTTGAATACGCCCCGGGTCACACGCGACCACTGCCGATCTTCTGGCCACGAACTTCCATGAGCGAAGTCTGGCAGGCCTTCTTCGAGCGACGGGACTGGGACACGATCGGCGAGACCGAGAAGGAGATCAGACTTCTGTTGTTGGCTGTCACCTTGATCCACGAGCTTGCCCACGTCGTCTGGTTTCACAGGTTGACTGCCAAGTACGTTTTGGCTCGGAAGCGGGGTCCCCAGGATTTCTCTGATCTCGACTTTAATGAATCCGAGCCTATGTTCGAGGGCCGTCCGTGGGCGGAATGCGGCTACGTGATCGAGGAGACGATGCTCGGTGGATTCCTGAGCTACTCCAACAGTGTTCGTAACATGAACACCCCAGCAGGTTTCTCGATTCCTCCGACAGACCGAGTCCTCTTCACCCGCAAGTGGTGGACCGCCCCTGGCCAAGGTGTCTGGCGGGTGAATGCAGTCAAGCCCTACTGGATATCAGAATTTTTTTCCGAAGACACGTGGGAACGGGATACCAATGGAACGTTTCTGGGCAATTTCTATCTAGTGAGAGAGCGCCTAGATGAGGCGTATCAAGGGCTACGGTATACTCTCGTGAATGCTCCTATCTAGTGACCGGGTTTTGTATGGTTCATCTTGTGCAAAAGTTGGCGTTGGTAGTTTGGATCTATTGTACCTTTAGCTTGTGAATGGACATGTTCGAGAAACCTCTTTGATCATTTTTGAGACCCTCCTCCACAGTCCAGCCCCTATTTCGCCTCAAGGCTTTGAGTTCTCCTGGAGGATCACATGAACCCCGACATTGATGGCTTCAATCTCCCACGAAACGGCGGCGACGTGGTACACCTGGACAAACACCAGGCACCGCTTACTCCGGAAGGCTTTCCTTGTCCTGTAGGATTCGTTGTCTGGCACCAACAAACAAGTCCGCCACAGCCATGTCTATGCCCCTTTGTTCTTCTCATGGTCTCGCAAAACAAACTCACAAAGGACGAACGATTCGGAAAGAAAGAATTGGCAAAACCAAAGATCTACTTGAAAGGACGGAGTTCTTTCTATCTCAAAAGGTACAGTAAACAGAACACCCCCCGAGACCCGGAATAGGAGGACAACACTTCAAACGAACTTGGAATCTGCAAACGCTAGCCAAAAGCCCTACTATACTCCTATCGCACCAACTTCAATAGTCATAGAGAAACCATCTCCAACATGGCAGTTCACTCCAAATCAGCAATCCCACTCTTCATCTTCCTTGCACTTCTCCTCCTCCTGCTCCCCTGTGCCGCGATTCTGTGGCACGGGAAACGCAAATTCCGTGAGCAAAGGAGGCGGCGAAGATCGAGACAAAAGACCGTCCAGAAAATCATCCATACCATGTCAACGCCAATAGAGATGGGCAAGATCCGAACTCCAACAGTAGGAGTTGCACCTTGGCGAGAGCGGATTCAAGCAAGGAAACTCCCACTCGCATGGCGTGGACCGGACGGCAAGTTCATCATTCCAAACCAAGCCAGCAACGGACAACCCTCACCGAGCCAAGGAGCAAGAATCAGTGTCGAAGAGGGACAACCCTCGATACCGAGCCCGCGCTCCACCCCCCACTTCAACACACCCGGAGAACCACTACTGCCGACGCAGTTCGCCACCGTTGTGGACCTCGAATCACAACCGTTTGATCTGAAGCCCGCACCACAGTTCAAGAAAAAACAGAGTCATGCCAGAGTGCACAAAGCTCCACAGCGGAAAGCCGGCCTGGCTGAAGCACCGCATGTCGATAGTCAATATGGGATTCCAGGGGACAACGTCGAGTATGACACTCAGGCTCAAACGCAGAAGGATTTTGTTTAAGGATTGGAATGGATCTGGGAGCAAACAGCCTAGAGTCAGCAGCAGATAAGCAAAGGAAGACGAGATGGACATAATGCTGAGCCGCTCAATCAGCACAGATCGAGCATGCCATATGGAGTCAATCGTTCTAAGATAGCCCCACCATCGAAAATAGGATTTCCTTTTACACGATATGATCCGTTGCTCGTTTCTCGCCAAAGTAAGCCCATTTCGACTCGGCCTGCGCAAAGGTGGTTATTGTTGGAGGAGCCGACTGCTCTGGAACAGGAATACGCCGAGTACGTGACGTTGAGGGTGCTTGGCCAAACGAAGTTATCGTAGCTGGGGCAGATATCGGCACTGGGCCTTTATTCCGGGCAGCATTTGTGTATAAGTTAATGATTTCATGCGTGCTGTCCCTGGTAGACATTGGAAGAGGAGGCGGCCTTTGGACATCGACGAGATATGCGACCTCGTCTGGTAGGGGAGGCGGTGATTCGGCTTCAGGAGTTTCCGGTTGTGCGGGAGGCTTGGCTTGTAGTATGCTTGCCATATCTGCTGCAGCTGCTGTCAATGGCGTTGTCAAGCTTTTCTCGGTCTTGTTTTGATTGGCTTTCTTCGACCGAAACATATCTGAGATGGAACAGTACATTGCAAGGCAGAATGTAGATGTCGCAAGTGCTACAACAGCAATGAGAACCACCAATGCCGCTGTTGGGATCATCTTGAGAAGGCGCAAAAAGTGAAGTCAAAATACTAGGGTTGGTTCAAAAGGACTGGCGGCTTCGAGGGCGGAATTGATCTGGGCTTGAAGTGGTGAATCGAGAAAATGAATGAGAATGTGCAACAGGACAAAGACATTGGCCCGTGTAGGAATCCATAGATAGAGGGCTGAGAACAAAGAGGCCGCTTGCGTTAACCATTCGCTATGGCGGCGTCGAAGAGAACATGCAAAACACGATGCTAAATACTATAGTGTGTTTGTAGGACTTGATAGACGAAGCCATATGGCGACTTGTTGCGTCGATCGCTAATTGCGTGCTGGAGGATCCTTGTGGTTGAGAGACTATTGTGGGATACTGATTGGGTTCCGTATGACGCCGCCAAAAAGCTCGTCGTCCTGAGCTTTGCGAATCGCTCGCTCTTTGGACCGCCTGACTTTGAGAGTGTAGAGGTAGACCAGAGCGATGATTACGACGACGCCAGCGAACATGGCGATAGCCATCCAAGCTATCCCCGACATTCTGGATGAGGAAGGCATATCGGAGTCCAGTGCGAGATATCTTGTTGGGGAATAGACAACAACAGACCAACTCACCGACGCCGCTGGTACGCAGCTTTAAGTCCCAACCCTACGCAAACAGGGCCCTTCTTGCTCAGAATAGATTTCTTTGTGGCCATTTCCGGAGGCGAGGTCATGCCATCTTTGTTGTAACAGTCAGTCCGTTGAACAACGAGGGGCGTACCGTACGCTGCAGCCGTGCCAAAGCACATGCCTGGCATTCCATGCTGTGGTCGTCGAGGAATCGCGTCCTTTATGGGTGCAGCAGTACACACATCATGCTAGACATTGTTAGTCGTCGAGCCCGGGGTATCGCACCTACACAGGCTCCCCAAACAACGCAAAAAGGTCAAAAGTATCTGAAGACGAGAAAACACTCTCACTAGGTTACCCAGGGTCATGTTTCAAATCGTGACAGACGGCGTCATCAAATTATGCTGCGTGTTGACTGCCTTCAAGAACTTAGAAGACACGTTGAACTGTGTCATTTCGGCACGCGCTTTTCCGCTTTCGGACGGCTCCTGAATCGTCGCTTTCTGTCGCAAACCGCGTCCACATGCGCGAAGCCCGATGGCTTCAGTCCCTGACAGCAACAAGCAGCACTTTGGGAACTCCTAGTCATCTCGCAATACACACACACCGTGCCACATAAAGGCACGCAGCTGCACAATACGTACATTTTCTGGCCAAAAGCACTCCGAACTCGATTCACCTGTCCCCTTCCTCCAAAGACTCATCACGCTCCATCATGTCTTTCCTCCTATCTCCTGCTAGACGTGCAGGCAGCGCCGCTCCTATCCTTGCACAGCGCGCTTTCTCGACGACACGACCATCACAACTGGCGCGCATGACGCTTGTTGGCAGGATAGGCACCGACCCCGAGTTGGTCGACACCGGCAAAGCCCAAGTCATCAGATACGTTGTCGGCACGAGCTCGGGGCCAAAAGACAACAGACAAACTTCATGGTTCCGTGTTTCAAGCTTTGCGCCAGAAGGGCCTGGAAGGGACTACATCATGGGTCTGAGCAAAGGGTGAGTCAACCACAAATTTTGACCAAACAGCTGGCTAATTGTTGGGGTTCTAGAACGCTCGTCTATCTCGAGGGCGATGCGACGATGCGGACCTATAACGACGCTGATGGCAAGAAACAAACCGCACTGAACCTTGTGCAGACCAAGGTGGATGTCCTGAAGCGACCATATCCCAAAGAAGGGGAAAGCGATGACGGCCCAACTGGGGTCTAATTGATCTGGAGAAGGGTTGGCTCGCATGAAGGCTATCCGATAAATGTACAAAATTTCCTCCCTAGGTGAGATGTGGAAATGTGGTGCTTGGTTGAATAGTGAGGGCTGGCTTCCTACGTACTTTCGCCACTCATGATATTGGTTTTCTCTGAAGCAGAACATCCAAGGATGGAGACGGTCTCTGCTGTATGAATAATATCTCCATTGTCTTCCAGTCGCCTCCAGTTCTCCTGACGGTAGTTGGTTTCTCCACCGCCGTTTTTCCGTTGCATTTTTTTGTGAAGCCCGCAGTTGCCACTTTCTGGACTTTACTGACCAAGTTCTGTGAGCTGGAATGTCTCCGTCGAGACATGGCTATCACTTGCTTCCGGAGGGACTGAATGCGATATTCCCACGGTGCCCATAGTATTCGGTTTCCACCCATCCCCTCTCCTTAGCCCTTGCTTTAAAGAGTGAATCCAGAAGCTGTAAATTCGTGTGGCCTCATGTCCCGTCCCATAGAACCCGAAGAGGATGTATGCTGCGAAAGTCTGCGACCAGCGATCAAAAGACACTGTTTTCTGAGGCACGAAGACTACGATGTCAGACCAGTCCGCAGGATGGTTGTAAGCCCATGAATATAGGTGCCATTTTGTGCGCATGAAGCCTGCGAAGGCAATAACATCCAGCGGCAAGTAGATGAGAAGCAGAACAGCAGAGAAGCTGATGAGGCGTATATGCTGAGATCGAGTCACTCCCGGCGTACTCGAGAGGACAGTTGACATTTCCTTCCTGTGTCTCCAAAGGCGTACCATAGCTCTTACGCAGTAGATGCAGGCCGCAAGACAGAGGGCCATTGGCCACATGTATATAAGCACTAGGCTGGGCCAGGAGTTGTCGAGTGAAGGCGTACATCCAGCTATTGTCCTGATCCAGTACCTCTGCGGTGAAACTAGACAATGTGCCGCCATCACGATGCATGGGAGCACGATGCACAGCCCTATCTCGACGGTGATAGTGACCATACGCTGTCGACGGCTAGCGCCCAGCGACATACGGTCTGTGTCGAGGATAGAAGCAATATGGCGGAAAAGGCACAGCAGAACTCCGTTGAAAGACACAGCTTGTCCAAAATACAACTTGGCCTCAATGTCACATAATATCTTGCCATTCCACCAAGTATCTGAAGCCGCTGTTGGCCATAGCAAGGCATTCAAGGCGTTGAAGGAACACATGATGATGACCCCAACTGTGAGTATAATGGCGGCCGTGTTTCCGGCTCTGATGTGGACCACGAGGGGAGGTATACACGCGAGACATCCTGTGAAGGCGAGAATAGAAAACACAACAGAATAAGCAGAGTACTGCATGTTGCAGGTTTGGATGGAAACTTCACACTGAGAGAGAACCGCAAGATTGAGAGGAAATGAGGATTGCAAAGACGCAAGGGCGCAGGTGCGCAGACGCCTGCCTACCTCTAGGAGTCTCAAACCGCAGTGCCTCATACTCTCTTTCAGACCACTGAATCGACTCAAGCTCTGCCGTCTGGTGGTCTGCCCCCCCGGGGTTGGTAGATTCTCGAGAGACATATGGCCCAAAATGGTGTTGAATAAGAAGAAACGGAGGGCTCCTTCCTGCCTCCTCATGAAGCGGGCCTAGAGACTTTGGCAAAGCGCGAGGGTCATGCTGTGTTTGTAAAGGACGACTCAGATGAATGATCAATTCTGAAGCCGGCTATGGGCATGGTGTTGGAAATGCTTCCTTGATCGTAACATCTCTGTCATAGTTTCTCAGCACGTCTGCTCAAGATGGCTACTATGAGTCGTCAACATGTATATAACTAAAGCCAGGGTATCTTGACGCAATAGATCTACCCACCGCCCTGCCCAACTTGGGGCAGACGCCTTGGTGACTGCATTTCTCTGATCTGATGTGGAATGGAAGCCCACGGAGGTGAGATAGAGGAGGCAGCAAACAGGCCCCTGAGTGAAGACCCCGTTGCCAAGCCACTATAGCCGTCGATGCTGTAAATGGCTCGCTGGACTTTCCCCATATGGACATCATGTTGACATCAATTCGTGTCGCCTTGGGTTGTTAGTACAACGACGAGTGATTCTCACAGGTTCTCAGTCAGCTTATCCATCTGATGCATTCACACACGTTGTGGCTACCATTACGTCGAGTGAGCATCTTGTATCTGAGGAAATCTTGCCAAACTTACGCGATACTACACGTTCCTTGCCCCTAAGAAATGCAAAGCGCGTCGGACGCGGCTCGGGATTGCCATCCGACCGAGACACGCTCTAGACCATACCAGAGCCAAATTTACTGCGGACCTCTCTACATTGATTGTGGAAATAGCAGATGAACGAAACGGGGCTATCATGGCTTCCGAAAAGAAACCTTCCATCACATTACAGCCATCAACTCAAACAACCCACAGGGACAGTCCCTCTCCTCACGGACTAAGACTACGTCCACTCGGTAGGGCGTCAACCTTTGCCGAGGACAATAACCGGTCGGGACGCCGATCAAGCTCATTCATCTCTGAAACATTATCTGAGACGCGAAGGTCCTTGCGAACATCGACCGACGATATCCTTCTCCCACGTCTGAAGGATGGCGACGACATTGTCGACAATGACGAGAATTCTAATTGGCAGTCTCTTCCTCTGGGCCTTGCGCTGCTACCGGCAGTTGGAGGGTTGCTGTTTAAGAATGGGAGCGCGGTGATTACTGACATTACGTTATTGGGTCTTGCCGCGATTTTTATGAATTGGGCGCTCAGGTCACCATGGTAAGCTGCGCTCTTGAAGTCGGGTTCTAGATGTTGTCCTGACATAATTTCATAGGGATTGGTATCGAGCTGCACAGACTCAGGCTACACCTGGCTCGAGTACTCCGCCGGTATTCACGCCCGTAGATGAAGAAGACGACGGTTTGGAGCCAGCAGGGAAACCTGTCGGTGGCGAAGGGCCGACCCTTCCGTCAAGTCCCAAGAGCGTCGGTTTAGGTGGTCTGCAGGCTGAAAAGGCTGCCGCGAGAAAAGAACTACGCATTTATGAACTTGTTGCGCTGGTGTGCTGCTTCACCTTTCCGTTGCTGGCAGCCTGGCTACTTCATGGCATTCGATCGCAACTAAGTCGTCCGTCTGAGGGTCTAGTTTCTGACTACAACTTGACTGTTTTCATACTGGTGTCCGAGATTCGGCCGCTTTCTCATCTCATAAAGATGGTACAGAAAAGGACACTTTTTCTCCAGCGCAAGGTCAGCTCTGATCTGCTGGCTGATAGCAGAAGAGTGGACAATCAGCAGCTCAGAGATCTCTCGCGTCGACTCGAGGAACTGGAGGCCCATGTCGCAGACGGGATTGACGCCGAGACGCCACAGATCCCGGAACCTGTCGGCAAGGCTCTCGACGCAAAGATACCGGCCGTGGTGCGGACAGAAGTCCAGAAGACGGTGCAACCTGAAGTAGATGCACTCAACCGAGCTATGCGCCGGTACGAGAAGAGGACCACTATCTCGGCTGTCCAGTTCGAGGCGAGGCTGCAGGAGCTTGAAGCACGACTGAACGATGTCGTGTCTTTGGCTGCCGCTGTACAACGGAATGCCGATCGGAAGACGGATAGCTATCTCCTCACCTTGACGAACTGGGCGTGTGCAACTGTGGTCGTCCCTGCGCAGCACCTGCTCCACCTTTTGACTCTGCCCGGCAGAATAGCCAATGCAGTTCTCGCAATGCCGAAACAATTCTTCTCAAAGTCGACAAAGTCGTCTGGTCCCAAAGATGCTCGAGCCGCCAGGAGAAGCGCGCCTCCTCGCACCCCGGGTGACCGCGAAAAGAGAATCAAGGGGTCTCCACTGACTGGGGGCTAGGCACTTCCCGACGTCTATAAAATTTGAGAATGGAGTATTCGCTTTCTATCGAGTTTGACGACCCACTCGAATGAGTCCACGTGCGGGATTACGTTGGGGCAGCGGCGATCGCTACAGGTTGAAGAGACGTGGACCATGGAGAAGATGTATATGACACGACGGATGCATGGGCCCAGATACATCCCCTAGGGTCAATGGATGCATACGTCGAGACTCATGACCGAGTTACGAAGGCCGTGTTGGCCAAAGAAGACATGTTATTTCGATTATGTAACTATACGCTAACCCTTCTCTGCCTTCGTTATGTTCTTTGTTATACTCGATATCGCATTGCAGGGCAACTATAGCCTTTGACAAGGTTCCAATGTCTTTCTAGTCTTTGTATAAAATCACACTGTCTAACGAACTAAACCCAGCCGCGACGCCGCCTTCGTCGCTCTCTTTGCTCTTTGTGCGCAATAGATATCCGCCCTCTGTATTGTGTAGGATTTCGGGGGCTGTACTGCCAGGCGTGTTTCTCCATAGACAGGTGCCGAAGATGCCTAGTTCAGAAATCACGTTGCCCAGCGCTGCGGCGCCGTCGCTGCGCAAAGCAAAGTTCTTAGCATCTTTCGGAGGATGGATCAGCTCCATCAGGATGTACTGCTTCCATTGAGACTCCGGGATTGATTTGAGAAAGCCTGGAATATTGCTGCGGTAAATGTTATTCCCTCCACCTTCGCGCTGGGGCTTGAGGACGTGATTGGCGGCCGTGGCTGGGTCCAAAGCGAGTTTGATGCCTTCTGCTGGCACGGCCGGGTCGGATGATGACAGGGAGTATTGCGGAGCAAACGTCGAGCGTAGGCTCTCGAGTGTAGAGTCGGTGTGCTTCGGCAAGAATGATTTCAGATGGTAAGGACCTGGAGGTTTAGACGTGAGGACTTGTTGAACTTTCTTGGATCCCGCGAGTTGGAGGAGAACGCTGGGGCATTTGATGGCTGCACTGCGCTCGAGGGAGTGTCTTGCACCCCATGCGTGGGCGTCGGTGTAATCTGTAGGGGCGTAAAAGGCACGGTAGTAGACGACGGTTACTTCATATTGCGTTGACGTATCGGATGGAGGCGTGTAGATCAATGGGCGCTCGGGAGTGCCAGCAACAGTTGTGTACGCAGTGATCTTGCTCGTTGGGAGGCGGAAAGACGGGATGCCGTGCTCTTTGTGCAAGTAGCTTGACAGGGCCAGCTGGTCGAAAACATTGCGCTCGGTGTCTTGGACTACGAAGAGGACGCAAGTGGGGAGCTGTGGCGTGGATTTTGATGGTCCGTAGGCTTGGTGAGCGGCCGCGAGGCCTGCTGTCAAGGTTGAAATTGCAGTATTGACGGGCGGACGTCCAGTGGTTTTGATCGGGCTGTCTTCGGAGTTGTTGAACAGAGGGTGAGGTGGATATGCAATTGGATGCTGGGGTGATGGATACGTCGCCAAGTGTGTATGCATCTCGGCGACACGGCAGGAGAGACCTCCAAAGGACGACGATATGGTGTTAAATTCGACCTGCCTCAAGGATTTTGGGCCGTCGTCGGGAGTGTGCAACATGTAGTCGGATCGAAATAGTCCGAGAGACAGATGTTGAGCGTGGCCTTCTCGCCTGACATCGAGGTAGATTTTCCATAAGTTGGCGAGAAAGTCATCGACCTCGATGAGCCTGGGATCTTGATCAGCAGAAGCTCCGCTGTTATTCAGCCAAGGCACAGCCAAGGGCCATTATAGCGACACGCAAAATGATATGAACTTACTCCTTCAGAACAGTCTCCAGCCACTGCTCATCACTAGCTATCGCAGCATAAAGCTCGTTATAAACCCGTTGAAGGCCTCGAGCCTGGTCGAAGCAAGATTCGGGAAAGGGACTCGGGAACAGCGTCACAGGCGCATTAGTAGCCAACATGTTTCCTGAATTAAACTCTGAAGGTACTATTGCTGCTGAGGGTCTGACTGTAAGGGCATGTTCTACCGTCCAATTCTTGACCGTCTGGACTAGAAAGGCTTCCTGCTGGCCGTCCAGCTCAGGTGGGTAGTGGGTGTAAATGGTGTTTGCCATGTTTCCAGAGACCACAACAAGTGAAATTGTGGCTCGAGATCAAAGACAAATTCTACTGACTTGAGGCAACGAAATCCAACAAGGTCAAAGGGTAACAGCTGTACGTGGTGGTTTTTGATAGACAAGACTTTCAATCACGACAGAGGAAGGTTTAGTCAGCAAATTCCAGGCACCGCTTGACTTTCCGGATTCAATACGCGTAAAGTGGTTCTGGTAACAAGTCGCGCTCAGAGGCAGTGCTGAGTAGCACCAATTCAATGCGCAATATCTTCACTCCACCATTGATCACCATTTCACAGGTTGTTCTTAAGGGGACCTTCTGCATCAAGGCCCCTCCGAGGACAAAGTACTCCTTCGATCCTGTGAGGAGCTTTCATGATACATTACTCACCCTATTACTGGAAGCAGTTGGGCGTGGTTTTCTTTGAGGTCTTTTCGCGCCGACCTTTGGTGCCATGAAACATTGTTTCTCATCTCAGATCGAAGTCGTTACTGCCCATTGGCTCATTCCTTCCAATTATTTACTTTCTTCATGGCTGCAGTCAGCGCCCCCGTTTGGTCTTCACTTTCGTCAACAAAGAACGCGGCGTTCTCGACAACGGTCTTCCATGACGCCTGCATTGCAACTGCTCTCTCACGATCACTTCATCTTCCTTCTCCAAGACGATGGACTCTTCGAACGAGCAGGACGATGACGCCAGGAACTGGTCTATTGACCGAGTGGTCCGCGAGCTGTGTCACAATCCAACACCTTGTTGGTCAGCTGTGGTCCAACGCCAAGTTATGCCTGACCAGCAGTTCCTAGAAGATGTCATCCGCCAGAATCACTTAGACGGCGACAACCTCCTTGCTCTAGACATGTCGGTGCTGAGGGATGACTTGGGGCTCGCATCGTTCGGCCAAAGAAGAGCCATGATGAAAGTCATCGACTATCTTCGATCAACCTCACCAAGCTATCAACAGATGGCTTTTCAGGCCGATGGTATGGCAAGAATGCAGTCAGAAATGTATACCCCTCAGCTTGTGCAGTCAAGGACGCCGATGACACACAAGTCGCCCTCGTACATTGGACTTGGCGTCATACCCTCTGTCGAGCCTCGCTTGCCAACTCGCTCACCCTTCCTGAAGTCCATTGTCGAGCCGCAGGCTAGTCACGAACCACTGCCCCCGATGACCAAATCTCCTTTTGGTGAGTATGCTCCAAAATCTGGAAGCCCGCTCGCCACGGTTGCACCACAAGCAACGAGACCATCGCCTTCCACAAATGCAACAGAGACTTTCATGGAAAGAAGTCAAGCAGCTCCTGCGACAGGAATATCCAGACCTGGAAGTCTCGAGGCTCGCTCCACGGAAGCACGGCGACCTCATCAGGAGCCTCCTCTTATCACCACTCAAAAGAAGAAGAAGAAAATAGCCCCGACTTCTGTTGCCCAGCAGCAGGAAGTAGTTGTTGAGGCATCTAGTACCTCATACTTGCCACGATCGGCCATGCCATTGCAGGATATGTTCTACCATAAGATCTCCAGTGATTTTGGTGACACTTTTTATCGTCCTCTACTGGACGAGTCCACTACCTTTGTAACCGGAGGTCGATATCCTACTGGTCAAAGACTGAACGTTGCTAGCCACATCAGGCACTTCTTCCGGCAGAGTGTGACAAAGCTACCCGGTAATGGAGCCCTCGTCAAGATACCCTATCAACTCTATCCTCCAGGTCGAGGGTTTAAGCCACATTCAGAATCATACTTCACGCTCTTCAAACAGAACGGCGACCAACCTCGGGTTTTTCGTGCTCAGGACTATCCCGAACTAAGCAAACTTGGCGAACCCGATGGGCCTGAAGTACAGCTCGTCCCTATCTCTTCCAAGGTTGACCCATTTGAGCAGAAGCAAGATGAACAAGCTGGCTGGACCGACTTTGACTATCTCCTTGAAAAATACCCGGTGGAAGATTCTGATCGGGTCCTTCCTGTTTATGGTGATTCCAGCGACGAGGGTGAATTAGATGAGGAAACCTGGGCAGAAATCGAGGCCGAACAACTTGAAAAGAACAAGGCCACCAAAGCGCTGACAGCGGACGAGGTAAGTGCCGTCATTGATGAAGGGATCAGTGAGATACGACAAGACTGGCGGGACACAAAATTGCCAAAGATCCAATTGAAAGCCTACCGCATATGGATGGATGCTGCCAGAAGGAAGCAGCGTCTTCAAAAGCTGAACTATCTCAAGCACGAAAAAGAGCGTTTTGACAAAATGATCAAGAAGATCATAAAGGCCATGATGGACGATATTTGGCATAACGCCAATGAAGTCAAGAAGCAGTGTCAAAGTCTTGAAGCTTCCGTCCATCAACAAGAAGAATTTTGCCATTACGAGACAATGTTGAGTCAAGATACTGCCCCAGAGCGTCCCACTAAGCGAGCGTTGAAAGCGGTCCGGCCACGTCAGCAGCCAGTCCTCGAAGATGGCGAGGAGCTTATCAATTCCGATTCAGAGCCATTCAGCGAGATAGAAGAAGACTTTCTGGTCGACGATTCATCCGAAGCGGGTTCCATTCACCATGAACCGGAAGCAGAGAGCTGGACTCCAGTGATACCTAAAGTCACGAGAGATGAATTCAATGCCACTGAACTTATGCACAACGCTGATCACATCGACTCTGACAAGAGGCCGTCATTAGAAGCTGACAAAATTATGGACACCACTGATGCCCAGGCAAATGATGCAGATATCGAAACAAGTGATGATGAGGTTATCACACCTGCGCGGAGGAAGCACTTGATTCAACACTCAACACCACGGACCACTAACCCTAATAATGTACTTCGAATCCCTCCAGACCCAAGTTCATCGACTGACGATGACTCGGAAGACGATAATGCGGCTTCTAATAGGCCATCACGTCTTTCTCAGACAAGTGCCAGACGTCAAGGTCGCAGGAAGTCAGAGTATGTGGACTTAACATTCTCCAGTCCTGAGCGAGGGTCTAATCAAAGTGCTGTCGAGGACAGTACGGATTTTTCTGTCCATACTCCAGAGCTTAATCCACTCCCAAAGACCGAGCCACTTGGAGCTTCAAAGAAGGAGAAATCTGGTTCGCCATCTCTGACTCAGACCATGCATCGTCTGTTCGATGATGATTCTGCTTTGCCGCCAGTTCAGGATGTGGAGCGTATGCGTCACGATATTGAATGGAAGCACCTCGAGCGACTTGCCGATGAATGTAAGCCTGACAGGCGCCGAGCACTTGCAAAAGCCCTCTATGAATTGGACAGAGACGTGATCAGCAAACTGAAGAAATTCTTGGAGACTCTGACCGTGCATAGCCGCCAAAGTGTTTTGGTCAATGGTTTACTTGAACTTGGTGGCGATGACCATGAGATTCAAGGCGTCAAAGCGAGATATCAGCCGAGCGCCCATACGTTGATACTTCTCTACATCACCTTTGTTTGTGGTCAAAATATGTTTGAATCGGCTTCCAACCTTACGGAACGAAGCCGTAACGAGGCTTACAACGACATTGACAAAACGTCGAAACACTTCTTTGAACTTCTGTCTACTTTCATAGTGCTCTTCGAAAAAGACGATCAGCAGCAGCAAAGCTCACTGGAAGGCACAAAGAAGAGGAAAAGACATCAAATTGATTCCCCGGTGGAGCTTGTGGATGACAGCGACTTCCCTCCTACTGATACGTCGACTGATCAATTAGAGCTTGTAATTCCAGGCTCTGCTCATAAAAAGAGAAAGCGCAAAGTTGAGGAGAGTCAAGAAGCGAAGACTTTGCAGAAGAGCGATCAACTGCGAATTCAGGAGCAAGAGCAGAGGCGTCAAAAAATGGCGGAGAAGTTCGCTCAGATGACAGCAGAAGGTCAACCAATATTGGCTCCCATAAACACTACAGAACCTTACATCCATCTTCACCCACATATTGCGCAACGTGTCAAGCCACATCAGCTGAATGGCATACAATTCATGTGGCGAGAGATCATCGACGACCCTAAGCATCAGGGTTGTATATTGGCGCACACTATGGGACTAGGTAAAACAATGCAGGTGATATCTCTGCTCGTCACGATCTCAATTTGCAGTCAAAGTGACAACCCAGAAGTCCGATCTCAGATACCCGTTCACCTCAGAAAGCGCAAAACACTCATCCTTTGCCCCGCCACGCTCGTGGACAACTGGTATGATGAGCTATTGATGTGGACTCCTGACCCGAACATCCTAGGCACGATCTACAAACTTGACACTTCGAGTTCAAAGATGATATCTGACTGGGCTCGAACCGGTGGACTCTTGCTTGTTAGCTACGAACGTTTCAGACGCATCGTGGTTGATTGTCAGAAAGCTAAGTTGGCCAATGTTGTCAATATAGACCTGGAACGGATTTTGCTGGATGAGCCGACTCTTGTCGTTGCAGACGAGGCCCATAAACTAAAGAATCCTCTCTCGACCACGAACAAAGTAGCAAGTCAGCTAAAAACCACAAGCCGAATCGCTCTGACGGGTTCGCCTTTGAACAACCATCTTGAAGAATACTACACCATGGTCAACTGGATCTCCCCTGGCTATCTAGGGAACCTTGTGCAGTTCAAATCAAAATACTCTGAACCGATAATTGCAGGACTCTACGCTGATAGTACTGGTTTCCAGAAGCGTTTGGCACTCAAGAAACTTCACGTACTAAAGCGAGATCTGGACCCTAAAATAAAGCGGGCAGACATTTCTGCGATTGCCAAGGACATGCCTCCCAAGACGGAATTCTTCATCACTCTACCTCTCACTGATATTCAGACAAAGGCTTACAATGTCTACGCCACACACATGTCCGAGTTAATGCAGCAGAAAAAGGGAAATGCAGCAACCGCCAGTATCTGGTCCTGGATGAATATGTTGTCATGGCTTTGCCATCATCCGTCAATCTTCCTATCAAAGATGAAAGAAAGAGCAGAACTCGAAGTGAGTAGACAAGACAGAGGAGGTCAAACCAGCGGTGTTGACGATTCATCTTTGTTGCTCGAGGATGGAGAGCTATTTGCAGCCGACGATCTCGACGACAATCCCGAACTTGACAACAACCTCGACCTTGACAACAATCTCGAACTTGACGACAATCCTGACCTTGACGCAACTGGTCCCATGAGTGAGGCTTTACAGAGAGTTCAGGACATTATGAGGGACTTGATCAATGACCCAGAACTGATGAGAGATCCCTCTCTTTCCTATCGCACTCTAGCAGTCAAGAAACTCATCCGACAAATCGTAGCAGTGGGTGACAAGGTGCTCATCTTTTCGCACAGCATCCCTACTCTAAACTTCCTCGAAAAGATGCTGAAGAAGATGAAGTGCTCGTACTGCCGACTTGATGGAAGTACTAAGCTGTCTAGCCGGCAGGCTGCGACAAAGGCGTTCAACAATAAAGACACGCATCAAGTGTTCCTTCTGTCCACAAGAGCTGGGGCATTGGGATTGAATCTCCAGGGTGCCAATCGAGTCATCTTGTTTGACTTTGGCTTCAACCCAGCTTGGGAAGAACAAGCAATCGGGCGAGCGTACCGCCTCAACCAGAAAGCGCCTGTTTTTGTATATCGCTTTCAAGCTGGTGGAACATTCGAGGACAACTTATTCAATACCTCCATCTTCAAAACGCAACTTTTTGGCCGAGTTGTCGACAAAAAGAATCCCAGGAGGCAGGCGACGAAAAAGTTTGCCGAGCACCTTGCTCCCGTGAAAGAAGTCACAAAACAGGACTTTACGGATTGCCAGGGGAAAGATCCAAATGTTCTTGATGCTATCATTAAGGATATGGACTTTATTTGCAAAATCGTCTTAACTGAGACTTTCCAGAAAGAAGACGATGAGAGGCTCAATGAAGAAGAGCAAAAGGAGGCCGAGGCTGAGTATCAAGACCAGCAACTCCTCCGGCAGGATCCTGTTGCATATGAAGCGAAGAAAAGAGCGGACGCAAGAAAGGCCGAAGCAGATCGCGTGGCCAATTATGGTTTCCCAGGAAATTTTCAGGCTTCCAACGAGGTGATGCGCTTTAGTACGCTGGCTCACAACCATTATCAGGCATCGCGGGGACCTTCGAACACGAAGGCGTCCACTCCGACATATCCCAATGTACCACCTCCTTTCCACCGTCAGGATCTAGATCGTCCTCGTTCAACGGAGAGTGCTCCTACGACTCAGTCAGGATGGGCATATGATGATACGTTCCGCGAAATTCTCCAGCACACGGATCCGAAGACGACCTCCCGAAGTGTCGATGATGGAGACGTGCCCATGAACGGTCCGACCCGGTAGTAAACGCCTCTGACAAATACTTGGTCATTTATCACGCCACGAGGTTGAAAGCAGATCGCTGGGTTTTATGCAAGGTTATGATGAAGGCGGGAGAGGACCTGCAGCTTGTAAGGAAGTTCATGGAGACTTGGTGACAGCTGATGTCTAGTGTTTTCTTACGACATTGAATTTTGATTTGCGTTGAAGCACAGATACCCCATCAAGCAAGCGTTTTTTCATTCCAGCGAGCATATCATGAGAGCATGAAAGTTGCACAAAAACACGGCGTATGACACTGTAATTGTACGGATACGTGGACACATTGCTTCTGCTCATTCAGAAAATAATAAAGTAGATTTTCCAAACAAAATAGCAATAGCATATTTGACTTAATGAATTCTTGAATCCTTGGTCCTCGCTGGCTAATTTGAGTGTCTGAATGCAAGACGGCGTCCGACTCGTAGATTGAGAGGTTTCGAGGGCAATTGGCATTACGCTCACCCACCTCTTTATTACGCACAACACCTATTGAGTAATTGCGCAAGGCTGTGGAAGGCTGCGTGCCAACTCGACGTTTTCATTGGATGCTAATCATCAACTCCCCTCTTTACTTCTAGTTTAAGGGGGACGCCTGTGAAAGTGCTACAGAGGTGGGTGGGCTGGTGCGTACTGTCAATTACCGGCTTTGAAGATGTCGTTGTTTTGTACATGTTGAACGCAGTTCTCTAGAAGACCCACATGGCGATTACCAGTTGACTTGGTGACGTCGGTTAGATTCCTCCTGGTTTGTAGAACGCACATATTTCCACGTGGCATATCCCTCGAGAGTCTATGTTGCGTACTCCCCAGTAGAACCCTGGATACGTGATGTTACTGAGCAGTTTCAAAACAGCAGACGTATTCTTGCACGTCATCTCAGGTTCGCCAAACGATGATGATCCCGCTACCTCGGCGAAAGACGCAGGTGCACACGGTGCGAGCGGAAAGAAAGCCAACAGAGCGGTGACGCTAGTTTTCTTCGTCACGGGTAATCCGGGTTTGATCTCTTACTACCGTCCGTTTCTGGAATCGCTGGTCAAACGGCTAGAGGAGAGGAAGAAGCGGAAGAAGCAGGGAAGGCAGGGAGATCATGGTACTCCGGCCGTGGTCGTTGCCGGATTTAGCCTGGGTGGATTTGAGGCCGGACGCAACCACCACAATGAAGGTGAGCTGGACGGAGGAGGAGGAGGAGGAGGAGGAGGTGGTGGTGGTGGTGGTGGAGATGACGATGGTCAGTCTGCGACGGCGAAGATGCGGCGGGAATTGTTGATGTATCCTTCTGGCTCGGGTGGCGGTTCCAGAGGAGGTCGTCACGACGGCGGCGACAACGACGACGACACGGAAAAGATTTATTCGCTCAAAGACCAGATTGAGCTCTGCTACGCTCGTATTCAGAGGCTATGTGGCTTGATACGCCAGGAGGAAGAGAAGGAACACGAGCTTGACGAGGGAGAAAGAGACCGAGTCCGAGTCCGAGACGGAGATGTACAGCACATGAGTCCCCCGGTCAAGGTGATATTGGTGGGACATAGCGTCGGGACGTACATCGGTCTCGAGATTGTGAGGTTGTGGCATGAGAGATCGAGAAAGGGCTCACCGTCACAGCACATCCTTGAGGAAGAGCATGACGGACACGCAGGAGAACGACAACCACCATCCCCCCTACCACCACCACCTGCGACGTGGGCGATATCAAGCTGTATCCTACTCACCCCCACGATAGTCGATCTGCACGCGTCGACGTCGGGACGCATAGCCACGCCCCTCCTCACGAGCATGCCTGTCGTGTCGGGGTATCTTCCTGGTCTCGCGCACGGGTTTGTCCGCGCCGTGCTGATCGGCGGCGTTCCGACCACGTGGCTCAAAGGCCTCGTGAGGAAGGTTACAGGCATGAAGGAGGGCCATGGGCTCGATGCGACGATCGCGTTCCTCGGGAGCAAGACGGGCGTGAAGCAGGCGTTGTCCATGGCGGCGGACGAGTTGAGAGAGATCAGGGCCGACCAGTGGGGTGATGAGGTCTGGGGCGCCGCGGTGGATGAGGAGGAGGAGGAGGAGGAGCGCGAGGGAAATCCTACACGGACGAAGAGAGAGGATGAAGACGAGGACGACAAGGTGGGTACAAGCACGAGTACAAGAAGCCAAAACGGGCCCCCGAGAATCTATTTGTGGTTTGCAAAGGAAGATCACTGGGTTGCAGATATGACGAGGTCGGAGATCCTGAAGAACAGGGGTCGAAGAGGGACAGCTCAAGGGGGACCTACGATCGTGATTGACGAGACCGAGGGTCTGGTGCATGCTTGGTGTTTGGAGCAGAGCGGGATGGTTGCGGAGCGAGTGGGAGGCTGGTTAGAAGAGATTATGGATTGAACGAAACAGGATCTGCGATGTATAGCAAACAATCGTCTGGAAAAGCGTATACACAGTACTCTCATAGAATTGCGAATATGAGCATCTACCGTAGTCGGGTCAAACAAAAACAAAATCCGCAGTCCAGAGCCCCGCGACATCTTATTTCGCTGCAAGACCTGCTCTTCTAAAGAGGTCTCCAAGCACATCAGGATTCTGAGCTACAGGTTGTGGGTGTTGGTAGTTGAAGTTCTGGTGGCCATTGACATCGACAGGTGGTTGTGAGGCTTCTTGCTGATTACTGTCCATATTGTGGGCTCTTACACTCCAAGCAGCATCAGACGCTCGATGTTGGCCAAACAGCTGCTGTAAACTGATTTGTTGACCTGGGTAAGTAGCCGTGGCTTGTTGATTCTGCAAAGCATCCTCTGCTTGCTGTATATGTCCCTCTGTATGCTGCGCAATGGCAGAAGATGCCGCGGCTTCAGCAGCTTGTTTGCTGAGACCAGCATGATCTGCGAGCGACTTCATCAGTTCGCCGTTTAGTTGCTGCGCATTTTCGGTCGACGAGCCGGCTTCGTGGAATATGTAGACACCGTAGATCTTCTGCTCGTGGCCCTCCTTGAAACTGATAATCACATATTCGCCTGTTATCTCGACACCAGCGTTTTCGCCTTCTCGCAGCTCCGCCTCAAAATTGTCCAGACCTCTTCGGTTGAGGACGATTGCTGAATATCTGTCTTCTCCATACTTCCCAGACACAAGTTCACAGATGAACAAAGACCCTTCTACTCCCGTTTTTGTCCATTCAGGCTGTGGGACAGGCGAGAATTCGTACACGACTGCGTATGGTGCGATTGATAAAATGGACGATATCTCGGGGTTATGGCGCTTGAGGACAGAAAGATTCAATTCTTCATTGGTACGGTTGGGAGGTGGTGGTCCTGTAGGATAGTCTGATTGATAGCCCGGGTTGTCCGACTCGTAGTCGGAGGCGAGTATGGCGGGTTGTGAGGGTGGTACGGGTAAGGGCGCAGGAAGAGGAGTAGATGTAGGAGCAGGAGGCTGTTGAACTTGCGCCTGAGACATTGGCGGATAGCGAGGAAAGTCGACAGACTGCTGACGCCTCGACGTGCCAGATCGTCGATACGACATGTCTGTATTTGTTTACGTCGCAGACAGCTGTATTTGAAGCTGGACCGCGTAGCGGCCGCGGAATGTAACAAAGGCTACGGTGGGAATTGTGTAACCTACCTCGATAGGTAAGTGACCTGTCTTTGAGGGTCAAGACCAGAGGGCAATCGGTGTCGGCAGCCTGCACATACGAGGTAGTGAGTGTCAGTGAAAATGAATGAATGCACTGCACTGCGGTTGGAGCATGGACTATGCGATTGTCGTAATGAACTGGATATCCAATTCTTGTTATACAGTATGTTTGCGGTGCAGTCGACCCCATCAAAAATCGAGGCAGTCTGACAGGAGATCTGCCGCGTGTTGTACGCCGCCTGCAAGCCTCCTGCGGTCTGACAACACAGAGTTTGGAACTTGGACAGAAGCCACCGCCAGGTATGGAATATCAAAAGTACAGAGTGAACGCGCAGTGTCTTCCAAATCATGCACACCTAGCGATGGGGAGACCAGGCTCGTACAAAGTCACGGCACTGAGCTTACCTACCTGCACTCCATAGGTGCTGGAGGCTTTGGCAACCCCCCTGGCCAGACGGCGATATTTCGTAGACGAGGCTGCAAGGCCCAAAGAGGCAAAGCGCAAGGGCAAGCGCGACCCCAGAAAGCCAGTCGGTGGGCAGCGAACGGCGTACAATAGTTTGACAAGTCAACCCGTTTACCCCTAATTTTTGGACTCAGCAGCCTTCACTTGATCCTCACCCCTTCAGTCCACACAATTACGATCAACTGCGCAACTCTTTTCTGGTCTTTCTTCAATCGTTTGTTTGATCTCATTCTCATCGTCGCGGCGACCACATCTTTCGTCCTGCTTCCTTTGCCAGCGCTGCTTCTAGTGATACCTGTCCATCAAGATGTCTTCACCATTCAATGCGGTATGCAGTCCATCTGTTCATCCTTCCTCTCATCACATACCGAGAAGGAGATCTCTTTGCAACCCGCACTTCATCCACCTCTGGTTTCTCGGTTACTAACAAAGTGCGCCTGGCGCAGGTAAAGATTCGGAGGAAGAAGAATGTCAAGAAGGGAATCCAGTTCTGTCTCATGGTTTGCGGTGCAAGCGGAACTGGTTTGTAACGCTCCCCCAAGTCCGCATCTCGGCACTGACAGAACTGCAGGTCGAACCACCTTCGTCAATACTCTCTGTGGGAAGCGAGTCCTTCAGCCTAAAGACGCCGATGATGCAGCCAACGCCCACATTGAAGAAGGAGTAAGAATCAAGCCGGTGACAGTTGGTATGCGAGACACAAAACATCAAGAAATAACCTTTGAGCTGACGAAGAGCTAGAGCTTGAGCTGGATGAGGAGGGCACCCGTGTCTCCCTGACCATTGTCGACACCCCGGGTTTCGGTGACCAGATTGACAACGAATCCGCTTTCAGCGAAATTGTTGGTCATCTCGAGCGCGGCTACGATGATATTCTCGCAGAGGAATCTCGTATCAAGCGAAACCCTCGCTTCAGAGACAACCGTATTCACGCCCTCCTCTACTTCATCACTCCCACGGGCCACGGTCTTCGGGAATTGGACATCGAACTGATGAAGCGTCTTTCTCCTCGTGTCAATGTCATCCCTGTCATTGGCAAGGCTGATTCCCTGACCCCTTCTGAATTGGCCGAGTCAAAGAAACTGGTCATGGAAGATATTGAACATTATCGCATACCGGTTTACAATTTCCCCTACGATATCGAAGAAGATGACGAGGACACCGTGGAAGAGAATGCAGAGCTACGTGGTTTGATGCCGTTTGCCATTGTCGGGTCAGAGGACGTGATCGAAGTTGGCGGTCGACGAGTCCGCGCAAGACAGTATCCATGGGGCATTGTGGAAGTCGACAATCCCCGTCACTCAGACTTCCTGGCCATCCGTAGCGCTCTCCTGCACTCTCATCTCGCCGATCTCAAAGAGATTACCCACGACTTCTTGTACGAAAACTACCGTACCGAAAAACTCAGCAAGAGCGTGGACGGAGGTGTCTCGTATGTGATCTCTATCATTTGTGCAAGAAAATCATTGACTGATACATGTGGCAACAGGGCGCAAGACTCGTCGATCAACCCCGAGGACCTAGCCAACCAATCGGTCCGCCTCAAGGAAGAACAGCTGCGCCGCGAGGAGGAGAAGCTGCGGGAGATCGAGGTCAAGGTTCAACGTGAAATCAACGAGAAACGACAAGAGTTGTTGGCGCGCGAGTCTCAATTACGTGAAATCGAAGCCCGCATGCAGCGTGAGCAGAGCTTGGGTGCGGAAGAGAGCCTCAACGGTCACGGCCATTCGGATGCATAAACGACGCGCAGTAGTCCGAAGGGATTTCCTTTTTTCTGCTCTCTCATGCAGGCCATGGATTTTTCAAAATGAAGCAGAACTTGCTTGAGGAGATGAGGCTGCACAGAACTTCAAGTCCAATGAGGCGGTGAGGCTCGAGGACTCTTCTGTGGGTCAGCTTTTTGTTGCTGATAGGGGACATGTCGTGTCTAGTAGAATAGCGACCCTTTTTTTAATGGGCTGTGACTGGACCTGGAAAAGAGACTCATTTTTCATTGAAACATGTCAAGGATTGTGCATACGGATATGCTCCTAGTAGTTGAGGATTGAGCGTGTGAGCTCCATGGAGGGAGTTTGCAAAGTTGTAATATCGCTTCCCATGTTGATTGGCCTGTGCCTGACCAGCCCATCCTGTGAATCTGCTTGGTTACACAACGCAAGGCCCTGGCATGGAGCCCCCTGTATCCTGACAATGGCGCGGGAAAACGTGGGATGTAATGCTGACCTGGCATTTCCGGGTTGCAGCGGTGTGCTTGGAGGGACTCTTTGCACTTTCTCTGGTAGTCACTGGTGACTCGTGAGTGGCCGTTGCACTGAATCCTGACGATCTGGACGCGGGGGCTCCTGGGGCCACAGGCTTGGATGCAATTGCGGAGGAGGGGGTTCCCATCAAGCTGGCTTGCCTTGGTGTCTGGTCTTGATGGTGGTGCCGTGGCGTATTCTCCTTCTGGACAGCGACATCAATCGCCGCGACCGCTTCTTGAAATCCCATCAATAAGAAGAGGTTGGCGAGTAAATCGCGCATCTTCGGGCAGAACAGAAGCAACATTGCATAGAGTTTTACATGCTGTGTCACCAACGCGTTGTATACTACGCCTGCGAGCCTGACTTCTTGCAGTGTTCTCCGCAACGGTCGCTTCATGCCGGTATGAATGTGGTTTAGAGTGTCTGGTAGGACTCATCACCGGGCGCCTACTGCTGCGGGTGCTGGGCTCGCGGTGTCCGTCTTCTCCAGATTTCGGTAGTTAGAGTAGAGGGTGTTTCCGGGGGCGGGTGGGTTTCATTTGTCGACTCCCATTGTATAGCCACACCCACAACGTAGCTTGACAGACGGCTGTGATGAAAGGTCTGAACTCGACGCAGGGCAATTCCATGGTGCCACGAGGACGGTGTACATCAATGCTTAGGCGTGTTAAGCATTCTGTTGCAGGACACATTGCGCGCGGGGGTTGATTCACCAAACTTGTCAATCACAACCTGGACGGACGTGGAGTGCATTGCAGGGTGCAGTAGCCTCGCGTCGACGCCTGCTAAGCCCTGGCGAACCTCTCTGCATGCGACGAGGCATACGGAAGCCACTCCACGTCGTCGCCAAACGGCCTACACCTACCTGACCAGAGACTGCTCTCGTGACGGCGTGTCGATATATCTGTCGTATAGTACCCTGGCCTAGATATCATCTCCAGATTGGGTGTACCCTTATCTTGCACCAACCGAAATACACTCAGCTGGTGATACTCGAACTTGTCTGTATAACTTCCTTACGGAACGACGCCTGCGCTCGAGGGCTCGTGATCAGCTGCATTTTGCAAATCCCGCATCATCCTTGCAACCCACCATCTCATGTGAATCCCCCGATCGATCTCGATATCCTGACATACTTCTGCTGCCTCAGCTACTAGGCATCTACGCAGCTACCACCGTGCTCAGATTGTGAGTCTCTCCAAGAAGCAAAAGCTTGGTGCCCCAGACCCACTGCTGTCTGGATCTTCTCCGACAGAGTCGAGGCTCTATTACTCCAACGGAACCTTCCCAGAGCCTCATCTTCGATCTGATCGACGCCAGTGCCCGCCGTCAGCTTCTGACAGGGTTAAGAGTACCAAGGGGCATATGTGACGGCGACGAGGCGTCAGGACCGACGTCGAGCCATCCCCACCACTGACACCACGACGGTCACCCACGAGGAAAGCAAGAGGAAAGCAAAAAGCCAAAAGCCAAAAGGAACAAGGACTTGGCCGGGACGAAGTTCTCGAACTTAGACCCGCCTGATTCTCGTCTCCTCAATCCTCACCCGTTCGACCTTTGAAGCCGCCTGGTACCGCTATTTCTGCCAACCTTCTCCCATCTCAACGATCAACTCCGTCCAACTCGTATCTCTCGCAAAACCACCATATCGCGAGATTCTCGATTTCTGCGGGTACTTGCATACACCCTCGCTTTTTGCCCATTGCACTGCTCCACCAACGACGCTCATAACTGCAAAGGGATTCTCAATCTCGACTTTCCTTTACATCTCTCTCAGTCCTCTCAGTTCAAAAGGCTGGATTTCGTGACCACAATCTATACCCTGCCATCACTCTTTGTTCGGCGCACTGGCAACTTCACAACGCCGGCTCACTTCCAGTGAGCTAGAACCGTCACCCCACATCTTGCGCTATCGCTGGCGGTAGTTGCAATCTAAGGGCATGTCGGTCATGACTAGTCAACCACCGCCTCCATCACGGAGCTCAACCGGCCTCAACTTCCTGTCCAAAATCAAGTCACACAAAGAACCCAAGTATTCGACCCCGCAAAGACCAAGATCCGTTCGCCGAAGCGGCAGTTATGGAAGCAGTAATGACCAGACGAGGCGAGCGTCGTTGTTTTCAGTGCCCGCACAGGAAGGAGCAGGGCTGAAGTCTCGACGTCTTAGTGCCAATCCTCTAGATGAGTTTGTGGTTGACGTGTGCCCTCTGGAAGACGAGTTTGTGTCAGCATCCAAGATTGGTCGGCGGAAGGAGGTCGGTAGAGGCGCTAGTGCAACTGTGAAGATCATGCTGAGAAGAGGTGACAAAAGATCCGACGGTGCCCCTCTGTTTGCTGTGAAAGAGTTCCGAAAGCGGTCGACAAGAGAAACAGAGGAAGAGTATGTTCGCAAGGTCAAGTCAGAATACACTATTGCTAAATCTGCGAATCATCCCAATATTGTCAGGACTGTTCGGCTGTGCACGAGCAACGATCGGTGGAATCATGTGATGGAGTTCTGCCAGCAAGGTGAACTTTTCAGTCTCGTTGAGCGAAAGTATTTCAAGGCCGAGGACCGTAATTGCATCTTCAAGCAGGTACTGAGGGGTGTTGGTTACTTGCACGAACATGGCATTGCCCATAGAGACATCAAGTTGGAGAACCTGCTCATGACCGACGAAGGACACATCAAGATTACAGACTTTGGAGCGTCGGAGGTATTCTGTGGTGATCATCCCGGCATTGCATCATCTCGAGGACTTTGCGGTCAAGGGATGCGGGAACATCGAATGTCGCCAGCAGGAATCTGTGGATCGAGACCGTACATTTCTCCTGAAGTGCTTGCCGAGAACCGAGAGTATGACCCTAGCAAGCTCGATGCTTGGAGCTGTGGTATATTGTTCATGACGATTTTCTTGGTCGGCAATCCATGGCAGAGTGCTCGCAAGCACGAGTCCAACTACGCAGCATTCTTGAAAGGCTGGGAGGCCTTTCTTTCTGGATCCGACGAGGCGGCCATCGATGAGAACAGCTATCCTCAGTGTGGTCCAATTTTCAATGCTTTGCCTTCACATTCACAGCGTCGTTGTATACTCAAATTGCTTCACCCAGATCCTAACCAGCGATGCACTGTGGTTGAGGCGCTAAATGATCGGTGGATCAAAAGCATCGATTGCTGCTCACCAGAAACTCTGGGACCGACCTTCACCAACATTGATGTGACGAAGATGGGGTCTGATAGAATAGCTGCGAGAATGCGAGTACAGGCAAAGCACAACCATTTGCCGCCACCAGTAAAGCGATTACCACAACATCGATTTGACATGGGCGATGGTACGTCAAGATATGATTGAGGTGAGGCGCGGTGGAAATCTCCTTGTCAGTAACCCGGGCTGGTTTCTTCTTACGAGCCCCTCCATATTTCTGTGATGGAGGTATATGGCGTACTTGCGTCGGTCGTCCGGTGGGGGCAGGGATATATTTGCGTTACGAAGTGCTCGGAAGCGCTGGTACTCAAAAAGTCCTTTTTAAAATTAGGTGGTTGGTCCATAATGATGGGAAACACCTGCAAAGGAAGCATGGGATCGATGCGAAGAACAGTAGCCCCCTGGATGGAAGATTGCTTTAGATGTAGCCTGAATCGTCAACTAGCATGGCGCGGAAAAGGTGTCCCGAGTGGTCTGGTAGAATCCGTAGAGTTCGTATCAATACAAAGACACAGTACTCCGTCCTCGAGTCACTGTGTACAACACACCGCCAACTCAGCCTCGTCGAAGTCAAGCACGTGTGTCTCTCTCTCACAGCCTTGTCCTGCCCCAACGCATTACAGTGCTACGACAGTACGAGTCACAAACAGACCTCGGCAAAGATCGAAATTCGGCAGGGCGAACTCGGTGTTTCGTATTCCGGATTGCGTACTCCATGCTATCATAGGTACCACGGGGAGTGCATAACACACCACGAGGAAGAAAGGCGAATAGCGGGACCAAAACACACACACGCTCACGCTACGCTACGTGCTTTGACGTGATTGAACGAGTCAGTCACGCAGTCGGTCAGTCAGCCAGACTCCTCACCTACCCTCCCTACCTGACCCATGGTAGCGGAGTTGAACCAAAAACAACAAATATCCCTTGCCGACCGACCACCCTTGCAACTTCTGGGCGTAGTATCGGGGGCATCTGACCAGGTTTATTTTATTTTTCCAGTCAGCGAGGCAAGGTACTTTGGATGAACGCAAAGGGCTCGGTCGACCACCACAAGACGAATCTCGCTCTCACAATCCGGCCATCCAATGGCAGGAGACCCTTCATCAATTGGAACTCAATCCGGCCTTGAACTGGGCACCAACAACGAGATCCCCAACGCAGACCAGCCCTACCAACCGTTCATGGACGTGCGACCGCCTACTCACGCGGGAATTTCTGACGCCAACGGATCTCCCCTGACGGAACGAGAGGTCCTAGAAGTCGAGAGACGCGAGCGCGAGGAGCGCCAGGCCACGCCTGAGCCAGAGGACTTTAGCATTGCGTTTCCCGAGGACCTGCCCACGCCGCCGTTCTTGCATGTCCAGGGCGTCCCCAACTTCAGAGACCTAGGCGGGTACGCTTGCAAGGCGCCTTCTGCGGTTTCGGCTGGTGGTGGTGATGGTGACGACGGCGCCGGCGTCTACGTACTGCGCAAAGGCATTCTCTACCGCTGCGCACACCCTACGCACCTCACGCAGCCGGGGGCAGAGTACCTGATCGGCACGCTGGGTGTCAGGGACATGTACGACCTGCGCAGCCAGCCCGAGATCAGCCGTCTGGCGGCGACGGTGGCGGCGGCCGAGTCGGGCAAGGAGAAGAGCGTGTACCCCCTCGCCGACGCGCAGACGGGATGCCTGGACCGCGTGCCGGGGCTCAGTCGGCACTTCACGCCCGTGTACCAGAGCGAGGACTACGGGCCGGTCGCGCTCGCGACGAAGCTGGCGTGGTACACGGCCGAGCACGCGCACGACGAGGACGCCGGGTTCTCGTACAGCGAGGGCTTCGTGAAGGCGTACCGCGACATCGCCGTCCACGGGGCCGCCGCGTACGGCACCATCTTCAGGCACCTGCTCGAGAAGCCGGGCGCGCCGCTCGTGTTCCACTGCACCGCCGGCAAGGACCGGACGGGCGTGTTCGCGGCCCTCGTCGCCAGGCTGGTCGGGGTCCCCGACGAGGTCATCTGCTGGGAATACGCCCTGACCGAACCCGGCCTGGGGAGCTGGAGGAACGAGTTCATCGACCGCATCTGTTCCGGTGGGTTGGGCAGTGCCGGAGCGAGACAGACACTGCAGCAAAAACAACAGCAGCAACAACAACCCCAAGATGGTCCCCCCCCGCGCGTATGGCCCGGCGAACAACGACCCAAGATCTCCAGAGAGGCCGCGGCGAGAATCTGTGGCAGTCGCGCCGGGAACATGCGCGCGTTTCTGAAGATGGTCCTCGACCGGGAACTGGGCAGCGTCGAGCAGTATCTCAGCGAGAGGTGTGGGTTCAGCGAGGTCGAGATTGAGAGGTTGCGGGCGTCTTTGGTCGAGAAGGTCGCAGAGGGGGAGGTCGTGAGGCAGTGTGAGATCAAGGGTTGGACGGCAGATGGTGGTGTCGAGAATTGAAAAGAAAGGAAAAGAAAAAAAGAAAGAACCTCGACTGCCTGACGACACACATACATACCTAGGTACCTAGCTGGGTAGCTAGATAGAGTAGCTGGAGTAGCTGGAGTCAGCTATCAGTTATACAGTATACAGAACATACTAGGTAGACTACTAAATAAAAATTGATCATTCATAGCTCGAGTGAGTACTACGTACAGCCTCGGACCTCTGCTTGCTTGAACGCTCGAACAGACCTTCGACTGTGATTGCGATTGCGATTGCGATACACCGGTTGGAGAGCAACGACTTTGACAAATGTTTTGTTCCAAGGAAGCTCTCGAAGAACCATCCCAAACAGGAGAACATACTCGTCCGGTTTCCCTCCAGGGGAGGAAAACGAACAAAGACATGTACTCTGGTTCCTTGACTCGATACTTCTGCCACACGGCCACACCTCACGACTCCCTTCTCCTCTCTTCTCCCGCCATCCCTCGAACGAGCGGACTCCCAGAACCAGGCATCCTCGTCGGACTTGCTCCGGCGCTGACTCCGCCCTTTTTGTCCTTTTTGATGAGGTTTGCGAAAAAGTCGGCGGCGGCCCTGTTGCTCTGCTTGTCGTATGCGCTCGATACAGAGGACGGAACGGGCGGCGTTGCTGTGCCACTCTCCGTACCTCCGGCTTCACTTCCTTGCCTACGCATGGGCGTGCTGCTGGTACCACTTCCTCCTGCACCACCGGCTACAGACGTGACACCCCTCCTTTCCGCCGCTGCCGCTGCTCGCTCATTCTCGCGCTCGCGTAGCCGTCTCGTCGCTTCCTCGGCGTCGAAATCGATCCCATTCACGTTAATCTGATACGGACCAATGTGGTCTGCCATCCTGGGATTCGAGACGCCTTTGATGGCCTCTTCTGCGCCGTCGACTACCCCGCCGGACGGAGCGGGCGCACCCTTGCGGGACTTTCGTTCGGCCTTTTCGTCTTCGGCCTTGAGTTTTTCTAGATTTTCATACTGCACCTGGAGGAACTCCTGCGCGCTCGGCACGGTTACCGTTTCGTCGTGCGTGCGTGGTTGGAACGCCGGTCTGGAGTCTGTTGGGTTGCGGAGTGTAGATTCGTACGCCTGCACCGCCGACTCGGATTCGGGCGTCGTCGCGTCGCCGTTCTGAGCCAAAAGTAGTTTGTCCGGTTGGGATGACTGAGGTTTCGTCGACAGGTCCAGCGTCTGTTCGGGGGGTTCTTGGATCTCCACGGACCACGCATTACCCACGGCTTCCGGATCAAAGCCTTCCTTGAGGATTCGTATCTTCCCCCAAGAGTCCCAATTCGGCGGAACCAGGATCTTATCTCGGTCGATGATGTTGTGTTTGGCGACTTCCCGTTTCAGGAGAGAATGTATGCTCAAGCTCGAATGGATCAGCGTCCGCACATGGTTTGGGTCAAACGTCGCAGTGTAGACTAGGGAAGCACCGTGCTTGAGTAGAACGCATCGCAGCCATTGCATGAGAAAGTCGAACTGGTCTTCTCCCCAACTGTTCTCCCGTTCCAGGATCTCGATCTTTTCTGCCTGGATACACACGACGGACAGTGGTATTCCCAATCCCTCGTCCCATTCCCCTGGCCCTGGGGGCACGACTGCACCTATTGATTTCTGCTCGCCCGTCGCCGCCGCCGCCGTTCCTCCAGGCTGCACCGATGGTGCGTCCGGTCCGACTCGTTTCTCCTTCCACGCCGTCATGACCTCTTCCATCTCGATCTTGGTTTGATCGTCCAAACTGAGTATGACGGATCGAAGCAGCCGGATCCACTGTCGCAGTTGTCTCGCCCACTTGAAAGGATCTTGCCAGTCCAGTAGGATCGTTATGAGGGTGTCCTTGACCGTTTTGGGGGTGAAGAGAGGCTTCAGCAGTGGGGCGAAGTTGGCGCTCGAGTTCGACAGCGTGTAAACGTTCAGTCTTGCCAGGACGTCTTCTTGATCGGCGTCCAGCACATCGTGGTATGTATAGCCTAGTGCGTAACGATTCGACAGGGGTACTGTCCGCGGTTGTCTCCGTCTGTCGTTGTTGGAATATCGAGAGCGCAGGTTGGGAGGATTCAGCTGTTCGAGGAACTCGCGCTGGTGATCAGGGCTGCCGCCGAGGACGATGAGTTGTTTCTCTGTCAAGTCTTTGCCTTTCGACGCGCTGTTGAGCATCGGAACCCATATCGCTGGCTTGTCTCCATCCTTGCTGACTGGCCGTCTGGACACGGATCGAGATGCGGGTAGGGAGGTGAAGCTGGAGATTGGTTGCGATGCCGCCAACATGGCGAGTTGATGAATGCCAACAACAAAGGACGCGGGCTTCAAAAAGACTGGGAAGGATTTGCGTTCTTCATGAGGACAGTCTTCATGGGTTGACAGTGATGTAGGGGTTCACAGACTGAGCGCCCTGTTGGTGTTGTTGACGTGCAGATGCGGATGAGGAGACGAACAGAAGTTCATCGCGTGTCTGTCTTCTCCACAGAAATTAATTCTCCAACGCTGTAACTCCGTAGCCTTGAAATCATGTAGAAAAGACTTTAGACTCGCTCTGCTGCGTTCCAATAGTGCTTTTATATTTACTCAGCTGATGCCATTCACATTTTCAAATAGGACGAATCACTCTGACCGATGATCTCCTTGCCAATAACAAGGTAGACTCTGGGCCTTTTTTTTGGCCTTCTGCAAGCGCCTCGTCCAGCATGAACGCGATCCGTCAAACCCAGGCGTTGAACAAGCGGGAACTGGAAAATGCAACACCGCCTTCCGCATCATGGCACGCAGATTACAGAGACACAGCGTACATCTACATTGGCGGTCTTAACCTAGACCTGACCGAAGGCGACGTGGTCACCATCTTCTCGCAGTTCGGCAACCCCACACACCTCAACCTGATTCGAGACAAGGAGACGGGCAAGAGCAAAGGCTTTGCATTCCTGAAATACGAAGACCAGCGCAGCTGCGACTTGGCCGTGGACAATTTGACGGGGGCCGATATCCTCGGGAGACTGATACGGGTCGACCACACGCGGTACAAGAAGAGGGACGACGAGGACGAAGATACCTATCGCATTGGCCGTCTGGAGGCAGAGGCCGAGGCAGATGTGAACGGCAACGGGAAGAGGGGGAGCGATGACACCGAGGATGACGACGAACGCGGGTCGAGACACAGACGGAAGAAGCACCGACCCGCGTTGAGGGAAGAGCAGGAGTTGGAACAGATGCTCGCCATCACCCAGGACGGCGACGCGGGAGAAGAAGACCCCATGCGCGAGTACCTGATCCGGGAGAAAAGGGAGGAAGTGGAAAGGGCCAAAGAGCGCCAGAGAAGCAAGAAAGATAAACATCGACACAGAAGAAGAGACAGCGGGGACGAGGACGAGAAGAGACGACACAGGCACAGACACCGGGACGAGGACGAAGACCGTACGAAGGACGAACACAAACGTCGCCGTCACGGAGATGAGGAAGACGATGCCGCGGAGGAGAGGCGACATCGACGCCGACACCGACACCGCGATGAAGAGGATCACGGCCGAGATCGTTCAGAGCGGACTAGGCACAGTGAACGAGACACAGACAGAGATCATGGCGAATCCAAGAAGAGCCACCGTGATCGTGATGAGAAGAGGGAAGACCGTGGGTGGCGGCGCAGAAGATCTGATAGTCGCGATAGAAATCAGGTTTAGCCGCCATGAGATTACCATTTCAACGCTTTGATGATTGATGGTATTGTCTTACTCCGGTGTATCAGAGCCAATTTATGTACAAAACCATAAGAATGTCCAAGGTATGTACAACGGACATTCCAGCACTCTTGCTTCCACCCATCTCATTTCAGACCCTCTCCCTTTTCGAGCAGCTTCACCCCCAGTTCTCTCAACTTGAACTTTTCTGAACGTCGAAAGTTAGTACTCTTGCTGGTACAGGAACGCCAGTCAGAGGCCGGCAACGGAGAGACTTACGAATTTTCCCACTCGCCGTCTTTGGGTAATCATCGACAAAGAACACATACTTTGGGACGAGATGATGGCTCATCCTGTCCTTGACCCACGCTCTGACTTCGTCCGCCGTGATGGGCGACTCTCCAGACGGTAAATGGTGCCTTCTGACCACAAAAGCAGTCACGATCTCGCCGTATTTCTGGTCCGGCAATCCCACGACGCTAACCTCAGCAATCTTCGGGTGTGCAAACAGACAATTCTCCACTTCGAGAGGGTGTATGTTCTCGCCGCCACGGATGATTAGGTCCTTTATCCGCCCTGTGATACTTACGTATCCTTCCTCGTCCATGGACGCTTCGTCGCCCGTATGCATCCACACCTTCCCCTCCGCGTCAGCCTTCATAACCTCGGCCGTCTTTTCGGGTTGGTCCCAATACTCTTTCATGACGAGATATCCAGACACGGCAAGTTCACCTCGTTCGCCAATACCGAGGACACGATCATGGTTAAAGGGGTCGACGACTTTGGCTTCGACGTGCGGAAGGAGTCGACCGACGGTGTTGATGCGCTTTTCTATCGGGTCGTCAGTCGTGGTCATTGCGGACACAGGCGATGTCTCCGTCATGCCGTAGCAAATGGTCAATTCAGTCAGATTGAGCACCCTGTGGAGCTTCTTCATCAACTCAGCAGGAATGGAAGACCCCGCGGCGATGCCTGTGCGAAGGTATTGGAAACCTTCATTCGCGATCACCCCGTCGTCGATGAGCTCGAGTTGAGACAGGAACATGGTTGGCACGCCGTACAGGGCCGTGGCTTTTTCTTCTTGGACCGCCTTGAGAGCCGCAAGTGGATCGAAAGCCTCAGTCGGGAACACTATGCTCGAGCCATGTGTGGCCGTGGCCATGTAGCCTAGAATACAGCCGAAGCAGTGAAACAGTGGGGGTGGGCAACATACGACGTCGTCTGGTGTGAGAAGCATTCGATCGCCTATTTGCTGCCCGTTGTTGAGAATCGACCGGTGAGAAAGACAAGCGGCCTTGGGCATGGATGTCGTGCCCGACGTGAACTGGATATTGACCACTTCACGATTTGATAGTGGGGCGTCCGGCGTAGGCGGGCGCGTGTCCGTGTCTTGGGAGATCGAGGACCATGGTCTTGTCGCGCGGAACTCGGCTGCGTCTACTCGCCCGGACGAATTGTCCACCAGAATTATGTTCTTCAGAGACGGGATCGCTTCCGAAGCGAGGGTTGCGGCGGTCAGGTCTGGAACTATCGCTTCGAGTATAGGAACATTCGACCGGGGAGGCTTGAACGGGAGATTCGTTTCGGTCCCGATCACCAGATGGGTCGCCGACAAGTGGTTGAAGGCCGAGATCATCTGGGCCGCCGTGAACGCTGGGTTCAGCGGAACCAAGATTGCGCCCAGTTTGAACAAGGCATATGTTATCGTTGCGAATTCGAGGTTGTTTCCCAAAGAAACGCACACTCGATCGCCTTTCTTGACTCCTAGACTTTGTAGACCCCGTGCCAGCACATTGCTATTAAGGTCCAGCTCGTTGTAGGTCAGACGCTTGCGCTGGTGTCTGGAGACGACGGCATGGCGGTCCCCGTGCGCAGAGACGATCCGGGCAAAGTTATCGCCCACTGTCTCTTCAAGAAGGGGAGGCTGAGAAGGTCCCCTCGTTCTCGAAGTGGTCAGCAGGTGCCGTCGTGCCGCTGGTATTGAAACTGCCACTGACGCTGGAATAGGGAAAGAGTGTGGTTGATCTGAGAGTGGGAGTGGGAGTGCGGCTATAAGTGACCGCCGCCGTTGCCATATTGCTCGTCGCGGCCGAAAGAGTGGTTGCATGGTGTTATTGTCATCGTACGAGGACTCTTCGCAGCCAAGTGAGGCACCTTATCCTTGTACTGGGACAATTCCTGTTCCTCGTAGATAGGTACGTATCTTAGGGCTGACCCAAGGGAGGTAAGGGTAAGGACGGTGAGGTCGCGGGTGTCTGTCTTCCTCTTTCGATCGGTCTCTTTGTACTACCAACCGTCACGACCCTCATGTACGAGGATTGAGTATGTACATGTGGACCTGTGCTACCTGTTCCTCCGGGGAGGTAATGTAGGTAGAACTGTAGGTATATACTTTCCCTTCTGCTGTTTGAGAATTCACCGGCTATCCGAGACGATTTCTGGGGGAGCTTGATCCGAAGCCGCGGTGAAAGGAGGCACAAACTGCGGAAACCAAGCCGCTACTACCGCCCCTCCTCACAGGAGTCACCGCTGCACCCGCCGTCAATTTAGTTTTGGCGGGGAATCATTAGCCGTACCTTATGCATGGAGTACAAAATGCGGGTTAGTGCGGGCGCAGCCACAGTCCAGGAGCTGTAAGTTGTAACCCTACTGGAGTCTCTGCCCCAAGTGTACAGCATTTGTACAGCATTGATAGCCCCGAAACTACCTGCGATTACAGTAGCCTGTAGGTGCATAGGTACCTATGTGCGTACGGATACGACTGAGCATTTCTGGAAGGAAAGGATAGTTTAATAAAGGGTGTCTCCGTTGAATACAACGTCTTGTGAGTTGGGGAAGTTAAGGAATACCTCAAGTACAACAATTGATACATTCCTCAACCAAGTAATATTTCATGCTTACCAACAGACCTCAATCGCTGGGGCTATGAAACATTCATCTGTTGCAACGTGGTTTCCGTCGTCATCACTCCAAGTCAAGACGCCAGTTGCTGACCCGGTGACCCCCAAGTCCGCTTCCGTACCCCGGATACCTATGTACATCACCTCCATCCAAGTCTTCCCAAATGCGGGGGAAGCGCTCGAGTCTTGACATTCCTGAAATTCATGTTGAGGTCAGTCTCAAAGTCCTACGCCCTGCAAGCTAGGCACTGTCTACGAGGCCCATCACGATATCTCCGATCATCTTTTTCATATCTCCTTACTCAATAACCACCAAAATTGAAATGCTGTTGAGAAGGACCGACACTGACGCAACGTCAGCAGCGCGAGATGCCAACGGACAGCAGAAAGTGAACAATCAAATGGCCGACTCTCAACGTCCGCTGACATGCATGTTTTACTTCTTTGCTTCCCAGATGAAGCGGAACATTCAGCGTGCAGACGAGGACCTCGTCCAACGAGGAAAACTGCCCGACGAGCCAATTCACAGATTGGACACGATGATTGCTCGTTTGAGGATGCATGCAGCATATTCTCCGCATATAACAAAGTTCGAGACATATCCTGTCGAAATCCCTGATGCCGCCCCGACGTGGCTGAAACGCCCTCCGCGACCGTCACCGGAAGAGGTTCACGACACGGTGATGTTGATGAAGTTCCGGAATAAGGGTGCCAGGGAGGAGTGGATCGCGACAAAGGAATGGCAAGAGTTCATGACCAAGACCGAAGGAGAACAGGTCTTTCGCAGAATGCCTCATGTCCGATGTGCTAGTAGCTTGAGGGGGTTGATGGATCCTGTAGATATTTTGACCGCCTGAGAAATGGGAGGCTCTTCCAACCGTCTTCTGAAAGGTCTGTTGCAAGTCCGATGTTGTGTACCATCAAAACATCTTCAAAAGTCTTGAATGCCAGTCTCGCCTTGCAATACCTTACCCGGACTTTGTGAGTTCTCTTCGTTGGACTCGACTAGAAACTCCGGCTCTTGGGCATCAAAATATCTGTCTTCGGCATCCTGCTCTTCTATCGCTCTGTCATCATACTCGGGATTGTCGTCGACCGTCGAGTAGTCGAAGTCATCATCGCCTCCTCGCATGAATCTAGTTTCCATCTCCCATCGCCATCGTGCATACCCGTCCTCCTTATTCGCAGGCACTTCGTCGCGCTCTTCTGCGAGAATCTCGCCGTTGAGCCCTCTTTTATACGTGAACATGCTGTTCGGGTCAGGGTGTCGTAGTGCATCGAGTTTGGCCTCGCTGCGGTAGATATCGGCCTCGAGAATACCAGAGTAACCTTTCTGTCGTCCTTCGGCCTCGCGTTCCGCAGGCGTTTGGAATCTGCGTACCAGGCGGTCATACAACAATGGATCTGTGACGAGTGTCAACAAAACCTACTGTTTGAGGAGAAGTAGTCCACCTTGCTGGACTACCTCAGGTAAGCAGCCGCACCTGCGAGCTCAAGCTGCGGGCCAAAGTATTCCGGGTGCGTATCTAAGTACCGCTTCCGCCGGTTCTTAACGCGGATGTGGTCAGGCACAAGGGGTGCTTTCGGCGCTCCGAGCACATCTTGTACATTACGGATTGGAATTCCAGTACCTTCTGTAAAGCGTGGCATTGTCGCTTGAGGGAGGCGCATGAAGAAAGAATCGTTTCTACTATCAAAAAGTATTCGGGGGAGATCTCTAAAAGCAGCCTCCGATTTAATAAGCCTAACCAGCCGCTGGCCAGTTTTAGGGTGACGCAACTTTGAGTCAGCGTTCGCAGCACGTTGCATCCTGGCATACTCGTACAGCGCATTTGTAAGGGTGAATATTACAAGAAAAGTGCTCGTTCTATTAGGTTTGTAGGTCCCTAAATCGTCTGAAGCACTGTTACCCAGCAATGCTAATGATTGGAAATAGAATTGGTAAGGAGCAGGGCGCCAAAGCCGCTATGAGAAGCTCAGGTGTTTTCCAAGATCCGTACATCATCCATCTCGTGATAAACAGGGTTGAAACTCAAGACATTAAGGATTCGTAGCCATCATAAATTCATCTGAAATCGTTACTCGGGAAGAACCGAGGTCCTCCGTAGCCACACGGAAGGATAGCCTGCACATCGATGTTGTTGTTGGTGGTTTGCGCCCAAAGCTTCACCAAGATATAACGACCAGACCTGAGTTTCTGTTAGGACGGAAGATTTTGGCACGAGTAAAAGACTTACAATGGAGGATCAAACTTGACGGACGCTCGGGATTTGCTTCGGCTGATATTAAACTGAGCCTGCGGCGTGACAGTATTTGAGCTCCCGACCGAGCTGCTTGCCTCGGGTTCGAATCTGGAGCTTTTGGCTGTAGAGTCACCGGGAAGGTTCCCGGAAGGACTCAACGGTTCGTTCGCCGGAGACACGGGCTCAGACTGAAATGCATCTGCAGCAGAAGTGTCAACAGGCCGTCTTCCCAGCCTCCGACGTCGACTAGCAGTGCCATCATTGACGGAACCGCCATCGCGCTCTGAGAAAGATTCGTCGTTTTCGTGAAGGTCATCTCCTTGTAGCAGAGCTGGGACCCGGGCTTCGCGATTCGGCGTATCTTCATCAGCGTGTTGGCGGCGCCAACCCGCTCTTTCAGGATCATCCCAGCTCTCGGACTCGCTCGACTCGGACTCATCATCGGGGATGTTCATAGCACGTAGCGGTCTGTATCTATCGACATAGGATCTAAGCGAGTACTCGTCATCTTGCCACGGTCGAGGTGAGGCTGGCCCCGCAGCTTCTTCAGCCTCCTCCTCTCCGTCAGAAGAATCCGTAAGGCCGCCACCATTTCGTGAGCCGTCCGTTGCAGGCGCAGCATATTGACCAATAGGATCCTCAAGGTATCGTGAACGATCTACGGATCGTAACGGTGACCTTGCCGAGTTCATGTATTCACGAGACGGGCGAGTCACATCTCGGAGAGATATGTACCGATGATTTTCTGGGCCGTAGAGCAAATCGTACCGAGACGCCTTTTCGAGAAGATTATCTTCGTTCATAGAAACGAAGATGAGTCCCTTTTGTATGGGAGCGTCAAAACCCGCCCTAGGTGCCTTAATCACGATCTTTGTCAAGGTGAAAGGCATTCCACCGACATGCTTGAGTAAGAGGTTGCATCGGCTGGTCTTGGTACAGTATACACTGGCATCGTCGACAAGGACATGTTGTGGATATGAATTGATCGACACTCGAGGATCGGAATATTCCCCTCCGTCGCAGCTGGCAATCTCCATTCGTAAAAGGCCTGGCACGACCTGCCCCTTGTGACCATAGCGGAATGTCCTTGGCTCATCTTCATAGGTACCGTCATCGAGCTTTCTTCTTTTTGCCCTCAGCCGATCACCACGGTCGTGATTAGGCTGCGTCGAAGGAGATATGGAGGTCTCAGATGGAAGAGTCCTACTCGACTGACCAAGTCTTTCTCTTTGGTACCTCTGCAATCGCTCGCTGGGACGAAATGCCCGTCTTCTACTGCGTACTAGGCTGGAAGGGTTGCCAGTTTGTGATAAATCTTCGGACATGGAATGTGACTCTTCTTCCTGCATGTGTGACTCAATATCTCTTCTTCTCCTTTCTCGGGTGGATGGTTGGTTTGCGGCGATCTGATGTCCCATCTCTTCATCGATAGCCTCGAACGCCCGTTGATGGTCAGTGAACAAATGTCGTTCGGAGCTGAGGAGGTTTCTGAGATTTTGTAGCCTTGTGGAGATGTCAGACCACGGGTTATCGTCATGATCAGACTGGCACGTAGGTTAGCACACGGTGATTGCCAGTCGGCGGCTGTGGTCGTCGTACCATCTTTCTCGAACAAAGAGAGACTAACGCCAGTGATGAATGTAGAGTTCCGGAGGGCTGAAGGCAGCATGCACGAAGCCTCCCAGTCGTTGAAGATATGATGGTAGTCGAATTCGAATGGCATTTGATACTTGTCAAATCTTGTTAGAACAGTTGGATTAATTGAGAGAGGGTTGTAGTCGGAGAGTCTCCAGTCACAAAGCGAAGGACTACTGCGGTTGTGCCAATCTAGGCGTCTGTCAGTGCCCCACGATTTCTACACTTGGGCCACTAACTTAACTAACTAACAACTAAGAGCGGACGGAATACTTACCGTAGGTATGGAGTGCTTATAGGCTCGTGACCGCATGGCAAGGGCACCGCCGGAGAATTTCTAGCGGCCTCAGGCGCGCCTAATTCGACTGTTCCGTAGAGTGATAGGCGCCCACATAAGGCTAGTCAGCCTAAACTGAGGTCGAACAGCCTCACGCCGCTCTTACCCATCGAAGCACCAGTCCCTGTCCGACTTCACCATGACGGCGTCTCTACAATAGGCACGCTGCGTTAAGTTGTGCTTCACTCATATCACTTGGAGTTTACTTGGGACTAGTTCGTTTCTCTTTCCCTTGTATCTCTCTCAGCCAAAGTCTTCCAGATCTTACGCTTTCCTCCCTGTCACGACTTTGCGCCCGAACTTCCTTACAGCTCCAAGTTCGCTATCCTGCCTCTGCATTGATCGAAACCTCCTCCATTCCATGCGCATGTACCATGAACCGTAACGGCGCGGGTGAGCCTCCTCAAGCCATGAATCCGGATCCCGCATTGCTTGCAATGAATGGAAACATGCCTGCCACTGCCTCTCTTGAGCACCTCAATGGACAGACGCAAATGTTCGATCCCTCGTTCGCCAGTATCTCTCTTCCTGGCAATGGCATTCAATCTGGGCTGCTTGCAGCAGTTCCTCAGCAATCAATCCCTGCTGATGAGGTCGCGCTCTATGACAGACAGATAAGACTATGGGGTATGCAGGTACAAGAAAAGCTGAGACAAGCCAACGTCCTGCTCATTGGTATCAAAGGGCTCGGTGCAGAAATAGCGAAGAATCTTGTCCTTGCAGGCATTGGCATCTTGACCATACTAGATCACGAAGTGGTCGCAGAAGAGGATCTGGGAACTCAGTTCTTTGTTGATGAGACTCAGATTGGCCAAAACCGAGCCGAAGCCGCCCTGCCCGAATTACAGAAGCTCAATCCTCGTGTTCAGTTGTACCTCGACCCCAATCCTGTGGTGCTGAAGGACCCCGTCTATTTCCAGTCATTTGACATTGTGATCGCGACTGACCTGATGACGGACGTCATGACGCTGGTCAACATGTCTTGCCGACAATTCAATCGCAAGTTCTACTCCGCTGCCACACACGGCATGTATGGTTACATCTTCGCTGATCTCGGAATCCACCAATACATGGTTGAGAAACCCCAGAGTAACAAGCGGGCCAAGGTGGGCGATATGGACACATCTACGCGATGCGTGTTGAATGTCGACTCAAAGACGGAGAATGAAAAGGTGACCGACATGATCACGTATAGAGAAACGTACTCGCTCTTTCAGCTCGCCAACATGTCTCCGCTCCCACCACGAGACAAGAGCACTCGGCGGAAATTGACACGCATATCTCCACTTCTGTCATGCATGAGGGCATTGTTCGATTTCCAAAGCCAGAGCGAAGGCCGGCTTCCAGGACCCAATAGAGCTGACTTGGAACTGTTCACCAAACTCGCCAAACAGAAACACATCGAGCTCGAACTGCCTGAAGAAACCCTCCGGGCAGAGTTCTTGCGGAGCTTTTTGCAGAACCTTGGTTCTGAGATGAGCCCAGTGGTTGCATTCCTCGGTGGATATTTGGCACAAGATGTCATCAATGTGCTGGGACAAAAGGAACCTCCTCTGCAAAACTTTCTGCTCTTCGATGGCGAGGAGTTTGCGGCCACTCAGTACAGCCTTCATCCTCACAACGACGACGCGGTTAGTATGATGAGTACCAATGGGTTGCCGATGATGCCAGGAACCATACCCGCCGCAGATGCTGTTCCAGTGGCTTGAGAGAGCAAGCGAACCGCGAATCTCAATGTACAATACCAATACGGGGGTGGTTACTTTGGACGGGTTCGAGACAGCCAATAAAACTCGGCCTTGGCATTTCTCAGGTTTTTGCTGGAGTTTATGGGGAGAGATTCAAAAGCATTTGGCAAAATGTAACTGATAGAGACTGGTGGCCATCACAAGCACGATGATTTATGATAGTGGACACGGGCTGGGGTTAGAACATACAGGGATTTTGGATATTCATCAGGGCTGCAGAACCAGGTTCAAGCCCGACAGCTTAGTCTTCTGATCGTCGACAGAGAACCTCATTACAAGCCCAAGACCGAGAATATCTTCTTTGCTGAGCACTTTTGATCATGACCTCTAGTAATTTTCCCACTCGGCTGGCCGAATTGTCATTAAACGATGCCAGCATCCACCCATCCATTTACGCCAGCATTAGATCTCTTCGCAAATCCGTCCTTTCCATACCACATCGACTGACATCCATCCTAGCCGACGCTGCATTCGCGAAGCAGGTCTCTGAACATTACAGCCTCCCACTCGTGGCCAACGAGCGATGTGGAAGCTGGTACATCGATCCAGCTGACAAAGTCGGAAGTGCGTATTTCAAAAGCACAGATGGTCACCACGGGCAGTGGTCATTTTCGCTCCGACGACTCAACCTGCAACTATTGCCGTTGTTGGCAAGATACGGCGGTGCCGTGGTAGTGGATTCGACGAGGCGAGGCAAGAATTTGCCAGACGCATTCAGCAAGACTGTACCGATCTGGGTGTCTGTTGTCAATAGGACACTGTTCCCTGAGCTCACTGTCACCCACATCCTACAGCTCCCTCCTGCTCCAAATGACTTGGGACAGTCCGAGGCCTCTCAAATCGAATCAAGGCTCGACGCCTTTGCAAAGGCTCTTCAAGATCTGCAATTGGATTTTGTGGGTCTGAGGAACGAGGTGAAGCACCCTATTCGATTGCAATGGGCCATCAACGGGTCGTTCGATGTCGATAGTCCGCACGCAGGAGGTCCGGATGCCAGGTTTCCCAAGGAAGCCCACCGGCTTGTCCTCTGCAGTGCCTCGCGCCGTGTTCATGGCGCCGAAATCTCCGAGGGTGGCTACATTCAAGGCGCCGGCGACGACAGCGAGGGCTGGAGCCATGGCCTCACAGCCCAAGTATTCTGGAGGCACCGACAACGTCTGATGTCTTCATCTGAGGAAGAACTCCCCGATATTATTGACGAGTTGATGAAGGGGGTACATGAGAGCGACGAGCCAAAGGCTGAAGAAGGCACATGGATCCCTCCCACACAGAATCTTTACGTCTGTGCAGGGACACTTGACAACGCGGACACCTACGATCTCGTCATTGATTGCAACGGCGGTGAAGGTGCCGTCAATTCCAAGGTCGTTGGTTTGGCATGTCGTTCTGGGAAGCTTGGAAGCAAAGATCTTCGAGAAAAACTTCCCTCCGTTGCCGAACTTGTTAGAAGTCGGCTCGTGGAGGATCCCAATGCTCGAATTGTGGTGACCTGCACAACGGGCAAAGACCTGAGTGTGGGCGTTGCGGTTGCTGTCCTCTGTCTCTACTACGATGATAGTGGTGAGTCCATGTCACACTTTTTCTCTACCGCATCGAGACTGACTATTTTCACAAGGCCAAGTCAGGGACAGCCTGAGCGTTGCGAATCCTAGAGTTGACAAATTGCTTGTCAAGCAGCGTCTCGCATGGATCAGCGCTGCGATGTCCTGGGCGAATCCTTCAAGATCTACCCTGCAGGCAGTCAATTCCTTCTTGATGCAACGGCCTGAAGGGTTCTAGAGCGGCACGCAGGATATCAGACCAATTTACCTGGGGTACCTGTAAGGTAATACCTGTAGTCAGTGGAGGGCGATATCTACAGTGTCTCGTCCCTTAATCAGTTTGTGGCGGGCACTACGGGCACGTATTGTACAGTAGCTGCAGGGGTTCACTAATAGGCTCTCACCACGCTTAGCAGGCTTAAAACCAGCCGGAGATGGCATCATTGGACACTAATGCAATATCTACCTAGGTGGGTTAACCAGGTCCCTTTCTGAGAAATAATTATTGCATCATCGAAAATTGTTTTCCCGCCTGGCACAAGTGACAAGCAGTCGTCGCTATACATTGGCAATAGCGACAAAACACCCTCCTTGCCCCTCGTGTACCTCTTCGCATTTCAGTCTTGCTCACGCCCTCAGCTGTCCTCTTTTCCTCGACTGCGCAATGACCTCGATTACAATCAAAGACACCCTCCCGCTACCCAATTCCTCTGTCCGCATACCCCGCCTCGGCTTTGGCGTGTACCAATCGTCGGCCTCAGTATGCGTGCAGTCCTGTCTGTCGGCCATTGAAGCAGGCTACCGCCACATCGACACTGCCCAGTTCTACGCCAACGAGACGGAAGTCGGCGAAGCGGTGCGCAAGTCCGGGTTGCCTCGCGCCGACATATTCGTCACCACCAAGATCCTTTCCGCAGGCGGGACGGTAGAAAAGTCATACCAAAAGTGCGTAGACAGCGTGAATAAAATCGACGGCAGCAACGGCTACGTGGATCTTTTTCTGATACACAGCCCCAATGCCGGAAGCAAGGCCAGGAAAGAGATGTGGCAGGCGCTGGAAAAGCTGTACGAGGAGGGCAAGGCCAAGAGCATCGGCGTGAGTAATTATGGAGTTGGCCATATCGAGGAGATGAAGAGCTATGCAAAGGTTTGGCCGCCGCATGTCAATCAGATCGAGGTGAGTTCAGCATGTACAAGCACACATTCCCAAGGATATCGTGGTGGGGTGTGTGAGAGAGAGAAAAGGGAAGAGACCAAAAGACTGACCGGGTACAACCCCCAATCCCAGTTACATCCTTGGTGCCAACAGCGCACGGCCGTCGAGTATTGCCACAAGCACGGTATCGTCGTCGAGGCATACTCGCCCCTCGTCCGGAACTACAAGGCCAACGACGAAACGCTCGTGGGGCTCGCGAGGAAATACAAAAAGACCACCGCACAAATACTGATCAGGTACTGTCTCCAGAAGAACTGGGTTCCTCTGCCGAAGAGCGACAACCCGGATCGGATAAAGCAGAATGCCGATGTGTATGGATTTGAAATCGCGGCCGAAGACATGAGCACGTTGGACTCGCTGGATCAAGGAGATGCCGGCGCGATCGTACAAGCGGTGGACAACTCGTAAAACGGTGGCTTTTTCTCAAGCGACGTATCTCGTGGTGGTGGTTCGGAGTAGTACCTTACCTGACCTGACCTGATCGACAGTGACCTCTACTCTCACCGGCAATCCCTTACCAACCGCCTCTTCTTCACTGCGAGATCGGATGGTTGTGAAGTTCGAAAGTTAACTTCTTTTCTCAATGACGAGCCCGCTCGACCTCTCTAGTTGCTCCTTCGACAGCCCGTCAACCTGATCAGCCACACTGCCTGGCGGAGTTGATCGAAATCCTGCTACACATCTAGCCGGCTAGACGCCTGACGGACCGAAAACTCGAGTCGAAATGACGATGGCGGGGGGGACCATACAGCGACCATGCGGCAAAACCGAGCCCAGTGATATAGCATGTTGTAAAACAATCTATGCTTATACTCTCTGTGTATCCCTCCGTCTATATGTCAATTCAGACTTCAAGTATCTTGCGCTGAGGTGATTATGACTTTACACGAGGAGGCACGATCCTACGGCCTCTGTCTCTGTCGCCATGTCGAACTGTAGATACAGAACAACTCCGCTCGTATAATCCCATATTAATACCCAGAACTACCAACCTGCAAGCTAAACTTCTGTCGTACCGAGCAAGATACCACCGTACATTATTACTGGATGCGGGTAGGACCTGGGCATCTTCTTAAAATTGCAACAAATGTTTCATGTAAACAGTACATATTCGTCAGATTGTCTCATGAGCACGCAATCCCTCTCTCCACCACCCGCCACCACCACCACCACCACCACCGCCAGGCAAAACCACAGTATCACCATGGAACTATTTTGCATTTGCCGACTTAAGCTATACATACATCCTCTCACGATTTTGGCTTTTCTAGGCTTCCTCCTAGCGTCACGACATGGAAATCCTTCAGATTGGTATGGAGATATCCGTCCGACGGATGCCATTCGATGGGGGGAGGGGGAGGAACCGCACCATTTGCTTTTTGCACAAGGTAGTCAGCGACGTGGAGGACATGATTTGACGGTACTGGTCGATACCTCGTCGACCCAGACACTTGTAGTCTGTATCACCCTCTCCGAGTCAACAAAATACCTCTATCGGTAGGTACCTAAGGCACCGACCGAGTCAGTGATAACTTCCCTGTACAGTAGTAGTATAGTACAGGTATCTCATATCCACTCACCGATATACAAACATGGTAAGATCATCCTTCTAGACCAACAAGGGTAGCAGTGTCGGTAACGTCTTTTTTATCCAGCATGGCATCATCCATGGTTCAAAGCAACAAATCCAACACTACCGTGTCTCATTCGTCGGAAGCGTTATCGTCGCATATGAAAATATGAAAAATATGAAAGTGTTGTGGCTCGCTAGAGGTATTCGGGACGATACTGGATGTATGCCAACTCCATATGCCACCTCGTGTCGGCCAAGGGGGTCGAATCGAGAACCAAGAAACGTGGATGGTCCAGAATACAAAAAGCCGTGCAGATCCTTGAGTCCGAGGCAAGTGCTCCTTGAAGGGTTTCTCTTTTTGTTTGTTTCCCAATCTCATCACCGACGGATTCGTCTCCGATCAAACTGATTCGAATTCGCGCACTGTCGAAGTCGCTTTGAACCGACCAGAGACAACGGCGTCCTTCCCAGAATGGCGACACCAGCAAAGGGCGACTATGTCGTTGAAGAAAGCCATTCAACCAAGAGACAACAACAACACTCGTGAGTATCTCTCCAAGTCAGTACTCACCGCCATCCTCTGATAACGTCCGGCACACACAGATGCGGTCAAATGGTACCGTTCGACATTCTACAATGCTCTGATTCTCGGCCTCGCAAATTTCTCGGCCCCAGGTATATGGGGTGCCATGAACTCTCTCGGTGCCGGAGGCCAAGCGAGCCCTCACCTCGTGAACGCTGCCAACGCACTCACCTTCTGCCTCATGGTGGTGTCATGCTACTTCTCTAGTGCCATCGTGCACGTGATAGGTATCAAATGGGCTCTCGTCATCGGGACAATGGGTTACGCCCCCTATGCCGCCGGCCTGTATACCAACAACCGCTTCGGGATCGAATGGCTCACTCTTCTGGGTGCTGCGCTGTGCGGAATTTCAGCCGGTATCTTCTGGATGGCTGAGGCGGCGATTGCACTGGCGTATCCCGAACCATACAACCAGGGGAAATTCCTTGGGTTCTGGCTGAGTTTTCGTCTCGCGGGCCAGATCCTGGGCGGCGCAATCAATGTCGGCATCAACGCGCACAACTCAAAAGCAGGAAAGGTCTCGTACACAGTATACCTGGTCTTCATTGCGCTTCAATCCATCGGACCCTTTGTGGCGCTGTTGCTGAACAATCCTTCTCAAGTACAGCGGACCGACGGACGGAAAGTCGACCTTTCTGTGGTGGATCACCCGTGGACCGAGATCAAAGCTACCACCAAACGCTTCTTCAGCAAGCAGTTCCTCTTGATAGTCCCCTTTATCGGTCAAGCAGTGTACACGGAAGCAGTCATGTTCACATTCTCAGCCTTGTGGTTTTCGGTCCGTGCTCGAGCATTGGGATCGTTCTTGTCAGGGATCGTCGCAGTCATCGGTGGCAATATTCTCGGATGGTTCCTCGATCGCACAAGAGTCGCCCTCAAGACTCGTGCAAGAGGGAGCTTCTTTTTCCTCAGCACACTTCAGCTTGGACTGTGGATATGGTCGACAGTTCTGGTGACTCGGTTTCGGCGCACAAAGCCCACTTATGACTGGGCTGACGGCACAAACGGCTTTGCAAGTCCATTTGCTTTGTTCTTGTTCCTCGTCATTGGCTTCCAGGTGAACTATCTGTACCTCTACTTTGTGATTGGGCAGATGACCTTGTCACCGCCAGAAACTGTACGGTTGGCGGCACTGTTGAGAGGGACAGAATCGGCATGGCAAGCGTTGAGTTATGGCTTGAATTCAGTCGCTATTTTCGGAGAAGTTGGTGGCGTCTACCTCAATTTCAGCCTGTGGGGACTAGCCCTGATCCCAGCTTGGTTGGTTATAAAGGATTTCGGAACATCGGCGCAAATTGATCAACGCAGATCATCGACGGGAGTGTTTGGACTTCCCGCCACAGGCGACGAGGATACTTCAGCTCACAGTGAGGTTGATCAGGAAGCGGCGAGAAGCGATGAGACGGCAAAGGTTTAGACGGTAGACATCCGGACTGGTAGAATTTGTACAACCCGCTAGATTGTAAACACTTCCAGGAGACTTGCTGGTGGCGTCAACCTATAGAGAAGGTAATACGGGAGCGCGAGGCAGAGATGCATGCGTCCCACATAGAGATATTGTGTGCAAAGGGAAATGTCTGGATCTGTATAGCCATGAGGACGGTCAGGTCTTGTGCTATAGTTGACCAGAAGCAAGACACCGTCCTTGGTGGTATTGATCATGAGTGTCATGTGAACAAGATTCCGACTGTTCTGTCGACAGGTGCCTTACCGTGGTGGGCTGTGAGAAGTAGTCGTTGGAAGTTGTCAAGCCCAGGGTCAAACGGAGATTTTGCGAACGAGTCCGCGAATTCACGGAACGAGACCAGCTCTGACCATCTATTCCAGCTGCCAAACCGAGGATGGTTGTTCATAAGCCCGTCCCATTCATCTTCAGACTCTGCATTCCACAAGCCAGGTCGAACATCGAATGGCAGTGCTTGGATGAATACTTCATGATAACAGAAGCCTCGAAGCCATCCATGGTAGACTCCTTGAATGAGGCACGTCATCAAGATTGCTCTGCGCACACTTTCAGCCAGAATCCACGTCTGCCATCTGGATAGGGTTGTAGGCATCATGCTTGGGCCGTCCTGGAGTAGTCTAACCGAAACCTCCCTCATATGACGAAGCAGTTTCTCTTTCGGTTCAACAATAATTATAGCACCAGTAAAAAGGAGGGTTGTGGCGAATGACATGATGACTTGAAAGGCTTGCAAAATGTCCGGCAATGGCTCCTTGGAACATTTGAGTTCAGAGAGCAGCCGGCAAAGCTGGTCACACAGAAGCAGGCTGCTGCAAGAATCAGCGCCACTGTGAACGACTAGGTTGCTGATACATGGCATATCTGACTTGAGAAGCCTCGGGTGAGGGTCGGGTCTCATGTGGGCATGGATGTATATCGCTGACTGGTCCTGGGTAACCGATCGGGCAATCTTCAGCAGTTCATGTGTCATAAATTCGACGGTGAACTTGTCGGCCGTAATTGCTATCTTGGACACAGTCAAGCATCGCATTGTCGGACTTTGGCCAAAGTTAAGGGCTATCCGAGCAGGATCCATGTGCAAGGACGAAATGTGACGAAGCAAGTTGTGGTCGAGACTGTCATGCTTTGTAGATTTTATGACTCTCCGCGAAGAAGAGTGTTTCTCACTCCTGGCCCTAGACGAATTTGAATTGTTGACAAGGGGTTCAAGATCATACAAGCAGTCGATGCCACGGGCTTCACATCTGTGACATCGAGGTAACCGTACAATACATCGTCGCTTAGCAACCGTGCAGGCGCGGCAGGCTTTGCGAAGGATCCTCGTCATCGTGGTGGAGGGGGGCGGCCCAGCCAAGGAAGCACGGTAGAGTGGCGCAACGTTTTATGGTCGTTGCATTACAGCAAAGCGGACTAGATCCCACGACCCGCGTGCAGACGAAATGAGGTTCTTTTAAGTAAAGATCTGAGGTGCATGCAGAGACAAGTCACTTCACCAGGCGAGGTCGCTAGGCAATTGACCTAAACCTTGAAGGGTTTAGTTCCCATCAGACGCCCGGACGCGGGAGTGAGCCAGATCAACTTTCTCCACCAGCAGAACGACGACCATCAAGACTCTCTTCAGCAAGATCACGATGCAGAACAAGCACCAGACGTGCATGATCATGTTGTGTCACACGCTTCCTGGGGGAAATACCTTATCTCCGACCATGTCGTTAAAATGGAAAAAGGGGATAGCCCTGCCGACATAAATGCAGCTATAAAAATGGTGGACAGCCACTTCCAGGCCCGATTTCATTTCTTGAGGTCGATGACTTTTCGTGTTACGAGCAGTAACAGCCCTAGCTCTGAATTTGGTGTTATCACAACATGATCAAAGACTCTGCGCTGAGCGCCATCGTACGACTCTGTCTCCATGGCAAATACTGGCCTCGGCCTCTAAAACCTGAAGATGCCGCTATTCGTTTGACGGCAGGACAGTCGGATACAGAACCGGAGAAAGAGGCGGTTACAGTAACCTGGAATGGTCCAGAGGACCCTGACAACCCGCTCAACTTCTCGACCGCCAAAAAGGGTGCCATTACTGCATTAACCTGTCTGTACACATGGGCCATCTATGTTGGCTCTTCCATTTACACCTCAAGTCAAGCCGGTGTGCAGAAGGAGTTTGGTGTCGGCACTTTCGAAGCGTCTATGGGTCTGGCTCTGTATGTTTTGGCATATGGTCTTGGTGGTTTGGTCTTTTCTCCCCTCTCAGAAGTGCCTTCGATCGGCAGGAATCCTCCATACGCCATTTCAGGAGCACTATTCGTTGTTCTGTGCATCCCCACCTCGCTCGTGCGCAGTTACGCCGGCCTCATGGTGTTGCGATTCCTGCTTGGCTTCATGGGTTCTCCTTGTCTGGCCACAGCAGGTGCCACGCTCGGAGACATATGGGGCCCGGTCAAATTTCCTTACTTCATCGGATTGTGGGCAGGCACAACATCATTTGGACCTGCCTTGGGACCGGTATTGTCCTCTTTTGCCGTGGAGACGATGGGTTGGAGGTTCTCGAGTTGGGAGTTGCTCATCATCACCGGATCCTTTTACTCGATGTTCATGGTACTGATGCCGGAAACTTCAGCTCCCACGATCCTGTACTATCGAGCAAAGAGACTGAGAGAGCTCAATAGTAATGTGAATTTCAGGTCTGAGGAAGAACTGAGGCAAGCGCATCTCAGCGTCGGCCAGCGATTGTGGAATTCGACAGTAAAGCCCTGGGAGGTCAACATCAAGGATCCAGCTCTGCTGTTTATGACACTTTACATGGGCTTGCTTTATGCAATCCTCTACTCCTTCTTCGAAGTAAGTACTCCGCGACAATGAATGGCCCTTCCCCCTAATCAACTACATTCCCAGTCACTCCCACTTGTGTATCCGCCATTGTACGGCTTTTCGGAGACGTCGACATCCCTTATTTGGTTGGTGACACCTCCAGCTGTCGTTTTCGGCTTCCCAGTACATTGTCTGTGGCTGGCCAAGAGGGTCCAACCCAAATTACAGGATGGTACGTTTGGTGACCTGGAGAATTTTCTGGAAGAGGGTGTCGTTGCAAGTGTGTTGATGCCTGCTTCACTGTTTATGTTTGGTGAGATAACTTACCTGTTCATCCCGGAAGTGAAGATGAGGGAGCTGACTTGTCAATCCGCAACTACAGCATGGACAGCTCGATCATCTATTCACTGGATCGTCCCAACTATTGCCATCTTCCTCTACATGGTGGCAATGTATTTCCTCAGTAATTCGGTGTTTCTGTACATCCCAGCGATTTATCCTCGGTATGCCGCCAGCATCTTCGCAGCAAACAGCGTCTCTCGGTCCATTTTGGCCTTTGTCGCTGTGCTGGGGGGACGAGCAATGTTCAAAGGCATCGGAATCGGCGGAGGAGTAAGTTTGCTGGCAGGCCTGACCGCCGCTTGCGCTGGACTTTTGACAGGTTTGTACTGGAGCTGGGGAAAGAAGCTGAGAGCAAGGAGTCGTTTTGCAGCCTGAAACGACCATTGCAGACCTTTCGTGCTAGCAAGAGGAGGGTGACATATTGCGCAACTCATACGATGCATGAAGGAGCCAGTGTGGCAATCCTAGTAGACAGTGACAATGGGAGAGACTATTGGAATATGAAAGCATTAGGAATCATATTTGAGGAGACAATTCATCATCACCGTGAGACTGGTGGAACTTAACTTTTTTCCTCTGATGATCATCAGAGATGATCATCAGGAATCGTCATTAGAGTGCAATAGAGCCGTCCAGAACTTCTGACAGGTGGAGCAACTTCCGCCAGCCGCGCATGGGATTCTATCTTGCGGGTACAAGGTCGTGGCTCTAACTAGGGCGTTTGTAGAGAGAAGCCCGGGATGAGTAATCGTAGTGGTTAAACGCAGTCTCAACGGGATGATTGCCATGAATCCGCTGCCGATGATGGGCTCTGGTACTCGTACATTGTTATTTTCGTTAATGCCAGGAACAAAGGTTCAGTGGTCGTCTCGCGCTTCATGCACCAAAACATGGCTGACTAGTCCGGTACCTGCATAAAGAAGCGACTAAATGCGGGAACGTGGCGGCGTTGAAAGACATGCATGCTCGTGCCGATCGAAAGATCGAAACTCGCCGGTAACAACGTGAACGCATTCCTGCCCCGCGAGATTTCAATGGCAGTACTTGTATCCCAAGTTTTTCCATGAATGCGTTCTCCGGCCCTGTGTCGCGTGCATTCAAGGGACGTGTGCTCTCGAGTACGTTTGTGAACCGTCTCCATAGCTGAGATTGCGAGCCAGGACCAGCAGACGGTCTGACTTGTCCATGTCCTTTTAGAGGTAACGGGTGTGTGTGGGGGACAAGACGAGTACTGGAAGATAGGTAAGTTAGTGGGCTGGCTGGCGGTGGATAAACGATTGAGGGCTCACAGATTGCGCATTTAGGAGACTCGTCAGTCGTAAACATGCTCTTCTCGTTCCTCGGTCTCGGTTCGACATGATTTTAGGCTATTGTATGAGAGGCCGGTCAGTAATGTCTTACAGGTACGAGTACCCTGTAGAGAGCATCCGTACCTCATTGAATTCATGTTGATGGACGGCCTTTCCGGAACTTCCGAGAGCCACAGCAACGGTAATTATCATGAGATCCCACGAGTGTAGAAACTTTGCTGAAGAGGGTTCATTGTCCACACGGGGATTCCAGAGTGGAAAGACGGGCAAGTGGGTTTAAAACGTGGCATGCTTTTTGCCTACTAACTAGTATTGTACCTAGAGGCAGTTTCTGTGGCGAGATGTTTAGGCTGCGGCACCACGAGTTGATGCCGCCTACAAGTATTATTGCCCCTGTAGATTGTACCTACAGCAGGCCAGTACAGGGGAGAGTCCCGCTCATCTTTAGGCAATAGGCACCTTGCGAGGCATTTACCGACATCGTACTCCCTATGTACCTGGTATTTGCTACCTATCCGCTTGTCCCTGCCTAGACCTTAGGTACCATCTTTACAAGTTCATCCTCTGCAACTCCCGGGACAATGGAATTCAAAATTCTGCTCTTTTCTTTTCTTGACCCGCGCTCGAGTGCTCGTACCGAGTACCGTCGTGGCCCCGGAACCAACAGTGGCACCGTCCAGGCACCGTCCAAGCTCCCTATCATTTTACCCGTAGTGCCGTACCCATCCACGCAGTCTAACAGAGGCGTAGTTAAATTTTCGATGGTGGATATATCGGCAAAGAAACAAGCTTTGAGAGCGTCGATTCCACCGAGGGTACGTAAGTCCTGAGCCGCGTGAGCCTGTCAACAAAGCTTCAGCCAGGGCTAGCTCTCCCCTAGAGAAAAACTACGCCAAAGCGAGACATGTTTGTCTCGCCCACTCGTCCCAATCGCGCACTCCCCGACGTACCTGGAGTGGACTCTTATCAGTTGTCTCTCATCTATGGGAGTAACATGCCCGAAGCCTCTCAATAAAAAACACGCCTCCGAAGGCGTGGCCACTGCTCCGTTGGTTTTCCCTGTTACTATTATTACCTGCAATCGTTCCAACCTCATATATGGTGCTGGATTTGCTCCTTTTCGCCCTGCAATAGTACGCTCGCTTTTTTCTTTTTGAAGCTTTGTTATTCTTCTCTAGACCATTTTCTTTTCTGTACGGGGAGGAACTTAGTAATCCACGGAGTATACGAAAACTCAAGAAACCAACCATGATCTCGTCGGCAGCTTTGGTCGCCGCTCTCTCCCTGTTGTCTGCTGCTCCGGTGGCATTGGCTCAGACATGCACTCCCTGCGACGATGTGCACTTCTTCCTTGCCCGTGGTAACAACGAGCCTTACCCGGGACGACAGGGAGATCTCGTGGCCGCGACCTGTGACGGCCTTTCCAGCTGCGGCTACGAGGATCTCATCTATTCCGCCCTATACACCGATCTGTCTTGCCAGACCACCTACGATGGAGTCATTGCTGGTTTCACTCAGTTGACTTCGTATGCCGAGCGATGCCCCAAGTCGAAGCTGGTCCTCGCCGGATACTCTCAGGGTGCACAGATTGTGACCGATATTCTCGGCGGTGGAGGTGGTGAATCCTTCAACGGCTGCATTCAGCCAAACACGCCGGCTTTGGATCCCACCACCAGCCCAGGCAACAGACGTGAGTGCCTTTCCAACTGCTTCTTCTTGTCCACTAGGAACATCACTGACTTGATGCGCTACAGTATCGGCCGTTCTGGTTTTTGGCAACACTCGACACACTGCTAACCAGCCGTACAACTACGGCAACGGATCCGGCATCGATGGCCTCTTCCCTCGCTCCGGGAGCATGTTGACTTCTCTGGATAAGTACGCCGCTATTACTCGTGACTGGTGTCTGCAGGTGAGTCCTCTCTGAAACTACTTTGATCTCAAAGCGAAAGACCAGCTACTGACATATAACCATCGTAGACCGATCCCATCTGTGCTGCCAACCAAACAGACTCCCTCGTCTCGACCCATCTCGGCTACTACAACATGTTCTCGCAGGACGCCGCCGCCTGGATCAAGTCGGTCCTCGGTGTCGTGGACAACTCGGACTTCACGACCGTCATTCCCACCCAAGTCAGCGGCACCGCGGAAAACTACGCGACCATCCCATCCACCTTCACTCCCTCTGGAACCGTCACCACCGCCTCCGTCACCACAGCTAGCGTCACCTGCGGCCCGACCTCAACCACCAAAGTCATCGCTGCCCTGACGAGCACAAACGGCGCCACTGCGAGCACTTTCACCACCAAGTCGGCTTACACCAATAGTACTTCTACCATCACCTCGAGCCCCGGGTCTACCAGCTCAGGCGCATCGTTTTCCTTCGCTGGCGGATCTACCAGCTCAGGAGCACCGTTTTCCTTCGGCAGCGAATCAACCACCGCCACCGGCTCGAGCGGTGGATCGGCGACAAGCTCAGCTCTCGTTCAGAGCCAGACTGGTGCCGCGAGCAGCCACGCCGGCAACCTTGGCCTGGCTCTCCTTCTCCCCTTCCTCGGTGCTCTTGGGCTTTAAATCCGATGTAATGTGGCAATGATATGAACGGAAGAACTTGAATTGCATATATGTAGTTTCATGTACATAACCTACCTGAACTAATATCTAATGAGCAGAAACGATCTTGCCTTGGCCTGGGGGATTTCCAAAACCTATCTACGCACGATAATGCATGTTAGAGTAGCAGAGCAGAGCATAGCATCACAGAGGAAAAGCGTAGCAATCTGGAGGGGTTTCAAAGTGCTTTTGTTTGCAAATATCAAAAAATCAAAACGACATGACCCCCTTGAACCGCAGTCAGTCGGGGTGTTCCATGAACGTCAAGAAGGGATTACTCCGTTTGACCATCATGTCGTGCGCGTCGTGACACAAGGGACGATACCTAGATCCAAGGGGTGCGGGTGCGCACAACACATATTTTACCCCTGGGAACAAATAGCTAGGAACAACATGGTCAGCTACCCAGGTCAGTGAGTTGTCCCCCGTGAATCCCACAATACGTATGGACCCCGGGACTATCTCCGGGTACAAGTGGCCCAACTATCATCAGGCAGAATCATACATCAAGGCATTTACAAAGTAGATGCCCTCGTCCTGGTATCAGGCCCGTTGTTTACACATAGTGTCGGCGTGCGGCGCGTGGGCGAGGGAGTTGAAACGGCAAATTGATAATGTTAAAGATGAGACGGTTACGATGATGTTGAGTAAGTAGGGATTTTACTTCTATTCAAGGAAGGGAAAATCCTCCCCCCCTCCGCTCGCGAACAAGGGTCCTTTAACTTGGGTGGTTTTCGCACGTGAAGACTTCCGATTCCCAGACTGGACCAAAAAAGAACCGATTTACATTCACCAGAACCGTCAAACCTGCGTTTGTGATCGTCAAAGAGGTGAACAAGCAGCTTCAGCAATGCTGCCGTATTCCTCAAGCTCACAAGCTCCCGCTGTAGACTAGCAACCCAACGACGCCTCCCACCCCTGACAGACCAGCTCTGACATAGTTCATCCACTTCCACTGGGTCAAGAGCCCGGCTACTTCTCCTGGCTGCGTCTTCTCCCTGACTTTGGCATCGTCGGCAATGGCTATCAGCCTGTGGATGCACGGGAACATGACTGCTGCCGTGAACGGCAGGATCGAGATCGTGGCGGCTGCTGCGACGGCGTACCCTGCCCTTTTCTCGGCGTCGAGATAGGCGGCGGTCGCTGTGCTCAAGGTCGACGTCAGGGCCAGTGGCACGATCAATTTGGCTCCGCTGTAGTAGAGGTCTTTAAAGAGCGCAGTGCTCGTTTCTGATGGTATCCCCACCAGGAGTGGAATGGTGAGGTAAGACTGTGAAAAGGAGATGCCAGAAAGCCAGATGGACGAAGATACGCCCAAGAAAGAGGTGGCACGTAGGACGGTGGTGGAATCCATGTGGACGTCTGGCAGCGGGCAGTATCTTTTGTTTCTGATAAGACAGTTGTATCTTCGAGCTGGTTCTGTTTGACAGGGTTTCTGATGTTCAGTGAGAATCGCTCGCTTTTGAGGTACCGAGGAAGAATGGGAGGTGTTGTCCTGCCCACCTTCCCTATATATACCCTCGAGTATCCTGGTAGCTACAGTACTTATTAGTTCTGTCAGTGCCCTTGTCCCTGTAGAAACCTACATAGGTTAGCTTTGAGTTAAAGCACCACGTACTCGTACTCGTACTCGAGACTCGGCTCAATTGATCCCCATGAATGCCGTGTCTTGGCGATAGCACCAGAGTACACACCTACGATGGACCCTCGACGAAAGCATCATTGAGAATACGGACGTACACATCTGACGGCGGCTCTACCTTACTCCGAACCCCAGCGAACAGACGTCATGGAAGATATTGAAGTCACAAAAGTCAAGGAGGCTTGAAGGGTATGTCTGATGTCAAAACGAACTGAGCTTTCACCCCCGGAGGTCCAGCACAGCAGATACAGAATCAGGGTGAGAACGTCTTTCTACCATTCTTTTTCTCAGGGGCCAGTCAAATGACCCATCAATCCGAACGACAACATCTTAATGGAGCAGTAAGATGTTGTGATGAGAGAATGGAAATATATAACAACATGGAGTTATTCGTCTGAGATTTGAGGTTACAGCTCTGACATCAAGAGATTGCATACACTCGACAATATTCCTCGTGTTGCTGGTTGAGCAGAGAATGGAAAAATATTTTTGCAGCATCGAAAGGCCTTGGAGTGAAAATCTTTAAGAAGCCCAAACGAGTCCCGGGGCAATGTGGGGGCCAGGGAGGCTTGACCCTCCTAAGTTAAAAGCCTAAGATGGTAGGGCAATAGGTGCTTGAGCTTAAGTTGCATCTCCTTGTACAGTAGGTACTGTAGGTACAGTGGGTACTGTAAGTTGCCTGCGCTCTAACCATCGATTTGCGTCATGTACTGCGTGCCGCAACTTCACACGTCTCGCGAACGTGGCGCGCCCCATTGCGAATCGTTGCACTGGACGGTTGCCTACAAAACACTCACCACCCGCCATTCGCTTCTGCGCAGTCTGTAGCCTGTGTTCCCAGGCTCTATCATGGTGTCTCGGGACGACTATGTCTACGCCCACGCGACGAAAGAAACAGCGAATATCTGATTTCTTCAAACCCTACATTCAGCCTACAGTTCCAGCCAAACGTTCCACACCCTCCGCTGATGCATCCACGCAGAGCGATTCTGATATTGAGATTACTCGGGTGGTGACTACTCCTCGAAAAACAAAAGACCCCGACATAGAGATTACACGAGTAGTGAAAACACCCAGCACGTCGAAAAGACCGGATGACGAGAGCAGACTGTTCAAATCCACTACATTTTCCCCTCTGAGTGTGCCACGCTCGAACTCGCAATCGATACCCTTCCGCAGTCCCAGACCTCGAGGCTCAGTAAACTCCCCATGGAGTTCCAAAACCCCCGTGCTCCATAGTAGGAACAGAAAGACAACGTCGCCTTCACCCACTCCGGTTAAACGTCCTTCATTCGCACCCATCCCCCCGGCGACACAGAAGTTCTCTCGCAACGCCGAGATCACGGAAATTCCGGATTCAGATGACGACGATGCAGACTCTGTAGACTCCCTGGAGTCTTTGAGTGGCCTGTTCGGAGGAAAGAAGAATAATGGGGACGTCACATCGAGGTCGTCCTCTCCGGAAGTTGACGAAGCCCAACTCGAGGCTGAACGGATGAGAGCTCTCAGTGCCTTTACGGGAGGCAGATCGGACGCATTGGTCGGAAAGGACAGACTCCGTGCTCTGTTGGCGAAACAGAAAGCGACGGATTTTGACTTTTCCTCGATTCTCGGTGATCATCTGAATGACCAGGGCGTTGAGGAAAAGGTGCGAAGGTCACGGGCGGATTATGAGGCTTCGAGGAGTCCAGCAGAAGTGAATGGTAATGTCAGCCTGGACCGGAAACTCCTCGCCACGGTGGCGACGAAGCCCGACGACGACGACCTCCATGATGGAGTTTCAAGGCTTATGGATGCTGTTGAACGTACAGAGGCTCTTTCTGCCGATCGTGTCTTTTTATTCTTCGGATCAGGCGGGCTAAGAGACTGGAAGGACGAGATTCCAATTCAACTCGAATTTCCTGAACACGCGATTCCAGATAATCTGTGGCGCACGGGCGACGATGAAGCTAGAGCGCGCATGTTCACTTCTGGGTACATGGCAGATCTCTCTGCCAGAGGACAGATGGCAGACGACGCAGTGTATTGGGCCTTCAACACAGTTGTGTTTGAACAACAGGATGATGTTCGGCATGCGTATATTGAGTGCTTGAGAAATGCGAGTGCTTCCTGGACCAGAAGTAACATTTCTGCTCGGGATGTGCAGATGATCTTCCAGTCTTTGGGCGCAGACGTTTCAAAATCACAAGACGCCGTTACGATCGAACCGAAGCACCGCGTGGCACACGAACCAGAGAGCAGGAATCCCAAATACCTCCTTTCCGCATTGGACATGTTCCAGGCCATTTCTCGCGATCTGGATTTTCTGGCTCTGAGCAAATTGACATCTCTGGTTTGTCGGCTTGCCATCGATTCCGAACTCATGGGTGACGTGCGAGTATCGGTCAAGGTTGAGGATACGCTTCATGTCCTGCTCGACCTACCACACCCCGACATGAGAGCTCACGTTCTGGAGAGAATCCTCACAGACATGGGCAAGAACTTGCAAGACCCGACCCTACAAGTGCATCTGCTCTCTCACATCCTTCCCGTCTCGCGCTCCGCGCTCAGGGCCCGTCTAGTCCTCGCGCAGACATTCATTCTTGGCCCCGACAGTCTGCAAGATGGCAGACCTTTGCCTCAAGTAGGGTATCTCGACACCCTGACGCAACACGTCTCTAGACATCCACTATTCAGACCCCACCGACACAGAGACCCCAAGAACGTCGACTACACGGCTCTCCGAGCCCTCACGCACGTTCTCGACGCCGCCATAGCCGACGGCGGGCGGCCTGCAAATGTCGACTCACCCGCCGACAAAGTCACATTCAATAGATCTGTTGACACAATCGCCGATGCGGTCCGCTCGACGCTGGTGTCCATCATCGACACCGGCGCGTCTCACCTGAGTCGCACGGAAGCCAAGGCTGCCTTGCAGGCCCTGTATTGGCGACTGCTGTTCAGCGTGCGCACGGAGCCGAGACCGAAGAAGAACATCTTCGACCTCAGAACCGGTCGCATCCGCGATTCGCAGGACTTTCGGAGCGAGCAAAAAGGTAGGGACGTGATGACGCGGTTTTTGACCAAGCCCGAAGGCCACGACGAGGGAGCTGCCGCTGGCAATAGCAGTGGGAGCAGCGGCGATCCTGCATCCACGACAGCTACGACGACCCCGGAGGAAGCACCGGCTGATTCTACTAGGAATACGAGTCTGTCAGCATGCTCCCAGGCGTCAGATGCAAGGTCGGAGACTGAAAAGGTCATTCGCAGGCAACTAGGGCTTCCTGATTGATGCAAGCGTGGCATTGTTTGTGACGCTATGTGGTTACTTTTTCTCGGACCGTTTCTGAATGTTGCATTTGTTTTGTCAGCATGGTGTTGGTGGTTCAAAAGGCTTACTCCGGGCATCTGCAGTATTATGATATCGAGTTTGACGGGAACATTACTTAGCGACCGATGTATGTGAACGTATGCATGACAATATATTAGAACACACTCAGCAGCGTGAGGCTCGGCTCTCTAAAAGCTGTTTTAGAATCCGTCTCTATCGAAGCTTTGCCATACCACGCCTCAAACAGCAAAATCATCAACGAAGAGACCACACTGCACATTAATAACAATGACTGCAAGGTGACGAGCGTTGGCTTAATCGTGAAACTTCCTGTTCTGGTTCTCGCCAAACAGGGTGGCTCGGATGCTAGGCAGAGCATCACTCTCGCACATGCGCAATCGCTCTTCAAAGGTGTTGTTCAATTCGATCTTGCCGTTGCCGCCAACCACGAAAACTCCGCCGGTGCTAGTGTAGTCTGTCAGCGCTCACATCCACTCAAGGGTCTAGGTCAATTGACTTACGATTCTTCTGGAAGCCAATTCTTCTCGTCGATCACGGGCTCAACCTCGCTACCCATGTTCTCTTTGTATTCAGCGGCCGCTTTCTTTGCGGCACTCTCTACTTTGTCCTTGTCTGCCTTCCTGCACCGAATCTGCACCTTGCTCTCTGCGAGCAGATACAGGCCTTCCAAGATCAGGCCCTTGAGGACTTCCTCGTAGTTCTTGTCTTTCGAGCCAGATTCTCCCAGCTTTGATCGTGCTTGCTCGAAAAGCTTATCTAGTAGTTCCTGCCGTGCACTGAGCACCTTTATTCGTGTCTTGTTGGACATTGTCGAGCGGGTTATCTGTTGCGACATTGACGCCTGCTTGAACTTCTTCTCGTATTCCTTGTCGATGGCTGCAATCTCTTCCCGAACCAGCTTCGATTTCTCGATTGCAAATTCTTCGTCTGCCTTTAGCTGAATCTCTCGAGCTTTCTCAAGGGCTTCTTGTCGAATGAAGGCAGTCATCTTCTTCAGCTCGGAAGCGACCTAGACAGAACCTCTGGTTAGCCATGGGGACAACAACAAGCCGTCGACAGGTAGAGCGTACCTGGTCGTCCGAGAGTGCGTGGGACGACATTTTGGCGGGTTGGCTGGTTGTTACAACTTAGATGTTTCGTGGGAGAAGTAAGATGGTGCTCTTGATAACGAGCTGGAGAGACGACACAGCCGTCTGCGCAAACTCGATGGGATACCGGTATTGAAGTTCCTGGACGCTGAGTATGACTCTCAGCAGGAAGATGGCAGGTCGTATTTATGGTAGACTGTCTCGAACTGGACTTAGCAGAAGCTCGTTTGTAATTGGAACAGGATATCTGATACGTAGCTGAGCCAGGGAAATCGCAGCCAAAGCTCACTGGGCATGGGGAAGGAAGCCCACTAGCCACTTGGTTAAGTCCATAGGCTCGCCGAGCTAGTGTTTTAGTGTCTCGTGCCTAATCGAGCGTCGGATCATGAAGTCACCGTCAAAGCGCAGTCTCTTCTGTATTGACACCCTTGACACCCTCATACACCGCCCGCGTCCAATTATCCCTGACGGAGGCATTACCTGCCACCACCTCCATTCTCTGGCGTCTCTTTTGCCTCTTTAACTCTCCGATCACTACGAAATAGCTTGCCTGTACGAACCTCTCACCGCACTACAACCTTGATGTCTGCGACCTCAATATGAATGGCGCAGCATGGCTGATCCAACTGATGGACCTTGAAATCAACACCACAACCCTCCACGACAATGGGCCAACTCGGTGACCTTTCGCCTCAGGGCACCATTGCCGTAAGTCTCATTTTCGTGATGGTCAAATATAGCGCTGATGATTCAGGTCGGTATTGTCGTCGGTCTACTGTCTACTTCGATCCAAAGCCTGGGACTTACCCTCCAGCGCAAGTCCCATATCATTGAAGATGCCAAAGAAGACTTGGAGACAAGAAGACCACCGTATAAGAGGCGCAAATGGCAGCTGGGAATGTTCATGTTCCTCATCTCGAACATTGTCGGCAGCACCATCCAAATCACAACATTACCTCTCCCAGTCCTCTCAACCCTGCAGGCTTCCGGGCTGGTTTTCAATACAGCATTTGCCACATTACTACTAGGAGAGCCTTTCACTCGCTTTTCTCTACTGGGCACGATCCTGACGTGTTCTGGGGCAGCACTAATAGCGACCTTCGGGGCCATCGGCGAGCCGGCCCACAACCTACAACAACTACTAAACCTCCTCCGACAGAAGAGCTTCATAATCTGGATGGTCGGGACGATGATTGTGGCAGTAGCGACCATCTTGTTTGCGCATGTACTAAGAATGTGGTCGTCCAATCGACACATTGCGCAAAGCCTCCCGAAATCGGAGAGACCAAGATCGGTATCTTCAAGCTCAAGACCGCAGTTGAGTCTCACCACCAGTTTTACTGCTCAACTCCCTTCCCATCTCAAGATTAGAGTTAATCGCTTACGTCTGATACGGGGCTTGTCATACGCGCTTATATCTGGCATTCTTTCGGCGCATTCACTCCTCGTTGCGAAATCTGCAGTCGAACTATTAGTTCGAACGATCGTTGACCACAACAATCAATTTAACCGGTTCCAATCCTGGCTTATTCTCATTGCTCTACTGTTCTTCGCCTTAACACAACTATATTACCTACACCTCGGCTTGAGGTTGTGCAGTACCAGCGTTTTATACCCCTTCGTCTTTTGTGTCTACAACATTATTGCCATTCTAGATGGTTTGATCTATTTCCAGCAAGCATCAAGACTGAGTGTGCTGCATGGGTGTCTGGTGGCATTGGGGACCGTCATATTGCTCCTTGGAGTTCTGGCTCTCTCCTGGAGGTTAGATGATATAACGCCATCAGAAGCTGCTCCCCAAGCAGTTCCTCCTCGGACACCACTTACTCCTGGGCTGGGACTGGTTCAGTCTGCATCCGACGACCAACCTTCGTACTTGGCGAATGGAAGGAAAGGAAGTTCCACTTCACTCAAGAGAACTTCAGTGGATGAGCAAACCCCTTTGCTCGGTGGCCGTCCTAGTGCAGCGACAGGATCGACCAGGCGCATTTCTGCTACAGACACAGAAGGTATCTGGGCACAACTCGACGATGAGGAACGTCAAGACGATTATCTGGCATCTCTTCCTCGTGCTCCAGGGCCCTTCTTCTCGCTCAAGAACCCAAAAACTCGACGAAGAGGTGGATCGGGGTCATCACAAGCCATTTCAACTGGGAGCAGACCAAGTTCATCAGGGTCCAAAGTCGAAGGACAAACAGACGATGCCAATACCTCCGATATCTTGCCTAAAGGTGTGGATGGCTCGAAAAGAAGTAGCAGCAGTGCACCCCAGACTGGGACAGGGGCACTCTACCATCAAGGCGGCAGGCAATCGAGTACATCTGTTCGCTTCGCTGATGATGAAGACCGCAAGACTGGGCCAAAGCGAGCTAGTCGAAGTCGATTTGATCAGGGTGGTGGAAACGCAGATAGTTCCTAAGCATGAATGGTTCGAGATTATTATAAAGATCAGAAGACATTTCCTCCATACAAGTCTTTTCGGGTGTTGCAACCCATGTGTGATATGGCTCCACAGTGAGCTTGTGCGAGATCTAGCTATGTACCTGAGGTAGGTAGATTTTCATCGACTTGAAACTAATAGTACATACCTACCTACCTGAGGTACCTGGTAGTCAAAGCATGTTTTTCAGGTTACAATTTCCAGCGCAGGGGGGGTAGTTTAAGGATATGGCTACCAGATCCTTTGCGCCAGAATACCCTGCCTCCTTTCAAGGGAAGCTACACCAGCTGAGTCGACACTAGTCGCCGCAAGACCAGGTCTGGTAGGACTCAAGGCCTGTTCAGTATTCAAACCAAGCACATGGCTCGTCTGGCACAGTTTGACGGTGGTGAGTGGGTACCCCTTTATGTCTCTGCACCAGTCATCCGCAGCTGCCAGACACGCATGCCTGCATTGTCCACACTTCTCAGAGGTTATCTGCGACGATTTATTTATGACAATAGCTCTCGAAGTTGACATCCGCTATGACCATTCTGACGTTTTGAATTGGCTGTAGAGCCTAGTAAGAAAGGGCGAACTCACTACCGAGGAGCGTGGGCGTTCTTGTTTCGAGAAGAAGAGAGACATAATCCACAAGGTCAAGCAAGGTGTGAGACATCCTTTCGATCCGGTTTCCCAAGCATACGTGACTTTGCTACCGATCAAGTCTCGGGTAGCTGTGCAAGAATTCTGGATTCTTGCTTGTACGGTGTGGCGTGGTGTGATTTGTGTGCACCTTGACTGATTATGCCACGTCGAAAAGAGGCGTGGGTAAGTATGGTTGTTTGCTCTTCTCGAGGTATGCTTGGTTCTTCACTTTCCCCCTTTCCCAGCAGTAGCGTGCAGAGGACTATCCGTGACGCCCGTGTGATCTGTCACCGACCCGGTCTCGCTCCCGCTCATGTCGTCGTCTGACGACTCATCCCAGATTTCGCGCGACTCGCGCTCGACCCTCCGCATCGCGCCTGCGACTTCGTCGAGCTTGTTGACGACGTCCAGCACGCCGCGGTTGACCTGCTCAAAGTACCGATCGTTGGCTTCGCGCCGCCGTCGAGCAAGCTGGATGTCCCGCTCCGTCTCCTCCTCAAGGTTCTTGTTGTTGGTGAAGGCTGCGTTCGCGTTGCCTTTGTTGTTCTTGTTCTTGTTGTTGGTAGTGCTCGAGGTTTCGACCTTCCCGCCGATCGTCGCGGCCGCGTCGTCGTTGTCGGTCACTCCCTCGTGCTCGACGTCGTGCAGCTCGTCGGCCTCGGTCTTGGCCCACGTCTGCGCGAGCGAGTGTTGAGCCATGCGGAGGTCCTCGAGCGCCTTGATGTGGCTGGCGCCGAAGACGTGGCTAGTGTTCAAAGCCGATACCTCAACGTCAGCGAGGGTCTTTTGCATCTCCGCCCACAGATTCTCGGCGCGGCGGAGGTCAGGTTGCGTCGGTGGCTGGCGCATCGACGGCCCAGAGAACGACGCTGCGGCAGGCACGCGAGATGGTCGGTTGATGCGGTGAGGGAGGTCTGGTTCGGGGCCAGATCGATCGCCGCCGCTGCCGCTGCCGCCGCCGGCCCCAGGTAGACTGAGGGACCCATGTGATGCATTCTTGGACGGTGGTCCTTGGAACAGCGAAGGTGGTGGTAGCCGGTGCGTGTTGGTCCGGGTGAAGTTGGACTTGGGCCGCTCGAGAGGTGAAGCCGGGACTTCCAGCAGAGACGGTTTGCGCGCTGACGATGTCATGGCGATTCGGTGTGGCTGAGAGCAGTTGCTCTCGCCTGAGATGGGGAGAGTGTCTATCGGATTGTCATTGAGAGGCGGTTGTGGTGTCCTGTGCGATACTGCTCGGATATAGGACCATGACCTGTGGTACGTGTATGGTACATGGGACGGACTCCCACTACGTCAAGGGAGAATCTTGCCATAGTATCTTACTACTCCACAGTAATTCTGCCACTTCTACGGAGGACCAGCTTACCGCAGCACGGCATACCTGCTCCTTTGACTTGTGCTCACCTCACATAACCGCAGTCTTGGCTGCCAAGCCCACTGAACTTTTCGAGATCCAAATTCGCGCCCCGGTCATCGACAACGACCTCAAAGCCAGCCGCCAACAATCTTCTCAACACTCCCACACAACACCTGCTTGTCACAGTATCCAGTACGTACGACTCTGTCTGTTATCATCTCTGCAATCGTCGACACTTTTGAGCCGGAAAAAGAGAAAGCTCGTTCCTTCTCTCCCGCGACGACTTTCTTGATTCCTCAAAGCTCAAAGCCCTTTCGACTCCGTCACCTATCCCAGAAAATCCCACAAAAAGCTAACACCTTTTTTTCTATCGCAGAAATGACAAACAGAGGCAAGCCCCGCGGTCTTAACGCCGCCCGTAAGCTCGTCGCCGCCCGCAAGGAAGGACGATGGGCCGATCTGCACTACAAGAAGCGACTCCTCGGAACCGCGTACAAGTCGTCTCCCTTCGGAGGATCCTCGCACGCCAAGGGCATCGTGCTTGAAAAAGTCGGAGTCGAAGCCAAGCAGCCCAACTCTGCCATCCGAAAATGCGTCAGAGTTCAACTCATCAAGAACGGAAAGAAGGTCACTGCTTTCGGTATGAGACGCTCTTACTATTTCACACTGTCTTCACACTCTCCCTTTCACACACTTGCACACAAATCCCCGAGTCGAGACTCAGATTTCTATCCTCGGGTGGAGAAGGAGAAGGGGAATTCTCGGGTACCATAAACTCTCAAGAGACCACAATTGCTGACGTGTTCTGTGTTCGTTAGTCCCCAACGACGGTTGCTTGAACTTCGTGGACGAGAACGACGAAGTCCTCCTCGCCGGTTTCGGTCGAAAGGGTAAGGCCAAGGGTGATATTCCCGGTGTGCGATTCAAGGTCGTCAAGGTTTCCGGCGTCGGTCTGAGCGCTCTGTGGAAGGAGAAGAAGGAGAAGCCCCGGTCATAGATGTTTCGTCGCATTGATGATTTACCAGAGATATGTGGAAGGGAGGTGACGGGCAAAAGTGCGAGTGTGCGGGAGACGGGCGAAACAAGGAAGTGAACCACACTCGATCAGCGGCCGAAGCCGATCACGACAAGACAAAATGCTTTTTTCTGAAATGAAAACCTGCCGATTTCCGAAAGGAGTTGGCTGTCGTTGTTGTTATTGTCTTGTTGTTCGCTTTCCCGGCCCGACGAGAAAGAGAGACAGAGACAGTGCGTTTTAGAAAGCGTTACGAACCCACCAAAACAAAAAGAGACAAATGAAAAAAAATGTACCTACCTATCTATCCATTGGAGGTACGTTTTCTGAAACCATGGAAATCAACTACGGTGCAAATAATGTGCTGGAGCTTCTTTCTACCCTGCCCCTACATGCCGATGATGCAGGTAAATAGAACCAGAAGAACTTCAAACGCTACTTACCAGGTACCTATTGTACTCGACGTAACATTAAAAGGCATCAAGCGTTTTTGAGATCTTCCCCCGTTTTGCGTCTCCCATTGCCTCGAAACATCAGCAGTCAGCACCAGGTCGTCATGGTCATCGACTTTGTCGTTCCAGAAAGATACCTGGCGATCTTGACACACCCACCTCATCCATTTTGTGTAGATACGAAGGACCCTCGTCGGCGGCAGTGCTCCCCTTTCGAAAACTTTTATACTCTTGTGTTCTGGACGAGTACCCTCACTAACTGGTGAGGCACTCCTGATACAACGAGATCAAAGGATACCTGTTCTAGCTGAAGCCAACACCTACTTGAAGTAACTTCCCGTCCTTCGCTCGCTCTTACAGTCTGCTGCGTGCACCGGCTCAACTTCAAACCCTCCGACTTTCTTCTCACCAGCAACTTTTTGTGTCCAGCATCATCTAATTAAATCAAGATCTCACTCGGAAAGCTCCAACGCATTCCCATTTCTCTTCGAAACAAAATGAATTCTTCCCTCGCGCGAAATGCTCTTTACAAGGATGAGAGGTACAAGACCACCAGGGGGTGGGAATCAGTGCAAGACATCCATAGCATCCCTTTCATGGTCTTCTGTCTCGCCCTGCTCGAAGTCAGGTTCGCTTGAGCTCTTCCCTTTTCGGCCTCGTCCAAAGAATGGAGGCGTCTTCAGGCCCGAAATCATCTCGCCACCGTTGCTGACTGTGGCGCTGAGGGGGCTTCTAGCTTCGTCATCTTCACTGCCATCCGGGCTTGGGGGTTGGCTGTCTCTGAGTGCGCGTCGGCCTCGCATCATCTATCAAAGGAGGGAAATGTCAGCTTACACCCACACGACAGTCGCTGCGATACTGCTGAGATCTGTTACAACGTACCCAAGACTTGACACCACCGATCAGGCCCAGAGAGTAACCTGCCGCAAAGTCATCGCTGCGACTGAATCTACCAGGAGAATCGCTCCTTCGCTCCGCACTGCCCGGAACTTCGAGATGCTTGAGATGCTCGACCGCACTGGCTGCCGTTGGACTCTTAAGCACGCTGCCCTCGGCAGAAAGGGACCTAGTAAACGGTGCTGGACTGGCAGGCCGAGAACTGGCATTTTGCCACAACTGTCGGAGGTCTCGACCAATCTCGCCACCTGCAGTAGTCCAGTTTGTCTTGATGTTATCCCTGAGTTCCTGGACGTGCCTCTTCAGCTCGAGCTCGTTCTTCTTGAGCCACGAAATATTCAACTCCTGTCTCGACGTGCCTCGTTTGAGCTGGCGAGCGATATACTTTTCGTAGTCGCGGACGATCTTGGTGATGATTCCAGTTGTGGACACACCCTCAGTACGTTGAGTAACGAGAAACTTGCCTTCTTTCTTGATCGGCGCGTAGATGTCGTCGCCCTCGTCCGCACCATAGGGCTCATCGTCGTGGGCCACATAGTCTATCTGATGCTTCTCTAGAAATTCGGGCGTCACGATCCAGGGACAGTTGGGAATGACTTCATCCACCCATCGGCAGTGTCGGACTGTTTCGGCACGTTCGGCGCCTGTCAGGACAGTGAGACCTTTGCGTTTATGAGTTTCCGCGTCTCCGGTCACACCGACGATGAGATATGTGTTTGGGAAGGCTGTTTTGGCTTGTTCGAGCTGCCGCATGTGTCTGCGAGTAGGATTCATTAGTATTCTCAGGCCGGCCAAAACCGGACAACCATGACTGGCTTACCCTAGATGGAAGAGGTCAAAGACACCATCGGCATACACCCTCACAGCTCGCCCTTCAGGGGGTGGATTTGTCTTGTATCCCCCTACAGGGTCTCTCAGTCCTGCCTTGGGCACTGAGGCCATCGGCTGCTCTTGGCCGTTGACCACAGCTTTGGTGACGGAGCTTGGGACTTTCTGTGTCCTGTCTCCATTGCTGCTGCTCTTTTCGGTCTCTTGATCAGTCCCTTCTGCCGTGCTTGATGGGTCACTAGGGTCTTGTTCGTCTGCTCCGTTGTGCTCGACGGAATTCGCACTCGATCGTGTTCTGGCTCGCTTGCTAGGAGGTACATTGTCGTCGATGGAGCTACTCGTTCCGTGCTTGCGAGTTCGGGTGCTGTGTGAAGGTGCGTCGGCCAGCTCTTCACCTGATGCGTCCCTCGATAAGGGTTGCTGTAGGTCAGCTGCTGCGGAGGGGGCAGTGGATCGCTTCCTCTTTGCGGAGCTGCTTGAAGATGGAGATGACATGATGGAGGAAATGGGTGCCCAGGGGGAGCTGGGCCGAGAATGTTAAGGATGGTCTTCAGGAATACAAGACGCAGTCTGGTGGTCGTAGTGAGTCCAGCTAAGGATGACACGATCTGCCAAGGAAGGAAAAAACAAAACGTCCAAAAAAGTCAAGAGAGCGAAGAAGTAGGAGGACGAAGCGAAACGTGAGGATGGAAACTTCACAGCGAGCTGGTTCTGGTGCTTATTATTATTGTAGCCGAGAACTGACGCGATCTGTGGGAGCAGGAAATAGTGTGCTTCGTATGATAATGCCACAATATCATGATCAACAGCTCAACAGATCAAGTTTGGGCGATCGAGCTGCCTCTACTACGAGTGTCAGAGTCAACAATCAACGAATCGAGGATGCCGTCACTTGCATGTGTCACCCCGTGCAGCTCTCTCTCTCCTCTGCCTTGATTCTTCGTCTCGGTTCATTTCTGGGGCTGTGGCTTTGTTGGCGGCGGAACTGGAGCTGCAACGCGACGTCATGCCAATGGGGCCGTGTTGCGACCATATGGTGTTCTAGTCCCTGAGTTACCACAAACGAGGCGATTCTGTGTCTCGGTTCAGAGAGATGTCGAGACAAACACCCTACCATCCAACGTTGTAGATGATGCCGGGCGTATAGGTGTCTTAGATGCCCGAGGCAGGTCCGTAAGGATGGCGGAACGGGTCACAGCGAGCGGCCAAGCAAACACACAACAATGAACGTATCTTGAAGCATCCAAGAGTGCACAAAACCACAGGAACCAAACGACAATCGATGCGCCTTTCCCGTCGACCCGTCACGCATACCTATGGCACTCGTAATGAGCATCGCTTCTGTCTTCCGTGATTCTCGTTGTATCTCACTAAGATGAAAACATGACCACATGAAAACTCAATCTCAACAGCCCTCGCTTCTTCCTGCGGTTCTAGACAATGCATAGCACGCGAGACTATCCTTCTAAGCACCCGAAAGGCTAATTGACGGGGACTCGTACTCTCGTCAAGGTAGTTCTGCCTGTTCAAACCAAGGCTGTCCACATCCAACTACTTGTCAGTCGGCTCATCGGCAACTCCTTTGATCTCGGTCTGAGGTCCATGCGAGGCGTCTCGGTGACTGGAAGCATCTTTGTCTCGGGATGATTGTGGTGCAGGTGTACCTTCTCGTTCGCCTCGTGCCGTGTCCTCCTCAGATGTTTCAGAAGATGGTTTCTTGACTTGATTTGCGGTATCCTTGTCCTCTTCGCTTTGCTCAAACATTTCGGTATCGTCAGAATCGGTCAACACTTCGGTCCCGTCTCCGAGCAAGATGATTCTGCCGCTTCGGCCACCAAACCCTCGAGGGCGGTGGTCCATATCGAGCTCATACTCGTCTGGGCTGTCATGATCGAACTGGTGCCGGACGCCGGGGCCGCGGAATTCAGCTGTGGCTTGTTAGATCAGTCTCGGTTCAGAGATTCAAAGCTTGGACTTGCCGTACTCGGGTGGCGCACATGGACCATCCCCATCTGCCACTCTCTTGCTGATCATCTCATACCACTCATCCTTGGTCTTGCCGTTCAAGATGCCGATAACAATCATGGTCATGTTGTCGCAACCCACACCGCCCGTTTCACTGTTAGAGGCGAGGCAGTTGTCCATCATGTTCTCACAAATCCGATACAGATCTTGTTTGGCTGCGATACCCCTACGGACGAATTCCACAACAGCTTGGGAGGATTGACAATCCCAGATACCTAGGCAAGGTTAGTCTGACCGTGATCGACCCTGGAAGTGGTGTCGAGGGCGTACCGTCGCAAGCAATAACCAAAAATTCATCGTCACTCGAGATCTCATGTGTGATGACATCTGGGAATGCGGTGACAATCTGCTGTTCGGGGGCTAGGTCGGCGCTCTTCTTGAACTCGAAATCGCCAATGGCACGTGACAGTGCAAGGTTGCCATTGACTCGACCAAAGTCGACGAAACCTCCAGCGGCACTAATTCGAGCCTTCTCTCCTGAGACGGAGTCAGTTGGTGAGTACAACATCGGGGCTAGAATGCTATACCTTCGTTCTGTGGCTTGTGGTCAAAGGACAAAGGCTTCGCTCTTCCCTTGACGCCAAGGACTGTTCGCGAGTCTCCAGCATTGGCCTGAATGGGTGAGCATAGACGCAAACGCAGTGTATAGGGTCACCTTACGACCCAGATCTTGTCCCTGGACATGACGCCGACAGATGCGGTGCATCCGGACACTTCGTCTTCGTATCTTGCATCTGCGCGATTTAGCTGGAAACCCATCAAAAAAGGCGGAAGAACATACCATTGAGGATTGCACGGTCCGTTGCAAGGAATCCATCTTTGAGTGCCTGCTCGATGTCTCCATTGGAGAACGCATCTTGTTTCGCAACGATTTTATGTACGTTTTCGCCTGCAAACTGCGCCACTTTCTCTCCTCCATGACCATCGTAGACACCAAAGTAGGCTAATCGTTTTTCTGGGTCTGTCCGTTGTGACTTGTTTTTATCCTCTGCTTTAAGATCGAGCACGGCCGCGTGCGCGTCTTCCATGGATATGCGCCATCCTTGCATGGCCGACAGGCCATATATGAACAGGTCATCAGCCCCGCTATCGGATGTCTATTCGCGCAAAGTCGTCAGTTTTCGTCTGCGTAGGATGTGATTCACAGAGAACAAAGACTGGAGCCAAGCTAAATCTCTGAGCGTCGCCTTTTGAGCATCGCCTCCGAGGTGCAATTATGATGGGGGTTCAGGCTGTGCCCTGAAAGTGAAATACAACTCACCTTTTCGACCACGGGTTCCGACAAAGTCTGGCCCATACTTGTTTTCCTTCAAGGTATGACAGAGATGTTTTGTCTTAAGTATCATAGAACAACTGTCATATACTGTCGGGAAGCGGCTGGAAGAGATCGGTGGACGAGGGTCAGGTAGGAAGAGGCGTGACGCAGGCTTTGAGACGGATGAGACGAAGTGGTCGAGTGCACTATACGACGACAAACGCGACGCGGATTAGAAAGGAATGAACGGTATTGATGTTTGCCAGATGCAAACAGGATCGCGTGCGAGGGATTAGAAGTGGCAGTTGATCAAGGGCATTTCGGTCGAGTTGCAAGAGCAGGTTTGACTGTTGCTATGCCCTAAGCCAGTGCGATAAATGACGAACTCACTTTGCACACATCAAAGGCAGCGGCTGCCTTATTACTAACCCGCGCCAAGCATTTCCCTGGCTCGCAACAAAGTCCTCGCCTCACAGCGACTGACTGCGCCTGAGGATAATGTGTATACATACATACATCGCTGGAACGCGGCTCGACAGTTCTCGTTTGGAAAAATGGCTGTCGCTACTCCTTCATGCTACACTGACACCCTTGTCCAAAGGCCACAAGTGCACACCCATCTCAATGTAAGTACAGCTAGAGAGCACGGGCTACCGAGGCTGGCTGATCTAGAACTACTTCTCCTATAATTATCAATGCCCATGAACTCCCTTAGATGCATGCTCACAGTCTCGGACAACACACCAATGGAGCCGTCGAGCGAAATCCCCCCTCGTCCATTCGTTTGCTACCTCTGGAAAGAGAGGAAATTTTAGATGCAGTTGGGCCGGGCCCTGGGCAATAATGACCAATATTATCTGCTTCGTCAAATCCCGCCACCCGATGGACGGTGTAATTTGTTTCGTCGTCATGATGTGAAAATCCTGGGCGAAGGTGATAGAAGGGGTTTGTCGGGCCATTTTTCCGACTGGATATTCTTCAACCATTCTCCTGGACATCCAATGGCCACCGAGGGAAGGGAGATGGGTTGAGCTTGCTCGGACGTGATACGTATTCTGTTGGGAGAAAAAATACCCCGTGGTCACAAGCATCGACATCCATAAAGACGAAGGTATCTCTTTCTGCAGGACCTCCTCCACACGTCACCGGGGCTGAGGCCACAGAGATGGCCGACAGCATGCCCAGAGTCGTCCAGGAGGTAGAAAGAACCATCGCCGAACTCATCTCCGTGGCGCAGTCTACCGATCCTGCATTTGTCGTCATCAAATTCGACCTCTCTCTCTCAGCTCGTGGCCGCTATAGTCGACATCCAGGATACCGCTGAATAGCATGGAAGAAATGCTTGCTTGAATCCCGGGCCATCGACCAATGCTCTGATCCAGGGAAAGTCTTGGGGCGCGGACGGTCACTACCAAATGACCTTAGAGGATCTCCAGTGGTGGTGGTGGTGTCTTGAGCTCGACGAGGCGTTCAGCTGCTGTCATTGTGTTTTTGGGAAGCCAGCCGGATTTCTAGTGTCCAAGCATATGGGAGAGTGAAGTCCCTCGCTTAATCTCCGGATTAAGGGTATTGTCTTCCAGCTTCCGCATGATGCTATCCTAGGGTGCTATGCGGTGTCTCACCCTCATCTGAGTTATCTTGAGACAAGTCGTGTGTATGTCTCTTCTCAGTTCGTGGCTGATCCGAGCCGGCTTGCCCTTCTGATCCAAGAGAGGCTGAAATCACTTTTACCCACCGGTTCTCCGATACACGAATACGTGAAGGAAACGATTCAAGAGTGGAATCTGGGTCGAGAGTGGAACTAACATTGTGGCTGGAGGAACGATCCGGACGGAAAATTGAGGCTGAAACTCCAGATGGCGAGAACACGCTGTACGCCAACATTTTGGTCTCAGGACGGGGAGTTTTGAAGTCTGTTGTTGTTTCTGATACAAAGTGGCTTTCGTCCTGAGGACTTCGACATCAAGTATAGAAATAAGAAGCGATAGTCTTTTCTGGGAACGACATTCCAAGCTTTGAGCTGGACACCAAGAATAGCCTGGCATGGTACATCGAGAAATGAAGGGGGGACCGAGATAGACCGACACGACCGGAACCCACCTGCGTCTCCCTTCCCAAGTAACCTCTAGCATATAGGAGTATAGGTATCATCTTGGGCATTCCAGTTAGTGTCTGTAGTATTCCCTTGCTGAGGATCTTCCCCCGAGCGTCCCCGAGACGTCCCCACACTACTAAAGTATCAGTATGTAATCATCCGTCCCATGGCCGAGAAATGATACTTTGGTCTCGAGATCCTCGCAGATTGCAGCGGGTTGTTCCTTGAAATGATATTATGGTCAAGAAACAAGGGCAAGCATCATACTCGACATGCAACACCTGGGAGTCACCGGCGGTGGGAGCCGGTTCGCGGCGCCACGAGCTCGTTCAGCGTGCAAATTATGCCGCATGAAAAAGGTCCGCTGCGATTCAAGGGACGGAAGACGCTGCTCAATCTGTGCCTTTGAAGATGTCCCTGGTGTTCTGGTTCCCAACCAAAGTCGCAAGTTCGTCAGACACGAGTCCAAAGATCGGTTTCGTCCCCCTGGCTTACGGAGATCTACAGTAGGAAATCCAAACTGATCCTCTGCGAATGATGCTGCGCCATCAATGTCTTGTCCAGGCACGAGTACTGCTTCGTTCGCCCTCGACAATCAGGAACCTGTGCTGATGTCGGATCCCATGAACATCACCAATACAGATCAGACGAATCACAGGGATGATTCAACTCGGTGGCCGGAGCCAGGCAAGGGAAAATCTTTGTCTACCGAAAGAATAAGGTTTATTGTTTCTACCTAGCACCCCTGAACTCGTGGACCAGGGCCTCACCTGGCCGGGGGCAAGGGCGACAAGTAGACCCGGGACAGCTGCAACCGCAGTTGACGGTGCAATCAGGCCTTGATTCCTCTGCTTCATCTAGGAATAACAACAGGTCGAAATGGCCGGGTCTTCCCGACTACATCAGACCCCTCCCTGCATCTCTTGATTTAGACGACGTCGAATATCTCCAGAAAAAGGGCGCTTTCGTACTGCCGGACCGTCCGTTGATGGAGGAATGTCTTCGGTGCTACGCTCTCTATATCCACTCGATGTATCCTATAGTCGACATTGTCGAGGCCCAGTCGATGATCAATCGTGATGAAGGCCATGAATTTCTAAGTTTACTCTTGCTTCAATCCCCTGATCTTTGCTGGTAGCATGTGGGCAGATGTGCGACTGATCAGGAATGCTGGGTTTCTGACCAGAAAGGCCTTTCGTCAAGGCTGGCATCGCAAAATCCGGTTGCTGTACGACATGGATTACGAAAACGATAGTATCTGCCTTATTCAGTCGCTGTTATTGTGGTCCTTCTGGTGGAGAGATATTAATGAGAGAAAGGATAGCTGGCACCGGATCGGTGTCGCGCTTTCCATTGCCCGTACCGTTGATCTACCACAAGGACTCGCTGCCGAAAGTGAGAGACACACCTTTTCAGAAGATACCCAGGTCCGAATTGAGGCCACTCGACGATTGGAAGAGTGCCGAGTCATTTACCACGCGCTCTCAGAACAGCAGTTTGCCCCGGCATGGATGCCTCAGACTATTGATCACATTGTCGACCGCATCAAGCGACATAGAGACAGCGTGCGAGAGGGTTCGGATGGTCGTCGCGGCCCAGTATCGAGTTATGCTGCAGGTTTCACACCTGGATCTAGCATTTCAGTGTATCCGGAAGGACCAGTTACCGATCAAGACGGTCGCCGCATCCCTCTGGCACATGGAGCTTATTGTTCTCGAGTGTGCATGGGGACTTACCTGCGGCGCTGGCTGCTGCCGTGATCCACAGCACTGTTGAACAGATTACCAGACGTCTGGGCCGGAGGTGTCTACATCGACATCAAAGAGCTGATATTCAAGGACATCAAGGTCAATTCTTGTCGTTCGCCGGGAGTGATGTTTCGCGGAAGACACTGGGCGCCAATATCAGGTACGGCAGCAGGGTCGAGGCCAGTCGTTTGGTAGGCCTAGATCATGTCCTTGAGATGGTGCACGCCTTGCACTCGGGAAAGATGAAGGGGGAAGCGATCTGAATCGCGGATAAACAGGCGTTCGAAAAGGACGAGGCAACCGAATTCAGCTTAGGGTCTTGACGTCGTTGCGTGGCATGCATTAGATGTACTGTCTACAGCTTCTGGTGATAACTCTGTTCCATTAGCTTGAAGCAAGTCTAACTTGGGTACGGAGCTATCATTCACGCAAATGTGAGTTGGTAAGATTGGCAGGCTATCTTGAACTGTAAATGACCTGCGTTATTGTATCGATCCTTAGCCAGTTCGTGTGGTGTCATGATCAGTTGCGGCGCCGGTATAACGTATGTATGATCTCTTGAACACTCTTTAGCTTCATCCAGTTTATTGAGTAGTACTGTAGACCCTGGGCTATTCATAGCACGCTGTACTGTAGGAAAGGGGGGTGGGTCAGTCAAGTGGAGCCACTCGCCGAAAAAGGGATGGCATGTTTCAGTCGCTCCTCGTTCGTGTTCGTACTGTTCTATGTCTTGGTCAGTTCATGAACGAATGTTAATGGAGATAATTGACATTGATGAATATCCTGCTCGCTAGAATCACTGGGAACGTCGACCCATTCGACTCCCGGCTATCTCAAGTCCAGAAGGGCAGGTGGGCTCATTTCTGATCAGTCTGTTCATGAAGTGGCCGGATCGAACGGGTACCATTAGGGTTCATACTACGAGTGAGGCTTCTGACGCTTGTCGCCGTTGGTGCAATGCGCAATGAGCCTTGAGCACTGGCCAGTGGCGACAGCTCCATAAGGTATTTAGCTTGTCGTCTCAGATTATCACGATGTCAAAAGCGAAAGCGTCAGTCCACAAGCGTGCACACGCGGATCCTCGGGCACCTCGAGAAGAGGTCGCGGTAACACCGATCTCGACGAAGCAGCGATTGTAACCCTGCGATATGCGAGAAAGCTGCCAACTGAAAAGTCTGTCTGGGACGCGATGATCTGATTATTCACCTCCACCACCTCCACCTCTCTTCAGATCTGCACTAGATACTGCGAACCGACACAACGCACTAACGGATAAGTCAGTCTATCTTTCCGCTTGTCTCGCGAGTTGGGTGTGAAGCACTCTCTCCTCCCGCGTGAGACCTGGTCCTTCGGCTGCGAGGCCATACAATTCTTCACTTGGCAACAATGTCCAACAAACAGTCGCACGAGTCCAGATGAGTTGATCAGCTTCGCCATGTACTCCTTAAAAGGACAGGCACCACTGGCCCCTGAGGCCTACGCTCCGATTCTGTCGACGGACGTGCTCGACGCCACTTCCAGAGCGTCTGCTCGATTGAACACACAATGGAACCCATTGTTTCTTAGACGTTGGGTTCTTGTTGTTTTCGCCCTCTTCTTTGCTGCAGCCATTGCCGCTGTTCAGATCCTATACAGTGTCTCCCGCCAAAACAACGGCGTGGCAACCAGCGACAATAACAAGCACTACCTATGGACATACGGGCCTACAGCAGTCTTCGTCTTGGTCACGGTGCTTTGGCGACAGGTTGATTACGCCGCCAAATCAATACAACCGTGGGCAGAAATGGCTCGGAAACCTCAGCCAGCTCAGAACAGCTTACTGCTCGACTACATCACACCGTTCCAGGTCGTGGCACTCTGGAAGTCACTACGCCGGCGGCATTTCACCGTGTCTTGTACCATCGCGGTCTTCTTTCTCCTCAAAGTGGTAACAGTCATATCAACAGGCATCTTCAGCCTGCAGTCTGTACAGCGCAACGATGTCGCCACTACCATGAGGTTAAACAACACGTTCGATGGCTCATCCTTCAATCAAGCAGCATCTGTCGATTCACGCGCTGCGTATATAGTCTACGCCGATCAGCAATACAATGTGAGCCTGCCGGTTGGCACCACCAATTCCTTCGCCTCGCAAAGCTTCAGTCCCTCGACTCGGTTCATCAACGGTAGCTTGACGTACACCGCTTCAGTTGATGTCTTCAGCGCCAGTCTCGAAGACTGCCAATCAGGCACACTCGCCTACAACATCTCCTTCGACGAGGCTTATAGTAATGCCCCCGTTGCGGCCTACTACAATACTACAGTCTCTTTGCCGGGATGTGAGATTACTAATGCACACCTCGATGCACCAGACTGGTACTACATGCCGAATTCTACCGCCCATTATTTCGGGTACCGAGGGTCACTCCAAAATGTATCATGCTCCAATCTCCCCGAAGATGACTCTACACGAAACCGATACATGGTCTGGGCTACTTACTCGGAAGGCTTCTCGCAGAACAATTTCACCATGCTCAACTCGTCGAATGTCATTTGCCTCCCATCATACTCGATCCAAAAGGCAATGGTGACGCTGGATACCCTGGGGAACGTTCAAGCAATCAATCTGACTGGAGATCGTCACCTCCTCTCGGGTGTTACAGCGAATGACGTTGCTCAAGGTGTTATGATCACATCGCAACAAGCAAACTATGTTGCGTCCTTAACATCTTACAGCACTGCCCTGGATACGTTTGTCGCTCTGATGCGAGACGCCACACCGGATTTTGATCCAGAACAGCTTCTTGACCCATCCTACTTGGATCGAACCGGTAGTGCTGTGTTTGGAAGCATTGCGGCGCAATTGGCAAACATATATCTGCTTACTCCTTCGAGTACTTCAGGCGAGGTGCAGGGTACGGTTAGCGAAAGCGTGAATAGGCTGTTCGCCTCCAACAATCCCATTAGAGCGATGCAGGGTGTATTGGCCGCCGTCCTTCTATTGACTCTGATCGTTCTCTTCATTGTCCCAAGAGGCGTGGTCCCGAGGTCTGTGGATTCCATCGCGGCTGTGGCAGCGATCCTTTCTCGGAGTCCAGCTCTCGAGCGTCGACTGCGTGGTACCGGCCATATGAGCCTTGCTGAGCTCGAGGCCATTCTTGAGCCATACAAGTTCATGACCTCATTGCGTGATCAAGGGGGTTCAAGGATCTTTGAAATCCAACTGTTATCGAGCGACGGGTCTGGGGAGCACACCGTCCCGAACCAAGACAGTCCCGTTGGTACGGTAAGGTGGACGCGGCCATTCGTGCTGCGCAGGTTGGCAGTCGCCTTCACAATCTTTGCATCCGTCGCGGTCATCGTCACTCTCGAAGTGTTACTTTCCGAGTCGCACAAGAACCAGGGGCTTGGAACCGTACACAGCGAAGACACGGCGACAAGGTACAGCTGGCTGTATATTCCCGTTCTAGTCTTTCTGTTTCTGGGGACCCTCTTCAACGTCATGGATTTCGAGATTGAGTTTTCCGAGTCGTATCATTCTCTGACGAAGGGGGACTGCGACGCGAGCTCGACCATGTTCTGGAACCCTCTACGACATGTCTCCCTGTATTCAACCTGGAATGGTCTGAAACATAGCAAATTTGCTCTCACAGCAGCGTCAACTTCGGCAATCCTCGCCCCGTTTCTGACCATCGTTGTTGCAGGATTGTTTTCGACCAAAGCGATAGAGTATGGAACGCATGTCAACACCACAGCTTTGGACTGGTTCAACACGACACCTTACACCGACCCCGCGACTAACATCCCTGCGCTTGTCATCGAAGGAAACATGTCGTATCCCCAATGGACGTACAATGAGCTGGCGTTCCCGCAGCTGCAGTTGGACAACCGAGAGGCGACCACCGATAGTTTCGAGAACCCCGGATCAATATATGCCACTGTGCCCGCTCTGAGGGCTGCTGTAAGCTGCAGCGTCATACCAGATAGCCGTATATCCCAGAACGAGCTGGAGGGAGGCTATCTCATCAGCAATATCTCGACCCCAGAAGGTTGCGGAAACTCTGGCTACGAAAACACGCCCAACATATACTTGACCAACAATATCCAAGTCCCGGTCAACTCGAGTGGATACTTTGGGCAGACAGTGACGTTGAGTTTCAATGCCGCATCGTGCCCGACAATCGCATTGTACTATGGCCATGTGACCGACGACAACGAAATGGACCATTTCGCCGCGTTTCTCTGCAGCCAGGCCGTCGATCGCGTACAGGCGAACGTGACTCTGGACCTTCCCCGTCTTTCCATCTCGACGGAGCCCGTCGTCGCGCCGGACTCTGCAGTCCACTTTTCCAGCTGGTACGCGCAATCTCTTGCCCTCCAGGTACTGAACATCTCGTCGACGTCCGACATGTTGGACCAGGTATTCACGGCCATGGTGTACGGACGCGACGGGGTCCCGCCCGCCGAACTCCTGGACAACGACAAGCTCGTCGAGGCGTACACGCACTTCTACCGCCAGTACACGGCCCAGCTGGCCAACATCTACCTCCGGGCGGAGTTTTCCACCCTGTCCGGCAACGCGACCGAGACCGTCGACGACCCCCTCTCGGCGGTCTACGTCAACCCCAACCACTACCGCCTGATGCAGTCGAGCATCTCCACGCAGATCTTGGTCGGCGTGGTCTCGGCCCTCCTCGTCTGCGCGGTCATGATCATCTTCACCGTCGACATGCGGAACGTCCTGCCCAAACCCATGGGCAGCGTGGCCTCGGTGGCCAGTCTGCTGGCGGGCAGTCGGATCGTCGATCCGCAGTCCGGCTTGGTCCCCGAGGGCTCCGAGTTTTGGAGCGACGGCCAGTGGGAGCGGAGCGGCATATGGCAGGGCGAGATGTTCAGGATGGGTTGGTGGGACAAGTTTCAGCAGCCGTGCGAGACCTGGCACGGCGAGTTGGACGACAATCCCAACAAGTACATGGCCGTGGCAACGGGCGGGAAGGACGATTACGCCCTGTCCGCCTTCAACGGCGGTGAGGGAGCCGAGTCTCACGATCGCCGCTCGTTTAGGATCGACGCCCGCCCGAGGGTTGTTTCATGAATGGATGTGATGTGTAAATGTAAATGAAATGATAACATGTAATTCGTAATCTTAAAAAATCGTGGGCTTGACGATACATTTCTGGTGTACCCAGTTAATTTTGATGATCTTAAATGGTGTTTCGTCATGATATGAGGTCAGAAAAATGATAATGTGTATCAACGTTGATCACTCTCTTCCAACGATACAAACTTAAAATACTCCATCTCCCAGTCCAGAGGAGCCGAGACACCCCAAGGGTCAAAGGAGAACTTGACCATGTTTACTCCGAGGTACAAACCGCCCGAAACCCCAAAGGAAGACCAACAGCAAAGCGTCTTTTGGCCTAAGCCGCACGTATTCATATGAAGCGAAAATTCCCGTGATGGCTCTGGTATGATTTCAGCTCTCCATCCGCCACGCTGAAATGCTTCCTCCTTACATCTGACAGCCGTGCCTGCCCGGGATGTGTGGGAAGAGTCTCACTACTGGTACTTTGCCGTGAGTTCCGGACAGTGTCAAAGGGCAGACGTGGCGTCGTTATTGATTGTCCATTCGTCTGACAGTGGCGTGTGGTCTCATTTCTATCTTCGTCGATGAGGTCTTCAAATTCCCACTGGCTGTTAGAAGATGCGGCGGAGTCAAATTGACCATCACTTATTAAACTGGCACTTCTCTTAGAACCTGGTAGATTCTCGATTAGCGAGTCTAGGGGACTTGCAGCACGGAGAGTTTCCTGAGCAGGCGGTCCCATGCCTGACCACCTGGACCAGGAAGGTTCTCTTGAAGCGGGTTCGTACAATGATAGCAAAGACAACGGCTGGGTATAGCGAGCAACACTACGCCTGCCAGGCGGATCTCGGGGCGTTCTCAGTGCGAATGAAGATCCGGCGTTGGAGAAACGTGCTCCCCCTTCCAGCCGTGCTCGTGCGCGTTCCGTGTGCCATTGTTGTCTTCGTGCCTCGAATGAAAGATTACTGTCCTCTGAAGTGACACGCAAAGAAGGGTTGGCAGGTTTGTTCAGTGATCGGACTTTTGCTGTCTTTGACCCATCCTGGGGCGGACTGGGAAACGAGTCAAGCACCATGGTAGTTCGTCTGCTGTCTAAAGGCGGGTGTAAATCACCGATGTCCAGGTCCTTATTGGCGTTGGAATCCATCATCAACCCGTTGCCATGTCCAGCTCCACTTCTTCTGTTTGGAAGAGCAATTATAGATTGCGATCGCGACTGCCGAGAGAGCGTTGAAGAACCTCGCTCATTTGTATCAATCTTGGAGCCCGACGGCTCGTGAGTGATTGACGTGCGAGCCTGCTGTTTCGACGGAGGGAGTTTTTCGCTCATTGCATCTCTCGGCGGAAGGTTTCCTTGACCTGGGTGGTTATTAAGAGGTCCCCATTTATATGCGAGCCGGGAATCATGAATTGATGGCAGATTTGCGGTACCGGCAGAACTATATCTAGGTCCCTCCGGCGCCTCGTTGGGCCATGTTGAGTCGATCCGCGTCGGTGGTGGTTGCATAGAGATTGGATTTTGGGGACCGCCGCGCTGCACAGGAAGCGGAGCAGTTGTGGGCTCTGAACATTCCCTCGTGGTGCTTTCGCGTCGCTGACTTTCGCCTGAACTCAGCTCTTGCTCACCGGCAACTTTTCTTTGTCCCCTTCTCCGTCTCATCACCCATAGCACGAGACAAAATATGGTTAGGAGCCCGCATGCCACTGCCAACATCGCTAGTATGATGGTTGTTACACGCCGGCTCGGGGTTTTGTTCGGTTGAGCACCTGTGTTGTAGGAATTATTGATCGTACCTGGTCGTGGGGTGGTTGTTGGCAGGGACCTAAGTGTAGACGTGCCAGAGGCTTCAATCTCTCTCAGCGCGGGCTGCAAGTCGACAGTAGCCCTGATATCCACGGTGCCATTTTTGAAAGTTACTGGTATGGTTATTGTGCTGGCAGGCAGACTCAATGGTGGCAGACCAGATAACGTTCGTCGCTGCGCATCAAAGTGAAGCCAGCTAGACGTGTCTCCCAGGTTCACGGTCATCTGTCCTGGTCCAACAAATCTTGATTCATTGACATTGTAGGAGAACTCTCGACCGAGAGTTATTCTGATGGTTGCAATTTTGCCGATAGGCCTGGTAACAAGATCCTTGTGCAGTATCTGAATCGTTGTGTTTGCAACATCATTATAGGTATCCGTGACACTAATTGTAACGTTGATGTCAGCAGTATCTGGAGCGCTGCCGCTCAAAACAATTTGACTTTTGTCCAGCTTGAGCCAGTCAGGTGCGTCCGTAGTCACGTTTGCAACCTGCACATCTGTAATGGCCTTTCCATTGAGCAAGAGCGAGGACCGAAGCGAGGGTGTCTCAAAGCGGGCGTTCCCGGAGATATTGTACTGCTGTATCGGTGCTGTGAACGCAAGGATGTTATCGCTAACAATGATATCAAATTGAACCATGGCTTGTGTGAAGTCTGGGATATTTGAGGCCATCATCACAAGTCCATATGTTTGAGAAGCCGGGGACCTCGGGATCAAGGGAGGGCTAGTACCTTTGAATGAGAGTTGCGAAGGGTCAAACTGTATCCATGAGGGTAGAGGAGAATGATTTTCCAACGCCGCAGAGTATTTTGTGTTCGAAGAGATTCCATGGAAAGTCTCAGGCGGGAAGATTACTTCGAAAGGCTGCGAAGGATGCAATATAAGGGAGTGTGGCGCCGACACAGGGCCAGCCGTTTCCAGTTGTGGAAGCACTGGAGTATTCGACGTCAACACACTTGGCTCGGAAAGCACCATCAAAGTAACAGTGGTCGACGTTTCTCCTGTCGAGTCTGAAGCTGTCAGTTGAAAGGTGTTTGTTCCGACATCTTCTTGGAGAGGAATTCCCGTCAAGAGTCGACTGCCATTGTCGAGTTGGAGCCATGTTGGACCACCGGTAATGGCATACACAACCTGAGGTAGTGGGGATACAAAAGTTGTGAGAGCAATCTCAAATTTGTATGGCTGGAGAACGTAAGCGACCGGAGGGAACTGGGAGTTTATTGGAAAGGCAAGCTCAGGCGTAGCTGAGCCAGCGCCCAACAGAAGCAAACCGACAAGTGTTAGCTTGGAAAGCATTAATACTTCAGCAAGCGTATTTCAATTGATATTGGCCACGTAGGAAGGCTGTTCTTTGACCAGCAAGTAAAGACTTGGCCTTGAGCCCGGTATAACCTGCTTCGGTGTTTTGATCCGTTCATAGTCGCATACGACGATCCGATCGTGCGGGTGCAAGCACTTAAGAAGAGTTTCAAGGGGCTGGCTGCACATCTAACAGATGCAAGGGATGGTCATGGGAGAGAATGCGGCGCTGAGACTCACGGGTCCTCATTCCACCTCCGACACATTTTTATACCGTTCCGACCTTTCGAATAATAGTCTGCTACGACCTCCTGATCCATGAACCCTTGCCGAGAGTATAAACGCCGGGCATCTTGGTTGGCTTCGTCCACCCACAGGTCAATTCCTCGGCATGACCAGGAACGCGCGCGGTCAATGACCATCTGCAGCAGTCTTTGACCCAGCCCCTTGCGGCGGTGAGATGGTGCAACGCAGATCTTGTGAAGTAGCAGCTGATGGTTCCATCTCACACAGACAGCATAAGCAACCAACTCCTGTGCCTCTGCAGTTTTCGAGAGTCCAACAAGGACGATCATGTTTTGCTTGCCCACAATATTGTCGTCGAAAGAAAATACTTCGTTTGCAGCAAAAACTTTTCTTTCTAGTTTCCGCATATCATCAAGGAGGGCTGGAACGCGGGATCGAGGGAGTTTTCGTAGTTCATTGAAGACCACATGCTCAGGCTGCAGCATTGGCTCTCCAGACCCTCTGCTATCTCCCACAATACAGGAGTGCAGAGATATCAACGGCGACGTGGACGATTGAGCAGCAAGATCGAGATGAGTCCTTGATATGGACTGATGTGTGCATAATGTTCAACTTTCTTTTGAGTGTTCAAGAATGCGGAAAGCGGAAACTGTCTAGTTGAGGCTTCCCTAGACAGAGTCTTGGCAGGCATCGCGTTCTTCAGCGACGCGTCAGTTGAAGTCACTCAACGCCTTTGAAGTCATCAAGCGTGTTCTCAAAACCATCAATAATTTGTTTCTCGCGACCGGACTTGCAATTTATTCAGGCAGTAACTCAAACTCTCTTCCACAGCGCCGAAAAATGCCGTCTACCGACTCTAAACGTGAAAAGGCACGGGAAGTGGTGGACATTCTCGAAGAGATCTCTGTCCTGCTGGTAGAAAGTCTCCATGTTCCAGGGAAAATCAGCTGATGGATGATCTCAGAACACCCAATTGGATCGGACTCAGCTATCACTTTGTGTCTCTCTGATTGAAAATGGAGTCAACCCCGAAGCCCTAGCCGTAGGTCGGAGCGACGCGATGCCGGGATAGTCACTGACTGTGCAGCAGACTGCGATCAAGGAACTGAAGCGAGACACGCAAGACCTTCAACCTGACTCTGCAATGTCAGAATAGTCGTGCTGGATGATATAAAGCCACTTATCTGGGGCCCTTGTCCGCAGAGAAGCGGTTGTGATGAAAATCAAATGAAAGCCAAGGTTTGAAATATCATTCACTACGACGACACTTCGAGGTAGACCCAAGCGCGTCGATATTGTCAGAACGCCCTTTTGCAGCTGCAAGACGGTGCCAGTTTCTTTCCCAAAGACGGATGAGTCAAGCCGCGCCGTGCCACTGCCCTGGTCAAACACACCGAGGCCAGTCTCGACAAATGTCTGTTGAAGATGGCCATACTGGGTCCTCAATTATATTGAAAAGAAAGACCACCGACTATCCCAAATATATGTGGGCCTTGACAGTCTCGATCAGCGTCCGAAATCATTACGGGTTATCACCATTGGCTAGTGGGGATGAAGTTGCTCATGGCCTGGTCCAGGTTGCATCATCTGAAGAGAAGGATTGGAATATTGTACCCAGCGACTCCTCTATCCTCAAAGCAGGCCTCCTCTCCGGGCATTACCGCCAGCTCGGAACGGGCATTGGATCTTATACTGGTGGATCCAGCTGTCCCTGGAGGCCATGGCCTCAACGCGATAACTACCGGTATGAAGAAGGATCAGCATTATTTAAATCCACCTAGGCACTACTGACGATATCACGGCCCAGTCGTAGCGACCTGAGAAAGCTACGAAGTATAAGCCTTCGAAGTTAAGGTCGGATCTGGCCACCACAAGTGTCGCTTTGAAAATAGTTTATTCTCGTATATCTATGCATTTTATTGTAACACGCATCGAAACTGAATGGTCGTCAGACCAGCAATTACTGTATCATTGAAGGCGGCAAGTGCAACCAAAGATCCTTTTGCTGCTGTGACTCCCAGAGCTTGAAAACCTGGCCGAGACGCGTTGTGCCAGATTACGCACGTGGTCAACTCTATCGCAGGCCAGGCACCAGACACAGGTACTTGTACAATATGTCCTTCATTGACAAAGGATTGCCAGATTGGCGGTCATTCATCTTGGCTTACAGTGTCTGAGAATCTGTAAGGAAAGATGCCATCGAACGCTAACCCAGTCTCAGGAGCCGCCAAGAGACCATCACTGGGGCTGCGAACAGGGGTCTTGCCCGGATTTCTGAGTCGAGCAAGTACATACTGTACGTTACAGAGTGGAGGTGCGCGAGGTGCTCCGAGAATACATGATACAGGAACAAGGACCTCGAGGTGATCAGTACGCAGATCGACAAGTAGAAGGAAACGGCGTAAAAGAATGACGTTTTCCCACAAGCTGGCGAGGAGTCAGGACGGTCACATTGTGGCTGAGATGCCCTACTAGTCCTCTTTGTGCAGGGAAACAGCCGTCCAGATGGACTAAGCGCCAACATACCTGTGTGAGGCTTGCCAGGGACATTCAGCTGGACGTCCTGTCCACCAGCCATTTGTGGAGTTACAGGGCTGTTTGCCGCTAGACTCAGGCCGGCGCGTCACTATCAACCACACAGACAAAGCCAACGCCATGGTCAAGGCAGGTTTTGAAGCATCGCATCAAAACATGGCCACCGGGAAACATGCAAGTCTTGCCACCGAATATAATGCTGCCATGCCTCGCTACCAGTCATGATGGCTCTCTATCCTCCCTGTAAGTTGTCGGCCTTCTCTGGACGCAGCACAGCATCTCTACCGTCGTACATTGTATCTACTGGTTTTGGCCGTTGTTGAAGCAATATACCCACTTGTGCGCTCTCATCACAATGCGCTTTTCCTCGGTCTTGACGTTGGCGTGCTCCATTGCCGCCTTGGTTCTCACGCTGCTGTGTCTCTTTGCAGGATCCAGCAAATCATTTCTCCAAGATGCCGATCTGTTGACAGTATGGCTCCCTGGGACTTCGCTTATTGTGACTATGGCTGACTGCGACCCAGCTTAACATCTCCCGAATAGGTCATGGGAGCCTTTTCAACACGACAGACGGCGACGGAGGTGCTCTGGATAATATCCTCAACAGTCTCGAGAGCGACCTCAACGACCTCGTCAACGATTTTAGCTCCGACATCGCCACGGCCCTAGACCTCCCCGATTTCTTTAACGTTCACGTAATGGATTTTTGTGAGGGCACATACACGCCGAATGCCACCCTGCACAATGCGAAAGAGAACATCACGGAATGCTCCAATCGCACAGTGGGATTTCATTTTGAACCTACCAAGATTGTGCAAGAGCATTTGCCGGACGGCGTAACCTTGGATGACATCCACTGGCCAGACGAGATTACAGATGCGGAAAAGGCTGTCAAAGTGGCCAGCGTTGCCATGACCGTGCTGTACATTATCGGTGTTGCGTTTGCCGGCATAGCTGTCCTTGCAGCTCTTGCGGGTATATTTATGAATGGGCGGTTGTCTGCAATGATCAATTTCCTCATTGACGTGGTAAGACCCCGCGCTGCGCCTATGGTGGTCGCAAGATTTGTGCTGACTGCGGTTTTGAAACAGCTTGCCTTCCTGAGCATCGGCATAGCATCGGCGATTTCTACGGCGGTCATCGTCAAGGCTGTGGATGCGGTTAATAAACATGGACATGATGTTGGGATTGCCGCTTCGAAAGGAGGCAAGTTCTTAGGAATGACCTGGGCAGCCACTGCGGTCATGCTTCTGGCGTCAGCAGTGTCCAGCGCTCAGTGCTGTGCACCGAGATCAAAGAGCCGAAGATATGGCGAGAAAGATCCATATTAGGCTGGGGTTTGCGGGTGTCGGCGAGAATCGGGTTGGTGTCAGAGATAGTGCTCCGTAGAGCCACATGTACTCCGTATCGGCAGAGGGCACAGGTACAGCCTACAGTACCTAAGGTACGGGTACTCCATTCCTGCCTCCTTGGGTACGATGATAATGATAATGTAGTATTGAGACAACGAGAATGATGAGGCTTTTTCTTTTTGGTACAGTACCCTGCCTGGGATGGTGGCTAGTATACAAGTTGGGCACCAATGCAGGAGGTGTTTGCAATATGTGTGTGTGGGTGTGGTTGTGGCTGTGTGTCCCGTTGCTGGACGACCGAGTAAACGACAATGCTCAATATCGCCCATATCGCCCTCTGCACTGATTACATACCGTGCCTGTTCTTGTACACATTGTCTTGCTCTTACTAGGCTCTCAGGTGCCTTATTGCCCGTGTCGCGTGGTCCTTGTGTTGTTCTGATTCTCGCCGTCTTGCGTTAACAGAGTGACGTAATTCGCGTGGTGTGCGGGTGATAGGCGGGGTTTGGGCTCTAGAGCGTCAAGTAGCGTCTTGGATCCGCCCAAGACGCCCCTGTGCGCCCAATCAGTGAGGGCTTAATGAGGGCTGTTTGACGCTTGCTCGGGGTGCATGACGGCATCGCGGGGCTGGCCGTAGTTGACTTCCGGCCTACAGCAACTACGGCATGAGGTGCCCCGGTGGCACTCAGCCCGCCCGCTAAACTCTCGCCTCTAAAGTACCTGTGCCTCAGGTACCTTAACTAATAATTACAGGTACCTCCCTAATAATAACCTAAAGTACCTTTTAGCCTCAAGCCTCTGCCCCGACGCACTACTGCACTGTAGACTCCCAGACTGCCAGCTTCACATCCCGCTCCATTAATTTAGTCACTTTGCCTACTTGACTTCACTATTCTTACCTTGTTGACCGGACCTCCTGTGCTTTTCTTCTCGCGACGTCCTCACCTTCACCAACACCACAGTCTTTCGCGATCCAGACACATACCAGACCGCACATTCCCTTCTCCGCGTCCTGTCTTGGTCAAACATCTCACCTCTCAGCGCCCACTTTTCAGCTTTCTCCAGCGTTTCCAGTCCTACTCTGACACAGGTACGTCGTCGCATGCGCCATTGTGATAGCTGTCGTTCACAGTCCGCAACTCAATCGGCGGCCAACACCCTTTATTTCCCTTCTTTGGCTTCCCGCACTGACTTCTACCTGTGCGCAGACTCACAAACCATTTACCTCACCCTGTCGTCATCATGCCTTCTGGCACAGCCGTGCACTTTGGCGGCGGCAACATTGGCCGTGGCTTTATTGCCGAGTTGATGCACGAGTCTGGCTATGCCGTCGTCTTTGTTGATGTCGTCGACGACCTGATCAACCGCATCAATGCCTCCAAGTCGTACAAGATCACCGAAGTTGGCCCAGAGGGCGAAAAGAGCAAGACTATCACGAACTACAAGGCACTCAACTCCAAGACAGACATGGATGAGGTGGTCAAGACCATTGCCGACGCCGAGGTAGTGACCTGCGCTGTCGGCCCTAACGTGCTCAAATTCATCGCCAAGCCCATTGCGGAGGGTATCATGGCGCGCACCAAGTCAAAGCCGCTGGCAGTCATTGCTTGTGAGAACATGATTAATGCCACTGATGCCCTCAAGGAGCAGATCGTCGACCCCAAGAACATGAAGCCCGACTTCCTCCCCAAGCTCCCCGAAAAGGCCGAGTTTGGCAATTCAGCCATTGACAGAATCGTCCCCACGCAACCCCCGGATGCCAATCTCGACGTTGTCATCGAGAGCTTCTTCGAATGGTGTGTCGAGACTACGGGTTTCAAGTCCGGTCATCCCGAAATCAAGGGTATCCACTGGGTTAATGACCTGGAACCGTACATTGAACGCAAGCTCTTCACCGTCAACACCAGCCACGCAACTGCTGCTTACTTCGGCTACTACAAGGGCTTGAAGACCATTCACGAAGCTATGGCCGATCCTGAAATCAGACAAGCAGTCCACGAAGCGCTCGACGAGACTGCTCAACTCATCAGTGGCAAGCACGACATCACCCCTGAGGAGCAACAAGAGTACGTCGAGACCATTGTCTCTCGCATCTCCAATCCTCATCTCGAGGATGTTCCTGTACGTGTCGGCCGTGCACCTCTCCGCAAGCTTGGTCGCAAGGAACGGTTCATTGGGCCTGCTGCACAACTTGCCGAACGTGGCTACGAAGTGAAGGCTTTGCTCCGTGGCGTTGAGATGGCTCTTCGCTTCCAAAACGTCGAGGGTGATGATGAGAGCTTTGAGCTAGCCAAGATCCTGAGTTCCATGTCCGCTGAGGATGCCACCACCAAGCTCACCGGTCTCGAGAAGGATCATCCTCTCTACCCCAAGGTCGTGGAGAAGGTCAAGCTCGTCCAGAATGAGAAGAAATAAGTAGTCTGAATCCAACAGGATTGTCCAGACTCGTCTTAGTTCTCACATCTCCTCCCACCCCCCTTCTCTCTCTCGGTCTTTTCGCATACGATTGACGAAACATGGAATGATTTTTTCCCGGAATTCATGAAGGTGTTGAAGGTTGACATCAAAAAGATTCTTAAGAGCCTAGCCTCTTGCGACGTGTTAGCGTTGCCCGACCTGTTCTTTTAGACATGGTATCTGGGAGTATCTCCAGACATTCGATCTTAAAAAGCATCAGTGTTACAATGAGATATCCTCCACAATCTTTTTCTTTCTTTCTTATTCGTCCTTTCCGTCATGTCTTTGGCAAGTTTGGTGTGGAAAAGTAATCGATGAAACGTTGAAAGCTACTCTACTAAGTCTTCCTGGCAGAGAATCGGAGTTTGCCGCACGAGAGGAATGTCACCAGTTCCGAAAGTCAGTCAGGTATGGTTGTGGTGGTACGCAAACACGATAATTCACACAGGTCCACAGCCGACGAAAAGTGTATCGGTTCAATGGTATCCGATTCAATATCACCTAAGGTGCCCTTGTTTCCTCGGGCCCGGTTGGTAAAACCCCTGGCAAATCCACCTAGGGGCTTTCGCGCATACACGGTAGAATCTCTACTACTTCTGCTACTGGGCAAACACGAACGAGGGATACCGCGACTCCTTCTCCTCGGTCAACTTGGCAATGTAGCTCTGCAAGCCGGCCAGGAAGAAGGCACTGTACTTCTTCTTGCCCTCGACGTTGTCGTTCTGGATCCACGACTTGACCTTGTCGAACACGGTCGCCCTGGAAATGGCCTGGACGGTGGCGGCCCACTCCTTCTGGGCCTGGCCATCCGCTTCGACCGTGCCGCCGCGCCCGCCGGCCCTACCTTTGTTGTTGTCGTGGTCGCCGTCCTCCCGGATTTTATTCTTCCTGCTGTCCACCTCGTCGATGAGGCTGACGATGAAATCTCCCTGCAGCTCGATCGAGGGGAGCATGTTTGCAAACGGGCCGCCGGGCCCGGTGACGGTGAAGAAGTTGGGGAACCCGGAGACGCTGACGCCGTACAGGGCGTTCGCGCCGTCTTTCCAGGCGTCGGTCAACTTCAGGCCGTCGCGGCCGGTGATGTCGATGTTGTGGTACGCGCCGTCGACGCCGTCGAAGCCCGTGGCGTAGACGATGACGTCGAAGTCGTCAAGGGACCGCCCGTCCCGGAGCTCCAGTCCCGTCGGGGTGACGGCCGCGATGGGGTTGCTGGATATGTCGACGAGGGAGACGTTGGGCTCGTTGAACGCTTCGTAGTACCCCTGCGTGCACAACGGGCGGCCTCCGTAGTGTCCCTTGGGCTGCAGTAGCCTGGCGGTTTCGGGGTCCTTGACGATCTCCGCGATCTTGCCGCGGACGAAGGCCGCCGCGGTCTCGTTCGCGTCCACGTCGGTCCCGAGGTCGTTGAACGTCTCGAAGAAGAAGCGGAAGCCGCCCCCCTTGTTCCAGATGCGCTCGTACACCTCGTTCCGCTCCGCCTCGGACACGGCGAGCGCCGACCGCTGGCTCTCCGCGAAGCCCATGGCAAACAGGGAGTTGAACACCGTGTCCCAGATCCCGTTGTAGTTGGCGTAGATGTCCTTCTTTTCTTCCTCGGACACCGGCCGGTCGTTGACGGGCACGATGTACTGGGCCCGTTGCTGGAACACCGTGATGTTCTTGACCAGGGGGTGAATCGCTGCCGTGATCTGGCTCCCGGACGGGCCGGTGCCGATCACCGCGACGCGTTTACCCCGGACATCGAGACCCTTGGGCCACCTCGCGGAATGGAACGAGACGCCCTTGAACGATTCGCGCCCGGGGAAATCCGGGACGTACGGATTGGTGAGGATGCCCAGCGCCGTGAGGAAGTAGGTCGCCGCAAACTCGAGCCCCTTGTCGGTCGCGACGAGCCACCGGTTGCTCGCCGCGTCGTAGTGCGCCGAGACGACTTCGTTGTCGAAGATGTAGTTTTTCAGCACGTCCGACTTCCTGGCCGTGTCGACGATCTGCACTTGGAGGTCTTCGGCTTTCAGGTAGCGCGTGTCCCACTTGGGCGGGTCGCGGTCGTCGGAGAAGCGGTACACCCAGCTCTCCGTGTCGGTCTGAGCTCCCGGGTACTGGTTCCAATACCAGGTGCCGCCCAGTTCGCTGCCCTTCTCGATGGCGACGACGTTCTGAAAGTGCAGCTTGTGTAGCAAGAGATGGACGAGCCGTATGCCGCCGAACCCTCCGCCGACGACGACCGCGTCGACCTCCTTTGGCTTGCTTGACATTTTTTTTTGGTTTTTTCCGAGACACAGATGCTCGCCTTTTGTGACACAGCGAAAGTATCTGAAGGAGAAAGAAGAAGAGGGGTATCCTAATCGCGCCCAGTGCCGAAGCGATGTCTGCCCTCGGGTCTCCCAGAACGTGCCTGGCCTGTATCGTTCGGCAAGCGAGCGAAACACGAAGCGAGATGCAAGGTGTTTGTCCAATGCTCAGACAACAAGATGAGAACACGGAACTCCGCCCTCGCTACCTGCCTGTCGGTGATCAACCAAGATATATGTGGTTGCCAGAACTCGTCGAAGCGAGCAATGTCGTGCCCCCGTGACCGCCATGGTGTGGCCTTCTCGAACGAACGACAACGACGTCGAGATAGTGCGTTCGCCGCTAAAATTGCGCGATTGATTGCGTTGTCGTCGTCCATTGGGAGCGAAGGAGGTTCAGGAGATCGTATTTCTCGCGGGCTGGCGTTGGATGTGATTCCTGTGAATGGAGGAGAATGTGAGACCTCCAGGAAGGTTTGCTCGACTCGACGAGGCGTGCGTCTCTCCTCGCTCGTATAGCCAATGCCCGTGTCTGGTAGCGCGGGTTTGGACAAGAAGGGCGACATATCACGCCATCGAATCAGCCCACTGGCCACACAGCAGGTCGATACGGGGCGTCTGGCGAGAAAAGTCACAATCGAGTCAAAGTGCATTGTGCCATGACTGATCAGGGTGCTCGTGCCTACATCGTGTTCACAGCTCAGGTGTCGTCTCGGAAAAAGGTCTTCGGGGTGGCTCGGTATCCAGGCTTTTTGACTCTGAGCTATCATCAAATGCTCATTCACGCTTCCCCTTTCTTGCGAGAGAAAAAACATCTGTCGCCACAAAACAGTCGCCGGTCAGCATTGCGAAGAAACCAAGATCGATGCTGGTATGTACACGAGTTCTCCTACTGAGACGTCTACCGTCTCTTTAGTTAGCCCGACGTGGGGGCCTCCGCGAGTCTTGCCTGGTTGGCTTTTGGAGCTGCACTTTGGGGGACATCTGGAGCATCTTAAAAGTTAGCTATTTGCCCGTACGAAGAAGAGTTCTCGGCCGAAACTCGGGTTGTATGTGAATAGACGTCCCTGCTTAGGACTTGAGTCTTGTATTGGGATGATCCAACAAGCGTCGTTCTTGTCCAACCATGTGGTGGAGGAAGCGTACGTCCTTCGATGGCGAATTCCCGCACTAGGGACTAACTAACTCGTCCACAGCAATCGATAACAATCGCGTGTCCACGGATGTGATTATGGTGCCATGAGATGTGTGAAGGCATGTGCTTGTAATATCAGTAGGTTCGTCCTAATGGGTCCTGAGAAGAGAATATCTAGTGCCATTACACCCCAATTGCTGATCCAAAACGTAAAGAGCTGAGCTGAGATCCACGACACCGACAGGCTTTATTAGTATTGTACATGTAATTGAAGCACTCACGGATTATGTTCCCCCTCTATCACCAAGCGCTCAAATACCGGGATTCTTGATCTCATTTCTCCGGCCCGATCTCAGTGCGGTTATCACTGTCTCGTTCTGGGCCTTCCGTTACGTGCTGCTGCGGCGTGAGTGTACATTGACGTTGACAATTCGCAGTGGAGACACCGTCACCACCAGACACGAAGTCCTGACGGACAAACCCCGCTGATGCTCCTGGAATCTGGGTAACGGCTGTACCGGTCTTGCTCTCCATCGTCATACTGCCACCACCACGCTTACCCTCCTCTGTATCCCTTGTATCATTTGCGCCAGTCTTATCCTTCGGTGGGAGGTTCTTCCTGACAGTACGCCACTCCATAGCCACCGCACCCAAGGTAGAAAGACAAGCCATGACCAGAGCAGCCTGGAAACAAGCCCTAAGGGAATCATTGTACGCCTTCAACGCCACATCGTGATACTGGTGTGGAATAAAGTTCAACAGATCCGTCGCACCGTGGTCCTGGATTACTTTGGCATTGATACCAGGGACACCTAGGAGGCGCAGCTTCTTCAACAGTTGATTGTCCAACAGGTTCTGGCCAACGGAAGTGAACACTGCGCCGAAGAGGGTCTGCCCAAAGAACATGAGCGACACGCCTATTGAGACGTCTTGGCGCGGCAGCACAGTCTGCGCGGCCATGTTGGGAGATTGATTGCAGAGCCCCATGCCCAGACCGTAGAGAACCTGATACCCGATCCATTGGCCTTCAGTGGAGGTGACGTGCAAGGTTGTGAGGAGCCCGGCGCCGATGGCCGTCATGCATGTCCCTAGAATCATTGAAGGCGTGTAGTAGCCTATCCTTGAGACCATTTGGCCGTTGAGGATCGAGGCGACCACGACGGGAAGGAGCATGGGCAGAATATGAATACCGCTTGTTACGGCTGAGACGCCGTCGATGGCCTGAAACCATACCGGGAGGTAGTAGACTAGCGATCATCCATCAGTAACTTCGCGATTGTGTGAAATTGTGCTATACGTAGATGCCGGTAGTGAGGGTGGCACTTTTCACGGACTAGGACTGGAGAGAGAGCTTACGAAATAACATTTGATGGGAGCCGATACAACAGCTTGCCCAAACTCCAGAGGCCACGCTCCGTTGAGTAATTATCCGAGGCGGGACGGTGGCTTGGTCAGGCTTCCAGACCTGAATCAATACAAAGACGATAAGAAGACCAATCCCTAGTGTTAATAGAGCGATGACACGGCCTTCACTCCACTGTTTACTATCGTGTCAGTCATGTCACATTTCTGTCTCTGTCGTCTTGAAATGGAATTTGAAAAGTGAAGGGTAAGTATGGCAATCCCAATGGTTGTGTAAAGATGAGGGGAGTAAAGACTTACAGCATACTTTGTCCCACCCCACTGCAAAGCCATACAGAGACATACGATCCCGGGGAAGAGAGCTAGCAGACCCAGAAAGTTGAGCTGTCGTATCTTTTCCTTCAGTGGCTTGTCCGTGCCAGGACGGTCAGGAATGTTGAGGAGGAAGAAAACAAGCACCATGACCACACCACCCAGAGGCAGGTTGATATAAAAGCACCATCTCCATGTTACGTTGGTTGTGAAAGCACCACCAATGAGCGGGCCAGCAACAGAGGAAACACCGAATACAGCACCCATGAAACCTTGGACCATGGGACGTTTGTGCAATGGGAGCGAGTAGACGATGACCACGACCTGGCAAGACTAACGTTAGCTATATCCCGGGATACGAAGGAACTCTGAGGACTTCAAAGGCGCTTCGATGGCAGACAAGGGATGTTGATACCTACAGTACCAGACAGTATACCCCCAGACCCGACGCCCGCAATAGCACGTCCGAAAATGAAAGCAATCGAATTTGGAGCTGCGCCGCAAACAGCTGAGCCAACCTCAAACAGGAGAACCGAGGTCAGAAATGTAACCTTGACACTGAACACAATATACAATTTGCCGAATACAAGCTGGAACGCGCAACTGGTGAGTAAGTACGCCGTGCCGTACCAGCCAATGTCGTCTGCCGAGTTGAATTCATTGGTGATTTGAGGGATTGCGGTCGATATAATTAGACGATCCTGTGAGCAAGACGAACATTCGTTAGTGAGTGTGAGTTCAGCATGGAGACAGTGTCTGAAGCACAAGCACGCGGAAGTTCAGTTGTTTCCAACGTACTAGGGAAGACAACAACATCCCGACCAGAACAGACATGAGTAGAAGCCATAGCTTGATTCCAGAAGGGTAGACGATATCAGATTCGCTGGTCTGAACATCTTTGGTCTTGTTGTTTTCACCATCTTCTTTTTCTTTACTCGCTGGACTTTCGCCATCATGCAATGGTGCTGATGCGGGTGCTGATTTCGACATGTTATCCGGTTTTCGCTTGTTCAACATGACGTAGGTGTATGCTTTCGTGAACTCAGGTTGCAAGCGTCTGTATCGAAATTGTTGATTGACTCCGATGAGGAAGATTGGTAGTCGAGCAACCCCAGTGGGAAACGATCAATCCGACTGCTAGACTAGACTTGATGTAAGTGGTGCTCTGAGGAGTCAAGGTTCAGATAATGCGAACAAAACAATAACAGCTTTCCAAGAGTAACCTTTTATAGCACGAGTGTGAGCATGAGGATAACTGCGATAGCTCCACGACTGTCTTATACCTGTTTCAATGCGCGTTTCCGTCTCCTAAACGCGGAAGGCAATAGTTTGTGACGGGCCCGAAGGGCGTGCGCGGAGGTCTGCTGGAGTGCAAAGCCATTGATGGCAAAATACAGACCTCGCGAAGTGTCCACGACCCACATGAGTCGCTTGTATTAGCAGGATCCCAGGCCATTGCTCTGCACTGGCGGAGGACGAAGTAAGTGAATACGGAGGGAGACGGGGGAGGTTTGCTTGTAGTCGAGGGACGAGTTGTCCGAGGCTAACCTCTTGTGGAAGTAACGGAGTTCCCGAAGGAAACTTTTCGGCCCCGCGACTCTGGACAGACTTCATGTCACCTCTGCAAAGAGAGTGATCTGCTAATATCCCTAAATTGATCTCAGTATCATGTTTTCTGTCCGTCCCAGAAAATGCCTCCCCATATCATGACCATTCCTTTGCATCCCTCCCACCGGAGACATGCCGCCAGTGTCGCCAAAAGCACACCACCGGCCCCATAGACACGCTTGTTCGCGCTGTGCAAGTCGAAAGATACGTTGCGATCGCGACAACAGAAATGAAACATGCACCAATTGTGTCAAGGCACATGTCACCTGTGCAAACGATGTTGTCGACAATAAACCCTCTCGGCCGCGAAAAAGGGCGGCGAATGAGAGTGTATACGACCAATTGGCGCGGTATGAGGGTCTCCTAAGGAAACACCACATCGAACTTGGTCGAACGCATACATGGGTGCCGTCAGAGCTGGAGGCTAACATCAGAGGACAAACTCGAGCGAACGCCCCGGAGACTCCAAGTTCAGTGGCCAGCGGTACAAACATGCAGTTCGAAGCTAGCCCTGCTGATCGTCGGCCTTCTCAAAAGATTCCTTCGGGACGTGTATTGGAGCCGGCCGATGGTCACCATTGGTCTTCAGAAACACAGATTGCAGATCTCGAACGGTAAGTTACCTTGCTGCATCCTCTGGAGCAATTTCTGTTTTTAAGAGGTTACGTGACTGACCTGTCCTCCAGATGTCTCTGGTCCGATCTGAGCCCAGAGCTCAAACATCCTCCTGTACAAGTTCTACGCCACAAAGAAGACCCGTTATTCCTTCCAGGACCAACACTGGACTCGGTATGCTCCAGTAATGCCCACACCGACCTCAAAGACTTACATCCAGAACCACGACACATTTTCCGATTCTGGCAAATCTTCGTTGAGCGCGTCAATCCCCTCTCCAAGATCGTCCACGTACCCACACTACAGCAGCGTATGCTAGACGCAAGCTGGGATCTGAGCGGCGTCTCAAAACCGCTCAACGCGATACTCTTTGCCATCTACACTCTCGCCGTAACGTCACTGACTTCCGCAGAATGCCAGTCCTCCTTCGACGAGTCCAGAGACGTGCTGCTGTCACGCTACCGACATTCTGCACTCCGTGCACTCATGGCAGCCGAGTTCTTGACGAGCCGAGATTTTGAGGTTCTCCAAGCATTCGTCCTGTTCCTCCTTGCGAACCCAGAGTCAGAGCTCACGTGCACTTTGACCGCCGCGGCTATCAGAGTTGGCCAGACGATGGGTCTCAACCGTGCTTCCACGGACGGTAAAATCTCATTCTTCGAACAGGAACTGCGCATTAGGCTATGGTGGCGGCTGATAGGACTTGACAGCAAGACTCGCTCCGTCGCCAGACCACCACTCTCAGAACTAGGCGACATTCGACTTCCGCTCAATGTCAATGACGCAGACTTGCATCCAGACATGGTCGGGCCTCCCGCCGAGCACAGCACGCCTACCGAGATGATGTGCGTACTAATGAAGTACGAAGTCGCGCGTTGGCTCCGCACATCCCCGACGGCAACTAAGGTTTTCGAGAACATCTTCCAGGGCCACCAGGCGAACGGTCAGAGGTCCAGGCAGCTCGAAGAGGAGGCAATCAGCGAACTCGATGCCATGTATCACGCGAAGTTTCTCGACCACTGCGACCCGCGCGTGCCTCTCCATGGACTCACGTACGCCATGGCGAAGCTCGGCATTGCGCGCATGCGCTTCATCGTCCTCCATCCTCGTGTGCGCGCCGTTGTCGGCCCCGACGGTGCCAGGTCCTACATGACCCGAGAAGACGGCGACAAGCTCTTCGACGCGGCCGTGGCGGTTATGGAGTTCGTCGACATCGGCGTGCGCAGCAACAGCTTCTCGTTGCACCTGTTCACGCACATGGCGACCACGAGGTTCCAGGCAGATGTCTACGTCTATGTCATAAGCGAGCTCCGGCGACGTGGGTCCGGCGACCGAGTCGAGCTGGCTTGGAAGCTGGTCCAGGCCCTTTACGACGAGCACCCGGAACTGGTTACCGACACGGAGAACACGCTCTTCGCGACCCTGGGAGACTTGACTCTCGAGGCTTGGGAAACACGCAGGAGGCACCTCGCCGGTGCACGTGGCTGTGGTTCAAACAGCACGCCGCCTTCTTTCATCCAACGGCTCTGGCAAAAACGTCGAGCAGGGGCCGTCGTTGAAGAGCCCGTCCAATTGACTTCCACTTTGGATCCTCCTGATTTCGACAGCCTCGCATGGACAGGCGACACAGATTTTGCTTGGGAGAGTTGGACCACCGATTTCCTGCGCCTGTGAGATTGACAGGTACCAATAGATCAGATCCAGACGTTAAACAGATCGAACAAAGATATAGGCCGGTGCGGTTCTCTGCCTCCTTTTAAAAAAGATCTCTCTTTTGTCTACCCGTGCAGTGGCTTACACTGGAAATTCACCTCCAACGGACTAGTAGCAATCATGTAGAATAAGGTAGACATCGATTTTCAGCGCTGTTAGAGAAAATTCTATGGGGTATCACGCAAGCCGCGTTGAAGTCGGCAAAAGCAAATGTCATCGTAATCATACATTTGAAAAGTCCGTGTGTGTGTGTGTGTGTGTGTGTTGGGTGCGTGTGCTGTGTTCCCGGCCTCCGCGCTTGATGGCAGAAGTCACACTTTACGGTCCCCACGTACAAATCACGACTTTTTGTAGTTCTTTTCTTCCATTCCAGCACCGTTACCAGCCATCGTCTCCTCCTCCAGCCCAGATGTTGAATGCAAGGGTACAGGTACACTGCCGAGGTACCGAATAGTCAAGAGCATACACTAGTCCGTCGGTGTGCCCTGCAATGCTGATGGTCGGCCGGCAAGCCAGCCAAACAGAAGGCTCAAAAGGGCAACGGAGGTACGTGATGCAGCTCAAGACGAATAGGTACAGGTACAGGTACAGGTACGTCAAAGTGTGGAAGCTTCCAGCGCCCTCTCGAGGCTCTCAAGTCTCTCCTTCGCAATTTCTCGCTCAAGGGGTCCTGAGGGATTCCGATGACGCTCGATCAGTTCCTGAAGACCAGCCACATCACCGTGCGTCTTGAAGCCTTTGAGGACGCTCTCCAGTTTCGTCATCATCTCTTCCCATTCTTGTTCCTCGTCGCTGAGCACGGTGATAGCACCACCAGCGCCGATATGCCATTTCTGCATTGCTGGGCTTTGTTCATCCCGCGCGGGAACGTCCTCGTCTGCGTGAGAGAATGCTGTGCGAATACAGACAGACCAAGCGCCATTGCCAGTGACGTCCATGTAGCCTATTGCCCCGGAATAGACGCCTCTGTGTCGTTGTTCAAGGTGGTGAAGGATCTCGCAGGATCGTTTCTTGGGTGCGCCCGTCATACTTCCGGGTGGTAGAGCAGTAGTCAGCGCACGGATGCCGTATTTGATCATCTGCGTGATAGACGCTGAAGAGTCCCGTGAAGTTCCAGCAGGGATAGGCACATGTGCGCGGATGTGAGACACGAGGCTGTATACAGTCTCTGTGGTGACTACGTCGCACAGACGGACCACTTCAACCAAAGCATCTCGGCTAACCACAGTGTACAAATCATGACGAATAAGATCAGCGATCATGAGATTCTCGGCGGACTCTTTGGCAGAGGAGAGAATCTCAGTAGCTTTCTCGAGTGTCATTTCGGGAGTTCTCTTGACAGTGCCTTTCATTGGAACCATGTCAATGGTGCCGGCTCGAGACCAGGAGAGGAACTGTTCTGGGGAAGACGAAAGAATTGTGGTCTTATTGAGACGTATGTAAGCGGCGAACGGGACGGGGTTGTGGCGCTGAATATTGTTGTACAAGAGGAAAGAATAATCGTGATCCACTTCGGATTCATTCTTAGGAGAGGTCACCGTCGCTTCGGTCGTAAGACAGAGTTCGTAAGAATTTCCGGCTAGGAGTTCGGCCTGACAATCACGAATTTGGGCAATGTACCGATCATGGTCAGGCATTGAAAACGTGGAAGATGATAGTGCGAGGTGCAGTTGCATGCTATCGTTGGGTCCTGATTTGATCGGATCGGTTGGCTCATTTCTCTGTAGCAAATGGCTCGTTTCGGCAACCCATGCACCATCGTTGCAGCCTCGTAGTGAAGAAACCCCTCGAATTGACTGAATGTACACACGCTTGGTTTCGTTATCGACGACGATGCTGCGGTCAACCCACAAGAGGCTGAGATCTGGTATGAGGCGCTCGCCTTCCATATATCGAGCGTCCAGACTAAGGGAATCAATTCCAAACTCATAGGATAGAAACCCCACGAGTCCGCCTCTGAATGGAATATCAGAGCTGTCGTCGTTGATTTGCTGGCTGCACATGAAGATTTCCAGGACTTTGACCATTTCGGCCCGGTCAATTGCAACGGACGCGTTTGCCACAGTTTTATAGCCCACATATAGAGAGCATTCACCGTTGAGATATTCAATTCGAAAGTTTGACGAATCATTGCACGAATAGATGCTGTATCGTCCTCTCTTTGTTGACTCCAGCATCACCAGAGGGGTTTCTGAACCTCGAAGTCGCCATAAATCAGTAAGGTTGCGATGTTCAGGGTCGAAAGGTATGCTTGCGGATACTATGGTGCCGTTGTTTGTGCTTACAAGCCCATGGAGAAGATCGAGAAGGCGTTGACTGGAGTCACTGAGATCCTTTACATCTGCTTCGACGGCACCGACATCACGTGGAGGTTCGGTTGAATTGATCCATTCGGCATCGTGAGGCCCTTCTTCTGAAGGAGAATGGTCCAAGTAGGTGTTGTCGGGGGTTTTGGAGGTCTCGACCTGGCCGGATATCAAGACAGGTCGTTGGTGCTCCGCATTGTGCTCTGTTGCAGAAGACCACCATTGTTTGATCAGGTCCAAGCAAGCAGAGTTGGATTTGCACGACTCCGGGTGAAATTGAACACCGTGAAAATGGTGATCCTTATGCTTCACTGCCATCACCCATCCATCCTTGTCCCATGCTAGAAGTTCTAGGTGTTCTGCTGGGCGCACAATAGCCTTGCTGCCGGTTGGAGCAGAAGAGGCCGAATCAGTAGATTGTAGGCTTTGAAGGGAAACAAAGCTTTCGAGAGATCCAGTCGAAGTCCGTCGGCTCCTGGTGATATCGAGCTTGAAGTCCTTAACTCTGACGCCAAGACTGTTGTAGTTAGTTGCAACGACATGCGTCGAATTGGCAAAGATGTCGGTCCCGGTGTGAAGCACATCTTTGGCATGTCCATGACAGGGGAGTCCCATTCGAACAATCGGTAGGCCATACTGGGCACAAAGACTTTGAAATCCAAGGCAGATCCCGAGTACCGGTATGTTGAGGAGTGGCGCCCACTCCCAAACATGGTTGAACAAGCCGACATCCAAGTTATTGTAAGGATTGCCAGGACCAGGACCCAGGACTACGGCATCAAAACCGGTGAAAAACTCTTGATACCCTTGCTCATACTGCACCGAAATGTCACAGTCGATTCTGATCAATGTGACCTGCACACTAAGTTGCTGGCGAAGCAGAGCAGCAATGTTCTCGGCGAATGAATCATAAGCATCAATGAAGAGGATCGTCTTTTGTGGCGCCATCTTGAAAAGAGAATGACAGAAGATGAAGATGTACGGTCTCAAAGAGAATCCATGTCTTGGGGAAAGAATTTATGAAAACAGGCTCGCCAACAACGCCGTAAAGAGACAATTGTCGCCTGTTTGACAAACACACGATAGAAAAGGGAGACACCTACCCGCGGATTGATTACAAGCCTGTGACAAACATAAACAGACTTGTCTCAATTATGACTTGAGGATAGGAAACTTTTCACGGGAGCAGAATCCATCGTGTCCGGAAGATGCCGCTTTAGCGAAGGGATGATGTTCTCATCCCCAACCAGGAAACAGATTGATGCCGCCCTTTGCTCGCGATCGCCCTTTCTGGTTCTGACTTCCCTGGATACATGCCCTTCAAAATGTCAACGGGATCTACTGCCTCCACGACGACCCTTACTTTTCAGGTTGTCACAGATCTGACCATATGCGTCCTCTCTCCGACAGATTCTCTCTCCACCTGTGAACTCAACCCCGTAATATGGCACCGCATAGAGAAGGAGCTCTACTTGCACACATCTCAGCAGAGCGCATGGCTATATGTAGCTCTAGCGAATGAGGATGACCTTGCAGCAGAAGACCTGCTGCTTGTGGATATCGCCATCGGCGAGGCGCCTCCCCATCCTAGCTCAGATCGTTCATGGGAGAGCCGACCTGGCGGAATTTGGGTGCTGAGAAGCAAGTTCTCTGGGAAGATTGATAATGTTGTGACAGAGGTTGATGTTCTCTTTGGCATAGATGCCATCGACCCACGACCACAATGGACTCTCATGCGCTCACCGCTCGAGCTTGACGTTCAGCCAAATGTGCCGGTTGCAAGACTAAGCCTACTCCACGGCAGGGCCAAGCGGAGACCGGATGATCGAGCAGGTCTGAGAGTCAGAGAGGATGGCAGATTCAGAATTGTCCAGATCTCTGACACGCACATGGTAACTGGCGTTGGGGTATGCAGCGACGCTATTGATGCGCATGGGAAAGATCTCCCGGAAGGCGAGGCTGATCCACTCACCGTGGATTTCATTGAAAAGATCTTGGATATCGAAAAGCCAGACCTGGTAATTCTCGCTGGAGACCAGTTACACCACGACATCTCCGACAGCCAGTCTGCCCTGTTCAAGGTGGTTGCTCCTATGATCGTGCGTTCAATTCCCTTCGCAGCTGTTTTTGGTAACCATGACTGCGAGGGTACCCATGCACTGACACGTAAGTATTGTCCCCCGACGATTCGGAGCTGTTGCACTCTCCCAACCTATGTAGACCGCTTTGTTACGTAAGAAATTTATGGAATTCTATTAAGCTGGGTCTTGGGCACGACCAGCTGTCCATTCTTGCTGACCAGACTACAGGCACAGCACAGATGGCAATACTTCAAAAACTGCCTTTTAGCCTCTGCGAGTCAGGTCCACAGGAAGTTGACGGTGTAGGCAACTTCTACCTCCAGATCCTGGCTGCCGCACCGTCACAGTGTCCATTATCGACGCTATATTTTCTAGATTCCCACGGTCAGATTCCGAGCAAAACAATCCATCCCGACTATCATCCTATTACAGAAAGCCAAATTGACTGGTTCACGAATGTTTCCCAAGCGCGAAGAAGAGATCGTGAGGAGAATACCAACAGTCTCTATCATCTGTCTCTGGCTTTCCTTCATATCCCTGTTCCCGAATTCGGAGATCCTCGTCTAAACATACGCAACGGCCATCGGAGGGAACCGACAGAGGGCCCCAGTTTTAATTCTCATTTCTACGACGCCTTGGTTAAGGAAGGCATATCAGCACTGGGCTGCGGGCATGATCACGTCAATGATTTTTGCGCTCTGCTGCCACAATCGCCGCAAGATGGCAACATAACTCCTCGCCCTGGGCCTTGGCTATGCTATGGAGGTGGTAGTGGATTCGGGGGATATTGTTCGTACGGCAAGGAGCGATTCCACCGCCGAATGAGGATTTGGGAAATCGACACCACTACGGGGAGCTTGAAGACCTGGAAGCGGGTCGAATATGTTGTTGACAGAGTAGATGAGCTGGTGCTCGTGGAAAATGGAGTTGTGGTGTGAAAACTCCGATCCTCCAACCCCTCGGTGCGGTTTTGAACCCTTTTAGGACTAGGATATCTAAAGTAGGACCTTAAAATATAGACAAAGAGACATCCAGTGAGAATATACAAACTCAAACCTCGAGGAATGAAAGACGAAAACGCAGAAAAGAGTTCTCCATCGACTTGGAGAACGGAAGTGTAATGAACCGGATATCAGAGTCTTCTGACCTTCCCAGAAGAGCATCGAAGTCAGATACTAGATTGGCGAAATGAGACTGCTTCTACTTCAGGGGCACACAGAATTTGAAAGGGAATATAGTCTGTACGCTCAGAGACAAGAGGGATAACATTTGTACCTAAGATTCGAAAGTGAGAAGAGGGTGAGTCGCGAGCATATGGTCTTAAAGCGGCACCATCGTGCTGCCAAGCGGCGCTGTTTGCCGCGAAGCCCGTACAAGGCAGGAAAAGCGAGCCAACCCGGCTACGTGCTACTGGCACTGACATCGTCGTGTCTTTGCTTCTCAGCCGTCGACGTCTTCTTGTGGGAGGAAGCGACAAGAGACAAGCCTGGAGATTCTATCACATATCCCCAGAGAGGCGACGCATCCCCTTTAGACACGTCACGTCAAGATGAGCATGTCTTGTATATGCTGTACCGATCTTCAGAATGGCCGACTCCAAAGAGGATCTGACTGACAAGGCACACTTTGATCCCAACTGGATTGCCTGGAACGGAGGTTACCTACATTCTAACAATGGTATGAGTGACCGGTCTGTGATGGGCCGTGCTAACAGGAGCAAGTGCTGTTTTATTTTGCAACATCGCCCTTCTTTGACCAGGTCTCGGGCAACCAGTCTCTGTTTACCCAGTGGGCCGGAACTCCCAATCAGAATGACATTCTAGGGACACGAGCCAAGTTCGAAGCGAACCTACGGCATCAGCGTGGCATCCAGTACGTTGTTGAGCATGATCCTCTCGAAGAGAATGTGACGCACGATGGGCCAAACGGTCCTGAAAAGTCCAACGTGTGGGTCATTCGCAAGCAGAATCGAGAAACCGAGGCAGACAGCAGCGTCACGACTCTAGGCTATTACTACATAGTCAACGATGTGATCTACCAAGCACCCCCTGTGGCCAGCATTTTCAATTACCGAATGGTAAGCTCTCAGGATCAAGTGCTGAGCTGCGCAGACTCACAATGCCACAGTTGAACACGGTTTCGGCACTGGAGACTGTATTTTCTGCGCCTGCCGACATGTCCTTCTTCGACGTATCTCACGGGCATACGTATCACAAGCCTGGTCACAAATCAACAAGCCAGGCGTTGAACAGCGCCTCTCAGCAAAGTAAAGAAGACACGCCACTGCCGGGAACACAACCACCTGCAGGAGAAAAGGCCAATGGGACACGGCCTCAGGCAGATGGTGAGATCGATGGCCGGACTTTATGGGATGCCCTGCGCATGACTCTTCAGCACGGCAAAGAGTATACGGATGATGTTTCCCTGGTCGGTGAGCCTGGAAACTTCAGATTCTCGAAGAATAGAGAAGCGGCAACTGGTCAACCCAAAAGCCAAATCCAAGGCGCTGCTACAGCCACACCCACTCAATCTAGGGCGGCCTCGGCGGTACCTGCTGCAAAAAGCCCGGGTGCCGGACTGGTGAAGGGATCAAAGGCGGGAGAGAAAACCATCTCTGCGGTCAAGATACGCGGAGTTAAGCAGGAGAATCAAGTCCCTAGGATGTAGGTTGGTTGGACCAGGGCCCGCCCCATGGAGATGGAATTTCATGATGTGGTACATGGCAGCGAGAGTACCAAGATGACATCCTGGGCAGGAGAATAGATTATGGATTGCTGCGCACCGAGTGAGGGCTAGGCATTGAAAGCAACCACTTTACCTGGGTACCTATTATTATGTGTCTAAGGTACCTAGTGATACTCTGTTCCTACTCGTATGCGTGAATCCAGCCTTTGCTTCAGTGCACGTGAAAGGCTCGCCTGGCCTGCCCCAATGGGGATTAGTGCATGAGCAGGCAGTAGTTAGTTACGGCAGGCGGCGTCATTCTCAAAAGAGCATCATTACATTCACTGTGACTTATTTCGCCGCACCGCTTCCTCAGTCTCTCACTCTCCCTCGCCGACTTTACCTTTTGTTCTTTGTCGCAATTCAGAACTACAATCACACTGCCTTTGCCCGACATCTCTACCGCTCAATCCATCCACAACCTTTGCTCGACGTATCTTGTTTAATCAAACGTCCCGATCAAACTCGTCTTGCGTCGCGGGGCACGATGAAGCTCTCATTCAGGGTTAGCCAATCTCGCGCTGGCAACGATACCTGGATTTGATCAGAGACTGACTAAGGCGATCAGGATTTGAAACAACAAAAATTCACGATCGATGCCGAACCCACAGACACGGTATGGAGACAGATCCCACCGCTTGGACTCCTTGATTGATTGATTGTCTTTAGATCGCCCAGGTGAAGGAAAAGGTCGCAGCAGAGAAAGGATGGGACGCATCAAGTCAAAAGCTCATCTATTCTGGTAGGGAATCACCAATGTATTGACCCATAATGTATTCACACCTGCGCAGGCAAAGTTTTGGCAGACGCCAACACGGTCGAGTCCTACAAGATTGAAGAAAAGGGTTTCATTGTGTGCATGGTCAGCAAGGTCAGTCCGCGATGATTTTAACAGCTCCGGCGTCTTTCCTAACTCTTTCCAGCCCAAGGCTGCACCAGCTGCTAAACCTGCCCCTCCTTCAACGCCCGCCGCATCGACGTCTGCCTCTACGCCTGCGGCCCCCCCTGCTCCCGCTGCACCTGCGACTCAACCTGCTGCTGCTGCCAACCTACCTTCTACACCCACTCCAGGACAGGCCGCAGCCTCTGCTCCTGAAGTTGAAAGAGGTTTCAATGATCCTTCCGCGTTCTTGATGGGCAGCCGGAATGAGGGGCCCATTCGAGAGATGGAGGCCATGGGTTTCGAACGATCACAGATTGACGCCGCCCTCCGAGCTGCGTTCTTCAACCCGGACCGAGCGATTGAATATCTCCTGAACGGCATTCCGGAAAACGCTGGCCCTACGGAGCCGTCAACCTCTGATACTCCGAATAGATCCTCGGCCACGTCCCCTCCAGCAGCAGCCGCCCAGACAGCACAGCCAGCCCAAACTGGCGGAGACGAACCCATTAATCTGTTTGAAGCCGCTGCTCAAGCCAATCAAGGAGGTCGTGGTAGTGGCGGTGCCGGTGCTGGTGCAACAAGAGGCGCTGGAGCGGCAGCAACTGGAGCCCAAGGCGCAAACATGGACTTGACCTATCTGCGAAACAGCCCCCATTTTCAACAACTGCGTCAAATTGTCCAGCAACAACCATCAATGCTCGAGCCCATCCTACAGCAAGTGGCCGAAGGAAACCCCCAGCTTGCACAAATGATCAGCCTCAACCCTGACCAGTTTCTCCAGTTGCTTGCAGAGGTACGTTGTGTCTCTTTGCATCCATCCACGGTACTAACTACAAATTCAGGGCCACGAAGAAGGCGATGGAGCACCTCCCATGGGTGCCGGCGTCGTCACTGTTACTCCCGAAGAGCGCGACGCCATCGAGCGATTATGTAGACTTGGATTCTCCAGAGACCAAGTCATCCAGGCGTATTTTGCTTGCGACAAGAACGAAGAATTGGCAGCGAACTTTCTTTTCGAGCAGCCGGAAGACGACGAACCGGGCGCATAGTTGCAACTCTGACAAGTATGAGAAGTGGCAACGTAAAGCCTACGCTCCTTCACCTTGTTTCTTGGTCGAAGACGACTGTTATCGATGTCACATGATGATGAACATGGCGAATTGAATGCATACTCGAGAGTCACCTACTTACTCAACTGAAGAAGAGCGTAAGGATCGGGTGACATCAGCTCCAGCAGAAGAAAATGTTGTAGGTTCTACGCGAGTCTTGTCGTCCTAAGCTCGGATCGTCCTGGCAAGAAGATGTCATCACCAATATGAGCTCGCTCTGACAATCCCCCCTGTATTCGTTAATATCCTGGGCAAGTAAGAGTGCCATAGAAAATCGTCGTTTCAAGATCGAGTGCGTATCAGACTTTGATCGGGAAGATCCCATAGACCTAAGTAGGAGTGCCTTCGGGCTTTCTACTCGGTTGATGCTATGCCGACGAGGCTGATATGACGAGGCTGAAAACTCCGTAGAAACTTGGGGTATGAGATTTTGGGCAGCTCCAACTAACAGTGTCCGCAACCTCGTCCGAATAGTCTAGTCGTGCATACTGCCAGCCTTTCCCTGTGCTCAAGCACGCGCAGCGAAAATGTCTCGCCGAGCAAAGGATACGGCGAGGATCCTTTCCGACTTTGTCTCTCTCTCCCGCGGACATCCTTCACCCCGAGCGGCAGCCGCAGCACCTGCACCCTCACTGTGCCTACAATGCCGCCGTAGTCGATTCTTCGACGACCACACCAACCCGTCCACTACTCGCTTCAGGGCAGCGGCGGCCAATCTCGAAGGGTCCCGGCGCACCTTCACCACCTCCTCGGCCCTCCTCAAGAAGTCGTCGTCCTCGTCCAAGTCGTCGCGCAAGTCGCCCGACGTGTCTTCGCCGAAGGTGAATACCCACATACCCGACAACGCCGCGACCAAGAACAGAGACAGCGAGGTCGACCCGTACGACTTTTCCGAGCTGAACGCGGGCATCGCCAACGCCATCGCGCGGCTGAAGGATGCGCTCGTCCGCACCCGAGACGCCGGCCGCGTCACGCCGGACATGATCGAGTCGCTCCCCGTCGACCTCAACGTCAAGGGCGCCGCGGCACACGGGACCCGGGCGCACCACGAGCGCGCAAAGCTGGGCGACATAGCCAGCGTGGTGCAAAAGGGCGGGAGGATGCTTCAGGTTTATTGTTCCGAGGAATCTGTACGTTCACGCAACGCACATGCACGCAAACACACACACCCCCCGGGTTTTTGTCCCCGTCCCTGTTCCTGTTTCCCTTCGTTGCCCTTACCTGATGTCTCGGAGATCCTTCTCTCCTCTCCAATAGAGTCTGAACAAACTCTGCGTGTGTGTATGTTTTTTGTTATGTGTACAGACTAACTCGTCCTCCGCTCAGCACGTCAAACCGATTTCCTCAGCGATCCAGGCGTCCCAGCACAGTCTCGTGCCTCAACACGACGACAACAACGCCCTCTTGATCAACGTGCCCGTGCCGCCGGTGACGGCCGAGACGAGGCAGCAGGCTAAAGAGGAGGCGAAGAAGGTCTACGACAAGGCCAGCCAGGCCATCCGGAACGTCCGCGGCGACCAGCAGAAGAAGTTCCGGAAGATGGAGCTGGGCAAGATGGTCATCGTGGACGAGTTGCGCAAGGCCCACAAGCAGATGGAGGACGTGGTGAAAAAGGGCCAGGACGAAGCGAAAAAGGTCTACGAGGCCGCTGTCAAGGCTCTGGGATCATAATGTCCTTTGAGGCACTTGACAGTGGCACTCACGGGATGGGACTATTAAAAGAAAACATTGTGTCACAGCCAGTTATCAAAAAATTAAAACAGGGACGGGACTATAAAAATTTGAAACCATTGTACTACGATCAATTATCAAAACTACGGAAGGGGATGGGTACTTGGGACGCAATTGGGCTCGGGAAAAGCTGTGGCCTGTACCTAGTATGCTTCAATCTCCATTTACGACGGGCTCATGGCGGAAGGACCGAGACAATATTCGGTTTCTGTCAAACAGGGCGAAATCATTCCGCTCACATTCAGAGCAAAGTACATGTATGATTCTAATGTCGTCGTTCCGTCTTCCGTCTCCCTTCGACCGTTGAGTAGCTAGGTACTAAGTCCTCCCTCCCTCGTGGCCCTGACTGAACATAAACCAAGCATACCTAAGTACCTAGCTAAGGTAGATCAGACTCGAAGCTCTCACTTTTGACCCGGGTGTCGGATAACGTGGGAAAGAGAGAAAGAAAGTTCCAGCCTCAGACTCGTGCTTGGAACGATCGATCTTTCATACGGCTAGTAGCCCAAGCATACCACATGCCACCGGCGGCCGTCATCAAGGTGCCCAAGACAACTCTCCCTTCTGGAACTGTCTGATGACCGCCATTGCCGCCGCTACCATCATCATCACCACCACCACGACGTCTCAAACTCGCCAGCAAGAGAATGACAACCTGTTTCAAGTTTCCGGCAACACCCATACTCAAAGCACCACAACGGCGGTTTGCTTCAAACGATGCAATATTCAACGCCGATGCGGACAACACGTTCACTATAGCCAATGTTCCAACTCGTACCCGTCCACCTGGTTCGCGCGTCACCAAAGCCGTCATAGGAAGTTGGATGACAGGGTGCTGAAATTTCAGTTCTCCGTTCAAGTATGCAAAGCATAGTGCCTGTGCCACGGCGTACGGCGAAAGATACTTGACCAGTCGCACCGCTGAGAGACCGAGGGCTATGTTCACCATCCGAGAGGGAGAGGGAGAGGAGGACCGGGGCTGCTGCAGCTGGTGCGTGATCATCGTCTTGCCCACGGCAAGGATGGCGCCGATGAACGTCAGTGCGATACCAAAGTGTGTGTTCTCAGGTCGTCCATTGCTATCATGACTGGCAGACGCAGTAGCTGAGGACGGTACCGTAGCCAACGCGACGCCGAAGATGGTCGGTATGAGTGAGAGGTAGATCGAGAGGGGATAGAAAGACAGCGGCCTATTGAGGACGACGATGGTCAAGAGCACAGTAATGGCCGGCGCCAAAGCTCGGATGGTCTGGTGCATAGCCAGACTGACTAGACCGAGTGACAGGTTCGACATACCGATATTGACAGTGTACACCAGTGAGAAGGCCAGGAGAATGGCATGTGTACGGAGTGGCAGTCTTGACTCGTCATGAGAGGACTGTGGTGATTTGCGAGGGTTGGCTGTAGATGACACCACTGAGCGAAGCCGTGACAATACGCTTGTAGTGATGAACGTGGTGAAAGCATGACAGGCAGTCAGCAAGTATGGACTCAATGTAGAGGTTACAAGTTGCTTGCTAGTGACGGTGACGAGGAGATTGAGAAGGAAGTAGATCGTTATCGATAGGAGACCGAGGCCCGAGTAGGACATCATTGTTGCGCGACCAGAAAGTTGCCTTTGCGCGCAGTTCGTCAAGGAGAAACCTTTCTCGGTGGATCAAGGCCGATGTCGACATTGAGATTGCGCGTTGTGTTGATGATCTTCACCGCAGGCAAGATCATGTTGACTGTTGACGGCTGAGCCATGGCCGGGACCACGGCTTCACTGTTTTTCATACTCCCATTCTCAGACGGCCCATCTACCTTATTTGTCCTTTTCCTCGGTCGAAGATTCTGACTGAGGAGATTCTTGTTCTTTCGATGGCTTCACCGGCGTCTGCGTCGAGTCTGCCTCAACTGCTGGCTGCACTATCACACCATCCTGCTGCCCTCGCTTCTTACTGTGCCACTTGCTGGTATCTGGCACAATGTATGCTCTCTCCAGAAACACATTTCCAACGATCGAGCCACGTTCAGGAGAATAAATAGCCCTTACATTCAGACGAAACCTACCTCGAGTTCCAACCCAAACAAGCGAACCCTCGACCGTGACCCCGTCCCGTACATGAAGTTGGCCAGACAAAGCTCTCAAGGCGTTCATCTTTGCGCGGAACACCACGACTCCCGACTCAATGGCTTGTTGGTACGTGATGGATTTGACCATGTCCCTGTAAGCTCGTACAGAAAGTTGCTCACTGTACTCCCCCCTGAGATACGGCAGGAACGGCGCCTTGTCTTTGTCCGACAAGCCGTTGATCCAAAGCTTAGACTCCAACTTGTCAGATTCAGAAAGGGTGCCTGTGGCTTCATTATGCTCCCCGCCATCATTTTCGCCGCTATTGGCTGACTTCTGGATAGAATTGTAGAAGTCGATGAGCCGAGCTCGCGTGATGGCATAAGAGACTGTCACAAACTGCCTCAGGCCATAGTAGAAGGCATTCCCGGCCTGGATTGGATGGAAGACATGATAGACCTTACTGCCCACGCCGGGCGACAGTCTTTGCCAGTCCATGGTCACCCTGTTTGACTCGAAGCACAGACACGAGACTTCATATATCTCCGGTGGATAAATAGGAGGAACGACATCGAGGTCCATTCGCACAACATAAGGGTTAGCACCCACCGCGGCCATGTTCATACGATAGCGAGGCAAAGCCGTCTCCAAGGCCATTTGAACCACTTGAAGTTTAATCGAAGTTATCAGCTTCTCATCCTGTTGTAGTTTTTGGTACTCTTTCCAGTCCGGATCATCAGCAGTGTACATCGGTGGTGCTCTCGCTCGCATCCACGGCAGCCACATGCGGAACGCTTCCTGCTGGTACAGCTTCGAATCCCCAGTGGTAGCCTTGGAGTGGTCTTGAATTTTACCCTGGCCTCTTACACTCTCAAGCCAACCACCGGGCACCGCCGTGCGCTCAGACACAGGCCCTGCCTTGCCTTGGCTATCCTTTTGTGGTATGACATAGCGAATTGTATTCAGCACGCAGTAACTGATGAGGAACGTAGTAAGGACGCGAGAAACTATGGGTCTGCGGACTATATCAGCCTCAACGACTGGAGCGGGGCCAGGGAACCTACTTCGACTTCTTCTTAACCGAAACCCTTTGCAAGTCGAAAATGCCATTCTTAAGCGGAACGCGAATGGACCGCGATCGGCGAAAGAGATAGCGCAGCATTGAGATGCCTCACCGACGGCATTGTAGCGGATCGAGGGCGTCGTTTCACTAGCCTAGCCTGATTCGACTCGAGCAAAAGTGTTTTGGGAACGCCTATAATGGTGATGGCAGCGCAGGATGCATAACAGATGCGGAGCCTTAAGGAGGTGAAGGCCTTGATTGACCCGTAGATGCGAGAAAGAATGGATGTCTCTGGCAGCAGGAGACGTGTGCATGAGAGATTTGACACGTGAAGAGCGCCCGCCACAAGGCTCATTCAGTACAGCACCCGCACTCGTACCTTAACACGCTATCCACACTCCATGCCTTAATACACATCCCCCGTCCTCTACCCAAGCTGCATTTATCTCTTCCCAGCTACCAGCACGCTCAACCACCTTCCCAGGAGCTGGCAGCAACAAGCAACCATGAAGGCATTTTCCCTGCTCGCCTCTTGTGCTACCCTGGCACACCATGTCGCTGCTCAAGGCGCATATCTCTACACGATCGACAACAGCGTCGTGTCGTCCTCGACGGGCATGATCGATTCGGAGCTGGCCAGCGCCATCATTGCACGCAGGAGAGCCCTCACAGACGACAGAGTTCTGGGAATCACCAACGAAGCGCTCCTCCAGGACATCAACACATACGGGGGCTATCAGGCGCCTCTGTTCGCAGATGCAAATGGGGAAAAGAAAGAGAGACCAGGCAAACTATTCATAAGGATAACAGATGTCGACCTGAACATCCACGATCTCGACGCAGCAATGCCTGACCTGTGGATCCAAGAACCCACGCAAGACCTCCTTACAGACTTTAAGCACATTCCACGCCGGCACAGAACAGAGGGCATTTGCGAATACATTGTTCCACCGAGCATGAACACCCCAGGCGCATACGGTGTCGAAGTCATTCTTTCATACCATCTGGATGGCGTACGTTATGTCCTTTTTGCCTTGCCTTTTCGGGCCGTTTCTGAACCTCCGCTGACACTTTTTGTACCAGGACACTCTGTGCCTCTCGCCGGCTGAAATCCCCACGCTTCCCATCACCATGTCTCTACACAGCTTCCTTCCCAGCACGCCCAAAGAGGTCAAATCCAAATTGCCTTCGTTGATCCGCATCCTCAAACACTTTTCCGCGACCGAGAACATCGAGTCCACCGTGCTCTTCCTGCCGTCCAAACTCTCTCCGTCCACGAAACCCTCCACCCGTGAGCAAAAGCACGAGCACCAAGCCCGCTCCCCACAGACCACAGAAGAACCACTGGAACTTAATGTCGCCGTCGCCGCCGCCGCTGCCGCTACCTCGGCAGCACCGACAACCGACGACATCCCCCAACCGGCAGAGAAATCCCAGGACTTCACACTCCCATCCGTGATCCCAAGCTGCTTCACTTCCCAGTCTGCCTGCGACAACACCACAAACTTCTGCTCGGGCCACGGCAACTGCTACGAGGCACACGTGAATTGCTTCAAATGTAAATGCGGGACGACACTGGCGCGCGTCAATGAAGACGGGACCGAGAAGACAGTGCAGTGGGGTGGGGCGGCGTGCGAGAAGAAGGACGTCAGCGTGCCGTTTCTGTTGTTTGCAAGTTTCGGCGTCCTCATGGCCGTCCTGATTGCAGGTGCGATCGGCATGCTTTTCAAGATGGGCAGTGAACCGCTGCCAAGTGTCATTGGAGCTGGTGTTGCTGGACCCAAGGCTGGGAAATAGGGAAGTAGAGAAATACTGAAGTACTGAAGTAGAGGAAGTTCGATGGTCTCTTTCTGAAACTTTGGTGTTGTTATTACGGTTGAAATCTGAAACTATGGACGAAAAGATGTTCTCAAAGTCGCGCCGGTGCCCTTGTGCTGAACGTTGTCTGAAAATCTATCTAATGTGTAGCTCTGTTTATATATAACTGCACTGAAACGCCGGAGGGAGGAGAAGGAGGACGGTGTCCAGGTACTTAGATGGTGTGCGGGTGGGCGGCCGCTGGGTAACTAGGTACCTACTGCTGTATAGACTTATTATAGGTACAGGAACTCCTGTGTACACCGACTGTGTAGGCACCCCGGCCTTACGGTTCCTTATGCACTCTGAACGGCCCCCCAGAACTCGTGCTTTCGATAAAAGGATAAAAAAAAAAGAACAATGATAAACTTGATAAACTCAAGGCAATCTTCCTGGTGCATTCTGAAAGTAGTTCGTACGTAACATGGCATAATACCTAGGTATTTTCTACCTTTTCAAAAGACTCGTAGGCCATGTCTACTTTTAGTAGTCGAGTTGTCAGTGCCTCTCTCTGGGTGAAAAAAGGCCCCCAAGACCAGGCATGCCTAACGGCATGTTACGTGCATGCTGCGAACACGACCCAAAGAACTCTCTCTTCTGTGCACCCCAAAACAAAGCCACCACGCCGCCCAAAAAGCTCCAAATGATGGTCTGATGCCGTGTTCCTACCTACCTAGGTAATATAACTCCGTAGTACTGTTGACACCCGAACCGACCCCGTTTTGCAACTCATTTGGACCTTTTGTGGTGTAAATCACACATACTACAAATGTAGGTAGGTAAAGCCTGGGGAATCTCAATTGCAGACCCGTCAATGCTGCACATCTACCTACCTAACCCAATCAAGATACCTGCGGCATAACGTTGACAATTAAAGTACATTTCTCAAAATCGAATTGTAACTGTGGCGGCGCATAGTCCTTCCTTTCTCCATCCTTGAGATCGGCCAGAACTTCGACGGACAGTGTATTTTCACCAGGAACTAATTGAACATCGTACGCCCCGGCAACAGGCGAATTTGGTTCTCGGAAAACGTGGGCGTTGTGCATCACTAGCACACGAGACCGTCGACGGGACTTGAACTCGGCCGTTGGCAGTGGGATGATGCGCACATTTCGATATCCAAAAGGCACCGAAATGAAGCCAGATGTTTGCGTGCGTGTTGCTGAAGCCTGGCGTACCAGTTTCCATTTCGGGTTGTCGGGATCGTTGGGGTTTGTCATGAAAATCACAGAGCCCAACAAGGCCGATTCGATGCCTTTCCCTGGGTCACGATACTGCCGTTCGAATGGTATGACACTCTGCTTTGAAGCGCCTTGCGGAGTGGCAGATTCATGACTACGAACGCCATTGGTGAGAGGTGCTGCTGGCGCAGGAGTGCCCAGCTCCTGGACTGGTGTCGGTACCTGGCTAACATTATTTGTAGGCAGGTTGGCTGTTGACGCCGTGGCCAATTGAGGGGTGGTCGAGCTTGTGCCATTACCATTAGACGCCTTTACATCAGTTTGCTCTGTAGCGACCGATGCGCTACGGCGGACACTGATCGGAACACTTGACGGGACCGGGGTTGAGCCGTTGACTTGAGTACCTCTCGAGTTTTCTCGTGCCCGGCTGAGAGCTTCGCCCATCTCTTCTTTTTGCCGCCGTAGAGATTCATTGTCGATGGTGAAACCGGCGTTCTGTGGTTGTGGAGTGGAGGAGCCCATCTTGAGTTTGAGAGCCTTTGGCTGCTTTGGCTGGGATAAGGAGAGCCTGATTTTTTGTTTCGGCACAGCACCGAGCGTATACAGTCTGTCTTGAGACCAGCCCTGTAGGGTATTAGCAGATGGCTCGAATGGCTTTTGCACAGACGGGACGCATGGTGATAACATGATGGAATGTCCGAAAGGAGGTACCGCAGTAAGAAAATGTAAGTCAAGCGGGCACATACCTCGAGCTTCTCTGCCATCTCGTAGATTTCAGAACCCTCTTGGTTGTACTCTTTTGCGTTTTCCCAGATCATACGCACTTCCTTGCCTAATGAATCCCAATCTTGAACTGCACTGTCTTGAACCATGGTTCTGACATCTGAAATAGACGTCGGCTTTTTGATGACTTTATAGTAATCAGGGTAGTCTTTCTTCGACACCCTCTCTTCGAAATTGCTATTGGAATGTCAGTGTGTGTATATCCAGCAAAGATAGTCACTCTCGACTTACATAGCATCTTCTTGCTCGGACAATTCTTTGAGGAACTTCAGCAGTTCTTCTTTCAGGTCACCCGACTGGTCTCCTGGCGTTGACCGCGCAGCTTCGCTTTGCCGTCGTTTGGTAGAGAAGGTCAATTTAATCTTCTCGGGCACCACGGCTTCTGATGGAGTTGATGCCTTGCTGAGCCCGTCGAGTAGTTCTTGCGGAATTGGGGTTGAATAAGCTTTGTAGTCAGCCCTCAGATATGCTGGATTGTGCTTCGGCATGAAATTGGATATGGCCTTTCGGATACGCTCTGCATCCTCATATATTGCAGACTTGTAGTGGTTATAGTCCTTCGCATTCTGCACCATTCGCTTCAGGTCGGACTCCAGCTTTTCCAGGTTTTGGTATTCGAATTTCTTCAATCTCTCTTCTATGGTATTGAGGGACAGTGGCATTGCCGTCGACAGATAGTAGTCAGGATACTCGTCCCTGTCGGGCAGATCGAGGAAGTGAACAGCGACATTACGGCCGTTCTTATCCTGGGATCTTTTTAGGGAGGCAACAAGTTTGAGGCCAATCTCTGTGGTGGTTTCTCGAGTTTCTACGTCGGGATAGTGGGTGTCCTGTTGAAGATTCACGGGGTTAGCGCAACTGCAGCAGACAACTTGACTGCAATGCAGTCATGGTCAAGTGCGGAAGAACAGGGCGGGTGCACTGCGGGCATGATTGTGATGGAGCGCGATGGTAGGACTGCTGCGCGGGGCTTCTGGCGTAGCGAGTGCGCCGGAAGTCGAGGCAGTTTGGGGTTTGTCGGGTGAAGGATATACAGGACATGGAGGAGAGAAATAAAGGGAGTTGGTTGAGTGACTTACGTCGTTACGCTTGCGTCGCTTGGGATCAGGCGTGTCTGGATAGTCTTCGGGTGAGCCTGCAGCGCCGCTTCTGCGCTTCGAGGTCATGTTTTGGGCACTCTTAACTTTTCGACACGTAGAGCGATCTTGCAGGTTTGGCGCGCAGCAGCTGTCGGCGGGCTGGATAATAGGTGCCGAAACAGTGTCACAGCCTTGCTGAGGGTATTCAAGCCAATTGCAGACACACTGAATACCAGGGGGCTACAGTGCATATCACTCCATCCATGTGCTGCTCTCTCGTCCTTCATACAAAACCCGCAGACGCGACCTGCAGGCAAGAATCGAGTCACGTGGGGCCCAGAGCCGGCTTACCTAATCTCGGCAAAGCTGCCGAGGTTGGTTCCGTGGGCGGACCATAGTCGCTTGGCTGCGCCTGCGCCCACTGCCATTGGCTCTGCTCTTTCCCGCATTGCGAGCCTTTGGTGTGTTTACTTGATGCTGCACTGTCGCTCTGACCTAGAAATTCAACCACAAACACGACGACCAAAGTGGTAGTGGACCGATCAACATTCCCTTCTTTTCTTCCGGCCTACTACGGTTGTACTTTCAGGATAACCTAGTTTTAACCAAGACTTTGCCTTCCACATCCTCAAACCTACATAAGGTCGTAGGCGCGGTCCAGGAGCACGAGACCTTCATTCGCTAAGGCCAACAAACAGCCTTTCCTTCCTTCCCACTAGGCGTCCGCTTCGAATTCAAAGTTCTAGTTTGAACGGACAAGATCGACACCTACTTTCCAGCTTTTTTTTTCCCCGCGACACTCGCACAATGACGGCCAATATCGACATGTCAAGACGAAACAAGAAGCCAAGGCTGTTGCACGAGAATGAGAGAGCGCGGTTGGAGGAATTTATCGATTCGATCGGATACTCTGCAAGGTATGATCAAAGTCAAAGGGTGAGGAAGTGGAAGAAACCTTACAAGGTCCAGGTATTCTGATTCAGAATATGAGTATCGTCACGTCCAACTGCCGAAAGCGATGTTGAAAGTCATTCCCCGAGATTACTTTGACGAGTCTAAGGGTACGCTCAAGCTCTTGTGGGAAGAAGAATGGCGAGGTCTTGGAATCACACAGGTCAGTCACACGCATGTCACGAGAAAGAATTTCCGCTTATACCGACCAGAGTCTTGGGTGGGAACATTACGAGGTTCACGAGCCGGAACCACACATTCTGCTGTTCAAGTAAGTTCGTATATGAATGAGCCGGGGCACATACTGACGCTTTCAGGCGTCCGATTGGTTATCAGCCTCCAGCTCAATGACCAGAGAATGCTTCAACAAGGTCACTCGAACAGCGCAGCATTGGGAGGCGTTATTCTGTCGTTGTGGGAACTGTATTGAACTGTGCATTCAGCGAGCGTGCTTACCAGGTTTGTATGACTTGACTAATGACTGCACATGGCCGGGATTTGGGCACCAGATATTAGACGTTCATTCAGGCCTTGCATACCTAGTTTCAACTATGAATTGTAACTCTCTGGGCGGCATACCAGGTACTCCTTTCAATCGTGGCTGTAGGTCTCCATCCCTCGCATCAAGTTTAAACGCTGTAATTCGGCCACACGCAACTCAGGTTGCATTCTTTTTAAGCCATTCCTCCCACTGCTCCACTGTCCAGCCGGAGGATATACTGCGTTCCTCAACCCCATTGAACAAGACCGTTGGAGTGACATGGACACCGGTAAGTCTGTTGGCTTTGACCATGAACTTGACGTCGTTGGTGACCTTGTTTCCGATATTCAGACTACCGTGGTCGGCTGGCTTGTCCGGAACCAACAGCAAATCCAGAATAGTCTTCTCGTCGACTCCATCCACAGTACCCGCTAGCTTTGCCAGTCGCTTGTAGGTGTCGTTGCGTACCTCATTAACGACGTTGACATCAAAGTACTCTGTCTGCTGTTGGAAGAGCTTCTCCGAGAATGCCCAGAATGACTTTGGAGCCGTCTGGAGTACGGCAGCACCGGCTTCGTGAACGAGCGTCGAAGATGGATGCCAAGGTTGAATCTGCTGCCGGAAGATCACACGGACTCCTGGATTCGTGTACTTGGTTTCGATGATCGGAACGACCTCGTTGTAGAAAGTCTTGAAGATCTTCGCCGAGAAGGGACAGACGTAGTCCAAGTACAGCTCGATTGTGTGTTTCGCCTCGGTCTGAGACGCTGAGGCGAGCAATTGCCCGGAGAACCTGGGTGGGAGAGCCATGACGGACGGTATGGACGTGTAGCTGCTGAGCGAACAAGAAAGAGTTTGGGTGTTTTGGGTGTTGTTCAAGTTCAAAGTACAAGTACAAGGTCAGTCACCACCGACGACGATGATTCCGTCATCAACAACACAGTCACGTAATCCGACGCTGAGGGCGATCGAGGGGTATTTTATTTAGTACTCCATACCACTAAACGCAAAACGCCCTGGAGAAAGGAGAATTGTTATCTTGTGTATCTCTAACGAGCAACGCAGACTTTGACATATCACTATCCTCAACCTCGCCATATTACTCCAAAAGAGCATCAAAGTGTATCGTCGTCTCACGAGTGCTTCTTACTGCGGTTGACGTCTACTGTATTGGCCTCCCCAAAAAGAGACTCCTGGGCTTCTTCTCCAAGCCTCAAAATACACGATACTTCACCATGCACAGAAATTCAACTCATTGTAGTACCTCCGGAAGAGATCAAGTCCATTATCATGCCGGTAGTCGTTGTCGTCGGGGCTGACATCTGTCGTATCGAAGGGCCCAAAAGAGACTCTTGGATATTTTATAACACGAGATGCACACGTCAGTGCATCATCCGCTCCGACAGCCCCTTTCTACACCGTGTGAACGTCGTGTCCATCGAATACGCAATCTTCCTATTCACCTCTTGACGACCTTCTCTTGTAGCGGCTATTGTGCTCTGGCAATAGCATTGGACTCCCCCTGCCTAACAACGCTGCCACGTTTCCAGGCGAGGCTGAGCAACAAAGGGGTATCACAAAATGTGTGCACTTCAACAGATCTCCTTTGTCCACCTTGCAGGCTGTTATCAGCCTTCTGGGGGGCCCCTCTTTGCGAAATCATGCTCAAGCGATTGAGAAGGGCATATGCAAGTGCGGCACTTGTCTACGTACGCTGTCCGGGTGTCGCTATGATGTTATTGACGCCGCTTCTTGCAGTTGAGGCCGTCAACACCTTCCCTCCCACCCAGCCGCCTGGACAAGCCACGCGGTGAAAATTCGCAACTCATTCATGCGCTCCGCTCTTGATTCATTGTCTTCCTTGCGTCTATACCCTTCATTGAACCCTCTGCCTCATGAATCAAGAGCTATTGTCCCATCGAGGCAGTTCTGTCGGCAGGGAAGAGGATTGTGTTGTCTATCCATGCCCTGGTAAGTTCGAACGCTTTCTCTTTCGCTTTATCTCTTTCTCCTCCATCGCACTCGAACCACACAAACACTCTTTCTACAACCAACTCGACAACATGGACGCCAACCTGGCCTTGATGGCCATGCTCGCCCTCGTCACCAAATGCTTCGCTTTTGCCACCTTCTTCGTCGTCCGGTTTGCTGTCGTGGTGCTCCTCGTTGTCTTTGGCGAGGTCGAGCCTCGTCTAGAGCTTGTTCGCCTGCTGGACCGCCTCCCCAACAACCCTCATCGTGCTCTGGGGGTGCCTGAGCCCCCAGAGGACGCCGACTGGATGGCTGTTCTGCCGGATGCCCTTCGACAACTGTGGCCGCAACGAAAGGGGCCTGACACGCCGATGCTGGATGCCGAGACCAAAGCCCAGCGCGACCTTAGGAGGAAGAAGGAGCGCGCCCTGCGCAAGAAACAGAACAGGCGCGCGAACAGGGCACAGGGCAGACACCAGAAGGAGGGAAAACCTCCCAAGCATCCCCATCGACGATGGGAAGACGCTCTCGGCATCCAGCACCCTGACCAACGGGCCCTCATGAACAACTTTTACTACCCGTTGGCTGCCGACTTTGAGAAGCGGCAAGAAGCCAAGAACAAGAAGCTGCAGAAGAAGCAGCAGGAGGAAGAGGCCGCGGCACGTGCCAAGGCAAAGGAGGAAGGGCGGCGGCTCGCAGAACTGATCGAGCGCCGCAAACTTCGAGGGATTTGGAAGTGGTTTGATGGCCTCAAGTAGGCGCCGTGGAGAGAGAGAAGTTGGGAAGGGAGGGGTGGAGGGAAGGAGGATGGAAATGGGGGTGCAGATGAGGACAGCGCGGGACGCTATCATCAAACGAGACAAATGATCAGGGTGGGAAGGGAGGGAGTAGATAGAATAGCCCTGGGAGGCTAGCTGATGGGTCATGTAAAGAAGCAGGACTTCTTCCTTTGTGTGTGCGTGCCAGGAACCAACGAGCTTTTTGTACGTTTTTTTGTTGCTTCCCAGACCGATCTAAATACGTCTGGTCTTTTGAGACCAGTACAAGTAGAACCATGCTAACTGATGTCCGAAACGGACTATGTATGATACAAATGCACGCTCAATCAAGCTCGTTTGGGGGCTTGGCTAGGTTGGCCAGCCACCATCAATCGCCGAATGGTCTTCATGAACTGCTTCGTCTGCGTGCCTTGGTAAGTACCATTGTTGTTCAGATTCTCCACGACGTGGTCCAAGAACGGCATCTTCTGCTTTTGAACGGTTGGGTACTCGCCACGGACATACGTGTCAGCAAGTCCCTGGCGCTCTGCCTGTCGTGAGACCACATCGCTGAAAGACATGTCATGTGGCTTTGCCTCGATGTTCTTCCGCTCTGTGACACGGTCGGCACGCTTCTGGGCCATCTCCGCGGCCAATTTCAACACCTCAGCCTTCTCTTCCTCACTCTCAAAACGTGTAAAGTAGCCCTTGACGTAGCGTTCTGCGAGTTGTCCCGGAGTTTGGTAGCCATGCGGGATACGCTGTGCAAGCCATTCAATTCGCTGCTGAACGGTCTCTGTTAAGCCTGTGCCGGAGAGAGGTGTGTTTGGCCAGTCTGCTCGAAGGTCCTTGACCGCCATATTCTGACCGGGAGTATAGGTGATCTCCTCGGTGGGATTTGGGGGCGGGTCAATGACCGTGTTGACCCAGTGGTCTGCTTTTTCCTCGATGGCAAGATCATCGTCACCATCCTCATCCTCGGCAGACTTCCTTGCCTTCCTTTGGTCACGGCGCTGAATTCGCTTGTCGACTCGAGGTCCTGTACCACGACCTGCTGGAGCGTTACCGGGTTTGGAGCTTCGTTGTCCATTGCGTTGGAATGGAGGACGAGTGGAAGTGCCATCGCGAGGCGTTGCTGTACGGCGCAGAATGGGGCCCGGAGGAGAAGGCCTTGAACCAGACGTTGAGGCTCTGTTGATACTTGGACGCTGACCGGGAGGGGTACTTGCTGCTCCCGCGCGAGCTGCGGTGGTAGAGCCGGGACTTGTTCGTCTCAGGAGCGTACCGCGCTGGGCTGGTGCACCTGATCCACGGACCAGCTGTGACGAACCAGTACCTTTCGGTCCTGTCTTCTCACGAAGTATACGTGGACCAGACGAGCTTGCATTGATGTTCGAGGTCTTGGAGTCGTCTGCAAAGAATCGTCAGATTGTGAATAGTCTGGAGGGCAATATGTATATACCATCTGCTAAGAGGCTGCGCCCGGCAGAAAATCTTCGAAGGGCGCTCGGTGGCAGAAATGCCGAGCTCGAAGGTTTTACCCTGAGACTCAGCCTTGCACATCGTGTGCAGAGGTGGTCCATCGTGAGCGTGATGCTGCGTCTCGATGCTGCTATAAAGCAAACTGCGCTCAAAATCACTGTAGGTTTGGATGCCAGAGCTTCAGGAGCAAGAGAGAATCTTGGCGTATCACGTGGGCGCAGCCTTGTGGCCGCAAGGCTACGCAGGTAAATGTGAGTTGAGGGGGCAGGCTTTGGAAATACCCTGGCTACGTATGGACTACATGAAGGTCAAGAATGGGGGTTTGACCACCAGGCTACCCTGACTATAAGGATGGAGAGTAGCTACTCTCGGACAAAGACCTCACTTCCACCGCGGGACCGAGCGTATCAATGGCATTTCTTTGATCGAAACCGGAAACATGGCGCGCTCTCCTCAATGAATTCTGTGGAAAAGTCATCGTGACATGTCGGGAAGTACAGGTCTCCATCAAGGAGTTCAAGTCGGTGAATATGAGTTGCAGCATGGGATATAATTTGATAGAGGCACCAGGGGGTTTCTCAATAGGTAGTGACTACAATGGCCAAGCCATCAAAGCACTAGTCCTAACGCGGCGTATGCCAGCACCAGTCTATATCGCCCTGATTCAATGATATTCTGTCGTCCACAAAACATTATCGAATCCCACAACATTGGAAATGGTTCACACCCGTGGACAAGGCGCCCGACCTGAGGGCTTTTCGGAATACCAACCGCCTAAACGTGAGCGAAAGATGGCCCATTCCCACGTTGCTGCTCGCACCTCCCCAGTGCACGCAACTTTTGTTTCCCGCTACAAAGACGCATCAACCCAGACAGAGGACGTATATCTAACCACTCAAATAGAACACCCGGGTTCAAAGCGACGCCGAGAAGACGATGACTCCGAAAATTCCTCCAAAAGACAGCGACAAGCTGTCACCCCAGAACAACCACGTCGAGGAAATACTTTCATGTTCTCCGCTACGCGAAACCGAAGCCTACTTACCTCCGCACCACCCAAGATCCCTTCTCGACGCGATTCCCCCTATGGTAGAAAAGCCATCACACCTGTCGAACGAACGAACACTCCACCCAAAACTTCAGAAAATCGGGACGAGAGCGATGAAAGGGCAAAGGAGCCGGAAACACCTAACCCAGCTCCAGCGAGAGCGGGTGGTCTTTTTGGAAGTGTGAGGAAGATCTTTGGATATCTGACTGGCGGGCCCAGTGAGACAGGACAGGCAGGACAAACGCGACAGTCGGGCAGTGAAGCAGAAAACGTGTCACCTAAACAAACACCACTTGACCATAACAATTACGCCTCCGACATGACTTCACCCACACCAAGAACCAACGATCCTGCTCTTCCCCCTTCAGAGGTCCCCGCGGATGATAGCGTGTTTACCAAGGAGAACTGGAAGCGAAGAAGAGCTATGAGTACTCGAGCTGGCCGAGAAGCTCTGGCGGCTTTGAGAGACACCAATACTGAGACTGAAATGGCGCAATTCAATCCCACCGAAACCCCGGGCACGAACAAACGCAAGCTTGCTTCATTCAATGGAGAAATTCCACCTCCTACGCGAGGTGGTTTCGGCATCGACGAGAATTACCTAGACGTTGACAATGAGGTTGATGGTTTGGAAGAGTCGCGATTCGCAAATGACGATCCTTCCACACCAGCAAACAAAACTGCACCACAGACTCCCTTGCGCTCCGCTTTGAGAGCGAATGGTTACGCTACTTTGGGACGATCTGGAAAGTCAGTACGCATCAACCCACAGACCTCGGTGAAACATGTCTATGGCACATATGGTCGCTCTGGAATCTATCATGGCAGCATGTTCTCTGATCCATCTGACAGATCAAAAGTGTCAGATTCAAGCGCATCTAGTATCTCCGCGAGAGATGTCAGTGCCATGCATTCTCCTAGCACCCTCCAGAACACAGTAAACAACATGACACCCAAATTTCGACTTGACCACAGCGTCGTCGATCCGAACGACACCACCTGGCGACCTTCTTTAGCTAATCCTTCTCCTGGTCATTTCCGCGTTCCTGATATGGACGAATACGAGGACGAGGAGGATACTATTATTCTGGGCCAGGCGAATGATGAAGTGATCCCTCCTCGACCCAGCACACCACGTATGTCACATGCAGAGCTTCCTGGATCATCCTCATCTCTGATCCCAAGTTCAACCGTGCAAGACGAGAGCTCCGTCAACGACACCACAGAAAGCCGATTGGAAAAGGCCAGGTCTGAAGCTCAAAAATACAAGCCGGTACGATCTTCACGACTCTCGCTCACAGAAAAGGCCCGCTCACGATCCTCGTCACCTCCTGGAGAAGATGTTGGAGAGATTAGCTCTTTTCGTGAGTCGCAGATTGAGGTTTCAGATACGCCACCTCTTCGAGCTCGGACTCATCCTGACACTCCTAACAATACAACAATGTCATCAACATTGAGCCCGACGCCAAAGACACGTAAAGAGCTTGACAATACTAATGTTGGAACGGATGGGATGACAGACTACCAAAGAGAACACCAGTACGATGAATGGGCCGCCGGCCTCGATTGGCCCCAAGCACAAACCTACGTCGAAGCCGGGATTGCATCTCAATACATCGACAACCTCGTCCGAAAGAATTGGACTGAGCGAGACACCGAGGAGTCGGCCGAATTTTGGGCTCGAGAGTTTGATCGAGGAGAAGAGTATGCCCGACAAGCAGCCGCCGAGGGAAAGGAGCTCGTTTGGATTACTGATCCCGAAGAAATGATTGATTGTTAAGAGACGATAGGATCGGACGAAGTGGATCCTGGGGAAGTCGCAGCAACGAGGCTCATGATACGTTGTAAAAGTAATATTACTTGGGATATGATAGACCAACGATGCCATCACGCCAACGCATCTGGTATGCGTGGAGAAGAAGGGTCGGATGGACGGGCAGTCGTCTCCTCAGCGCATTGGATCCATGTCCATGTCGAGCTCTTGTGTGTCTCCATGGTTCGGGTGGTTTTCGTGTGTATGGGAAAATGGGTTGGGGATACAGTGTGTTGAAACTATGTCGAGCTCTCCGAGAGTGTGTCTCCATGGTTCAGGCAGATCTCCTGTGTCGTTCGCTCTTTCAACATTCATGATTCTCGTCACACCTCGTTTGGCAAAGGGGCGAGCCTTGGCTACTGTACCATTTTGTCGTACAGAAGATATAGCAAGAGAATTTTTAATGTTTGTTCTTTGACTGTAATAACGAGGTTTATTGTGATTGTCTGTTGCCCCTTTACCGTTCACGTGGATGGCTTTGCACCTAGGTGGTCAAGGGGTATTCTGAGTTGTGTCTGCAGCCTGAGAAAGGGCCTTTTTATACTCTCTGAACCTACGCGTGCGTATGTACCTACTTCCATACGAACCTGAGCAGCCCTTCTTTCTTGGGTTTCTTAGGCGGCACCATCCGTCCCTGGCTTTGTTTCCTGATCGACGAAGCCAACCTCAATCACACTCAACGTACTTCCGGGCGGCGTCTGGATGTTCCTGATGGCCAGCGTCTTGCCCTTCCCTTTATCCTCGGTCTGTGCGAAGACGGTGTCGACGAGACCCTCGCCGGCCCTCGCGATGAGATGCTTCCACTCTCCTTCGTCGCGCTCCTTTGCGTTCGTCAGCGCCATCATCTGCAGGTCGGTGGTGCGCATCATCCTCTCGACGTCGTACGGCAGCACGCCGACGGCCGACGGCATGAGCTGGTCCATGATGACAATGCGCGAGTCCGGGCCCATGGCGCGCACGAGCGGGCGGAGGATCCGGACGGCCCACTCATCGCTGTAGTCGTGCATGATCATGCGCAGAAAGTAGACGGCGGCGGCGGCAACGGGCTGAGCGTCGAAGAAGCTGTGCTCCATGAACTCGAAGCGCGCGCGGAGAGGCTCCGGCACGACGCTCGTCGCGGGGTCCCTTGCCTTGGCGATGATCTGGGGCAGGTCCTGCACGACGACCCGGATGCCCGGGTTCGTCTCGGCGATGGGGATCGAGCAGTGGCCCATGTTGCCTGCGACGTCGACCACGACGGATCCGGAAGGAAGGCTGGCCCAGTCGAAGCCGCGCGCGACGTGCTCGTTGGCCATGACGGGGGCCTTGGACATGAAGGTCATGATCTTGCTGAAGCGCTCGCGCACCGCCGGGTTGCTCTCGTACCACTCGTACTGCACCTTGTCCGTGGCGAACGTGTAGTTGAGAGCCGCCCTGTTGGGTTCCTGGCGGCCGTGGCCGAAGTGGTCGAGCGTCTCGACGACACGGGCTGCCATCGGGAACGTGTCCTCGGCGATGAAGTGGTTGAAGGACCCGACGCCCCAGTGCGTCAGGAGTCGCGACGACGCCGTGTGTGCGATCTGGCCCGGCGATGGCTCGTGGAAGACGTGGATGGCCATCAGTTGGCGAAGCATCTGTTTGAGCTGCGACGGATCCAGCGAGAGTTTGGACGCGAGCTCCGCGTATGTTATGGTCGAGTTGAGCGGGACGTTGGCGGGGATGTTGTACTTGTGGACGTAGCGGAATGCATTGAGGTCGTGAGCCTGTAAAGGGGGAAGGGAGTATAAGTAAGGTTAGAACCATGATACCCATATAGGTAGGAACTGTAGGTTAAGTGTGTGTATGTAGGTACAGCATTCAACGGATCCAGTGGTTAGACGTACACAGTGATACGAGTGCCAGGTCAGAACCTCGTCCGGCCCAGCGACCAGATCGTACAGTCTCTTTGCTGCAGCGCGCAGGTCGAGTCTGGCGCCATCGATCTCCGGGGTGACGGGCGGGAAGAACTCTGGTCCGTTCTGGTCGAATGTTGGCTGAGGGAGCTTCTGGGCCGCGAGGTATCCTTTGATCTGTTTGGCAGTCTCCAGGCACGTTTGGGCCAGCGCCTCCAGATCTTCGACCTTGGGGTCAAGCATTGTGGCGGCGGAAGCGAGAAGCGAGCGAGTTCGGTTCAGTGCAGGCCAGGGTACAGTTTCAACGGCAGCGCTCAGTTGATCAGTCACACACTTGTTGTGTGATCAAGGGTGCTCTGATGAGTGTGTGTGCATACCAGGTCCAAGGTACTTACCGACAAGGGCTGACACGTCCCGTGGACGTCGGTCTTATCTCGTGTGAACACGCGGAAAGGTGGCAGGCCTTTAACAAATCATCCGCTCGGACAACGCAGCATTGCAGTAGTGTCAAAAGTGTCAGTGAGATAGTAATGAGTAGCCGAGCGCGTTCGGATCCACCTTGCGAGGTATAAAAACCTAGAGAGTGCTAGCGTGCTATATCGCCATGATATGTGCGTCGGACAAAGTCGTGTACAGATACTGAGACCCCCGTTTCTAGATGAAGCCATCAGCAAAGGAGAGGACGATACGGAACGAGTGGAAATGGTCCCGACAGTGACACGGAACGAGGCTCAGCATGGACCGGGCGTCGGTGGGTCATGGTGACAACTGCGAATGTTTCAATGCCCGCACTCAGCCATCCAGACCGGTCTCTGTGGAAGGATTTGGATATTCCAGAGCATGGCATACGGTCAGGGATTGTCTAGGACGTCCAGGAACATCGGACCGTGGGACGCTGGGCGTTGCATATAGGAATAGATGGGGGTGAAGAACCATCGATTCTCCGTATACGCGTAAGGAACCCCAGCGTCGTCAGAACAAGGGGTACGGCAACCTATGAAATGTATTTGTCTCAAGAGTGACAATTTCACGCACGTCTCACTCAGCTGGCCTTAATGCCCTGTTTCCAGACACCCACGATACCCTCACCCTCCCACAGAGCAGCCAGCTCCTCCGTGACGTTCCCTTTCACGAGCACAAGGTCGGCTCTCTTCCCCTCGGCAACGACACCTCGATCACTGAAACCGAACCTCATTGCGGGGAGCGCCGTTGCCGAGTGAAGGGCCTCCGTAACACTCATGCCACATTTTTCGATATACAACAGCAGCTCCATCCAGAGACTAGGACCAAGGCCCGAACCCTTGAGCCCAGCAACAGAATCGGTGCCCGCGACAACGTCAATGCCTTCCTGTCTGAATGTCTTGATCGCATCAAAGGCGTACTCGAGCTTGGCTGCTTCGTCTTTCGCGTTCATGGTCTCTCTCATGTTTTGCACAGAGAAATCGTCCACCAACTTCTTCTGTTTGGCGAGGTCTGCGAACCGATCCCGCCAATCCTGCAATTCATTTGTCAGACTTGCGAGGATGGTCAAGGTCGGGATGACAAATGCGTTGTTCTTTTTGTAGAGGTCGAGGGTGCTTGATGGTAGAGGCTGGTCCACGAACGTATGTGTGAGACCGTCCGCACCAGACTTGAGGACGACCTCAGTCATGTCAACACTGAGTGCATGGCCGACAACTGGGAACCCTGCGTCGTGGCCAGCTTTGACCACAGCCGTCTGAAGCTCGAGGGTGGCTACAGGAATAGCCCCTGTTGGCATGGCGAGAGAACAGCAATTTTCTTGCATCAGTTTGATGTAATCTGCACCATTCGCCTTGTGGCTCTTGACAAACTCTGCCGCGTTATCGACAGTCACATTGGGCCACGTGTCAACGAGTGCTTTCAGCTGCAATCCATTAGTTAGCGAGTACACCAGGAACGCTAAAGCCGTGCACCACTGCTTCCTTCAGTCATAGACTTGCCTCTTCAGAAGGATTGTGGCCCAACACAACCGGTTTTGGCCATCCCCCCGCGATGGTAGCTCCGTACAGCGAGCTTTTGAGATCTGACAAGGTCACGGCTCCATTTGACTTTTTGGCCTCGGTCAATTCCTCCGCGATTGCTTTCCTGTGCCTGTTCACAGATTCTGGGTCGGAGTGCATATCACATACAGTGGTGACGCCACATCGTAAGGGTGAACGCAGGATATCATCCTCGCTCGCCCCTGGGGGAAGGTGAAGATTGTGCACGTGCATGTGTGACTCGATCAAGCCGGGAAGAAGAGTGCATCCTTGGCCATCAATCACGGCCGCACCAGGAGGAAAATGTGTGCTGGAAGTGGGAGTGGTAGAGACAGATGTGATTCTGCCAGATTCTCGGTCGAAGGTGACAGTGGCGTTGGGATGAGTCGAGACGCCATCAAAGAGAAGCACAGAATGAATAACGGTGGCACCCATCTTGCAATCAGGGAGCGATTAACTGTACGCTAGTCCAATGACTTGTCTCTGAAAGATAATCACAAAGCAATGAACTGTGGTTTCTGAACATGAGCTTGGAATGCAACTGTCGTGTAGTTAAATAGTGGTCGGTGTAGATGTGCTTCGGAGTGGGGAGTCAGCTGTCTAGCTATTTTGGTGAACCCCGGTATAACAAGAACTGGGGAGGCGGGGCAGCGACTGAGAGACCTGCTTCTCGTCCTCCTTGCCTCAAGCAGATGCCACTGGTAAAGCCTATCGTGGCGGTTATACATCGGACATGCTTGTGTGATGCTTGTGTCTCATATGTCCTGTACAAGCTCCGAAATATTTAACAGGCCTGCCATAAGTCCCTGGCTTTCGCTGTGGACTCACGCATTCACGGCGCTGCTGGATCCTAGACAAACTGTCGTATCCCTATATGAAGGCACAGAAATGGCCGAATACATATGCAGCCGAGGAGGGTTTGGTTGTTCAGCAGCTTGAATAGATATCGAGATATAGCTGTATTGAAGGGAGACTATCGCACTCGTATTGTCTCTCCAGTCAGCGGTCAGCGACAAAGCAGCTCATCGCTGGCAATTAATTCACTCTGGAAAAGTGGAACAGGGACCATTCAACTGCGTATTGACTGTGCGCATTCACCAGGTCTTTCAATACCGTTCTTCCGCGGTAGCATCACCAGCAATGCAGATTTGTATTCACTGGAGAGAAGTCATTCATAATATCATTCGTCGTTAGGGACGGATCAGTCACCGCAGTCGGCCCCCTAATTATAGTCTAGTCACGTGGCGATAAGATAATGACCCGGCTAAGTTGCTGCTTCTCACGCACCTCATGTGAGAGAGAGAATGACACTCGACTGCGTCCACCAGCTAAGATTTCATATTCAACCACTCCACACATCTTGGGTCAGGACTCTTTCAGAACGGTGCTACGACATCGCACAGTGGCTCTTCAAGTCATAACACGATGGCGTACTCTCCCTCCCCAACCCCACCACTAACGGGCCCTGAGACTTCTCTCTATCCCAATCCTCGCTCACCTACTCCTCCAGCACAGCCGCTCTCTAAGAGAGACAAAAGACGAAATCAACATGTTGCACACCAGCAAGAACTACACAATGAGCTCGCCTCGAATCGAGAGCAGCACTACCGAGAACAACTCATCGCCCTCCAGACCGACATGAGCCTCATCTCCCAAGCTGACCCCTATGACCCCGAACCTCTGGAAGACTCGCCAGAAGAGATCGCGAGGATAGCCGAACTAGCAGCGTCCGGAACACCCTATCAATCACAAATGTCCTCAATGGCCGGGAAATGGTATGCTGAGTTTGTTCATGAGGTGAACGATGCCAAAGAAGCGAAAGAGATCGCCCTCATCCAGCTTATGGTAGGCTGGCCCTACAGTGACACATGTCTCACTTACTGACGAAACGTGTAGAACAACCACAATGCGCGTCTGGAAAGACTCAAGTACGAATGTGACTATCGCCTGCACCTTGCTGCTGAAGAATGCGAACACATGACTTCGACCCTCCGAGAAAGACTGTTCCAATCCCTTTCTCACAAGAGACAGAGACTCATGAAAGAGAAGGAGCAGCTTGATATTGCGGATACCAACGCCCTACTTCTTCATCCCAGCCAGTTTAGTATCACCAACCCTGGAAGCCCCGGAGGAACTCACACAAGCCGCAAGACTCGCTTTACCCGACACCGGGAGCAAGAAGACCTCAACGGGGCAGGTGAGATGCACAAACGCAAACGGAAACAAGTCGATGACGATGTGGGCTCACCGTCGCGGAACGGAAACTCAACTCCCTTGGACCGCAAAGGAAACGCAACGTCAAATCAAACCGCACCAGTCTACTCGATCCACTCTCTCTTCACAGACAAAGAGCTTAACTTTCAATCACACCAGGCGCAGATTGCAGCTCGGCACTTTTTCACCACTTCACGCAAGGAAGGAGAAGCGAGCAATACACGGAAACGGGGCAAAGACGACAATGGCAAGCGAGCTGGTTCTGAAGACAGTGGATCCTCGGATGAGGAAGAACTGGAAGCCCCGGAAATGGAGAGGTCAGCCAGCCACAATGTGCATGTCACCAGATCGACGAGGACCATTGGTGGCATGAGTGGCTTGAATGCGCTCAGTGACCTGGCCGAAAAGGCAGCAACCCGTCCAGCTCTACCGTACGCGACCTTGCACACACATCAAGGCCGACAAGGGACTTTCCTGCCACAACCCAGCCGTCTATTAGCCGAGGAGTTAGAAGAGGATCTTTTCAAGATTGCACAGATCGAATCCCAACCCAAAGGTCAAGTGGACAGAAAAGCCATCGACGAAGCGCTCAAGCCCCTTTCAGAATCCCGAAGCAACTTGGCTCCGGATTGGCCAGTCTATCTGGATGTGCATTTGGTGGACATTGATCCGAGAAGGGCCGCCGGAGTGTAGTCGAGCTGACGGCTTGCCGGTGATCGAGCACGCTGTACCTCAGGCTAGAAAGGGTGCCCACCGAGCTGGAGGTTGAATTAGCCTAGGAGTACAATTTACCACGGGGTAGCCACGGGGTACTCGTACGAGTGCTCGATTTTGCCGAATTGCGACACCGGCATAGAAGCCCAGGTTGTTTGTTGGAAGTACCTAGCAGGATGGTGACTCAAGCAGGAAACATGCCGGTGTTCCGAGAATCAGCCAGAGCATTATCTAGGACTACGGAATACGAGGTAGCTAAGGATGTGTACTTGTAGACGTCACACGGTGGCATGGAGATCGACAGAGGTCGACAAAGGCCGGTGTGTCCTAGGGCTATTGTACAAGGAACAAAGACCACTAAACTGGAGAGATGCCTACCTAGGAAGGAAACTCGCACACCGGAGTGCATGTGGCTAGCTCGTCACTATGGGGTTAGGTGCTTATAGGTGCCCCGGGTTAATTCCTAGGCTACTTGCTTTAAGCTACAATGTACCCGCGTTAGGTACCTCTGGCTCCTCCCGCAGGCGCTCTACAGGGGTCTCTCCAGGCTAGTGGGCGCCGCTCCAGGGGATCTGGTGTAGTCTGAATGGAGGAAGCTCCTCCGCATCCTCCTCTGCCACATTCCCCGCATTCTGCCAACCACTTCCACCTCTCGCGACGCTTTTGGTCCTCGATACTTGCGCAGCGATCCACAATAGCATCATCTCTCTCTTTCCACAAGCTGCGTCGGAGTCGGCGAGCGAGTGGTCACTTCAGTTGACCAGCAATGTAACCTGCCTGACAAAAGAGCGGTCCGATTTCAGGTATAAGTGAGCCATGTGCTGCTACTTTGCAAGTCCTCCTTCTGTCGTTGCTCTTCTCGCTACTACTAAAAACCTCACGTCAGTTCTTGTGGTCAAAATGTGGTCGTTGTTTGCTCAATTCCTTCTCGCCTCGAGCGTCGTGCTGCCGGCCCTGGGCCAGAACAGCTCGACAACCTCTAACCTCACCGCGCCAGTTAACCCTTTCGCGCTGTACACGTTGAGCGCAGAGAATATTACTGCCAAATTGATCCCCTATGGTGCTCGTCTCACATCCTTGGTTGTGAAAGACCGTGACGGCAACGATCAAGATGTTGCCGTCGGTTACGATGATCTTACGCGATACGTTACAGACACCGAGACCAACCACACATATTTCGGTCCTATTGTTGGTCGCTATGCCAATCGTATCAAGAACAGTACATTCACGTTGAATGGCAAATCCTACCACATCCCGGCCAACGATCACGCTGGTGCTGACACACTCCACGGAGGCACTGTTGGTTACGACCAGAGGAACTGGACCGTTGTGACTGCTTCGGACTCAAGCATTACCTTCGCCCTTCTCGACACCGCCACCGAGGGTTTCCCTGGGACGGTCTTTACCACCGCCACCTACACCCTCTCAACTGCGCCCAGCGGCCCGCAAGGGCAGACGCGGCCACGACTTACGACCAGCATTGTTTCGAGCGCGCTGGATGAAGAGACGCCCATCATGCTAGCGAACCATATATATTGGAACCTGAATGCTTTCAAGCAGGCCACGATACTGAACGATACAACTCTATGGATGCCGTACTCTGACCGATATATTGAGGTAGACCCGATCCTGATCCCCACGGGCAGCATAGGTTCAGTATCCAGCCTACCAAACCTAGACTTCACCTCACCCAAGCTCCTCGGAAATGCTGTCAAAAATGCTACAGGTGTCTGTGGTGCAGGCTGCACAGGAATTGACAACGCTTTTATTCTCGACCGCCCAACCGGCGCAGGTGCAACATCCTCCAATTTCCCCGTCCTGTCTCTCTGGTCAGATACCACAGGCATTCGGCTGGATGTAAGCACGAACCAGCAGGGCTTGCAGATATACACGTGCAATGGTCAAACTGGCACGATTCCTGTCAAGCACAGCCAACAGCAGAGGAACAGTGGCACGTCTGGCGCGGCCAAGTTTGTCAACCAGCATGGGTGCATCGTCATTGAAACTCAAGCGTGGATCGATGGCATCAACCACCCAGAATGGGGAATTTCTGACTACGAGATCTTCAGCCCTGCAACCGGACCGGCAGTCAACTTTGCTACCTATGACTTTTCAACGTTCTGAGCTCCAACTGGGTAGCAGAGTCTTGGTTTGCAGGACATGATCTTGGGGAAAAGCAAAAATGTGCTGTCTGACGAAGGATTAGACAGAATTTATGTAACGAAACCACAGTTGAATCGACGATAATTCAATATGTCAGACGTATCAATATTCTACCGCTTCCTAATTCGCAATGTAGCCAATCAGAGGCCTTAGTCTCTATGTCATAGTAAACAAACAAGATCGTGATTCCTAGAAGAGCCGGAGGAAGCGTAGTGCGATCGCGCAGAATTTACAAGGGCACCCCTGAACGGCGATGACTGCAATGCAGAGTGAATGGAAAGTTGGAGGGATCCTATCATGATTAACGAATTACCGAACCATCTGCCTGTTTTATAAAACAGTGCTGGAGGGACTCCGGAGTCCGAGCATATCACCAATTTCCAGCCGATGCTCCTCGTCATATACGTACACAATGCCACGATCACCTTCGTTTCTTGCATCCTACCACGACGATGGGCTCAGCTCCCCTGACCCCCTAGCGGACTCCTTCGAAGACGGTGCCACCGGAAAACGTGTGTCGCGCCCTGTCCGCACATCTTCCCCAAGCAAAAACAGCGCCGCCACAAGACGACGTTCCCGCCGAGCTACCGGCGCAACTGCCTCTACGCCCCTGTTTCATTCAGTATCCGAACAGAATCTAAGTCCGTGGAAAATCAAGGTCACCGTGGAGGCTGAGCCCGAAGATCCAGAAATGGAGGGCATAGCGCCGCGAACAATGACCCGAACAATGAAAATACCCTTGAGGCACGACTCTTCACCTACGAATCTAGAGGCACGATTTTCGAGAGAAAGAAATTCGGCTACAGCACCAGGGAAGAGCAAGCGGAGTGGGACTCCTGTGCGAGGAGCTAGAAACACAAGTCGCTCCAGACGACAAAGCGTGACTGACCTGAACGTACGACCCCTGGGCGACGATGCGGAAGAGGACGACTGGCTGAGGCAGAAGAAGTCGCCACGAAAGCAGGGAACTTCACGAAGCAGGAAGGCTGATGAAGGGGACTCGACGTCTTCTCCAGTGAAACCAGGGAGGAAGTCTGCCCAAGCTGCAGTTGAAGTCCGACAAGATACAGACGCTGAAGATGGCTATGATGGAATCCATCAGCAAGGAAGTACGCCGGAGTCGGAGTCTCCAGAATTGCGCACAATTGATCTGAACAGAGTATCGGTTCGAGGAAGACCAGTTTCGGCCAAATCCACAACGGACAGTATGCCCGATGGTGACGAGAAGGACCCAGACACACAACAATCACTGGCGAAACCGTCGAGGCAGAAGGGCAAAGAAGTACGAAAGGTATCATCTAATAGTGCGCTAAGTTATCCGACGCCGTCGCCTTCCTCATCCTTTCATGGTGACCCAGACGATGTGGAAGATACCCTGCAACAAGATACAGAGGGCCGCATGACGGGAGAAGGATTCGATACAGTACTTGAAAGTGAAGGGTTCACGATGATTGATCTTGACACCCTACCCTCGGCAAGACAATTTCGCAGCAGTCCCGCTATGGCTGCCGAAAGTCATCCTGCTGGACAAGAACGAGAGAATAAGCCTTCGGATAACCCTGACAAGACCCACGCGTTGGCACCAGCGGGCGACGTATCCTATCCTGCTCTAAACGCCGATGAAAGTGAGATTTCAAGTACGGTGCCATCATCTCCTCCAGTCATTGAACAAGATAGGAGCCTGTTGAAGGTGCCTGCTCCCTCATCGGTGGGAATTCGAAGAGTAACACCGCAGCCCTACTCATCCCCAAAACTGCCTTCACCTCCCAGACACATTCTACAACGGACCGCTAATCACAGACACCGTGGATCGGCCTCGGCGTTGTTTGCAGGCATTGCTCTGCAGGAGGTAGTGTCCCCAGAACATTCCGAGCGGCACCACTCTTCTCAGCAGAAACAAAGCTCTGTAAGCCGTCCATTGTCAAGTCATGAAGATCATCTGTTCGAAGGGTTTGATTCCAGGACAAAACGCGAGCTGAGGGCAGGCCTGCGCTTTGGAGAAGAGCTTGCGAAGCGACAATCCTCTGATCCAGCGGATAGAGCCACCCCTGGCGAGGCACCTGCACGGAAGGGTGATGTGGCCGGATTGGGCATTTCTTCAAGGCATGAACAACCAAAACCTCAGCAAGCAACTCAGGTGCGGAGGGGCGAAACTGTGGTCCAGCATACACCAGTACATACTTCGAGTTCCATGGGAGCAGATTCGAGAAAAGGGGGCGGCAATGTGACTCAAACACCTGAAAATCAGTCAATCATGAGACAAAAGCCCGAACTGCTTGATACCATGGCTCGACGCGAACGTGAATGGCAGCTCGAGCGTGAAGCAGTGTCAAGACAAATCGAGAACGCGAGCGAGAGTCAAGTCATCATCATTGACAGTGACGATGAGTCTGCACTACCCGTGAAAGAGCAAAGCATGGCTGAACACAGCCAATGCGATCAGCTACACGAGGACGATGAAGAGGACATTTGGCTGGCAGAGGCGAAGAACTCGTCGTCCAGTCCTTTACCTGCTACAATATCTGATCTACCCGTGCAGAATGAGCAACATAAACAACTTCATCCGCCCAAAGAAGTCAATGACAAACCTCGAAGAGGTCTCATTCCGAGACCATGGCGGAGAGGTGATGACATTGCGCCTTCCGTTGAGCAGAGTACGTTCTTATCCACCAATTCGGATGAAATGAGCGGTCTGGGATATTGGAAAGAACAAGAAAGCAAAATCAAATTCGGAGCTGGTGAGATCAGAAGACATCAGCTTGGGCAGAGAAGAAGCAGTGGCACATTTGATATTGATCTTATGCTTGGTACTCCGAAGAAGGAAGAAGATCCAAATCGGAGCTTCGATACGAACGATGGCTATCACCATGAACAGTCGGATGAGCCGGCAGTTTCTGAGGATATGAATGATGCCAGCAACTCAACAGCAGAATCAGTGGACGCTCCTGTTGATGCTTTGGACCAATCAATCTCTTCACAAGAGGAGACTCAGGATACTTCAGCAATTGATGATACATCCGTAGCACTCACCACGCCTCCAGTTCCACACCAAGACTCACCAGATCCAGCACCTAGTCAACGACCACCTACACCTCGATCTGCATTAAAGGGGTCCAGATACAGCGTTGGTCAGATGACAGGTTTCGCGAAAGCAGATACACCGACCATGATCAGAAGAGTTGTTTTCAGTGAAAGATCAAGAGGGGTTGATATAGATGGCATGGAAAGCAGCTTCAGCATGAAAACGGGAAGTGACGACACCACCCTGGGCGAGGCTGGATTACAGCTGCGTCGCGAGTTGGAGGCTCATGAGGATGAACATGAGGCCGGTCTAGAGCCTGATTTGGATCATGACGTTGAAGATGCTGCAGCTGAAGAGTCTGTTCACACTGTGAATTCATCAGCATCTTCAGAACCTACACCCACACCAAAGCCTCAGTCCCGCCAAAAAGAAGAAAGACCGCCGAAAAGAAGCACAGAACCAGCAGCAGAAGTCAACATTCAGCGGACATTATCATCACCATCTCCTATCAGCAACCTTGACGGCACATTGAGTCCAAAACAGCAGTCGCGCGAAGAACCGAATTGGGAAAAGGCCAAATTGGCCATGTCTTCCATCGATAGACGATCCAATTCGACTCACCGAGGCTCAAAAACCAAGTCCCGGTTACCCTCATACCTTCTTCCGCCATCCTACCCGTCCGACCCATCGCGACCCTCGTCGTCCAGACTCGGGCTTTCGGGCGAATTTACCAACAGCCATTTCCGTACTCTGCATATCATCTATCGGAAATCCTTGCGCCCCAAATTCCACGGACCAGGACGAGAAGCTATTCGTCCCGATGTACTTGCTCTCGAAGGTCGCGAGATGGACATTGACGAGACGGGCAGCGGCATGGGCGAGATGTTCACCTGGACGATTGGGCCGACGGAATGTGCCGTGATTGAGAGATTCATGCAAGAGGTCGAATACTCGAACGGGTTTTACCGTGGGAAGACGGTGAGACAAGACGAGGATGTCGCGGGAGGAAGAGAGGACGGTGGATTGAGATGGGGATGGACCGCAGATCAGATTGGAGAGTGGCTTTGTCGAATTGTGGTGGGCGAAGTCGTGAGAGAAGAGGAGAAGAGGACGAGGGGAGGGAGAAGGTAGAGGGGAGAGGGGAGAATGAAGTATCCTACCTGTGTGAGCAAGTAGTGAGTGGTCTGGCCCCTTGGCTTCGAAGGGCTGTGGATGTTTATACTGTCGTTGGCGGGTGTCGTGGTTTTAAAAAAAGACAGCAAGCGATTGGTACCTGAATGAATTTGGCCATTTCACTTCTCCGTTCCACCCTCCGACACCTTGACGTCTTTTGCCGTCTGCCTGCAAGTGCTTTCTTCGATTTCCCGGCTCCGTTCGATTGGACATGTCTGGTGCGATGCGAGAAGCAGAGGCTGAAGCAGTAGAGGTCGAGGGCGGAGTGACGGGGTTCGGTCAGCAGCGGACGGGAGGGGACGAACGAACTAGTCATTGCTTGAACCGATTGACTTACTTGTGTGCTGTCGAGACTTGGTCGTGTCGCAACATTTCACACTCGGCGAAGGCGGCATCTTAATTAATTATCAATTGTAGGATCCACTGGGGCACCAGGTACTGTACTATACCGTACATCTCCTTATCGTCCTAAACACCTAGACTTGAATCTAGACAACGGTAAAACAGAGACGGATGTTTAACAAACGGAATCGATTGAGGACTTGATATGTAACTAGTTACAATGCGGCACTATCTTCTCTTAACACCGGCGTCCCTCTTGCCCATCTTGCCACTCTCAGCCTCAGATTGGTTCAGGTTGTGTTCTTATTTTTTGACCAAGCCAGGAAAATTGTACAAAGCGATTTTGAAACACGTCTGTAGAACAGATGATGGTCAGCAAACGAGCCACAGCTACAGTATTTGAATCCAGCATACCTATGTGAAGCTCTTGGTGAAGTTAACGACGACCTCCTTGAGGTCCGCCTCGAGGTCCTTGCTCAACTGTCCCTCCTTGTCAATTCTTGCCAATAGCTCGGCCTGATCGGTCTTCAAGTGGGCAAGGAAGTCAGCCTCCCATTGCAGGACCTTGCCGACTGGAACGCTGTCCAGGTGACCGTTGACACCGGCGTAAATAAGGGGAACCATTTCGTTGACAGCCATGGGCGAGTATTGCTTCTGCTTCAGGAGCTCGGTGAGACGTTCACCACGGCTGAGGGTCTGCTTGGTGGATGCATCAAGATCTGAACCGAATTGGGCGAAAGCGGCGACTTCTCGGTATTGGGCCAAGAAAAGCTTCAAGGAACCGGCGACTTGCTTCATGGCCTTGAGCTGGGCAGCTGAACCGACACGAGAGACAGAGAGACCGACGTTGATGGCAGGTCGAACACCCTTGTAGAACAATTCACCTTCCAAGAAGATCTGGCCGTCGGTGATAGAAATGACGTTGGTGGGAATATAGGCGGACACATCACCACCTTGGGTTTCGATGATTGGCAGAGCAGTCAAAGAACCACCACCAAGCTTGTTGTTCATCTTGGCTGCACGTTCCAAAAGTCGAGAGTGGAGGTAGAAGACATCACCAGGGTAAGCTTCACGTCCAGGGGGACGACGGAGCAACAGAGACATTTGACGGTATGCCACGGCTTGCTTGCTGCACCTGAGTTAGCAAGTGGAATTACTATGCTTTTGAGACAAGTTTAAATACCTGAGATCGTCGTAAATAATCAAAGCATGCTTGCCATTGTCTCGGAAGTATTCAGCGATTGAAGTTGCTAGTGTTGATGTAATGTTAGCGAAGTGTATCATAGAACTTGAGGAAGAAAATCAATGTGGATAATATCCAGAATGGGATCCAATGTAGGGAACCACTCAACTCCCTCCCTTCACTCAACCGCTGGAAATAGTGTGCTTCGGTTTGGAATTTGCTGCCCTTCCCAAAGCAGCACCGACAGTCCTTGCGATAGGGGAGGGCCGTTGAGTGATATTGGACAGATCAAGTGGCAGACCACGTGGCAAGTCCAAGGCTCCGGCCAGTGAGGTATCTTTCGTACAGAACCGAATGATTCATGCACATCTTCGCGTGCCCTTCGGGTACAAATAATCCCACCACCACGAGAAGAACAGCAAGAGTTCAGGTACGTACCGGTGAAAGGTGCAATGTACTGCAGAGGAGCAGCTTCAGAAGCAGTTGCCGCAACGACGATACTGTACTTCATAGCGTCGTTCTCCTCAAGAGTCTTGACAAGCTGAGCGACGGTGGATCGCTTCTGACCGACGGCCACGTAAACACAGTAGAGCTTTTTGCTCTCGTCGTTTCCGGAGTTCCATCTCTTTTGGTTCAAGATAGCGTCAAGAGCGACGGCAGTCTTTCCAGTCTGACGATCACCAATGATCAATTCACGTTGACCACGACCAATCGGCACCATGGCGTCGACGGATTTGAGACCAGTTTGGACTGGCTCTCTGACGGACTGACGGGGAAGGATACCGGGGGCTTTGATCTGAGCACGGCGTCTCTCGGTTGTCTTGATGGGACCCTTGCCATCAATGGGGTTACCAAGGGCATCGACGACACGGCCAAGCAGAGCCTCGCCAACTCCAACATCGACCTGGGTACGGTTAGCTCAACATCGCTCATTGATTCCGGGTTATCCTACAATCTGGCCGGTACGCTTGACGGTCTCTCCTTCTCTGACGAGACGATCGGAACCGAACAGCACGACACCGACTTGACCAGCTTCCAAGTTCATGCACATGCCCTTGACGCCGGAAGCGAATTCGACCAGTTCCTCAGCCTGGACATTGCTCATGCCATGGACACGGGCGATACCGTCACCGACGGACAAAACACGGCCAGTCTCAGCAAGACCTGCCTCCTCTTGAACGCCGCGGATTCTTTGCTCGAGGATCGAGGAGACTTCAGTGGGAGAAGCTTTAGCATCGGCAGCGTACGATCGGATCTGTTTTGAGGCGGCATTGAATGGTGCAGGAGCAGCGACACGGGACTAGCAAAGATTTTGATCAGCCGGGAACTCTCGTTTCTGGGAGTCGAAACGACGAAAATCGCATTCCGAAGCTTGGAAAACATTTTCGCCAGCTAGTCGACGGTCGTAGAGATGCTTTCGGAGCTTCCAAGCTTGAACAGAGAAGAATTTGAGCTTACCGCAGCTATTCTTCCCGATGCTGAAATGGCACCGGCAATGCGGCCAGATTGGCGCAGAACGTTCCTCGACATCATCTTGCTTGCTCGTGAAGCTTGATAGAAAGAACCTCCGAGAAGCAAAAAGGTGAAATGAGATGGCTCAAGCGAGAGGGGAGAGGAGATTGATACAGCGAGGTGGAAGGTGAAGAATACATACCTAGCTCTCCTGGCTTCGGGATTGCAAGGTCTGCCAAGCGACTAAAAATCACGTGAGCTCGGTCTGCTTCGGAGCACAGGTGCCGCCGTGAGTCGTCGGTGTATACGGCAGAGCGGTAGCTGCTTAAGTGCTATAACTTTCTTACGATGACCTGTGGCTGAGTGCGAAGCACCACGTAGGATTCAGGAGGTACCTTTTCCAGCATAGATATACTGCGTATTTTCTCATGGAAACCATCTAGAAGTCAGTATGTTTACATGTACAGCGGAGAATCCAAGAAGATTGCGCCATGTCGACCCCCAACTCTCAAAAACAATCACTTCCTCCGCCCTCCAGAAACAACGCGGCTTCTCCGCAAGTAACCTCTGAAGGTGTTGAACTCGAACCTGTGCAGAATGGCCCGGTGGAACGAAGCCTCCCTTTGGAGGAGGACATTATGCAATGCGCCCGCATTGGCGCTCTTGAACATATTCAAAAGATGATTCAGTCCGGAAAATACACAGCGACGTACAAGGATGAAGAAGGCATCACTCCTCTCCATTGGGCTGCTATCAACAACCAATATGCAGTGTGTAAATACCTACTTGAGCAGGGTGCAGATGTCAATGCAAAAGGAGGAGAGTCCAATGCGACAGCCGTGATGTGGGCGTCTCAGCGATGTCACTTCTATATCGTCAACCTTTTGCTACAAAACGGCGCGGATCCTCTATTGACCGACGGTCAAGGCTACAACATCCTCCATCTTGCTACCATTGACGGGAATGCCCTCCTGCTCATTCTACTGTTGCACCAGAATATTCCTGTCGATATCCCGGATCCTCAAGGACACACCAGCTTGATGTGGGCAGGATACAAGGGTTGGCCTGCGTGCGTTGACCTCCTTTTGCGTTGGGGCGCAAACGTGAATGCAAAAGATGACAATGGATATACTCCTCTACACTGGGCTCTGGTGAAAGGCTCGAAGGCCTGCTTGGATAGACTACTGGAGTACGGAGCTGACAGATTCGCGAAGACCAACGAGGGCAAGACACCAAGCGACTGTGCCGATGAGATGAACACGAAACGCGTCTACCGTCGCTCGTTAGCCGACCATGGCTATGATGCCTCGGGAAATGTCAAGACTCTCCCATTAGGGCTACATACTGCAGTTCGCGACCGATCTGTGATGGCCAAGTTTTTCTTCCTCTATCCCTTCACGATCATCCCAATCGGACTTTACATCATAAGTCACCTCAGCATCTTTATTGGTCTTCCAGTGTTTTTGGTGGTGTGCTTGGGAATGCAGTACATTGCGCAGCGGATCGCAATGATCAGCCACCTCGAATATCACACCATCCATAAAACGCCCTATCTGGCCGGCATTTTTGCTGGCACGTTGTTTTGGGTCGGCTTCAGCTATCTCACGACCATACTACCTGTCACGTTCTCCTCGAACTTCTTGTCCAACTTGTCTTTCGTGATTTTCTATGCTGGCACAGGGTACTTCTACTTCCTAGCCATGCTTGAAGATCCCGGATGGGTTCCTAAACTTGCATCACGAAACCAGCAACGCGCCATGATCGAAGAGCTGTTCTCGCTCTGGAAATTTGACGAAGAGAATTTTTGTGTTCAATGCATGGTTCGCAAGCCTCTCAGGTCCAAACACTGTCGCCGCTGTCATCGCTGCGTGGCCAAGCAAGACCACCATTGCCCCTGGATACATAATTGCGTGGGAAACAATAACCTGCGCCATTTTTACATTTACATTCTTTGTTTGGAGGTGGGCATCGTCCTGTATGTTCGACTGGTCCTCGCCTACCTCACTCAGCTCCCTAGTCCGACCGAGGACGCTGTGTCGAAGTGCAACATTCTCGGCCCCGCGTTATGCGGATTCGTACTTCGCGATCCCTGGACCGTTGCACTTGCATTGTGGACGGTGCTCCAGCTCATTTGGGTTACGATGTTGCTAGTTGTGCAATCAGTCCAGATCTCCAAGAACATGACAACCTATGAGAACATGAAACGCCACGAACACACTAGGGAAAATGGACCGTTACTGCCGCAGCACGTGCGACCGGTCATTCAGGGTGCCACGACCGGCACGTCGTCCCTCAACGACACCGCGGCTGCTTCAACACGAATCCATCCTGTCCCGAGACGCCCCGAGGGCTGCCTTTCGCGGTGGAAGAAAATTATCGGTCTGGATGCCTTCTTGGCCACCGCGTCAGACGCATCGCATGGCAAACTCCAGTCTCGAAATGCGAATCCGTTCAGTCGCGGCATCGTCGGCAACTGCAAGGACTTTTGGTGTGATCCGGCACCTGTGTTTGGCAAGAGGAAGAACGGAGATGGCTTCCTCGGTGGCGAAGTCGTCGACTATGCACACTTGTACGATGTCCCTCTGAGACTTCGGAGCGGCGCTGGCGGGATGGCATATACCAGCGTTGCGACGGATGATGATGAGTCATGATCACTGAAGTCACTTTTTCACTCCAGCGATAATCAGGAGCGTGTAGAGATTTTTATTGTTTCCAATTATACCCTAGCATTGGCAAGATTGGTCTGTTCCTTGTTCGTGTTCAAGTTTCGACTTTCGAGTTCGAGTCTACCCGGGCAAATCACTCTTTTTTCTTCTTACTTTTTTTCTTTGAAAAAAAGTATAAAGCCACCAAGGGGTCGTGGCGATTCTTTTGGTCGTTGTCTGTGACGATAGCTCCAGTACAGCAGGCGTAGTACCCATACGGGGCAAAAGTACTACCTCAGGTACAAGAAGAAGGAGTAAAAGTTGCCCTGCAAACCGGGAGTAGCGTACCATACCACCTTGTACAAGAAAGTATCATGTACAGAAGAACAAAAGTAAATACTTCGAGAGCCTCGATTTGTCTTTTTTTTTTGTTCTTTTTCTTCTTCTCTTTACTTGCTCAAGGACTTTCGGCCTAGTGACGGTGCCTACATAACCCCCCCCGGGTAGATATGTATGGGTAAGTATGTACGGTTCTACCGCACTACCGGGCGTTTATGGTTCACCTCATTCACTGTTTTCTGGCCCTGGCCCTGACCCTGATCCGACAGGGCAGCCCTCCCTCCATCGGCAAAGTCAGACTATTCGCGCTCACCCTCTCGGGCAAGGGGAGGGGTGATTTTCCTCGTTCGAATCGACGACGGGGTTGGGGTGTGCGCGGTGCAGGTGACGTTGTGGCGTTGTCCACGCTGTCCGTACTGTCCGTACCGTCCGTCTTAAGCGCGGTGTCTTGTTCCTGTTGTCCTTCCTCGACAACATCCCAATCCGTGCACATCCTGATCATGACCCACACGGCCATGACCTCTGCCATTTTCTTGCCCAGGCACGCCCTCGGCCCGCCGTTGAAGACGGGGAACTCGAAGGGCGACTTCGGCGTGAACCTGCCCTGGTCGTCGATCCAGCGGCGCGGTCGGAAGAGGTGCGCGTCGTCGCCGAACGTCGCCCGCGCGCGGTTGAAGGCCCAGATACACCACACCACCACGGCGCCGGCGGGGAGGTACGTCCCGTCCGGGAGCGTCACGGGCGTGGTTGTCTGTTTGATCTCGAACGGCACAGGGGGGTAGAGACGCAGCGCCTCGTAGAACGTGGCGACGGTCAGCGGGAGGGTCGTGGGCTGTAAGGACGAGATGTCGATAGTAGTGGTGGTAGTGTTGGCGGTGGTGGATTCGAGATCGTCCGCGTCGTCCAGCTGCGGCAGTGGCACTTTCGCGGCGATTTCGGTCCTGATATCGTCAAGCGCACTCGGATGGCGCAAGAGCGCGTAAAAGGTCCACGTCAGCGCTTGGGCTGTGGTGTCGCGGCCCGCCGAGAGGAAGTTGAGAGCAGAGTCGGCGACGACCTGCGGGTCCGCGAACGACTCGATCAGCGAGTCGATCAGTGTGCCGTGGAAGTCGGGGTTGTTGGCGGCGGGGACGGGGTCGTCGGTGATGAGACTCTCGAACGCGGCGCGAGAGCGGCGTTTACGTGCGTTCAAAACGATCTCACGACCGAATCGCTTGACTTCGCTGAGGGAGTCGTGGAATTGCCCCCCGGATGCCGTGAAGAGCTCGGTGAGCCGGTACAGCGGGTTCTGAAACCGCAGACCAATGTGGGAGGACGCGTGGTCGAAGGCTTTGCTAAAGGACGATGAGGCTGATATTTCCATCTGATCCAGTAAACACAAGTCAGATCGGAGTGTGGAAGAGAGTTTTTAGACGTGGACTGAGCAAAGGACGTGGAGGAGGGATGAGGATCAGGAACTCCAAGACGGGATAGGGGAATGGTGTCGAGGTAGGCAAGACTTACGTCGTACGCCATGTGTCCGACAACGGTTGTCGTGAGGTCGTGAAAGATCGTTTGTAAGTCGACGATGGAACCGTCGTTGGCGGCCTGCAAGAGGTCCCTCCTCGTCATGTCGGTGTATACTTCTGGCAGGACATCCTCTATGAGAGCGTCGAGATTGGCGCCGCTGAAGAATTTCAGGCCGGCTTTACGCTGGGCTCGCCAGAGGTCGCCTGTAGCATTGATGATGCCATACCCTGGAAGATCGGTAAAGAGTCGTTAGTGCTACGTTCCCACATACAAGTACCCCCAGAGCCCGTAGGGTGAAGAAAAATAGAGACTTCGTCTGCTGTCGTCGCTCACCGAACAAGTCCCACGATCGCGATCTGAAGAATTCGCCCTTGGTGATGGCCGCCTCGCTCTTCAGGACGAACTCCAGGTTTTCAGGACTGTTGATGACCACTCCCGGCGGCAGAGTCGGGACCGATATCTCAAAGGTTTCATGGCCAAAGAGGTTCTGGCACTTGACGAACCAGTCGAACAAGACATGACGGGGCTTGAGGAAGTGGATGGCGTTTCCGACAATTGGGAGAGTATCTGGTGGGCGTCTGGTTGTAAGGTAGTCAGATGGGAGTCTGCACAGACTATCGTAGAGTCGTAGGAAAGATGTCTTGCCTTAGCTTTCGACCATGGCGATGGATTGCCGGGCTTCGGGTAAAGATGTAGATGAAACCCAGGGTACACAGCAGCAATACAGCGAGGCTTGTCCAGATCATTCTGGCCCCGGAATGGGGGAACAACCTGTCTGCCTGTACCTCAGGCGACGTGTATCTAATCGAAAGGGCGAAAGGACGACAGCTCTCGTGAAATGAACAGAACGACAACACTAAGATCTTTCTCTGCACGGCTTAGGGCTGAGATGTCGTCCCATGCCAACAGCAGTGGCGTATCCTGGGCACATTAAGCAAAGTATCATACGAGTATAGTTAGTGCGAGCGTGATCTGCTTCTCCCCCGGATCTGACGCAGTGTTTTCCGTCGCCTCGTTGTGCCTGGATGGCGAGTTTCCAACACTACGCTAAGCCATTGTCGTGTGGTTTGGGACGAGTGTCGCCTGAAATGTGTTGGGACACGCTTGCGAGGACCGCGAGACAGACAGGAGTCGAGCCAGTCGGGGCTGGTCTGTACCTTGCGTGGAGGGCGAGGCGCTGCAATGAGCCTGATTAGGTGCCTATCGAGAGGCTAGCGAGACCGCCAGACTGGGCCCCCGGGGGTGATACACGGTGATGATATCGGCCCCTGTTGATTCGTCGGAAGAGCGCCCAAGCCACCCGCTAGAACGTCCACTAGGGGGGTGGTCTACAGGTGATTCTAGGTGACTATGTCAGCTAATTCCTCCATAGTACTAGTTACGAGGTCCCTTAGTTAGTATCTACTTGGCCAAACGCAGGCCAGTGCGCGCCATCCACCATCATCGTGACAAGTCGAAGGTCCCTCGCATCTCGCATCTCGCACCTCGCATAACTCGTACTGCTTCGTACTAACCTCATCCTGTATCATATCTCACAACCTCGCGTGCCTCTATTTACCTGCTTGCACTGGTGCATTCAGCTATCTGGAAGCTCTCCTTGTTGTCGCTCATTACGCCAGCCACCCTCGTTCAAGGCTTACGCCTCGGTTTCAGTTGTGTTTCAAGCATTTGCGATAGACAAATACCCACGTCATTATTCTGTGTAAATTGTTGGGCCTCGCTTGATGCTTCGTTGGGTGGGATTTACGAGCATTGTCCAGCCCAAGGACAGCAATGTCGCCCTCTGCAGTCAACAGCAAGGTCACACCACCGTACCAGCGACCCAATCTATACATTCACGGCATTGGAGTTGAATACCCTCCTTACGAGATCAAGCCAGAACAGTTGGCCACTCTGGCAAGGCGCCACTATCCCAGCTCTCCAGCGTAAGCATTACCCTACCTTCTCCCTGCCGGGTCTTCCAGGCGGCTGACCGGTGGCAGACTTGAGAAAGTGCTGACGATCAACGAATACACCGGCATTGATGCTCGTTCAGCAATTGGAACAATCGACCACCCTATCGCCAACGGGCCTGAAGCTCCTTCAATAGCCGAGCTGTGCGAAGTGTTTCTCGATCATGGCGTGAAGCTGTCCGTGCAGGCATGTCGCAGAGCTCTCGAGCAATGGGGAGGCGATCTGTCAGAGATCACGCACGTTGTTGCCACTACTTGCACGAATTCCGCCAACCCTGGCTATGATCACTATGTCGTCAAGCAGCTCGGCCTCAACCAGAGCATAGAGAAGGTTCTCCTCCATGGAGTTGGCTGCAGTGGAGGCTTAGCAGCACTGAGAACTGCTGCCAACATCGCTCTTGGTGCCAGCTTCCGTCGAAAACCAGCGCGCATCCTAGTCCTTGCGTGTGAAGTGTCTAGCATCCTAGTCCGTTCTGAACTCGACTCGATACACAAGGATCAGGAGGTGAGGATAGGTGTCGCGCTCTTCAGCGACTGCGCGTCTGCTGTAGTACTGGGAAATGGCTTCAGTAATCGGTACGATGAAGAGCCGATCCTGGAGCTTCTGGATTGGGATCACAGAATCATCGAAAACACCGAGAAGGATCTCGGATTTGACGTGGATCCTGTTGGTGAGTTTGGAAATACCCCACCAGATACAGCAAGCCACATCTCTGACATTGCTTTAGGTTGGAAAGTCGTCTTGACTCAGCGAGTTCCCAAGCTCGCCTCGGCAGCAGTGCCGGCCATGTTCGAGGATCTAGTTGGGTCGATCCCAGAATTGGTCGATGCCGGAAAGTTCAAGGCTGCTGATTACGACTGGGCCCTTCATCCCGGTGGTGCGACCGTTTTGAGTGGAATTGAAAAGACCATGCATCTGAAGCCTGAACACCTCCGCGCCAGTTACGAGATATACATCTCCCACGGGAACAGCTCCAGCGCAACCATCTTCAGCGTAATGGATCGTTTGCTGAAGGGAGAAACCACCGAGCACATTGTCGGATGCGCCTTTGGGCCAGGCATAGCTGTGGAGATGATGATGTTCAAAAGGAGCGTTTCGGGGTCGAATTCAGGAACAGCAAGTCCGACGGCGTCTCTAACGGAGACCCTTGTGGCTGAAGACGTCGACTGATGATGGGTCTAACGAACAGGAAGTGGTGTTTGTTGCGTCACAACCGACCAGCTGTGTTGAAGGAGTGCTGCCAAACATACCGAATGTAAAACCAAATATAGAAACGCCTCTGAGAGGAAAAATGACGCTCTTGCTTGTGCTTGTCTGTGTAACCTTGCGACTGACCTCACACAAGGAGCTGCGTGGTACACGGCCAAACTGGCAGCCACTTTGCTGGAGATTTCGTCCGGGTCCCGCATAGCAAATATAGCTGACAGCAGGACAGAACTCAGCAACAGGACGGCATATTGTCGAACGATCGCGTGAGCTTGTGGAGTATGACTCCCGAGCTGTCTGCTGGGGAAGAAGAAGAAGTTGAAGGACGCCGGTATTTCGATGAAGATGTGAATCAGAAAACCTAGATTATGGAGCACCATCACGCCTACCGGAAGATTGGAATCTGTAGGCTTGGAAGGGTATCTAGGAGTAGGCCGTTATAGTGATTACTTCCACGTACATCAACACCCGGGAGCAAGACTATTGCTTCTACTGTTGTATATAACACGGGTACGAGTACAAGTGAAGTCCTGACAAGGCTGTGGATAGTAATGAGTGATAGAACTTGGGTACCTTACTCAGGTACCTTAGGTACATACGGCATAATTGGGGCTCATTTAGGCCGCCCACGATGCCTAGAAGATCCCGCCTGTTCCGGATCCCAGTTCCCACCAACTTTAGCGGCTCTCGTCCCGAGTTCCTTTTTTTTTAATCATGACGTGTCACGGTGTCTCTAGGGTACGGAGGACCCGTGCAACCAACTAACTAGTTAGTTAGCTGATGCGACAAGCTAAAAATGAAACGCGACGCCACACCCTCTACACGTACCGTATGTCCATATATGGTCAGCGGCCAGCAACCGTGGGCCATGAACGATTCCCCAAACACCGTCGACGTCTGCTGCCAAAGCTGCGGTCCGTGGTCGGTGGCAGTACTCTCTCTCCACGATGGGATCACGACCGTGGCTCCCTAGGAGACACTACTTCGAAGTCAACGATCAGTCCTGGTGAGCATGTAACGCCACGAACTTTTCTCCTGGCAGTAAAATCGTTTTATCTCGATGCTCGTGGTGCGTCCGCAAACTGACCCGAGTCTCCCTGTACAGGTTTCCACAAACCCTGCGGGAGAAGGTCCAAGACTATCTCACCCTCGGATGGGTCAACAGACTCCCCGTCATCCAGTCAATTGCCCCTGCCACGCTCGTCGCCCAAGTGCTCTCGAACGTCCTCGGTCCTCGAGTCTCCGACTATGTGTATTTCGACTTTGCCTCCGGCGCGGGCGGCCCGACACCGTACATCGAGAAACACCTGAACGAGCAGCTGCGCAGCCGGGGCACGGAGGAGGTCAAGTTCGTCCTGACCGACATCAGCCCGCACGTGCAGGCGTGGGAGGCGATCGCGAAGAAGAGCGAAAACGTCAGCTACGTCGAGCAGAGCGTCGACGCGACGAACGCTCCCGGTGCGGAAACACTCCTCCGGAACGTGCCTGGCGTCGAGGGCAAGAAGACCATGAGGCTGTTCAGCCTGTCTTTCCACCACTTCGACGACGGTCTCGCGGCGAGGGTGCTGCAGAACGCGGTCGAGACGTCCGATGGATTCTGGTAAGTTTGATTTCTTTTGTCCTTGTCGCCGTTGTTGTTGTTGTTGTTTTTCCGGTCAAGCGCCTCGTCATGCAAGGGTCCAAGATTGTTTACGTCTGTGTGTCTCTCTTTCATTTAGCATCTTCGAACTGCAGTCACGACACTTTGCTTCGTTCGTCACCGTGAGCCTGCTGTGGCCGTTGGCCATGCTCATCGCGCCCGTCTATTTCTGGCACTCTCCCTGGCACCTCTTCTTCACCTACCTCGTGCCCATCGTGCCGTTCATCTGGGTCTACGACGGGTACATCTCGTGCCTGAGGACGAGGACGCCCGAGGAAGTCCAGCGTCTCTTGCGGAGCCGTGTGTCCGGCGAGGAACTGGCCCGCTGGAAATTCCAATACGGTCAAGTCTGTCACACGTGGCCGATAGGTTGGCTGTATTGGATTATCTGTTACAGAGAGTGACTGAACGAACTGCCTGCCTCACTTTTCTACCTGGCTAGGTACCTAGGCTTTTATGTCACGGCTTTTTATCGCTTCATCGACGAAGAAAAGAAATAGTTATAGACATAGACTGCAGTTGCTGCTAAAGTAACATGCGAAGTTGCAATTGCTTTCAACCACCTCGCCTTGTGTTTTTCTTTTGTGTGTGTGTGTGTGTGTGTGTGTGTGTGTGTGTGTGTTCTTAGACTCCTGAACGTTCTTTTTCACCTGATCAGGTACCTCCTTTTCTCCCGCCTTGGCCCATTGCTGGTGGTACAAGGAAGTCTAGCTACCAGGTCTGGGCTGGTAAGGTGCGTAATTGGAGTCGCAGTAGGTGTCCGGCGTGTACGATACCTAGTATATTATTCACCTTGTAGCCACTTGCCTATAGTACTCAGTGAGGTAGGTGAGGTAGCTTGGTAAACTACTCCGTATGGATCACAGGGACCTAGGTATGATATGGCACTCGTACATCTATCTGTCTCTCTCTCTCTCTCTCTCTCTCTCTCTCTCTCTCTCTCTCTCTCTCTCTCTCTCTCTCTCTCGCTCGTTGCAATGTGTTACCTGCCTACCTACCTGGTAGGCACTACCTTATGTCTACAGTATGTAGGTAATTGTACAGTAGGTGCTGTAGGGACGGAGTAGCTATTTTAGTACCCAGTCATAACAGGCCTGGGGTCTGTACAATGCGAGCACCTGTACTCGTACCTACTGTACGTAGGTACCTACAATAGTAGTTAAGCGTCGAAGTTGATCTACAATGGCCCAAATGCCCGCTACCTGGAGTTGATGCAAGATAAGGACAGGGCCGACCTTGGCGTGCGTCATTGTTGTTCCCCCCGCGTCAACTCTAGTACTGAACGCGTCACATGCTCCGCATGCCACATGCCACCTGCAAGCGAAACCCCCCGACGCAACACGACACACCATGCGCCGCCGTCTGTAGGCACACCCTGTCCGAGATGAGATGAGATGAGCTGAGCTGAGACTCAAAGTGTAACGGCGCCATAGTCGGTTTCATCACAAAAGTATTATTGGGATGAATTAACCATCCTCGTAACGATCTTCACACTAGGTAAGAATAACCAGACACAATACGCGGCTGCTCTTCTCCTTCCAGCTCGTAGAAGTGAAGGGCGCAATTAATAAACACCCAACCAAACAAGTCAAGTGAAACATACTCCAGACCATCCCTCATACCTGACCCTGTAGAGGTGGCTCTCCCGTACCCATACCGTATAGTCCAACCCAAAGGAAGAAAGTCTCATATCCTCAAGAAGCGCCGATTTCCCATTTAATGCTGGTGATTCGTGATGGTAGTAGGACAATTCCGGCTTCCCTAATGATGATTCCTCGGGGGTATCTCTGATAACACCGATGTCAATCAACAGTGACACGGCGACAAAAAAAGAAAAGAAAGACATTGGCACGTTGAACTATCAAACATAAAAAGAAACACACAAGGTTGGTTGAAACGCCTTGAATCCCTGTCGTTGTCGAAGCCGACCTGAGTGGATAAGACACTCAATTCAAGTGAGTATGATCAATCAGCTCAAAGTCAAGGTCAAGGTCATCCTCGTCGGTGGAGACTTCGGCCATGTCCTTGCCGTCGACAACGTCGTATTCCTTCTTGACGAGCTTGTCTGTCTCGTTGTTTTCGAACCGTCGTACAGCTTGGGCGACGGCGTTGCTGAGAAGGTCGGAGCCGGCACGAGGACCGGAGCGAGAGTCGTAGCTGTACAAGAAGTCTGCCCCGGGGGGGAGTGGTGCAGCAGAGGCATCGACGACATCCTCCTCTTCGGAATTGTCCGAGACGTGGGCAAGAGGACCGTCGAGAGCGTCAACCACTTCGTTTCGAAAGACCTTGCGGGCGAGGGTGGCCGTCTGGGAAGTGACGCGGTTCTTGTGGTGTTGTTTGTATCTTGCCTCGCCAGCGGTTAGGTGCTGGCCCTTCGGACGACCGATGCATTTGTAGCAGTTCGAGTTGATTTCATCGTGCTGAGTGCATGGTTGGGTGACTTGGCCTTTTCCACCTCTTGCCCATTTGCGGTTGTGGTCCTTGTCTCGTTGGTAAGGTTTGGCTTCACTGCGGAAATCCGACATTCTGTGAGAGAGAGAGACTGAAGTGATGGAAGACGGCTGTTTCGGGGGGAGATTAGGCTGGTACGCGGCGGTGGTATATAATGAAGGTAGGTATTGGTCGTAGAGGGGTGGTGGCGGCGGCGGCAAAGTGTTGGGATGAGGGCAGGAGGAAGAGAAAGTGACGTGTTCAGAAGGTGAAAGCAACAAAGGATTGGATGTCGAAGAAGATGGTGGTGATACAGAGGACGAGTACAAGCAGTCGAGGCGAATGGCGGACAAACAAAGAGAGGTAAAGAACAACCCTGGGGAAGAGTTGTTGTGGTGGGTGGTGTTGAGGAGTGATAGCAGGAGAGGAGGGCAGATAACGCGTATTATAGCATCATCGAGGTGGCTGAGAAGAAGCTGACTCTGGTCCGTTGCCTACATTACCTAGCCGGGTAAGATGACAGTGTCACTCGGCGCGTAGGGATGAGTCGGCACGATCCATGAAGCTCAACAAGTCACGACCAGGCACGGGTTCGGCATGGAGATTGCTATGCGTAGGATGCACAAGTGACTCGGTACGGAGTATTGCGTGTGGAGATGGTGCCTTTGGAGGGGAAGATGGCGATGACCAGGCACGAGTAACAGGGAACAGCTGCGAGAGATGAAGACAGCGATTGGTTGATTGGACTGAACCATGTCCAGGCGCTTTGAGTCACCCACGCTATGGGGAGTGAGATGTTGTATGGGAGGGTGGGAGGAGGGGGGACAGTGAGCGCCAGATAGAGATAGAGATACGGGATACGGAGAGAGATAGGGAGATAGGGAAATGTAGGAGATGAGGATGTGGCTTGACCAGCATCCGAGCTTCCATGTTCCCAGCATCGACCATTTCAAGCCATGTCCGGAGTACGTACAGACAAATACGAGATATGACATGTTGTTGTCTTTGTCAGTGTCATGACGCGTGTGATAAGGCGAGCCAGAAGCAGGAATCAGGTATTGTGTACTCCGTAACGGTGTAGGATTCAGCCAGGTAAACATAGATACTCATTCCTGGTTTCAGGCCTTGTTTTATCTTCAAAGACTCAGTGACCTCATTTCCCGGGCTGGTGTTTGTATCTCGTCGTAACGCATGCGGTTTGTACAGCAACCTCTGACTTCTTCATGGATATATTCACATCACCTCATCACGTCCCGTAAGGTCCATTTGCCTCCGTGTACTCGTCGTCAGACTCTGTAACACTTTGCGACTCGAGATGCCAACCTCGGGACATGAATTGCCAAATCAACACTCTCGGCTGTATGAAGTGCCATATTCCACCACATCGCCCCCATTGAAGAGTGACTCATGAGCTTGCTCGACCAGCCAACCGGTGTAAGGATGTGAGTCAAGTAGTACGAGTACTTGGCTTCATTACTCGAAGCTTCTTTTGTCGTGATGTGGTGATGGTCCTCAGCCTGATTGATGATGGGTACCTGTAGACTATAGTGTCCACCATCCATCTCATCCAAAAGTCGGTTCAATCGGGCTTCCATTTTCTCATTCAAAAATCCCAAGTCCTTGCCACGCCCTGTACTTGTCATGATCATCACTCGTCCTCATTCTCGTCGTCAGTCTCACTCTCACTCTGATCATCCCCTTCCAGCCGCTTCGGAAACCATCCAAACCTCCCCAAATCCACACTCATCTCTTCCACGCCCCTCGCATCACCAACCTCCACGCCCTCGGCCCTCAACCTTTCCGCCTGCCTCATGGCCGCCTCACCCCCGTCTCCTCTCGGACTGATGCCTCCTTTCGAGTTGACAACCCTCTGCCACGGCACATTGTGGTCGTGGTAGAACCACTTGTCAGGCTCCGCGGGGTCGAAACTAGGCAAATGCTTCAGACAGATGCCGACCTGTCGCGCGCGCTTAGGATAGCCCAGCAACGTCGCAATGTGGCCGTAGCTCGTGCATTTGCCAAACGGGATCTGTTGAACCGCAGAGTAGACGGCTTGAAACCACCACTGCGCTTCGTCGGATTGTTCTCGTGGCATTTTCCCTTTTTTTGGTGGCCCTCTTGCTCGTTTTCTCGTTGTGCGTATTCCCTAGGTGGTCACCGTACAATAGTATTACAGGGGATGGTGTTTAGCCCATGTCCTCGCCCGTGGCTATGTTGTTTCAGAAGGCTCCGAAGTCCCGTTGCCGTGTACTGAGGACAAGAGGGGGAAGAGGCGGTGACAACCAAAAATTCTCTATTAAACATTCACGAGTCATCCAAAAGGTCACCAAAGGCCCCAACACAGCCTCGTTGTTAGCGGGCTACCCGCCAACAAACCCCGTCCCCTTTCCCCGATGTGTTGTCAATGTGAGCCTCAGAGACGAATCTTTCTCATGCTATGAAACTTCAACAATCTTTGTTCCTGGCTCCGTGAACCGCCGTCATGACTGTAGTCAACCTCTTGATCAACAGCACCACCGAGTCCACGGATGGCGACAATCGACTGACGAGTTTCTGGAGGTCTGACGCCTCGGTTATCATCGGCGATGAAGCTCCTGGAGACCTCCACGCTGAAGCTCTACACATTCCACGAACCTAATCTCCCAGAATACGCAATCCTCTCTCATAGGTGGTTCAGTGATGAGCAGGAAGTCACGTTCCAGGAGCTGCAGAGCCTGACCGACACCTTGCAGTGCCAGTGTGGCAAGGAAGGCCGTGACCAGCGTGTCCGCCGCAAGAAAGGCTTTGATAAGATCGCCTCCTTCTGCCGTCTTGCCGAGGAGGATGGATTCCAATATGCTTGGATCGACACTTGTTGTATCGACAAGTCGAGCAGCAGTGAGCTGTCGGAGACGATCAATTCAATGTATAAGTGGTACAGCTCCTCGCGAGTCTGCTACTTCTACATGGTTGATGTGCCTCGGGTGGACTATTCAAGTGACGAGCCACTGATTCTGTTCAAGGCTTCCGAGTGGTTCAGGCGTGGCTGGACGCTTCAAGAGCTACTGGCTCCTCAGCAGCACAAATATCTGGCGCAAGATTGGAGTCTCATTGGCGTCACTTTACGAAATCCCACCTCTGACAACGGTGTGTCACTTGACGGTGATGGTTGCCATTGTTCGACTGCTTTCCCCGGTGCCAAGTGCCTTGAGACTGAAGTGTCGGAAGCCTCTGGCATACGCATCGACCGCCTCAGAAGCTTTGATCCACGATGGACACGTTACACGACAGTGTGTATCGCGGAGAGAATGTCTTGGGCCGCGAAGAGGGAAACGTCGAGGCTGGAAGACACGGCTTACTGCCTACTTGGCATCTTTGATATTCATATGACTCTCATGTACGGCGAGGGAGAGAAAGCATTCATTCGGTTACAGGAAGAGATTATACGGCATTCTGTCGACAGGACCATCTTGGCCTGGGACAGGACAGGTCACGAATCACTCGATCAACTCTTGGCTCCTTCCCCGCAGTACTTCAAATTCGTCGACTTCGTGTTCAAATATAAGCCCCCTACCGCAGATGAAGTCCATGAGATCACCAGCCAAGGCCTGCTCACTCACATGGAAGTGGCCGACCATCCGACGCGGAACGACGTATTGCTTGCTCGTCTGGACGACTCTCATGCATTCTCTCAATCCGGAATGCCCAAGCATCAGATCCTACTGTTGCTTCCCATTGTTTGGCACCTACATCCTTTCTACCCATGGATCTCTTGGATGTCTACACGCGGTGGCGAAACTCACGTGTATTGCCCGTATGAACTCGCTGTTGTGAATCGTGCCTCGGTGAAACGGCGCCTGCGGTCCTTCAAGCGCAGAAAACTTCGCATTGCACGCTGGCATGTCGATCACGGGGGAATGGATCATCAACATGTGAGCGAACTGCTGATCGAGCATGTGGTGCGTGGGGTGCTGATATGGCTGCTATACATGTTTGTATCATTATGTGTAGAGCTTGACGGGCCATTCAAGTCCGATGTCTACACCGCAGCCATCTATCTAATTTTGCCACTATTATCTTTGCCGTTCTTCGTGTTGCGTCTGTACACGATTATGCGGATGAATACGCTCAACATCATTGAGGCACAGAATCTGATGCACCTGACAGAATCCGCCGATATCCCCCTTGCGATGGTGTGGACGCTTGTCATGGCAATAGATAGATCGAGATTCTGGAGAGCCTACATAGAAGAAGTGAGATCTGGGCGTGAGCAGTCTGATGCATGGATTATCATTATAGATATATTCCTGCCTGCATTCGTATGCCTAAATCTTTTGGGGAGACTTTGGAGGGGGACGTCGCTCAAAGGTGTCGAAATCACTAGTTTAAACAGGGAAATCATTCGTTTAAACGGGCAGGATTAGCCCTCCAATAAATCACGCGTCAGAGTATTTACTAATTTGTATACGACAAGATGAGAGGCCTAGTATCAACTTTTCAAAGTCGAGAGCAACTCTTTGGTGTGGAGTCGAAGTACAATTACATGACCTCATCTGCTACCTAGGTATTCACATCGGCTTCATTTCGTCCAAAATACCCTGAACATTCGCAAAGCTCAACTCTTCCATCGTCTCCCGCCACACCTTGTCAATGACCTGCTTACCCTCCGAAGTATACATTAGCGGCACAAACCTAGAACGAGACATGCCGTGTTAGCGAGCTGCACACAAATGAGAGTCCCAAGACAAGTTACTCACGGCCAGATCTTCCAACCCATGATAAAGCATCCATGAGACTCCTTCCCCTTGAGTGCTGCAGCGTCAATGTATGTCGAAGCGCCTACCCTCATGGACCTGCCGGCAATACGGCCCCAGAACGCCATGATGGCGGACACGGGGAATCCCACGTCGCGAGTCAACCCTGTGCCCCTGACATAGCCCGGGTCGACGATGTTGACCACCACATCATCGGCAGAAACATAATCAGCGAGTCTGTAAAGGAACATCAAGCCGAGGACTTTGGATACGTTGTACTGGTCCAGCACGTCGAAGTTTTTGGCAACGTCCAACGAAGGCAAAAGCGGCGAGTCCATCCGGTTGCGGAATTTCGCTTCGAACGCAAGGCCGGACCCGACGATGGAGATCCGGCCTGGTCCCGGCGAGGACTTGCGCTTGAGAACCGGGAGGAGGAGGATGCAGAGCAACGCGGTCGAGATGTAGTTGACTTGGATGGTCTCTTCGTGGCCCGTGTCGCGGACGACTTGGGGGTTTGTCTTCCTCACGCCGGCGTTCAGAATGGCAATGTCGACGCGCTCGAGTTGCTCGACCTGCTCGACAAAACCCTGGATGGAGTCGTACGAGGACATGTCCAGCTGAAACACTTGGATGGTCGCCTTGGGGTGTTTGGCCCGGAGAGTGTCGGCTGCGGCCTCGCCCTTAGCTACTGAGCGCACGGCCATGATCAAATGTGTGAGTCTGAGCGAAAGGAGCTGAGCACAGGCTTCGAGACCAAGGCCCTGGTTCGCGCCGGTCACGATGGCGACCTTGCCGCTAAGGTCGGTGTCCCTTGGAGGCCATACGGGCTTGGTGCGAAACTGATTCTTGAAGAAGATGTTAGGGAAGAACGGAGAAGTGATGGGCTGCAGCTCCTTGGACGGCGCCATAATATGTGTTCGCTTGAAAGGTGAGGTCGTCCCATGTTCGAAAGGCAAAAACAGCAGATCGACGCTGTATTTGTATTGCTCACCTTGCCTTCTGTTGCACCTACTGCTTAATTTCCAGACGCGACTCCTCTCATACCTATAGGAGGTAGATTTCTCACTCTCCAGAGTTCGGTGGTGACAGCCTCGAAGCAGTGGTGGATAGGGACAATCGGAGCTAAACCGGTAACGGTAAACAATTGAAAATCTTGGCGACGGACGGCTTCGGACTTGACTGGATTGGGATGCTCGTTATGGCCGGACGCCCCAGTTGGGTGTAAGGGCTGTCTGTCTCTTCCTCTCTTCCTCGACCTGGAGCCTGGAATGCCAATTACGAACTGGAATAGGAAATCAATCAAGGATATCTCGGCTCCTGAGAGAGATGATGATGATGCAGCCGCAGACTAATCTGACTGCCGTTGCCAGACGATACCTTTGAAGTGCCAGCGGCTGAATTGCCACGACTGACCATACCCTCGCCACGGTGACGACGGGGTTGCGAAGATCCACGGCTGAGCTGACAACCACTTCCATTGGGAACCGCAGCAGAAGATATGGGTTCCCAGCACACATCGGGTGAGCCTGGCGGCATAATGTCCTTTCCCGCGAATGGGTTTCTCATGTTGCATCTACAGGGAAGTTTCGTTTCATCGTATCAACCGATGTCGAGAACAAAGACCCCGACACGCGAAAGGTCATTAGAAGTCATGTTATGCGAGGGAAGAATCGAATCAAACCCCGGAGAAAAGTTCGACATCTGCAACATAAAGACATACCAACGACGGACTGTCTGAATATCAATGGCCCTCTGTCCTCCTCAAAGGTCCCCAGACCGCTATGCGCAGACCTTGCCGCCATTCCACTTGCCGACGTCGTGGAGCCTGCTCTTATTGCAGACGTACTTTTGTGTGAGTGGTCAGCCGTGGCCAATAACAATTCATTACTGACCGAGCTTTACCTAAAGTCTCATCCATGTCGTCAAAAGCCATGTTCCTGCTGGATCCTTACATCGTGCCCCAAAAGTTGGGCATCTCTCCAGATTGGTTTACTGCAATGCAGAGCGATGTGGCCTATCTGCATGCCATTTGTTTCACCATACAGAGTTACTTTGATGGGTTCTTCGGGAGAACCCGAAGTGCTGCAGCTGAACGAAGGGACCGTCTGTACTATGATAAGACCGTCAGAATTCTTCAAGAGCGACTCTCACTTGATGATGACAGTCAGAAGCTTTCGGATTCCACGATCATGACTATCATAGCGTTGTCCGGCCACGCCTATACGACAGGTGATTTTGAGTCAGCACATAACCATAACCGAGGACTTCTCCGACTCGTCAGTATGAGAGGCATAAATACATTCCTCCAGCATACAAAACTATCCATAGAGATTATTCGGTGAGTCCTGGCTTTGTGACTGGCTAGCGTTGACACTGAACGGACGACGCGCTTTAGTTGTGACTTGGCCATGGCTGTCGATACAAACCTGACACCGGTGCTTTGGAATTATAAGGGTGTCCTGGCAACATTGTCCGGCTTTACGAAAACGCCGTGTCAGAATGTCCATCTTAGACTCTTGCAACCCGAGGCAAGGAAGTTTCTGGGTAAGCTCGACGCTCAATTGGCCGCGGCGTGGGTTAGCATGTCACACTTCTGTGCCCAGGTCAATGCGGCTGCCGAGGAGGACGGACCCAAAGTCACCGAAGAGACATTCTTGCAAAACATGATCTCCATCATGTATCCTCTGCTTCTTCGGAGATTCCCAAAAGGAACCTTTGATGAAGCGGCCCGCTTGGGTCTGCTGGCCTTTTCTTCACCCATCTTCCTTCACTGGAACAGAGTCGAATTTCCAGACCAAAGATTTACATCAGCGTATCGGGAAGTGCTGGCTGGGGTGACTCTAGCTGGAGCTAACATCGTGCCCCGAGAGCGTCTTTGGCTCTTTGTGATCGGCGCTTTGTCGATGTCTCATGAACCCGAGAGCATGTCATGGCTTGTACCCAGGCTACGAATGGACATTGAGCGGTGCGACGTAGACAGGTGGAGTGACTTGCGGGCTGTATTGAAGTCCTATTTGTGGGTTGGGTTAGTTTACGATGCTCCTGGTAAGGATCTATTCGAGTCGATGTATCCTGAGAGACTCGCCATATGAGGAGTGATCGGTTTTATCTGTATTTGAGGAGAGTTGTGTCGTCTGCTGCGTGTCCATTAGAGGCTGAACTAAACAACAGTGGTCCGTGGTCCGTAGTCGTGGAAATCAGATCCGCGGCTTAAATCCGGGGTGCATCGTGCATCGTGCATTGTTTACATGTTTTTTTCGTCGTCTCTGGTTGCCCATTGATTTTCCCTTCACTACCCTCCCCCATGACGACAGCCAGATAATTCTTCGTTCTAGTTGCTGCTTGTCACTCGTCTCTTAGAAATGGCTTTTCGTGGTACGGAAAGCCCTATGGACTTTGAATGGCAAGGCCACGGTCCAGTTGACCCTACTTCGCCTTTCCACAAGCACATCATGGATGCACAAGCGAAGAAGCGTACGTTTGAGAGCTTTCTGTCATGCCAGAGTATACACTGAATCGTCACAGGCAATCACAGCGAATTTACTTCTCCCAAGAAAACCGTCTTGCCGTCCTTGCGAGAACCTAACAATCAACCCTTTTTCTTCTCAAATGCGCCCACGACACCGTCATCTTCACCCTTCCGCGCTCCTTCCTTTACGACTCCCCGAAAACCTTTTGACATTGACTTCTCATCTGGACCGGAAAATTCGTCACCTCTCGAACAGACGGACAATGATGATACTCCAGACGGAAAACCAATCCCGATTGAATTTAAGAGCAGCCCTCAGCGGCCAGAGAGCAGGAGAAGCTCATTATTCGACCTCTATGGAAGATTTGCACCTAGTTCCGGGCGAGGGGAGATCCGAAAACCGCATAGCGACTCCATTGCCAAACGTATACACAAGAAGCGGCGGCGAGCGCAAAAATTCGACAAGCAATTGATTGTTGGTAGAAGAGATACCACAGATGACAGTGACGATGAGCCTATACCCAGCCCTACCGAACCACAGAAACCGAGAGTGGAGGAGGTGGGATGGATTACTGGGTTGTTTACCTTCATTCATACCTACCCTGATGCGCCATCGATTATTGCAAAGTATTTACAGGTCTTTTTCAATGCCGCTATTCTAGGCGGCTGTCTTTACATGTTCTGGTCATTCTACGCCACGATTCGAGCCGATGTCGATCGAGCCAGCGAAGACGCCATGGCAGAGGTGCTAGCAGAGATGGCGGCATGTTCAAAGAATTACATCGAGAACCGTTGTGGTGCCGATACCCGACTGCCAGCGCTGGAAACGGTATGCAGTAACTGGGAATTATGCATGAACCGTGACCCAAAGGCCGTCAAACGAGCCAGGCTGAGTGCGCACACATTCGCCGAAATCTTCAACAGCTTTGTTGAACCCATCAGTCTGAAAACGATGTAAGAGTACAGAAAACTATGTTTTGGAACGAGAAACTGACTATTGCAGGATCTTTACAATCACCCTCGTTGTTGTGGGATTGGTCGTCAACAATGCTACGTTTACTCTGTACCGGCGACAACAAGAGCATCAGAATGCAGGCATGTATCGACATCCTTCGGGATCTTACATGCATCCTGCACAGCAAGATGGCTCGATGCCCTATGCTTTGCCCCCAGGAACGCCATTTGGGCAACCCTATGTAGGTTGGCATGGCGACCAGGGATTTGTCGGGCAACAACAGGCATTAGAGTATCAGCGAAGCCCCAGTAAGGAACATCGAGCACGGAGTAGGAGCCCGGAAAAGAAGGTTGTATATTGACGACGGTTATGATTTTATGTTGTTGGGACTATTTTGGTGTTTGATGATGGTATTGGATGAGTGGCCTCTACAGAGAGAGGTGGTACGGTGTTCGTCAAAGACAGATATGACGAATCTGGTGTGTAGATTCACAGAAGTTAAGGATCATTTCGACCAAGTACAGTGAGCGCAGCAGTAACACTGATTTGGGTAAATATCTCATCGCTCTCAGAATACAGAGGGGGGTGTTCCTGTTTGTCCCCAGCCGTAGCCGACCTTCTTACCTGGGTAACTCCACACATGTCCTCCCGGTCTCTCTCCACGCCCTTCAATCGACATTGTAGCATTGTAGCATTCCGGTTGCAAGAATTTTTAGTAACGAGAATGAGAAGGTTCTAGTTCTAGTTGTAGGCGTAGAAGAAAAGAGAAAGTGAATTTTTAAATTTTACGGAAGGAATAGTTATCTGTTAATATAAAAATCACAAGAATCGACCGGTGAAGAATCAAAGATATATCGGAAGTCTGGCATTTTAATTGCAACGTACCGCGTTGATCCTTCTCCCTCACTACAGTACACTACGTTACCTTTCACAAAAGGGTTCACATCGACGACCTAGATTCTTCTAGAAGGTCACTGTTATTGTCATTGTCATTTCCTTTTTGTTGTTGTTCTGAAAACAAAATAGAGGACGACAAGTGAGGAAGAGAAGAGAAAAAGAGAAGCAAAGAACGAAAAATGGCAGAAACAACCACGTCGACGTACACCATCCGGTTCGCGACAGAGGCCGACGTGCCCGTCATTCTTGAGCTGATTCGCGAGTTGGCCGAGTACGAGCACGCTCTCCACGAGGTGCTGGCGACCGAGGAGTCGTTGCGCGAGACACTCTCGTTTCCGGATCCCAAGGCGCCAGACGACGGAAGTGGCGGGACCGGGTTCACGAGGGGATACGCGAAGACGATCCTCGTGGTTAGCCACGGGAAGAAGACGAAGAATGATGATGAGTCTGCGACGGGTGCTGCTGTCGCCGCCACCCCCGCCGCCGCCGGTACCACCGACGACGACGACGACGACGACGACGAGGAGGAGGTGGCAGGCATGGCTCTCTACTTCCACAATTACAGCACCTGGACGTCGGCGCCGGGGATATACCTCGAGGATCTGTACGTGCGGCCGTCGCACCGCGGGAAGGGGTTCGGAGGGGCCTTGCTGTCGGCGCTGGCGCGCGAGTGTCTGCGCGTGGGGTGCAAGAGGCTCGATTGGAGCGTTTTGAAGTGGAACGAGCCCAGCATCAAGTTCTACGAGGGCGAGAGCGTCGGTGCGAAGAGGATGAGCGAGTGGATGGGCATGAGGGTTGACGGGGACGGGCTGGGAAGGTTGGCGAACAGGAAATAAATAACAGGGTAATTGGAGCAGAACCGACAATACAAGGAAGAAACGAGGAATTAATAGCTAGAGAAAGAGGGAATGAGGGAAAATAGGGGAAATAGGGATAACAACTGCAATCTGCAAATGAACCTCGTGGACCAGCTCTAGGTGCTTCTTGTAGGCATGTAATACAAGACTCAGCACAACAATGGCAAATGACATCCGTGTACCACTTCGGCTATCTACCTTGGAAGCGAAGGAGTCAGGATAATTATCTCAAGAAATCCAACCATGGTTTTGTTGTGCTGGCCGATCGATCCATGTACCTATGTACCGATGTAGGGAATTCTTCAATTCTTCAATTCTCTCTGTAGTTAGGTACCTAGGGTAGGTATCTATATGGAGAGCATCAACGCCTAGAACGCCTGCTTGCCTTGATCCAGAGAAGGTCGGGTAGGTAGGTACCTGCGGTAGGTATCTGAAAGTTCCTGTAGATCCAGGAACAGAGGAAGGACTGATGTTGGGCATGCGGCATTGATTCATATCATGGTGTCTGCACAGCCAGCCACCATTGTTGATCTCTTGCTTGACAACGCAATCACTCTCACACACATCGCGTCACATCACATCACCACACAGCAAGAGTTTTGCTTTTTGGCTTGCTGATAGAACATCTTGCTCTGAGCACTCAAGCCGTCCGACTTGGCCACCAAACTGTCAATCTTCTCGCCTCGCTCCAGCACACTCTCGATGGTCTTGTGCAGTACGATCTTGGTCTCGTCGAGCTCTCGCTGCACTCTCATTATGCTGTCCGCTTCGTTCGGGTTCTGGTATTTCACGATGTACTCTTTCAACTGCGGGAATGGCCGACTCGTCACGCCGGGACTGGAATAGCTCGACCGCGGGTTCTGAGAGGTGAATTCGTCTATGATCTTGGAGAGGAGTTGGTGGGCGACCAGGGCCGGGTACTCGGCGTCGCTGATGATGATGCCCGCGACTCCTTGACTTGACCCGTAGGCGTGGAATGTGTACGACTTCTCTTCAATGTCTTGACGCACGCCTGGCTTGGTGCGTTCGGCGACCGTCTTGGCAAACATGGTCATGAATTCGCCATAGCTGGTGTGAAAACCCAACATGTCAGTTTCCTGCCGTGTGGCGGTCTGGGAGGGGTCCTTTGCTTATGATGGATGTGACTGACCTGTCGCGGGTGAAGCGGGAGAAAGACGAGAGGTCTCTCTCGACCGCCAGTTCAGTGGCGGGGACGGGGTCGTTTCGTAGGACCTGGAGAGACGTTGTCAGTAAGTCGTCGTTTCGTCGTGGCGTTTGTCGCAGCTGGCGCGAAAGGTGTTTGGTGGGCTTACTCCGATATAGAAGATCTTCATGGCTGAGATTGGTGGTGGGAGTGGACAATTGAACAATGGAGGAGTTGATCGGTGAGCGACAAGTGTAAGCGTGGTTCTAGAGATTCGACTGTCAAGAGGGCGCGACAAGTCGACACGAAACAACAATTAATATAGAAAGGAGGTTACCTGGAGCCCATTTGTATGGGAAACGTCACATGTGTTGGTCCCGGAAGTCCAGGCCACCAGGCTAACTCTGTAGCATGAGGCTGAGGCTTACCTAAACACCGCTGCCTTCATTCCTGTGTGTGTTGGTACCTGTACCCGCAGAGAACTACGTTGTGAAGATACTGGCGGCTGAGTCATTCGCCATCTCTTCCCACTCCTCCTTGATTGCCCATATTGCCTTCTTACATCGTTTGCACGACCGTCCGGGAGGCCTTCGGAATCATCAAGATTCCTGAACTAATCCTCAGTATGGCAGAAACCACTTTTCGAGAGGAGTCACAATGGCTGGCTCAGATGGAAGCCATGCGGCAGGCAATTGTCGATTTGAAATTGCCACCAGCAAACGGTGAAAACAAAATGTATGGCGACGATATAGACCTTGACGACGAATTGAGTGACGGTGTCGATGACGATATCTGGGACGTGGAAAGCGAAGTCGATGAAAGCCCTCCGAGCGACACGAATGACGAAACCATCAATAGTCTTAAAGCTCATGAAACATCCGAACAGTTCTTCGACAGATCCTGGTTGCACAGCAAATGCACAGCCTTCGCTAGATCGAGGCATGGCATGGAAGTCGACGACGTTGAGCAGCAGATCATTGCTCTGCTCGCTTCGGACAGCTCGGATGATGAGTTGCAGATGTCCCTCGCTGAGATTGTTGGATTTGACGATTTGGACTTTGTTATCGAGCTCATCTCCCACCGCAAGGAAATCCTGGCTCCGCCCAAATCCACGACTCGTCAAACCGATGGACTTTTCTCACAACTACAGACTCGGCAAGAACGAGAAGCAGCTCTCAGACAGCAAGATTACGAACACAAACATGCTGTTCTTGCCCCGGCCTTTGATCGAAGCACCCCCAAGTATGCACACATTTACAAGTCTGATTCGGCCGCAGCTGGAAATATGCTGGACGTTTCTGGAAAGCGATATGGTCTCCCTGTCGGCAGCACAAGAAACGATTATGCAAAATATGAGGAATATAGCGTGCCCGCGACAAAGGTTGGCTCTCTAGGTATAGGACAGAAGCTGGTCAACATCGCTGATATGGATGGCTTATGCCAACGCACCTTCAAAGGTTATAAATCGCTCAATCGTATGCAGAGTCTACTGTACCCGGTCGCTTATACGACATCGGAGAACATGCTGATATGTGCACCAACTGGTGCTGGTAAGACTGATGCTGCTATGCTGACCATTCTACAAACAATCTCGAAGAATGTCCTACCAAACCCTATTGATGAACCGGAAGCCACAGACTTTGTACTCATGGCAGATGACTTCAAGATTGTCTACGTCGCCCCAATGAAGGCTCTTGCCGCCGAGGTTACGGAGAAGTTGGGCAAACGCCTATCTTGGCTTGGAGTTCAGGTTCGTGAGTTGACTGGCGACATGCAGTTGACGAAACGAGAGATTGCTGCTACTCAGATCATCGTGACAACGCCCGAGAAATGGGACGTCGTCACACGAAAAAGTACCGGAGATACCGAACTAGTCCAAAAAGTTCGTCTTCTGATTATTGATGAAGTTCACATGCTTCATGATGACCGTGGTGCTGTCATCGAATCGTTGGTCGCCAGAACGCAACGGCAGGTTGAAAGTACGCAGTCACCTATTCGGATCGTCGGCCTGTCTGCCACTCTTCCGAATTACGTTGACGTGGCAGACTTTCTCAAGGTCAACCGTAACAATGGTCTTTTCTACTTTGACGCATCATTCCGACCTGTACCTCTTGAACAGCACTTCATTGGGGTCAAGGGCAAGGTAGGAAGCAAGACTCAACGGGAGAACCTCGACCAAGTCACTTTTGAGAAGATCAAAGAGCTTTTGAAGCAGGACAAGCAAGTCATGGTATTTGTCCATTCAAGGAAAGATACTGTGTTGGCTGCGCGGACACTCTACCAGATGGCAATCGACGACGTTTGTGATTCCCTTTTCATGCCAGAGCCAGATCATCCCGCCTACATCAAGGCACTGTCTGATCTCAAAATGACCCGAGGTCGAGAGCTTCGAGACATCGTTCCCAAGGGCTTCGGCTGTCACAATGCTGGCATGCCTCGTTCCGATCGAAATTTTGTGGAGAGAATTTTCTCCGAAGGGGCCATCAAAGTCCTCTGCTGTACGGCAACTCTAGCATGGGGTGTCAACTTGCCGGCTGCAGCAGTCATCATAAAAGGAACCCAGCTTTATAGTGCTGAAGCTGGTAAGTTTGTCGACTTGGGTATCCTAGATGTCCTGCAAATCTTCGGTCGTGCCGGTCGACCGCAATTCCAAGACAGTGGTGTTGGTTACATCTGTACAACGCAGGATAAGCTGCAGTTCTATTTGTCGGCCGTGACCCAACAAAAGCCGATCGAGTCAAGATTTTCGCATCGATTGGTCGATAATCTCAACGCCGAGATCAGCCTGGGAACAGTGACGACTGTCGCTGAGGCCGTGACCTGGCTGGGTTATTCATACCTATTCGTTCGCATGCGAAAGAACCCGGCAGCTTACGGGATCGATGTACAAGAATACCTGGATGATCCTCAGCTGGGTCAGCGGAGGCGAAAACTGATCGTTGATGCCGCAAGAACCTTGCACAGAAGTCAGATGATCATCTTCAACGAACGAACAGATGAACTTCGGTCGAAAGATGTCGGCCGCATCGCCAGCCAATACTATGTCCTACAGACTAGCATCGAAATCTTCAACACTATGATGAGGCCACGCGCCAGCGACGCTGATGTATTGAAAATTATCAGTATGTCTGGTGAATTTGACAACATCCAGTCTCGAGAAAACGAGGCTCAAGAATTGCATCGCCTCCGTCAAGAGGCTGTCGTATGCCAGGTCGAGGAGCCGAAGAAAGGAGCACCGAAAAACTCAGAAGATGAAAAAGAACAAAAGGTCATCGAGAATCATGCAAAGACAAACATTCTACTACAGTCACATATTTCTCGAGCCAAGCTGGAAGACTTCGCGCTCGTGTCAGATTTGGCCTACGTGGCACAGAACTCTGCCAGAATCTGTCGAGCACTATTCATGATTGCTCTGAATAGAGGCTGGGGCTATCAATGTCAGGTCTTGCTGTCATTGTGCAAAGCCATTGAGAAGCAGATCTGGCCATTCCAGCATCCTTTCCACCAATTTGATCTCCCTCTTCCCGTACTCAAGAATCTCGACGAAAAGGCTCCTTCATCAAACATTGAAAGTCTGAGAGAGATGGAGCCGGCCGAAATTGGTAACCTCGTCCACAACCAGAAAATGGGAAATACATTATCGAAGTTGCTCGACAACTTTCCAACGTTATCAGTTGAGGCAGAAATAGCCCCCCTCAACCGTGACGTGCTCAGGATGCAACTGTTTCTCTACCCCGAGTTCAATTGGAACGATCGTCACCACGGTACTTCTGAATCATACTGGGTGTGGGTGGAGAACTCGGACACTTCGGAAATCTATCACCATGAGTATTTCATTCTAAGCAGGAAGAAAATGCACGATAGTCACGAACTCAATTTCACTATCCCTCTATCAGACCCATTGCCATCACAGATATATGTTCGGGTCATCTCTGATAGATGGCTTGGTGCCGAAACCGTTCAGCCAGTGTCCTTTCAACATCTCATCCGCCCAGACACGGAAAGTGTGTATACTGATCTACTTGACTTGCAACCACTCCCCATTACGGCATTGAAGAACCCGTTGCTGGAAGAGCTGTATGGCCAACGATTTCAATTCTTCAATCCTATGCAAACGCAAATCTTCCATACGCTGTATCATACTTCGAACAACGTCCTCTTAGGTTCCCCAACGGGCTCAGGCAAGACCGTCGCCGCTGAGCTGGCCATGTGGTGGGCATTCCGTGAACATCCCGGTAGCAAGGTGGTTTACATTGCGCCCATGAAAGCCCTCGTCCGGGAAAGAGTTCAAGACTGGCGCAAACGCCTCACTGGCCCTATGGGTCTGAAATTGGTCGAGCTGACTGGTGACAATACCCCAGACACAAGGACTATTCGCGACGCAGATATTATCATTACCACGCCGGAAAAATGGGACGGTATATCTCGTTCCTGGCAAACAAGATCCTACGTACGACAAGTGTCTCTCGTCATCATCGACGAAATACATCTTCTCGGTAGTGATCGAGGGCCGATTCTCGAAATAATCGTTTCGCGAATGAACTACATCGCAAGCCAAGCAGAAGCGGGTTCCATCCGTCTAGTCGGAATGTCCACTGCGTGCGCGAATGCAACTGACCTGGGCAATTGGCTGGGAGTAAAGCCAGGCAACAACCAAGGTCTCTTCAACTTCCGGCACAGTGTCCGACCCGTACCTCTCGAGATCTACATTGACGGGTTCCCCGAACAACGCGGCTTCTGTCCATTGATGCAGAGCATGAACCGGCCGACGTACCTTGCCATCAAGAACCACTCTCCCGATAAGCCTGTGATTGTTTTCGTCGCGTCCCGTCGCCAAACCCGATTGACTGCAAAAGATCTCATCAACTTCTGCGGCATGGAAGAAAACCCGCGTCGGTTTTTGAAATTTGATTCGGAGGAAGATCTAGAGGCCACACTCTCCGCCGTCAAAGACGCAGCGCTAAAAGAAGCGCTTAGCTTCGGCATCGGTTTGCACCACGCCGGTCTTGTCGAGAGTGACCGTACCTTATCTGAGCAGCTCTTCGCGGCAAATAAGATCCAAATCCTTGTCGCGACATCCACGCTAGCATGGGGTATCAATCTTCCCGCCCACCTAGTCGTCGTCAAGGGAACGCAATTCTTCGATGCCAAGATCGAAGGGTACAAAGACATGGATCTCACAGACGTCTTGCAGATGCTTGGGCGTGCGGGTCGTCCACAGTTCGACACGTCCGGCATTGCGAGGATCTTCACCCAAGATGCCAAAAAGGCATTCTACAAGCACTTCCTACACACAGGATTCCCCGTCGAATCATCACTACACAAAGTCCTCGACAACCATCTAGGTGCCGAAGTCAACGCGGGTGTAATCACCACAAAACAAGACGCTCTCGACTACCTCACTTGGACGTTCTTCTTCCGCCGTCTGCACAAGAATCCGACGTACTACGGTTTGGAGATCAGTGCGGAAGAGCACCGCGAGTCTCAGCTCATCGCGCGCCAACTGGCAAGCGAGTACATGATCACCCTCGTCGACAAAAGCCTCGACGACCTCGCCGAGAGCGACTGCGTCCTCGTCCATAGCAATGGCGATGTAGATGCCACGCCCTTTGGCAAGATCATGAGTTACTATTATCTTGCTCACCTCACCGTGCGGAAGTTTCTGAACAGTGCGCGCAAGACGAGTACACGTGCAGCGACTTTCGCCGACGCGTTGAGCTGGGTCAGCGCCGCGACAGAATTCGACGACCTCCCGGTCCGCCATAACGAGGACCTAATCAATGCGGAGCTGGCGCAGAACCTCCCACTCGGCGTCGAGGGCGGCGTCCTCGATGGTCTACCAATGTGGGATCCGCATGTCAAGTCCTTCTTGCTCATCCAGGCCTTCATGAGCAGGATCGACTTACCCATCAGTGATTACGTGGGCGATCAGACGTCGGTGCTTGACCAGGGTATCCGAATCATCCAAGCTGCCATCGATGTCATGACAGAGTTGAACCGCTTCGACGCTGTTGTTCAAATGGTCAAGTTGTTACAGTGCATCAAGAGCGCACGATGGCCCGAGGACTTCCCGCTGAGTATCCTGCCCGGTGTGCGCGAAACAGCCGATCCGCACCTCAAAGGCAAGATTCCGTCGGATCTCGTTACGACGGCTACGTTGGCGACGCGCCATGGCAACAAGACAATTGACGGATTGATGAACCTTCTCAACATACGTGGACAAGGGATGCGGTCGCAATTCGTCAAGGCGGTCAACATGCTGCCTGACATCTCTGTGGGCGCGGGCGGCGACACGGACGCGTTACAGGTGACCCTGAAGAGAGGGAATAGATTACAAAACTCCGAGGCGAGGATCTATGCGCCCAAATTCCCCAAGCCGCAGACAGAAGGATACTTTGTGCTCGTGTTACCTGTCGGTGCCAAGCGGGCGGCCTCGGCTGGGGATGTGAAGGGGATAGACATCCTCGCCCTCAAGAGGGCCAGTTGGGCCGTGACGGCCAAGGACAAGTCAGGGCACAGCCGTGCCTTGGACATCAGCAACACGAAAGTCAAGGTGCCTGTGTTGGACGGCACGAGCGATGGACAGGTCAAGGTCGACATTTTGGTCATGAGTGATGCCTACCCGGGTATGGAATGGTGGTTGGAGAATGTCGTTGTGCCGGTGGCGACGCCCAAGGATGTTGGCACGGCCGTTCAGACCGTCCAGGTAAATGTGGACGAGGGATTGACTAAGAAGAAGTAGCAACAACAACAGCCATAACAACTGCTGCAGCAGCAACATTAGAATACTGGGTGACGTGTGTTTCAGCCTTTGACATGACATGAGTTACTCAACATTGATCACTGAGTTACTCGAGTATGTAGGTATGTACAGGAGGTTGTATACAATTCCCCAACGGCGCGAGAGGTGGCGGATCTTTCCTGCTCCTCCCAAACCAAGTCTTCCCCAGCTTCCTAAGCAGTACCACGGTCCACATCCCGTGCAGCACATGCCGTCCAAAAGGCCATTCCAAACCAGTTTCCCCCGGTTCCACAACAATGGACGAAGCTGGTAACAATACAGAGTACCAACTATTGAAACCCCAGACATGAAATAAGAAAGGCGTTGAAAAGGAAAATCATGCAATATCGTACATCGATCCTAGACCATCCCCCCGGGGGGGGGGGGGGGGGGGGGGGGGGGGCGGTCCCAAAGAAAACCACAAACCGAAACCAAGAAAGAAAAAAAGACGCGTCGAAAGTCCCATCATATCCTCTCGACGACCAACCCGACACTCAGACCAGGCTTGTGTCCTCTCTCCGCTTGCACCACGACGGGCGAGTAGGCCTTTCGCTCGAGAAGCTCCCACTTTTTGGCTTCCTTGACCATCTGCTTCTCTGCGTCTCTGACCTTCTTCGCGTCCGGCTCGCGCTTTACGATCTTGATGCGGTCCCTGGACAGCGACTTGGACCCGCTCCGTCGGTGACGGTGGTGGTGGCCCAAGATGCCCATTCCGGACTTGCTCCCTCCGCGCTCGAGGCTGGATCCCACGGTCGCGGCTATGGACGATGGCGAAGGTGGCGACCCGGACGACGACGACGACTGTTGCTTCGCCTTTTGCAACGCCGCCGCCGCCGCCTCGGCTCGACGCGCCGCGAGTCTTGGGGCCGTGACGTTGATTCTTGCGCTCTGCTTGCGAGACAACGACACGGTCCGAGCGACGGCCACTTCGGGCGCCGTCGACGACGGCGGGTTCATGGCCATTGGGTTCGGTCTCGGCGGTCTGGACGGCGGGATCGTCTTTTCCAGTCCCTGTAGCGAGGTCGGGAGTGTTGCGGAGCGTTCTTTGGCGCCGCGGACGAGGGGCGACGCAGAGCGTCCTGGGATAAACGGACTGCTGCTGGCTGACGATGACCCTTGCAACAATGTGTCGGTGTTCGAGCGGCTGGGTCTCGTGGGGATGATGCCCGCTTGTTCAATCTTGGCTACGGTGCTTTTCGTCGCGTATTTCGACAGCGGAATGAACTTGGAGTCTTTTCTAGGGACCGGAGGAGGCTTGTCGTCAGACTGTGGTGAACTAGTGGCCGATCGCGGTTGAGATTGAGATTGTGATTGAGGCTGAGGCTGAGGTTGAGGTTTGGGGGCAGGGGCTCGTCGCGGCGGACTCGGCGGACCTTGTGGGATGGTGGGCGAGTCGCCAATAGGCCGATCGACGCGCTTAATGGCTATGACACGAGGCGATAGGATCTGGCCGGTTTGGGGTTTCTCTAAAGGTTTCGAAGACGAGGACACCACTGATGATGACGATAGCAGAGAGGGCGCTGGGGCATTCGTGATTGTCACGTCCGACTTTGGAGAGAGGTCTTCTTTGGCTTCGGGAACAGGAGATGGGATCATCAGCCCCACGCCTTCTCGTGCTTTGCTCAAGGTGCGAATGCCCGTATGGTCGACGGGTCTGGAGGAATAAAGAGATGAGTCCGACGGTGGTGCCGGAGCATTTTCAGGCTGAGGGGGAACGTGGAGTGTCGGGACTGTGAACGTGACGGGTGGTAGCTTCTCCTGGCTTGCGGATGTGGGCGACGTGAGCCTCTCGACTGCGGCAATGGCTTCATCGAAGTATGCCGTGTTGACCGAGGTGTGCTTTGTGGTGGTTGCGGATGTCATACCAGACAAGGATGTTGGTTGTGGTATTGGCGTGAGTGGCTCCTCTTCCACCGTCTCATGGTCAGGTCGACCTGATTGTGCCTCTCGGAGGTTGCTACCTCCTGCGGTCTTCTTAGACCTCGTCCGTGCCAATTCCACCGCCACTGAGTCCGGTCTCGTCATGACGAATTGTCCGTCTTCAACTCCCTTCGAATCTCGGAACGACCTGATGTCGAAGAAGATTTCTTCGCCCGTTGCCACCGAGGAGATGGATGATTGGAAGGAGTGAGCGGCACTCCAAGGCGCCGAACGGTCCGTTGAGGCGGTGTTATCCTCGGGGCTACTGACCGGCTGTTCATTCACCTCTATCCTCTTCGGGTTCAATGGCTCTGGTTTGTCGACGGAAAAGCGATCCTTCATGGGCGTTAACCGTGCCGGTGAACTTGCCGTACGTTTCAACTGGTGGTTGTTGCCATCAGTGACCCGAGCCTGGACCTTGCTCGCCGCCGGAGATGTGTTGGGGAAGAGAGAGTATTTGCTTGCAACTGGAGACCGGTTGGTCGGGCTGCCGAGCCGTTGCGGAGGCACAAGAGGCGTTGCAGGGTCATAGTATGTTGTCAAGCCATCCTCTTCGGGAGCTTTGACACCTGATCGAAGTTCGTCAAGAGAGACCAGACTCTCCAGAGTCTTACTGCGCCTTGCAAGAAGTGATGAAGATCGTGTCGCGGCTGGTAAGTTGCGGAACATTACACTATAGCGGTCGAGAGGGGGGGTCGGTATGTCAAGCTCAAGTTTGGGGAGAGGTGGTCTCGAGTCCGGTTCAACCCATAAGCTAGAATCGGTTGCAGTAGAGGGTCGAGATACCGTTTCAGTGTCGGTTGTGTGATGGGACTTATCCAACGGCCATTTGTGAGTGCCCGAGTCCTTTCCTTTAGGCGGGAGACGCTGGCGGTACGGCTGCCCTACGTCCCCTATCGGCCGCAATCTGTGCTCGGAAAATTCCACGCTCTGGCTCGTAGGACTCTTGTCTAGCACGGTGAATCCGGTTGGGAGTCCTATCGTTGGCCCAGACGGAATTTCTTCCCTCCTGAGAGCAATCTGGCGCGACTTGAACAACGTACCGATCTTTTTCCATTTCTTGCTTTGCATTTGACGTGAGCGCTCGGCCCGGATGAAGCGTTGCAGCGGAGAAGAGTCGTGCTCGTCGTTGTCCGCAGGCATACCAAAGGTTGCAGGAGGATGACTTGGGCTGCCGAAAGCCAGACCTATCGAAGGATCTTCACTCTCGAGATCAGCACGAGGATCCTTTGATTGCTTATGATTCTCCGAGGTTTTAGGTCTGGCAGGCGGAGCGTCAGTTCGTGGTTTTCTCTTCGCAGTGGGAGCCCCGGATGTTCTCGGGCGTAGATGGACAGGTCGTGGACTTAGTACAGTCTCGCCAGTCGGACTTCGAACAGTAGCCGTTGCTCTTGTTTCGGGGAATGCGAAGTCAAAATCGGATGGTCTTGTGAGCGCCTGGGGATCGGAAATGTTTGGTTGCCGAGTTGTTTCTCGATGCCGTAGAGAATACCATCGTGTTAACATGATTCAAAAAATGCATGGACCAGCCAGCACGAAGGTGATGACAAGGAGAAGCAACGGGTGACAATGAGTGACAGCAAGTGCACGCCGATAACGAAAACGCCCGAGAGCCCTTGCGCGCAGAGATTGAAACTGTTACAGGACTGACATGCTCAAGGATCAGCTATCACACGGCCTTCTGGACGCCACTTACGACTTGACTCTCCTTCGCAGAGGACGGAGAAGGAGGGTAGTGTCAGAGAAAGACACGAAGAGCCAAGTCCGACGCAAAGATTGCAACAAAGTAATTCAACGGAGGCGACCAGATGCAACTTTGTGCTAAGCGAAAACTGGGGCTATGCGCTGATGAGAGGAACGACAGCCGGGTTCCTACCATGACTTGCATGGAGTGAGCTTGCTGCTGGAAAGTCAGATTCGGAATAAGCGCTGGAAGAAAGCCGGTTGAGCCATGGTCAAGCAAATCACCATCGGTCTCGCTGCCATTGTCAAGACATGCTTTGGTTCTACAAGGCCAAAAGTGTACAGGGAATCCGAAATCCCTATACAAGCAATCCATGGCCGGGTGAGGTCCACGTTCTTCCATGGAAACACCCAAGCATGAACATGACTGGGGGACATGGAGAAGGGGACGTTGAAACAACCACTCATGGGCCCGGAGGCTTGCGAGGGATGACCGACTGGTGTGCTTCAGATTCTCTTTAGCGCCTCGCGTGGCGTCCTGTCGCAGCCTGAGATGCGATCGAAAACTTCCGACAGGCGGTAGTGAGATGTCGCCTGACAAGGGGGTCCAAAAGAGCAGCCCAGTCGAAGAGAGGCCGGCAAAGGAGAAGTACACAGACCACTTGTTGCTGATAGTCGTCCTCGCCATTGTGCAAGCAACGCGGGAACGCAGTCGGGCATTATTGCCGACAACCAGCAGGACGGACAATGAGATTGTATCGTAGATCCGTACTTTGTCGAGGCCTCATTAGTAGTGGTAGCTTACCTTGTTCCAAACTGGCTTGTGACCCCCCCTGCAATTTCAATCCTCTGCATTTTGCGGTCCTCTGAAACAAACGGCCTCGCATGCGCTCCTCGCTGCCGCCGGTGGAATCCTGGAATCCTGGTATCGACATTCATGTCACCCTTCAATGGGACTATTGTTGAAAAGCCGATTTCTCGCATTTGACTGGCTGGATCCTTTGACATCCTCGAGATCACCGTCGCTGGCGAGAATTTTTTCAACATTGTTTTCGTAAGGCGTTTTTTTCCATGGCGGGCATTGCACACTTTATTGGTGCGACGCACTCGCTGTGAGGACTCGACAATCTCAATTGCTCGTGGCTTTGTATTCGTCATCGCACGATTTATTACACCTTTCCTCAAACTGCCAATAATGAGATCTGGCCGATCCGGACAGTTTGCTGGTGTTTGCAAGCGGGTCTGGTTATGAACTTATGCGTACATCAAAAGGCGATAGCGACATCTCGAATTCTCCCAGCACCAACGTCGCCCTCGACGGCGCTCAGTGAGCCCTGCCATTGTAATGGTTCTGTGTATGAATATCAGTGGAACGCAGGAGTGAACGATGCCGAAATCATCAACAAGACCAGTGGACTCGTTGCTCTGTGAACGGGATCAAGGAAGTTCCGATCGAGATGGGTCTCGCTGTCAGAATGTGTACGGGGTGCGTGCGTTCTACGACGACCAGTTACTGCTCACGACACTCCCAGCTCCTTCAAGATACTCTCATTATGTTCCCCAATGGCCGGCACCTTGTCCATCCTAGCATCAACATCAGCGCTCATGCCCGGCGCCATCAACGCCTTGATCTTCCCAGCCTCTGTATCAACATCTCTCCATCTCCTCCGTGCTTCGAGTTGCGGATGCTCCCAAACGCCTTGCATATCATTCACCTTTGCGTTCGCAATGCCGGCCTCTTCAAGTCTTTTCGTCACCTCATCGGCACTCCACTGGCTGAAGATTCCACTGATCACCGCTTCCAACTCGGCTCTGTTCTCGCTTCTCGATGCCGTATTGCTAAATTTGGGGTTCTGGACTAGATCGGCGCGCTGCAGCACCTCCGTGGCAAGTATTCTCCATTCCCTCTCATTCTGTACACCGAGCATGACTTTCCCGCCTCCACCAGTCGAAAAGGGCCCGTAAGGATAGATACTCGCGTGACTTGCGCCTGCACGGCTTGGGCCTGCTTGGCCTTCGTGTGCATAGTACATTGGAAAACCCATCCACTCAACGAGCGACTCCAGCATCGAAATGTCCAACTCACATCCCTTCCCAGTCTTCTGCCGCTGGATAATGGCCCCGAGAATGTTAGAGTACGCATACATGCCGGCAGCAATATCAGCAATCGAACAGCCCACCTTGGCCATGCCCTCGTCGCCCTCTGTCCCCGTGATACTCAGCACGCCGGCCTCGGCTTGAATCAGCAGGTCATAAGCCTTCTTGTGCGCGTATGGCCCATCTGACCCATACCCGCTAACTGATGCATATATCAACGCGTCACCGCGCCGGTGCTCCTGGTCGTACTCGTTCATCGCCGTCTTCAGCGCCTGGTAACCAAGACCCATCTTCTCAGCATCACCCGGCCTGAGGTTTTGCACAAACACGTCGGCTTTCTCGCAGACGAGCTTTTTTAGGACCCTCATATCTCGCTCGTTCTTGATGTCCAGCGCCAGCGATTCTTTATTGCGGTTCGTCCATACGAAGTGGCTGCATAGTTTGCCACGAACACGAGAATCGTGATGACGCACAAAATCACCAGAGCCCGGTCGTTCGATTTTTATCACTCGGGCACCAAGGTCGGCCAGGTGTCGCGTGGCGAGAGGCATGGATATGACTTGTTCGAGAGCAACGACGGTGATGCCTTCTAGCGGCCTGTTCGGGGGGGAGTTGTAGGTGAAAGATCCACCGGCTGACACTGTAGAAGGGCGAGTGGAACAGCTGCTCAAGTGTCTTCGTTGGACATGTACGTGTCGCAACGGGAGTCTACTCGAGCATGTAGACAAAGAGCATGACGCAAGTGGCATAGTTGACCTCGCCGTCTCTACTGTCGATTTCAAGGCTGTTGATCTGCAAAACAATGCAAGTTGCTGTTGTGAGGGATGTGCCAACAATCCTCGGACGACGCGGTCTTGAACACTGAATGCAGTAGCTCGAAGTGATGTGCTGACTGCCATGACTGTTGATATCACTCCTGGACTTGGCTCGCTGCCTTCTCCGTCGCGAGCAAAATACTATTCGAGCATGTAAAATGCGCGTTGTTCCGGTCTTGATTGCTTAGAATGAGTGTGGGCTTCTCCCGCCTCGACCGGCTGCCTGCCTCTCTCCGCGGGTTCGGCCAGCAGCGATGTCTGATGATATATCCCCCAGACCCAAGCCAGACGCAGCAGACGATCTGGCCTGCCTCGAACTCGAACGAGGATTGTTGTCGGTGTTGTACAGATACAGATCAGGCGAATTCCCCTCACCGGCACTAGAATCGCCTCGGAGTATACAAATAAATAAGTATAGGATGCCTGTACCGATCTGCTCCACAGAATTGGAGTTACATTGCGTTGCCGAGGGCCACGATACTTGCCTATTTAGTAGGCTATCGAACACACCTACATAGGTTGTGTTTCTGGTCAAAGCAAGATGGATAAAGTAAATTACCAACCATGTGCGAGCCACATACCGACTACCTATTGAAATGAACAGCATAAAATGGCACACGCTGGCATTACGACATTCCCTATCATAACAACTCTCCGCAAATGGGGAAAGAGCTGGTTCAATACCCACACCCGTGTTCCTTTACTCGTTGACTTCATATCGACATATCGGGAGCCGAGAGGCTGTTAAAGAAAGACACTAACAAAGCCATGACCCAAAACAAAAAGCCATATCGAAGCCGGAAACTTCTCGTCCAACAAAGGGCAAGTCAACCTTTCTTTGACTTTGGCCTCGGTCGCGCGCACGGTTCAGACGAGGTTGAGGTCCCATCTTTTCTTCGGATCTTCTGTTCTGCCTGCAACAGCGACATCGTACCGGTGAAGCATCAAGGTTGCAGGAAGGGTTTTCCTATGTTTCGCCTCGAGGTGTTCAGCAAAAGCCTGGGGATTGGTGAACGCCGCCTTGTCTCGATCCAGGCCCTTTCCGCACGCGAAACAAAAGACACAGCCATATTTGATTGCGGAGGCTGAAGTAGACTTTTTATCCGATAATGGCAGGTACAAATGGCACTTCGCTAAAAAGGAGCTGCGATATTGAACCTTCACTCCACTGTGCTCGCGGACCTCATCAGTGCTGTGGATGCTGGAGGTTGCGCTGCTCGCGACGTGATATCTGACTTTGAAGGAGCATTCCGGGCACTGCCAGTTGAGGTACGCCCCGCCAAAAGCCTTCAACGTCTGTTCATTGTCCTCTGAAAGGTCTTTTCTTTCAACGAAGGAAATGCGCCCCCTGTCTCGCTTGTTGCTGATCTGTAAGGCGCCCCGGCAGAACTGCCCTAGTTCATTTGGTCGGAGGTCTTCTGGTCGTTGCCGCCGAGGGTTGCTGGGGGCAAGTTTTGACATTTCCTTGAGCTGGAGAGAACGGTAGTCTAGGGTCTCCCAAATAGCTGCAAAAGGTCGTTTATCATCAAGCTCCCGGTCGTAATGGTTGCTGAAGATCTTTTGAATGCCAAGTACCGAATTGAGCATCTGGTCAACGGCCAGCCCTAAATAGTATCCCGCCCTAGCATCGGCCTCATCTGTGATGTATGGCAGGTGTTCATAAGAGAGGGACGCCAGAGACTCTAGGCGCGCTCGGAGGATCAGAAGTCGTGGGTCGTACGCTTCGATTTCACTTGGAACGATTCCCGGGTAAATGTACCAGTCGATCATCGTTCTCAGCTTATGGCGAATTCTAGCTATGATGATCAAAAGGTCCTCAATGGCCTGTCGAGGCGTGATAGGTTCTGGAGGCGGAGGTAAATCCACGAGATCGGGGACGAGCGCCATATCTTTGGCTAATGATCACAGCCAGAGCATATTTCAGTTGTATATAGGCACCGCAGTCGTATAGAACCAGGCCGATGTGAATTTGGACACGGGCGATAGACCTTGCAGATATGAGATAGTCATCTTGTGCGATAGAAGAATATGTGCGATCAATGAGGCTGACAAGGCATAGAAGATGGTCACGAGGCATCAACTCGCTGGAGAGAACCGCTGACTAAGCACACTAGCACGTGATTGACATTTTGGGATTATCAAAAGTTATTTTTCCATTGCTTCGAAGAGGACGCTTCACGACTCGTATCAACTGGAACAATCAACAAAACGTCAAGAGATGCCGAGCGAACTGGAGGAGGTGAGGCATCTTCAATTATTCGTTACCTCCAAATTGCTAACCAGCAAACCTCTAGCTAGTCGAGTTCCTTCACCATGGCAATACTCAGATCAGACAACTTGGTGAGTTCAACCAATATCTTCAGCCGCGGAGGGCTCAAGACATCATTGGGACCGATCACGACATTGTAGATATCGTGGTGTTGCCAAATTCTGACTGGTTCACATTCAGCCTGTGAGCATTTAGTAGGGCATTCATCGGATCCCTCCGTTTTCAAGAACCCCCAACTGGTTCCTATTCAGGATCTGAAATTGCTTGTTCGTGACTACGCCGTAAGTGGAATACGAGTTTGAATTCACAGGAAGCGAGGACTAAAGGCACTTTCCTTGGTTATCTAGCCTATCGCTAAAGATGCGCTTACGATCCTCGTCAACATCAGCCATGATGCGGAGATACTCGAGAACCTTGCAGGAGACGATGCATTTGTCGAGACGTTATTAAAGAAGATAACTGTATGCTGGTGCCTTTGTTGGATGGATCTAGTCGTCTATCGATTCAAGACGCTAATCTGGATCCATAGAACCCGAAAGAAACGGCTGCAGATGAGATTGCCATGCTCCTCTCGAATCTTGCCAAGTCGGAACGCTTGGAGAGGCTGATCAGCCTCGAAAGACAGACGCCGGACAAATCTGTATCAACATCCCCATACGCTTTAGACCAATTATTCGATTGTTTCGTTAAGGGTGCGGAGGGCACTCTCAACAAAGACGCCAATTTCGATTACCTGGCCTATCTTCTTGCAGACATGTCCAAGTACAAGTCTGGAAGAGATCATTTCCTGAGCAAAAGGGAATATGACGGAGTGGTGCCGATCAGCAAGTTGACCGTTTTCACAGAGCACAAAAGCAATGTTAGGAGGAGAGGAGTCGCGAGCACCATCAAGAATGTCGCGTTCGAGGTGGAGAAACACCCTTTACTTCTCGCCGATGACTCAGAGATGGTCGATGGTGTCCCAGGAGTTAACTTGCTGCCATACATCCTGTTACCTCTCGCCGGTTCGGAAGAATACTCAGAAGAGGAGTCTGCAGCCATGTTGCCAGACCTACAATTACTGCCGCCAGACAAGGAGAGAGATAAAGATAATGAGATCATAGTCACACATCTGGAAACCTTGTTATTGTTGAGCACCACAAGAGAGGGCAGAGACAAATTGAGGAGTGTCCAGGTATACCCTTTGGTTCGAGAGACACATCTGCACGTCGATGATGAGGAAGTGAAGCAGGCATGCGATAGATTGGTACAGATAATCATGAGGGATGAGGAGCAAGGACCGAGGATCGAGGAGGTGGTTGACGATGACGAAAAGATCGAAGAGATATTTTGATTCCCGTCCAAGGTGGCATACATGTATTATCAGGACTCACGTAGGTGACACCGTAGTCAGTTATACGATCACTTGACCGCGTGGGAAATCGGACGACGCCTTGTTTAATCGAAAGCCTGTGTTTGTCGACGGAGTAGATAGCAAGGTAGAATGAGGTACTTGAACTCGATGTAGGTGGAGGAAGCACAGGAGGTTTTAGCAGGCGGGAGATTCTATCATTGACTATTCCTAAACAGGGTAAATTGGCTAGGCTACTGAGGGTCAAATAAACAAGGATACCATACTGTACGGCGGAGTATATTTACCATCGATGTCGACCTGAGACTTCTGTTCAGTGCTTTGACGCGCCTTCAATCTTCGCGTCAACCTCGTTCCAATGTCATCGAGAAGAGATGGTGGTGCCGGCGCTGGCTGTACGGCAATCAAATGCCTTCGAGCCACCGCCATCCTCTATGCTTGCCACTCATGTTGTCCACGGTAATGGAGTTCCAGATTTTGACCGGGACAGTTTCAATCAGTTGCTAGCAGAGGCGCTTGGATCAGACGAACATGGCCAACCCAATCTAGGGGCAGATGTCGCTGTCAACCACAAGTTGATACGGATCATATTTCAAGTTGGTATCGAGCAGAGTCTCGACGAGGATCCATTTCACTCTGCAGTTGCTGCTGGTAAGGCTACCTCTCAGCTCAAGACCTGTCTCGAAGTCCTTCAACTCGCCATCGAGAGATCCCCACAGGTGCTCTTCGTCAAGTCACAAGACAGCGGAACGCCAGGGCAAGGAGCCTTGTTGTATAGTTGGCTTGTTCCCAGACTTTTCCCTTTACTCAACCATGAGGGACTTCGAGACCCAGTTCAACAGCTTCTTACCGTCATGCTGGAGGGTGACTGCCGATGCTCCAATACTGATGCATGCGGTCAGGTCTGGCATTACCTGAGGAGCGTCGCCGGTGGTAAGATTTGTTATCAGAAGAACTCATTGACCCCAACTCACGTTGATAGGACTTCTTGCAATTGCCACTACGAAGAAGATTCAACCTCGGAAGCCTATTGTTATGACCTCAGACGACGCTGATGCCACTACTGCAACGATACCATCATTTCTTAAAACAGTTTCGAAGATCAAATTTCCCTCTTGCTACGATCTTGTGACATGTGTAGCCCGAATCCTGCGAGCCCTGTCGACACAGCAGAACTCACCCCAAAGCCGATTGCAATTCCGCAAACTCTTCGGTCGACTTCGTGACTTCATTGACGATGTTCAAGGACTTTTATTGGAGGAGGGCCAGATGGACCTCCTGTCTCACGAGATACGAGCGCTGAGCGTCCGTCCCCTACTGCCACCGACCCCACAGTTATTGGAAGTTTGGCCTGACACTGACCGCGCCCGGAAGCGCCCTCGACTTTCAACAGAGAATGGGGATCAATTTACAGACACAGCTCATCGGACTGTTGCTCGCAATATCACGTCACACTTGACTGGACGTGCACAATCCGACTTGGACGGCTTAAGCAAGACGGCCCCAGGCCATTTTCAGGGACTGTCTGAAGTTGAGCAATGTTCCCTCCTGGAGCTCTTGGGTGGAGGTGCCTGTAGGCTGGCTGGTATGGATGCACAATGCCCTTTCTGTGACGAAGACAATTGCCCCGCCAATTCGAATGTCGAGGTCGCCACGTACCCGGGCGAAGAGTTGCTCAAAACTCTTGTGGGTTTGGTGCAGATAATTAAACGTCAGTCAAAAGCTCGAGTAGTGGCAATGTGTGCACTTCGTCGAATTTTGATGCACACAGACATCAGCGCAGACTTAAAGCTACGCGAAACCCCTGCTGGTGACTGGTGTTTACATTCTCTCAAGAGTTCTTCGCGGGATCTACGGATCGTTGCAACTAGAACCCTTCAAGCCTATCTCATGAGAAGGAAAACACTGGACATTGCCATTACGCGGGAGAACCGGATTACGGCTCTCGATTTCCTGCAAGCACTCTGGCAAAAGGGTGAAATTGCTCTTCAAGAGACATGTGTCCTCGCACTTGGTCGTCTTGCTCAAGTCGTCGGTGACGAAGAGTTGAACATCATCCTTGTCCGACTCGTTGACTACCTGGGTCATAACAATCCTTATATCTCAGGTATTGTGTATGCTGAAATTCAGCACCTGGCACAGTCTATGCAGATGTCTGCGTGGCTACTCTTCAGGCCGTTCTGGCGCACATTGGGGGTAGTCTTCGCAAAGTCGTTGTCATCGAGACCAAACGTGGCCCGTCATCTGTGCGATCTTCTGGGGATGGATATGACTGGACTGATGAGCCACACCGCTGAATTCGCGTTGCCATACCTAACCTTACACGGAGACATTGGGTCGATAAGACGATTCGCGGGGGTCAGTGGAGCATCAACCACCATCTTCGAGCTGTGTACTCAGAGGCAAAACCTGGTTGCCATCCTCTCGTTTCTGCTTATTCAACCTTTTCCGGATGCCGAACAGTCCATCGTCACGACTCTGTCCCGAGTTTCTGAGGAGTTTGAAAAGAGTGACCTAGCTTACTGGGTGGCTCACGACCCAATACACATTACCTGCGAACTACTTAAAGCGATCGGAGACAGCGGTCAGGGCAAGTCATCCCGAATCTACCAGGCTCTTCAGCTCCTGGCACAACTAGTGGCGCGCCAGCGCGGGCCGTCTTCTGGATCCCGACGAGGCGACAATATTGGGGCGTTCTTGGAGAATAATGTTCTTGCCATCGTCACTCATTTCACCGTTCTGTTGAATGACCTCGAAGCCAAGGAGTCCAAAGTCGAGAAACGAAGGTGTCTTGCTGCATTGGGAGAGGTTGTTAAGCTAGGAAAGGGCCGGGTGGTACGTGGACTCCCTCAAATCTGTGCTTGCCTGCGTTCTGGACTCGACGATGGAGATTTATGCGATGCTGCATTCTCTTCCTGGACAGTCATGATAAAGTCACTGAAACGAGAGGTTCTTGAATCACTTGTTGACCAGACCCTGGCCATCATTGTTCAGAAGTGGAACAGTCTGGACAACTGCTCGCAGCAACAAGCATATGACCTGGTCGGCCATCTACTCAAAAATCACACGGACTTGGTTCGTGAACGGTTTGCTACCATGCCATCGCTGGCATCGATACCTCTCATGGCGAAGTTCGAAAGTGAGATCATGGCTTTGAAACGACAGATGGATGAAAGACATCAGTTGAAGGCCTACGTCGATAGATTACGGGACGAAAATGTCGCAGTTATTGAACAAGCTCTGGATGAATTAGCTCCACTGTTGGCCGAAAAACAAGATCTACTACAACGTTCCATACTACGAGAACAGCCAGACGATTTGATTGCGGAGTTAGCTCGAGCTCTCCTCGACTGTTGTGTCAAATACAGCACGAGCACCGAAGTCACGAGACAATGTGGTCGGTGTCTCGGTCGTATAGGCTGTCTTGACCCAAGCAAGATTGAGAATGTGGTTGACCGCACACCTCTCATCGTTTTGGCCAATTTTGGAAAGGCTGATGAGGTCATCGGTTGGATATTCTTCTTCCTACAGCACGTTCTGGTCAAAGCATTCTTATCTGCAACTACCACGAGAGCACAGGGCTTCTTGGGCTGGGCGATGCAAGAATATCTCAAGTCTTGTGAGCATGACGATCCTTCCAATTCTGGGCCCAGTACTCTCGCCTCGCGCCTTTGGGGCGAGCTCCCAGACTCAGTACAGAATACGTTAACACCATTTCTCAATTCCAAGTACCTTGTACAAGAAGTACGGCCACCTGAGAAGAGCCAGTATCCTCTATATGCACCGGGTATGAAGCACCGAGACTGGTTGCGCACGATCACCCTAGACTTTCTCCACCGGGGTTCTGGAGAGAACATTGATATTGTTTTCGGAATTGCATGTCGCATCATCCACGGTCAGGACACGTCTATTCCAGCATTTCTACTACCATATGCGGTTGTAAACCTGATTGTCAGCGGCATTGAACAAAACAGTCGTGACATCGTCTCTGAGATTACCTCGATTCTCAGTATACCCCTTGAGACCCAAGACCGGCGTGTGCAAGATGACATCAAACTTTGTAGTCAAACTGTGTTTGAGGTCCTTGATTACATGTCTACCTGGCACCAGCAGAAACGAAAGCAGTACTCTGTCGGATTAGCCAAGGCTGAACGTGGCCACAATGACTTACTACTCGGAGCGGCGGCGGAACAAATTCGAAGTATCGAACGAGTTTTGGAACAGATCCCTCCCGATGTCTTGGCCAAAAGAGCTCTTGAGTGTAGATCCTACGCTAGAGCACTCTTCCATTGGGAACAGCACATTCGCAAACTAGAAACTGACAACATGCAATTTGAGCTTCAGAGGTTGCAAGAGATCTATGCTCAGATAGACGAACCGGATGGAATAGAAGGCATTTCGTCCCGCATGCACGTGCTTGACATCGAGCAGCAAGTGCTGGAACACAAGAAAGCAGGGCGATGGTCGGCGGCCCAAAGCTGGTATGAGATGCAGCTGGTCACCCATCCCGACGACACAGAAGTGCAGAAGAACCTTATGGACTGCCTTAAGGAATCTGGACAATACGATATCCTTCTCCACCATTTCGACGAAATCAGGAACCGTAGCAAGATAACCTCTGAAACGCTCACTCCATATGCCATGGAGGCAGCTTGGTCCACCGGGCAGTGGACGCGACTGCGTAGCTACATCTCCAATCTCACTGGACATGACTTTGCCTCACATCTAGGCGAGATCATGGTATCAATTCATGGAAGCGATAAGTTGAAAGCACTCGGCCTTATTGACGAATTGTACGGAGCAACAGCAGCTGAGCTCACCCCTAACTCTATAGCCTCATTCCAAGCCGGACATGACACACTGCTGAGGCTGCATGTGCTGAACGAAGTCCACGTAATCGCAGCAAGTCCGCCGGAAGACCGCATGACAGTCTTGGAAAACCTGAGGGGTCGCCTGGACATCTTGGGATCAAACGTTGTCGACAAGCAGTACCTACTTGGTATTCGGCGTGCAGTGATGTCTTTGCGGCCTGATATATTCACTGCGGGAGATGTTGCTGCTGCCTGGCTCAACACTGCCCAGCTAGCACGTAAGGCGAGGTTGAATGGACAAGCCTTCAACGCAGTGCTCAAAGCGTCTGCGTTGGGAGACAAAGCGGCTTCAATACAACAAGCCAAACTCATGTGGACCGAGGGCCATCATAGGAAAGCGATTCAAATGCTTGAGGGTGCGATTGAATCAGGCACATTTTCCGGCGATGACTATGTTATTGAGAATGGTTCAGTCACCCAGCGTCCTCAGAACGAGATCAAAGCCAAAGCATATGTGTTACTGGGCAAGTGGCTTGATCAGGCTGGACAAACGCAGTCAGATGTCATCAGACAGACGTTCCGCGATGCTATAAGTCAGTTCAGGAAGTCCCAAAGAGCTTACTATCACCTCGGCCGCTTTTACAACAAAATTCTGGATTCAGAGAAGACAATGCCTCCAGGAAAAGAAAGTCAAGCATTCCTTACTGGTGAAACTGCCAAGCTCGTCATCGAGAACTATCTCCGGTCATTGGGGAACGGCAGCAAGTATGTCTTTCAAACCTTGCCCAAAGTACTTACCTTGTGGCTTGAACTGGTAGACGGTGCAGAGGTACCACATGATCCACGGCGTGGAAATGCTCAGTTCCATACCCACAATGCCGCTCAACGAAAGCGTGTGATCGACGAAACTAACACCCAAATCAAGAAATACATTGTTGTCATACAAGCAGTACTTTTCTACACCGTCTTACCACAGGTTGTTGCAAGAATCTGCCACGGAAACAAAGCCGTCTCTGAACTGCTCGGCACAATCATCGTCAAGGTTGTAAGAGCTTTCCCGCAGCAAGCATACTGGTCGCTTCTGGCAGTGGTCGAATCGCAGCAGAAGGACCGTGCAGTCAAGGGGCTTGAGTTGGTCAGGAAGATTTGTTCAGACAAGAAAGACGACAGGGACAGAGACAAGCGAGCGCTTTCTCCCAGCGAGCTTAGAAGCATGTTCAACAGCGGGCAGAAGTTTGTAAAGGAACTGCTTCGCATCGCGGAATTTCCCATAGAGGGGAAAGTGTCAAAAGTCAGTCTCGGACGAGATCTGGGCTTTAACAGCAAAATTGCCCCGTCAAAGCTCGTGGTGCCCATCCAATCATGCCTTATACCCAGCATGCCAACAAATTTCGAATCCGCCGCTCTCAAGGCATTCCGACCTTTCTCGAAAGAGCCCATAACGATCTCGTCATTCGTCGACGAAGCCCTCGTTCTTTCGTCCCTCCAAAAACCACGAAAGCTCACCATCAGAGGCTCGGACGGCAATTTGTACAATGTCCTCGCGAAACCAAAGGATGATCTCCGCAAGGACCAGCGGCTAATGGAATTCAACACAATGATAAATCGATTCTTGAAGCGTGATGTTGACGCGGCCAAACGACGGCTGTACATTCGAACATATGCCGTCATCCCGTTGAACGAAGAGTGCGGTCTCATTGAGTGGGTCGACAACCTGAAGACGTTCCGCGACATCGTCCTCAAGCTATACAAAGATAAATCAATCCAGCCTAACTACGTCGAGATCCGCAATCTCCTGGACGAGTCGTGCTCCGGCGACCCGGAGAAGGTCAAGATCTTCCCTACACAGGTCCTTACGAAATTTCCGCCCGTCTTCCACGAGTGGTTTGTAGAAAGTTTCCCCGACCCGAGCACCTGGTTCGATGCGAGGTTGCGATACACACGGAGCGCGGCAGTCATGTCCATCGTTGGACACGTACTCGGGCTGGGTGACCGGCATGGCGAGAACATTCTATTCGAAGAAGACAACGGCGGCGTCATGCACGTCGATTTCAACTGTCTGTTCGACAAGGGCCTCACGTTCGAGAAGCCCGAGATGGTCCCATTCCGGTTGACGCACAACATGGTGGATGCCATGGGCACGTACGGTTACGAGGGGCCTTTTAGACGTTGTTGCGAGATCACGCTGGGCCTGCTGCGCGGGAATGAAGACGCCTTGATGACGATTCTGGAGACGTTTTTGCACGATCCGACTACCGACTTCATCGACAAGGTCGGACGCAAGAAGAAGAGCGTCAATGGCGTTCCGAGCACGCCTGTCGAGGTGCTGGAAGGGGTCAGAGGCAAGGTCAGAGGCATGTTGCCTGGAGAGAGCGTGCCGCTTAGTGTGGGCGGCTACGTCCAGGAGATGGTGACGCGGGCAACGGACATCAGGAACCTGTGTAAGATGTATATCGGGTGGTGTGCTTTCTTTTGAGCAGAAACGAAATCACGATCAGCGCCAGTGCAAAAGCGCTCGACCGTCTTGATATTAGGATTGAAATGTTTTCTCACAGTCGCATCATAGCTACGAGGTCTGTCGGCCTCCAGACACCTTGATGGTAATTTGTACTAGCCGTTGACAGGCGAGGAAGAAAACATGTCACCGGCCTCCAAGTCTTCCGTGTCTTCTTGAGTTCTTGCTTCCTCAGGCTGCGCTGCCGTGCGAGCGGAACTGGTCTCCCCCGCTCCTGCACGCGAATGCTGTGTCGTGCGCACAGGTGATGATGAGAACATTTCCTCACCACCAGCGTTGTCCTCGTTGACGCCATCGCGCGTGACAGGTAGGTTATCAGTTCTGTCTATGCTATTTCCCGCCGCTTTCTCCGCCCGAGGTGTCTTTTGTCGAGCTTCCTGTTCTGCGAGTAGTGCGTCCAGGTCGTCTTCGGCGTCGACTTCGTCGTGCTGAGGTGGCTTACTCGAGGTCTCGAGTGATGGACCTCTCAACCTAGATGTAGACTGGTATCGAGCTTCTTGCTCAGCAAGGAGAGCGTCGAGGTCGTCGTCCTCGTCCATACCTTCGACGTCATCGTCATCGTCGAACGGCGACTTATTTGTCTTTGCGGCGGGAGGGTTCGAAGGGTGAACAGGCCGGCGAGACTCCTGTTCTGCCAAGAGAGCGTCGAGATCGTCTTCGCCTTCAGAATCTGCGTCCACGGTTGGCTTTGCCGGTGCAGTAGCCTTCGAGGCCACCGTCGATGCGGTGTCCTGTTCGGCGAGCAGAGCTTCTAGTTCATCATCGTCCGGTAGGTTGTCCTCAGGCGGCATTTCGTTGCCGCTTCGCGAGTCAGGAATAAACAATGAGTCGCCTCCGGTCTCGCCGTGGACAGCAGTGGCGTCTGCTGACGGCGTCGAAGAGTTCTCGGCTGAATTGTTTCCACCAAACAGATCACTGACTGCTTGATCTTGATCTTGGTCCTGGTCATCCTTTTGACCCCACTTACGAGCGTAGCCTGGCTTTCCTTCATCGATCCACTCCTTTCTCATGATCCGCATGCGCTTGCTGTGGCCGACTTTCTCTACCAGCTGCAGACCGTCGGCAAATTTCGCGCGGGGGTACAGATTGTCGAGCCACAGTTGGTAATAATTCAAGAGGCGAGCGACGTCGGAGAATTCGTGTCCTTTGCCTTTCAGACGTAGCTTTTTGGAGAACTTGCCTGATCGTGCAAGGGCGCGCAGTTTGGGTATTCCTGGTGCTGAAAGGAGTCTGGAGGTGAATGAGCTTTGGTGCTATAGAAGGAAAACGGGTCTTATTGGGGCTTACCGCGCTTCATCGAGTTTGGCGATGGGCTTGCGCTTCTTGTTGACCTTGACTTCCTTGTTGATACCTAGATCTGCGTCGGAGCCGTCGTCATTGTCGGCCTTGCGTTTATGGCTTGGATCTGAGGTTGACTTGTCATCTCTGTTGACCCGGGAAGTCTGGTTGGTGTCCTTGAATGGGTCTTCGTCGTCTGTGCTGTCGAAATTGAAAATGTCGTCGATGGCCGCCTGGGTCGTAGTGTCTGTTGCCATTCTGACTCTTGCAGCAATTATTAGACTCTGGGTTCATACAACTGTGTGAAGGGAGTAGGGCCAGTATGGCGTTCTTGATACCGGCAGAACGCGTCTGGAAGGGAAGCGGACGCGTTTGGCGTCGGCCTCTGTAATTGAAATGCTCCGACTGGCTACCTACGTCATTTGAACCGTCTTGGCAGGCCTATGCCACAAGCGGGTTGGCGTGGTTCCTGGTCTTGGCAGGTGAAGCTCCGCGGGAACGTCTTTGATCCATGTTGAGGTGCATCTGGAAGACAGAAAGTCCAAAGCTGCAGCCATGGCGGATGAGCATAAAGTGTTTATCCCGCCTAAGCGGGTGAATACTGATTATCCAGTGAGTCTTGAAGCCACCTGGCAGAGAATTCAAGCTAACAGTGCCACTCCACCAGGTTATCGACACCGATCCGTATGTCTTCACTCGGCGAGAGCCACCTCCTTCGAGCACGTTTCACTGACGAGGCGCGATGTAGACACTGGAGGAGAGCATTCAGATATGCAAGACCCGAAGATTGGACCTATGGCGCCGGTATGGCTGCGGTAGGGCCGGCTTTCATGTTGGTTACCGAACGATACGCTCCCTCGTTTTCCGGCAAAGGTGCCTTTGGCCCCGTCTTCAGACTCAGTTGTGCCATTGGCTTAATAGCGGGTGCCGGCCTGGTATACCAGAGAAGTTGCTGTATGTTCTGCCTTGTGGAGGAAAAAAAAGGCGAATGACTGGATAAGTGGGCTGATGTGTATTGTCACAGTGCGATTCTACGGCTGGTCGGAGAACGAGAGAGAAGTCAAGCTGGATATGAGAGAGATGGTCGATAAAGTCAAGAAGGGAGAACCTCTATACGGCAACACCGACCTCACCCCCTACATGCAAGGTGTCGCTGCGCGAAACAGCAGATTCAGCGCGCTTATGGCCAATGTTGTCCCATGGGCAAACTTTGTCAACCACAACCAGGTAAGGAAGCGTACGTCCGATGATGGCGCAGGGAATACTGACGGTGTTTCTAAAGCACGGCGTCGACACTGCAAAGTACTACCAACAGGCGGAAAGAGAGCTCGAAGCTGAGCGATTATCGAAGGGAGGCCAGTAGCCCCCGGCGCTATATCCTAGGCCAAAAATTGACCATCCTGGCGCATGGAACTCTGATTGTGTGTCCATGGGTCCTTGAAAGTGTATATAACCATAAGAAAGGGAATGGACCAGGTCGACCTGGCAATTTATGACTGGGCGATTTGAGTCAATTTGATCCGATTTCTTGTCTACCCCCAGCTTGCAATATCATTATTGAAACTTACCAAACAGAGATGCATTTGCCTTCGACCATACGAATCTCGGATAAGATCATATTCCGAACAATCCCATTATGTGTACTGGGTGGCATGTCTGGTTGAATTGAACTGCCAGGCCTCAAAGACTCCGGTCAAGAGCTGTTTGCGCTTCGAAGAATGCGAATACGTGTCGAGATTATACACAATTATTGGATCACACTGATGCGTCCAGCCCTATTTGAAGGTGGGAGAGTAGGGAAGAGTGAAGGCTGGAATGAAGTTGTTTGCATCTTGTAGATGGTAACACAATAACGGAGTGAGGCCCTCACACCCTGTTCGTAAGGCAATACAACATAGAAGCAGGCATGATTCATTTGCCTAGGTAGGCAGCCTCGATCTCAAGTTCCAAGTTCTCGTAGATCTGGGTCTTCGTCCCATGCCAAAGCAAGAGAGCACCAAGGGTAGCCTCGTCACGTGCGAGGCTGTGGGGGTACATGTCAGTTGCGGACAAGTTTCATGTTCGCCGTTCACGAAGAACGTATTCCTGACCTAATGGGCAGGACCTCTAAGCTCCATAGCCATGATTCTCCGGACGCAGATATTGCTTCTGAGCCCGCTGTTCGGTCTCTCGGCATGGGCAGCAGAAACTCGAGCCTCAGAGTCGTCTCGGCCACGAGGAGTTGGACCGGAGTGTAAGAAACACCTTCCTGAGCGTTCTTTCTCAAAGACTCTTCGCTGAAGACGACCTGTAACCTTGTGCCTTGAAAAGCGGTGACTGACATGTCCTTCTAGTTGCAAAGTTCTATAAGAAGTCCTCCACCGACACCTTCACATGCATATCCAACCCGTCCATTACCATACCGTTTTCCCGAGTCAACGATGACTTTTGTGATTGCCCAGATGGTTCAGACGAACCAGGGACGGCCGCCTGTTCTTATCTCTCTCCTCTGTCACCTCCACAATACCATCCTGGCCCTGGGACCGCCGCAGGCTCCTTGAACACCACACTAGCATTGCCCGGATTCTACTGCAAGAACAAAGGCCATGTTCCGTCCTATATTCGATTTGAGAGCGTCAACGATGGCAAATGTGATTACGACCTATGTTGTGATGGGTCAGATGAATGGGCTCATGTTGGTGGGCTGAAATGCGAGGATAGGTGCAAAGAGATTGGGAAAGAGCACAAGAAGACGGAGGAAGTCAAGCAGAAAGCACTGAAAGCTGCGTTGAAGAGGAAGAGCTCCTTGATTGCCGAGGCCGAGAGGTTGAGGAAAGAGGTGGAAGACCGCATAGGGACCCTCGAAACCCAGCTACAGGCCCAGCAGCTTCGAGTCAAAGATGCTGGCGATATGCTGAAGGATGTTGAACGCAGAGAAAAGCTGAGGATCGTCCGCGGGGACGCCACTGGGAAAGGAAGCGGCAAATTGGGCGTATTGGTCGGACTGTCCCAGAATCGAATCAACGAACTACGATCTCAGCTTGAAAAGACAAAAGTTCAAAGAGACGCCATGCTAGGAAGAGTGGCAGAACTTGAGGGTCTCCTTTCTGCCCTGAAGGATGAGCACAACCCCAATTTCAACGACGAAGGAGTCAAAAGAGCCGTTCGTGGCTGGGAAGACTATGCAGCGCGCGAGACTGACGACGGTTGGACCGAAGCGGAAGATCGAGACCTGGCAGCGGTACTTCAGGAGGATACCGAATCAAATGGCATCAACTGGGCCGAGTTTGAGAACGAGCCATCAGAACCGGAGTCTGATGTTGCAGCGTTGTACAAATTCAGTTCATATTTGCCCGATGGAATCAGAATTTGGCTAGACGACACGCTCACTTCTCTCCGGAAGATCCTCGTCGAAAACGGTGTCCTCCCCGACAACTCTGATCCTGCGTCTCAAGCTGCAGAAAGCAAGGCTGTGCAAGATGCAAAGAAGGCGCTCAGCGATGCGGAACGTGACGTTCGGAACACGGAAAACGACGTGAAGCGACATCGAGAAGACCTCGAGAAGGACTATGGCCCCGACAATGGCATCTTCCGTGCTCTCAAAGACACGTGTATCTCTCGCGATAGCGGCGAGTACGAATACGAGCTCTGCTTCCTGGGCCAGACAAAACAAAAGTCGAGAAAGGGTGGCTCTCAGACCGGAATGGGTAACTTTGTGGGATTTGACTGGGATTACGTTGACGAGAGTGTTGGTGCCGACGGGAAGGGGCTCGGGACGGGTGAGAGGCTGGTCATGAAATATGAGAATGGCCAGCACTGCTGGAACGGTCCATCGAGATCGACTCGGGTCATTCTTGCATGTGCGGAAAAGGATGAGATCTGGAAGGTTAGTGAAAGTGAAAAGTGTGTATACCGCATGGAGGTCGGCACTGCTGCGGTATGTGAGCCGCCATCCTCGGGCAACAAAAGCAAACCCTCTACATCTGAGGAGGCGGAAGGGAAAAAGGATGAGCTGTAGACTTTACACAGATATTTGGTAGAGCCTCTGTATATCAATCGGCTGTTGAATCACATATGAGAAAGAACACAGCAGTTTCTGCAAGGCTGTCAGATAAAACTGTCAACGTTATACTCGGCAAGGCTGAGGTCAAGTCTGTTGTGAGTCTATTGACAGCACTTCTTGTACTCGAACACTGGCATTCTATCTGGACAAGCGCGTGCTGCTGCGTGTCAATCCGAGAACCCTTAATGCCGTGTCGTGAAGTGATTGGAAGGGCCAACACGCAACAAAAGGAGACTTGAAATACAAGCGCGGTAGTTGGCGGCTGCGAAGAGGATCACCAACTGCCATGCTAGCTCGGTGATTTGGCGAAGGCGATCAAGTATTCATTGAGGACGTCCCGATATCAGATCATATCCAAGCCCTTGCGGGAGAACATGATAGCATTCCTCCGTGTCCCTTTTCGGACCTCGAGCTGATGCAAGGGCTAGCTAGTCTCACCTTGAAAAGCACGAGAATAGTAGAGAGGCGGTGGCGAATGATGTTTGAGATTAAATGCAATCTGTCCGAAAATGATTATGTATTATGCAGGAGACTTGGACGAGATGCAAACGTGATTGACGATGTTCTATATGATGAGATGCGAGATGCAGGGTTAGAGTGGGAGAGGCTCTTCAATTTGGCTGGGACATTTGCGATGCAAGGGACAATTTACGCTAACGAAATTAGTGGATGGCGCCTATCCATAGATGGTCTAGCCGGTGCGACTAAAATGCAGCTAGTGCCTAACTAGGTATTCGATTGTTTACTGGCTCGACGCCTAAAAATGACCTGCAGGGGCGTGGAATCTGTTTTTCTGATGTTCTCCTGTCCAGTCCACCGTCGCTCCGCAACAGGACGGCCGTTGCATGGCTGACACGATTGACACAATCATCATCATCCTATGGTCAACAGAAGGCTGTCATTCACTATTTTCCGCGAAGAAGATCTCGTTCGCTATGAACTATTTCATTTGGACGGCTGCTTACACCTTTGCCTCCTGTACCAGAAACAGAATCACTGTTACACCGCCTCTCGCAGGAACTCCTGCTCACCGACAACATGTCTGAGCCTTTGGGTACCCTGTCGCCTGCCAAGCAGAACTCCAGATCGTCTCCTATCAAGCTCGACTTCTCCCAGAAACTCGATCCCGCTCGCTCAACAACACCACCACCACCTCCGCGTTCCCCAGCTACCATGTCCACAGTGGCCGTCGCCCGATCCTCTACAACTGATACCTTGAACCTTCAGTTATCGACCATGGATCGTCCTCATTCTCCCCGCGATCATTACAGTCCGCAGACTAGTCCTCGCAAGGCGTTTTCGCCGATAAAGTACCGGCTGCAGGATGATTCAAGGAACGACTCCCCTCCCGGCTCTCCTGCTGATCCTACAGTGCGGTTTAATGAAGGGCTGACTAGGGCCATTGACTCCCTGCAGCAGGAGGTGCAGAATGACAATGCACACCAATCATTTACACACTCAGCAAATGGCACTGCTACTTTCGCGTCGCCAGACCAAGAGCAGGGATCAGGAGAGACTCCCAGAGACGAACTGGATGATTTGACCTTGACGTTGACTCTCGACGACAAAACCATCAATGATGAAACCGTCGGCGACCTCAGCACGATCTCGGCCATCCCTACAGACATGACTCGCTTTTCTCATCTACGCAACTCTCCCTCCAAACCTCCACGCGAACCCTGGTCACCGGGTAAACAACGACGTACATCCGTCATCACGAGTACACCTGGGGCAGCTCAGCGGCCACTACGATTATTGTCCACATCCCGGCGAAGCACCTCGTCAAACGAAGACGACGACCCTACTCCCCGAAAACCATCAGCTTCTGGCGACGCTACAACAGATCTTTTGAATTTCACGGGGCAGACCAACATTGTGATTCCCCCTCCCTCCTCGGCGCCGCGTAGTATGCGACGAAGTCCGTCAGGCAGAGGGGGCTTTCCAATCAAGATCAATCCCAGTCCCATGCATCGGTCGCAGGCATCTGTGGATCGTGAGAGAGCCGGGGGCAGGTCGCCACAGAAGCAGCATCAAGCTGGGCCCGGTGACAGAACCGTGCCTGCCACTCCTGCAGGCCAGCGGCACAGCATGTTTTCTGCAACTGGGCTAGGCATGGATCTCCTGGATATTGACCTTGAACCCATGGCCACCCCCCGCTCAATACCAACAATTACTCCGAGAGAATTGGAGACGTTACGCTCAGAGCTACAATCTCGCATTTCAGGGCTCGAAGCTACCTTGTCCGGCAAAGAAGCTGAGGTGATGGCACTCAAGCGCGCCGTGACCGACGCAGAAGTCAGGGTGGGTAAAACTAGCGAAGAGCTTCGACATGAACGTGCTTCGAGGGAAGAGATGGAGCACGAAAAGGAAGACCTCGCACGGCGATCGCGTGAAATGGAGGAGGTACTGCGCGAGATTAAGCAGAACATTTTTCTGGAAGAACGAGAGAAGGAGAAGCTGCGACGCCAGAACGAAGAGGCCGATCGAAGGACAGAAGAGCTCGAAGTGCGTATACTTGAGCTCCAGGCGTCTCTCGACACCCTCCGTTCCGAAAGACTACGCTCTACTCCTAGTCCAGACAAAAACAACACTCCGGCCACACCAGGGGTATCTGCAGACATTGACTTTGCGGTCAAAGATGCCACTGAAAAGGTTGCCCGGGAGCTACACGCTTTGTACAAGAGCAAACATGAACGAAAAGTATCCGATCTTAAAGTCAGCTACGAAAAGCGTTGGATCAAGCAAGTGGAACAGTTGCGAGCCGACCTCAAAGCATCTCAAGATGAGGTTCTCAAACTGCAGACGGAAAAAGAGGCAACCATGAGCGGGGTCATCCCCGGCCAAAGCGAGGCCTTGTCCAAGATGGAGGGGCAAATTGAAGAGCTGCGCAGATGGAACGAAGAGACCATGGCCGAGAAGAAACTCCTCGAGGCAGAAGCTGCTGGCCTTCGTAGTCAAGTCGACTCCCTCACAGCAGAGGCCGATTCGTTGCGGAGGGATGTCGAGCAAGAAAGAGTGGAAAAGGGAGACCTAGTGGCCCAAGTGGATTTGTTCTTGAGCATGAGTGCACAACAGGACGAGCAACGTACCCTTGATGCGCAACGCCATCCTGTAAGTCCTCCCAGGAGTGAGGACGGAAATGGACGACCGAACTCTGCGGCTGCAGTTGCCAGTCCGAACAAATTCAGGACTAGCATGAATGGCGGAGCGACAGGGTTGCCCAGTCGGCCTCGACCGATGAGCATGCTACAGAAGCCGACGGCGGGCAAATTCTCTGGGATTCCAGCTCCGGGCAGCACAGGGTTGAAGGCGCCTTCATCTAAGATTGGAGGATATAGCAGTCGAGGTGGTGGCATAATGGAAGGCATTGCGCGCATGGGAGCCGGGGGCAGATGATGTCCTGACTCGTTGGTTTATCTCGCATCCAAGCGGCAAGGGGCCTAATATGTGGATATTGGCTATGATTCCCACGACTTGATTTCCTTTTACTGTACGACGTTTATGAAGCAAGGGGAGAGAGGAGGGATGGATTAGTGTCTAGTGAAATGGCGTCGGGCTTCGGGCCAGAGCTACAGTGCACGAAGTGTCAGGGACAGTCAGTGGACGGGCGAAGGATTTATTTAGTACAGGATGGACTCTTTGTACAGATGAGTTGTAGACGGCCGACAACACCTGCATATTGAAACCACCTCAACCGATCTGTGACTACGGCTTACACCTGACGTGTGCGTATAAAGTCGTTGGTTGCGATTTCATCCTCCGAGGACGGATGCTACTAGAGTGCCATTGTTTCAGATGGCGGTATCTGAAGGCGATTTTGCGGCACGATGAAGCAAGGTTTGTACAAGGGGATCCTGAAACCCTGATGGACTGATTCCCCTTCAATTACCGCAGGGTTGTGTTTGCATCTCCTACGAGTAACTAAGTTAGAAGAGGCACTGCAGTGTCTTGTAGGCCTCGGTCTAACTAGACAGACGACGAACCAACTCTCCTCCTGGCGCGATCCATGTTCAGCCCGCCGGCGCCGTCGATTTCATCGTCATCACCGCGTGCCCCAGGGAGCTGTGAACTAACCAGAGGTTTTGCCGGATCGCCCGAGGTTTCTCTCTCGCCTATTCTTCTCTGCTGGTGAAGTTGTACCGATTGCACAATACTCCCCTCCCTGTCCCGCCCTAGACCGAGATAGACGCTACACACCCACACGAGACGAATTGCACAGACGCTGCACCTTCCCAGGCCCCCCTTCGATCTGAATCACCGTCAGTCATCAGGTTGTCCACGCTATGGCCATGATGAGACGGTCGAGTCTTCCGCACAGCTAAGTCTCCTCACGAGCCTGGGGTGGGTGGCTGATACCGCCCCTCCGCGCGAATTTCCTCCCACCGCAGCAACAGTCGAGCCTTGTTTGTGACATGAGATCACACGATGGTGATCGGGCGGAAAATAGAAACCTACCGGGCTCGTATACGAGAGGGGTCGAAGGTAAGCTAGGGAAGTGTTGCCAGGAATATGTATATATCGAGACACAATGTCTCATCCCTCTGCCTTCCTCTCCCTTGTCGTGTGTTGTTGCTGTCCTCACCAAGTCAAGTCGTTCTTTTCAATCTACCGTCGTCGCTCTTTTGCCCTCCGATATAAAGGACATATTAGGATCCCTTTGGAAAACATCCTTTACGTTCTTTACCTTGTTCCTGGCGAACCGATTTACCCTTTTTCACACCCGCTACCAAATCTAACACTGCCATCTATTCACCACCTCGATATATCCCGGACATCACTTCGACAACAATACTACCAATCACCGACTGGCCCATTAACAGGCATAGTACGGTCTCGCAGCTCTACTCTGCCCTGTCTTGAGAATCTGCTCTGAGCTTCGACAACTTCCGTACTCGACATTCCACGTTTCCATCTACCGGCATTCGTCTACCCCCATTACGAAGTTCCGAGCAGGATATCAGCAACAAGATCACTCTTCCTCTATCTCCCTGTCGCGACCCCTTCTTGCCCACGTCAAATCCAACCAAAATGAAACCAATAATCTACATTTCTCTCTTCCTCGCCGCTGGACTTGACATGACAGCTACCGCCAGACCCCTGCATTATCACTACACCCAAACTCACGGACGGGACGAGGTGGCACCCTACAAATTAAACCAAGATCACGGTCGTCGGCATGTCACAATCTCAACGTATCACAACAACCAGAACCACGGACGTGACGTGACCGAGTCGATCAACATCCGAGAACTTCAGGTGGACGGTGGCTCATCGTCGTCGTCATCGTCTCATGCCACGTTTTCTTCCATTGTCCGCCATTTCTGGTCGCTGGGTGGGCCGGATGGGATCGTGACTAGCGTGTCGCATATCTTTGACCGGTCATAACCGTGGCCAGGGACGGGCAAATCTATTGACGGTGACGAGAGTGTCTGTCATTGGGGGCGAGGCAGTGAGCCTTTAGTTAGGTTCGCAAGCTATGGGCAAAGCAAATCACAAGTTAACTGGCGTGTGAATCAACTGTCTTGCAGGAATGTATTTGTATGCGTGGTTTGGACGTGTTTTTGGATCCGTCGAGCATTCGAGCATTCGTTTCTCACTCCATCACTCCCTCCCTCCCAGTACTTGCTTGTCTTTTCCCTCCGTCTTTTCCTGTACATATATATGTTGGACGTTGATGTTTGATGATGACAGATTTGATGATGATGATGATCGAAAAATCAAGGAAGATTGTCGCGATCTTCTTGGGCTGATAGAAGATGGGGGTCCCACTTACAATTGATTTCGTTGATACCTGACAACTGACCGAAGAGCTGTGTAACGATGCCTGGGGAGATTCAATGGCGCGTGTTCTTCGATCACGTACTTTTCAAAAAAGCCAAGACGAGGCCCAAGAGTACACCCTGAAGAAGCATGAGTTCTACCAGCTCCATGCAGTAGCTAGGCTCCCAAGCGTACCTCGTCGGCAATGTCCCCGAGCTCGGGTTTTTAGACGTAGGCGTGGCTCACAGGACCAGATCACGGAGTACCACCAGCACACTTGTCGCGGCTTCGACTCGGCCATGCTTCATCAGCCAGGCAGGAACACGACGCGCCGGAAGAGGATCGCGGTCAAGGCGCAGCTTCATCGCTACGGGGACGCGCCACTGAGTGTCGCTGGTGTTGAGGATGGCCAATGAGGCGCCAGGGTAGATCCAAGACCTCGATGAGCCCGACGAACTGGTAAAATACCTTGAACGAAGACCCATTGATAGCGGGGGGCAGACAACCGTCAGGTCCCCACGCTGAAGCCAGCGAGGAAACGCCCGACGTAAAAGGCTGCCAGTTTCCCTCAAAACGGTCCGGGTGGCAGCTCACAGGACGAACACCAGGCAGTAGATGAGGACAACGCAACTGGGGTGCGTGGCTGGATTCGCTCTCGCGCTGTACACACTCATCCTCTCTGTTTCGAGCAGGAAGTGTTGACATGACCGAACTGGGTTGGGCTCAATTAGGTATGAGGAATTGCGTGAGAGTTCTCTATTGTGTGATGCGTGATGTGTGATGTGAGAAGTGTGTCTCTGTACGTTCCATCTGTAGCGTTTTATGTCGTGCGTGGGTTGGTTGGTTGGTTTGGTCAGTGTTGTGCTCAATGCTCGCTCATTTTTCATACGAGACTGGCCTTCCTATCCACCTTGGGCTCATCGGCCAACTTCAAAACCCTCTCGACCATGACGTCGCTGTAGCCCAGATAATTGGCTGGATCGCACAGCTTGGCCAGTTGCTCCCTACTCATCTTGCTGGCGATCTCGTCGTTCTCGCACAGCAAGTCCAGCAACGGCCTCTTCTCGACCTGGGAGCGGCGACACAGATCGTAGACGACGTCGTGGGCGTACTGCCTCCCCAGTTCCGGGCCGAGGCCCATCATGACGGCCTCGGAGACGACGGCGCCGTTGGATATGTCGAGGTTGGCTTTCATGGCGTCCTCGTGGACCTCGAGCCCCTCGAGCAGGTCGGCGGTGTGCTTGAGCGAGGCGTGGGTCAGGGTCGAGATCTGCGGGAGCACAATCCACTCGATCTCCCAGGGGCCGGTGCTGCGCTCGTGGTCCTCGACCATGGCCTCGAACAGCGACGTGCTGAGCTGGCGCACCGTGGCCGACATGGCGGTGATGTAGGCGCACGAGATCGGGTTGCGCTTCTGCGGCATGGTGCTGCTCGACCCGCGGTGCGGGACGTAGGGCTCCGAAACCTCGTTCACCTCGGTCTGCGCGAGCAGTTTGACGTCGAGCGCGAACTTGGCGCACGTCGACGCCAGCATCGCGCACACAGACCCGAACTCGGCGATCCGGTCGCGCTCCGTGTGCCACGCTATCTCGGGCACCTTGAGGTTGAGGTCCCGCGCGAGCTCGCGCTGACACTCCAGCCCGAGCTGGGGGTGGTCGGGCGTCGGCGGGAGCGTCGCGAGCGTCCCCGCCGCGCCCGAGAACTCGAGGACCGTCAACCGCGTCTCGACGTCCTTGAGCCGTTCGCGGTGTCGCAGGAACGTGGCGAGGAGACGGGCCAGTTTGAACCCGAACGACATGGGCACGGCCTGTTGGAGGTTCGACCGCGCCGCCATGGGCGTGGTCTTGTGCTGGTCGGCGAGCGTGCGCAGGGACGAGATGATCCGGTCGAGTGCCTTCTCGAACAGCGCTATCGTGTCCCAGAGCTGGATCACCGTCGCCGTGTCGGTGACGTCCTGGGTCGTCGCGCCCCAGTGCGCCCATTCGCCCAGCCCCGGTTCGACGGCGTTGACGTGTGCCACGAGCTGCTTGACCACGCCGAGGACCGGGTAGCCGATGAGTTCGGTCTGCGCGCGCAGTTCTTCAAAGTCGACGTTGCGGATGTCGAGACAGAACTTGATGATCTCGTCGGCCGCTCGCTGTGGGATTATCCCTAGACGTGCCTGGGCTTTGGCCAGCGCCCCTTCGAAGGCGAGGTAGCATTGCGTGCGTGTCTTGTCGGACCACACTGCGGAGGATTCCCGGGTCGAGAGGATATTGCCAAAGATGAAGGAATCCTGGACGGAGGTCATTGTGCGTGCACACAGCTAAACCTAGTAATCCGTGTGTGTGTCTCGGTCGATGGCGGTCCGTGTCAGCAGTGAGCGGTTGTGTGTAACGGAGAAGAATGACGTGGAGGCGTGAATACTAAAGGGGAATGGTAAAGCCTGACTGGTAACACAATTGGGTACTCTTACTGTGAGTGGGAGCGTACGACTTTTCAAAGCGGTGATGGATACGACGGGGAGGAGAAGATGGAGTACAAACGTAACAGGTTCTTGCATAGTGATGTGCGTTGCGATTTCTGGCTCAATTCGGCTGATGCGGATAATAAACCATCGGAGGACGAGTATTGTCGATGCTCATCACGTACAATTCTCCAAACTCACCTTCCTACAGCCCGAGTCCTGGTGGATGTAGCCTAGAAGAGGACCCTACAAAGTACGAGGCTATTCTATTCTGACAAGGTTTGCTACTGCACCTGGGCCCAAGAGAATAAATAGATGCTGTGCGAGTAGATGTGTCTGGTCGTGAGTTACTCGGTCCTCGTGTCATGATCCAATATACTCAGGCGGTGCTCGTACTCGGTACGATTTATAGGGACCATTGTGGGCATCCCACATGCGATCTGCCCCGGAGCCGGCGCGTATAGAGCCTCCTACCGGGTGTATGTACCCGGGGGGATTACATAAGACTCCGGGGGCGCAAGTCTCCGTTATCGGGTCGGGTGCCGGAAGCATGTTCTCCCGCCTCCGAACTCCCCAGGTATAAATGACGTTGAAAGTACAACCCAAGCACCACTCCCTACGGTAGGTACCTTTCGGGCAGAAGCTTCAAGCCACTTCCACTCACTCTCCTTGTTGCTCCTCTTCCTCTTCCTCTTCTCACGACTACTCGAGGTCTTCAATGAGACATACCCTCCTCGTTTCTGCATCGAAGAGGACATTCTACGCCCACACCCACTGCCGTTCCCACGCATGCATCAGCTTCCACCGCTTTTCACACCGCATACCACTCTCAGGGTCCTACGCGAACGACATCCAAGCAGTACACGTATTACCGTCGTTAGCCAAACCCCGACTTCAGACTTCGCTTGATACCGTTCGGACCAGTACCGCCACCATGTCGACCCGCGCTAGCAAGCGTCAAAAGACCGACTCAGAGTCCGAGCCGTACCGTCTCATCTACTGGCCCGGCCTTCCGGGGCGCGGCGAACACATCCGCCTCGCGTTCGAGGCGACCGGGACGCCGTACGTCGACGTGAGCAACGCGACCTCGGAAGGCGTAAAAGCCGTGCTCGGGCAGATCGACACTCAGAACCAAGGCGACGAACGCAACCCACCGCCGCTCGCGCCTCCGGTTCTCGAGCACGGCGACCTGCGCATCTCCCAGACGCCCAACATCCTGCTTTACCTCGGCGGACGGCTCGGGCTCGCCCCGTCACCCGACCAGGACCTCCATGGCTACCACCACGTCAACGCACTCACTCTGACGGTGCTGGATGGTCTGTCCAATGAGCCGCACGATGTCCACCACCCCGTCGCCACCGGCCTGTACTACGAGGACCAAAAGGACGAGGCGCTCCGCAAGGCCAAGGACTACCGCGAGACCCGACTGCCCAAATTTCTCGACTACTTCAACCGTGTCCTCTCGGGCCCCGCGAGCGGCGGCGGAGAGTACCTGTACGGCAACAAGCTCACGTACGCGGACCTGGTGCTGTTCCAAGCCCTGGACGGCGTGTCGCATGCCTTCCCCAAGCGGGTCGCGAACCTCAGGGAGACGGGCGACTACGACAAAGTATTTGCCCTCTATGACCGCGTCAAGGCGCTCGAAAAGGTCAAGGCCTATCTCGAAAGTGACCGGAGACAAAAGTATGGTATGGGCATTTATCGACATTATCCTGAGTTGGATGAATGAGTGGTCTGATCCGAACCGGCTTGACCTGAATCGACTTGTTTGCATCACTCATCTCATGTCCTCAGCGTACTTCTCTACCGTTCTTCTGAGATCCGCAGGACAGGCACTGAGTTGGACCTCGTCACGTTTTGTCCTCAAGGGAAGTCCCATACCATTGAGAGAATTAGGCAACTGAGTTGGAATTGATCCATCCCGTTTTAAAATTATATAGCCTCATACAACTAAAAGTTACACATATACCACACATCTGTTGGGAGCGCTCTCAATTTGAATTGACTGGACTTGACTTGACCTCTCCCGAGTAATGGCGCATAGTACGGGCTCAATAATTTACTCAGTCATAGCATCACGATGCAAGATTCTTGTCTTCCAATACCGGTTCGTCCAGCGGCCATTACAACACCTCCCGTGTCGATGCCACATTGCAATCTGCAGAGATGCCCTTCTTTGCGTGACGAGGCTACGAGCAAGACACTACGTCGCGCCCGGGACGATGGCGAGAGTTGGTAGACGAGTTTGGCACTGTCGTTGTTGCATTTTGGCGATAAAATGGCGTCGATGTAGGGAGAGAACGTTGTGACCCTGGTTTGCCGGATAGCGGGTCGCATCATACGACGGCAAAAAAGAAGACCCCCAGTTCCTTTCAAGGCACGAGCGAGTTGGAGGAGAAGGCGGGAGGCTTGACATGATCGATGTTCCCAGGTGCCGGAACTGGAAAAGGCCTATTATGCATAAACCTGCATCGGCAAATCGCGGCAACACTTGACCTCGATAACGAGCTCGAAAAGCTTACGACGTGTCCGCTAGCACTATAACTGAGATGCTGTAGATGAGCCATGCGGGCCTCGATTGAGTTGCTGCTGATTCCGGCTGAAGTGAAGCTTACTAACAACGCGAAGCTAGTAATGTTGACCCGTTTGAATGGATGATTCGTGGCATGACGTATTCGTTGTCAAGCCACAAACGGGCCACGCAGCAGAATGTTAGAGTATCGAGCAAGACCTCGCGAAAGAGATGCTTCGTCTCGTGCGGCGGCCGCTATATAGACATCGCTGTCGACCTCAACCGACAGAACAAGGCACGACAGAGATCCGGAGGAGACGCTACGCATCATCCAAGATGGCGCCTTCAAAGTTTGCACATCTGCCGCTGGCAACTTCGGGCCCTCAGGAATGTGCACTGACGGGCAAGTCATTGCTGCAGACGCCGTACATGAACAAAGGCACGGCATTCACAGACGACGAGCGCAGAGAGTTTGGCCTGAGCAGTCTGCTCCCTGCCCAGGTCAACACGCTGGAGGAGCAGGTCATGCGCGCGTACGAGCAATTCCAGACCCGGCGGACCCCCCTGGGCAAGAACACCTTCATGACAAGCTTGAAAGAACAGAACGAGGTTCTCTACTACCGCTTGATCCAGGACCATCTGAAGGAGATGTTCCCGATCATCTACACCCCGACCGAGGGCGAGGCAATCGCAAAGTACAGCAGACTGTTCCGCCGGCCAGAAGGCTGCTTCCTCAAGATCAGCGATCCTGATGACATCGAAGCGGCGCTGGACCAGTGGGGTTCACCGGAAGATGTGGACATCATTGCTTGTAGCGACGGCGAGCAAATCCTAGGTCAGTGACTATCCGAGCCAGAAGGAACAACCCCCTCCCCCCCCCTTTATCGTCGGTGGGCAGGAGGTTGACACCTGAACATTTGCTTGTCTTTAGGTATCGGAGACCAAGGCGTCGGCGCAATACTCATCAGCATCGCAAAGCTGGTCATATACACTTTGTGCGCAGGCATCCATCCCAACCGCACATTGCCGGTGGTTCTCGACGTGGGAACCGACAATCAGGAACTGCTGGACGACGAGCTGTATCTCGGTCTGCATCAACCGAGAGCCAGAGGCCCAGAATATGACGCATTCATAGACCGCTTCGTCAAGGCCTGTAGGAAACGCTTCCCTAAAGCGTACATCCACTTTGAAGACTTTGGCCTGCGCAATGCTAGACGCATTCTCGACGAGTACGATCAGGAGATCCCTTGCTTCAACGACGATGTCCAAGGGACAGGATGTGTGACCCTGGCGGCCCTGTATGCGGCCACCCATGTTGCCGGGTATTCACTCAAAGATCTGCGAGTGGTTATGTTTGGCGCAGGAACTGCGGGCATAGGTATCTCGGACCAGATTCGGGACGCGATAGCCGTCGAGAGCGAAAAGACAAGGGAGGAGGCCACGAAACAGATCTGGTGTATCGACAAGCCCGGGCTCCTTTTACAATCTCACGGCGACATACTTACGTCGGCTCAGCACGACTATGCCAGGCCGGACAGCGAGTGGCCCGACAAACGGAACAACTCGCTGCTCGATGTCGTCCGGAAGATCAAGCCACACGTACTCATCGGAACCAGCACCAAGCCAGGGGCATTCACTCAAGAAGTCGTGCAAGAAATGGCTAAGCACGTCGAGCGGCCGATCATCTTCCCGTTGTCGAATCCCACGCGCCTGCACGAAGCCGTCCCCGAGGACTTGTTGCGTTGGACAGACGGCAAGGTTCTAACTGCGACTGGGAGCCCCTTCGATCCTGTGGACGTCGGTGGCAAGGAACGCGAGATAGCAGAGTGCAACAACAGTGAAGTGTTTCCTGGTATTGGCCTAGGGGTAGTCCTCTCTCGGGCCAAGCTCATCACCCCCGAGATGTTGGTCGCCGCCGTGAAGGCATTAGCGGCACAGGCGCCGGCGCTCGAGGATCCCGACGCTGGACTGTTGCCCGACGTGACGAACGTTCGTGAAATCAGTGTCAAGATCGCGGCTGCGGTGATAAAGCAGGCGGTCCAGGATGATTTATCACAAGAGGACGACATCCCCACAGACGATCGAGAGCTGGAAGTTTGGATCAGAGAACAGATGTGGAAGGCAGAATACCGGCAGCTGAAGAAAGTGAGCAAAGACGAGGCAGATCGAGCTGCTCTAGGTGTCATGGGAAGCAAGGGCGTAATGAGTTGAAAACCTCCACTCTATGTGCCGATTATTGATTGACATGCCCAAAACAGAAGGCGATCTTGACTGGGGCAGAGTAACGATATATACACGTTTCCATGCTCGCACATATCTAAGCCCGGCGTAGTGATCCTGTCATGGCGGGGTTTTCTGCGAACGGCCTTGCTTTTTACAGTCGGCTTTTGTCGCCATAGGCAAACACTTGGCCCACGATCTCTTCGCTCAATTTCCACAGTCTCTCTGCCGCAATAGGATCTTTGGCATGCGCGGCGGGTTCGGCCACTTGACAGTCGCTCAGATAGATGACGCTCGTATCTTCGCTGAGTTTCGGATCAAGAGCGGCCACCAGCGTCGTCGCACTCCCTTGGTCCAGGGTCTTCCAGAAACTTCCCGTCTTGCTGACCAGGTTCTGGTGCTCCTCGTCCAGGTCGCGCGACAAATCCGTCCAGATGGACCCCGGATGAGTCGCTATCGACCTGACGCCTTCCTGGGCAAGTTTCTCCGAAAGGGACACGGACATCAGGATGTTTGCCGTCTTGGATTGACCATATGCGACAAAGGGTACGTAGGTCTTTCCCGGTGGAGGGTCAAACGAGACACCCGGGCGGGACATCGGCCGTTCCTGTTCGGGTATGTCTTCTGGCCTCTTGGTGAAGTTGTAGTCGCTGAAACGAACCGGCGAGATGATGTGGCCGGCGCTGGTCAGGTTGACGATTCGAGTGGTGCCCTTCGATGGCGACTTCTCTGCCGCCCGGATGAGTTTGGGCATCAAGAGATTGGTCAGCAGGAAGAGGCCGATGTGGTTCGTGCCAAACTGCATCTCGAGGCCTTCTTTGGTGTACGCATGGGTTTGCATGACCACGGCCGCATTGTTGATCAGGATGTCGATCTTGTCGTCGACAACCTCGCTGATCCTGTCTGCAGCCTCTCGGACTGACGCAAGCGATGCCAGATCTACCTCAACCGTCTCGAGTCGAACGTCCGGGTGTTGAGCCTTGATTTTGGATGCAACAGCACTCATCTTGAGCGTTGTTCGGGACGCCAGTACCAGGAGACCAGGAGATTGTGAAGCTAGCGCCATCGCCGTGGACTCGCCCAGGCTCTGTGGTGATACACCCACGATGACAACTACACAGACCGGTCAGTTCATCCAATCTACGGCATGACAGATCTTGGGACCCGCATCGTACCTGTCTTGTCGCGTACCGCATCGCTATACACCTTGGCGACCTCGGACGCCCCCGTCTCCTGGTTGAAAGTAGAGTTCGAGGTCATGATGAGATGGTGATGTGTTTGTTACAGGGCTAGATGTCGGAAGACCGTCATATGATGTGCGCAGGCTCGGATGTTGGCATAGGCTGTATAGCAACTACGACTGAAATTGGTGCAGATTCACGTCAGACCACCATTTCTCGAAGCTCGCGAATGCTGAGATGGACGGGTTTGCTAGAATCTTTATCTCCACGAAGTCTTCTAGCACAGCCCCCACAGAGCACGCAACTGGGCCACAGAAAGCCACGTGCAGAACAGCCACCCTAAAAGCCGGACGTCGGTTTTGTGCAAGAAGAGGCAAAGGCTTCAAACAGATCTGGCGGAGATCGGTACGGTCTTATTTGGGTCGGAGTTCACGACAGAGGCGATGGAACAGTATTCGCACGGAGATAGTCTCAAAGGCATTGGCACCGAGCCAGTTAAGACCCCACGAGTCCTGAGAGGGTGGTGGTCTCGAAAGGCGCACACCAAAGCCATACTCCACTTCCTTATGGACTGGGAAGGATATCCATTCCCCTTGACGAGGGAAATGATGGGGGTTTACTCCGTAAGTGTGGGGTGAATATCCATAGTCCTCGCTCTGCCCAATGACCGTAGGCTCCAGGTCGTCCATTGTCCGTTTTGGTACAATGCATAACTCGGCAGTTCCATTGGAGAATCCCCCAGTCTCTCCGTCGCCGCGTCGGGTCGTCTTCAACGTTCCTCGCCGCTTCAAGGAATGGAATGGTGTATCCCGTGGGGCTTGGACGATTTGTTGCCGTCTCATTCAAAAGGAGTCGTGTGCCGCCTTCGTTTGGTCAAGGTCTCACACCCACAAGGAACTGTCAACGGCAAGATACCGAGTTTCAGACAAAGCTTTCCGGCGAAGAATACAAGCGTTCCTCGTCAGTGCCGTGGATTGCTACAACTCGTTCACCGGCACAACTGAGAGCAACGACTTGACAGGATGATCATGTCAGCCACAGAACCGTTTGCAAAGTCCAAAACCGGCGTCAAGGTGATTATTGTTGGAGCAGGTGAGTTGCTTGGTGCTCGTCAGAGGGCCTGAAGGCGATTGACTGACTCGAATAGGTTTTGGAGGTCTTACTGCAGCTATTGAATGCCACCGTCAAGGCCACGATGTCGAGATCTATGAAGCATTCCCGGAACTGAAGCCATTGGGTGATATTATCTCGTTCGGGTCCAACGCCGGTAGAATATTCCGACGATGGGGAGTCGACGGTTCGATAGCAAAGAAGATGCGAAAGCTCAGTATCGACCTGACCAACTATGGCTTCAACATTCACAAATATACAGGAGAACTCATCATCAACCAAGTGACACCACCCCAAAATCCTGACATGCCAATGTTTAACGGTCATCGTGGAGAACTGCATGAAGTTGTTTTCAATTATGCCAAAGACGATCTTGGGATCCCAATTCATCTTAACCAGAGAGTTGAGAAGTATATTGAGGAGCCTGATAGGGCAGGAATTGAGCTTTCACATGGAGAAAAGGTATGTTAGAATGAGATTGAGTGTGGCATCGATCAACTGCTCATTTCCCGCAGGTTTGGGGCGATGTGGTCATCGGATCCGACGGCGTGAGATCAAAGGCGCGTGAATTGGTCCTAGGATATTTCGATAAACCAAAAAGTAGCGGTTACGCAGTTTTCCGAGCATGGTATGCTTTTCTGCCTTTGCCCAAAGAGTCGAGTCTGATTAGTCCAGGTTTCCAAACACGGATATGATCAAGGACCCTCGAACGAAGCAATTCTGCGAGAACGGGGATACCTTCAACGGCTGGATCGGTCAGGACGTACATTTCCTGTTTTCGACCATCAAGAACGGCAGCGATTGCTGTTGGGTTTTGACGCACAAGGTAGACTGCGAATATTCTGTGTCGGAGTCAAGCTGATTCATATATTATAGGATGACGCCGACATTGATGAATCGTGGTCATTCCCCGGCAAACTAGAGGACGTGTACAAAGTATTTGAGGGATGGGACCCCATGTGCAAGGCCATCGTCGAAAAGACACCCGAAAGCCACCTCGTCGACTGGAAGCTCGTGTATCGTGACCCATTGCCAACGTGGATCAGCAAAGGTGGTCGCATTGCCTTACTCGGAGACTCCGCTCATCCGTTTTTGCCGACTTCAGCACAAGGTGCTACTCAGGCGATGGAAGATGGCGTCACAATTGCTGTCTGCCTCAGGAGAGCTGGAAAGAAAGACGTTCCCGATGCCGTTCGGACATATCAAAGAATAAGGTAATTTAGCACTCCACGTGTTTGGCCCTCGGGGTGGCTGCTAATTTCAATCCTAGATACGACCGTGTCAGAGCAGTGCAAAAAACTGGAGAGACCACGCGTGATATGTGGCACAAGGCTGACTGGGACAAGGTCAAGGAGAATCCTGAATCTGTCCAATTTCCTCGTGAAGACTGGATCCATTTGCACGATGCCGAGAAACACGCCGAGGAGGTATTCGACGAAAATTTCGGCCAGGTTCAAGCTGCAGTAAACGGTACACATTGAGGATATGGAAGAAGAGATATGTGATGCAGGCTGAGAGGACACCAGGTTCGACTCTTCTACGATCCAAGCTGTGAAGCAGGTATGCCCGATATGAAACCTCGTCAGTATCTGATTGGGGACTCGGGAGTATGTGCCACCCGACATTGGGCCACGTTCCATTCAGAGGATTTTCATCGCTTGCACCGGAATTGTATTGCTTGACATAAGTATACTGAGGATTTGCATAGAGACCAGCCGCTTCTCAGTATGGCATGGGACGCACGGTTGTCTCAAGGTTGTCTCAGTGCTAGGTATAACGGCGGCTTTCGATGTGTCGACTGAAATAACATCTATTATTCTGGGGCCAAACTGCAGCATCAATATGATAAAGAGACGACGATGACGGCAATGGATACACAATTCCAATCTTTTAAGAGGACGTGCTGGTAAGAAGTAATGTCAAGGACGAAGAGACAGTCGCAGGGATGTATGTAGCTGTGGTTCACCGCAAAATACTGCGAACCATTAATGCTCTAAATGCTTCTTCCAAGGATTGAGTATTAACTATCGGACGGAACCCTCATTTTGTAGTTTCTCTTCCTTGTGGCGACACGGATCTTGACACGAATATACGCACAAAGCAGACATTAGAATACGAATATCTACTTCAACGTGGTGAAGCCGCTCTTGTGAGACTGTGAGATTTCCAGATCGGTCGCGTGGGGAGCATTCGCATTCCATGCGAAGTATCATTTTTCAAATGCTTCGTCTTTATCAATCTGCCTCGATGTATAGTCCCTATGTGTCTTGAGTCCCTCCAAGGATGGATAAACTCACAACAACTCGGCGCTAACAATGGGAATTGCTCGACTTTCCCAAGATTTGCTTCCTTACGCGGAACGCACTGCGCTTTCAGCTTCCCAAGCCTCGCAGGAAGAACCGAAGCCAGTCACCTCGTTGATCATCGACGGGCCATCTCTCGTCTACTATATCTACAACAAGCTACTGGCGTACAAAATCTCGACCAGTCCGACCCTGGTCGCCCAACAACCAAGTTATGAAGAGATCAACCAAAGCTTCACCAAGCTGCTTCTCCATCTCGACACCCAAGGTGTTGAATTACAGAAAGTATTTTTCGATGGCGCGCTGCCGATCGCCAAACGCGAAATACGCCTCGAACGGATGGAGAAACTGCGTCAACAGCTCGAGATGTATCGGAAGACGTTTCCCGAGCTCCCAATCCTCCCGACTCTTCCACGTATCGATCACGGAAAGGCGCTGTGGAGCACGCCCATAATTTCCAGTAGGAAACTCGCGCTCCCTGCGCCTCCATTCATGGTCGCCAGCGTCATCGAGTGCCTGCGGACGAGCCGCTGGCGAGATATCGTGCAAGTAGTCCCTGGTGAAGCTGACATTTTCTGTGCGATACTCGCCAAAACGTCTGGAGGCGCGATCATGACCAACGATTCAGACATGGCAGTCCACGACCTCGGGTCTGAAGGTCGCATTGTACTGCTACATTCCCTCGAAAAGAAAGCCGCCGTCTCGCAGACAGGCAAATCTAATGGGTTGATATCAGCATTGGCATTCAATCCCCGCCGCATCGCTGAGCGGCTACAGGTTTCATCACTGCTCAGATTCGGCTTCGAACGATACCTCGACCCAAGCTTATCCGTCGCAATGGTCAAGGAGCGCGCTCGAGAAATCGATAGACTTGATGATTTGAGTCTTCGGGAAGAATACAAGGCATTTTCAGAGCAGTATGAAGAGGAATCTAGCATCTCATCCCCACTCCACCACCTCCATCAACAACAAAAATCGTTACTGGATGACCTCGACCCACGGATAGCGGAAGCAGTTCTCTGTCCTGACTCCCCAACTGTATACCTGACCCCACTGAACGAGGACCCATCTCGAGACTCCTCTTGGTCGTACGGGTTTGATATCCGACATGTAGCATACTCACTTCTCCTGCGCTGTTCTGCAGCGGCAACTATCATACATGGCGGCACGGTTACAGAATACGCGAGAAAAGGCCAACGAATAACTTCAACAATCATCAAATGTCTCGACTTGGTCCGGACCCAGGAACGTATGATGGCACTCTTACAGTCGCTACCGGCAGATACAACTACAACTAATCCTCCTCCTCCGCTTTCGACATCTCCCACATGCCACATGCTTCTACAGTGGTACACGCTCGCTCTTCAATTCGTGAGCGAGCAGAGACTCGCTTCAGGGAAGACACCCTTGTCAGCCGACCTAGTTTTAGATCTGTTTGGTCTCCCACATCACCAAAACCCACCTGTTGCAAGACAACAGACGAGGCTCTCATGGGACGAAATGCATATTCTAGGGAATATGCATGCGGTGCTGTACTCTTTCCGTATTCTACGACAGCTGACACGGTATGTGATGGCGTCTTCTGCGAAAGAAGCGCCGCCACAAACCCATGAACTCGTGAACATGTTACCGACTCTGCTATCTCGGCTCGACCGCATGCCAAATATTCAAGATCTGTTTCTGGACAAGCACGACCTACGCCGAGCAATAAGCGAACTGGACATTGAGAGTCGGAACCTGGCGTCCACAGATATCAAGAGTCTTTTATCACCAACCGCGAATCTCCAGGGCGAAGGCCAATTGGATGTTGGACAACAACTAATTTCGGCAACCAGGGATGGTGATGGCGAGTGGGAAGGAGCGAAAAGTAAGCGCAAAAGAAAACGAGCAACTCAATCGGATACCCTCGCACCCGGGCCCAGAAGCAGGAGTGCGAACATGTTTGATCTTCTGGGCGAAATATGAACCCTTGATCCCAAGGGCAAGGAAGCCATTTGGCAGATATGAGAGCTCGCTGAGACCGTTTGCTAAATGCTGAACGAGTCTCCATCACCAAAGAACCCACCCGTGTCAAGGCTCTCCCATCCCCAGCCATTTAGATCTTGGAACATAAAGTCGTCTTCGGCGGGAGTGAACTGGCCGATCACGGCATCCATGGTGCCGTCGTACCCACCAGCACCCGTCGCTTGTCCGACCTTCTCAGAGTTCAGCGGATGGATCAAGTCACTTATACCGCCACGCACAGCCTGATCCGTCGACACTGACACCTGCTGCTCCGGCGTCTCCGTGTCTACAGTGTTTCTCAATGCATTCGCTAGATTATCGCCATCTGCTGCAACAGCCTTCTTCGCCCTAGTCGCATCTTTCACAGCTCGATCCCTCAACCGGTTCAACAATTCATGATGCCGTCTGGATTGACTACCTTCTGGTGCCAACTTGGCCAGAAAGTCCTGACAATACCTCGCCTTGTCAAGGTAGATGTCGACGCGGTCAAAGGCTTGCTCCAAGTATCTGGACCGGCTTCTCTGGATCAGGAAGACGTACAACGTAGATATTCCCACGAGGGCCACGTAAGACTGAAACCAGAATGCTTGGTATATAGTGCCCTTCTCATTCAATACAGGGATGGTATCCAGAATCGTACATACCGCGGCGATGCATTCTTCGATCGGCTTCAGCGCACGATGGCCCTCGGACGGCCCACGTCGACCGAGGTGACTAAAGTCCGCCAGGAGACAGCGCCGAGTGACTAGGATGCGCAAGTGGGCATAGGCCAATTTGAGCGTGGTGTTTTGCCTCTCGAATGTCCTTTGTCCTGTGAGTGTCTTGTCGCGAGGCTTCAGGAACTCGGGCAACGAATCCCTCCAGGCGTCAAGAGCACTGAGCATCTGATATGTGCGCGCCAGCACATCTTCTTCCGTGAGGGGTTGGAGGGGGTAGAGGAGTTGGTTGTTGCGACCCATCAGTTTGGATAATTCAGCATGCGCAATGAAGGCCTCCAAGTTGCCATGGAGTGGGAGATCGTCAAGCGATTCCGAGGGTAGCAGGTCGTTATCGTCGATGTTGCGGGGATACTCTTGGTCGATATCCGCGTCGTGAAGGAGCCGTGGTTGGCCGAGGAAGACACTCAGATAGCCATCGAGGACGTAAGCGGACCAAAACGTGCGTTTACGAGACTCCAATGTCACCAGGTCGAATTTGGAGGATGGAAGGGGTTTCCGTTGGAGTCCGATCGAGATCAGAACCGTGCACACGAAACTAAAGGAGAAACGACACTCGTTGATGCGGAAGGTACCCAAGAGGTATAGACACATTGCTAAACGTGCTTGAACGCTGACCAGAGTAGCCGGACCAGGCTCTTGGTTGAGTAGAGATTTGGCTTTGTCAAAGTCTGTAGGTTGAAGTGGTCAGCGCGGACATGTTCAGGAGGCATTTCGTTTCCGCGCAAAGGAAAAAGAAGAAGAAAAAGAAGGAGAGGGCACAACATACACGCTCGGCTTCGATTGAGCCCTTCATCTCCTCCGTTTTGGTATCTGTCGCCGACTGTGGTATAAAGAAGTGCCTGGGAACATACTATCAACGCACAGGCGGTCTCGGCTTTGGACAGCTGAGCCCCGTCGAGAAGTTGAGAGATCCATCTTTCCGTCGACGGCCGGAGGAGGAATCGGTACGTGGGTACGGCAAATTGGAAATACCGTTCCACCAGAGTGATGGCTTCCTCTCGCGTGGGTAAAGGCTGGTTCATGTTGATGGGCGGCTGAGGCGCGTCACCATGGCAAGTCAACGGCGCTGTCGGCAAGGACACCTCTTCTTCGGCGGTGCCAGACCGGTTCCAGATATGGTAGAGGAACGAAACTCCCGCAGAAGGGCCGATGTGCTGGCCCTGGGCGAATGTCTGTGGAGGATCCAAAGAAACCGACTTCGACGGCGGCGGGACGTTCGACACCTCATATCCAGGACGGTCTACCACGGCTGCATGATGGCCAGTTCTGGTTGAAGAGTGACCTGACACTGTGAGAGACTGCGACTCCGACTGAGAACTCTGCCTGGGCGTCGCCGGACTGGACCGTACCAGGCCATCGCTGTACTCGCATCGGACGCCTTCATTTTGGCAGTAGTCGCAAGGCTGAGTGCCCGTACATCGGACCTTACGCCTGGGTTCAACAGGGTGTTAGTAGCTCCAAGGAGGACCCCACCCATACTCGTTTGCGTTGCAAGAACGACAATCTGTTACAGCCGCTTGAGGCGTGCACGCCTTTTTCTGGGGATAGCGTTTCTAGGAGCGCACTCACCTTCTACAAAAGGCACAAGCTCGTGCAGTGCGGGGGTGCTTCAGTTTGCGTTTCTTTGGCGGACTGCTCGGCAGTTGGTCGTTGTCAATATGGATCATTGAGTGTGTCCTGGTCGAAAACGAGTGTTATCGCACTTGACTCCTCGACGGAGATTCCGAAGGAAGGTCGACGGAAGCGGCCCATGTTTTCTACTAATCTGGAGGGAAAACTTGCGGCTCACGGAGACTAACTTAGTTAGTTAGCGCACTTCCGTCGGGATGGGAATCTGAGGCTAAGCATAGGTGATAAAGGACGGGCTTCTGGGTTCTCCTGTCACGATATGCAGATTTACGCGTTCCTCGGTGGATATTTGTATCTAGCAGCATGTGGCACTGTGAACTGATATGCACAACATCCTTCAAGATCTGTGGGTAGCGGACTGAAATACCATCATTACGACTGCGTGATGCCAGGCTGGCCGCTGTGGCCTCGAGCGCGGCCTACCTACCGTAACTAACGACAATACCGCAAACTGACTGACTAACTGCTCAGCTAGTTCGTCTCTCTCGTCTAACCTTCCCTACTGTTCCTCTCTCTCCAAAAAAACTAACTAGTACAAAGTCTGGGCTGCACCGACGACAGTGACAAGTGACACCTTCCACGAGAGACGAACGCATAGTCGCAAGTTGGTTTGACAAAGCCACAATGCTGAACTCAATATGCCCGTGACAAAACCCCCCTCTAAACCGTCAGATATCGACTTATCTACCAACGAAGCCCTCCTCCAACACGCCGAGGCCTCTCGGCTTGCAAGGTCATGGCTCTCCGGGGTATTCGGTGACGAGTCCTCTGCCGCCTCGGTCCAGGACGAGCAAGACAAGTTCGACAAGACAGTAGCCCATAAACCGGCTCTCTACTCTGACACGTATGCCGTCCTGGCTCTACACCCTTCCCTTTGTTCCCATGTTTCTTCTTTACTGACCTCCCTCCCGCAGCGGTGGCATAGGATACGCCGAACCTACAGATCCCACCTCTTCGGCATCTCGCGGCTCCTCAGATCCAGCAACGGCGTTCCTCCGAAAGCAAATGCTTGGTCGCGGGGCCAATCAGCACCCTACTTCTACAAGGGGCCCTCCTCGACCAGGAGGCAACCCGCATTCCCTTCGCAGACGTCGAGATGACGACGACGAAGATGAGGAAGAGGGTAGATCAGGATTGGGCAAGAGCAAGGCCTCGAAGCAAAAGCTCTCAAGCTCCCAGATTTCGTCGGTAGCGAACGCGAACGGCGCAGATAACGTCGTGTCTCCGTCGCAAGAGGCCGAGAATGCTACGGCGCTGAACGGTGGTCAGCTGCAAAAGACAACGACGCATCAACAGCAGAAGAAGAAACGCGGATCTAGTTATCTGGATGAGATACTCGCGTCTCGTGCGTCCAAGAAGAAGAAGAAATCCGGAAAAGGTGACGATGGATGAACAACTCGGGTGCACGGTATCCAGCTAAGGAAACCAAGCCATTGGCTTTTCATCACCACCTGTGAAAAGCCAGTCCGCCAGCCAGGAACAGATTCCGATGACGGTTATGTACAGCAACAAGGGACAACGACACCGGAAGTTGCGGCATCCCCGTCGTCATCGATATTCTCATCGTGCACTGCAGTGGCCTGATTCACTCGCTAGCAACCTTGTCTGCGAATCAATCTTGGAAGGGACCAGGGTTTCTCAGCCCCCCATATCAACCTGCTGCCAGTGACGCACTTTGTCCCTGTACAGTGACATGGACCACACAGAGATTCCGCCTACCAGGATAGACACCCCTTTTGGTGGCACACGGTCGGACACGCAGATCGAGTATCTTGAGCCGCCTCACGATCTACGACTCTTTCGATGAAAAGAACTCGGGTCAACATACCCGTATCATCTACCGAGCATCGGAGCTCGAATTACACATCACATCGATGGTGGATGTTACTACTTCTACACCATATGGGAAAGAATTTACATCGTAACGGACACCAATGCAATCGGAGGATAGCGACTCTGGACCCTGCGCAAATCACACAGAGATGCGAAAACTTGCAGAAACACGTCTTTCGTGAATCCCTCTCACTCACGTCACCACGACCACCCACCGTGTAGATCAGTCCACGTGGCAGTGTTATAGTCAGAGGAACAATATGAAACGAAACTGCTTTTGCGAAGAATGAATCTTCTCGCACACCTGATGCTCCTTGCCATCACCCTCACTCATCAAGGAAGGACAGGTAGATACCAAGGTGGTAAGGATAACCACTGAATGCCTTCTCCGCAGCCACTACCAAGCTAGGCGGGTATAATTTCATAACATGGCTCCGTAGAGCTCAATCTCTGGCTATCTGTGTATGACTCGAATGGAATCTGGCCTTCTCTTCCGCCCAGGTCTTGAGCACAAGGGAGAAACGCCTAGACTTTTAAAGGTTGCAACCCGCCTGAGGTTGGCAATCTTCATTCCTTCATCCCAACCCAGGTGGGGTTTTCCTTTCTGATCACCACATTGATACAAATACGTAGTGTGAACGCTGTGAAATTGCAGGACTCGAACAGGCAAAGATAAGAACAGCGAGATCAAAAACAAACTCCGCCAGATCTGACTGTCTGGGACCATTAAGCTGGCTTTCTTTTGATGCGCAAAAGTCAAAACCAATAAAGTGCCTCCCTTCCATATATATACACATGCCCGCCAACCCTGCCATACATTGTTTCACAAAACATTCCGGCCGTCACACTCGGCGGGAACAAAAACCAGCCAAACATTCACATTATCTTCATACCAGTCGTTTCCTTTTCCGATCATCGTTGCCTTCGTCCTCGTTCTCTTGTTCCGCCGTTTCGGCCGGGTTGAGCAGTAATTGGAGAGTCGCCATACTGCCTCGACGGGTCGCAGGAGCCGAATGTAGCTCAAAGTTGGGTCGCGGAAATTTACTCGAGGCGGGCGTCCACAAGACGTTCTCTACACCCAAACCAGCGGGCGGTGCCTCGGACGACGAGGTCAGCGGTGGAGTTGGTTGATTTGCAGTCGTTGCGTGCCTTTTAGACCCATTGATCTCGTATCGTGCCAACTGGTCCTGAAGTTGTCGATCCCCTGCCTGTGGGCCTTGTTGAGGGGATGACGGCTGCCAATGCACAGACGATTGTCCAGATGCATATGGCGATCCATTCCCGTTGTCAGTTGATGGAGGCCAACCGTGCTCCCGGATATCAGCTGACGTGTGTCTCCGGGCGAGATTCAGAGGCGGGGGAGTGGACACAGAGGCCAAAGGGTGTACGCTAGGAGGTGGCTGCGTGGGCAGCGCAGGTCGACTGAAGCCTGGAGATGGATGCGGTATACTCACCGATCCGAATCGTCGTGGTGAAGAGGGAAAATGGGGAAGCGGAGGAACAGGCGGTCGCAACCCGACATGCTGTGGTTCAATTTGAATCGATGACCTTCGGCTGTCAGGGTAGTTATATCCTCGAGGAGAGACGGGTGGTTCTAGTGCACCGCCATTAGGAAAGAGTGATTGCCTGCCCACGTGCAACGTATCTGATTGTGACTCCAAGCCGCGGACAAACTCAAGTTGACGAGCTATTTCTTTCTGCATGTTGGCAATGTCATTGTATAATGCGGAATCTGGCGACGATAGTGTCTGCACAGCGCTGGTCAGGTTTTGAGATAACTGATGCACTCGGATCATGCCTTCTGTTAATGTCTGGCATCTGTCCTCTGTCCTTTGCAGGCGTGCTTGTATGTCCCAATATGTATTTTCAAGCATGGCAAGGCGTTGGTCAGTGTCTGAGATCATGTCCGCTGGGGTCCCGGGTTGTGATGCCCCAGATTTAGCATTGGAGAACGAATCCCGATGAATCAAGGTGTGCCTCGAAGCACGTCTCTTTATTTCTCTCAGTCCCATTAGGTCACCTTTCTTAAAACTGCCGTTCCCGTGCTTAAACTCCCAAAGCGCCGAATCCGGTGATCCGGTGTGAAAGACATCGCTGACTTTGTGGAAGCCATACATGTTCAGCTGGCGGACGAATGAAGATATGTTTGTGTGTTTGAAATATTGCGCCAACACTTTAGAGAATTCGGTCGAGGGTGACATGACAAAGCTTTCATTTGTGTTGGACCACGATATCAGATGCTGGATACTTTTGTCCTCTAACATGCTGTAGAGTTTATGTATAAATGCTGTCTGAACCACCTTAGGGCCTTGCGAGGCTCCCACGGCGCCGGCGGCAGCGTTATTCATGCTCAAGCCAACATGCTCCCGGCCGCCGTTGGCTGAATTGCCCTGGTCAACTTCCGGGCTTGTTCCCTGGGCAGGAGGACCCATGTTCGAGGGAGCAGGAGAAGACGCCTGCATCGAATCTTCATGACTCGACTTGGGCGAGGTGTTGTTATTCTGGTGCAGAATAGGCATGGCTCGTGGTCCCGACAGAGATTCGAGAGGAGGATCGAAAGGGTTTCTCAAAGTCGACTGAAAAAGGGTACTCATGATTATGCGGCGGCTTTAAGAAGTATTTTCGTGAAGCGGGCGCGCCTTCACCGATGTGCTATTTTCATGTCATGCAAGGCATCAATACTTTGCATCGCCAGTGGAGTACGCCACACATCTGGGAGACAAGGCGTGACGGACAGGTCGGTTCTCCTAGTAGATGCGGTCCCCGACTTTGGACGACGACTCGGGGGGCTCAGGCCAGTCGGTGCAGGCGTCACCGGAAGAGGCGACTGTATGACGAAGAGTTGCCCGGTCAATGAAGAGCCTCGTCGCGGCCGGTTCGGAAGACCAAGCTGCCAGATGTGGAGGCAGGACTCGAGATGGAGGTTCAGGTGTGGAAAGGACTCGAGGAGGGTGGTGTCAGCGCAGGAAGGAGAGGCGGCTTTAGGGTTGTCGGGGGCGTTTTCTAGAACAGAAAACAAGGAGCAGGCGCGCGGCGCAAGATCCAGATATATTGCGAATATCAGGAGCACAGGTTCTGCGTAGTCAGATGCGCAGACACGGCGGAAAGAGGCACGGGTTTTTTTTTCCGTTGACACAACGCGAGTGTATCTCCTGCTACCGAGCTGCAGGAACTCGAGAGGCGTATTGGTTTCCGAGGGTCTCGAGGGAGGCCGCAGAGTGTCGAGGGTTCGATCAGAGTTCGAAGGGAGTTCGACGACCGACGGAGGGACAAAATAGAATCCAGTGGACTACGGCATCAATCGAGGGGGTCAATAAGGTAGTAGACAAAGTGGTTCGCTCGGTCGGAGTCCAACGGAAGAACCGGATTGGGAGGAGGCGGCAGGGATGGCTGATTGGCAACAGGACGGAGGTGCAGCCGATGTGCAAATCCTGTCGCCGAAGGGGAGGACGAGAGGACGACAGGAGAGCGGGAAACCCCTTGTTGGTACAGTAGAGGCACAGTAGAGGCACAGTAGTTGGCTGCAGACACGACAGATCGATCGCTGGCTGAGGGTGGAGAGGTGGAGAGGAGCTGTCAGTTCGGACCAAGGAAAGCAGGAGGATCAATGGATCAGGGAAGCGCGAGTGTTACGGAGTCGAGATAAGGAGGCGAGAAGCGAGACCCGCGAACCATGAGGGGGCGCGAAGTAAAGGAGGGTCGAAGCAGTGATGGCGAGGGAGGAGATGGTTTTCACTCTGATGCTGGAATGGTCAGAAGAGGTTATATCGAGTTTAAGGTGCAACGTGGATGAGGGTCTGTTCTCTGGACTACGGTTGCTGCTAAGATGGAAGCGAGAAGACGTTATCATCTACTTGGAAATGGCCGTCGCGGCGGTTTGACTAAAGGCCTGCCGTATACTCGTATCGAGGGAGTCTCTCCCTTCGCTTGAGAGTTGGTCGAGAAAAGATCAAGGTCAGGTCAGCAGAAGGAAAAAAGGCACATCCGAGGTTCCAACGTTACGACACTAGTTCACCAGAGGGTCCGCATTCTCAACAGGAAGGGCGGGACTAAGGAATGATATAATTACGTCGAGTCAGGACGAGTACTGTAGGTTGTGGCGGACTCGTAGATCCTCCACATATCTGCAACTATTTTCTCGTGGCGGCGGGCGGCGGTGGTGGTGGCCGCAGTGTTGACGAACGTGGAATGGGCCATGACAGGGGCGGAAATAGATACCCTTAGGTGCCCTTAGGTGCCCTTAGGCGTCGTTGGGGTCCTTCTTAGGCTCCTTGGGGCTCACCCGGCCTGTGCTCTTTTCCCCTATCCACCACTTGAAACTTAGTCAGACTGCCTAAACACCAGCCCTCTCGGCCTGCTCTGGCCCATCACTCAAACCCTACCATCCCTACCACTGATCTGCCAGGTCCCTCGTGATTGAGAAGACTCTTTGGGCAATAGGCAGCCTCCGAATCTGCAACACCCAACATCTCTTCATCCTTGGATATACTTAGAATCACGACGACACTCGTATCAGGTCGAGACCTGGGCCCTTCTCGTCCAACCGCTGTCCTGCGCTTCCAATCAGCCCCCGCATACAAGCCCCCGGACAATGCTGTGTTGCGCCCTGCTCACCGAGCCAAACAATTGATGAAAACGGAACATCCATCTGCCAGACCCGTGGACATGGGTGACCCGGCTTTTTGGCGGGACTTGATCGCTGGCCCACACGCCGGCCATACTGACACTTCCTGACAGCGGACTCAGGACCCTGATCAAAGTGGCCTGCCGCCTTTATGCCGGCCTCTAGGACTGTGCAACGTTGCCGCACCAGCAGCCATGTCGGCCTTGGATTAACCGTGGATAATCAGCAGGAGCTGGAGAGGCTGACATGATACCCCACGGCCTCGCCGAGTGGTCATCAAATATCAGACCAGCGTTGAGATTGACCCGAAGGTGCCTCCTGCAATGTGTATCCCGCCATGTTCAAAACCAGACCCTTGTCGCTCAAACTTGTATCACGCTGGTGGACACTCTTCTTGCCAAATGCAGGTCAGTGGCTGATCTTCTCCTGCGTGTCAACATTTGCCGACCAGGCATCCCCGGTGGCAGCTCTTTATATGTAGGATGCAGGAAATTTGGATCTTCCAATATGGGATTGACATTGCCCAGCCGTTCAATATTCGTCGAATGTCATATCCGGTAAGATGGTGATGATCGGAAAGGGTGGCCGAGCACAAGCACACTGTACGGCAGATCGTGGCTATCAAGACTTGCGCTCAATGCGATAGGCGACAATCCTTCAGCACATGATTGAACGCTCGCACGCCGACAATTTGGCAGCAGGCTTCTGGGTGTCGTCACCGCCCAAAATTAGGCGCCGATTCTTGATTGACCAAGGGGATTCACTACCATTGTACCCCTTTGCTGCCCTCTTCTTCAATCCTGCGACTTGCATTCAGCGAATTGAATGAGAAAGGATATCTGAAAAAAGAATACAAAAACGGCAAGAAACTGATTCGAAGTGCGATACCCGACCTAGCAGCCAGTGCTTCACAATACTTATTCCGACTATCACTATGCGCGCCGAGCTAGAACTTGAGGTCCTAGTGATATTCAGTATTCATGAAACCTAGGTGAAGATTCCCAGTTCAAACCACTAAGCAGCTAGTTTTCAAGGATAAGCCCACCTCCAAACCACTCAGGCCAGAGTTGCCATCCGACGCGGTGAGTCTAATTAGTGGGCATCAAGGCGTTCTTTGTTACAGAAATTCTGGGGGTTAAAAAACCTACCATCTAAGCTTTCGTGATCATCATTATATTCACTGGGTTAGTATCAAGGCAGTAAGGTACCGTGCGGCAGCTCGCCTCAGAGCTTCAATCCACCTCACTGCGGGCTTCTCGACAGCACAAGCTGGTGGGCGCATGGAGAGCATCATGTCAGTCCAGCGGTCCCATATGAAGCTCCTCGTCGTCGCCTGACACAAACTGTTTCATGTATGGGTGAACTTTCCTCCAAGAACCAGACCAACAGTCACGCAACGGTGTCTCTTTGTACAATATATCGCGATATCAGAGTTCCTAGCTTTGGCGCGCAGTGCTCTGAGCACTACTCAGACTCCGTGACCAAGGGCAAACTGGCTTAGTGACGTCTATGGAGACCCATTTATTCGTCCACACCTGGTCTAAGTCGCTCAACGTGGCACTCATCAGAAACAACGAACAGGTTGATAACCATCCGTACTATACTCTTCTTGTAGGTCGTTCATCTCGGCTGTAGTCACCCCAAGGACGAGGTGCAGGAATAGCCGAAAATGACTAAGCGGAAAGCTCGCGTAAAATTTCCATCCACTTCTGGATAATTTTCCGCATCCAAAACATTTTTTGACATCCGGCGACCATATTATTGTCTGCGTGCTAAAGTCGAGTCCTTGAGCGTCTTGCCTGAAACGTTATTCCTAATACGGTCCATCAAAAGTAGGGGCTCCTGAGCCACAATGTCCAAATCCGCCATGGCACGCCGCCACAACCCTTTGGAAGATGATATAACCGCTTCGGGCGGCCGTCTACGGACGAAGTCTGTCACTGGGAAGAGAAAATCCAGGACCGATGAGAATACCCAAGGAGATGGCTATATTGACGCTCAATCTTCGAGGAAGATTCTGGCCATTGCACAAGATCTGGCGGATGAAGAAGCCCGAGATCACGCCGCCGCTGGTGTGAAGGCTCTATCTCCATCAAATGCCGCCTTTGCCTTTGACTCACGATTCACCACCGATGACGACGAAGATCGAGATGGACAAGCGCAGTATGACGATGAAGAAGACTGGATGCCGGAAGAAGAAGACGAAATAGCTGCCGAAGAAGACCTGGATCCAGAAGACATGGCTGTCTACAAGAAATTTCTCAAGGATGGCGAAGAGTTGCCGGATTTTGCACCCTCCATAGCGAACCTCACCACGGGGGATCGACAGCCAAACAATGTGTCCGAAAGAGAAGAGGAACCACAAGGCCCGCCTACGAATCTTACAGAACTGATCCTGCAGCGAATCGCTGAAAAGGAAGCGCTAGAAGCAGCGCGCAATGCGGGCACTCAACAACAGACATTCATCGGTTCAGGACCACCCGATGAAGCGGTTGAAATCCCCATGAGAGTGGCTGAGACATTCACAAAAGTCGGCCAACTTCTCTCTCGCTATAAATCTGGACCTCTTCCCAAGCCCTTCAAGGTGTTACCCACGCTGCCTCAGTGGCCAGAGTTACTATCCATAACCCGACCGGAAAATTGGAGTCCACATGCCGTCTACAGAGCCACCAAGATCTTCATCTCTGCCCCTGCGGCTACCGGGCAATACTTTTGTGAGACCATCCTCCTTGAACATGTCCGGGAAGATATTCAAGAGAACAAGAAACTCAACGTGCACCTGTACAACGCACTAAAGGCTGCGTTTTATCGACCCTCCGCCTTTTTCAAAGGCTTCCTCTTCACTCTTGTGCAGTCTTCCTGTACCCTCCGTGAGGCACAAATCATTTCCTCAGTGCTGGCCAAGATCAAGATCCCTGTCTTGCACTCTGCTGCAGCTCTACTTCGTCTATGCGAGATTTCAGCGGAACAAACGTCCAACGTCAACAGTGAAGCTGCCGGTGCAGCCAACATCTTCATTCGAGTTCTGCTAGCGAAGAAATACGCCCTGCCTTACAAAGTCGTGGATGCGCTGGTCTTCCACTTCCTTCGGTTTAGAGCATCCAAAGAGGATTCAGCAGATGCCGGGTTAGCAAGTAAAGAGGCAAAGCTTCCTGTTTTGTGGCACCAGAGCCTCCTCATCTTCGCACAAACTTACAGACACGAGATCACCGAAGATCAGCGTGAAGCACTACTGGATCTTCTGCTTGTTCGCGGCCATAAAGACATTGGTCCAGAAGTGAGACGCGAGCTTCTTGCGGGCAGAAATCGAGCTGCAGAAGGTGAGGAGGGTACAGCTATGGCTGTTGACCAGGATTCTCGAGATGATGGTGATGATACCATGGATATTGCTTGAATTGCCGGACTCTGGCTTTAGACATTTGACGAATGAGACGATATGATGTGGCCAAACTAGGATGTGAAGTGGTTACTCATGTAGCTACGTGATTTACGTTGTTCTTGAATATGATCTGGGATAAACCCATGCTTCACGTGAATAGTCCCTACGTAACCCGGCACGTACCAAGCATACTTCGTCTCATATGCGGGTCTGCCGTTGGGGGCCAAAATTGTGTTGTCGACTTTGTGCCGGATTCTCAAAATCAACAAACCAAAACCTCACTCCTCACAGCATACTGGGGCCCTTCGACAAACACGACGTATACCATCGGGCCAACTCTCGCGTATCTATATGGGAGACCAGCAAACTCCAGAGATCGTCCCTAGGACAAATGTCGGCCTGATCCGCGCCGGTCGTGATGAGGATCATACACGCCCACGGATAGTGAGTTGAGACGACCCCCTCGACATCCACCATCATGAGTACGTCTGGACATTTTCAACACTCCCGACTTTCGCTCTCTGGCAAGTTCATGCGCCTCTTGCAAATCCAGGGGTCCACCACAGCTTCTGCTTCCAGCACCGGTGCCGGTGGCAGCAGCAAAAGGGAAGCCCCTATCTCACTCCGCATCACACAATACGCTCTACACCGTCGGCCACCATACGTCGCAATAAGCTATACTTGGGGCAATGCGGCACACACCCACGAGATCCGCGTCAATGGCCGCCCGTTCTTGGTGAGGGCCAATCTGTACAGTCTCCTGTGGCACCTCAGACAGCGAGGTGAGAGCCGCTTCCTGTGGATCGACGCTCTGTGCATCGACCAAGCCAATCTCGAGGAGAGAAACTTCCATGTGCAACTGATGGGAAGCATCTACCACAGCGCCGACAGAACTATAGTATGGCTCGGTCTGCCCAGTGAAGACAGACGACAAGCTAGAGCACTTGAGTTTGTCGCAGAGTTAGCGGCCGCAATGTCCGTAAGTGACTCTCCCGCTCGCTCTCACGGGGGCAAAGGGGAGCGGAAACCATCTGCGGCGACCCAAGACAATTGGGAACGCATGTACATCACCGGAAGAGTCGGTGGGAATACCGCGTCCAGTACAAACACCGGTACAAGTGCAGTCGTTGCCAAACTCGAAGCCCGGTGGCGTAACCTGCTCGACCTGTGTCGCGGTGTCTACTGGACACGGACATGGATCATTCAAGAATTCCTCCGGTCGCCTTCTCTCGAAGTGCTTGTCGGGACGGCAAAGCTGGACTGGACACTATTCGAAGTCGTCGTGGGTATGCTCAAGTCCACGTCCCTAGACGCATCTACCACGACTTCAACCACGATCACAACACTCGTCGACCAATTCATGCACACCCTCCCGGTCCGCCTCACCCTCCGCCGGACTCACCATGCTCACTCTATGCTCTCTGATCTCGTAGCCGAATTTTACGATTCCAAATGCGCAGAACGTCGCGACAAAATCTATGGCATCCTCGGCATCGCAGACGACTGTAGCGACACCGAAGGCCCACAGCCAGACTACTCCAAGCATATCGTCGAGGTCTATTTTGAAGTCTACAGGTATCTCTGTATGCGATATCAATATCTGTCTCGATCTCCTCCTTCTCCTTCTCTTTCAGGGACAGTGCCATTCATGCAGACCATATCCCTTACGATCCGGGCTCTGAACATAACACAAGCCGATATAGAAAATTACCTCTCTGCATCATCAAACTCGACTTCGACGTCGAGCGACGACAAACCCACCAAGGATATGCTTGACAGCCTCGTCTTCAACCTGCGACCAGACTACGTCAACGCGATCGACTCCGTCCTCCCTGGATGGACGAGTATTCGTGATCTTCGCCAACGGCTAGATCAAGTGCCCTGGGAGAAATACGTAGGCCACGAGGTCAGAAGAAAACCGTCGCGGAACGCGTCTGGTTCGACCACATCCACATCCACATCCACGCAGACACCGATACCGACAACGCCGTCGAGCAACAACGCCGCCACGACGACAGCCACGGTTGACAGTGTGACGTCGTCAGCAAAGGGGACAGAATACGTTAGGGCCCCGTTACCCTCCGACCTCGTCAGTACCATCATCGCCGCCGCAACGCACGGCACCGACTTGACCAACCTCCACAACTACGCGACTTTGTCGGACAACCCATCACAACCGCAGATGCAGCCGCAAAGACCCACATGTCGGATCCCATACGCCACAATACTGAGCCACGAAGAAGACAAACGCACCGCCGACAACGCCGCCCTCCTCAAACCGAGCGTCATCATCGAATCCAACCCCAAGGCCGGCGTCGATCCTCTGCGTCTGGGCTTCGCGTGCACAGACGTGAGAAGGGGCGATCTGATATGCCAGTTCCGCGGGGTCGACGTGACGTTGATTGCCAGACGGGTCGCGACGGGCGGAGCATTGAAACTCGTCGGCCTGGCGCGCATGGTAGGTCATTCGGGATTGAGGGAGGTCGGCATACATCCTGGATGTAAGAGTGGTACTGTCACTACTCCCGCTGCTGCAATTGCCGCTGCCGGGGCACGTGGCCGGTTTCATTCGCCGTCGCGGGATTCGCTTTCGCCTTCGCGTTCGTATTCGAGCTCGCAGTCAGGAAGGAAGGATGTTGGCGGAGGCGGAGGCGCGAGTGGAAGCGGAAGCAGAGACACAGACAAGGCGTGGTGGTGGTGGTCTGGAGTGGTGCTCCCTCCGGATGATGGGGACGACGCAGGTATCACAAACGATGTCGTTAGCCGTACGACGAGTACGGATACGAATACGGGCATGGGCACGAGCACGAGCACGAGCACGAGCACGGCGACGAACATCGGTAGAGATACGGGTACTGACACGGGTCCTGGTGACCATGACTATACTATCGAGACGGATCCGCTTAGCCTTTGGGAACTGTTTAGACCGAAATAGAGAGTCAAGTTATGTTTACGTACCTACCTAATGTACCTGAAGGTACGGGATAGATCACACAACCACAAAGCATACAGATCAACGACACAGACAAATGCAAAGCCACCGCCGATGTATTGAGAACCTCAGAGACATGACTTTGTCGATTTCAACGTGATCGATACACCCTTACCTTCAACGCGATGGATACATACACATGCCCTCGATTCCAAGGGGATTTACCGTCAACCTCAACGTGATTGACATCCCTACCGAAAGTGGTGGATTGACAGACTGAGACAACTTACGGAGATACTCCAGTAACATGTCTGCAGAATTGAGAACTTAATTACGTTTCATTCCATTCCCATGCTCTCTACTCTCAACGTTCTATAGAGCAAGTGGCGACCCTTAAATATTCTTTCCATAACGTACCCGGGTCACGCCGGGATGAAAATTCGTCAACTCGTCATTTGCCATCTTGAGAACGTTGAAGTCGTCACCGTATTGGCCAATCACCTGCATTCCAACCGCGACTTCTGGACGCCAGGGAATATCTGGATGACGTGGTCCTGGAACAGAAATCGCAGGCAAGCCAGCCAAACTCGCGGGGACTGTGAAGACGTCGTTGATGTACGACTCAAGAGGAGTTCCAGTTCGGACATATTTGAGCCGCGGCGGCGGAGTTGGAGCTGTCGGCACTACGATGAAATCCACGCCTTGCTTGTTGACCTTTGTACCGTCCCTGAGCGGATTCGGCATTCTGAAGACAGAGTCGAAATCCTGTTGCACCATTCTCCGAATCTTTTGTGCTTGGATAAAGTAATTGTCCATGGCGCCCGCACTCAAGCTGAAGGTCCCCAACAAGATTCGTCTCTGTACTTCGCGGCCAAAGTTTTGCCCCCGGAATCGTGAATAAAGGGTACCGTTGGCGTCATCAACATGACCATGCCGGTTGCTCCCGTATCGAACTCCATCGTACTTGGCAAGGTTGGAAGATGCCTCTGCTGGGGCGAGGATGTAGTAGGCTGATAATGCGTGTTTGGTGGATGGAAGAGATATAGGGACGATCTCGTAGCCCGCTTTCTCCAAATGACTCAAAGTAGCTGTCCAAGACCAGCGAACTAGAGGATGCATCTCTTGGATGTTGTATTCGAGAGGCACACCAATGCGCCTCGGCAATGTTTTGCGAGGCAGGATAGGATGCTTTCTGGGATTGTATCGTCCTGAGGCCGCCGGAGAAGCAGGACTAAACCTGGGCCCATTCATTGGGACTGGGAGAATCTTGGTACCCTGCAGCGCAGTGTCGCGGGCATAGGTTGCATAACGCACTCGTGTGCGAGATGCGGAGGACAGACAAGTCGGGTCGTTTTCATCTGGTTTCGTCAAGATGTCTGTATTCATAAGCATGTATCAACTGATTCGAGGATCCATTCGTACCATATGTTAACCAGACATCAGGAACAAACTTTGCGACCAAGCCGACGGTGTCCAGGGAGTTCGCATATGGAACAACGCCTTTGCGTGATATCATCCCATACGAAGGTTTGAAGCCTACCAAGCTCATGTACGCGGCCGGGAGTCTTATTGAACCGCCTGTATCCGTGCCGATCCCGACCGTGGCCAGGTTTGAGGCCACGGCAAGGGCACTTCCACCAGAGCTTCCTCCAACCGACAGTGCCGCTCCGCCATGAGGCCCAGCGAGAGGCCCATTGTGTACCTCCCCATAGGCAGAATTGATTGAATGTGATCCCATGCCGAATTCATCCATGTTTGTTTTTGCAAGCATTATCTGCCCACCTCTTTGGAGAAGATCTGCGACTGTCGAGTTTTGTGTGGGCAGAAAGCCTTTCAAGGTGTTTGAAGCACATGTCGTCGGTAGTTCAGGTGTCACGATGTTGTCTTTGATCACTACGGTATAGCCATGATTTGCTGATTTGATTCCGTCTGTGCAAGAGTGTGTTAGCCCCATGATCTGCGGCCAACAAAAGTCCATGTCATTCTTACAAAAGAACCTAAAGTCCTCTGTACTCGCGTGTGCCCCATGTGCCTTGACTGCTTCACGTAGCAGAGCGTCGGGGTCTCGGAGCGCATTGCTCAACGAGATGAACGGATTCCCATAGTCTTTAGGGTTGAGAGACTGGCACAGGAGGCTGCACACATGACGCAGGAGTTTGATATCCTGGTGGTGACGATAGCCCCGACCAATGCGATGCGGCATTCAGTCTCTGGGCAAGTGACGGTCCTGCATGTGTTTGTACAGCGACTGGAGAATCTAGAGAAGTACTTTGAATAAATGGTGCAGGCGGAGCGGGAAAAGAATGATCCGAGCCCGACGACGCCTCGGCCGCCATCCACAGTCCGGGGTCGAGCACAAGAGGGATGCTTTCTGTTAGACAGCAAGACGATTTTCTTCTGGTAATTGCTGCGGCACGATACTGTCATCCTCGACTTTGGCCTCCATAAGCACCTTTTTATTGTGCTCGCGCTGTCAAATTGATTGAATCTGTTGCAAAACCTGGACAGGATGACCTCGGTTCCCGACCTTGTTAAAGGTACACGCATAAAAGCCTGCACTGAGTGTCGGCAACAGAAGGTATGGATGTCGATGACTTCGAGGATGGGCATTCGCGCTGACAGATGTTATAGTTGAGATGTGATGCTTCCAACGACTACTCTCAGCCATGTTCCCGTTGCAGGAAGTTTAAATTGGAATGCATCGTTTCAGCAAACTTTCGGAGGGTTAAGCGTCGAACGTAGGCGGTGGGATGGCAGATTCACAGAATGATACTGACTTCCTTTCTAGCAAAACCGAGTTGCAAGCGGAACTCGATCAACTGAAGCGACGTGTTGCCGCGAGCTCACCGAAGCCGCTTCCTGCGTCGTCGATTCAACTGTCGGAGGCCGACTTGTTGCAGACCTCAGACATACTTGCAGAGACTATCAGCACTTCTCAGAGCCGAAGCCTTGGTGCGAAAGGGAATGACATGAGGCAACAGACAAGGACCCTTTCCCCGACGGTCACAGAGCAAGCAGAAACGCCTCTACTCACGTCGGATCAAGCAACGTCTGCGACTCTTTCACAAAATCTACAGGGCATTCGTGTCGATGCTCATGAGATTGACGAATGTTTCTCGTTGTATGTGCTTGCAACGCGATCTGATTTTCCTTCTCCTAGTAACGCTCTCAGATTCTTTCACAGATTCTTACCATACATGCCCATCTTTGACACACCATTTAACCCTGATGATTGCTATAGAGCTTCACCGTTCCTCTTCTGGGCGGTCGTTACTACTGGTGCCAGGAGATCTGAAAACCCTACCTTAATATTGACTTTAGCTCCAAAACTTATGGATCTCGCTCAGCAGGCATTATTTGCTACTGAGAGATATTTGCCGACCATACAAGCCCTAATTCTTATGTGCACATGGCCGATACCGATTGACACCTTGCAAAAGGACAAAGTACCTATGCTTGCCGGGTCAATGCTGCAACTTGCCACGAACATGGGTCTTCATGTCTATGGTACTGCACAAGACTTTACACGCGTTGCATCTCGTCATGACCGCCGACAGCGGGATTTCCGAACGAGGCTGTGGGCTCTTTGTCTAATAACATGTCAGAGGTGAGGATGGACACTCCGTATTCTACTGCACGGTGCTCAACCAGACGTAAAGGGTCAATAATCATTGTGGCCTTCCGCCCCTCCTAATTCCAGATACTTATAGTCACGAAGGCTATCGAGAAGATCCTTTCAAGGATATTTCTGCGACCATCCAATTCCAGCGGAAACTCAATCAGATACAGACCGAAGCTACTCTCCATATTGAGCAGGAGGCATTGTCCAAGAGCCCAGAAATCCGAAATGCCAGTCTTGGTTGTGCGGTTGATCAAGGATTGACACGGCTTGCTTCCTTAAGCCACGAATGTCCATCTCTCAGTGGTACGTGTCTTCCCTTGATTGTTTTTAACCAAAAGGGGCTAATGGTGAAGATCGTTTCTGGCTACTCGGTGCGAAACTACAAGTAGAAGCATGCCTCCTTCTTGCCCACTCTTCAGCAATCCAGGATATGCACCTCAGCGACCTGTACAGCAATGCGTGTGCAATGGTCGAATTTGGAGAAGAGCTTGACAAGCGAGAAGCATTCGCATCATTTGCCCCGGCTTTGTTACTTTCCTCTCTTCACCTTGCAGCGCTACTCATCCTTCGCATCGGCAAATCTCATCTCTCTTCCATGCTCGAATTGCAGCGTGGACGAAAGTGCTTCTTCCTCGTGATCGAACTCAACAAAAAGATCAGTGTGAGAGCTGATGACTTGGCGGCTCGCGGAACCATTATTTTGTCCCAGCTATGGACCAGCAAGGTGCCGTTTAAGCAACCTGACGGCACAATAGACCCTCTCTGGCTTCAGTGTAGAAGCAGATTAGGCATGAGCGTATGCTTTGATTGTTATTGGTTATGGCGGCAAGAGTTCGCGGGATTGCCAAATCCTTATGATGGCGTTGAAGGTAACTAGGTGGCTCCATTCAATTGCGCGACTTGGCTAACACAACATCCAGATGTGTTGAGGAATGCCTCGGGCAAGCTCGCCTCGGTCTCTGTGCTTGAGCCAGGCATGAACATGGGTATCGGCTGGTCTCCTAATGCACCATTCACAGATTGTTGGTGGCCACAAGTTGAAGAGCTTGTGTACGACACTGCTTGGCAACGAAACGGCGAGAGTGTGCAAGACCACATGCTACAGTGATCATATTGGGAAACATTAATGCAGTCCTAAATCCCCAATATCTGCGCTTGGCTCCTTGTCCTGCAGAGCTTCACTCACAACCAAGCCGGATGCAAGGCTTAGACTGATGCCCCAAGGTCCATGACCTGTTGCAATCCAAACACCACCACCGCCCACACGGATTCCGCCCAGGTCTTTTTCCGGTATCTGTCCTATGACCGGGACTCCACTGGAGCTGACGGGCCTGAAACACAAGCCTTCTCGGACTGTCTGGAGATCATCTTGGTTTAAGCCATCCCCTTCGCTGGCTAAACCCGTGAGCTGCACTGTGGTCTTTCGAAGGCTTTCGATGCTCTTCGGATCCATCAGTTGCTTCACGTCGGTTGCCAATTCTGGTAATGGGAGAGCACTGTCATTGACACCACCAATCCAGATTTCTGTTTCACCGTCACGCGCCAACCGAGCATACGCTTCTGGGGAGTAGGACCAGTATCGACCTGGCGCGCAATATATCGCATAACAAAGCCAGTTATCCTGACCCCCACCGATGTTCCTTTTCTCGGCGTCAACAAACGGATGAGGGTAGCGAGGCGACTTCACAGCCAAGCTGTAGCCAGCCAATGGTCTTATGGGTATTCGCGTTTTGCTCTGTGCAAACAGCGTTTTGAAGACCCTCGGCGTCCACGCTCCAGCAGCCAACACAATCTTGTCACATTCGATATCACTCTTATCAGCCCCTTGGTCTCCCGTGGTCTCCAACCTCAGGCCGGTCAGAAACCCTTCGTTGTTCGTCAGAACCGCCGTAGCTGTCGTGGACAGATGGATTTGAACCCCGCGGCTCTTGCTCTCCTCGTAGAGGAATTCGCACAGTTCCTTGGGTTCAATCTGTGCACATTCCTCCGGACCGGCAATTGTGCTCAGAGACCCTCCGGGTTGGGGAGTGAACACGGCCGGAGACCCATCCTGGTTTACCACGCCACGGTGACCATCTGACCTTCCTTCGACCAGGCCAGCACGGCTGGTCCCATCTAGTAGCCAGTCTCCGCGTCGGCCAGTCTTTCCTCGACTGCTAGCGGCATGTTCGTCAACACTCAAACTGTAGACATGGCTTCCGGCGTACCCCCATTTTCGCGACCCGTCGTGCTTCTCTGCCAATTCGCGATGTAGTCTGAAGGAAAGAGCCCCCAAGCTTGAAACAGCTGGACTGAACCAGTCTGACGCTAAGAAACCTCCAGCGTAGCCGCTGGCAGAAGCGAGCAACATTGGCGCAGACTCGACGATATGAATAGGCGCTTCTTCTGTTGCCGGTCTGGACAGTGAGAGATAGTATGCGGTGGACAGGCCTATGATGCCACCGCCAATGATTACTGTGCCCATCTTTGGTCGGGATCGGCTTGTCGAGTAAAATACCACTTGGAATCTTTCAAAGGAAGAGGGACTGTTCTTCAATGTCACGACGTACTCCAGTTGATGAGTTTCAATGCCGGTGTCTATCGCGAGGTCAATGTTGGTGTGATACCCCCTTTGGTCCCATGGTGTTTTCGAGCGCAAGTTTCACGAAGAACGACCTCTGTTCTCTGTGTGTGTGTGTCATTTGCGTCGTTCGTCGTGGCGCTCGCGGCACGCTTTTCTCCGCAACGACGTCAAAGAACGAACGAATCCGCTTGTCATCAGTCTATCACCGAATACTTGTGTTCACCTCAACATACGTTGCTTATACAATGCTCCTATGATCTGACAATGCAAAATGTGAAAATGCGATGAGAATTCAAATCAGCGCCTAGGTGATATATCTATCCACTCCCCTGGAACCACTTCCGACGGTAAGCGACCTTTTCTACACGATACTCACTGTAAGTAGGGAAACCTCCTGCGTATAGTTGTCCGCTGGTCGGCAGCAAGGCTCGAACCCACAACCAGGCGGTGCCGGTGCAGCGTTGGGAAGGGAGATGGATACCGGTGAATGGAACCGGCGAAGAAGAAGGATCCCCGGGTTCTGCCTCTCTTCACCGAGACCAGGTAGTCGAAAAGGTAGGAGGATGCATTGGGTCGCAGAGCTCTCACTTGACACAATCCCAAACACCTTGGAACGAAGCCAATACCAAAATCCTTAATGGAACCACAATCCCGAGGCGGTATAGAGTAAACAATCCCCGTTTAGATATCAGACCCTCTCGTTTGGATATCAGACCCTCTCGTTTGGATATCAGACCCTCTCGTTTGGATATCAGACCCTCTCGT